TGACGAATACTTTCATTGTTTAAATCCTTCTTTCTGATGCTCTTCCAACGCAGAATAGATCTCGACCAGGTTCGACAACTCCGACTGCCCTTTAAATACACCACGGTCACCATTAGCGATCCTTGCCGAGACTTTTCTCCGTGTAAGATCCACGGACGCTATAGGAGTTGGGATCCAGTTTCCAGCATCACCGAAAGGTGCAACAGAAAAGGTATGTGGAAACTCCACGGACGGATTACCTGCTACAAGACTTATGGAACTTCAACGGAGCTATTTCCTGTAAAGACATTTCAAGCCCAGAGTTCAACTGGATTTACTTATACTGCTTGATATTGCCGAACAGTACGTTCCGTGGCCAATTTTTCGATCTTTTACTGGCACCCGGAGTTTACTGATCACCAATGATACTAAACGAGGCGTCGTCTTTGTTAACAGAATCGCTCGCTAGTCAGTACTGGGTTTGTCACCAGAAACTTGTGCTCAGCCAGTCCTAGAGAAGTGGGACATACTCTGACATGTCACCTCACCAATCCACACAATTATGACTTCCTGCTAATGCAAACTCACTCCGAGGTCTTACGACAAGACAAGGAATGAGACGCTGTCAAGGAGATGTTCCAACAGTGAGTTTCGTCCCCATTTGGTGACGCCTCTGCCGCTCTATAAAGCTCACTAACCATTTGCACACCCTGCAAAGCAACCTTACGGCGAAACGGAAGAACCCTGTCGCTCGAATATGATAATAACGACACCAAGCTACCAAATTATCACCAGAAAAAACCAATTCGGTCCCACCATTTCTGCAGTTGAGCCGATTTGAAATTAGAGGCTTGCCTGTGCGTATCTGTTGCGAGCTGGGCTGTTTTGCCTCGAGCAGACTTTCTTTCCACGCTGCTCCAAGTCGACAGCACCAACATCCCGTGAGGTGACCACTCAAACGTCAATTCCGCCGAATCTACTTTCCTCAGAGGCTTTTATCGCTTTGTTGGCTCTATAGTGGCATTCGCGGAAAGAACATTATGCTTTGACGGTTGTTATAAGCCCCCATTGACTATTAAAGCTTTTTCAGCATAGGTAAATCGGAATGTCCTATTAGGTGAGCTTTCTGGTGTCTGAGAATTTATCCCGGGACCCTGCAAAGTCTACCTACTTACAAGGTCACTGCTGCCCACGCTCTAGCGTGGGGTCTGCGCCCAACCCTCGTTTCCCTTGTGGATGTTTGACCATTCCTTTCATTTCTCTACCCAGTTGCCGTCGCCATGTTATATGGTGCATTTTCACACTCCAGTGCTTAAATCGCCCATGATTTGGACTTGGGTGATTTTTGAACTTTGCTGATAGGTACTTAGACCAGTGCTGTCTCCAATTGGGGACAAATCCTAGTCGACTAGCTTTTCTCCTCGAAAATCGCAGGTTGCGTATGGCTTTTGCTGGCTTGTCAATAAATCTGAACCTGACAGTCTTAAGGCTTTTGCAAAACCGTAAAGCGCCTAAATGACGGGTTATAGTAATGTTGCTCGGTCTTTCATTCCCCGCACCATTGTCATCGGTTCAAATTCGGCGGTAGTGTTGGGTTCTTCAAATGGTATGTTGATAAAATGCACTGCGTCAACGATCTGATTATTGTTGGGAATCTTGTAAGTCTCCAAGCTTTCCGTGGGCTACTAGCACGACACTAAGGTGTTACTAAGACTGCAACTGCCGTTTGTTGTTGTATTGTTTTCGCTTTGGATGCCATCTGTTTTGTCAACACGGTGAAAAGAAGGATGAGAGTTGTGGGTTAGAAAGCTACCAGATGCTCATGTGAACTCGAAGTTCTTGTACAATCGGTTTGACGAGAACGATGTTATGGTTCAGCGTCAGATATTCCCCGCTCCAGGGTTGGTGACAAATTTGGTCTAGATGGTACCCACTCATTTTAAGGTCTCGTTGCCTTCAAACTCATTTTGAAATGGCTGCTTCGATTGCTTGCTCTGATCATGGTTTACAATACCTTGATCTGCAGCTCTGTGATACAAAGGATCCAGCCGCTATAACACATTCTATACAAATTATACTTTGTTTGCCCTGCTTGCATGTATGGATGAGAAAGCGCCAGTATCCTAGACTTTAAAATACCTGTTGGTAGCAATCCTTCCTCAGAAAAGCGTCTATTCGAGGCTTCTACAGAGGAATTCTTCGGTCAATGACACATTAGTTGTAAAATACAATAGACCTTTGAGACTTGCAGACTCCTTCCTCGACAAATCAAACAAGATAACATAGCAAAGGAGCTGTGGCGAAGATCGTGAAGCGCAGAATTTGTGGAAGGAGATACATCCTAGCTTTTTGAAGCAGCGCTTGGGCGGTTCGTGGATGACAGATCAAAAGAGTCTGATGTCTCTTTTTACCCAACAGTTGCCTTCAGCGGGTTCGAGAGAAAGTATAAGCACTTTGAACAAACACCAGGAAAAGCATGAGCTTGAATACATGACCGGTTCAAACGAACAATCTTACAGAATCATCACGAGAGGATTCCTTTCAACTCTGGGCCGTCACAATTGGCAACTTATTCAGCTTCCGAGACTTTCTTCTACAGATTCAATACGTTTCTTCGCAAAAGTTTGATCACACACTACCAGGAGAGATGTCAAAGCAACTGATGAAGTCGAGACTTTTTGAATTTTCACAAATACACTTGATGCCACCTGCAAGTCAACCGGCTTACCTCTAGCACATAGCAGAAATCCTCTATTGAAAAAGCATTGTTTACATTTGTTTCACAATTCTCGCTGTGACAAGGGCGAGACACAGGAAGTCAGATCATTGGTTAGTACAGACATCCGAAAACCGTACACCACCATAAAAACTATTACCTGCTCTTCTGCTCGAATGTAGACGTAAGCTCCAGTCTACATTCGCGTCTTGAAACTTGTGGGTTGCTTCATGTAAAAGGCAGTCTCGAAGAGCAAGAGACCCAAGTACAAGGCCGAGGTAAAACTTTCTACGCTACTTATGAATATTGTCACAATCATAGAGTTATGAAATGATATCTAGGTCTATATGCCGTCCACACAACTCAACGAAACGTAGACATCAGAAAATCGCTGAAAAATCAGATAAGTTTCCATAATTGAATAATCCGACCTCAAAGTTTTCTCGCAAAAAAACATCTCCACCATGCAGCGAAGTAAAAGCTTTAAACAAGTCACAATTTTCCGCTTGCAGTAATCGGTGAACTTTGAAGGTTGGAATTAAAATCACTAAATCTACTTGCGAGTGTGGCCACAACTTCATTATATGTAGCGCCAGAATGTCTACGTTGAAAAAAATACAATCATGAGGATCCCTGTCAACCATTTCATGATATAAAGAAGCACTATACTATGACTCGGGCAAAGATCTTGCTTACGAGGCTCCTAAAATTTCTTGTTCTTCTTGCAAGTACTTCGTCATGTTAAATCATCTTCAGTAACGTAGCGTCAGATTCATCACCAAGTGATCAGAGGCGCGTGGTACGATGACGGCGACAGATATGTGTCAAGAAATTTGAACAGCTACTGAAAGCACCCAAACTAAGGGTAAAGGCACACTATACCAGGTCATCACTTCCAACCCACATGTCTAACCTCTGTACACGAGATGAAGCACTGAGAAATACGGTTTTCAGATTTTTTACCGAGGGTTCTGGCTCAAGCTCAGGGAAGGATTATTGTGCCATGACGCCCCGTAGATCAAACCTGTGATACATAGCGAGTGTAAAGAACTTCTGAATCTTTTGTTTCAAGCATCCCAGCTCGAACTGTCAATTTGGGTTGAATTCTGAGGAGACCATACACTGTAAGCTTCTTCGCCTGTCTTATTCCATATGCTAGAAAGGATATTTTTTGGTCCACCTTCCCATGGGCATCTTCCGTGACTCATTTTCAGATTTCCAACAATTGCAGTGTCACCCTCTTGCCATTAGTGTTCGTAAGACAAGCTTATGGACGCTTCTAGCAAATTCCCAACAGCTTTTCATCGGTCGGCTCTTTATTGTCATACTTTAATTGAGCGGTCAGAGTGTTTCAAGGGTGTTCAACAATTTGAATTTGTAGGACCAGGCTTCTTCCAGCCGTGAAAGGTTAATCAAACGTGAATTTGGCTGTGGACGAGACACTACGGAGGCCTTAGCTTGCCCAACTGGTCGATGAAATCTTTGATTCTGGAGTTGCAATAAGTCCACACTGTATAAAGCATTGGTGATTGCTTATATTTTTTTGCTGATCTTGTATGTTCTTTTGACACATTTCCCGTCAATTAATATCTGAAAGAATGCTGTAGAGGAAAATGGTGTCCTAGCTCCAGATGCTCCAGTGCCCAGGAATTGAAGTGAGACCTAGTGATCAAAGTTTTCTTCATTTATGCCAGCAAATTTCGTGCCATTCAGAGCATGTGGGTGGTCAAAGTCCTTGAACACCTACCGATCATAACAATGGCTTTAGTATATGTCAAATTAGAACATTCCAACAGATTAGTATTCCCTCTGTGTCTTTTCCAATCATCAGCAAGACTTAAACACATGAAATCCTCCCCGGTACTGATTCTGAGCTTACCATGGTCGTGAAGTTTGTCTACAACTAATTCGTGCTGTCCCCAAAAGGGCCCATGTGGTTCCCTCTACTTCCAATAAGACCAAGGAGCCACCACTAACATTCTTATGACCTTTACTTCGATATGACTCACTTCCGGTACATCCTCTGACACCATCTTTGATCACTCTGTCCTCCTATGGCGCTCTTAACATCACTGTCAACGCGTCATAGGCCATAACTATTGGGACTGAATACTACGAATTGACATTAAAACTCTAAACCCCATTTATAAAATTGATAGCCAGTATGCTCGACTCTATATCAGGTTTCTTACTTTCATTAAACCTCTCTTCGATTTCTTTCTTGCCCCACTTCCTCCTACTATACAAAAACACAGCGTTCTGCGTACCACTTCTCATCTGAAGTGCCGAGTTTCTTCTAGCGATGTTAACTCCAAATCCGGTCTTCGGAAATTTTAAGGTCTTCCGTCAAAATTCTGAAAATTTCCGCCGTGCTCAAACCGTCGTCTCTTCCTGTTTGAATTTGATTGACGCCCTGACCACATAAGTTTAAATTGACTAACGATGGGAATTTCGATGGCAGTGGTTTGAACTCACTATACCTGTAGCCGTAAGGAGGCAGGTCTAAACCTGGAGTTAGGTCAGAAAGTCTTTCGATAAATGGTCCTCGCAGGAAGCGCTGACGGAGGCGGGGTCAGTATGGTGGATATCTTATCGTGAGAATCCATGAGATCCCTGTAAAACTTGCTGGACTTCGACTCCGCTACTGCCAAAAAGGCAGTCCCCAACTGACAGGCCGAAGCGCCTTGATCTAGGTAAAATTGGATGGTCTGGGAGTCCATAATCCCACCAGCTGGGATTAGAAACGCCTCGCTTCCCATTTTATTCTTAGCTTCTTATATCTTTTTGAACAAACAAAGCCTGGAAAGTCCCTCATCCAATTGTGCTTCATTGCCTGGGAAGCTGCCTCTATGCCCCCCGCTTGGTAACCCTGACAGATGATACCGTCCACGCCCAACTCGAGGAGCTGTTCTGCCTCAAGCTCACTGGTTGCTGTTACAAAAACGGCAATCCCTAGCTTCTTCAATTGCTGTATGGTAACCGGAGAACGGTACCCGAAATGAAAGCTGACCATGCCCGGTGTGAATTCCGTCTCGAAAAAGGTCTCGATGCATTTGAAACTCACATTGCCGTTGTCGAACTTCAGTGATGAGTTGAGGCTTTCGCATCCTAAAACTTCGCTGTACAGCGTATCCCAGTTCTCTTTCTGTCGGGCCGTAAAAATAGGGTAGATTAGATGACAGAAAAAGTTTAAGTTGGCTTTTTGAGCGTTTGCACCCGCTGTAGACAGGAAGCTTTCAATGACTTTACGAATTACCGATACCGCAAATGTATCTTCGAGGTTTACGTGAGATAAGGTCAAAGGTCCCAAACCGCCGCTTGTAGCAACCGCAGATGCCACCTCAGGCGCATGTAAGTACCTTACTTGGAAGTGAGCCGTTTTCTCTTATGATATGAAGACAAGTCAAGTCCTTTTCTTTTCTGTAAGCTGCAGCTCTCAACGCTAGTGACATGATGTTTCTAGATGGTCGCCCCTACTATTCACCAGGTCTAACACTGTTGTCTTATCACGTGGGATCACTACTCGATATGTATCTGTGGCTCGATATAAGCTGATAATCAAAGGTAGGCCATGTGACTATGTGCGATAAGTAGATCTTAACGGCCCTTCCTTAAAAGAGCAGACAAGCACTATACAAGGGTCGGACTTTTGCGGCCATGTGAATAGTACTTATCAACGTGAAAAGGCTCCATTTCATGCAACTGATCGCGTCTTGTGAAAGCCGAGTAGTGTGATAGAAAAGTAGCAATAAGTAAAAACTGCGATGGGACCTTATCGACTGTCTAAAAATCAGCATCTTAAGTGAATAACACTAGAAAAAAAGCACTCGAACCTTTGGGACATAGCTGTTTAGACTCGTTGTAGACTCAGGACAAGTACCTGGCGTGTCACAGTACAAAAACGTTTCTTGCATGTTGAGTTTCGCCATGTTATTCGGGTTTTAGAGTTGCTCCACCATCGATGTAAGCGAGACCTTTCGAATTCCATTAACGAAATATGGTTGTAGAAAATTGAAGTGATTGTTGCATCTTGCATGAACAGTGCTGAGGGGCAAGGAACCGGGCACGCAGTAGTGTCTACCAATTCTGCCACTGTCAGGTGCCGCGTGCGTGTTAGATCGGTTTATCATGAATCCGTCATATAATACTTCGAGACACAATGATAAAAGAGATGCGATGGTTCCAGGGTGCACGAAAAAATAAGCTTGGCCACAGTTGTCTATATATGGCTATCCATGGTATTGATTACAGTCTAGCCTTTCTCTTCGAACCTTTTGGTTGAAAGACTTAAAGAGTTTCCCGATGTTATTTCTGAAGACAATGTGTTGTCTTGGGTAAAGTAATAAAAAAATTTTGTGGAAGTAAGCTAGTCTGCAAGAGAATAGAGCTGATCTCACAATTAAAAGCTTTCAAGAAATTCAAGCATACAAAGCTTCCTGACGCCCTACTAGAGTTTGTTCTAGCCGTTCTATTCAAAAAGTCTTATCAAGTCTGCACTCGTCGGTTGCACTCTCTCTGAGGTATACTCGAGCGTTGACTTCAATACCACTGTTATTTTTGACTTGGTGGGTTCAGGAATATACAAGATGAGTAACCGCTCCATAAAAAAGTATCTGAACAGCAACCCAAATGCTATTTTGGTTTTAGATGGTGGCCAGGGCTCGGAACTGGAAAACAGAGGCATTGAAGTGGCCAATCCAATTTGGTCTACAATTCCATTCGTAAACGAATCATTCTGGTCTAACCCTGCTTCGAAAGATCGCGAGATTGTGAGTGGGATGTATAGAGATTACTTGGCTAGCGGATCTCAGGGTTTCACGACAGTAACGTACCAGGCAAGCTTTAAATTAGTCTCTGAAAATACTGTGATCAAGACACCGGCCGCGTACGTTGAGTTGCTTTCCAGAATAATAGCCTTTACTCGCGAATGTATCGGTAGCGACAAGTGGCTAGTAGGCTCTATCGGTCCATGGGGCGCGCACAATTGTTCGGAGTTTACAGGCGAGTATGGACCAGAACCTGAAAAAATCGACTATCTGGGGTATTTTGAACCGCAGCTATCTGCTTTCAATGGTAACGGGAACCTAGATTTGATTGCGTTTGAGACCATTCCTAATTTTCACGAGCTTAAGGCAATTCTTTCATGGGACGAATCCTTAATCTCCAAACCTTTTTACATAGGACTCTCCTTACACGACAATGGGAAACTGCGCGATGGCACAAGCTTGCAGAAAATCGGTGAATACATTAAATCTCTGGGCCCGAAATTAAATTCAAATTTCACTTTGTTGGGTGTGAACTGCGTGAGCTTTGACCATTCCCAGAGTATGCTGGAAGAACTACATGAGCTTTTACCAGAACTTCCACTCATTGCATACCCCAATAGCGGCGAAGTTTACGATTCAGTTCAAAAAGTTTGGACGTCCAAAAAAGTGCACGGCGTTACTTGGGACTTTTTGGTCAAGAAATTCATTGAAAGTGGCGTCCGAATGATTGGAGGATGTTGCAGAACCACGCCCGCTGATATAAAAAAAATCAGCGATGCTGTCCACAAGTACTCGAAAGAGAGAGCATTGTGAAATCTCAACGCTCATTTACTATCACAGACTTAAAATCTGTACTATACGTACATCTCTTTTAAAGAAACGATTTTCAGCTTGACACCGGCTCATAAAAGCTTAAAGAAAGTTACAAGTTAATCTTGAAGTTTTGCATATATGCTGTCAACGATATAGCTCTATTCATCGTGCTGACTCTCCACCCAATCCTCCTTCAACACTCAGTCCTTTGAATTAGTTCAACTCATCAGCACTTTTGTTCACAATAACATTTTTTTCCTATTACAACTAGATATGTTTGTATGGCACGAAGTAAACTGTAATGAACATGAAACACTTCAAATGAACAGCAGCCTTTTCTAGTGAATAATTTTTGATTCATACTTTTGGAATCAAATTGAGAAAGATGGCCATGCTTTTCGGAAAAAAAATTGCCACTCAGAGTTGCCAATGGAAGTCGACATGGACCAGATATTTTGGATTTTTATCGCCGATAACCAGGTCAAACAATGTCCGAAAAAACGTCAAAACTGAATTGCTCGGACTTGTAACATAGGATCTGGGATTAGCAGCACAGGTATGTCGCTTTTTCGACTGGAAGCAACTACTTGGTTATTATTATATTTTTCCTTCTCGTGGCATTATTCACCACACGAAGCTTATTCTAAAACTATAAAACAAGTATGACCAGGGCATAGTGTCACCAGAATCAAAATATCACGACTGCGATTATCTAAAAGCTGCACTGAAAGAAACTGTTACGGCTTTAAACATTATTCGACCACCAATGATTACTAAACTGTTCTGACGCCAGCGGATTTTGGGCGTGTGCAAGAAAGATATAGGTATGTTTTGGGTGTTGACGATCTAGAAAATTGACCTTGAGGCTTTTTGAGATATTACCAATGGTGCCAAGAAAATGAAACCCGCTTTGTTACTTACGTCCCTCCGTAATGCAGGAGGAGCTCTATCTCACCTCTTCAAGAATCTCATAATTTCAACAAAATACCACAAACCAAAAGGGTTGGGTTTCTCATAGGTATTTCATCAGAAGACGATAATAACTTAACAGTCTTATTACATTTAATTCAGAAAAGGGGAAGCGAGACTTTGGTCGGAGTGTTGGTCGAAGTTCGACACTTGACCTATTTAGTAGTGTAAGGCGCCCGTGACTTTTTTGGAAGTACTTTCCGCCGTTCCTACTTAAAGATGATTAAGAATGCCTACAGTTCGCAGTTCAATGATGACCACGACATATCCTCTAATCCGTGTTTTAATGTTTCCCGACAGACATCTTGTGAATGTTAAAGAGAGTGGGAGTAGGCTCTTAAGCCACGAGCGTTTTGGGCTGACAACCAATGATTTGATAACATTTTACCCATTGGAAGGACGCAGAAATGGAATTGTCCCCAGTTCCGTAGTGTAGCATTCAATGGCCATCGACTATGATGTAGCAGTTCATACGGTATAGCGTCCTTTGCCAGAGTCCTGAAATGGGGGGTGGGATTACCACTTGAATCCTTGGGTCAATTTTTTAGTGGCTCTGCACTTGGCTAGATGTTTGGACATAACCATGTATTCGTCGAATGATATTCAGAGTGCGCTACATGCATGATATATTTGAGGTGATTTAGGGGATCAGATAAAAACTCAAAAGTGGTCTTGAGCTCGGCCGTACTACTGTAGTTTCTATATTAGCGAAAGCACAATGATTTTTTTTTGAAATGATGCTCAATTATCAGCTTTTGCATTCGATTAACAAGCTAAAACTGAAGTGTTAAGAAGAATAACTAAAAGACGGGGTATGGGTTTGACACAGTACCAAGTTATAGCCTGTGGCATACCTATATCAACCAGGTGATGACTTAATGAAAATTATCACAGAGAACGAGAGAACTGAAATAAAGGAGCTGCTGCCTACGGTCAACAACTCATCTGACGAAAATGACAGCCACGCAATCAGGTCAGCAAGACCAGGAGTGAACTTTCTGCCAAACGCGTCAAAGTGTTAACGCGAGTAAGCTCTATTTTACATAAGTCATACCGTACATTTGGTGGACAGCAATGTATCTACAGTTAAGATCCATTTTTTGGTAAGCAGTAAAATAAGCATCTTCGAACAAGCATATGCCGCTGACTGGGACAGCTATGGAGGCGAGTCCTAATTTATACCAAAAACAGTGCTGCCCCATATCATTGATGTAGTTTTGAGCTATCTTTCTCAATGCAATGCTCAGCACTACCGCCTATCTCCAAGCACAAGTGTTTTGATTAAATCACCGGTCGATACGAGCGTGAGCTAGCCGTTCTATGATTTTGGTTTGACAGTAAATTGCTTGCTTCAGTGGACGATGCTTATTACGATAACTTCATATCAAAACACTATAATTTTGAAAAAAACCGACATTTGGAGTGGCTACAATGTCTCGCTTTGCAGACATAAAAGAGGTTCATCCTGCTCATAGCGGTTTGTACCATCAAGATTTCAAACAAATGACATAGAGTGGGACGTTTAGGTACGGAAAAATCGCCTTCCGAGAAAAAAACGATTCCAAAATCATCACCACTTGGTGATTGTGTCTTGCGATTTGAAACAGGATGGGCACTGAATTGAGTTTCACATCAGATACCCGTCTTGAAATATGACGTACTTTTGAATCCTCAAATGCTCGCCTCTGTTGTCAATCCGTCATTTGTAAGAACGATATCTAGCTTTCCTCATCTTTTCTATTCTAAACCTATTTTGCCCACTCCTAAAGCCCTCTTCAATTCATTGCTCTTACTTTCACTTTGGGTTAACGTATTTGCAAACATAGATTCTATAGTCAAGCCTAAAAGCTGGCCTCTTCTGAGTAACATTAAGATCCATTTTCTTTAGACCTTTCTTCTCGCCAAAAAGGTTTTCATTCCATAACAATTATGTCATGGTTAGAATCAATAGTCGACTGGGCACCCAGTACCGTCTCCTAGTGCTTCAATTAAGACTCTTTAACAGACCTTTATTGACTCCTCTATAGCCTATCGGCTTTTCATTGTCCTAGTATTGTGGCTTCGATATGTGTGCCCGTAGAGTACTTGGAAGTTTTTTATTACATGCATGCTACAAAAAAGACTCTAATGGCTATAAAAGGTGACAATACCACACATTACAAAAATGATGATCTGGTTGGAAACGAGGCAGGACCGTGAAGAGCTGAGAGCACTTGTGAGAAGGCTGGAGGGCTAGGCTCACTATCGCAAACTTTTACTCGGCTGCGAAAAGACTACTGGCGCGGATTTGAGAAGTAATCTGCATATGAAATGAGCAACATGGACAACGACAAAAAGTTGAGCACCAGCGTGGATATATCGCATGTTTCCGTGGAGGAATCAAAGGGAAAGGAGAGATCTCGTTTCAGGGAGTGGACCTCGTCGTTCAAGCGCCGGGAACCGGTGATTGATCCCGACGTGGTCTTGGAACTCTTAGACGAGCAGAAGCGCCGTAACTACGAGCTTGCGAATCAGCCATACCGCAAAACTCTGGATCAGAGGCATTTGACAATGATTTCGATAGGAGGAACACTGGGTACCGGACTCTTCATCGGGCTGGGGTACTCGCTAACGTCGGGCCCAGGGTCGTTGCTGGTCGGCTTTTGCATCGTAGGAGTTATGATGTTTTGCGTGGTACAGAGTGCTTCGGAGATGGCGTGCCAATACTCTGTATCTGGGTCTTTCTTAGCGCACACGTCGCGCTTTATGGATCCCTCTTTGGGGTTCACCGCTTCTACTGCTTATTTGCTGGTTTGGCTTACTTCCTTTCCTTCAGAACTGATCGGATGTGCCATTACTCTGCGTTACTGGAACACAAGTGTAAATCCGACCGCATGGGTAGCTATTTTTTACTGCTTCATCATGGCTCTCAACCTGTTTAATGTTCGAGGCTATGGAGAAGGAGAGTTTTGGATGTCTCTTTTCAAGATCTTTGCCATTATAATCTTCATTGTCATTGGTATTGTTCTCATTTGTGGTGGAGGACCACAATCTCACGGTTACATTGGAACCAAATACTGGCACAACCCGGGTTCGTTTGCGAACCCAGTTTTCAAAGGCATTTGTAACACTTTTGTGTCCGCGGCGTACTCTTTTAGTGGTGCTGAGCTGGTCGTTTTAACCGCCTCGGAATCTCGTAAAGTAGAGTCTGTGTCGCGCGCAGTAAAAGGCACTTTTTGGAGAATCATCATCTTTTATCTAACCACTGTGATTATTATCGGATGTTTGGTTCCATACACCGATAACCGCTTACTAGGCGGTAGCAGCAGCGAAGATTTGAGCGCCTCCCCATTTGTAATCGCCTTGAGCGGACAAGGGTCAATGGGTGTTAAAGCGTCTCACTTCATGAACACTGTTATCCTGATAGCTGTGTTGTCAGTGGGCAACTCGTGTGTTTATACGTCCTCAAGAGTGATCCAGTCTTTGGGCGCTTCGGGCCAAATTCCAAGAATTTGCGGTTATATAGACCGGAATGGAAGACCGCTGGTAGGCATAGGTATCTGCGGTGTTTTCGGGTTACTGGGATTTCTGGCTACCTCTGACAAGCAGGACGAAGTGTTCACATGGCTGTTTGCTTTATGCTCTATCTCCTCGTTTTTCACTTGGTTCTGCATTTGCGCCTCTCAGGTTCGTTACAGACTAGCATTGAGGGCGCAAGGCAGATCCGTTGACGAGATTGCCCACAAGTCGATGCTGGGTATTTACGGTGGTATTTTTGGTGCTGTGCTTAATTTCTTGTTGATTGCAGGTAATATTTATGTTGCCGCATTCCCCTTGGGCGAGGCATCAAGCGCAAAGTATTTTTTTGAATACTGTTTGAGTATTCCGATCATGATAGTCGTCTACCTGTTGCACCGCTTGTTCTTTAACAAATATCGGCGTTTCCTGATTCCATTAAAGGAAATCGATTTGGACACCAGCTCCAAGAACACCGATTTGGCCCAGCTTAAACAAGACGCGCTCGACACAAGGGCGAGAATCGCCGCTAGGCCGTTGTACTATAGAATTTATAGATTCTGGTGTTGAGTGTGTTGCATGCGATACGCTCAACCTTTTTGTCCTCTTTATGGTCGCTTAGATTGTATTAATTTTTCTTGCTCAGCAACATGTTACCTGTTGATCCCTCTTGGGTGAAAAGCGTTAAAAGAGCATTTAGCATGGACTCGACATGTTTCTTCAACAAGCTTCCAAGACCTCTTCATAGTAGCGCAAGAAAATTTGATGTATGCACACCACGCAGAGCTAAATTTCGCTCACCTGAAGCTTTGCGGTATGACTGCACGTTCACAAATTGTGTATGTGCAAAGCGTGAAGAAATTGGGTTCTTTACCATAGCGAAATACACCGAAAATACTCTGCGAACACCTGCCTGGGTCGAATGAGACCCGACTAATCTTGCGGGAAAGCACACCAACACTGTGAACTCAACATATGTCTACCAGCTAACAATCTTCCGCAAAAAGTGAAGATTCCATTGAGGCACTGGGAGAATTTCAGCACACATCGGCTGAAAAATACCGAGCGTCTATCCTTCTTGCTAACAGCATCTACAGCTAATTCAACCAATAGGAGTACCCTATTGTTTTGGCACCTTCCGATCAATATGCGAGTAGTTCTCTTCTACATCCAGATTCTTGGGAATTTTAGGGATCGAGCATAGTAATTCATGATGGCCTGCCTTGGACTTCTATTATCAAAGCCCTTTCGTCAGGTTTTTTGTCAAAGGCTCTCATTGTTTGAGATTCTTTATACTGGCCATCACTCTAAATAAATTGGACTTTGATCAAACAATCACATTAGATATCTGATATTATTTTTCGGTAAAGTTGTTACTCTAACTGAATACAGCATAGGAAAACTAAGACAAGCCATTTGAATGACGCCAAAATCTACAAGAGGTAGCTAGAGCTTTATTCTGATAGCTGATGGTTTTAATGGACAATCCAGACCCACTAGCTAGCGATTGGTGGCTCGAGTTCACTTTCCGTTCCATAAGCACAATGTCATGAATAAACTGCGCAACATATAGCAGGCTACTCGTTGAAGGCTTCAATTTTTTCTAATTTGTTGCACGTTTTTGTTAGGAGTCCCTCCGTAATCCCTCCGATCTTTTCAAAACAGCTTATTGGATTTGCAACAGCTCTTGAGATTTTATCCAATGATATCGCTACTATCTTGTGCTACTTTCAGCTGGGAACTCATTTTCCATGGGACTCAGGCAAAAAGCGTGGTGCCATGTCGTGGGTAGTGGTCGATTAAGTGCGGAATAGCGGAACTTTCACAAGACCGGCGTATCTCCTCCTAAAAATGCCACAATTTAACGAAAAGTGGGTTTCGATGCAGTCCCTCCGCGACTGTTTTTTGAACCGTCAAATTGAAAGCATGAAAGCCAAGAACTGCTGGATTTGCCTTCAACCTAGATCGCATGCTAGGGTTCTCTTCTGTTTCCTTTCCATCGTAAGTTCATCTCAGTTTTTTTCTTGGCAGTGCGTAAGGTCCGCATTTAGCATATGCACGGGAAAGGAAGAGAACTGCAAGAACTAGAGCGGAAAACACGGAGGATTTCAACTCCAGAGACAAATGGCGGAGAACAATATAATTACGAGCGATGTGAAGAGGCGCAATGATGATTTTCATTATCCAAAATTCCACTTGATTGGCATGCCAATGGCGGTAATTATACCCAAGGCCGCCAAGGTCCTCGGTGAGCGTAATCTGACATGTAGCGTCTGCATCGACACTATCGCACGGGGCAATGAAAGCAATGCACAGTTGAATAAAAACTCGAATTGCTGGAATGGAAAAGTCAACATTCACACTCCGCTAATCTGCATGATCTTTCTGTTTCTAGCGGCAACAAAATAGAGCGCTCTCCGATTTCTTGGCGTTTTTTGGCACATGAGGTGGAAGACGGACAGTGTGGTGGTAACCTAGAAGCTATTAATTAGAATTGACTGCCGCTGTTGAATATCTGGGAGGAGGTGAGAGCGTTATCGAGCTTGGAGTGTCTGTCAACTGGCGAGAAATGCATGCTATAACAATTCCTATAAATACTGGCAAAATCGGACTAATGAGGTCAAGCAAAACTCGTCTTTCGATTCAAGCTCACAAAGCACTTCAGTATTATAGAAGAGATGTCTGATCCTGGTCCGCTGTATGCTTTGGATGCTATCTTCACGTATGATGCGCTGTTGGATGCGTCCGTATGACTTCCGTATCTTTTGAAAGCTGGCGCGCAGTATGGTAAGGAAGTTGCATGCGCTTCCCAATATGGCGTTAATGTTGTTTTAACCTATTATAAAGATCAGGAACAGAATTTGATTGATTATTTGGAAGAGATCCTCGCGACCATAGGTTATAGCTATTATGTTGCAGAGATAGTCAATGGTGTACCATAGCAAACAACAGGTGTGCCTCTAAATGAAGCCGATTTACAATATCTTGCCTTTGATCAAACTGACATAGCTGGGGCGTGCGCTAACGTCAAGGCCACATGCGATGCAACAGTGTGCGGATCTGGCTCTGGCTCTGGTTCGGGGTATTCGGGCTCTGGTTCAGGTTCTGGTTCTGGTCCTGGCTCTTCTGGATCCTCTGGTTTAAGCTCTCGGGTCCCTCGGGCTCAGGTTCTAAATCTAGTACGGGCCCCTCTGGTTCAGGTTTTTAATTTGGTACGAGCCCCTCTGGTTCGGTCTCCTTGGGTCCCTCTGGTTCTGGTTCTGGTTCAGTATCTTCGGGATCTTCTGGCTCGGGCTCTTCAGGCTCCAACATCGCTTCAAGCTTAGCTTCGATCTCAGTCTCCTCAGTGACTGCACCAGCTTCGGCTCTAGCCTTAGAGTCTGTTACTGCTTCTCCAATAGCGTTCTCTCACTCGATGGGCTATTTTAACATTAGTGAGATCTCCTCGGCATCTGCCCCAGGATATGCTTCGGTATCGGTACCAACTTAGGACTCGTCTCCAGCTTCAACTTCAGAATCTAGTCTACCCCATGGCTTAACAACTGCACCAAAATCTAGCTCAACTTCTGTTTCCGTTACTAATGGCTCAGAGTTCATCAAGAGCTAAGTGAGTTCTTTGCAGTCTGTTTGCGCTTCTAAATTGGGTGCTGCTTCTGCTCCCTGGACCGAATTGCTTGGCACCAAAGCAGCAACTGTCACTAAAGAGTTTCCATTATCGACTACTGTGGTCACTGTAACGTCCTGTGCTGACAATAAATGCTCATAAAGTGCAGTAACGACCGGGGTTATTACTGTTAATGACATAACCACGGAATACACAACGTATTGCCCACTGAGTGGCAAACCAACGTTACCTACTGATATCGCTGGTTATAGCTCTTATAAAGCGGAATTTTCAAACTGGTTGACCAATGGTCCGGCAAGCACTACAAATGAGGTCTCTACTTCTTTGTCAGGCCCTATGACCATGACCACAAGCTTGAGCCTTACATCTACCAATTCAAAGGGAAATTCAACACCTGCAACAAATGATGTTGATGTTTCAGCTAGCAAGACCGGAACTAGCTCTATGAACGTGGTGTCTGTATCCTCAGCTACTGATTCCACGTATTCGCTTGCGACTTCCACGGGTAATTTTGGAGGAAAAGTTGTTATCTCAAAGGCTTCTTTCCTGGCAGCTTCTGCACTACTAATTTTGTGAGATATCCTCACTACTTTGTCGAACTTCTGAATTTGTACAGATCTGTACTCTGTACAACATAAAAGGCTTAATAGGACTGGTATGTATTTCCACCTAATCCTTAGCATAAGCTAAGGATTAGTACTTGGCGAAAGTAGAGTAAAGCATTCAAATTTCAAGCATATGCTTCAACACTTTGAAGGGTACCGGTAAGTGGTACATTTCATTTCTTGTCAAAAGCTCAAAAGTTACTACACCTACTCTGAGCATATTGTGGGTGAAATTGTCAAAGCTTACCTCCAAAAATGTGACAGTTTACATCGCATTAGGTTTAACGCTGAGAGGTCTAGATTATCACTTCATGCTCAAAAATAGCTAGTCGACTCATGGGCTGGTTCGGGCTTCGCAACTGCCAACAACTTTTGATTGAAGGTTGAAAGAAAAGAGCCAGAGCGTTTTGTTTAGCAGACGTACGCATCAAAACAATGCGATTTTCCTTAATAAGATATATTCCCAATTTATAAACAGTATCTAAAATTTAAAGCCTTGTCTCCCTCCCTTTTGATGCCTGTATCTGTTCGCTCATCCCTCAGCTTCGAAGCTCTTCTACTATTGATTGTGGAGAATGCGATGATCTGAAATACAACCAAAATGCTCGAAAAGACAACACAGCCCAAAGCGAATGAATTTCCCAGGACATATGGTGGTTTGATGTAAACTTGGCCTGCTATTGCACCTGCTAAGTTGCCAAATGTTTGACTCAATCCAATCGCAGTGGCACGTTTGTAATGGGGAGCGATGTTATTTGATACCCATGTAACGTTGAGCCCCGGCCCAGTATAAGCTGAAAAAGTCATCAAGTAGCAAGCAAAGTACTTCACACCATTGCTTTTCACCGTGAGCATCAAAACATAACCGACAATGGATACTATGTTGAAGCCCAATATAAATGGTCCTCTCAAGTTGTAACGATCACTGAAATATGCAGAGCTCAGGAAAACAATTGCTGCAAAAATGTAAATGGGAACGCTCATGTATTGTGCTTCTCTCGAAGTGTAGCCCATTCCAAGTTTTAAAGTCGCTGGAAGAAATGTTGTTAAGGCATATAAGATCATATTTTGGCAGAACTGAATCAACAGACCTGAGTAAACTTTGAAATCCAGTAGTGCATTCCAAACAAAAGTCCAGCTAAAGTCTTGCTTTTCTCCAACATACTGAAGGCGCTGCTTTGATCGCAGCTGTAAAAGTTCTCTTTCCCTATCATTCAAGAAATCAGGATTTTCCACATCTTTTGGAAGACCCAAATATATCCATACCGCTGCCGTCACAGAAATGAGCCCTTCGATGATATACAACCACCTCCACCCATTAAGACCGGCAGCGCCACGGACTGTTGCCAAACCTGTTGCAATCAAACCTCCAAAAGCGCCAGAAAGCGCAGCACATCCGAAGAAAAATGCTATTCTCTTGGCTTGCTCATCTGGCTTGTAAATCATGCTGACTAGCAGCACCATGGCCGGGAAATACCCACCTTCAAAAGCTCCCAGAAGCACTCTAAGAGCTATCAAAGAGTGATATGATTTCACAAAGCCACTGCAAAGGGTTATTATCGACCAGCAAAACACCATTGCAGACATGAAATATTTAGGAGGAAAAGCTCGGAGATACAACGTAATCGGTACTTGTGCTACCAAAAATGTTGAATATAAAACTGAAACGGCATTTGAATATTGTCGAGAGGTAAGATCCAAGTCTTCTTTCATCCCCGAGGTGTAAGCATTGCCTATATTGGTTTTGTCGAGAGATTGAAGAAAATATGCAAATGCTAACACAGGTAAGAACCTTCGATCGAGTTTTCGCACCAAAGACTTCTCTTCTTCCACATCTATTATCAAGCTTTCAGAGATTTCCTGGGATTCATCAGAACCAGAGACTATGCACAGTTGGTCTTCCTCGTTGCTCTGAGCGCTCGAGTTTTTCAAGGGACTGCTTTCTTCGACTGTGTAAATCCCAAGATCATTTTTGACTCTCAAAAGTTCTTTCATGATCTCAACAGAAGTAAAAGCTAATAAACCGAACGTTTCAAGTATAACGTGGAGCCTTTAGAGACTGTGTCATGCATGTGTGTTCTTTCGTCTTTTCGTCGCATTACAATGGCTGGTGACATATATATATAAATACACAGGTGAATGAATGACAAAAAACCAATGAACACGTTTGCGGAACCAAAGCATCCGGGAGGAAAACAGCGGAACCAGAAAAGGGATTGCACACTGGGACATGCAAGCATATATATACAACTAATGATCCGCCTGCCAACTTGAAAAGCGTGAGGTGAGTTGATGCAGACCACGGCGTTTATGAGCTTGGTGCGTTATACTTATTTACCCTATCGTGACAATTTTGGAATATTGTAAGTGGGCTAATCATGAGCAGCTTGATTCCGAAAACGATCCTCAAGGGCCCAGTTCATCAAATAATTTGTGGGGATTGAGTCCTTTTTGTTTAGTCCTTTCTGAGCATAAGATTTGACTATAACCAACGTCCGCAACGCATCCAATGTCCTTTTTTCAGTGTTCCAAGTTTAGGTTATTCTTTGGCGGAAAGTAAAGCTTATTTGGGTCTCTCAATTGTGAAATATGGCGAGCTTCACAATAATCATCAGAACTATGCGCACGGATCGACATCTTAGTCTAAACCTGGTACTTTCAAGACCACGTTAAATCCATGACTTAGATCGCACCTGAATCTAGCAACATGCGAATATTATTTGAACAAGCTCGAATACTCAAGAAGGCTTGTAGGGGGTGTTTTTTGTGTTTTGAAGGTTGTATGAATGCTCAGCTTTCAAACAAGACTGATAGCACACCGGACTCATTGTGTGCTCGTGCTTCCAAACACTACAAATGTCAGTTGTGGTTGGTCTTATACGAGCTTCAAAGGTGAAATACTAAACGAAATGTTTGAATGTTTGTTTCTTCATCATGGGGTCCTTCTGTTCCACATTATGCTAGACGCTGCCTCATTATGGTGGATCTCTTGAGCACTGAACATAGTTTTTGATTTCACTAATGTAGTATTGATTGACAAAAGCTGGGTTTTGGCATTAAATCACACCTTTTGAGAAAGGATCTTAATATTGACACAACTTTTCAGAGGTAACATGAGCAGTCCCTTATAAATCGAATCCAATTATTTCGTTTTGTGACTTCAATAGATCTGTCGGAGCAAGAAAATCTCTGTAATGGGTGTGCTCAAAGACTCAAAAGATAGAAGTAAAGTTATCAGCTGCCGGAACAATATGATGAACGAATTGGCCATTGCCTTGGCTCCATTGCATGAAGTAATAAAATCAACGAAGCTTATGATCAGGTGTGGGTGTGTGGATGATTGAATCACAGGGACAACTGAGAGGGTGTTTATCAACAGTCGATGTTGCGACTTCACCCTGTCGCTAGAACATAGGGCTGTCTGAGCTGTATCAATTGCTCCATGGAAAGAATTTGTATCTGTGGAAATTATCAAAAACTGTGGTTTGTCATGCCTATGGTAAAAAGGTGGTTGATTTCGGGTCGCCGCTTGCTTTGCAACCTTCTAGGTCGCAGTTGCTTCTATCATTACAGGAAACTTAATACTCGAAGCTTTGTACTGGCTTGCGCTTCCGTCCACGCATCCTTTTCGTGCCCATTTTATGGCTGTTGAAGAGTGCAACAATCTATTAACGTATCAAGTAGAGTTTTGAACAGGAAAGAGATGATCACAACAGCAATAAGTGTTTTCAAGTACAATGCTCTGTCCGTTGATGCCCTTGTGAGAATTTGATGCGATATCCGCGACAGCAATACAGCACCTAGTGTTGTCAATAACTCAAGCGCGACACCTCTGGATTCGATGGCAATTGATATCATAGGCAAAACATTTGACAATTCACTATGTGACACGCCTTCCTGTATGCAATCAGCACCTTTGGAATCGTGTGAAAATCCACCTTCGGCGGCTATGATTGTCACGAAGGCACAAAAGCTATGTAGCATTATACACTTATTGCACATTTTCTATACACTTGTCCTTACATTACTTGCTTTCTTAATGCTGTATTTTTGTGGAAGAGTTCAAAGGAGTTTTAACCGCCCTTCTTGTAATTGAATAGGCACAATTGTCATGTCACATTGCTCGAGGAACAAGTGCCCGTTGACAGTGATATAAATGGTCTGTTATCCACAGCACTCGGACAGCCTGAGTATAGATCGGGGTCTTGCTCCTTCTTTCTTTGGTATCGCGAGTTGGTAAATCACTGATGTCAGGGACTAGATCGCACTAGTGTGCAGAGGCCGCAAAGACTGTTACACCTGGTTTTTCCATTACCGTAAAAATGATAGTTTCGTTAGAATTTACATGATACTACAATCGCCGCCACCACCTCTGGCACCTCCAGATCTAGCGGCATATTCCCTCATCATTTGCTCCCGTCTTTGTTGCAATGCTATACTCGCTTGTGTTTCTGCGCTTGTTTTCGCTGTGTAGCCAGCCATTTGTGACGCATCCATACGTACGAGCTTGTAAGAAGAACCACCACCTCTCACAGAACCACCTTTGTGAGATGTTTCTTGAATGACAACTTTGGTGTACGTGTTTTTCGGCAGCGCGCTGACTGGAACCCATTTTCCGCCAGTTTTCAAACCGGCATTACCCCCGCCACCACGCACCGATTTTGGCACGCGACTCGAGGAACTTGAAGCGCCAGTGCTTTGCGTTTTTCCAGAGGCATGTCCTTCCGAAGAGGGCCTTCTAAGAATTGACGAGCTAAACCTGAAAGAGCCGCTTGAAGTTGTGTAATGGCTTCGTTCCGAAGAGCCACCAGACCGGAGAGAGATGGGCTCTTGAGAGAAATCGCTCTTATTCGATGATTCGTTACTAGTCGTTGTAGGTTGCCTTTCCAGTACCGCTGGAGGTTCTAAAACCATGCTAGATATCTCATTGTCAACAATGACAGGATCTATGCCGAATTGTAGCATGGTGTTCGATAAGTATAGGTAAAGTCTAAGCCATACGTTTTCGAGTTCTCTTGTCATATCGTATCCAAAGCGGTCTCGAAGCGTCTTCATGAAGCCCGCGCCGGCCACGCGGAAATGAACGGAACACACGCCAAGGATTCTCGAATGGCGTTTTCCAAGACCACAAAGATACTCGTCTAGCACGGAAAGGTCTTCCAGGTTGTCGACCGCTGCTGTTAAGACGCCCGTGACAGCGGTTGCAGCGTGATTGATGGTTGGGAAGGCATCCTCGATCTCGGGAGCAAATTCTAAAATGTTTGCAAGAAACTGTGTACCGAATAGGAAGCTGGAAAAGACACCATCGCCCGCAATGGCGCCCAGTTTGGCGTTCTGTACTCTCTTTTTCGGTTTTTTTAGAATATTGTTAATAAAATCGTCGTATTTCTGTTTGGAGCACTCGTTGTCGAGCAATATGGACCACGAGCTACGCGCAAGCTCGGTTTCTCGCGGCTTGAGCGTCATGCTCATCTTGTAGCGCTTGCCGAATAGAAGTTTGCACGGCTTGGATGTGTTACCAGCAGTACTGTTCCGTGGTTCGTCTTCGGACGCATCAAAACAAGAATGACTGATACTGGAAGCCTCAGGCGAGAGTTCTTCGGTGTAGGCGTCCAACAACGATCTTGGGTATGAAGTGAAATTGGAAAATATGGATTCACGGGGGGATCTAAACGCATGCAAATTCTCCATCTCGGATCTCTCCACCTCGAGCTGGGCAGGTCCTTTGCCGGGCGACAATACATTAATTTGTGACGGCGATCTGGCCACGGACATGAGTATTGACACGGAAATGGAAAGTCTGTTGTATTCTAGCTTGTTGACCTCGAAGCGCCAAGCATGGGAGAAATGAAAATGCGCTTGATTGAGCGGTCTTGGCAATGGCAAATCAAACGCTTAAAAGAAAACCGTCGACGATCCTAATGCTCCGTTGATCTGTTTCTTCACAAAACATATATATATATATATATGTACATGTATGTATGTATGTAAGATTCATCAATAGAGCTTCAAAATCTATAGTTGTCACCAGACAGTTGGCTCGAGACGCATGTTGGCGTGGCAAAACAATCAGGACGTAACGTTCCGCGGTAGTTTCTGAGACTTTTTTTACCGTCACATACCAGAGAAACGGTGTTCAAACGGTTCGGAGTGGCTACCAGAACGTTAATGGACCTGATAAGATTAGACAGAAACACGCTTGTGTACAAGTGATGATAAGTAGAGCAATTGTTTTAATTTGAGAGGCGCGCGGCACAACTAGTTTCGATAGCGGACTTAAGTAGCCGAAATGCCAGTGTGCGAGTGAAGAGACCGTCGTTTATAGACACACTACGATCTTGCGAGTGCTAAAGGCCCTATTTGCACGATAAGGCTCGAGCCTATCTCTGTATCTACTATAGAAAAAAACGAGATGGGAAAATTCGGCTTATGTCAGCAGCTCTTTGACCTTCCCTGCGAAAAGAAAAATGAAAAGATGAGTCACGTGCCTTGGTGGAAGGGGTAAAAGGAAAAAAAGGAAAGAAAATTCAAAGTTCTTCATTTTTTGGGGGGGGGGGGGTTATTTACATATCACGTGCTCATTTGATACGTTTTGTGTCACGTGAATATGGTGTGATTTGCGCGTGATGTGTTTGATGTGTTCGGCGAAAGCCGTGTTTTCATGTCTCTCTCTCTCTCTCTCTCTCTCTCTCTCTTTTTTTTCGGGTCTTTTTCTGTTACCTTCACGCGTGGCGCCCTCGTTGCTCCGCTTTTCCGAACCACCGATCTTTTTACCAAGTAACTTAGAGAGGCTGGTTTTTCCGGCGTACGGTCAACTTTCGTATTTCTCCGATTTATGCACAAACGTGGGGTCCGGGAAATTTCCAATTGTGGCTGTTGCTGGGACAACCACAAGCAGCGCTCCCCTCAGAAAGCCGCGCGCTCTCGGGGGTCACATCGGTCCGGTTTATCCTTTGTTCCTGCACCCCACAAAAATTAAAATATTAATTTCTCCGGCCGGCCCCTTGCAGCCCAACCGAAAAGAGAACGATTTTTTTCTCCACAGATTGTTCCGTGTGTGTCTACCCCAACTTTCACTGCATAAACAACGGAAAAGGAAAGACCCTATGATGGAGCAGTTTCTCCAGATTCTATCTGCATCAGGGCCTTCCTCGACCGTTGAGTAGCCAGCCAAATGCGAAACGCGGGGTACACGGATGCTGGGGAACAAACGACAACTACGAGTGGTGGGCTTTGTTTACCGCTCTAGCGTAAAAGTGCGGGGTCGGTACGTCATCAGTTAATTCGACTTGAATTTCAGCTATAAAAGCCATGCTTGAGCTACCCTGTGGATCTCAATTTGATGCAGTCTCGACTTTCTGCTAGATCTGCTTATATCTTTATATCGTACTGCAACTGGAACAACTTAGTTCGGAACAACTACACTCGTTCAGTAATACACCTAAACCCTTTTAAACATCCCTACACCCACCATGGGTATTTTGCAGACCCTCTTTAAGGCCGACGAGGACGTCTACGGCTCTAAGTTCAGGGCTATCTCCATCGGGCTTTTCGTCGCCTTTGGCGGTGTTTTGTTCGGTTACGACACAGGAACCATTTCCGGGATTCTCGCTATGAAATACGTTAAGGGGAACTTCACTGATCGCGGCCACTTCACCGCAGGCGAAACTTCGCTGATAACTTCCATTTTGTCTGCAGGCACCTTCTGCGGCGCCGTCTTTGCACCCCTGATTTCCGATACTTTGGGCCGCCGGCTCGGCCTAATGGCATCGACCATCATATTCACCGTCGGAGTTATTTTGCAAACCGCTGCTTCCGAGCAGAATCTATTGATCGTTGGAAGAGTGATTGCCGGTCTCGGCGTTGGTGTGCTATCAGCAATCGTTCCATTGTACCAGTCCGAAGCTGCCCCCAAATGGATTCGTGGTGCAGTGGTTTCGTGCTATCAATGGGCCATCACCATCGGACTGTTGCTAGCCGCTTGTGTCAACCAGGGCACCCACGCCCGCAACGACAGTGGCTCGTACCGTATTCCTATCGCGATTCAATTCCTATGGGCCCTCATCATGTTTTTCGGAATGCTCATGCTTCCTGAATCACCACGTTTCTACGTCAAGAACGGCAAACTGCCAGAAGCGGCCAAGTCCTTGTCCACGCTAAGAGGTTTGCCCGTAGACGACAAATTCGTGGAAGCAGAGTTGGAAGAGATTGTCGCTAACTACGAATACGAGAGATCATTTGGATCCACCACAGTCATGGACTGCTTCAGACCCGCCAACCACCAGCTCAAGCGTATACTCACCGGTATTGGAATTCAGGCTCTCCAGCAACTCACGGGTATCAACTTCATCTTCTACTATGGTACCCAATTCTTCCAAAACTCGGGCATCAAGAACCCCTTCATCACGCAGCTGATCATGAACATCGTTAACGTGGTGATGACCATCCCAGGTATTGCCCTTATCGAAATCGCAGGCAGAAGAAACCTTTTGCTATGGGGTGCCGTTGGTATGTGCGTCAGTGAATTCATTGTTGCAGCGGTTGGAACCGCATTGCCACACAGTAATGCTGCCAACAAGACACTAATTGCGTTCTCGTGCACTTTTATTGCGTCGTTTGCGGCTACCTGGGGTCCATTGGCCTGGGTCGTTGTCGGTGAAATCTACCCATTGAGAGTGCGTGGTAAGTCTGTCGCATTCTGTGCAGCTTCCAACTGGCTGTTCAACTTCGCCATCGCATACGCCACACCCTACTTGGTGGATGCCGACCGTGCCAACCTACAGGCCAAGGTATTCTTTATCTGGGGCGGTTGCACCTTCCTATGCTACCTCTTCGTCTACTTTTTCATCTACGAGACCAAGGGTCTCACTTTGGAACAGGTCGACGAGCTATACGACACCTGCCCAAATGCCCGCCAATCCAGAAACTTTGTTCCATCTCAAGGTTTTGCCCACGACTCCCCAGATGCCGAAAAGGCGGTTGTGGAAGCAGTCGAAAAGGTTTGATTTTCGACCTTGCGGAGTCAAGAAAAAGATTCCCTGTCGTAGCCATCCGTTCATATTAGACGACTGCGTCGTCAAATTACGGTTATCGACATGGCATAATGTTATGAAAGTACCACTGAATAATTGCGTGACGGGGGTATTTTAACGAATAAGTAGTATTTTTCTTTAGTTTTAATGAAAAGATAACGCTAAGTAATGTCGCAGCTTCATCGACGATGCCAATTCCAATTATAGTGACGCTGTAAAATTATCATGCATGATCAATTCCGGGTGGGCTCAAAGAAATGTCGTTGTGATTTTTCATCAGTTCTTAACCCATAAAAGCCTGTAACTGCTCAACTACCTGAACTTGCTTGACCTCTATCACTGAGTGGGCGATGCTTATATTTTTAGGTCACGTGATCAATTATCAATTCTTACTGTGATCCCTCATATGTAAACTGAGCTCCCTTGGAACCAACACCAGTTCAATTCGCGAGTACTTATAGAAAGGCAAAACTACTGTCGGCGGTGGAACTTAGTAAGAAGTCCCATCGCATCCGCGAGATCTTAGGATACACGTTCGTGTGCCATTTAGAAGACTCTGCTGCTCTGGTTCGCAGCTTGTAATCTAAGTCTCAAACGAAACCACTTTTGAGCATCAAAGATGGCCTCCTGGTTTACGCATAACCTCCAAAGACGTCTGCTGCTATATTTCATACAGAAAATATCGCTATTTTCACAAATCGACATAGCTGCTCTCGAAGTATCACTCGGTTCCAGCTCACATTTCGCATTTCACGATCTGGATTTAGACGTTGATAGCATAGATCTTCCGGATGTGGTCATAAGAAGCGGGTTTCTGAAGAAGCTGGATTTGCAGCTGACCGTTAGTGGCGGGCTTAGCGTTGCAGCATCTGGTGTCGCATTCGTGGTGAAGCCTAATTTCTCGAAAGCGTTCGATGCTCAAACATCAAGCCTTTTTCTTACGAAAACCGTGTATGACCTGACAAGCTCTGTGATGCATCTTGATGGAAGTAAGGATGGATTCCCCGATGATGACTCCATACCAGATGACACTAGTGAGAGTAGCAACAAGGGTCAGGATCCAGGTGAGGCAGCGGCGCCATCCATGCTACAATCCATGCGCAACAAGGCATTGGACCTAATATTATCAAAGCTCTCCATGACCCTGAGCAATATCAGCATAAAGTTCTTGTTTTCAGCAGAAAACACTGTAGAACTCACAATTGAAGAACTCGTGTTTTTATCCGCAAACGAGACTCGCAACATTAATATCTCAGGGCTGGCCCTGCATCATTTCAAACAGACGAGAAAAAGACAGGAGGAAAGTGAGCCTTCGAATCCAGAAGCTTCCATGTCAGAGTCCTTACTATATTCCAAAGCTGAAGCCACTTCAATCTACATGAGTGCTATTCAAAGCATGCAGGAAGTTGCTGAAGCGGAAACACCTACTGCTGGTCAGAAAGGCTGTGTGGAACTTTTGACAATCAATGATTTCAAGTTTTCTTTCAAAGGTTTCGCGTCTATCGACGACATTTCCGTAAGGGACGCTGAAGTTAGTTTCGACCGGTGCAGAGTAAATCTCCACCGGGTATTGGAACTTGGTGAACCTGTCATTATTCCCTTGATAACGATTTTATTAAAACGACCCAAGGACGATATGGGTTCGAAGAATGCGGTAATGCCTCAAAATCTTCGCGGCTACAAAAGATTCAAAGAGGAACAAGATCTTCATGAGGACAACCACTTTTCCGCCTTCAGCGGCAATGAAATCAGGATATGTATAAGTGATACGCTGAGCCTTACAACAAGAGGTATCTCTATGAGAATGAGTGACCACCAGGTCCTTCAAATTGAGCTAAATGCTTTTCATGCTTCTCATAACGGCTCAGTGATACTTGAGGTAGTCAGACCTCTCGGCCACTCGGTAATTGAGGGCTCCTACGCGTTGGCTACGGGAGATATCACGGTCAGAATAAACGGTGACACCAATTTTGACGTTGAAATTGATTCTGCTCGTGAATTACTCAGGTGCTACTTATTCCTGACAAAACAATCCGATATTTGGCTACAAAATCTAACCAAAGGACTCAAAAAGAAAGGCAAATCCGCTAATCGTGCGACATTGAAGGTGGATGGGAAGCCATTAAACCTAAGTTTTCACTTCGATGGTGCCGCTTTAAGGCTCTCAACAACCGACTACTTCATAAATCTTCCATCGGTTTTGTTCTCGTGTAACGCAGTGAAGCTGGAACTGCAAGATCCAAATGCATTAGTAGACCTGCTGAGCATATGCAATGTGAACATCAAAGGCCGTTCCGACCCTTTGCAGCACTCTTCATTTAATCATGGATTCGATGAGGTTATCCTTTCTTCGAAGTGCGAAGCCTTTGTCAAGGTTATCAAGCTTTACGCTACGACCGAAATTATTGAAAAAGTGTTATCCAAAATTCATTCCATTCAGTCTGAGCTCTCCCAGGTATCTACTGAGTTTGGAGTGGTGAAGTCTACTGGCCCCAAATCTCCAAGACATTTGAAAAGAAGCGTTCGTATTATGGGGTCTTCCTCATTCATCAACAAACAAAGCTCTGCTGTGCACTTTTTAGTTGAGGTGGAAACCATCGAAGGGATTTTAAATGGTTGTTTGGATCCGTCCTTTGGTGGTTTGGCTGCAACTGGGAAAAATTGCTTTCTGTATTACAATGAAGACCGCACCTGTACAGGTTACGTCAAAAGTCTTGAAGTTTACAGGACCTTGGATGGCAAACGCGAGGTAGTCATAGAACCCGCGTACCAACAAGGTTCACAGACTCCTGTTATGACTTTTCATAGAAAATTGAGTGGTAAACTTTGCTGCGCCTTCAGAAAAGTTAGTGTTCACTATCGTGCACGGTGGCTCAAATTTCTGTCAGATGCAAAAGGGCCAGCAACACCATCGCCTTCCGCTTGCGCCACCCCGACAAGCACCGGCGGACAGCCCACTATATTAGAAATCAAGCTGATTGAGTGTGCATTGCACTTAAGTCCTTACAGACTCAAGGCCCAAATGGTCCTGATAATTGGAAAATGTGCAATGGATTTGAGGTTGCCTACAATGAATCTCAAGGGAAGTTTAAGGGCCGGCTCCCTTCTTCTGATTGATGACATTGCTAATTTCAAATCAAGAGCGAGTTTCCAAGAGGTTTCTAATTTGACCCCGTACTACACAGAACGAGGATTTGCGAACATTGCAAAATTTGATAGATTCCATTTCTCTAGTCAAAAGGACAGCGAAGGACTGGAGGCTACGGTAAATATAGGAACAGCCTCTCTCTCTTTGTGTGCCGATTCATTACAAACATTGGTTCAGCTCTCCGTGGATTTAGGTATTCCTATAAGCTTCCCAGATGCGGAGAAATACAGAACAAAACCACCGCAAGTTGACGTCTTTAACAATGTGGATGAGAACTTTTTTACGCAACAGAAGCTTCAAGTGGACCCTTCAGCCAAACAAGTTGGTGATATCTCAACAGCTGATGAACTATCAAAAGCTTTTTTCGATAACGCTATGGAATTTGTTGTACTAGACAACAGTTCTACTTCCAGTGATAAACCTGTGTCACTATTAGGTGCCCAAGACAGCTACTTTGATACTAAAAAAGATCATCATGCTGACTCACACATCCCCAATGCTATGCCACACGCAAAAGTATCCTTGCATCTAAGTCTGGAGCGAGCAACTATCAAACTTTATGATGGGTTCGACTGGGCATACACTCGAAAGTCAGTCTCTGATTTAATTTACCAGGTCGAAACGGCGTTGGAACATCAGAACTCATCGCGTCAGGAAACTATCAAAGCCTCGGTTTTCGACTCTATTTATCTATTTGCTGGTGCTGACGTTAGTCCCAGTTCCTTGAGACGGCAGATTAATAAGGACTTACAGACTGAATCAAGCATTACAGTTGGCTCAACCAAAAAGTTGAGGTTGCGACCCTCGACAAATTATAAAATCAGAATCGAAGCAACTGGCATGAAAATAAATGTTCTGCGCTACAACGTCGACGAACCCACGGAAGCGACCTCGGATCTATCTGCTGATATTCTCAACGACATCGGTCTCTCCGTAGAAAACGTGGAAGTCATTGACAATCTCCCTACCTCCACATGGAATAAGTTAGCTACTCACTGGAAACATGAACCCCGCGCTAAGGGCTCGGACATGATATCCGCCAATATCATGACCGTGAAGCCTATTGATTTTTTGGCAGCTACAGAATTGATTCTGAAAATAAAACTTCTCCCACTGAGGTTGCATATCGACCAGGATGCATTAGACTTTCTTACGCGCTTTTTTGAGTTCAAGGACTCACGCTTTGAGCTAATAGACGAATACCCTGACTTCGTTTACATTCAGAAGTTGGAAGTTGAAGCAGTCAAGATAAAAATGGATTATAAGCCCAAAAGCGTTGACTACTCGGTGTTAAAGTCTGGCCACAAAAGCGAGTTCATGAATTTTTTCATTCTTGAAGGCTCCGAGCTGCAGCTGAGACACCTCATCGTGTATGGAGTGAATGGATTCCCTGAGCTCAATGAGATCTTGAACGGAATTTGGGTACCCGATATAACTGGTCGCCAACTGAAAGGAATACTCGGCGGTGTCGCCCCTATGAAAACAGTGGTAACTTTGGGAACAGGAATGAAAGCGTTGGTGTCAACACCAATTAAAGAATACAAAAGAGATCAGAATCTGAGTAGAGGGCTGCAAAAGGGAACTCAAATTTTTATCAGAGTCACAGCAAGTGAGTTTGTACGTCTGGGAGTGAAGCTTACGTCAGGCACGCAGGCTTTACTGGAGAATGTGGAGGAGGTTTTAGGAGGACAAGGTTCGCAGGCTCGAAACCACAAGCTTAAAAATGTCGACTTAGAAATAATATCAGAGGACGCTTTCAAGAAATACGAGAAATTAGTAGGTGGTCAAAATCCGAAAGCAAGCAGCCAAGAGCCGGAAGTCTTATTTTTTGAGCCTGGTGCAACAGAGGGCGATGCACCGAGGATACTCAGTCTCTATGCTGACCAGCCTTCATCGCTGAAACAGGGCCTAAAGGAAGCTCAGGGTTCGTTCGGTAAAAACGTAACGTTGGCATATGAGGCCATCCTCAAAGCCCAGCGTGACATTAAAGAGAACGCCAACGCGCATGAAACTGCTTCGACACTCGCGCGCGTGGTTCCTGTAGCTTTCTTGCGGCCCATAATTGGTGCTACTGAGGCGCTTTCGAAAGCATTGCAGGGGATGTCGAATGAAATAGACGAGGAACAGATGGCGATGCTCAAGGACAAGTACAAATCAAGGAAATAACTGCTTAGAATAACTTGAGAATGAAATCCGTTCTCATCAAATAAATAGCTCCCCGGCAGGTTCGAACATAAGACTGAGCTGCAACTCACTATATACGCACAATGTTTCATTTCATCAGTCAAAACACCAAATTTCAGTCGCCAAAATACCGTCAACATCTCATCTGAAAAGGTGCATAACAACCACTTTTGAAGGCCATTGACACTTGTTGGAACCAATAGCATTTCCCCCGCTGTTCTGGGCAGTCTGTTAAGATTAGAGCTTGGCCGCATTTCATCAAAACTTTCTGAGTTCTGTTTTAGTAGCGCGAAAGTTTCACTCTACTGAGAACTCGAGACAAACACATCAACCCGGTCTCAAAGGATGGAGGTACCGCCTGTTCGAAGCGATGCAACGGCTGACCATACAAAATTTAGCGAAGCAAGCCAGCAAAGACCGTATCTGGGACCACCCCGGCAGAGCTCGCGCAATCCCAAAACATGTGCACGCTGTAATCAGATTATAATGCGCGGGTCTCTTAAGGCACTAGGAAAATACTATCACGAAAACTGTTTTGTATGCCACGATTGTGGAAAAGTGTGCAAGCCAAAGTACTTCCCATTTGAAGATCCAAAAACGAAACAGCTGATACCATTGTGCCAGCAGGATTATTTTAAACGTAACAACCTGTTATGCCATGTATGTGGCCATGCACTAAGAGGAGTCTACTACAATGCTTTCGGAAAATTATATGACGAAGAGCATTTTTGTTGCAAGATCTGTAAGGAAAGATGTGGAGTGAACACCTGCTTCAATTACAAGGACGATCTTTATTGCAAATTTCACTTCCTGAAGTACTTTTCAAATCGATGTAAGGGTTGTAACTATCCTATATCGGACCAATACATCGAATTTCCCCGGGGTGAAGAAGTACACCGTTGGCACCCGGAGTGCTATGGCGTTCACAAATACTGGCACGTCAACTTGCCTCCCGAAGCGGTCGGACTACAACAGATTCAGGTCGCGGATCCCGAGAACATCTCCGAATCTGAAAAGCACGGCATAAGTCGTGCTGATCTGGAAAGGTCTGTAATTTCTTTCAGCAAGCTCGTATCCAAGACGTGGTCTGTGCTCTATCGATTCGAAGAGGAAACAGCTGTGTGTGTATCTGACATGTTTCAGTATTTGACAAGTTTCGATCAGTTGAAGGGCCTTAATTCTGCTGCTCTTTTTGTTCTCAAAATTGAATGTCAGTTCAAGGCGCTAGATTCTTTAGAGTCTCTTTTCGCTCATAGTACGTTTGATGGCGTGCTACTCCACAATGGTACAAATAATCAAGACCAGGACTTAAATCCAGTGGACCTAGGCTCAGGATCACTAATAAAATATGCGAAACTACCCCGTAACCTATCCACGAAAGTCATGATCTATCTCCAACTCCTGCGAAAGCTGAGTTCCGCATCAAAAGAAAGGGACGTGAGCGTATCGTCCCTCATGTCAGTGATTACTGGTGTTGCTCATTTTTTAAAGCTGCTGGTTCGATATGGGTTACAGATCGCCCTCGATAGAAACAAGTCAGCGCACTCGGCAAACGCCCTGATAAAGTACCTGCGTGAGATCGAAAAAAACGAAATTATTGAAGGCGAGCCCTTTAGATTCATTAATGTCGGTATCGATGCTACTGATTGCTGCCCGGTGTGTGGTAAGTACATTCAAGAGGAGTGCATACAGTTCAAAAACATCAGATGGCACAAAACCTGTTTTCAATGTTCCGCATGCGAGAAGGATATCGATTCATTTGGAGTTGCAGACGCAGCATTTAACAGCAAGACCAAGTCTGTGTTGTGTGCACAGTGTGCCGTGGGCGATCCGGAGTCTTCCACGGGCTTCTCCCCTGTAACAAAACTGTCACAGCTTATTTTTCTTCTAAAGATCGCTCTTGTTCGGTCTAAGGCTGTGATGGAAATACAACTGAAAAACAGAGAAACGCTCAAGCGCTCAAATAGTGTTAAAGAATCGATTTCCATGCAACAAACTTATATCAGAACACTAAATGATATCAAAAGATTGAAGTCTAGAAGACAGAGTGTTCCACTCACTACCACTAATAAACAAGAAGCACGCCGGTCGCGCATTCTTGAAACGTCTGAGATGGACATCAAAGAGAATATACCTGAAGAAAAGTCCCTTGTTATTCAAACCGATAAGAGCACAGGGCGCGAAACTGAAAACCAAAACATGTTCAATAGCACTAAGACCTTGACGCTGGATGATATATCCCGTATTGTGGCAGCTGAGCAAGCGAGGGAACTAAGGCCTAATGCATTTACGCATTTTAAAAAGCTGAAAGATAATGATGAGGATGAAATTAATCTCGTTAACAATAAGAGTGGGGTATACTATTCTGAGCTAAAATCTGAAGATCAATATTTGATAAAATTGATCTCCCTGTCTTTGATAGATTTACATGCCGGAAGCGTCATCGGCGACACATCTGTCGTCAACAGGCTCGTTCCACAGCCGCCGCAAAGGAACCAAAAAAGTACGAACAATTTTTGGTCAAAAATGAGGACAATAATGAGTAAGGACGGCAAAAGACATTTAGCGACTGGTGTCTTCGGTACGTCCCTGGAATTACTGACCATGCAATGGGGTGCAGACTCTGAACTGGGCATTGGCCCTGCAAAAATCAAGATACCTATTATTGTCGATGAGCTGATATCTTCTTTGAGGCAACTCGATATGTCAGTAGAAGGTGTTTTCAGAAAAAATGGTAATATCCGAAAACTGCGAGAATTGTCCACTGCTATTGACGAGAGCCCTTCGGAGGTTCCTGACATCTCCAAAGAAAATGCGGTTCAGCTTTCGGCGCTGCTGAAAAAGTTCTTGAGAGAGCTTCCAGACCCACTTCTAACGTCAAAATTGTACGACTTATGGATTCAGGTCGCGAAGGTTGAGTCAGATCTTGAAAGGCACAAGTATTTTGGACTTTTGTATGCATTATTGCCCACTTTCAATCGAAACGTGGCAGAAGTGCTCTTTTCATTTTTGCACTGGACGTCATCGTTCTCTCACATCGACTCTCAAATGGGCTCCAAAATGGATATTCACAACCTTTCCACGGTAATGGCTCCAAATATTCTCTATCAGCAAGGCACAACCAGTAACCAACCTACGGTGCACGGTGGTGCGATTCATAACACGTACAATGATGCCTTTGCTCAAAACGAGGGCGAAAACTACTTCCTCGCCATCGAAGTCATTGACTATCTTATTAATCACAATGAAGACTTAGCAGTTGTACCGAAGTACATGGTCGCACTTCTTGAAGCTGTGAAGAAACAACAGTCGCCAGATTTTGAAATAGTTAAGAAAATTGTGGCGAGTCAGAGCACATCTAATGGTTTGAACTTTGAAGACTATGGCCTCGTTGAGCCCGTTAAAATGAAGGAGTCAGCATCCGTCGCGAAAGTTGAATACAAAGCAAATGAAGCGGCGTGAGTATACATCGCGGCGTTAATTAATTCTTACATCAAAGAAAACGTTTTCTTTATCAAATAACGACAATGCACTAAATATCAAAACTGACCAACGTCGCTCCCCTAGTCGCAACACTGTCACGGTCGGTCAAAAAGCATAATATTCTTTATCTGGTGTGCCCTAATAAAAGCTTCATGGCAAATAGATAGGCATTTACTCTAAGAATGTGGTGAACAGATTTTATGTTGTAAGACCGACGTCTGCACTAAAAATGTGAGGTGAAACCAACCATATGCTAGAGATTTAGAGCCTAGCTTTCACATCTTCGAAGCGTTTTCCGACATCTCTGGAGTAGACACCGGCCATTGGTAGAGGCTTGGATCCTCGAAAACATAATCGTGTTTTTCGAGAAATTTGACCAAGTTTTTAGGCCCTCTGGATCCGTAAGCGTAACTTTCTGGCGTTGGAGCATCTGGACCCTCCAAATGGTTCAACAGAGGAGTGAACAGCTTCCAGCTGACGTCGAGTTCGTCATCTCTCACAAAGTGAGAATGGTCGCCATTCATAACATCTTTGATCAAGGCTTCGTAAGCCTCTGGGATCCAGAAATCCCTGTAACGCCTTGCATATGTCAAGTCCAATTCTGTGACTTGGCAACTGGTGGATAGACCAGGTGTCTTACTGTTGACCTTCAGGTAAATAGCTTCATCAGGTTGTACCCTAATGACAAGCTCGTTGTGGGCAATCTCATCGCTGAAAATACCGGCTGGAACCCCCTTAAACTGAATTCTAATTTCAACCTTGCCTTCGTTGAGGGCTTTACCAGCTCTCATAACGATAGGTACACCATCCCAACGCTCGTTTTGAATCTTGAATCCAATGGCGGCGAAAGTAACACACTTGGATTTTGGATCAACAGTTTCGTCGTCCAGATATCCGGGTTTGGTACCATCTTCAGATGGCCCGTATTGACCTGTCAAAACGTCGCTGTGGTCGATAGGGGCAAATGCTTTGAGAACTCTGACCTTTTCGTCACGGATGGACTCAGCATCGAAGCCCACGGGACGCTCCATGGTTAACAGAGTCAAAATTTGCAGCAGATGGTTTTGCATCACATCTCTTATAATACCGATCTCATCGAAATATCCACCACGACCTTCTGTGCCGAAAGGCTCTTTGAACGAGATTTGAATGTTCTGAATGCTCTCTTTGCTCCATGCGGCGTTTAAAAAGGTATTGCCAAACCTCATCAACACCAGATTCTTGACCATTTCTTTGCCCAGATAATGGTCGATTCTGAAAAGCTCGTCTTCAGAGAAGAGTGGGGCCAGATCGTTCTGCAGCTCACGGAATGAGTTCAGATCGTGACCGAATGGCTTTTCCACAACGACTCTGTTGTGCCCGTCCTTTGCGTATACGACTTCTTTGATTTGCGTGCAGACGGAGACGAAAGCGCTGGGAGGAAGTGCCAGATAAAACAACCGGTTGGGTTTCTCGAGCTTGTTGCCCTTTTCGTGGCTTTCGAATTCTTTGCGTAGCTGTTCGTATCCGACACTCTGGTCGTAAGGGCCCGAGATGTACGTGACCATTTGCAAAAACTGCTTGACCTTCTCTGTGTCTTTATCACCGTTGGGTTTCTTCAAAAAGGGTTCTATCTTCTTTCTGAGATCCTCGTCCGACAGCTTGGAGCGGGCAAAACCGATGATCTTGCATGTGGCGTCTAGATATCCCTCTCTGAATAGTCCAAAGAGCGCAGGAAACGTCTTTTTTTTGGACAAATCGCCTGACGCCCCGAAAATCGCAATTGATGTGTGTTGCTTGAACTCTACTGGTTTGCTGTCGGTCATCTTGTCTGAAGGTTGCTGGTCGTGGTAAAGATGTCGGAAAGTTCTCAAAGGGCTTTCTCAAGGCTTTCAAAAGGCTTTTAAAAGGTTTTCAGCCACGGTACAATTGTCCTAAACTTCAATGTTCCAATAGCCCTCGAATACTGTGTTTCTGCACCGTTTTCGTCCGCTAAAAAGGCTCAATGGGTCTTTTTAAGATGGCAATTCTTGTGAATTACTTTGTAGAGTCCAAAACCAACTTTTAAGGGCTCTTATAGTGCTATCTTCTTTATTCAAAGACTATTGTTGCTTTGGTAGCAAAGAAAAAGGTACTGCTTTCATTGACTTTCCCGAATCCCTTCGCCTTTTATAGTTCCCCTCCTATTATTATGGGCGCCCAATCAAACGTTCTTTTCTATGACAAATTAAATGGTTGAGAGCTATCAGATCACGTGAGCGTCGATCTGGAATTGCAAGCAGCAAGAAAAAAAATGTGCGATTTATTGCCATAGCTTTAAATCGGAACTTAGGATTTGTCATAGAGTGAAAGCCATTCGTGTAGGGTGTTGTAGTGATATTGTTCGGGAATTTTTTAAATTAGTGTGCTAAACAGGAGAGAAATCTACTTGTATGTTGGTATCATCGCGGTGTTGTAAATGATGGAAGATATCGTGACAAAGTGAATGTTATCACTTTGTACGTAGGATAGGAATAAGCAATTGAATTCATAGGTTCTTCTGCTTTGTGTGCTCAGTAATCGCAGACCAAAAATGGCAGTTCAGTGATACAAGATGAAAGATACCGACAATGGCGGCTTTATTCTTATACTGAAGTAGAAAAAATGTTTTGAGGGTAAAAAGCTTTGTGTCACGTGACTTGCACGTTCAATCAGACAATCTTTTGATCAAATGGCCACGCCATATTTTCCCAGACTAGTTCTTGATTCAATGTGATCGTATTTTCAGTCTTTTTGTCTCTTCGGAGAGTTTTATGTTTCCCATTGATTGTCCCTAAGCGATAAAAAATGAGCTTTGTATACTCGATGAGAGAGAGAAAGCGCACAGAAAACCCCTGCAAAAGCGTTTATCCTAATAACAATCGCCACTTATCGTTTGGAATACTGCGTCGTGTACAGAACACGCAAACCAAACGCCCATTTCACTCGTTTAGCAGTGCATTGTTCTTTGTATCACGTGACAGTGCAAAATTTAATGAATTAGTCGTTATCATCGTCATTTACTCATCTAAACCGAGTCTCGCCAAGTAGAAAAGCCGTGTAAGATACTCGGTAAATCCAATTTCTATGGAATGAACTTAAAAACCGTGGGTGTTTCAGCATTCAGATCTCTCGACCATATGTAACATTTTATAAGTTGACCTTGTTAATCTAGCTCAGTATCACTATTAAGCGCGTGTGGCTGACAAGTACCACGCCAATGTAAATACTGCATACCTTGAATATGTAAAAAGGGTTCAAAAACTATATCGATGATCCAAATGCCATTCACAAGACCTTCCCGTAGCTTTTGGGTACGTCATAAAGCTCCCGTCCTGATGTTAAGAGCTCACAGTCTGAAATGAGCTGTCGCTTATTGAGGTTCTCGACCGTTCCGTTATGTTTCCCATTCCCGTCAAATGAAAATTTCCATCACCGAGCCTCGGGGAATTCTAACCTGTGCAAGAAGCAACCCTGCTCACTCAATAATTAGCCAAGCAGGGCTTTCAGAACTTTTAAAGGATTTGATAATACTCCCAAGGCTTAAAACGCTCCCCAAAACAACAACTATAATTGCTCAAGACTCGACTGAGTTTTGCGCCCATGACAATAATCAATCGATCGAACATTGATCGATCACCCATGTCATGTGGCCACATGTACTATGCAAGCAAGTGCAACCTACCAGCTAGGTCAAAGCCGCGAAAATTGTTTTGCTTCATGAGGCTCGTCAACACAAAACATTAAACTTTCGATAAAATATCTCTTCTTGGCAGCTGAGCATTTCGTTCGAAAATCAAAGTACCCTGCCTTCATCCTGCAAGAGTCAATTAGACGCTACAGCTGCAAAAGCGGTTTCCCGTATAAATGTCGTCGCCTTTTGCTGACACACACCGTCCTTCAGTCTTCACAGACTGAACACCATAATCCCAGTAACTCAATCTACCAAGTGTTCCCCACAGTCACCACGTCAGATGATTTTTCAACTGGCGAGAAGGAGTACTTGTACGGCATGTCGTAATCGACGTTACTCTCATTGTAAACTGATGGCAGTCTGTCGCGATACTCGTTGTCCAGAGTCTTCGCCAGTGCTCGCCTTCTACTGCTATTTTGCTCGCCATTCAAAAGCCCACCCCCGTTTATGCACCCTCCTGGACAAGCCATCACTTCGACAAAATCCGTTTTGACTGGATCAGCTGCCGAAGCTGATGTGCCTCCGCGCGAGGTAGTGTTAGCGCTTCTCTTTCGAAGTACTTTTACATTTCTTGCCTTTGTTCCTGAATTAGAGAGTTTTCGTACCATGTTCTGAATATTTCTGAATCCATAAACTTGACTTGATGATGCAAGTATTTCACCATCAACACTGTTTAATAGTCTGTATTCTGTGATGTCACTATTTTTACCTTCCACAATGTGTACTTCAGAACCAGGATGCATTTTCTGCTGATGAAGGACATACTGTAGAGCAAAACCTCCGGAACTGCTGCCTTCATTAGAAGCCCAGTGAATCTCCGGATCCCAGCCCTCGGGGCTGCATGCGCTCAGTAGAGATCGACTTTGCGAAACATCGGCATAATCGTTGATGTCTACCTGAAGTTCTCCCAGCATCGTCACAAACTCACGAGGAGTGATAACACAATCCACCTCATTTTCACCATCTTTTCTGCTTGCCTCTAGTTTCTTGTCGAAACAAGGCATCACAGCCAAATGGTATATATTTTTGTTTTTTTGCTTCAATAAAGAGCCTGTGATCTGCTGGGGAGACTTGACATCTAGTAGGAACGGTACTAGCTCAGGCTTTGATTTCTCAGCGTAAAGCACAAAGCCAGGACAGACGGCACATAGTGCTGGCTTTGCAGATGCCTCAAATTGCTTCCGTCTGACCAGTTCTTCATTGGTCTGCTTGATGGTGATATTGCGGCCAATTTGTGTTCCCACGACGTATCGGGCTCCGAAGTATTTGTGCATGAAGTTCACAAAGCCTCTGTCAAAGTCATCAAGCTCTGCTTTGTAGTATTTGGCCAACGAAAGCCGACTTTGGGGCGCTATGCTTACCGCCAAGACAGAGTCTTCCGGAAGTTTCCGCCAGGCCTCTAGGAATACTGTATAGCTTTGTTGGCCCAGCAAAATTTCTTCACTGGAGGTGATGCAACCCGAACAGGCCAAGCAGTCTTGTAACGAAATGGATACCTTCTCTACTTCATTAGACTCCTTTCCAACCTCAAGTTCGTTGCTCGAGCTCGTTTCTTCTTTGATAGTCTCGGTGGGTTTGATACAAGCAAGCCCGGGACTTATAAAGTCATTAAGATCGTTTTCAGATAGCAAAGCGCTCATTGTTCGATCTATTTTGATGCCATGTGTTCGTAAACGTATTAACGTGGATGATGGGGTGGGATGAAGTGAGATGAGATGAGTTGAGTTCGGTTGATATTAGCTTAGAAATTGAATGTCAAGCGTAAATCATAGCATACGCGACATCATTTTTTCTTTCCCCGTCACCGGCCTCTTTCGAAGATACGTTCACGGTAGCGAGTGCTAATTTCGACATATCTGAGTCTTTAAGGGATATGGAATGAGCTTGAACGTTGCAATCAGAGCTTTTCTTCATATGTTCTGATAGTTTTCGGGCCGGGGTACGGGGAAGATGAATAGAAGGACATTTCTTCCTGGGTTGATCTTGAACATCGCCAAGCGAGTTTTGGGACACCACAGTAGAAACTAGTGACTGAATGACTGTTGATTTTATCGCTTTGGGTAACGGTTTGAATCAGTTACGTAAAAAAGCTACTTTTTTTGATGCGCGTTGAGTTCACAGTTCGAAAAGCCAGTTTTGATAATAGGATGTGACGCGAAAAAATCAACGATATGACGCGAAGTTCATCATTCCATGGGATGTAGCTCCTAATTGAGAGAACTTTGGTGCGGATAAGTGGTTAACCGACTGGAACGGAACTACTTAAAGATGCATTAATTGATTTCGATAGTCATGTGACCTTCGAAGTTTTGGCTACATAAAAATGCCGTCTTCGACATCAGCGTTGACACTGTTGTTAGAATCACTACTGATTAAATAAACATTATACCGAGGCAACTCTTATGGATAGAAAGATTTAGGCACGAAAACTCGATCAAAAAAACGTCACAATTGTTCCCATCTATGAGTTTATCAAATACACCCTCAATTAAGCTTATAGAGTCATTGGGACAAACAATACTGTCGCCTCCAATAAACTCGGATAGAAAGAGCCGAGAATGCTATTCAAAAGGTGCGTATATCAAAAGTTTATGGAAGCAGCTTGCAAGACACGTGACCACGCTTTGCGTCAGACTCACAATTTAGTGAAAGGGACATATAAAACTAAAAGTGATCAGTAGACTGTCAATGTGTGTGTGTGCATGTGTGTGTCTGCCCGCTATTATATCATCACCCGTTTGCGTCTGACTCAACGTTTGTTGAACTTCATATCCTACATAAAAAAAACAAAAGGAATCGAACACACAAAATATAGGTGATAAGGAACTACAGAGGGCTGCACGAAGTCAAACACAGTACTCGTTGATCTACTCACCCAGTTCTCTTCACGACCCATGCTCGATGAGCCATGTTCAATGAGCACATGACGTCACAAGCACGTGACATGTGTCAACAAAATCATAAATTTCTCTTGGAAACATGCATACCGTGAATCAAAATCAAAAGCTTTTAACAGTTTACAACACTATTCAACCCCGCAACGCTTCAGACTTCCCGCAGAAGCGTTGTGTTTTAGTCTTCTCAAAACCATGCAGCTTCTGACAGGCGTTCGCATTGTCATCAGTCTCCTTTTGTTGGGCGAATCTTGCCAGTCACGTCAAGTGCTACCGAGAAAAGATCATTTGACGAGAAGGTATTTCGCGGTTGAGAGCTATTTGTCACTTCCAAGGCTTCGAGAACTGTATCCAGAATGGCGGTTTGAACATGATGCTCGAGGACTTGAGAATCACTACGTGTTCTCAGTGCGAAAAGATGAAATACTGAAAAGATCTGATGAATATGATGACTTGACAGGCGTGGTTTCATACCATAGTTTACGACCCAAAACGCTCCAAAAAAGACTACCGATCTCGTCAGGACCCATAGACTCAAGCATGCAGGCGGTGCAGGATGTAAAAGATCGCTTGTCCATCGAAGACCCCTTATTCGACAAGCAATGGCATCTTATTAACACAAATTTCCCAGGACACGACGTTAACGTTACAGGACTGTGGTATGAAAACATTACTGGTCACGGAATCGTTGCAGCCATTGTTGACGACGGACTTGATTTTGAAAGCGACGACTTAGCGGACAACTTTTCCGCAGAAGGGTCTTGGGACTTCAATGACAACGATCCATTACCTCGACCCAGACTAAGCGATGACTACCATGGCACCAGATGCGCAGGTGAGATTGCAGCTGTCAAAAACAAGGCTTGCGGACTCGGTGTCGCCTACGATGCCAAGGTTGCGGGCATACGAATTCTTTCTGGCGAAATCACCGCAGAAGACGAAGCTGCATCTTTGATCCACGCCTTAGATGTGAATGACATATATTCGTGTTCGTGGGGTCCACCTGACGATGGACGCTCTCTACAGGGACCTGATGACCTAGTCAAAAAAGCACTGGTTACTGGTGTCACAAAAGGTAGGGACGAAAAGGGTGCGTTGTATGTCTTTGCTAGTGGAAACGGTGGCATGTACGAGGATAACTGTAATTTTGACGGTTACACAAATTCGATCTACTCAATAACTGTTGGTGCTATTGACCACAAAGGTCTTCATCCTCCTTATTCAGAGTCATGTTCTGCTGTCATGGTTGTCACCTACTCATCCGGATCCGGAGAACACATTCACTCCACCGATATAGACGGCCATTGCAGTGACAGTCATGGTGGAACTTCTGCGGCAGCTCCACTGGCTGCAGGAATATACTCCTTAGTTTTGAGTGCAAACCCTAATTTGACATGGAGAGATGTGCAATATCTATCAATTTTGTCATCGATTCAAATTAACGTTGATGATGGTAATTGGCAAGACGCAGCCCTTGGGAGGCCATACTCTCACAAATACGGATACGGAAAACTTGACGCATACCGTATCGTTGATTTGGCTCGCAACTGGGAAAATGTCAACCCTCAATCATGGCTATACCTACCTACTAAGCAAGTAGGAACTTCCACTAATTCTACGGAGGAAATTCTTGAATCGTCGGTTCAAATTAGTGATGATCAATTGAGGAGTGCGAACATAAAGCGTATCGAGCACATCACGGTTACTGTTGACATCGAAACAACCTTCAGAGGACGTACGACGCTGGATCTGGTATCGCCTCGTGGAGTAGTATCGAATTTGGGGGTCACTAGAAGAAACGATAATTCACCGGATGGATTTGTTTCTTGGACGTTCATGTCTGTTGCACACTGGGGCGAGGATGGAGAAGGTGAATGGAAGCTCAAAGTAAGAACCACGGACGAAGCAAACACCATTGAATTCAAAAACTGGAGGTTGAAATTATATGGAGAATCGTCCGACCCTTCGAAGGCTGTGAAATTTGAGTTCGGCAATGACGATGAAAGTGCTTCAGCGATAAGCTCAAGTAGTTCAGCGGATTCTACAAGCTCATACAGTCCCACAAGTACAGAAGCTCCAACTTCTTCGTCACCGGCCTCCCCGCTTATGACAGAACTCACAACTTCGACTCCCGCTTCACCACAAGATAATTCAGACGTCAATAGACCGAATCCTCTAGCTCCCCCCTTTGCCGGAATGCATTATTATCTTGCAGTGTTTGCACTTGGAGCTGCCGTTTTGGTCTTGTATTTCTTCTTCTTTGTGAGGTCGAGACGATTAATAAGAAGAACTCGCGCAGAAACATATGAGTTTGACATTATAGACACAGATTCAGACTACGACTCGTCACTGAACAGCGTTGCAAACCCAAATTCGGACTTACAGGAAGGTGATGACGCTAATTTTGATTTTGATCTCGACCTCTCAGATGAAGAACTTTTGAGAAGCAGTTCGGGCTCACCCAATCCTACAAACGTTCCCATAAAGAGCCAGGAAGGAAAAAATCTAGACGAAGTCTTGGAGAGCAAAGCTAACAACACACCTCGCGGCGAAAATGACGGTGAAGATACTACGGGTGTGACAACGTCATCTGGAAAGTGACTTTCCACATACATTGATATACGCACATCGTGATGCGGCGGCCACGACTGGAAGAGTACGTAAACTGGTAAAATGTAACATAGACTAAACTTTCTCGAATGGATCACCACTACCGGGATTCACCGGCTGAGCTATTATATGTAATGCCAAGAGTCTTATCACTCTGTAAGAATACCGACGTATGCATCAATATAAACGCTTCACTTGGCAGCGAAAGAGCATTCAACTCTGGGTGAAGATAGGAACCATCGGTAAGAGGAGCTCTCATCATGGCTTTCATGACATTCAAAAAGCACACTGTGGGGCTTATTTCGGCAATTATCCTTGCTTGTCTTGTGTCACCTATTAAAGGTATGGAGATGGACGATACATCGGAATACACAAGACCTGAGATTGTAGATGCTGGATCCAAAACGGCTCACTGGTTGTGCACCCTTGGTCTGCTTCTTATCGTGCCATCAATAGCAGCCGTTTTCTCCTTTGCTGGGAAACTGTATCTGTCAATGTTTTTGCAGTTCGTTTCGATGGTGTATGCTGTGATAGAGGCCTTGATTCTGAGATTTCCTGACGGCGATGGAATTGAAAACCGCACTTCGAGGGGCACTGCTTGGTTTCTGGCGGCTTTGCTGGGGTCATCTGTTTTATTTGGAAGTTTAGCCAGCGGTACTGGTGCTCTGGTTAAAAATAAAAGGCTACAGTCGTTCGTCACCAAAACCGGGGAATACAACCTTCACGTCATTCACAGAACACTGTCTTTTGCAGTTGTGCTGACTGGATGGGTCAAAAGCTGTCTGGCTCCCGTTGCTATGTTTGGCTTTTGTCGCGAAATTCACACCGGCCAGTGCATCGCACACGGTGTGATGGGATCTGCGTTTGTTGTTTATGGCTTTGTTTATTCTATGGTGTTAGTTTTACCCTGGATGCGCAATCATGAAGGCCCCTACTCACAAGACCGCATAGATAGCTGGGTTATGTGCGCGTGGGGTATAGTAAATACGTTCACGGAGCATCGTTGGGGCAGGGAAGGCTGGAATCATGGCGACTACCAACACACTGCTATGGGAATTATATGGTGGGCTGGTGGACTTTTGGGAATTTTTCTGTCTCGCGGAGGCAGACGGACGTTTGTGCCGAGCCTTCTGATAATTTTCACAGGCTGGGCTATGTCCGAGCACAGTCAACACCTGCTGATCAGCACAAAGGTCCATGGCCTCTTCGGCTTGGTCCTAATGTCGGGAGGCGCATTGAGAATAATAGAAATCTCGTTTCTGCTCAGAGACAAAAGATCCGCGGGCGAAGTGATGTCCTTTCAGTACCTCGCGCCCTTCTGTCTGGTATGCTCAGGTATTTTGTTCATGAGCGCTAACGAAGAGCAACTGATTCTCGTGCTAAGGCTAGGAGCCGATCATAGTGCCTACAGTCTGGTCATAATATCTGCTGCATTTGTCACGTATCTGTGGATTCTACTTTGTCTAGAGTTTTACCTCAAGCTAGTGCTCGCAGCTGAAAAAAGTCCACTAAACTCCTATAAAGCAAGGGATGCCGCTGAGTTTGAGTTGGACAACCTCGAGGACCTGAACAGTGGAGACGAAGACAGAGCTTAGAGAGACGACGACGACGTTAAAAACAACGAAAAGCTTCGAATATGGGAAAATGAAAAACGGTTTCCAAAAAAATTTAGAACACTGAGCATGGCCTTCCAGTCGGGGCGACAAAACATCCTCACTTTCAATTCTATTCAGAGAAGTGCCTACAAAATCTTAATATTCTACCATATGCTACCAAGCACCTACGACCTTCGCGGATAAGTTGCGAGATATACAAAAAAGCACATATACATATACATAAATCTTCAAAGTTAGACAGCATGGCAAATGGCGAATTAGCGAGGTTTCCCACAAGGCCCTTTTCAAATATATGGTCAAAGTATTTGTCTGAATGACATTTCTCTACGTCTGGCTTTTATAATTTCTACATAACTTAATTGAGAGTGAACTAAATCGACACTTCATATGAAATACATCAAATAGAGATCAGCGGTTTAATACAGCCTCCATATCCTCTCAATCAAGGCCCAATGTTTAACCCTGGCTCGAATAGTAGAGGACTGGCATCATGGTCGAAAACAGGCATGCTAGCGTATGTGGACAACGAGTCAGATCATTCCAATCTGTGTATAACGCTACTGGAAACCATCAATGGAACCAACTGGAGACTGCGACCGTGTAAAAAATACACCATCCATCCCAATATGTTGGATATACCAAACACAGCCAATAGCGCTGGTGTGAATGGCGCTGGGAACAGTAATGGTTCTCAGAAAACGTTCAACTATTTGAGCTCAATATACTGGAGCAACACTCACAACCTTGGCGGGGACCAATTAGCGCTCTTCGATGACGTAGGGAATCTTACCATGGCAAATGCCGGTCAGACACTGGAGGGTATCTCGACGCTCGACAACCTAGTGGTGTTATTCCAGGACAATGGCTACAAAATACACAGTCAATTAGTCCCATTGCAAGAGTGCTCATCTGATAAAAAGATCACTCGCAGCTCGACGAAGAGGGAGACACACAGCTCAATTGTGGAATTTTATTGGATCGGTACGCATACGCCCCTTTTCACGCTGTTGGGGGCCCGCAAAGACTCCGCAACGTCATCCTACAAAAGCCAGGTTGAGCAAGTCCAGCCCTTGGGAATTACCCACCCAACCTCCGTCAAATGCGCCTGCCTGGGCTTGAGGAGGGGAGGTCAACTGGACTTCTGGTACCAGTTTTCCAACTCAAAAGACTATAAAAAGATCTCCTTACATTTGAATAGCATCCAAGATTCTCGAGCTAAGCAGGTAGATTGGATTCAGTGCAGCAAATTTGCACAAATGGATGAATCCCAAGCTATGCTTATAGGAACCTTTTCCAGGCTCACAGAGACGCTCGCTTTTTACAAGCTAACTGTTGATTGGAACAATTCTTCTCAAAACTCCGTGTCTGATCCAAAGCTGCAATTGCAGCACGTCTTGGAATTCAGCCCAGAGTTTCTTAGCGAAGCAGGGGAGCCTATTGAGCTCAAAGGCTTCCAATTGTTGTCTGCACCTAATGATAAGGCCTCTGGCATTGAATTGCTACTCAATTATGAAGTGGTAGGGGCTTCGCGCTCTGTTGTCAAACGTTACAAATTTGGGAAATACACGCCCTCTTCTGTACTATGTGCCGTGTTTGGCGTCTCAGACGATGAAGAACAACCTTTACCAGTGTGTGATTATGCATTTGAGCAACAAGAAATCTATGAATTTGACTCGTCGATATACACAATTGAGTTCAATGCCACCGAGAGCGTTGTGATATTCAGACTCAAAAATGGCCATAGTACGATATATGATAGACGTACGTGGACGTCTGAACAGGACTTGGCAAAGGTACAAAATCGCGATGTTATGTCTTCACCTTTCTCTACTGGACTACGGATGCCCATAACATTTCCCACATGTGGCTTTGAGTGGTCGCAAATATCTCCTTCCTTGGGGGGCGTTATTTCGAAAGTCACCGGCCAGGACTCACTACACTTTGATCCCATCGAAGCGTCCATTACAGACAATGCGGAAAATGACACATCAGTGGCTCTGGCGTTTGCGTTTGCGTTTGTTTGCTCGGGCCACCGACAATCATCAGGAGAAGATCTCTCAATCGCTATTAAAACACATTTACTGAAGCTGGGTCAAGTGAGCGGGGACCGGGCAGAAAAGCTCCTCAAAAACTTGATTATCACCGTGTATCAATTGTTTGGACTTACTCCTGATGCCTCAAAAGAGCTTAAGGACAAACTCACAATGAGTCGGCCTGTGCAAAAAACCATGCTTCTGCAATCGGAACTAGCCTGCTCTTTCACCAACAATAGCATTTACAACATGTCTCGGACTGCACTTTCATTAAGAAATATTCTATTTGCGTTCAATGGAGTTTCCCGGAATATTCAGGTGTTGATTCATCACAGTGCCACGATGAACTTCCAACAGCCCAATGGAAAACTTTACCAGTTTGCGTTCTCGAAACAAGATTTGATATATTCATTAATTCCAAGCGCCAAGTGGTTTGTGAAATTAGTGACATATTTGACTCAACAGATGATTGTTCTGGTCAACTCACCGAACGACAAGGAAAATAGTCTGGTGCTCGGGATTTTCGGCTCCAAAATGACTCGACAGTTATTACTTTCTGTGCTGGGTGAAATCAAAAAAGTCATTCACCTCATTACCAAGTTTCCGGAGACCTCATTCCCTGTACTGAACGAATCGTCAATATACTTGCGTAAAGTCCTAGGCGACTCTCCGGTAAACTTCGAAAAGTTTGAGACTTTCTTGGCCGACGTTAACAACAAATTCTCTTTGCTTGAAGAGAGCCGTTCGAATACGAGTATGGCGAGAGACACTTACCTCATTATAGATGGTGATATCCCGCCTGAAGTTTCACAGCTGAAAGATTTCCTGCTTTCCTATTCGAATACTGCCGTTCTCTCCCACATAAAGCCTGCTGAGGTGTATTTTTCTGATACTCGCGGGCTCCGCATTCTGTCCTCAGAAATTTTCCAGCCCTGCTTTCACAAGCTTTTACAGCCTCTCGAAAAAGGCCTTGTGATTCCCAGCGACGTGTTATCCGATGATGTCCCGTCAGCTTCGCTGTGCGTCATTGAAATAGACGATATTTCCAGAGAACCGCTGAATTCAGGAAAATATAAACTTAAACGATGCTGCAGATGTGGTGCTGTTACTCGCGCGGGTTATCCTGTCACCTCTGAGAACACTATATTCTCCACGAGTGTCACCACGAAGCGTTGGACTAGTCTATACACCAAATCCTGTATCTGCTCTGGGCTTCTCTATGAGCTCGACAGAAGCTCTCGTGAATGAGTTGAATTGAATCTCATAGACACTACAGTTCGCTTACTAGTAGCTGCTTGTTCATCCTGAACCACTGTTAAGCAGGTCCTAAATGATGCTTCACTCGAGTTTCGAACACACGAATACAGACGTTATAACATACCAGGCTCGAAAATCTATTAGAACAACAAATTGAAATAAAGGTGGCAAACTCTCAACTTTCAAGAACTTCGACTACAAAACAAGTTCAACAGCCCTATAAGCATTGAAGAGGTTTCAATTCTACTATCTTGTCACATCAAAAGTGGAGTCAAAACTAGATTCTCAAACTTGACTCTTTGATCAAGACAATCATCTAAATTTGTGTTGGATTGCCCGTGAATTGCAATCAAAAACTTGATTCTTTTAAAGAAGTGAACGCGCGCACTTCTCGCCCCAAAGTTTACATTACAGAGCAGGAGCAACATGTTTTTGACCAGAAGTGAATATGATCGTGGGGTCAGCACTTTTTCGCCGGAGGGAAGACTTTTCCAAGTCGAATATTCGTTAGAGGCCATTAAATTGGGTTCCACGGCCATTGGTATTGCAACATCTGAAGGTGTTGTTCTGGGAGTTGAGAAAAGAGTCACTTCTCCTTTACTTGAAGGAGATTCTATCGAGAAAATCGTGGAAATTGAGCGTCACGTCGGTTGCGCGATGAGTGGTTTAACAGCCGACGCTCGTTCCATGATTGAACACGCCCGTGTGTCGGCAGTCACTCACAACCTATACTACGATGAAAATATCAGCATCGAGTCTCTGACGCAATCGATCTGTGACTTGGCTCTGAGGTTTGGTGAAGGTGCATCTGGCGAAGAAAGATTAATGTCAAGACCCTTCGGTGTGGCGCTATTGATTGCTGGATATGACACCGAGCAAGGCTATCAACTTTTCCACGCAGAGCCATCGGGAACTTTTTATAGATACAATGCCAAGGCCATAGGTTCAGGGTCCGAGGGTGCACAATCAGAACTTCAAAACGAGTGGCATTCTTCTCTCACATTAAAGGAAGCTGAACTTTTAGTACTCAAGATTCTTAAGCAAGTGATGGAAGAAAAGCTGGACGAAGACAATGCTCAGCTAAGCTGTGTAACCAAGGAGCAGGGATTCCAAGTATACAGCAACGAGAAAACTGCTGCAATCATCAAAGAGTTGAAGGAAAAAGAAGCTCAGCAGAGTTCTGAGAACCCGGACATAGAAATGACCACGTAAATTTACTCTAATGCATACAAGAATATGTAGTCTAAGCTAAAGCATAAATTTCTTAGTTGGTACCTATGGGCAATCGAATGTCGTTTTTTACATACTGAAATCGTGATATTAATACAATGCATGGTGCTCTAATCTACTAGATGCGCATACTCGGGGAGTTCCTTTATCTTGGAATTGAAGAACTTCTCCAGTCTGTTGGCGTACTTGAAATATGACGTATTTTCTCCGTTGTACGCTCGACAGTTATTGAATACAAGACGGGCGTCATAAACGAAATTCTCCATCTTCTCATATCTGTTATTCTCTAATTTAATCTCCATTGTACTCAAGTCCATCGGCTCTTTGATAAACTCATAATAATCGGCAACTTCTTCTTTATTGACAGGTTGCAAGAAGGGCCAAGCGGCTGCATGATTTTGCATCTCAGTTAGAACATTCTGCATAGCAGCGTGGTGCGAAGCTCTTTTTGGCCTTTGTGCCAATTCATCCATCTCAGGGGTCCAGCCGGCCTCTTTGAGGCCAGGTATTTCCATTGGGTCTATTGGCTTTATGTTACTCAAATCTTTGAAATGCTTCAAACCAGGATGAACTACATTACTTTTGGAAACGAGCCGTATTTTCCTTTGAATGGCTGCTTCCTGAAGTAGTAGAATTTTGGCCGCGTCCAAATATCGTATGCGCGGGAGCGTTGTGCACTGCATGAGCGTACCACCTTCATAATCTTTGATATAGCCCATCCATATGCTCTTTTCCAGAGTTACCTCTTTGGTGAATCCCTGCTTCTTGAAGTAACCGATAGCATAATTGTCCGCGTATGTTAGAAAGTACTTGATTTTTGAGGTAGCTCGCACGTAATCTTTCAGATGATTCATCAAATGAGCACCATATCCTCGTACTTGTTCTGTTGAGCTAATGGCGCAAAAAACAATTTCTGCAAATTCGCGGTTGTCAAAAGGTCTATACGTGATGCCTCCAACTACTGTAAGAGGTTTACGTACCACCGCCATCGACAAGTGACTTCGGTCATACACGAGTCTGGCGATGTATTCCTTAGGCATTTTGGGAAGCTGCTTTTGAAAGATGTTCTTCAATCCTGTCAAGACCATCATGTTCTCTTTTGTATTGTCGTTGTTCACAACCCTAAACTCTATTTTGCCCTCTTTCTCCTCTATAACACTTGCTCTTTCTTTGAACTGATACTGCTTTCCATCGAACATGAAATGTGTGACACCGGCACCTTCCGCGTCTGCTTCCGTTTTGGATGCGATTGCATCCCCCGGCGTCGACTCTTCACCATTTATTGTGCCTGCCTTTTCAGATGTCAAATCTACGGTTTGATCGCCATTTTCTTTCGAATCTTCGAGCTTTGGTCTCTTAGAGCCATCAGCATCATCTAGACCACCTCTCTTCTTGCTAATCATCACCCGCTTCGGTCCTTGAAGCCCACCTTTGACGTCTATTTTGACTGCGTTGATAGTCATCTTCAATCGTACATTGCCAATCGAAGCCAAGGCTCTTAACCATCAATCAATTAGTACAAAGTGATAACTGGGAAACAAGCATTTTGAAGTTCCAAGTCTACTTCCATCGATGGCATTTTGTTTTGACTTTTATAAGAGCTCCTCCTCATCAATATCGTCTTCCTCAGCTTCAAAAACGCATCTGAGAGCTTCTTCTGCTTGTTCTTGCACTTTTGTCAATCCTGATAATTCTTCAACATATTTGTAGTTGTTCAGAGCTTCTGTAACAAAACGCCAACCACGTTCCTTGAAGGTCTCCACTACAGAAATGCTGCAGGCAGAGCACTCCTGGAACGATGGACTTCTGAGCTGTAAAGTTTTGAACTCGGTTAAAAAACCACGAATTTGATGTGGAAGATCACCCAAGACAGTCTTAGCCGATGCTTCGTAAGTGTTGCGATCTGGGTGCTGCAGTAACGAGACCATCAACTCTACACTTTGGGATGCTGCCATGAGTGCAACACCAGGTCTCGTCACGGTACACATCTGATCCAAAGTGCGATCCGTGAGACTGTCGCTCGGGGCAACAACGTCCTGGCAGAAATAGCAGCCGAGGCGGTTCGGTTCCGTTGAAGAATAGGCACCGTGTCTCATCACCATATAGCTGTCGAATCCGAGTGCAGCGTTGATTACAATTTTGTTTTCGGCGCAGCCAAGCACAGTAGGGAGCCATCTAGTTTCGCGTGAATCCATCAAAAGGTATATAACATCGTGGCCTCTCACAAGGTCAACTAGCATTTTAAAGTCATTTAGCTGTCTAGCTTCGTTGGTGACCGGGTGTCCAATCATAGGAACCTGGAGCTCTACGCCTTTAGTTTTAACGAGAGGAAAGATTCGCCGCAATCCTTCTGCGGCTTCAGCAGCCTTAGGTTTTCCGCAGCTTTCAAACGTAAACAGAGGCTGTCGTACTGGGTTGGAATAAGACACTTGTCCATTGTCCACAAATGTGATTTCTCGTACACCCCAAGCCATAAGAGTGCGAGCAACGTAGCACCCCAGGGTTCCAGCCCCAAGTAGCAACACTTTGGTGTTCTTTACAACGTCCAGGTCAAGCTCGGGAGCGACGCGCCATTTCATTAATTTCAAATTAAGATCTAGCGATTGATCTGCAACCTGCAGAGGATCCAAAAGAGAGCTCAAATCTGTTGCCCTTGGTGTGAGTTTATTTTGAGAATTTCTTTCCCATCCTGTGACTTTCAAAGCTGACGATTTTGAGTCGGGACTAGCTTCAAGGGCTATTGTCATCCAAAAACTGCTGCTAGCATCCGATCTTACCAAGACCAATCGTATCGTTTCCGTTTCTGGCGCAAAATGTTTCAGAAGAGAGATGAAGTTTTTCGCTAGAGCAGAAGGTACCATTTCTATCTTACTGGTATCGCGGATAATTAAGGCACTGCAGCCAGCTGCATTAGCCTTTGAAAGCACTTGAATCTCATTACTTTCGTCTTCCAGACATGACCAGTTCTCAGAATGCGAATCAAACCAGTCTTTATACTTATTGTAGTTTTCAAGCAGACCACTGTCAGTTACCGTTAGATTTAAAGATGTCAGTTGAAAGCAGGGTACACTCACCCAATGGAAAAACTTGTAGGTCTTCAAATCAGCAAAACTGATAATAAAGAACCTAACGCACTCGTTCGGATCATCCAGGCTTTTATTCCAAACTTCTAATGCCCTCTGATTCAAAAATTCGTTCTTGTCCAGCTTTTTGAATTCCTCAACAGTATTGTAATTGTACAAAGTACCCTTTACTGGCAAACCGTTTCCGTGGTCACTCTGGGCATCGAAACTCTCACCGCTTAAAAACAAATGCGCACACGATGAACCTCTGGGTATATATGCGGTATCAATAACACTCTTGAGCTCTTTAGGGGTTGAATCCAACTTCAGAACTTCAAGCTTCAATCGAGCCAGTTCCTGGAAAAATGAGGTGTCTATGAAAGACTGATATGGAGTGGCAAACTTCATCTGGATACTCGCCATCCTGGAGTCAAGTAGCTACGGCGAATGCGAGATATGTGAACTTTGGGCAAAGGTCTAAGTTTAAGCTCAAAAATGTTAATAAGATTTAGTAGATTGATGATGTATATCTAGTTCGTGCTTTATTATGATAAAATGAAAAATGGGCCAGCAATTGTGTGGTGCACAGCTCGTTACTCTACATTGACCTAGCTGGTATTTGTGATATGTACTTGAGCTCTGGTGTCTAAGCAGGTGGCGCTTCATCAAGCGTCATTTCGTCTAGCTCATCGAGCAGCTCATCGATATCGATTTGTGGAGCATCTTCGTCTTCATCTTCATCCATTTCTCCATCTGCTGGAGGAGGAGCTTCAGTATTATTCTTGTACAAATTGACGGTATTACGCATTTCAGCATCTTCCTCCAGTTCCTGCAAGAAAGTCTCGTAGTCCCTCTCAGCTCTTTCCATTTCCTGCTTCTGTTGCCTTGATGTGTAGTCTTGGGAAGCGTCGATCTCCTGGTGTTCACGGGCCATTCTCTTAAGTTTCCAGTTTCTGTTCTTGCGAGTCTTACGAATGTACTGCTTCTTGACCAGAACAACGTCTGGGATATGCTCAATGTTAAGATCATCGAAAAGATCCGAGTTGTAATTGGAGTTGGCGATGAAGTAGCCCATCACGCTATCACCAGGATGGCAGAGCGCTCCCAAATGCGAGCGAACATAGTATACTTGATCATTGACTCCCAGGTCAGCAGCTCTGGCTACCGTTATGTCGGCAAGCACCCATTTGTTTTTACTCTTGCCCGTGGGGTCGACGTCGAGGACGATGAACTCCACTAGTTGAGAGACGTCAGCCAAGGACTGGAACGGCGTTCTCCAGTAAACAGGTGCAGACAAATCTGCGGTCTGCAAGGTGATAGGGTCCATGAACTGGAGCGTATTGGAGACTTTCGAGCACAGCACGAATTGGGAAATATTGCCCAGCGATTTTGCTAGCTTCTTGGGCAGAACAACAAGATCATCTCTGCAAATTGGAACAATCTCAACGGAAAACGAAAATTTGTAGGTGGAAGAACCGGTATGGGTATCTTGCGAGACAAGCTCTTCGGACTTTTTAGATCTGATGGGAACCACTGAGTTCAAAAAGTCAAGCATTTTGGCAGCATGATTTTTTTGACCATAGAAGAAATCTAAGCCATCCTTGGATTCTTGAATGTTGATAGTATCTACGTGTGCACCATGCTTTAGGATCAGCTGCTCCAAATAAAGAAATGTACGTTTGTGAGGAACTTTTTGTCTGATCTGTATGGTAGCTCTCCAGGTGTTCGTTGTGTAGGAGCGAGCACAGTCTGCACACTGCATCGCTACAACGACATATTCGACTTCAAAGGTTTGTTGAATGATGGTATTAGTCATAGCCTCCCCTTGGACTGTCAGCTTGACACGAATACGTCTCGAATGGGGCTCAGTCCATATAAAAGAGGCATCCACCAATCTAACTTTATTCAGACCTTTCAAACGGCGCAGACACAGCGCCAGAAGCTCTCGAGATTCTAGTTGCGCATGCACCCATTGGCCTGGAGGCTGCAAAAACCGTTCACAGTTTCTGCAAAAAGACACGTTAGCTTCTCTTGGAATACCCTCTGTGATATCAACCGTTAGCTTTATACAGTCGTAACACATCACTAAACCTGACGACCCATCCATGGGCACACCACAGTTGCAACATAGCACTGTGGCAGGTTGGTGATTTTGAAAGGCGCTCTTATCCAAAGAAGTGTAATTCATGATGACTGGAATAAGTGCCCTGAAACTCTCGATAGCTCAAACTTGAATTCCTTGAAGCTTACTTTGTAGCTTTGCTTAGCGGAAGGAGCACTAAAATGGTATAACTAAGCTTTCAAGATGGCGATGAGATGAGATGCGATGCGATGAGCATCTGAAAAATTTTAGAATCCTCAAATTGAAATCAGAGTCACGTGCACGGACTCAAGCAGAAAACCCCCGTTGTAAGTGATGTGATTGTAGAAGTCACTACAGACGAAAATAAAGCTTTACTTCCGTTTTTTGTTCTTCTTCTGCTTACCTTGGAATAGTAGGCCAAATGACTTCTTCTGAGTCTTCTCGACGCGTCTTTCGCTGTCACTGTCACTATCAGGAGTATCGAGCGTAGTTTCCCCTTCTTTGGCCTTAAATTGCCCGTTTTTCTTGTCTTCCAAGTTTTTGCGTATTTCATGACGTTGCGAGCCTTTCATCTTTCGTTTCAGCGCTATCATTGCCCTCGTATCGTCTTTGGTAATCCTATGCATGGAATTAGCGCTATTGGAACCTTGTCCTGGGGCAGGATTACGTTTCTTCGTTTTCGCCAGCGATGAGACTTTTTTGTCACTGTCTATGAACTCGCCCACGGTGGCAATATCGTCTTCCGAAGGTCCTGCATCGGCCAAAGCTTGCTCGAGACTTAAACCTGCTCCCATCGCCATGACTGGTAATTTGTAGAAGGCCGCTTTCGACGATGACAAGTCACGATTACACTCTCCGCCAACTTCATTTTGAACCCAGTCAGCGGCCTTCAGCTTGTTACTATTGAACAAAGCTTGCAATGAAGCTTGCAAGCTCATTTTCTCTTCAATTTCTTTAGCCCTAGACATGCCTTTCAATAGCTTTGGGTTGTTTCGATTGTTCAGTGCTCAGCAGCGATGAGCAGCTGAAATGAAAATACATAATTATCGTAGAGTGCGTATTCGCCATGACACCATATAAAATTCAAATTTATGTCATGCGCATAACCAAGCTACACCTGTCGGGCAGCGAGACCGCAATAGTTGGTATGTTTGAATGTCCTTTCAGATATGATAGTATTATTTAAATCTTTCTCTTGCCGTTTTTACGGTCGTTTATCTTACGGCGCTCACCGAAACTTTCTTTCTCCATAGCCATTAAACTCTGCCGTTTGGCTGCGGTAACCTTGTTGAGTGCTTTCCTGATGACTGCCGTGTCATGCACATCCTCAAATAAGGTCATCTTTTTATTGATCCTCTCTTCAATCGCTTCTATTCTCGACACATCACGCTGGCCTACAAAACAAATCGATTCACCGGTCCTACCCGCACGAGCAGTACGACCGGCTCTGTGTATAAATGTGTCAGGATTTGCGGAAATATCGTAGTTGACCACCAGCTGAACAGTGGGAATATCTAGACCTCTCGAGGCTACATCTGTGGCAATCAAAACGCGAGCAGCATTTGCACGAAACCTGTGTAAAGAATTGGTACGCTCTTGTTGCGGCATTTGCGAATGAAGCGAGGCCACTCGTACGTCCAGTTCTTTTAAAGTCCTTCTCAAAATTTCAGCTGTTACTGTTCTGTTGACAAAAATGATGGCACTTGCTTCTTTGTACGCACTGCTAGTGAGAATCTGATAAAGGTAAGCTTCTTTTACTTGCTCTGGAACGAGTAGGTAAGTAGTCTTCAACGTCCTTGGAATTGCAACGTCGTCCATTCTCTCAACTTCATAGGAAAAAACAGGAGGCTTTCCAGAAGTAGCTGGAGCATTTTGCAGTTGTTTGACTTGATCGGTTACGGTGGCCGTGAACAGAAGGTTCTGGCGACTCGACTTTGGTGGTAGGGCTCCTACACACGTCGCAAGGTCTTCCGTGAATGTGTCTGTCAGTAGAATATCTGCTTCGTCGAGGACCAAGTATTTTACCCTTCTCAATCCGCCCACAGTGTCGTCACCACTGTTCATGATATGATGAGCCAAGCGGCCAGGCGTGGCCACTATAAAATGCGGCTTCTTTTGAAGCTCCAGCGCCTGATCAACTATACTCTCCCCACCAACAATCCGTGCAACTCGAATGTTCATTGAGCTCCCTAGTGCAGTGAATTGCTCAGCAATCTGCATCGCAAGCTCTCGGGTAGGTGTCAAAACTATACCGAACATTCCACTTGGATCCTCCGACCATTTCGTGAGCATTGGTGCCGCAAACGCGATAGTTTTACCCGAACCTGTCTTAGCACCCCCAATACAGTCTCTTCCTTCTAGAATTTTAGGAATACATGCTCTTTGAATAGCTGTTGGCTGGGTTATTTTCATCGAACGTAGGGCTTCTACCAGCCATTTCGAAACTTTAAGATCAGAGAAATTACCGCTGTTTTCAGAGACGCTGGACATTAGACCTGAGGGACGTTTCCTTGTCTTATATTGTGTGAGTTGCCGTAAGCTGATAGTTTCTGGCACCGGTGAGATGAGATGAGATGAGATGAGATGAGATGATGTGAATGCTGCAAGTTAATTCTTTTTCCAGGTCTTGATAGTATCACGTGACATCTGATTCACATCAAGCCTTTCCGGCGCATACTGCCATCTTTTGCAATAAGACATCGATGTTCTGTCCCTTCAGAGCACTAACCGGCACGATATCCCAGCCTCGAGCTTCGCAAAATTGACGAATTTTGTTGAATTTGGTCTGACTGGCAGGATTTTCATAATCGATATCCGCCTTATTGCACACCACCAGAACATTTTTTTTGGAAACATCCTCAAGGCCACCAAGCTCTGAGATTAACAGGTTTAAATCCTCCAAGGGATCCTCATTTCCCAAGCTGAGCACAAATACCCAGCCTCGAGATCGCTGGATGTGTCTAATAAACTCAAGGCCCATACCTCTGTCATCGGAAGCACCCTTTATTATGCCCGGTATATCGGCAACGGTAAAACTGAGACCGTCAAAACCCCGTTCAACTGTTCCCACATTGGGATGCGTGGTGGTAAAGTCCCAATGACCTACTCTAGGTTTAGCGTTGGATATGCAGTTGAGAATAGTGGATTTACCAGCGTTCGGTAAACCAACCAAACCTAAATCTGCCAGAGTTTTCAGTTCAAACATGAAATGCTGTTCAAGGCCATCTCGTCCCACTTTGGCAAAGCGCGGGTTTCGGATAACGTTTGTGAGAAAGTGCATGTTTCCGAGACCACCTTTGCCACCTTTTAGGAGGCAAATAGGATTTTCGTTCGGCTTGTCTAGGTCTAGCCCACAAAGAGGAAATCTGTCATTTTTGAGCTGTGACTCGGCGGCTTCTAAATCGAAAACTTTCACTTTATCGTTCAGTTCTACAAACCACGGCTTTTCTTCGTGGTAGGCCTTGTCTTTGCCCTTAAAATACCAGCCCTCACCGGGCTCATAAGATTCACGGAATAACTGAATATGCGTGGGCTTTTGATCCATTTCAAAACGCCCTGTGCAATGTAAATTTACAGTCTTTTGATGGAGGGCATCTCGAAGAGCCGTCCTGTTAGCACCTCTCCAAGCTTGAACAGCATCACGAACGGTCAGCGGATCCATACACCATTTTATCACAGTGCCAACCGGAACTAGTATCAGAACATCCTTTCCACGAGCGCCATCGAGCTGTCTTGCAGCTCCATCTCCGCCGTCAGCGGCCCTATAACTCGTCTTCAATTTGGCAAGGCTATTCAATCCTTCGACAGCTTGAACGTAAATTCCACCACCATCTCCCCCGTCACCGCCATCAGGTGGTCCAATCGCCCTTCCTGCGTCTCTGAAGAAGGAAACGGAGCCGTTCCCACCTTTTCCGCTTTTTAATCTAAGTACTTTCAAATCGACAAACTCTTTAGCCTGGGCGTGCCGCTGGTTCTTCGGTTGTAGATAACTAACAGTGGTGAAGCGCGAAAGGGAAGCTTTTACGTTGATGTATGGAGTTTCGGGTGGTGTTGACATAATTTGAAAGGACGGGTCTACTTTCACGGAAGTTTCCACTTGCTGATTTATGGTTTCCGTCCTATTCTCGTCGGATACCAGGACCCTACGTTGGCCTTTTCCTAGGTTTCGAAGCCAAAACTCGTTATCAGAAGCTGTCGGTGCATTGTCCGGCGCATTTGAAAGCAATCTGCGAGCTTGCGGGTTTTGGAACACCCTTTGAAATGATCTCAGACTCATTATCTTACCATAGATTCTTTCTGATGCGTGCTTTGGCCAGATACTGCATCTGGCATCAGCGATGAGCTTTATTTTACGTGAGTCCACTGCGCTGAAGTTCAATTAACTTAAAGCAAAAGAACAATCACGTGATAGTATATCCATCATCATGAATCGGCAACATGTTGTGTTTGGTATGCATGCGACCTTAACGAGGTGTATTCTTGTTCTCGATGTTGACTGGATTTGGAGACATTCAGTTCATTTCAATGTCTTCTTCCCGGTTCACCGCTTCAAGTTGAGGTCTCAGCTTTTGAATTCGTTGAATTGTCTGGGTAATTGAGTGCGCGTCATCTCCAAACATTGTATCTTCCACGGACTCGTAATTATTCTTCCACTGAGTAACTTCCGCAGTCATACTTTTCAGCTTATCTCGCAAAATATGCTGGTTTTCTAAGGTGAACCTTGCTTTCTCCATTTTCATAGCGTCAGTCCAGCGGAGAAGTTGCCGCTTCAAGTCTGCCGTCTCTTCCAGATTTTCAGCTCCAACGGAATCGTAGGCTTTCAGAATTTGTTCTAGATCGAGATCTTCGTCTTGATGTTTGATAGCCCTGTCTGAAGCTAATGCGGGATCACACAACTTCGACGACAGTCTTCCCACGAGGTTGATGTGCTCCATGTGAAGGTTGTAGCTATCGCAAACCTCATATACCAATTGCAAGAGTTCTGACTCGTTTCCATCTTCATCAACCGATGCACTAAGCCTGCTTTTGGCTACGTCGGCTGACGGTCCCAATTTGAGTTTAGTATTGTAAGATTCGATGACATTTGTGTGCTCATCTCTAAGATTTGCCATGGACATTATGAATTCACCGAAAACAGATCTCATGGCGGTGAATGCTTCCCCCATTGCAGCATCGTCTACCGAGTTTTCAATCAATACCGTTAGATTATCGACTAACTCATTTGAATGCCGATAATTGACGTTCAAAAGTGCTAACAGTTCGTCTAGCATTGACTCAACGTTTTTGGAGTTCATTGGCAGCTTCTAGTATTCCAAGTGTCACTCAAAGATCCTCGTTTTCGTTACTTGTTCGAATATTTTGATATTTGTAAATTTGACTGTTTGTCGCTGTCAACTTGACCTAAAATTGCAGTTTTCAAAGAGTTTGTGAATAAGAACATCGCATCATCAAGCATAGCGGTAAATAAGCTCAGAGCTCAGGAAATATCAAGATATAAATCGAAATGGAAGAGCCATTTGTTCAACTCGTCAACGAAATAAAGACGGAGCTAACAGAATCAGCTTCACAATTATCGCGACTGAAGCTGTGTAACTCCGCAAAATGGTCTGCAGAAGCGCTGTGGGGGATGTGCGAAGTTGAGCCTATGGCAAGCCTCGCTGGCTCTTCAAAAATGGATGAGTCGCCATTGAGAAGTAGGTGTAATACAGGAGCTATCCTATCACAAGAATCACCGGAGAAAGCCGGTCCCAGTCTGGATAGCAACGAATACAATCAATATTTACTAGCGTCGACGCTTTTTGACTGTAAAGAATTCGATCGGTGCGCATATTTTCTGGCTGACAGCTATCATCCTGATCTGCTATTCTTGAAGCTCTACAGCAAGTTTCTCTCGTGGGATAAGAAAAACCAGGAAAGCGTGGAGAACACGCTGACAGCGAAGGACGTAAAGGGCGTCCATGGCATTGGTGGTGTCAATAGCGAAAGTAAAGGCAGAGACAAAATTGAAAGGCTTCGTGATCACGAAGCCGGAGACAATAGGCATTCGAAAAAATCTGCGGATCTCGACAATGGCGAGTCCACTTGCGTGGCGACGATATTAAAAGAGCTCAATCAATACTTATCCGAGAACCGAGAAGGATATGAAAAAGATGTTGGCGTAGGATTTGCTCTATTGCATTATTTAAGAGGGCTGCTTTACAAGTTACAGGATATTCCATCCAACGCTATCAGCTCGTTTTTAACTTCGCTGTCTCTTTTCCCATACAACTGGGCATGCTGGACTGAACTGATCAGCTGCATCTCGCGCTCAGACGAATCACTGCTGCTATTGAAGGTCCTTAATGAAAAGCTTACCTCCGAAAAGTCACAAATAATGCTCAAGTTCTTCAAATTATCAGTCTTCCAAGAATTCAACGGCAATATCGACGACTTTATACAGGAGCTAGACTACCTGCTTTCAATCTTTCCCCGATTTGCATTCTTGAAGACCCAACATGCTCTAATCAACTATCATTACATGGATTACGTGAGTGCCGGCTTGATTTTCGACCAGATCATAAAGCTTGATCCGTATCGTCTGGACGACATGGATACATACTCAAACATCCTGTATGTGATGCAGAAAACGTCAAAATTGGCGTATCTTGCCCAGTTTGCTTCAGGGGTAGACAGATTTCGGGCAGAAACCTGCTGCATAATTGCTAATTATTATAGTGCCAAACAAGAGCACGAGAAGTCCATCATGTACTTTCGCCGTGCACTAACACTTAATAAGAACAGCACGAGCGCTTGGACTTTGATGGGACATGAATTTGTCGAGTTGAAAAACTCTCACGCTGCAATCGAATGCTACCGGCGCGCTGTCGACATTAATCCACGAGACTTCAAAGCTTGGTATGGGCTAGGTCAGGCATATGAAGTGCTAGACATGCATCTATACTCATTATACTACTTCCAGAGATCTTGTGCGCTCAAGCCGCTCGACAAGCGAATGTGGCAGGCGCTGGCGAGCTGTTATGAAAAGGTTGACAGTATCGATGAGTCTATCAGATGCTACTCAAGGGCACTGCAATTATCTCTCAACAGCGACCAGGACATTTCGATTCTCTACCGACTTGCCGTCCTCTACGAACAGCTTCAGGAGGTTGTCACTTGTAGAGACTTCATGGCAAGGTGCGTAGAAGCACAGCAGCAATCGGATGGATTGATTAGTGATGAAATCACGAAAGCTAGCCTCTGGCTGGCTAGACATGAAGTAAAAAACAAAAGATTTGCAGAGGCATATAAGTATGCGCTCAAAGTGACGCATGGATCTTCTCAAGAAATAGAAGAGGCTCGTGCAATCGCTCGAGAGTGTAGAAGGCGAATGGATTAGCATTTACTGTCGTTAGTCTTTCTCTTTCACGTGACTGGTGATATATCTTGACCCATTAATCAAAATTTTTGGAACTCTGTTATTGAGTCGCTCACAATGAATACCTGAAAGCCAAGGTTCAAGCATTAGGTGGTAAGAAGTTCGAAAGACAGTGTGAGTCAGTTCACTCAATAGAACTTGGAACTCTACAATACACTTTTAAGACATACAGTAACATCATGAGCGGCCTACCACCGCCTCCCCCGCCCCCAGGGTTCAAAAAAGGGTCCTCATTACCGCCTCCACCACCACCACCAGGATTTAAAGGTTCCCGTCCCACGCCCCCAGGTAAGCTACTTCCAGTATCGAATACTTCACCGCATCTCAAAGGGAACGGCTCGTCTCAAACAGTTGATGGTGTTTCACAGGAAAGGAACCCTGTTGCATTCAGTCCATCCAATAGATTTAATGGGCATCCACTGCCCCCTCCCCCACCTCCTGCAAAGGCTCAATCCCCCTTTGACGTCAAAGCTTCCAAACTGCGGCAGCCAAGCTCGTCTTTACCATTTGATGATTCCTCAGTGAAAAGAAGAAAAAGGGCACCATCCGATATAGGTAGAGTTGGCATAACGATAGATGCACTAAGAATTAAGCGTACCGAATGGCTGAATCTACAAAGGAAAAGATTCCAAAGGAGGGAATCGCTGGCGAACGCCAAGGCAAGGGCACACAGGCGAGGACTGGTACACTCACACAAAGTAGACATGCCCCCAGAACACCTTAGGAAAATCATTAACGATCATCGAGATATGACATCTAAGCGTTTCGACCCTGACAGAAGAGCTTTTCTCGGAGCGTTGAAGTACATGCCTCACGCAATTTTGAAGCTCATAGAAAATATGCCCCAGCCTTGGGAACAGATGAGGGAAGTGAGGGTTCTGTATCACAGCACCGGTGCGCTAACTTTCGTCAATGAAATACCGCGCGTAATAGAGCCCGTTTTTGCTGCTCAATGGTCCACTGCATGGATTGCTATGAGACGGGAGAAAAGAGACCGGCGACATTTCAAAAGGATGCGTTTCCCGCCGTTCGACGACGACGAGCCTCCTCTCTCGTATTCCGAACACGTACAGCATATTGAGCCACTAGATGCGATCAATCTTAAGCTCGACGAGATCGAGGATGCCGCCATAAAGGACTGGATTTTTGATTCGAAGCCTTTAATTGAGAGTAAAGTTCATTTAAACGGCTCATCTTATAAAGGTTGGAAACTCGACTTACAGATAATGTCCAACTTGTATAGGATGACTTCGCCTTTACTCGAAGAAGATCAAGATGGTAATAGTCAGTACCTCTTCAACAAGGATAACTTTTTCACAGCTAAAGCCCTAAACAACGCTATTCCTGGCGGCCCAAAATTCGAGCCCTTATTCCCCGAGGACGAAGATGGCGATTACGATGATTTCAGCTCGCTTGATCGCATAATTTTTCGTATACCCTTGAAAACAACGTACAAGGTTGCCTTTCCTCATCTCTACAATCCTCGCCCTCGACAAGTCAGCCTCTCTTGGTACAGCGAACCCGTTTCTTGTCGTGTGAGCAGAAGCGGGGATGAAACTACTCATGCCTTTCGTTTTCACTCGACTTTCAACCTCATTAGGGTGGCACCGCAAAAGCCCGCTGGGATGGCTTTGAACAATGACTTTTGTCTCCATTCCGATTTTGAAGCGTGTCTGGAAGACTTAGATTTGGAGGCTCCTTTAACGCAAGATGCAATTTCCCTATATCATGCACCCTTTCCATTTAACAGGAGAACAGGCAAAACAACCAGGTCGCAAGATGTAGCTTTGATAAAAAGGTGGTTTTTACAAAAGCCAGAACATGATCTCCCTGTAAAGGTCAGAGTTTCCTATCAGAAGCTATTGAAGAATCAAGTTTTGAATGAGCTTAAAAAGTCAAACTCTTCACCTAGAGGCAAAAAGAAGCTGCTCAAAAGTCTACGGAATACCAAGTTTTTCCAACAGACAACAATAGATTGGGTCGAGGCGGGCTTACAGGTATGTAGCCAAGGCTTTAACATGTTGAACTTGCTCATTCATAGGAAGGGTCTCACCTATCTGCATCTGGACTACAACTTCAACTTGAAGCCGACAAAGACACTGACGACAAAGGAGCGCAAAAAATCGAGGTTCGGTCATGCCTTTCATCTAATTCGAGAAATTTTAAAAGCGACGAAGCTTTTGGTGGATGCTCATGTTCAATATAGGCTGGGAAACGTTGACGCTTTTCAACTAGCTGATGGAATCAACTATATTTTAAACCATCTTGGGCAGTTGACAGGTGTTTACCGGTACAAGTACAAAGTCATGCATCAGATCAGGGCTTGTAAGGATCTCAAACACATTATCTACAATCGTTTCAACAGAATAATCGGGAGAGGCCCCGGCTGCGGTTTTTGGCATCCCTCTTGGCGTGTCTGGATTTTTTTCATGAGAGGGATCATTCCCCTACTAGAGCGCTGGCTTGGAAATCTCCTCGCACGTCAGTTTGAGGGTCGATCTAGCGAAGTCGTCAAGACAGCGACAAAACAACGTCTAGACGCATATTACGATCTCGAGCTGAGAGCCGCGGTCATGAATGACATCCTCGATATGATGCCCGAAGGAATAAAACAGAACAAAACGAAAACAATTTTGCAGCACCTAAGTGAGGCGTGGCGATGTTGGAAGGCAAACGTTGCATGGAACGTATCGGGTATGCCAGAACCCGTCAAGGTTATAATCGAGCGATACATCAAGGCAAAAGCCGACGGCTGGGTGTCTGCTGCTCACTATAATCGCGATCGCATAAAACGTGGTGCTCATGTTGAAAAAACTGTGGTACGAAAAAATTTGGGGAGACTGACACGTCTGTGGATGAAGTATGAGCAAGAACGGCAGCAGAAAATTGAGCAGAACGGTCCAGATATTACTCCGTCTGCTGCCACAAGTATCTTTAGAGCAATGGTTAACTGGTTAGAAATTAATAACTTCTCTCCCATACCATTTCCTCCATTGACCTACAAGAATGACACTAAAATTCTAGTACTGGCGCTTGAAAATCTTAAGAATGCTTATTTCTCCAAGGTAAGGCTGAATGCAACCGAAAGAGAGGAATTAGCTTTGATTGAAGAAGCTTATGACAACCCTCATAACACGCTTAATCGTATCAAAAAATATCTTTTAACGCAGAGAGTTTTCAAACCTGTTGATCTTTCTATGAGAGATGAACTTCTTCAAATTTCCCCTGTTTACTCGGTCGACCCTTTAGAGAAAATCACAGACGCATATCTTGATCAGTACCTATGGTACGAAGGTGATCGAAGACATTTATTTCCTAACTGGATTAAACCTAGCGATACGGAAATTCCTCCATTGCTGGTCTACAAGTTAGCGCAGGGGGTAAACAACGTCAATGGTGTTTGGGATGTATCGAATGGTCAGTCAACTGTCATATTGCAGACAAAGTTGGATGAATTAGCAGAGAAGATCGACTTTACTCTACTCAATCGACTGTTGAGACTTATCATGGATCCTAACTTGGCTGACTACATCACTTCTAAGAACAACATAGTTCTGAACTTCAAAGATATGAGTCATGTCAACAAGTATGGCCTCATCAGAGGTCTCCAATTCTCGTCATTTGTCTTTCAATACTACGGGCTCATGATTGACCTTTTGATACTTGGTCCGGAAAGGGCATCCGAATTAGCCGGACCACCAAGTTCACCGAATGAATTTCTGCAGTTTAAAAGTCTCGATGTCGAAAAGCGATCACCACTCAAGCTTTATTGCAGATACTTCGACCAAATACATATTATCTTGCATTTTCAGGAACATGAAGCGGAGGAACTTGTTCAGGACTATCTTTCGGAAAACCCAGATCCAAACTTTGAAAATGCGGTGGGGTATAACAACAAAAAATGCTGGCCCAAAGACTCTCGCATGAGATTGGTTCGGGATGATGTCAATTTAGGCAGGGCTGTTTTTTGGGAGTTTGCTAGTCGCGTACCTTCATCATTAGCAAACATATCCTGGGAAAACTCTTTATCTTCTGTTTACAGCAAAACTAATCCCAATCTGTTGTTCACGATGTGTGGATTTGAAGTACGCATACTACCCAATGCAAGAATTGAAGAGATGATATCGACAGATGAAGGAGTTTGGGACCTAGTCGAGGAAGACACCAAACGACGGACGGCAAAAGCCTTTTTGAAGGTTTCTGACGAAGGCGTTGAAAAATTCAACAATACAATCAGAGGAATTTTGATGGCGTCTGGATCCACAACTTTCACGAAAATCACAGCGCGATGGAACACAGCTTTGATTTCTTTGTTTGCCTATTACCGAGAAGCCATTGTTGCAACAGGCTCTCTTTTAGATGTACTGGTCAAGTGTGAAACAAAAATTCAAAACAGGGTAAAGCTGGGACTCAACTCAAAAATGCCAACGAGGTTCCCACCTGCAGTTTTTTATACACCGAAGGAGCTTGGCGGTCTAGGCATGTTAAGCGCTTCCCATATTTTAATTCCGGCCTCTGACCTGAGCTGGTCTAAACAGACTGAGACGGGAATAACGCATTTCAGGTCGGGTATGACCCATGAGGAAGACAAACTTATTCCAACTTTGTTCAGATATATCACAACATGGGAAAACGAGTTCTTAGACTCGCAAAGAGTGTGGGCAGATTACGTCGCAAAGAGACAAGAGGCCCTGCAACAGAACCGTCGCCTGGCATTTGAAGAGTTGGAAGGTTCCTGGGATCGGGGTATTCCTCGCATTAGTACCTTGTTTCAAAAAGACAGGCACACACTAGCTTACAACAAAGGGTATCGAGCAAGGCTACACTTTAAGCAATTTTCATTGGAACGTAATAATCCGTTTTGGTGGACGGATACTCATCATGATGGTAAACTTTGGAATTTAAATGCTTACAGAACTGACGTTATTCAGGCTTTGGGAGGAATAGAAACAATTCTTGAGCACACACTTTTCAAAGGCACGGGATTTAGCTCTTGGGAAGGTCTTTTCTGGGAAAAGGCCTCTGGATTCGAGGACTCCATGCAGTTCAAAAAATTAACTCACGCTCAGAGGACAGGTCTAAGTCAAATTCCCAATCGTCGTTTTACGTTATGGTGGTCACCAACAATTAATAGGGCCAATGTTTACGTTGGTTTCTTGGTCCAGCTGGATCTGACAGGAATTTTTCTGCACGGAAAAATTCCAACCCTTAAGATCTCACTAATCCAAATATTCAGAGCCCATTTGTGGCAGAAGATTCACGAAAGTATTGTTTTCGATATTTGCCAGATCATCGACGGTGAAATCGACACGCTACAGATTGAGTCTGTAGACAAGGAAGCAATTCATCCGAGAAAATCATACAAAATGAATTCGTCTGCTGCGGACGTTTTATTGAAGAGTAACTATTCTTGGAATGTTACCAGGCCTTCTCTTCTCCATCAGTCAAATGACACGTATGATGCAATCAGTACAGGAAAGATGTGGATCGACGTGCAGCTTCGTTATGGTGATTATGATTCTCACGATATTTCAAGATACGTGAGGGCCAAATTTCTGGACTATACAACAGACAATGTCAGCATGTATCCTTGTCCTACAGGCGTAATGGTGGGTATTGACCTTGCGTACAACATGTACGACTGCTACGGTAACTGGTTCGAGGGGTTAAAACCATTATTGCAAAATGGTTTAAAGACAATAATGAAGGCAAATCCCTCCCTGTACGTCCTCCGAGAGAGAATTAGAAAGGGGCTTCAGATTTATCAGTCTCAAACCCAAGAGCCTTTTTTGAACTCCTCAAACTATGCAGAATTGTTCTCAGATGACACGAAGTTCTTTATTGACGATACGAACGTGTACAGAGTAGCTGTGCACAAGACTTATGAAGGAAATATTGCAACCAAACCCATTAACGGCTGCATCTTCACATTAAATCCCAAAACGGGAGAACTCTATCTCAAAATCATCCACACCTCAGTGTGGGCAGGTCAAAAACGTCTGAGTCAATTAGCGAAATGGAAAACTGCAGAAGAAATTAGTGCTTTGATAAGGTCCCTACCAAAAGAGGAGCAGCCCAAGCAGATCATTGTTACAAGAAAAGCAATGCTCGATCCCCTCGAGGTGCACATGCTAGACTTCCCCAACATATCCATTAGACCAACAGAGTTGAAGCTACCATTTTCGGCTTCATTGGCAATTGAAAAACTATCTGACGTTGTTTTGAAAGCTACTGAGCCACAAATGGTTCTCTTTAATATTTATGATGACTGGCTTGACCGCGTTTCTTCATACACGGCTTTTTCAAGACTGATTTTGTTACTAAGAGGATTACGGACCAACGAGGAAAAAGCTCAGATGATTCTAAAAAGCGATCCAACGATACCTACCAAAGAGTATCATGTATGGCCTTCTTTCAATGATGATCAATGGATTGAAGTTGAAAGTAAAATGCGTGATTTGATTTTGGACGAATATGGAAGGAAGTACAATGTCAATATTGCATCATTGACACAGACGGAAATCAAGGACTTGATTTTGGGCCAAAACATCAAGGCGCCATCTGTGAAGCGACAGCAAATGGCAGAAATTGAGGCTGCAAAATCTTCAAACAACAATGCCAATGCTGATGAGCAATCTGCTGTAGCGACAAAGATAAAACAGACAAATGCGCAAGGTGAAGAAATTATGGTCGTTACATCTACCAACTTTGAGAATCAAACATTTAGTTCCAGCAACGAATGGCGCCAAAGGGCAATATCAAACTCGTTACTATACATGCGCTTAAGAACGATCTACCTTTCGTCAGAAGATTTCGTAGAGGAGAAAAACGTTTACATTCTGCCAAAGAATCTTCTGAAGAAATTTGTTGAGATTTCGGATTCCAAAGCGCAGGTGGGAGGGTTTATTTTTGGTAGCTCCGCGAGAGACCATAAAAGGGTAAAAGAGATCAAGACAATAGTGATGGTGCCTCAACTTGGTAACAGTCATACAATTCAGCTTGGTAAATTGTCAGAAGAATCACCATATCTTCAGAGCTTGGAGCTGCTTGGATGGGTGCACACTAATGGTGAAGAGCTTAAATACATGACGTCCGCCGAGGTGTCCATTCACTCCAATCTTTTTCAGAATCGTCAAGATGCCATAGATTTGTCAGTCTATCTCAACCCGGGTTCAATCTCGTTGTCGGCTTACACATTGTCAAAGGAAGGATTTGAGTGGGGCTCCACTAATCAAGATCATTCAGCCAGAACTCCAGAGGGCTTTGAGCCAACTTACAGTGAGCATGCGCAGTTGATGCTTTCTGACAGAATCACTGGTTATTTTCTGGTGCCTTCTTCAGACATTTGGAATTATGCTTTCATGGGCGCAGCGTTCGATTCAAGAAAAACAAGTACTCTTAAGCTTGATGTGCCACTTGAGTTTTACAATGAGATGCATCGTCCTGTTCATTTTCTGCAATTTGGCGAGGTGATGGATAATGAAGATCTAGAACCTGATCAAGAAGATGTCTTTGGTTAATGCTGGCTTGAAAACGGTAAATATTATAAGATAGTACAGAACAGTAGCGAGACCCATTGACGAGACCAAGTCTATCTTTGAACCTCATCGCGTCACCGCTTTATTTTGGTTCATGGTAAGCATATATAATTAAGAAAACTAATATCGTCTCAACTCGAAATACAAGCGATGAGCATAAAGAAGTTTGGCTGAATAAAATGCCAATGAAAGATAATCATGGCGTCGATGTGGAAAACAGCACATACGTCAAATCCAATACAGGAGAGTCACATCTTTCTTTAGCAGACAGAAAAAACGCACTGTTGAAATCTATCTCTGAGAGAAAGGCAAAACTACGAAACGACACTATACTAGCTGAAAAACGAGAAGATGTCTGCAATGCAATTGACGACGTTGTAAGACTAGGCTATACTTTTGAAAATCTCAAGGATTCTGGTATAAATGCTCAGTTTTTGAGGGAAGCATTCGAAAGCACAGGTCGAACGGTTCCCATAGCGGAAGATATAATAATTGACACAGCGGAAGAAACAGAGACGGAGAAACCCAAACAGCCGGATTCAAAACACGTTGATCATTTTGTCACTGCCAAACTCAACCAAAAACATACAACGCATCCGACCAGTGCACGACCCCGAAAAAACCATGATATGACCAGGGTACGACCTAAATGGCTCGCAAATCTTGTGATCGACCTGACAAGCAGTGAGGATGACTCGGACCATGAGCTGCTGGATCGGAAACCTACAACATACGCCAGCACTCGCGCTTCACCGGAAACTCAGATAATCAACGTGAATTCTGAAGTCAGTAGGATCAGCATGCGTTTGAAGATTGAAATCTCACGATTAACCCACCGAATTCGCGCCGCACAAGACCTGCCGATCAACGATGCACTAATAACGTCGCTAGAAGACAAGAAAAATACCATGCTTGACGATATCAATGGTCTGTTTGACGAAATTGCAGCCAACAAGAAGGGATGAAAGAAAGGAAAATGAAAAGGAGCTTTCTGACAAGGCACATTACTAAACTATAATACTAAATATATTGGAACCTCTATCCTTGAGATCTTCCCTACTTTTTGCCCAAATTTTAGCATCTTTTTTATAAACCAAATGGCAACAACTTTAGCTTTCAAACAAAAGCCATAAAAACCCTCTCGAAGAGCTCATATTGCTGGTATTCTGCGCCATTAGAACTCAACTATACCATCTCTTCAAGTATCTCTCTAGCCATTTTTGATCTTGAACGCGCTCCTCGAGTCCTTAACATATGTACTCATTGTCACCTGATGAAGGAATGCTAGCTCAATTTAACTTAAATAGTGAAGTAGATCAAGAACTGCATCGATCAAGACTACAACTCAGAAGAATCCAGTTACAGGTTATGCTCACCATCCTGGAACTAGACCCAAGAACTGCATAAATGGGAGGCAGAGAAGCGAAGAAAAGAGGGCCAAGTCCGTTTGCTTCACCCGAGCGTTTGTGTTTAATAGAAGAAAGTATTCCCGGTGATGAGAAAGCCTCGGCGGTAAGCTCAGGTACCAATAAGAGAGCCTCAAGGATCAAGAAGAAGTACAAATTTACTCCACTTGACACCATCAGCGACAAAAAAGATAAGAATTCGGTGCAACCTGGATCTCTGCGATCCATTTCCTTGTCACAAGTGCGGAAATCCACAATTGATAAAAGCTACGCCGCGCGTTTCTCGCGAGACGATGCGGCTTTCAAAGCTACAGTAGCCCTCAGACCTTTGAACGGGGTTCAGGAAACTGATTCTAAACTGCATAAAGATACAAATAGGCCGGAAGAAGTGGTTTGGCAATATTCGCCGAAAAAAAATACGAGGAGTGATGCAGGCTCAGAGTTGGACCATGAATATCGATCGCTTTCTGAAGATAGCGTAGTGGAGCAAGCTGTTAAGGAATCGTCCACTCCAATTGTTCCAAACAAATACAGGAATGTGTTGAATTTGCGACATGTTGATCAGGTTCAAGGGGAAGAAACTGCTAGTCTTGCGTCAAGAAATCCCTCGCTGCAAAAAAACTCACTTCCGAGGTCTTACGATAATCTGTCACCCTCCAGGCCCTCTACGCGCGACATTGATGAGATAATCAATGATTTAGAGTGTCATTCTGGCTTGAAACCACCTTTTCAGGCGAAGGATATACCTTCCTCACCAACCTTGTCCTTTTCAGAAAGAGCACAGGTCAAGGATGCACAAACAAACCCACAAATGCACATTACAAAAAGCCCACCTGAGCAAATTTCACGTCTTCAAAAAGAAAACCAGCCTGCCTATGAAGTTATACGCGAGCGAAGCAAGACTCCCAACTCTCTGCTTTCATCACCCGCGACTAGAGTATCAGTGGAGAACACTGCTGATGTACAAAAGGGGAAGAGTAACCACGAAGCTTCCATCAATGGCGCAGGCGAGGCCGGTGATGACGACGCCCGGGAAAATGAGGGAACTAACGACAATAGTGAAATGAATAATGACAATGATGATGAGAGCGAAGATGATGACGATGAAGACTGTTCATTGATAGAAATCTTGACGCAGAAATTTGGAGCCAGTGAAAGTAACAAGCACACGGCAGCTTCTTCGAAAAGCATTTCAAACTCGATTTCCAATTCTTGCGACTTATCTTCAGACGACGCAATCGATGATTCTTTGCTTGAACTGTTACAATCTGCCGATAAAACACCTACGACTGCTTTACACCGAAATGAAGAACTGGAGTCCGAAATTCAAGTAGTTGAGCAACAATTCTCCCAAACGCTTAATGTAAAGGAGCAAAATCTAGAGAAGCCAAACATTGGAGAGGATCTCTTAGAGCGGGCGCAGTTTGCTGCTCACAGGAAAGATATGAACAGGTTGGTGATTGTGGAGATCGAAGATCATCATCTAAGAAGCAGCATCAGGCAAAAGGTTCTCAAATGCGTGGATAGCGAGAGTAAAATATCCAACCTTGTGGTACGAACACCATGGGTGGATTTACCTTTTGAGCGGGGTGACGTTGTTCATACTATCCCAGGGCGTAATTCTGTTAATAAAAGACTATTTTCCAATGACAAGGAACCAGGAACGGAGAAGTTGAATGATAATCTGTTAATCCTCAACCCCGATATCCTTCTAGCGGCTACTACAATCGGAAAAGCAGTGGAATGTCAACGAAAATCCATAATCGCTACGCAATTTAATGGGCCAGGTGAGGCAAGTCTGCCAGCTTTGATTGGGTCCATTGTTCATGAACTACTTCAGGCATGTCTTCAGTACAAGCTCGACCATCATAACCTGCCAGATGATTTTGTGAATACCAAACTTAAGTCTCTATTAGAGTATTACGCTGCAGACATAACTCTTTGCCAGACCACTCAACAGCAGCTCTCGGAACAGATTGCACAAGATCATCTCATGAATATCAAAGAGTTCACGAGGAAATACGTGAAAAGCCAAGAATACGTCAAAGCGCTCGGAAGAAATAAAGTGCCTTTTGAAATCTCCAATATTATCGACATTGAGGAGAATATTTGGTCACCAATGTATGGACTTAAAGGATTTATCGACGCAACAGTGGAAACGCGATTCCCAAACAATTCAAGATACATTTCGCCATTGGAGCTAAAAACCGGCAAGACAAAAGCCATAAGTCATGAGGTACAGGGAAGCATCTACACGCTACTGCTGAATGATCGTTACGAGCTTCCTGTCAATTTTTTTCTTTTATTTTACACTAAGTCGAATGACTTCAGTAAGCAAAACACCTTACTTACTTCTATCAAGCATCTGCTTGTGCTGAGAAACCGCGTTTCCGCGTTTTTGAAACATGAACTAAAAGAAATAGCGGGTACACAGTGGAATGGTACTATTCTTCCACCAATTTTGCGTAGTTCGGAGTGCGATAAATGCTATTCAAAAACAGAGTGTATGGTTCTGAACAAGCTCTGTGACGATGGAAATGCAGCTGATAGCGGCCTCAAAGATGGTGAATATGATGCGATCACAAGTCATCTCCAAGAGAATAAGAGTCGATACAAGGACTTTTACATGAAGTATGAGGACCTCATAGTGAAAGAAGAGTCGAGCCTGAACGGTGTCAACAGAAAAGTTTTCCTTCTTGACAGTCGAACCAGAGAGTCGGTAAGCGGAAAGTGCCTAAGCAGCCTCCGCATCAAGAGCTCAGAAGACTACGAATTTAACAAGCAAATCTTATACACCTTTGTGAGGAAAGATGGAAACTCGAATTTACCGCTTATGACAGCATCACAACTGTCAGTTAATGACATTGTAATAATAAGTGATGAATCTGGTCATTTTGCGCTCTGCACTGGCCGTGTTACAGTAATAGCCCGGCATGAGATTACCGTAATGACCTCGAGAAGAATAGAGAACAACAATATTCATGTACCTGGATTTGAAAAAGAAACAAATCAGACACTGAGAACCGTTCTCATACCTACCTCTGAACCAAACCAAACTCGCCAAGATAGTTTGAGCTACCGGATTGATCGAAATGAGGTACAAAGGGGAATGGCTATGGCTAGGTTCAACCTTCTCAATCTTTTTCTTCCTCCAGTTCCTAAAGGCTCGATTACAATTGATGAGGTCACCGGGAAAGAAATTGAGGTCAAACCATCGCTGGGCGGTGACATGAGATCTCGAGAATTTCTGATTGACGATAAAGCGCCTAAATTCAGATCAGGTTCTGATCCACCTGTTGTAAATTACAAAGATAAATTAAGTGCCGCATTTAATGTTGATCAGCAAGCTGCATTCAACAAGGTCATGAGAGCAGAGGATTTTGCTCTGATCTTGGGTATGCCCGGCACCGGTAAAACGACCTTAATCGTCGAAATTGTCAGAACTCTTATTGGGTGCGGCAAGAGCGTTTTACTGACCTCATACACTCATTCTGCCATTGACAATATTCTAATCAAACTCAAGCAATACAAAGTTGACATACTGAGACTCGGCGCCAAGCACCGTGTGCATCGAGAAACGCAAGAATTCATCCCCGACTTATCTGCTGTCAAAAGTTTCAGTGAGCTTGTGGACTTGGCAGAAAGAGCTCCTGTTGTTGCCACTACGTGCCTTAATATCTATGACACCCTGTTTTCGGTGAGACGAAAAGACTTTGACTATGTCATTGTAGATGAGGCAAGTCAACTATCATTGCCAATGTGCTTGGGACCCTTGAAATTTGCACCTAAATTTGTTCTGGTAGGAGACCATTATCAGTTGCCGCCTTTGGTTAAGAACAGTGCAGCGCGAGCCGGCGGATTAGATGAGTCTTTGTTCAAAATTTTATGTGAGAAACATCCTAACAGCATGGTAGAGCTGACATACCAGTATCGGATGTGCGAAGATATCATGACTTTACCTAACTACTTGATTTACGACGGGAAGCTCAAATGCGGAAATGAAGAAGTGCGTAAACAAGAACTTAATACCCCGACGATTGCAGATTTGATGAAATTGCAGAGATTCAATGCATCAGACACTTGGCTGGTCAATGTGATAGAAAAAAAACGGAAGGTTATTTTTTTGGATCATGATGAGTGTTCGAGCTGTCAAGAGACTGGAGAGCGGGATAACATCACAAATCTTGGTGAAGCAGAAGTGGTCTGGCAATGCGTTGCGGGTCTGGTGAAAAGTGGGGTGCAGAGGAAAGATATAGGTATCATGACCTTATATCGTGCACAACTTCGACTGTTGCGAGCAATATTCAGTGGCGAAGAGGATGCGGAGCTAGAAATCCTAACTGCAGATCAGTTTCAGGGTCGCGACAAAAAGTGTGTGATCATATCGATGGTTCGCAGTAATGACGGTGTCAGTGGTGGAAGTTTGCTGCGGGAGCTGCGACGGGTGAACGTTGCGATGACGCGGGCCAAGGCCAAGCTGCTTATTGTGGGGTCAAAGCGCACAATTAGCTCCGTGGACACCATTCGCGGGTTTATGGAATTGCTCGAAACGCGAGGTTGGATATACACGCTTCCTGCAGACTGTTTACAGTGCTACAATTTGCCAAGGAAAACCGGGTCTAAGAGGTCAACAAGCCAACAGAAAAAAACAAGTCTAGCCATATTACGGGCGACTCAAAGTTTGCACAAAACAAACCCATTGTGCGTGACGTGCTTAATGGGATGTGAGTCGACAATGACTCTTTTTAGAGGTCTTTCCCCAGGTAGGCTGTGTGACAAGCGCTTATGAAGCACCTGCGATAACACGTGAATGTCACGCTACCGGAGTTTTAACACACCCGTACCCATTGTGTCACGTGGCTCTTTCGTTCCGTCTCGGAATTTTTTCTCCTACGCAGTTATCCGTGCCGAGAAACAAACCGCGCGAGTTGTTAAAGGTTACGAAACCCACAATATTAATTATTAAAACTAACAAGGTCGGTCTTTTTCAAACTTGTGTCCTATTTAAAGCCAGAAGACAAAGGAAGCGTAAAACGGTTCTTGGACAGTGCGAAAAAGATCAAACACTTGTTTGCGGCCAATCATTCACCTTCAAAGTCGCTGAAATCCTTTTCAGCTTTTCTTTGCGCTTCATTTGACACCAAATTCGCCCTGTCAGCAGTATTTTTGGTTTCCTTTTGGTAAGTTTCGCAGGATTCTTGATGAACACGGAGTCACAAATGCAAGAGGTGGCCAATGAACTAGCAGAAACGGGAATCTCGTCACCGAAATCAGTGACAGACAGTCGCTCGGAAAGCAATTCGCCCAGTTGTTCTCCCGGAACGCCTACACCGAATTCGAGTGCTTTGCAATTGGACCAGTTGGCCAACACAAACTTGCTGACCGTACGCATAAAGTGGAATGATTCAGTGAGAGCTCAGGATGGAGGTGTAGAGGATAGTGTGGCGCAGCACGGTGGTCGGAATGCAACACCGGCTTCCGTGACATCGACGCTAGCTGCCGTACTACATGCGCATCGTGGGGTGCCCGTCAATCCTTCGTTGATTGAGAATTACGAGTACTTAAGCGACAAGAGTAGACACGAAGTGCTGGAGGACAATCGGGACGTTTACGTCCATGAATCTGGGTCGACCGATGTGGAACAATGGCCCACAACGGGACCAGCATCGTCTGTTTCCGCTTGGCCTTACGATTTTGTCCTACAAAGCCAGTTCAAACACTGGGAAGACCTAGTGGTAGCACGCGACGCCGTGCTAGATGAACTTCGAACCCTAAGCAATGGAGGCAAGGACAGCAAGGACGAAGACGATAACGACGACGACAATGACAACGACGACGACGACGAGAGCAACCAAAAAAATGCTTTATCGCCATTAGCGAAATGGTCTGTTACCGAAAATGCGCACGGCTTAACGCATCCTGGGAACCTGTATATCAGAGGGATTCCCAAAGATTTGACGGTGGATGATTTGATACCGGTTCTGTTGAAGTTTGGTCCCGTTATGGCGCTAAAAATCATTTGCGACCCAAATACGGGCGAATCGCTGGGTTACGGGTTTTTGTCGTATCCATTGGGTTCTCAAGCCTCGCGCTGTATCAAAGAACTAAACGGTAATCTAATGAACGGGTCGCCCTTGTTCGTCAATTATCACGTTGAGCGCAAAGAGCGCGAACGTGTACATTGGGATCACATCAAAGAGGACAATGATGACGAACGGTTCCGCGGCGTGTTTATAGGAAACTTGCCCATCCAGAATGATAAAGGCGAGCTGGTAACGCCCGAAGATGTGGTCTCGAGATTTCAAACTGCTTTTGCTGACGACACCGAGCCCTTTGAGGTTTTATCGTACTACTTGCCCAAGCGCAACAGCGAAAGTGAGGTGGAGTACGACGACGAAAATGACGAGAAAATTGACGACGTGGAAACTTGCGCCGGACGCCACGAGGCTAGTCCTCTCAAAGGTTATGGTTTTATCAAATTTGGTTCGCATGCGCAAGCGCTGCGAGCTATTGATAAATTCCATGATTTTGAATGGCTCGGTAACACACTGGTTGTGAACAAAGCCGTCCAATCTAAGTCTCACCATTATAATCACCATCATCATCACTACCACAGTGCAAATCATTACCAAAATAATAGCCACCATCATCATCACAAGCCTCGTCGGCACAGCGAACGGCCATCTGGTTCCAGACAATCTAGTCTCACGAACCTTTCATTTTACTCCCCATTCAATGGACCCCAACCAGGACTCGGCTTCCTGGCCAATCAAGTGCCCATGTACGCGCATGCAGGTGAATTGGATCCTCACGACACCTCGGTAGGCTTCTCTCCCATTCCTTCACCTTCCCCTAACGGTAATTACGTTGCCTCGGGACAATTGCATCACACAGGATTTGGTGCCGCTCCATCATTGAGCACAACGCCTGAAGACTCTACCGCGCCCTCATCTCGAAATGGTTCCATTTACCAGATCCAAGCCCAAAACGGGATGCTACCGCAACCTCCCTTCATATTGCCTATTCCTACTAAGGACCAACAGGAATCGAATCTCTACGTGAAGCACCTGCCATTGACTTGGAAAGATGAAGACTTCCATCAATTCTATGAGAAGTTTGGGGAAATTATTAGTGCGAAAATCATAACAGTGGGTGGTAGCAAGAATGGTGAAGTGTCTAATAACCTGTCCCCTTCAAAAGCCACCGAATCTCCACTGGGCACTTCGAGAGGTTACGGATTTGTTTGTTTCAAGAACCCACTTGATGCTTCAAGAGCAATGATGATTACAGACCGGTACCAAGTGGACGAGAACCACACCTTGTACGTTTCATTTGCTCAAAAGCGCTCCAAATCCGTAAGCAACGGAGATGCAATGCATACGCCGTTCAACGAAAACCGAGTCAGCGCCACACGCAAGAGTTTTCATCATCACCCAAACTCGAGGCCCGATTTTTTTGGGAAATACAATTCAAAGTTTTTGAATGCAATGATGCATCAACAAAGTGGGAACAAGCAAGCCGCTAGGCCTCGTGGCAGTTGGCCGGTCGCTATGGGTGTTCCAATGGTTCCACCTTATCCTGTTACGATGGTTCCGCCAATTGGACCAGGGGTACCAATCCAATCGAACCCGATGGTCCCAGGTTTGAACAGGAACGGCAGATGGAATCGAAATGAAAGTAATTGAGCCGAAACTAAGGCTAGAAATGAACTTTCACTCTTGAACGATATTCTGCACAGACTAAAGAGATATATAGCGTCAAAAAAAAGTTATCTTCTTGTTACAAGTGTTATATGAATGATGGAGGACGGAGTGGAAGGTACTGCGGGGAGTATCTTAAAGCGCGACTTCCTGGAAACTCTTGATATAATACATATATATGTGTGTGTGTTTATCCCTTACGTGCTGTACTACCGGTACAAAATTGTACAAAGCTCCGTTCTATTGATTTTATTTGCCACGCCTGTGTTGCTGATATCCGTATCGTTGCGTTTGGTTTCCTATTGTTACAATGCGCGAACGATTGTTAAAATGAGCAGGTCAGAAAGAAGATATCAATGAGAATGTCACTTCTTTTATTGAATCAGATTAAGGACCTTCAAGAAATGGTAAGCGATGCATCCTAATTGAGTGCATCATTTTCTGGATGGGATGGTATTAAACCCATTTTCGGGATCCGGTTGTGAGAAAGACCCCCAATAGGTGGATGAAGAAGATCTCGCATTACCAACATTGCTGAAACGAGGGTTACTGAAAATAGAGCTTTTTTGAGTTGAAAAACTCGGTATTCTGCTTGACCCTAGGCCGGAAGGATGCGAAAATGAGGACCCAACACTACTGAAGCTTGAATGTGCTGAAAGCCCTGGGTGTTTGGAGAAAGTCCATCGGCTATCGAGATTTATTATTTCATTTTTCAAACTCTGTAACGTTGCAGATATTCTTTCGGCATCTGCAGGAGTCTGGGGTGGGAAGTTTTGAAGAACGTCGAGTACGGTGACCATACTGCGTTGTATGAGGTTAGAGTTTGCTTGAAATTGCTGAAGACTTGCGTTGGATGCCATAAATGCGTTGGAGGGCACGGTGTATGGGAATTGCGGCAGAGAATCCACAGAGTGTTGTGAGTTGTGGCGGGATGTGCTGCTGGTTTGATGTGGCGAAGGTGGGGACCGCGACAGGTCGTCGTTGCTGCTGTGTTGTGTTTGTGGGGTAGCCAGCGGTTTTAGGCTTGGCAACGGCGATTGGTTGTGGGTGGCTGGCAAATCTCTTGCGTTGGCAACGGTGGAGCCTGGCCGAGAGGAAACGGCGGACGACGAGGACGGCGGCAGTATGGAGGTCGCCGTTGTTGCTGTTGTTGCTGCCGATGCTGCTGCTGCTGCCGCTGCTGCTACAGAGCCATCCACGTAGTTGATGCAAACCGGTGACAGCACGTTTTTGCGTTTCCCGTTTCTGCCCACTCCGCCGCTTTTGCGCTGGATGCGGTGCAGGTCCGATGCGGTGCTATTGCGGTGGAACAAGCCTGAAGGGTGGGCAAAACTCCAGGCCAGTTCTGTTTTGCCCATGTTGGTGGTGGCCGCGTTGGTCGTCGTCGTGGCGGCTAGCTTGTGGAACCCGTACATGTGCAGTTGTCGCACGAAGCTGGAGACGTTGCCGTGTTTGAAGAACCGGCGAAGCACGGCGCCGGCGAAGCCGGCGTCGTGTGGCCGGATGAGAAACACCCCGACGTGTTCGTGTTCGTGCTCCTGCTCCTGCTCCTGTCCGTGCCCCTGCTCGTGGTCCTGTTCCTGCTCGCTCCAGCGAATCCACGTTTGCAGCTCCGGGTGCTGCAGGATCGCGTGCAGTTGGTGTATAAACGTTTTGGACTGCATTGGAAACGGCGGCGAGGCAGCGAGTGTTAGCGTGAGGGTGTATGTGTGTGTGTGTGTGTGCCGTGTGTGGGCGTGCTTGCGTGCTTGCGTGCTTGCTCTGTCGCTCGGCTCGAGTAGACGAAGTTTCTCGTGTTTTTCAGCGCTCTTTCCCAGCGTTCAACACCAAGGCTTCTCCAGCTATTATTTTGACTTTAATTTTAAACTTCAATTTCACCATCACTTTCGTTTTCTAAATCCGATCGCGATAGTTTTAACAATGGCCGAAGAAGACGAAGTGACGAAGTGACGAAGTGACGAAGTGACGAAGTGACGACGATGACAACGACAAAACACCAACGGGCGCCGACGAGTACTGGCGGCGAGTACCGGGAGGAGGAAAAGAAAAAAAAGAAACGAGAAAAAAAGAAAAAAGAAAAGAGGGAAAAAAGAAAAAGAAAAAGGTCGGCACAAACACGCCGTGCTTGGTTTTTTGGTTTTCTTTTTTCTTGGTTTCTTTTTTATTTTGTCTTTTCTTCTCTTAAATCCGCAATCCCGGTTTTTGCAACAAAGTAAGACCGTCGGCTTTGATTATTTTTTTTTCACACGCAGCAATGCCGTAAGTATGAGAGGCGTTAGTTCCCCACCTATTATTGCTTAGAGAAATCAGAATGCAGAATGCAGCAGAAAGCTTAGCGGGGGGTGCGGGCCGAAAGCCAAGACAAGAGATTTTGTCCTTCCAAAAATCGGTTTCTTTCTAACGAGTCGCGTGACTCTGACTGTGGCTTTGGCCGGGTAATTGGTGAGGAAGATGAGTACACAAAAACCAAAATCACGTGGTATGCATACCGTATAGTTTAGCTAGACTAGTTTTAGCTGGACCGGGGTAGCTCGCTAGCCTGTTCGATACTGCACTCACATCCGGATCACAAACGGATCTCTCCTAATGTAAGCGTGAGCGATCCATTTTGTCGCAAACTGGTGGTTCCATCTTGATTGGGAGCATCAGTCATTGAAGTAGTTAGTAATTAGTATTTAGTAGCAGTTTCCACACGAGCTGCTTTTTCTTTCGAAAAAGAGCCCAATCATCAAGTTACCGTGTTTGAGCTACCACTTTTCGAACTCCACGTGTGTTACTCTCCTAACTCGCAGCTTTTTTCTCTCACTCTCTCTCTCTCTCTTTCTTATAGTTCATAACACTCAATCTTTCAAACACAACAAAATCCTTAAACACCCAACTTCAAGACGCCAAACTCCCATGCTCCCCACAAGTCAAAACTCGTTGTGAGACTCTGGTTGAGTCTTTAAAGTGTTGTAGAACAACAGCTGTTCCATACCCCGCGCAATGCGTTCCCTTGAGATTGGGCGGCTATTGTGTAGCCGATAAGTTTATTCTTGCGTCCTGTTTTAAAATACACAGACAGACAGAAAATGGATGAATAGTGCCCTTTTATAAGAGTTTTGAGGACCATTCCACCATCAATGGAAGAGAGAAGCTCGTGGTGGTGGGAAACCTTTCGTTTTTCGCATTATCATGGACGACAAGAAACATGAAAGGTCTTTGTGGCTCAAAGTTAATTTTCTTAATCGATTTTGTGTCGCTGGCACGTGTCACGTGCCCCAGATCATTTTGGCCTGAATGTAACGTCAAATCTGTCAAAGGTAAATGCGACAAATGTCATTACTGCATTGGTGTTTTTCCTGCTCAATCTTTGGCCAGCGTTTGAAACAACGCAGGTCATTGTTATCAATTTCATTCCAGACTTCCCTTCCTGCGACCCTCCCAATTGTTCAATTTAATTCCGTCACCTCATTTACACTTTCTGAGCTAAATGACCAGCAGATTTTCCATATAAAGCAACGAACTTCAAAAAATTGGCAAGGACTCAAGAAGATCAAGTGGCAGTCAACAATGCTCGCTCTCACTTGTATTGGCTAAAACCGTTTAATCTTCACTTGTAAACATTTAAATTCGAAACAATTTCACGCTAAATGACATTTTTCTCACATTTTTGTCACATTTTATCCACAACCACTTCTCTAGTTTATCATCTTGCCCTCTGCCCTGTGCCCTTTAGCCTGTGCCCTTTAGCCTGGGTTTTTGTTAAGGTGGTAGATATCGCATAAAGATCAAATAGTCCGGCCTCAGAGAGTCATTTTCAACGGGGATGATCCGAATACCTACAAGTGGACCCCAACCGGGTCGTACCTATATACGGAATGGGTCCATAGATCGGGATCCCACTGTGAATAATAACAAGTGAAGAGACTAGGCGGATACTTCTAAAAAACATAAAAAGTGTTAATTCCGAATTCGAATTCGCTGTCAATGCCCAGAACTAACAGTGATTTATCATTGCTATTCTAACTGTTTTATTCCAGAATGGATCCCTGTAGTGGATCCCAGAGTGGATACCAAATTGTGCAAATCAGGTACTTTTCAGATACTTGGCTCATCACACCCGAGTTTAGTAAATACGAACTTTCTGATTATCACACATCCAGCTGAACAAAGCTTTCCTGTAAAAAAACATGCTCAATATATAGGTGGGCGCATTGACTCGCTACTTATACACACGCATTCTTTTATTTCAACTCGGCGGCGAATCTTTATCACGTGACTCTGCAAAGCTGATAAAAAACAGGTCTATTTGGTGTTGGAATGTGAGAAAGTTTGAATATGTAGCTTTCGCGACTTGCACTGCACAAGATCCGGCTAATTCGAGACCAAACCGTACATCGCTCTCTTTTCGGGCTCGAGAAAAAAAGTCGTTCGTTGGAAACGATAAAGGTCGCTGAGATTTTGTTTTCTACGCACCATCAGTATGTAACGCTATCTCAGCGACACTGCTTGCAAATTTCAATGCCCAGGATGGTTTTTGGACCGTAATGAAGTTTCAAACGCATTGTCAAAATCTGTATTGGTTGATTTCTTGCATTCAAGAAATCGCGTCAGTATTTGAAAGAATGATTTCCTGAATTAAATAAATCACATCTCAATAAAGAAACTCCTAGGACATTGTTCGAACAGTAAAGGTTCCTAATGTAAAGTCAAACTTCGAAATCCTGAGCCACTGATCATGAGTTTTAGAGGCGTATACTCACTCTGACCATCCGATAACCTGTTTTGAATGAAACAATGCAATCAAATTACTTTGATCTCTCTCAATTTATCAATTGAAGCATCACACCTCAGATGTGTACGATCAGCATTCTGAAAAGCGTGCAACTTAGCTGACGCTTTCTTAACCATACAAATATGCATCGAGCTCCATGATATCAACAATTTCGGCAGCCCTTTGGATTTTGTTACGTACCTTTCGAAAGCTAGCAAGTACAGATCGAGTACTTGCTAATATAACTGTACTGATACACCTGTTAATGTGTCAATGCACGCGAACTCAGCGTCAGTCTACAACATAATCAAAACCACCGCGGCTTGTAGCACTGAATTCAATGAAACGAAACGGATGGGGTGTTTTTGTAGCTGAATGCTTGCCACTTTTAAGGTTTCAGCCCATAAATAAAAGTAAACCATTCAGCGCTCAGATAACGATTCTGTCGTGGATTCATATTTCGATGCATTTCAATCACAATTGAGGCAAGTAGCATCTTCTGCCGCTTCTTATACTCAAAATGCCGTAACCACACTGTAAATGGATGTGGCCCGGTGAGGTCAACGCAAGTAGTAGCTGACAATGCCAAGAAAATGATGAATTTGACGTCTTTTAGAATATACAAATAGAAATAACGGCCAATTGAAAGATAAAGCATTGCTTCAACAAGTTCTACCCTAGCCTGCATTTTGTTATTAAAAGAGACCAATATCGAAAGTTGATGCTGATGTGATGTAAATTCCTGATTGAGGCAGACGACGGTATAACCTTCTTCATATTGCAACCTGCATAAAATACGCAGTCAAAAAGTTGAAGGTATTGTGATGGTCTACTATATTTTGTTGTGAGCTGTACCAGGACTTTTAAGCGTGTGGAGTAGCGTCAGCCATCCATTCCACCCTTTCCAAAGACAAAACACGCTTTCGTGACGATTCCATCAGTCGCATTTCTTCAAGCAAACCTCCCAAATGTGCAATAAACAATTTATTTCAACACCACTACACACAGGTTCTACCCAGGTCTTTGCTAGCATGCATTAGTTTCCGGAAAAAGTCTCCTTCTTGATAGACACGTCTTTGACGGCAGCACTGTCCACAAACCAGGAAACCGCAGACTGGTAGTGTTCAGTAACAAGTCCCGCGGGAAGAGAAGTGTCGTGTCCCTCAAAGACACGTTCCAAGATGGGCTGTTTGGAGGCACCCTCGGCTACAAAGCACAGCGCATTTGCAGACTCCAAGACCGGGAGTGTGAATGTGATACGATCGGCGGGAGGCTTTGGCGAGGAATGGCACCAAGCGACTCTTTTTTGCCTCTCTTGCAACAAATACTCGTGGGTTTTTCCAGGAAACAAAGAGCAAGTGTGTCCGTCTGGTCCGCAACCCAGTAGAATAAGATCGAAATGGTCTGGCAACAGTGACTCGTATTCAGCTGCCACACGGTCGTTCTCGGATAGTCCCACCAGCGATTCATTGATCGCATAGCAGGTAGGGCCCAAAGCACCGTCTACGCTGAGCAATGGGTCCAAAACCTGTTTTTTGAAACCTCCGTAATTGCTGTCTTCATCCTCAAGAGCCACAATTCTCTCGTCGCAGAAATAAACATGCCAGTGAGACCATTGAATTCTGTCTTTGAACTCGGGGTCTTGAATCAGCCCTGCGTTGAGCGCCTTCAGCTGTGAACCTCCGCTAACTGCGATGTTGAAACGTTTGCCCTTCTCGAGCGCTTTGTCCTGTTGGGCGACAATGTATTGGGCCAGGCCATGAGCCAGCGTCTTAGAGTTGTCATATGTGTAGATAGAGGCCATTGTTCGTAGTGAGTCTCCTGTAGTTGAGCTTTTGGAGTGTGTAATGGATGTGATGAGATTTCTTTCAAGAGTTTGCTACTTTTTTCGAGTAGAGAGAATTATTTAAGGGAAGTGCGATAAAAAGTAGTCACATGTGAGGGAGAAGCAATTAATGGTCATGTGTTTGTCAGATGATACAAACGGTTTATGGAAGCCTTGTCGTTCGTCGTGACTGCTAAATGTTAAAGAAGAGGTCAAGATTTTTGCACGAAGACATTGTGATAAGAGCTATGAGTTACTAGCTCCTTAAAATTCACATTTGCAACAAGAGAATAATCAGGCTTGTTCTGCTTCTTAGCTTTTCTCGTTTGTATCACGATGAACGGTGACATCAAAGTGATTACTTAGGGTAGTCTTTCATGATTGAAAACCACAAGTGAGATGATAGATATGTGTTCATACTTGTCCCTAACAGTCTGAAGAGCTGCTCTTTTAGTTTTTGAGAAGAACGAGTATGGTGTTCATGGCTATTTTTCGCGGGAAACCTTTCTGGGTAGTTTTGAGCACGTGATCGACGGATGACAGTTTGACAAAAATTACTGTCACACTCAGATAGTAACGTTTCAAGAATCATTACACTTACTGGCATGAGTGAATGCGGTGAAAAGACAATCGAAAGGGTTTTGTTTTTTTAACTCAGTGAGACCAATACGTCTTTTGAATGCATCTCATTCCAATAAGCAAATGTAAATTAATTGCGAGCTTGCGAGCTTCTCCTGTTGACAATCCATTCTGCTTCCTTCTAGGGTGAGTGTCAGTTTATTTCGTATTCTGCTCATGTCTGTAGCTCCTGCCGAACAATCACCTATACTCTTATTGGCTTCTGATAGGGCATTCTCTGATGTAGTGTCCCGGTCTGTTGCAATTGAAGCATAATAACTTGCTAGTTGGGTGTCTTCTATTTTTCACAGTTTTCGTAACTCTTCTTTGCATCAACTTATCATGATTTGGACCAGTACTGGTACTATAATTTCTCCTGAACGCTGTTGTGGCCTCTTCTATCTGTTGCTGTTCAAGAATCCAGGCCTCCCCGAGGGCCGCTTTCTGCGCCGTACTCAAGTTTAGGGGGTCTACACTGAGCACTCTTTGGCGGAAGGGTTCCTTCAATCCAGCTATGTATTGCCAGAGCAATATGTGGTCCGGGATTGGGGTGTCCGGAGAAAAGCCCAACGTTTTGCGAGTGAATGCGTCTGTGTACTCAACGATAGTTCCTTGTTGTTTAAGTTCCAGGAACTCTGCCCACAGCTTCCACTGGGGCTTGTGACTGATGTGGGCCGCTTGGAACGACTTCAGAACCTCTTCAAAGGTCAGTTCTTCCAGATTAGAATTTTTGTTAAGAAGGGCGTAACACCATGAAACGCTGGTCGAATCTCTGGCCCTTCGGATTAACTCTTTGATCTTCCTGGAGTCTTCTTCGATTTCGTCCAAGAAAAACAAATATTGCAGGTTCTGTAGGAAATGTAAGATTTCCATTCCGTCGTCATCGGTCTTGAAGAAGGGGTCTTGAGGGCGCTTATGCGAGTTGGATGGTGCGGGCATGTTTATTGGTTTATTGCGGCCTCTTGCAAACCCGGTTGTAAGTGCGTAACAATCCCAAATTTAATCCTTATTTGACGCAACTTTGGTCTCTACTTATAACGCTGTGTTTGAAATAGCGTGTTTAACAATGTTCTGACAGATCACAAGTACAAGTGTTGTAGCCTCAATTGGTAGACACAGCACAAATCATACATGTTATGTTTCATATATATAGGGTGAGGGTTCCTTACCAATTTGGCCTGTCGCGATGTCGAGTTTGATTATAAACGACTACTTAGATACTATACATGGCCTGTTGTTCGTGGTAGGGTCGTTTTTCCTTCTATTCGCTTGCTACTTAGTCCTCTTTTATATGGCAATTTGGCTTCGATTTTGTGGCATCATAGATTTAAACACTGTTTTTGTGTCAGAACACAAAAACAAAAGCTCTTCATTTGAGTGTTGATAGTGACAGCTCCACTTTGAGCCTGAGCACGAGCGGATCAACCCGTGAAATCCACGGGTTTGATTCGAATAATGTGATCATCTATTCCACGTGCTTGAGCGGGTAGACTTATTTGGTCCCGGATTCTATGCTAGCAAGAGCTGGCCTGTAAAGTTGCACTTGGTTATAGCTTGTGCCGAGCTATACATCACGTCCAGTATTAGCCAGTATTTGAAGAGCTGATAGAATGTGCTCACCCACTGCAGAAATCCTGATCACTGAAAGTTTTCTCACTAAGAGAAACATCTGACATCTCTTCTTGCGTCCAGTTGACCCCCTCAATCGGTGTAATAAGTTTGAGCTTCGAACGAAATCCAAAACACTTTGGGCGGTTCCTTTAGATCATTTTGCGCTTAAGGTTCGCACTGGATAGCGAAAATCGCCGTTCGATAGCTCTCCTACTGATGCAAAAGCACCGTTAGAAGTCAGCCGTGGACAATTTGGTATAGTAGAAAGACAACGCCAAGGAGAGCAGTCGTGGTTATTTTTCTCTATTGGTCATCCAATAGTGGATAAAATGGCAGCGGGAATTAAGAGGTTCTTGATTGTAGCTCTTCCATTCCCGTAGAGTTCCACGCTCAGGTGGTGAAGTTTTCACGTTTCAACAAACTCGTTGAATTACTTGAGCTTTTTCTTGAGCCTCGTCTTTTGAGTAGAATATGAAGTTCTTGCGTCAATTTCTGCGACATCTGCTAGTATCTTCAATTAATTCGATCAAAATAGTCGTTGACCATAAGCTCTTTTGCCTCCGTATCAAGACTTTTGAATAGTGATCGAACCTTCATGTTTGGCCTCAACATGTGAGCAGCCCACTATCCTATCTGTTCCATGGCAAAATTGTAGTACTTTTCAAAAAAGGTATCTTGGCTCGGTAACGGTTGACAGAAATTTTGATCTTTGAGCTTCCTCTGCTGCCTCAAGATGCTCTAACTAAATTTCTGCAATATTCAGATCCCCAATGGGCATTACCACTCGAGATTAAGAAGAATGTTTCAAAGTACTTGTGAAGCCAGAACCTAAAATCTCATGCCGCCGGGAAGGCTGTCCAACGCGTCATCTTGCATATCCATTGTTAGATCGGAAACTACACGGGCAAGGTTGAGAAACACTTTCGCGGAAGTAAGCTCTCCATCTGCTGTAATCTCTCTTCATCTGAAACTGTTGAGACGTGTATTTCTCAAAGTAGAATCCCTTGAGAGAGTCCTTGAGACCCGAAAAGGACGATAAACGCTCATGGCGGGATACAAATCGCGGTTTATTATAATTTGATTCGGGATTCCTTGGAAAAGGCCTTGGCAAAGGAAGTTTCGCTGTCCATTGTTTTATTTTCGAGTTTTTGTCAAGTTCTTGGTAGTTCGCGCTATCCCTTGACCTCAGATGGCAAATTGAAGCGCGTCCCTATGTTTTCTGACCCATTGAACATGTGTCAAGTACGTGGAAAAAAATTTTTAATGTTCGCTTTAGCTGTTATAGTTAAAATCCCGTTTATGATCAAAACGAGTTCTACCCGCCGAGGCTACCCCGTGAATGTACTCGTGTCCTTTTCTACGTTATACTCGCAGTGACCACCCGTACTCGTCCGCGGTCCTACTTACCCTGTCATGGAATAACTTGACATGAATAATAATAGATAAGGCTGAAAGGAAGTTGTCACTGTCAACAGTAAGCGATTAGCTTTTGTGATCTATCACAAAAGCTGTGTCACATTTAAGATGACACAAAAGGGATGACAGATTGACATATAAAAGAGGGTCTGAGACCAAGGAAGTAGACATAGCTTAGTTAAGAAGGATAGCTAGAATCGAGGGAATAAAAGGACCCAAAAGGTCAAGTTAAGTGATCAGTTACAGTTTCTAGTAGTTCGTGATAATTACACACGACATACCCTTACCTTTTATCCCTTCTCTATCTCCTATTGTACTTCCATAATCCTGTAATTTCCATCAACAAGGGCGTGTAACTCAGTTGGTAGAGTGCTCGCTTTGCATGCGAGAAGTCATCGGTTCGACTCCGGTCTCGTCCATTTAATTTTTTGTCTTTTTTGCAGCAGCGAGTAAGAAAACTCGTACATAGTGATACTCTCTCGGACATCAATTTTTTTTTCCATTTTTTCCCTTTTATTCCCGTTCTAGGTCAGCTCGGTTCGTCAACTACGTGTTTTCCGCGTAAACAGCAAGAGACTACTACTACAACCACTACGATACATACAAACACACACCCAAAGGTCCCTTTCAGACACATGATCTACGCCGTTTACGTTCAATAACACCAAATCTCTCACAACAGACCTCGTAACTTTCTCTACACATTACGCCAAGACCTCGTCTTTCCAACATTTCATTCTATCCCAGCCAACCAACAGTTCTAGTTGTGGTATAGTATACCCCTGTAGTGTACCCTGTAGTGAATAAGAACTACACCAGTGTTTTCCACTCCCAACCAATGAATAAAAAAATTACTGCCGCCGGTACTCGTGGATAGCCATTCCGTTGTAAAACGCTCTCTTGTGACCCGTACTCGAGCGCTCACGCGCTCTTTTCGAGAATCTTCGCCTACGCTTACGTTTGCGCTTGCTCTTCTGCCGCGGGTTTGTCTGTGTCTGTGCTGAACTCTCGTTCACCCTCTCTGCGAACAGCACTCAGACGCACGCGCAGGTCCGAGTGGTCATGAGCGCTCCCCTTTTTTCATTCATTTTTTTCCTTCTTTCTTCTTCGTTTCCTACGCCCTACGCTTTTCCCCACCTCAGCGGCGTGACGTGTACCGTTTTTGTGGCCGCACGTCCCTACAAGGTCACCGTGTACGTGTGACTAACACCTTTCTCACCAGTCTCTGCGGCGCTCAGCTAGTATATATAGGAGGAGACCCCCCCCTCCACGACCCTCGCCAACGACATAACAACCCTACAAACCCAGGTTTACAAGCTAACAACGTTCAGTTTCAGGTTAAGGTTCAGCCCAACTTAGTGAAACATCTTGGTATAGCACGTTAACGTTAACGGTATTAAAAGACTTTGTTCAAAGACTCTGTTTTCTTAAGCCACTTTTATTTTTTGGCCTTTTTACCAACTATCGTTCCAAATCGACTCAATTTTTCAGTATCTCTACAAGTATTTCGCCATGTCATCAGCAGCAGGAGGCGCATTTAGAAGATTTCTCAATAGCGAAACTGGTCCAAAAACAGTACATTTCTGGGTATGTTGAAAGATTATTTTATTTTACCTTGGTATGGTTTACCTTGGTTTACCTTGTTTACCCTGGTCTACCTACCAATTTGGAGTTTTGGAGTTTTGGAGTTTTGGAGTTTTGGAGTGTATTTAATGGGAACAAACAAACAAACAGAGGGATCGAACAACACGAAAAGACGAGCATCAACGAAACCTCCATTTTAACCGCCATTTAAGATTAGAAGACCCTCTGCTATCCTCTCCCTTCCACGATTCCCAGGCCGTTTATATACAGACAATCTGGGCACATTATGGTTTTGTGTGTGGGATAGCCGATTATATGGTGATGGTGTGTTTTCGTTGTTGTTGTAAGCGGCATATCTACGCTGGAATTCGTCTCCCTGCTAGAGATTGCGGGAAATTTTTTTTATGGTTTGCCTCTCTCCCGCGCGGTCTTCTAAGGATTTGTGTCGGAAATACAAGTGCGCGCGCGAGATAGACAGCGAGGCGGAAAAAAGAAATCCTCGAATGGGGGGCTTGCGCACGTGACACCCAGGGTCACGCCGAAATCGTGTGACTTTGGAACTCGTGTGATGCGATGCCCTCCATCCAGACACCCAAACATCCAAACACCCAAACACCCTCCTTTTCATACTTACTAACATTCATCCTTCTCACACAGGCACCAACCCTCAAATGGGCTCTAGTATTCGCCGGTATCAGCGACATCCAAAGACCAGTCGACAAACTCTCCGGGATCCAAAATCTATCACTACTCGCCACAGGCGTTATCTGGACGCGTTGGTCGTTCGTCATCAAGCCCAAAAACATGCTGCTCGCATCCGTCAATTTCTTCCTTGCGGGCACCGCCGGGTACCAGCTCTCGCGTATTTGGAACTACCGTATGCAGCAGGGCGACTCCACCATGCAGGCGGCTGACTACGTCATCAACGGACCCCGCAAACCCGATAACAAGATCTACAAGCTCCAAGGATCTTCCAACCAGGTCAACAACTCGATGAGCCACGGCTCTGCTGCATAGAGGTGTTGAGCTCGTCTCAGCACCCCGCCCTTCTACTTTGCATTTTTCCATTTTACTTTTTTATTACCTACTGTACATTATCGGAACGTGGACGTTTCCGTCGCCACATCATTGCTGAATCGTGATGATTATATCTATTCGAACTTAACAATAAAATATTTCCAATACTCATCCAACTCTTGAAGCTATCGCCGCACAGTATGTCTTGCCAAGAATATAAATTCATTTATTGCGTGCGCACCTTATAAATATCGCCTATTTAAAGAGTAGCTATCAGTTAGGGCTCCTGTGAAAAAAAAGCGCGTGCAGTATGCCACAGACCCTTTCTACTGGGTCAATTGAACCACTTTCTCCGCAGCTGGGTCCAATTCATCGAAGGAGTAAATCTTCAAACCCGATTCCTCAATGATACGACGGCCTTCTTCCAAGTTGGTACCTTGCAGACGGGCCACAATTGGCACACCGACGGCCAAGTTCTTGGTGGCGGCAACCAAACCTTGTGCCACGTAGTCACATCTCACAATACCACCGAAAATGTTGACGAAAATAGCATCCACATTCTTGTTCGACAAAATCAGTTTGAAAGCGGTCTCAATGGTCTCTGGTGTAGCACCACCACCGCAGTCCAAAAAGTTAGCTGGGTCACCACCGTAGAGCTTGATCACGTCCATGGTCGCCATTGCCAAACCGGCACCATTCACTAAACATCCAATGTTACCTTGTAGCTTAACAAAGTTCAAGTCCGACTTCTTGGCCACCACCTCATCTGGGTCTTCTTGTGAAAGGTCTCTCCAGGAGTAGATTTCTTCTTGTCTGAAAGAGGCGTTGTCATCGAACCCGAATTTGGCGTCCATACACATGACTTTGGTGTCCTGGCCCACAACTTCGCTCAATGGGTTAATTTCGATTTGGGATGCATCCTTGTCTTGGAAGATCTTGAAAAGCTTGGTGACGGCGTCAGCGGCATCGGCTTCAGCCTCGGAGGTAAAACCCAAACTCTTGGAGATCTGAGAGGCCACTTCTGGGGTCAAGCCCTCAGAAGCGTCCACGGTGAATTTTTTGATGGCATCGGGGGTCTTTTCGGCCACTTCTTCGATGTTCATACCACCTTGGCTCGAGCAAATGATCATGGCCTTCTTGGACCCTCTGTCTAGCAGAATTGACAGATATGCCTCGTGTTTAGCGTCCACGCGTTTCACCACATAAACGGCGCTCACAGGCTTGCCCTTGGCGCCCGACTGTTTAGTGATCAAACGGTGTTGCAGCATCTGTTCAGCAATTCCCTCGGCTTGTTCTGCACTGTCCACCATGTGAATACCACTTTTCAATCCAGTGTCGAAGTGGCCTTTTCCACGACCACCAGTCAAAGCTTGTGCTTTGACCACCAAAGACTTATTCCCGAGTTTTTCGGCCACTTCGAACGCCTGTTTGGGATCAAAAGCGGCTTCGCCCGCAGGTGTGCCAACACCGTATTTTCTAAGCAGTTCTGCTGATCTAAATTCGTGAATCGACAGACATCTTTTCTGAATCGCGACTTGTTGGAGACCCTTCTTCAAGGCCAAACTTCTCGAAAGCATTGTTGGTTTTTGGCAAAAGTAGACTTCAATTGACCGTGCAAACGTACGCAATTCTACAACGATTAATGAAACGCTGTAATTGTTGGTTTTGCTGTTGTTTTTGACTCAAAAGTTTCAATCGAGTTTGTAGGTGAGAATTGAATATTTGGGTTATTATAGATGGCTCTCTACAATATCTAATTATTTTTAAAGTATGGGGCCTATTAGAGGCTAGGAAATTATGGACCGGGTAACGTTTTTTGATTTGTTAAAGATGCCCGGGACGGGATTCGAATGGGCGAAAAGGTAAGGTTTGTTGAAAGGTCAATGAATGTGGTTTTTGTTAGTTTGAAATGGAAGAAAAGATAAGCCAGGATTGATGGTGCTCATGTCACTGTTACAGGTTGATCCAGTGATGGTGGTGGTGGTGGTTGTGGTAGTAGTTATAAACAATTAAAATTCCTATGAAATAAAACTCATAACTGACGTTGATATCGGTCACGTGACCAACACTGTAGTCTCTCCAGAGTTGTCATCCATAATGCCTTTCAAGCCCGCTACTATTCTTTGTCCTTGACTTCTGAAAAGCATCGCAAGATAATCCCGTATTGTCTGTGAATTATTCGTGACCTGCCCTTTTGTCATGCGTTTCCCCCTGCAATTCCTTGTCTGGATGTTTGGTAGGCCACCGTCGGCTCAAAAAAAAAAACGCTTCTCAGATTTACTCCTCTTTGAACTTTTCCTCATCGCTCTGACCTTTCTAACCGAAGTTTTCCTTCGCCCCGAGTTTATAGTATACAGTACAGAATGTTTATCAACCTTAAGCCAACCACTCGCCTCGCAATGTCGATTTAGTGACCCTTCTTCTTCTGTTTAGTGATGTGTTGACGCAAAACTTTTTGGCGATCACGAAGCGACATTTTCTGTTTTCCCTTGACGGACCTCTTGTGAATCATCATCACGAAATTCTTCTTACGCTCCTTTTCACGATTGGTGGTCGACCGCTGTTGGTCTCTCTTACTCTTACGACTACCAAATTTCTCTCTGCCCTCACGACCTTCCATGATACTGGCAATTCTTTCATCTTTGGTGGCTTTACGATGTTTGAGAGGACCCACTAATCGATCGGAGTCAACTGTTTCCTCATTTCTGACACCCATCAAACGCGCTACACCCTGCTCCGTTCTCAGTTCCTGAAGTTTGGCAAAATCTGCAGGGGTCAGAACACGGGAAGAAGCCAGGTCTCTGAAAGCCGTTTCAGGGTCCAGGTTCTCTTCTTTCGCTTCTGGCTTCTCCTTTTCGTCATCGCTATCACTCATATCAACATCGTATTCCTTGTCGCTATCGACAGTGACCCATTCACCATCAATTTCTTCGTCTTCGTTGTCCTCAGCATCTTCGACCTCCCAATTCTGGTCGTCATCTTCGTCGACCTCTTGACCGTTGGCGTCTTCCTGTTTCTTTTTCCATTGAGCCAGCAGTTCGATACCCGCTATACCCTGAACGTTATTTTCCACCCCAAATTGAGGTCTCTTGGAATCCCTTCCTTCACGAGCAGACTCCTGCAACTGCATAGAAGCAACTTTACCACGGTCCTTACGTTTCAGCATATCGGGTGCAACTTCACGGTATAACGCCACTAAGCCTTTGGCTGCCATGCTTACTCCTTTGGCCTTAGAGCCCTTGTACTCCGTCAAATCCTGAAGTAAAGTTTCATCGATGGCCAAGGGTGCACGCGAACAGATTTCACGTATAGTATTCAAACCGGCCGCTGCTACTTCAGAAGCAACACCATCGCTCACAAACTCATCAGCAATTTTGCGCACCAAATCAGCAATGTTTTCCGGTGGGACCATATCATGCGACGACTGTGCTGCAGCAGCAAGAATTTTGGTGACATCTCTCTGTTTTGGAGTCAGATACTTCAAAAAGAAAGAGTAAATTCCCAAGACTGTCAGTTTGTGTGTACCGATCAGACGAGAAAGCAGCTGCATAAGTGCAATCTTCTGATCTAGGTCAAACCTGTTGTTATTTTTGCTGGATAGTTGTTTGGTAAAAAGCTTATCCGCAAATCCCTGTGGATCACGAAGCAGGTGGATAGCACTGAAATTTAGATACCCTTGAGGGGTTTTAGGACCAGCATTCTTTTTCTTGACCGACTTCAACGCCGCTTCCAATTTTTTGCCACGCTTACCGCTCTTCTTATTGATCTGCATTTTATGTCTGAGCCCGTCCATGTCGACATCTTCGTCGTCAGATTTCTCTTCGAAATTCTCTTCACGTTCCTTATCGGCTCCCAAAAAGAAAAGGACTCCCGAATACGCGATTTTGACATCGTCGCTCAACGCCGCTTGCGTCATAATCTCTACGGCTCTAGAGTCATCCCAGATGCCCCTTCTCCATAGTTCGCGTGTAAGTCTTGCGGCCCAAACTCCTTGAGAATCGGGTTGGTCCAGAAGATTGAAACAGATCGCCTGAGTTGACTTGTTTAGTTTTTGGTTTTTCGAGCCTGTATTGCAGCTCTTGAGTAGCGAGATAATCGTGCTGTACACCAATTTCCGTACCTCTTTGGCGTGCGAGTTGTGGCCCAAAGCGTTACTGTGCGACGAATATGCCACCAACAATGGAAACATTGTCTGTATCAAAGTTTCGGCAGATATAACACCCTTGTTTCTCAGCATGGTCAACGACGATATGATTTTTTCTTTCACTTCAAAGGGCAGCGATCTATGATAGTCCAGTACCAGTTGTTTCAATTCATTAGGAAAGTTGGCAGTTTCTTCAGGATAGCATACACACACTTGGCTCACAAAACCCACAAGCTCCACAAACTGTTTGGTATTGGTATCACCTGTGGTCTGGCTTTCCAACGCATTTAGCATGAAAATGTCTCTCAAAGATTCATAATGGGAGTATTGTTGTAAAAATTCTTCCCGGTAAGATTTTGGATCTCTCTTGACCAAATTTTGAAGCAGAATCACGTTGGTGGGCAGAATAGCTGCTCTTGACTTTCTCACCATTTCGGAATGTTTCCTTGGTAGTTTTGATCTTGAATAGCGTGGCTCTTCTCGATTCTTCTTCAAATAGAGTTGTGCCGATGAGATGAGATGAGATGAGATGAGATGACCTTGATCACTATTGGAAAAAATTTGTGAATAGAAAAGCAGGAACGCATTCGTCTAAGGCGACATCGAAATCACGAAATGAAGCCTCGAGGCGTAGGTCATGTGATTTCGATTATTCTAGGCTGGCGGCTAATTCACACGTCCGAAAGCAAGACAAATGATCGATCATAGACCTCAACCACTTCCAAATAGTCCGTCAATCGCATTGTAGTTTATTTTCTTGGAAAAGCTGGATTTCTGTATCATGTTCTTGACGTTATCAGCAGTGGTCAGATCACCAGAGTCTTCAGCAAGCTTCAAGGCAGCCTGCAGCCCTGAGTCATCCTTGATATCAGCTAGAATGCCCTCTGCTTCAGAAGCCGGCTTCCGCTTGCGACGGCGGGTGCCTTCGCGCTTCTTGGCAGACGCATTTCCAGATGCCAGATCTGCCTCTTGCTTGAGCCTGTTCGATTCTTGTTCCAGCAAAAAATCACCATTGATACCAATCCAGATCCGTTCTTTTAACCTGGAGGCCTCTTCATCCAGAAGCTGGGCTTCGAGCTCTTCGTCGTCCACGTCTTGTAGGTCTTCAGGATCATCGGCCACTTTAGACAGCAACGACGAAGTGGTGGGCAGCAAATGCAGATTTCTCGGACGATGGGGATCGGTCTCTATAGAATAACCATCGATTGAGTCTTGGAAATTGGGCTCATTTAAAGAAGACTCAGCTGCGTCGTTGGCGGGTGCATTGGAGTTGCCAACCTCACTGTCTTCTTCATCACCATTCGCTTGTCTTAAGGGTAAGCTGGCGGACTGTTTCGATTCCTGGCTTTCTTGTCTTCTGCGAGAAAATTGCTTGAGATAGTACAGAACTTCTCGTGAAGAAAGCTCTTGCGCCCCCAGTACTTGCGACAGAATTGGATTTCTGGTCAGAGCTTCTTCGCTGGTCTCGTATTCATTTCCCAAGGTTTTCTGACGCAGCTTTTTCTCCTTAAGCCTGTTCCGCTCGAAAGACGGTGGATGCGATTCTGTCTTTTCGGTGCCCTCATCATCCTCTTCCCGAAATTCATTGATTGACAGCTTCCCGGACTTGGTGTTTTTAAACTCGTTAAGCCGCTGCTGTAATGTTTCCTCAGCGACGTGCGAAACAGCCACCACTTCAGAATGCGTCCTGCGCAGGTTGTTCATACGACACGCCAGAAGCAAACACGCACCCGCGATACCAGCGGGACGACGTCCCTCGTACATCCAGTCTCTAGCCATTCGCTGTGCAAGCTTGACTGCATCTTTCACCACTTTGATTTTCTTGTCTCCCAAGTCGAGTTTTTCAGCAAAGTGCTGAATAAAGAGCGACGGATCTGTCAGTGGGAGATTCGTGACGTGCAGAACTTTGACCATTTTCAAAAACGTTGCCCCGATCGAATATACTGAGACTTGCAAACGCGATGAAAAGTCGATCAACATATGGTGTGTTTTTTCTTTTCTGCATGCAATGTACAAGCACGCAGCGATGACATTCTGCGACCTCCGTCCTTGGACAAAGTTATTGGCCAAAGCTAGTGTGTACCACTGCGTAGCAGCCTCTGTAACGTACTCTGGTATAACCAAAGCGTGTGAAACAGCCCGCAGTTTCCTACGAGCATTATTTATGGTAGCCTCACGAGATTCCAGCGCCGATGAGCCACCTCTCGGCCCAAACGCCGCGTGTGATTGACCAGCACCCACATAGCTACCGTGCACAACTGCGGCACCTGAACTTGATTCCCCAAAGGTAACTTCAGAAACAATGGGATTATCTTCGGAAACTGTACCACAATCTTGACACACCGTATCATTGTTTGCATTTGCAATATCCTTGATAAAATTGACACCACCGCAAACCTTACACTTTGGCATCCTAACGATAGATAGTGGGAGGCTATTTGTGATGTCTTTAACGATCTGCTGGGTTGGCCTGTTGAAGTGTTTTGAGATGAGATGAGCTAGCTACTTTTTCCACGCTTTAATTAACGAATTTACAATGCCTTTCTCTCAGCAAGACAAAATTCATAGAAAGAGACAGCACGAAGTATGGGAGAAGACACATATTGAGAACAGTGATACACGGTCTTTTGTTCAACTAGAAGCGCAGACAATTATGCTTGCACACTGAAGCTTAAGTTATCTTGTGAACGTTTAGCCAATTGCTGATCTCGTATATAGTGATTTCATGTTTTTGGATCTAACTTCACGTCAAACAGAAGTTGGGTATAGGCCATCTTGCGTGTTTCTCTTGGGGCCGAATAGTTTACGATTGATACCAGTAAGTTTCACTATTTTGAATCATCCTGTCCTGTTCCAAGCTTGCGTTAAAAATTTTTGGGTCGAAATGATTTCTCAAACTGCCTTTGAGACCACCTTACCGTAAATACACAAATGGCAATTCTATTGCACCACTCGAGCCGTGCTTGAGTTTAATATAGACCACTTTTCGCGCTCGAGCACCTTATCTTTTCACTTTCTCTCAGCGTATCAATAAGCTCATCTAATTTATACATAATTCTGAGCACTATTGAAATTCTGGAAGCTGCCAAGAAAAGTGCCACTTTCGCTTTTCATTCTCTCCAGCATGGGTGTAGCTGTATGGTTTGTACCACACGCTGGATCTCCGGTTTATGAGACTTTGCAATCGCTCATACTCTCCTTACAGACATTGTTTCCTGACGCTCCTGCATTCGAACCCCACCTTACAATCACATCCCAGCTGAGATGCAATTCCAAGAGCGACGTCCAACAGATTCTCACGACCTGTGTGGCCGCTTTTGGCGCCGTTAAAGCCAGCTTGAAGGAAGAAAACGAAACGATGGTCTCTTTTACAGGTGCTGGAATTGGGAAGAGCTATTTCACAAAAGTTCGGCTGCTGTGTCCTGAAAACAAGTATTTGATGGGGATCGCACAGATTATACGAGAGCTATTTGTTGCAGAAACCGCGGAAGAAGCGTCTTCGTGGCTTCTGAACGATTTCCAGCCGCACATATCGCTGGTTTACTCCGACATGTACCATGTAAACCAGGCACTCGAGCGTGTCATCGCTCAAAGAATCGAGGATACGCTGGATTTGTCCCTGCAAGAGAACGCGGTGGCAGGCGAAAGAAACCAAAAGACGTGGTCTTTTAGTCGTCTGGTATCGGGCTGGAGTCTTCCTGGAACTTTTAAAGTCATCAATTGTGACGGGCCAATACAGGATTGGCACGTCTTGGGCAGCGTTGAAGTATAAAAAGTGGAAACGAAGAGAGAGGTCTTTGCATAAGCAAATGTACATTAATCTACATGCTGGGCTTGGAATAATAGGACCAATTTTGGCCGAGGAAGAATGGACCTAATTACTCAACAGAGAGATGCATTCTAATGCGTTTTCTTTGATTTTTAGTCGACAACATTGCCTAAAATTGTGCGTTTTTTTTGAGTAAAAGAAAAATGGCCACGCTGAGTTCGATTCAAATCTTATTGAATACTGCTTCAGATCAATTTGAATCTACGCCAATGAGTTTTCTTTTGATGGTCGTTGAACCGTTGACGCTCTTCATTGTTCTGAACCTATCATTATATACGTGTGTGGCCTTTTGAAAACTATAACAATAGACCAGTTTCGTCAATTCATAAATTTCTTATTCATCTTCACAACACGAATTTCAACGTTTCTCAAGAACCTTCCGATCTGGGTATAACACAGCGGTCGCTCCTCTAACTGCTTTCCAGTACTTACGCATTTCAAAACCCAAAACCCAAGCCGGAATTTTTGCCACGCGTTCAAGGTCACAACTACAGCTACAACCCGGGCTGCATAATGTGTCCATGAGTAGCACCAGCCGCCGTATTCATCGTAAGACCGGCTGTGTGCCATGTAAAATCCGCAAGAAAAAGTGCTCAGAGCACAAACCTGAATGCACAGACTGTGCACGATTGGGCATTACGTGCATATACTTGCCTGAAAGATGTCCCCGAGAAAAGATCAATTTCTACCGAGAACAAGTAGAGGAAGCACTATTGGAGAGAAGACGACTAAAGTCACAAGGCACCTTTAGCGGCAATTCGAGTATTGTCAATTCGGCACTGGAGAAGCTCACCGCTGAACACAATTCCGAAGCCCAACTCGCTACTACTGCTTTTACTACTACTAGATCGACAGACCTTTGGCCGATCACGCCGTGCGAAGAGATCATGGATGACAGCGTCGATATTCTGGATTCGATATTTAGAGCGCCATCACCTTTACCGTCACTCTCGGAGCCCTGGATGATGAAACTTGACGATACCGCTATGCATCTCTACTCTTACTATCGTGATTCCTTGTCCCAGATCATTTCCATCGCTCCCAGCAGGCAGAATTATTATCTTAAAATATTTCTGCCCATGGCGCATCAGAATGAGGGCATTCTTTATGGTATTTTGGCATGGGCAGCTCACCATTTGTCGCTTAGTGGGCCCACCGGTGGTGGCAATACGCAAGGGTTGCCGTCAATAACACATGTCGAAGAATCCAGCCCAGCTGCTCTTGACGAGACTTTTCGAGATGTCACTGAGCATGGCACTGACGCCAGCAATACAGACATGAAAGAGTGGCTTGTCTCATCACCATTGTCCTCAAGCGATAGCTCAAGCTCCTCATCGACTAGACAATCACCACGCTCCTTTAGAAGAGATTCTTTGGACAGGGAATTGGCGCACATCCCACAGCCTGACCCACGCTACACTGCCGTTGCCAATGAATACACGCTCTACTCCCTGCAAAAAATTCCCAAATCTACCGAGGAGGGACTTCTCCCGACTCTAGCAAATCTTCTCGTGCTATGCGGTGCGGAGATTTGTCAAGGTGACATTGAGCGCTGGAGGGTACTTCTTAGATATGCGGCTCGCATCATAAAAGATCATACGACTGATAGTGACATAGGAGAGTTGTTGGCCGAAAGCGAGAAGCCAGGCTCAAAAATGGACGCCAAAGTTACTCGCTGGCTTTTGTCGAATTTTGCATACCACGATATACTGGGGTCGGATAAAACCCACTTCCCAATGCAGCAATACTCGCGGATTTTGGAGGAGCCTGCTTTAACCTACAATTACCCAGTAGATCCGCTGTACGGAATCAACAGACCCATTTTCCAAATACTGGGGCAAGTCAAAAACCTTGCACGCAAGGTGAAGCAAGAATTGGGAGCTGGTGAACATGTCAATGGGTTGGTGTTAGATGGACCTCTGTACAATATTATTGGAGCCGCACAGCGTTTACAAATATCCTTGTACAGCATGCAACCTATTGAATATGATCTTGCGTGGTATGAGACCTCGGTGGACAGTGTAGATGATGCCCGTTCTTTGGCAAAAATACTGTATTCAGTGTTTCGTACCACAGCTCTTCTTCATCTGAAGACAGCTGTTATGCGCCAGCCTAAAGATTGCTACGATATCCAGTATCTGGTTTTGGAACTATCGAACGATCTGGATAAAGTATTGGGCACGAAATTGGAGAGTGGGCTATGTTTTCCATTGTTCATTTGCGGTGTGAATTCATTTCATGACGCGCAGCGGCAAGACGTTGAGTCCAAATTTACTAGCTTTCTGCAACGTTACAAGTTCAGAAACGTGGAAAGAGCTTTCGCGGTAATGAAGCAGTTGTGGTACAACTGCGATATAGGCCGTGAACAAGACTGGTACGATGTCGTAGACGAAATTGGATGGGATCTCAATTTCGCATAAAAGAACGAAACAAAACTGGGTGCTTTTGGTACCAGTTTTAAGTCAAATTTCTACCATATAAATAGACATGACACGGTTGTTAAATAAATATATATATATATATGTGTATAGATACAGGGAGTTTTAGGGCCGTCGGCTTTTGGTTGTCTCATCGTTCCTACCTATGATGATTATCCCAAGCTTTGATGCTGTTTTAGTTTTTCCATTACAAATGCCATTCCCATCCGACTGCGCTGGATGTTTTCGTCGAATTTAGCGTGCGACCATTGCTCGATGCGACTTCTGACGGCTAGATTGAACCCACTGGAAAATTTGACTGAGCTTGAAGCCTGAGTTTTGCCCGTGACCGAATCGTACTTATAAATGGTGAACTCTTCTACTTGGATTATTCGAGTGTGATCCAGATTCCGTGTATATGTTCGCAGTTCCTGGTTTTTTACGTCTACTTCTGAACGCTCAATAATCCACGAGTCCGATATGCCGCCTAAGAAGGGTTTAATCCAGCGTGGGAGCTTACCAGTCTTTTTGATAAGTCTTGTTGTGCACAATTCCCCGCTGGGCTTGCATTCTCGAGAAACGGTGTCTATGGAAATGACGTGCGAAGCGTAAGGATTTGGATAGCGGTTGAAAAACGCTAGGGAAACTGTTTGGAAGTCGTTGTCATAAACGTAAGAGTTCTTATACCAGAGAACCATTTTCACTCAGTGAACCGCGAAGAGATGAGCGATTGAAGCCGCTTTTTTTCCGCAAAAACCCCCAAATCTTACACGACCTGCACAATCAGCAGTCTGTGTACACAAACAGACTCGTTTTGTATCGTCCCCTGGTGGATCCAAGCGCTTGTTTTACCTGCTATGTGGGTAAACTGTGGATTAGCCAGCATTTTTTACATCTGGAGAAATAATATATATATATTCTATACGGACCATAGGTAATGAAAAACAACAAAGTATACCCATAAGTGACGCTAAAAGAAGCAAGAGTAACTGTTAAATCTACAAACTCTAGCCGTCCAGGTTAAGCGGAATTTTCTGTAATTTTTGAGACTAGTTTGGTCCAAAACGGGCTCTTGTGGCGAGAGGAATGGTCAATAACAGTTTATTATTCGAAAAATCAATGCAACAACATCACTACTCATCCCATTATCAGTGATGTGTTCATGGATGTGAATGCTACTTTCTATTATACAATGCTATGTAAAATGCAGTTACGAATTGATGCTAAAGAGCCATGACGCCAATGGCTAAAATCCAAGCGCCAGCTCCTAAACCGGTCCCGTGCTCTATACGTGGAGCAGCGTTGGTTGCGTTTTTGACACTGGCAGAGCTTGTAGATTGTGTTGAAGAGCTGCTGGAGCTTTCAATGGATGCAGTGCTTGAAGAGGAGGTCAGTGTTAATTCACTGGCGGGAGTCCACCATCTGGTGACGCTGTTTGACCACCAAACGGTCGAAAGATACGTTTCTCCAGCAGAATTGTGGGTTGTGACAACGGCAACAGGGCCGCCTGAATTTGTTGGAGTTGCAGATTCCATTGCTGTCGTTGTTTGAACGGTCGATTTTGTCGCAGAACCACCTTCAACGTTGCTGGTCTGTACCAACCTCAGGGACTGGCTACCAGAGGGCGAGCTGGCCGAGGATTTGGAGTCCACCTTGGAGCTTGATTTTCCATCGTAACCTCCAAGGGCGCCGCTGCCACCCAATACCTCAGAAACGCACGTTGCTAGTATGATATAACTTAAAAACTTCATTGTTCAATGTACTTTTCAAGGTGGACGTTTTTACTGACCTACGTTACTGCGAAGAAGAAAAACGGGAAGGTATTTATATATGTTGAGGATCAAGACATGACGCCGATCGTTCGGTTAGATCAAATCATCTTTTTGACTCAAACTAAAGGCCTGCATTATTAGTTTTTGATGATTTCACCAGCCCTGCCAAATTTTCGTTTCCGTTCCGAATTCAGCTAGTTATCATCATATCTTGGTTTAAATAAGAAGAAGATCACTTTTTATCTATTTGACGTAGTAGTCTGATCAAACCGTTCGAGCAGTTCAGGAAGCATATTTGCTGGCGATCGAGTCTTGACGAATAATCGCTATGCGTTCAAATGTGCACTTTTTCTATTTTCTTTGACTAACGGAACTCAATTTAAAGACTTTATTCAAAGTTTCTCAATTCCAACTGTTCTCAGAGCATTACAACACCGACGCTGCTGCGTTTTTCCGTATCGAAGGTATTGTCCTTTCTCAAACCACCTGCAATCGGACGCACTTTATAATTGAACAGGTAGAAGTTCAGGAAACCGTCACCAGGTCCAAATTTCAGATCGTCGAGAAACAAAGAGTTATCTTGACAGCTCATTGCATTGAAAACATCCATCTTTAGGTCTCGGGCCTTGATACAGACGTCCGTAATCAACCTGTTGAGTCGCTTGCGTAGCTTCGACGAGCCCTCTGGGTCGAATCTGTCAGGGTAGTCAAAATCAGCGTCAGAAGCGTAGTAGAAAAGATAACCGATTCCCAGCTCCTTGTAGTGAGGGTTGTTCAAAACAGTGAAAGGCAAAGAGTAGAAAGACACAAAGTCGGTGATGGAGCCCTTGTCCTCGACGACATACGAGTACACCACGTTCTTGGAGCTCAAAAAGACGTGCTTGAACTCTTCTTTAGTGAACACCTGTATTAGATCGAATCTCGCTTGGTACCTGTTGAGGAGTTCAAAGACCTTATCGACGTCTTTCTCTTCCATCGGCCTCAACCCTGCGGTGTCGGTTTCCTTAGGTAGCGTGTATTTGGCTATCATTTGAGTCTTTGATGCGTTCGCTGGCAAGCCTGTGAAACCAACCTCGTAGAGCTTTGACCAGTTTAGAGGGCGATGGGCATAACGACATGTGGCAGCAGGTGATGGAAGCACAACTCCTGCGGTGTAAAGGGCTTGCCAAATGTCTTGTTTGTTGACACGTCTGGTGACTTCTTTGATAAGAATTGGGGTTAATCTCTTGGCTCTCAATTTCTTGTGTATACATAAGAAGTTGATTTCAACGCTCTTGATCAGTTTATTTCTGACTCGAAGTGTTGCTGGCACAGCACTAATGAAAGCCACCAAACGGCCACTCTGCTTGGTACGCACACCCACATGCCAGTCTTTTCTCCAGCCGGGGCCCTTGAGCGACCAGTTGAAGAACTCTCGAGAATAGTTGAACCGGAAAGTGGCGTCTTGATCCTCAACGTAGTTTTCATTCAAAAGGATGAATACGTCGTCCAGTTGTTCCGGGTCGGTTAGATCAACAGTACACCATTGGAATTCGTCTAGAAGAGGCAATGGCTCGTCTGGAATATCTTCAGGTCTCTGAGAGCTGTTGAAAGGTCCCTCGTCGGCCACTTTTTCGTCAAAACGGGAAACCGGTTGCGTTTTCCAAAATTTATATTCCTCGAATTGCTTGCGTTGTGGCTGGGTGAGCTTTGATGTGTCACCTTTGGAAATGGCGAGCATCTTCAAGAGTGCCTCCAATTTCTTGGCCTGTTCTGGGTCTTGAGACATACTTTACTGTTGCAAACGTAGCGATATAGGTCAAGTGTTCTTAGAGGAGTTTCAATGATCTGATGCAGTTTTGGCCCGGTTGTCGGATGATATATATGAAATAACGGGCGACTAGAATGGATAGCGAATGAAAATTCGATGAAACACGCTGGATCAGCAAGAAGCTGTTGGCCTTTTTTTCCTTGAAAAGTGCAGAGCAGGATTTGAATTCAAGATAGTCTATCTAATTTGTTGAAAAATAACAAATCTTACAGTGAACACAACAAACAGCAGGCTGAAGTTGAAGTCAAAGTTCTTGTAGATGTTGAGATTTGGTTAAATGGTTTGTCTTTGAGTGGATATTTTCGAGTTTTAACGCAAGGTTTTTTTGAGCGAAAGCTTTGGGTTTTGGGTTCCGAAATTGTCGGTATGACGATGAACTCTGTTAAAAGTGAAATTTTGAGAAAAAGCGTTGGAAACAGAACTTAGAGTACATCGAGACTTCAATATGTGTGGCGAAAGGAAAGTAGTGAACGTCTTGGGACGAACTCATTGATAAAATGCTACAAAAACCTCTTGATCACGTGACATCGTGGATACTTGGTACCGAAAACATCTAGTTCGACCCACATATTCAATGGGATGTTTTATCAGTTACGTAGCTTTCAGAGATGTTTCGATGATTTACCATTATATATTTGGTTTCTTATATGGAGGTTTTCTTCAATTATATATTTTTAATGTTTAAGGCTTTAAAAGTGACATTCGGTTTATGTCAATAAATACACTCTCATAAAGCTTCACCATTTCAAACACCATAAACAAGTAGTTAGAATTGAAACGGTATGAAACCGTTTAATGGCTCAAAATAAATTTCTATCACAAACGTCACACTGTTTTCCATGTGTCGGTTAACATTAGTTACGCTACACTAACAAAATCCGTCAATTTTTGGCGGCCCAAAAACCTCTGAATTCCGCAGCTGGGATCTTAGAATAATCAAATTCTACACCCACTCCATTTCTACTTCCTAGACCCTCCAACTAGCGTGTATTTTGACTACCAAAAGCTATCCAAAAACCATAATCACGTTTTCCTCAAATGACGCTGTCACCTGTCTTTACATACTATTAAAAATTTTCCAGATGCGATGAGATGAGATGAGATGAGATGAGATGCGATGAGTTTAACATTCAACTGCCGAGAAACAGTCTCCCAATTAGCCTCAAGAGCATCGCCAATCCATAACTAAGATGATTTCTTCCACAACATGGGTGCCGCGTGGCTTCCCGTCCGAGTTTCCGGAGAAGTACGAACTCGATGACGAGGAAATGGAAAGAATCAACCAACTTGCACAACTCAACTTGGAAGACGCTAAGGAAGCAGAAGAGGAAGAAGAGGACGATGAAGCTAGCGAAAAGCATCATGACGAAATGCAGAATACGGGAAAAAATGCCCAAAAATTGGCCGCTCAAGCAGACGCAGACGACGATTTGAAAGAGTATGACCTAGAACAATACAACGACGAACAGGATTTGGGCGAAGGAACAGAAGCGACCATGTTTCCCGGTCTATCCGATGAGGTGAAATACCATGAGGGTGAAAATGGAGAAGACGCATATATGTCGCTGCCCACTGAAGAAGACACCCACGAGGCGAAAGAAGAGCTTCAGGTATACCCCACCGATAATATGGTTTTGGCTACTAGAACAGAGGACGACATCTCGTATTTGGACGTCTATGTTTACGACGACGGTGCCGGGTTCCACGATCCAGAAATCGTTCAGGAAGCCGGCGACAACAATGACCCTGATGTAGCGCGTGGCATGGTCCGTGATAGCGCTTTATATGTCCACCACGATCTCATGTTGCCTGCCTTTCCATTATGTGTGGAATGGCTGAATTACAAACCGGGTTCTCAATCCGAAGACCCTGCAAATTTCGCTGCTGTGGGTAGTTTCGACCCTCAAATCGAGATTTGGAACTTGGACTGCGTGGAAAAAGCATTCCCGGACATGATATTGGGCGACCCTCACGCTTCTGGCGCTGTTGGCGGAAGCAAGAGTAAAAAGAACAAAAAAACCAAAAACAAGCATGTCACAACTCATCATACAGATGCTGTATTGTCGTTGGCACACAGCAAGCATTTCCGCTCCGTATTGGCGTCCTCGTCCGCGGACAAGACTGTCAAACTGTGGGACTTGAACGAAGGGATTGCTGCCCGGTCCATTGCCTCGCTGCATTCGAATAAGAATGTTTCTGCAATCCAATGGCATAGCACGGCTGGCTCAGTCTTGTTGTCTGGTGGTTATGACTCTCGTGCTGCTCTATCGGACGTGAGAATTGAGGACAGCTCAAAGATGAGCAAATACTGGTCTGTCATGTCTGGGGAAGAAATCGAGTGTGTTCAATTCGCGGACGAAAACACTTTCATGTGCGGAACAGACTCTGGTAACGTCTACTCGTTTGACATCAGACAAGGTGAGAACAGCTCTCCTCTATGGACCTTGAATGCTCATGATGCCGGAATTTCCACCCTCAACGTCAATCCCTACATTCCTAATTTGTTGGCCACGGGTGCCATGGGAGAGAAGACCGTCAAGCTTTGGAAATGTGGCGAGTCAGGCCCCAGCATGGTTCTCTCCAGAGACTTCGGTGTCGGAAATGTGCTGTCCACATCTTTCGCACCGGATATCGAGGTTGCCGGTAACATTGTCATCGGTGGTGTTTCTAAAGGATTGAAGCTATGGGACGTTTTCACCAATAGGGCCATTCGTAAAAACTTCGGCAAGGAATTGGCCACTGTCCAAAAACAGGCCAGGCAAGAGGCTCAAGAAGCAGGAAAAGCTTCTAGAATCGCTAGAAAGTATACCAAAAACGACAACCCGGATACTGTGGTTACTGTTGACGACCAGGGCGAAGACGAAGAGGAGGAAGAGGGTCGCGAAGGACAAGACGATTGGCAAGACACCGATTGATAAATCATCGCCAAGATAAAATCGTACATCATCATAAAATTCAGTCATATGTATATTATAAGAAACAAGCACTTCATCAGCCCAACCTTACTGGCCCCGCCAGCGGATTGCCGTTTCAGTTGAGTGTTATCACCACATTGTCAAGAGGCTAACAAGATTTCTTATTTCCTGCCCGTTTAGTGCTTAATTGGCGCCGAGTTCCAACGTGAGAGGAAAAGAAGATAAAACCATGGGCTATAGCCACCTGTCGCGAAGGAGCCGCTTTAATTCCCTGTTTTCTTCCGTGTCCTCTTCGACGTCTATTGCTATCACTTCTGTCCTATGGAAACGCCCATTTTTCGAATCTGAGACAAAGCTTACGCTTCTCTCTGATCTTCTTCTGGGCCGCATCAGAACATGCGACACACGACGTACCCTGGGATCCTCGTGCGTCGTTCGGTCCTGCTCATCGTCTTCTTCAAACACACCGGACCCAGCACTTAAATGCTGCTGCACCTCATATCCGCTTTCAGACCCGCTGAACGCCAACAGTTGATCGACGCAATCTTCGTGTCCGTCGTACACCACTTTGCACATTTGCTGATATTGTGAAGCGAAAATGTCCTGATTCCATGCAAATCCCTGCGATTGTGACGTTGCGAGTGTGTAGTGCGGCATTTCGCCAAACGTCACCGCATACACCACAGGTGTTTCACTTGCTTTCATACTTTCCGAGACTGCCATCACACTTTAAGAAAAGAATTCACGTTATGCTCTTTTAGTCGTGCCCGAAGCCCCTTTCCGTCTATTCTATAGTGTCCGTTCCTTACGTGAAAGGGTCAAATTTCCGAAAACTTTCCAAAGTGGTACCAAAAGAAAGCTCTATTTGTGATAGACAAGATTACACTCGCAGATTAACCTCAAACTCTTCCGATGGTCTTTAAAATGCTTATTGAAGTTGTCTTCGTCCCAATTTTGATTTGATGAACCCTCGACCCTTTAAAGTTCCCAATTTTCAACACCGAAATCTGATCTAATTCTTAACCACGTGACAGAAATGATCACACACCGGGTAACACTCGTCAATAAATTTTTCAGAGCTCATCGCTCTGAAAAATTTTCGAACTTTAACTGGAAGAGATGAGCTTGACCAGGCTAACACACATCTTCTTGATTAAGTCAAGACTTCCATTAAGCTTCTGTAGTTTATTTAGCCGCCGTTGGGATCCAAACGTGTTGATAAGAAACTCGGTCGTATCCAAAAATGGCGCCCATTGAGTACTTGCTTTTCGAAGAGCCCACGGGCTACGGGATCTTTAAAGTCAAACTGCAGCAAGATGACATCGGATCTCGGTTGAAGGAAGTGCAGCAGCAGATCAACGAGTTCGGATCTTTCACGAAACTGGTGGAACTGGTCTCGTTTGCGCCGTTCAAAGGTGCCGCTCAGGCTTTGGAGAACGCCAATGACATTTCCGAGGGTCTGGTCTCTGACTATTTGAAAGCTGTTTTGGACATGAACCTGCCAAAGGGCTCCAGCAAAAAGCCTGTGACCTTGGGTATCTCTGACAAAAACCTGGGACCATCGATCAAGGAGTCTTTCCCATACGTGGACTGCATGTCGAACGAGTTGGCCCAGGACTTGATTCGTGGTGTTAGAATGCACGGCGACAAACTTCTGAAAGACCTACAACAAGGCGATTTGGAAAGAGCACAGTTGGGTCTTGGCCATGCCTACTCCAGAGCCAAGGTGAAGTTTTCCGTCCAGAAGAACGACAACCACATTATCCAGGCCATCGCTTTGCTAGACCAGTTAGACAAGGACATCAACACTTTTGCCATGCGTGTCAAGGAATGGTACGGCTGGCATTTCCCTGAGTTGGCCAAGCTCGTTCCAGACAACTACAAATTTGCCAAGCTAGTTTTGTTCATCAAGGACAAAGCTTCTCTATCGGATGACTCCGTACACGACCTCGCTGCCATTTTGGACAACGACGCCGGTATTGCTGAGCGTGTCATTGACAACGCCCGTATCTCGATGGGTCAAGATATCTCCGAAACCGACATGGAGAACGTTTGCGTTTTCGCTGAAAGAACTGCGTCCCTTGCTGACTACCGCAGGCAGCTATACGACTACCTGTGCTCCAAGATGCACACAGTGGCTCCTAACTTGTCTGAACTGATCGGTGAAGTCATTGGTGCGAGACTGATCTCCCACGCTGGTTCTTTGACAAACTTGTCTAAGCAAGCTGCCTCTACCGTTCAAATTCTAGGTGCCGAAAAGGCTCTTTTCAGAGCGCTAAAGACTAAGGGCAACACTCCAAAGTATGGTCTTATCTATCACAGTGGTTTCATTGGTAAGGCCGGTGCCAAGAATAAGGGTAGAATATCCAGATACTTGGCCAACAAGTGCTCCATGGCCTCCAGAATTGACAACTACTCTGACGAACCAAGCAATATCTTCGGTCAAGTTTTGAAAAAGCAGGTTGAACAAAGATTAGAGTTTTACAGCACGGGTGCCCCAACCTTGAAGAACGAGTTGGCCATCCAGGAGGCTCTAGAGCTTTACAACAAGGACAAGCCTGTGGAAGCTGCCAAGGACTCCAAGAAGAGAAAGCTTGAGGCCAGCGACGAGGAGGAAGATGAGGACGAAGAGGACAAGAAGGTGACCAAGAAGGAAAAGAAGGACAAGAAGGAGAAGAAAGACAAGAAGGAAAAGAAGGAGAAGAAAGAGAAGAAGGAAAAGAAGGACAAGAAGGACAAGAAGGACAAGAAGGACAAGAAGAAATAGCTTTAGAACAACACTCTTCGTGCAAACCATCGCATCTCTCTGCATATCTTTCATGTACTAAAAATTTACTTTGTATATTGTGTATATCTAGCCCAACCAGGAATCTGCTAAACTTTGTTAGAATGGTAACATACTATTGGCAGAAGACCGCTACAGATAAAGTCCTGCATGTGCGCCCATTGCGGTACCGTTTAATCTCCAGTTACGATGGCATTCCTTGAAGTAAGCGTCTCTGTCGGCAAGGGCGAATTCTGACCAGCATTTTACGATAAGCGTATCCATGGCCTCCAATGACAGTTTCTCATAGCCCGAGGGGCCTTCACTTGGTGCTATATAGCCGCGAAATGGTATTTTGCCCAAAACTAGCTGTGTGACTAAGCTGGCGATGAAATTGGTCAAGAATTCGGGTGGGACCAGGCTATGCAGTTCAGTTTGCGGCTCTCCATTCAGAAACGCCACTGATTTCACCTCTTCAATCCTGTCGCTTGATCCAAGCACAACTATATCCAATGATTTTGAGAAAAGCTGTGATATCTGTTTGGACAAGAGATTCAACGCAATTGGAGGTACGTGCATAAAATCCTCAGCCACGCTAATCACAAGTGTTTCTCGATCGAGTTGTACCACTGGGATCTCCAAAACTTTGGCATCGCCCTTGCGTGAACTTTCCTCTCGAAGTTGGAAATCTTCGCGATACATTGTATCTTCCCTGTTTCTGATGTTCCACGAGATGCGAAAAGTAGAAACTTTCTTACCATTGCTCAAGTTTCCTGGAAACAGTGATCTAAACACCTTCGTTGTTATAATCGCCCGTTTATAAGCTGAAATGTCCAATTCTCCCAGTAGCTCAACTTTTGGAAGAGGTTCAACTTTCAAAGATCCCAGGTCTTCAATTTCATCCAAAGGTGCATCGATGTGATGTCTTGGTTCAGTGTAGTCGTTCCATTGTTTAAACTGCGCTCATAAAGGTTAGTTCGCGAATTTAACACCGTTGCACATCAAAACGTTACTTACAAGCATTGCCGGTAGTTGATACCGTTCGGTTCTGGTGATCTTCTTTTTCAGTATTTGAAATTGTATATAACTTACTTAAAGTTGATGATGAGTTAGCTTTACCATCTTCTTATTTAAAAACTAGCAGCTCACCAAGACTAAAGCATCGACAAGAGGATCGAACTAGAAGCCCATAATGTCTACAGCCGCCCAGAAACTGACCATGGAATACACTACCGCTCAACAGGGACTCGAAGACCTGGTCGTTGCCAGACAGAAACTGGAAACGCAGTTGCAGGAAAACAAGATTGTACAGGACGAGTTCGACACGCTGAAAGATGAGACGAAAGTCTACAAGCTAACAGGAAATGTGTTGCTACCAGTGGAACAGTTTGAAGCGAAAAACAACGTTGAGAAAAGACTGGAGTTCATCACCGCTGAGATTAAAAAATGCGAAGAAAACATCAAAACCAAGCAAGCAGCCCTGGAAAAGATGCGTGCGGAGCTAATACAGACCCAGGGTGCACAGCAGAGCGTACAGGCCTAGGCCTAGTTAGGGCTGCTGTCATTGTGGTGAGGAGTGGTAATTGAACTTCAAATGCGCGTTCTGAAACGTGAGAGTCATATGTACATACGTCGTGAAGACTGAACTTTAAAAGAAGAATAAAGAAAAATTGTTCTGGATACCATAAGAAACTTTTCGCAACACCCGCACTAGCAACGCGTGAGCTGAGATTTCGCAAGATTGATGCTCATCAGCAGCGTGTACCACATAAACTCTTCCGTATTGGTGTAGTACTGGCCCAGCCGGGTCACGCGATCCAGCTTTTCGGCTGCAAATTCAAAAGTCTGAGCGTAATTCGGGGACTTATCCTGAGCCATGAAAAGCTCTGAGCTCACAAACGCACATGAGATGGCAACTCGTTTCGAATACCATGCGAAATCTGGTGAGTCGGTTTCGTTGGAATAGTATACCATGTCGTCGGAAAGGCGATGCAGTTCAGGCAGAGCACTTTGGACGAGAAACTCACCGGGAATCGACAGGATCGATAAAAGCTGCGACAGATGGGCTGCAACAGGCTTATTGAGCTCCAAACGGCGTTGGAATAGCGTCTTTAGTGCTGGTGCATTATATGTGGTGGCATCTGCGGTCGCTAATTCGGAGTCCAGCTCTTTGGTGATGGCGTATCTTTTGGTGACCAGATGAAATTTGACCAATTCGAGTACCGAGGGTGAAACGTTGAAAAAAGAGGGCGAGTTGTCACTTCCCAACCCCGACAACACCGATGAACCGAGTTCTAGCTCGTTGAGAGACGCAACTATTGCCCTTTCGTTAAATCCATGCGTGGGCACGTGATTATTCAATGTGTTATTAAGTACTTTATACTGAAGAGAATCACAGCCGTAAGTTAGAGGCGAAAGCGCATATTTGGCCTGGTGTTCTAGTGCGTTTGGATGATACAGCCTGCGACCGATAAGACGAGCGATTGATCTCATAACTTATCCCGTGGCGTCTCTTTATTCTTTTGGTCCAGTCTGAGCCCAACTACCTTGTAGGTAGGTTTTCGAGGTTATTTCTATAATATAGCCACTATATATATTGGATAGACTTGACAGACAATAATGTGTTTTCGAGACGTAAAGACACGAAGAGAAAGGAAAGTACACAGCTCTCAACTCCAGGAAAAACAACGTATGAGACCTTGAAGCGATAGGGCTAACAGAGTGTTTTGCAGAGTTATCAGTATTGCAAAAGCTTTAGTTGAAGAACTCTTTGGACAGGTCACTTGTTACGAAACGACTGAAAGACTATGAAAGAACTTATTTCCATTCCATGTTGCGGCCAGGATATATTCCGCTAGAAAGTGTGTGTTTTGTTTATCTATGGCCAGAGAGACTGGAAATTGATTTGCCTTAGGTCTCTCAACTTACACTTATGCACGTGACCATAATCACGTGGCTTAAACCACATGACACAAAACACACGTGACTACAATATCACATGACTCACCCGTATCACGTGATTCTTTCAGACAATGAATACCATGTGACACAAAACTGAATTTACAGCAAAGGCCAAAATTGAAAGATATAACGAAAAGCTAACGCAACTTCAAGATAAACTAAAGTCATCGAAGACTATAAAAGCCAAAGCCAAAGCCAAAGCCAAAGCTTCTGTTGCAATTGCAATTACATCCCTGAGACGCACTCTCAGATCTGCTGACCCTTGCTGCTCACAAAAAAGTCCGCTCAAAGTTTGACCCCATACCTTTTCCCGCTTCCCAATACACCCTATATCACGATGTCTGCAGGTAAACCTATAAAATGCACCGCTGCCGTTGCTTACGAAGCTGGAAAGCCCTTGACAGTGGAAGAAATCACAGTCGATCCACCCAAAGCTCACGAAGTTCGTGTCAAAATCGATTATACCGCTGTTTGCCACACTGATGCGTACACTCTAAGTGGAGTGGACCCAGAAGGAGCTTTCCCATCGATTTTGGGCCATGAGGGTGCTGGAATAGTCGAGTCTGTAGGAGAAGGAGTTACCAATGTCAAGCCTGGCGACCACGTTATTGCTCTATACACCGCTGAATGCAAAAAATGCAAGTTCTGTCTTTCCAACAAGACTAATCTGTGCAGCTCTGTGCGTGCCACGCAGGGCAAAGGTGTAATGCCAGATGGAACTTCCAGATTTCACAACTCGAAGGGAGAAAGCTTGTTGCATTTCATGGGGTGCTCGACGTTTTCGCAGTACACAGTGTTAGCCGACGTCTCTGTTGTGGCCATCGATCCCGAAGCACCTTTGGAAAAGGTTTGCTTGCTAGGATGTGGTGTAACCACAGGTTACGGTGCTGCTATCAAGACCGCGAACGTGCAAAAGGGCGATACCGTCGCTGTGTTTGGTGCTGGAACAGTAGGTCTTTCTGTCGTCCAAGGTGCTAAGGTGAGAGGCTGCTCCAAGATCATTGTCATCGACCTTAACGACCAGAAAAAGGACTGGGCCATGGAATTTGGCGCCACTGATTTCATCAACCCCACAAAAGATTTGAAAGAAGGCCAGACCATTGTTGAAAAACTTATTGAAGTCACCGATGGCGGCCTGGATTTTACCTTCGATTGCACAGGTAATACTCAAGTCATGCGTGATGCTTTAGAAGCTTGTCATAAAGGTTGGGGCCAATCGATCATTATTGGTGTCGCAGCAGCTGGCAAAGAGATCGCTACGAGACCTTTCCAGCTTGTCACAGGGAGAGTATGGAAAGGCTCGGCATTCGGTGGAATCAAAGGTAGATCCGAGATGAACGGCTTAGTTTCTGACTACCTTGACGGCAAACTCAAGGTTGACGAGTTCATCACACACAAGAGAGGATTTACTGATATCAACGCTGCATTCGAGGACCTACATCACGGCGACTGCTTGAGAACCGTTCTAGACTTGTCTAAATAAACAATTATGTATCTCCACAATTCATCAAATTCTATCATTATTGGTACTATAAATTACTTTTATAACAGATGACAACTACTTTTAATGCTTCCAACCCCGACCTTATTACAATACTTTGAGTCCACTCTTTCTTTCCATAACTGACGAATTCGAAAAGAGGTGTCCAATAAACCAATAACCAATATCTCCCACTTGCAATTTTTTATGATTTTTATTCGCTTTTACCATGCAGGCTCCGAAAAACTCCTAGTATTTAACGAGATACCCATCCCATTATCAATCCCTTGAATGTTGTTGTTGTAAGAGTTGACAGTGCCTAAATCTTTTTGTTGGTGATCAGTAGTCTTCGGACCACCACAGCGCAAACAAACCACATTTTTGGCAAAATTGTGATATGTGCAAACCGCGCATTTCCAATCGCCTGCTCTGAAAGGCACGTTGGAACCACCCTGTTGACTTTGACCTAGCCGTTGCGCTTGGTTGTAACGAACCCTCTGTTGATGCTGCTGTTGGTGCTGATGCTGGTGCTGTTGTTGGTGCTGAGACGGGTGTGTCTGCTGAATGAGCGCGTTGGCTATGTGTCCATGAAGAGGTGACATGCCAGCCACACCATTTCCAACTTTGAATCCAGTCTGAAGGTCTCCAAGCCCAGTTTGCTGCAACGGGTTTCTGACGTAGCCATTTTTGTTTCCCGCACCAGCATCGGTCGTAGGAAAGGAACAGCGGAAACATGAAGTTCGTCTTTGAAAGTTGGAGAACCCACAAGACGGACAATTCCAGTCGCCAGGTCGAGGCTTGTTTTTGCTTTGTGGGAAGGGTGAGAGAATCTCTTGGGCCCGATCCAGAACTCTAGCACTAGAGGGCTGGATCTCGACGGTGTGCTCAATAACTCTCGGTTGTTTCGTGTTGGCGATGTTGGACAAAATTGACCTCCCATTCAGCGAAAGAGCCTCAGTGGCTTCTTCGTGGGTTTGGAACACCACAAAACCAGAAATACTATCTTCTGCCTCCACGTACGTGCTGTTGTTACTAGACCAATTATTGTTCACATTAGAGGTTTCCTCAACTATGTTTCTGACAGTCCAAAACCCGACGGGGCGTGCTCCAAATTGGGTAAACCAGGACTCCAGTTCGCTCTGTGTGGTGTCAGGAGGTAGGTTATTCATGTATAACACCTTGGATCTTTCTTGTAGGAAAGTGCGCACGTCCAAGTACGAATCGTACGGATGGGTCAAAACTAGAAGTTTATCCTCTGGAGTACAACATTTCTGCTGCAGCTGTGTGATGACTGCAAGAGCTTGATCGAGTGGAGTCTCTGGACGTGTAATTGGCTCTTTCGATGCATCATCAGCATCGCCCTCAACTTTTTCAAGTTCCAAAACTGCACGTAATTCGTCCAAATCTTTAGTTTTCTTATTTTGGGACGACGCAGCTGTTGTACGTAGCGCCAAGATCTCCGGGTGGTTCACACACCATCTCTGGTACTCCTTCCATAAATCAAAAACTCTAGGATGCTGCAAATGCGGCGGCAGAATGAAAACTTCGTCTCGTGCCTGCCGCGGCATCGTCACCCGAAAATGCCACGTAGAATTTAGAGAGCACAACACAAAGTCCTCTCCGGCATGCTCCGCAATGTCCCGATCCAATTGGCTCACTGCTTCCTGCAGTGAGCAGCCAGGGCCCAGCAGAACTTGTCGGTTTTCTTCAAACACGCGCTTCAGCGTATTCGCATCCAAAATTTGGTACTCAAATCGCGCAATCTGAGCCCAGTCTTTTGCCCTGTCTTCACGACGGGCCACCTCCACCTCTAACACAACATAATGCATCGCTTAGACGCTGTGAGGTTGACTTGTTGAGCCAAAACCGGTTCGAGCTTTTTGACGATTTTTGATGGTTAAAGGTTGACTGACTTAATTTTTCATGAGAGATGAGCTAAAAATTTTTGAAAGTGGGATGAACAGCTGTCAGTCATGTGGTACGAGATTTCAGTCGGAGGTTAAAGTCATGTGAAAGTCATGTGAAAGTCGTGTGAGAAGCAGGTGACCTTGGATGTGTCCAGGACAACATTAAGCAGAATGTAGGGCACGTAAGCTTCCCAAGAGTTCGGGCTGTTTACCACAATATGGAGATTTGGGGGCGATTTCTCAGATTTAACGTGCTCTAGTGCGTTTGAAATAGCCCTACAATGAACTATTCGAGGGCGATGTTTGGGGTTAGCAGTTTGCTTCAGAGAGTCGAGACATGCTTGAGAATTATTAGAAGTGGCCCTGGTTAGGTGGATATGCATGATTGCAATGGATTGCTGATAGTCGATGTTGACGAAACACATTGTTTCAATTAGAAAGCCTAGAAAACCCAAAAAAAAAAAGAAATAGAAAACAATCTATTTTTCCTTGGCGTCGCTACCGCTATCTTCTTCTTCTCCTTCTTCTCCTTCTTCTTCTCCTTCTTCCTCGTCGTCTTCCTCGTCCTCCGGTTTGTCCTCCCTCTCGTTTGTAACGCCCTTTGGATGTTGCTTTAGCCACGCGTCTCTCCACATCACCACTCTATCCACATTCTGCTCCATATCCTCCGTCGAGTTGCTCTGCAGCTCCACCACAATCTCTTGTGCATAAGAGTCAACTGCATCCTGCATCACGACGCCCATGATCTCTGCATCGATGTTTTCCTGCAGCTTGGCCTCGTGGTAGCCTCTCTCGGCCAACCTATCATACAGAACAGAGTTGTCACACCTCAAAACAACCACCAAGTCTATCAGTCTCTCGGGGAAAATATCGTTGACATGCCAGTCCACGATGGCTCCACCTTTCCGCAACAGAGGCTCCAAATGGTCCAAAAGCTTGTCCTCATCCACAATGTGGGACTTTCTTGCCTCGTCAAAGCCCTCGTAGCACTTGTTGTCTCTTGCAAAATCACTAATGTTGTAGTACTGGCTGCCTTTCAGGTTTCTGCTCAAAAGTTCACTTGTAGTAGTTTTCCCACAACCCGGCGTTCCGGTGACCAAAATGTTGGGAGTTAGTCTGACAGACATGTTTATCGGGTCGAATTAGAGAGATGAGATGCTTGCTGGAATCAAAAGTGGTCTTCCAAAGTCGAATACTGTTTTGTAGAAGTCCAAGTTTCTTTCGATGAGCTTCATTCAATACTTCATATATATATATCAAATTCAAAAATTTGATATCTTACAGCAACTAGAGTTCAAGAACTTCACAGGCCAGTAGAAGACAGTCTGGATTCGAGCTTAGCAAGATGGACAAGTATGGTCTCAAGGCACTTTTACCTCTTATAAGGCGTGAAGATCAAAGCCCAGATTATGATCCCTCTATGACACTAGGAATCGATCTCACACCGGTACTTCAATCGTTGGGAATTTCCAGCAATGCAAATGGCAGACAAAGAGTTCTAGATACGTTTCCCTCACCTTGGGTAGAAACGTCGCGCAGCGAAGTGGAACCTCGGTTTTTCGTACCCGAATCCTTCACAAAGATCCCAAGCGTACTGCAATCTTCGGGGTCCAAAAATCCGGTTTTTAACTCGGTCCAGCAGGATCATGCTAAAATCTCGCTCTTCCAGGACGAAACACTTTTTTACCTCTTTTACAAGCATCCAGGCAGCGTTGTGCAGGAACTGACGTATTTGGAGCTCCGCAAGCGGAACTGGAGGTACCACAAGACTCTCAAGGTATGGCTAACAAAAGACCCAATGATGGAACCAGTAGTAGCACCAGGAGGTGCATCCGAAAGAGGATCATATGTGTTCTTTGATCCACAGCGTTGGGAGAAGTGCCAGCGGGATTTCGTGCTCTTCTACAACGCAATAATGTAACAATGTAACATATAATATCACAACATACACGCTACCAGTCTATGGGAAAAGAAGGGTATATATGTATATTTATATACATGATTAATATTTACAAGACCCAAAATGGCCAGGTGCCACCTCATACTTCAATGGCATGGTAACGTTTACCTCTGAACCCGGCCATGTACATGTTAAATTGATACACTTGTTGAGGGTTTACGTCGTTGAGCTCCCACTTGGTACTGCCAAAAACGTTGTGAGAAAGTTCCATCAACATGTCTAGTTCTTTGCCGTAGGTATCCACAACAGCAGCCATGTCCCTCTTTAAATCAGCCTCGTTGAAACCCGTGGTGAAAATTGCACATTTGGTCTCCAGCAAAGCTTCCATGGTTTTGCCCATCCAATTTTCGCGAGACTCTGGGGCAGCGAATCCTGGATGGAAGCAGAAGAAAATGTCGGTGTATGGATCGTAGGGGAAGAAATCTTGCGCTTCATGGAAAACGTGGAAATAGTCTGTGTGATAGATGAAGCTCAAAGTTTCGTCAACTCTGCGCACGATAGGCGTAGACGAATGCACGTAGTCTCGCTTGTTTCTATCAAAGTGAGACTCTGGGCCGACAAAATGCAACTCCATCTGCGTCTCGGGAAACATAAACTGCAATTGTTTCCAAACGTGCCCTGGCAGCTGTGCTTCTGCTCTAGCCCCGAGAATGAAGATTCGAAGAGGGCTGTCCTTTGTCGTAGAAACGATGCGGCGGTTTTGTTCGGGATATAAGGTGTAGCGTAGTGCTGCCAGCGATTTGAGACCTTCCAAGGTGATAGGACCTTTGGGGTTCAAGGAATATGGCGAGAATTGATGCAGAACAGATCCTATTGTGATTGGATAGCTAAGCATTTTCGTGGAAGCAGCAAGTTGGAATTCTGTGTCCATGGAGTAGAAGCCACGCGTGTAGAAGAAAAGATCCCAGTTTGTCAAGTTGACCATACGGTCAAAATCCTGGTCTAGTGGGAAATCGAATTCTGGGAACGGCCTGCCGGACCTCAGATCATGCTCGTAAATGTTGACTTTCTTCAGAATTTCCGGTCTCTTCGATTGCTGATACTCTATGTCTTTCTCCCAAGCCTCGCGGGAGTGATGAGTGGGGATACCTGAGATTGGACATGTATAGTTGATTTCTTGTCCAGTGACTGGACATTTGGCCAATGCTCGTATGGTGGCTGCTCTTTCTCTTAGATCGGGAGAAGGCGATTGATCCCATGGATGAAATCTGTTTTCCGGCGTGGGATCATCTGGAGAAGGTGGTGGATCTAGTCCAAGCGCATTTCTCACAAATCCCATAATATGTCTTTTTTGCATTAAACCAGCGCCATAGCGAATACCGGCGCTATTGGCAACATAACCACGCATTCGAAAGACTTTGAAAGTTTGAAGCGTTGCGTGTACCTGTGGTAGTGTCTTGTTATACTTTAAGCGGCTCGAAAACTAGACTTTCCAACCCTGCGATGAGCAGCGACTTGAGTTGTGAGTTTGTAGATGTTCTATTCTAAAATTTTTCAGTAATCTAATTAGTATCTTGAGTAGGTATAGTTAAGCAAACAGAGAGAAACAGGCCGGAGTAGCTAGAATGAGCCAAGAATACCATATCAAGGTGATTATTTTGGATGATCTAAGTAGTGTTAAATTTAAGATTTTTAATGGTATATCTTGGTAAGATTTTGGATAGATTTTCATGATAGTGTTTTTTAACGAAGTTTCTGGAATTGTCTTGATTTTATGTCGATGCAATAGAGTAGCGAATTTGCAAGGCATCAATTATGATGCAATTAAAGCGATTCAAATTAATTGTGGAGGCTCATCTTTTTTTATCTGAGTTTGCTCAACACATATCTCGGATTTCTCGTCAGTGAATCAGTTTCGTCTTGGATAAGACGCTGTACCTAAATGATGGGGTATCAGTAGGTCCTCAGGCTATTTGCAACATAATTACATGAGTTTGGTGGTCTTTCTTGCTTGGCTTAGCAATGATGACGGGCTTTTATATATCGTTGTGAGTCGCTGACACGGGTCACGTGGATCTTGCATTTCGATCATCTAGGTGACGTAAAACCAGTGGGGATAGCAAGCTATGAGACGGTTAAAAGTTAGCAAGGCTCTACAGTCGATGCGTGGAATGGTAGAAAAAACTTGTCACCTTGTTCTTTCTTTATTCAACCACTTGCTCATTGGGCTTTATGACATCGGATCTTCGAACAGATATCTAATTATGCATGGCGACGGAGTAAAGAAAAACGACGAAAATCTGACATGACTTGAAAAGGAATAAAACATGGTACGCCAGCCATACAGAAGCCGAAACCGTTGCCCAAGTTCGTGTTAATTTAGTTTAGTTAAAGATTCGATTGTGTTGGGAACTTGTTAGTCATGGTGAAGTTACTTTCAAAAAGTCAACCTCACTGTCAGATATACGATCACGACCTGCAAAGTACTTGAATGAATTCCAAAACTAAATCTATGAGTAAAGTTAATCCCTACAAAGTACGCATACGGAGAACTGGTATCTCAAACCTTAAAAACTCACGGTAATAGTGTTTGTTAATCCCACATGTCACGTGACAAGAATAGGATTCAAATGCCATGACCAACCACCATTCACAATCAAAGAAGCAAGATTGTCTCGCTTATTGAACAAAATCCCTCCTTTCCATACCTCAATGCTCCCAATCTCATCCAACCATTATGGCTTGTCCTCCATAATTCATGAATAATCCCAAGATCAGTTTGTCATCTCATACGACAATGATACATCTAAAATTTTTGAAATTAATAGATACTCCAGCTTCTCAACGATATTCACCGATCAGTAGTATACCAGACACCGGTTTCTGTCTAACCGTTGCTGGCTTTAACAACATTGCTAGGTAATGCTCGGAGCCTTTAGACAGCTGGCGGCACGAGCGCTCAAGCCCCGCGTCTCGAGCACAATTAATAGATCTGCCATGCACACGTTCCACAACCACATACCTTTGACCCAACTGGCTCTGCCCGTGTCATTGTTGAAGCCGATAGCACAGATGGAGCCAAAAACAGATACAGAAGAGCTTTTTGCAGACAGTGTAATGCGCAAAAGACGGCTGAAAATGAAAAAGCACAAGCTGCGGAAGAGAAGAAAGAGACAAAAAGCTGAAAAGAGGAAACAATCGCAAGGTAAATGAGCGGGCTTTTAAAGTTCCGCTAACGCTTTATAGTCATTCCCTGTACATACGGAAAAGAAGCACACGGTTGACGTCCTGGACCTTCCGGGTCGTGCTAACGTACACTATTCCACCAATATTCTAAATTCCAAAGAAATAGTCACTCGTATTAAGAACCCAACAGGCCACAGCATCTTAGCGTTTGCTGTTGCTTGATGTTTATTTTCACCATTATTATTATGGACGCCTTTCTTATACATCTACCTGTCTCTAAAAGAATCTACGAAGCATCCACCACATTGCCAGAATTTGAATCATAACGCCCATGGCCAGCACGAGACTTTTCTGTTTGCGACTCAACTTCTCCGTGTGTTTCCATTCGTCGACCGCGAAAGTGATCAGCTTGAAGCTCAGCTTCCCCATCAGTTCTTGACGGTTGATCTCACCTAGTTCAGAAATGACCCGGGTGTTCCACTCGAAAATCGCGTTTGACACCTGAATAACTTCCAGTTTCTGCTCTTCGCTTAGACCTTGGCGTGTTGCCAATTCGTACCCACGCTTGTAGTCCTTGCGAAGCTGGTTTTCGGCTGTCACACCCTCGGAACTGAAAGTGAAAAAATTCGTTCCGCGACGAACCACTTCCTCTGGGCTGAGATCTGGGAACTTGGGGAACAATCCTGTCGACCTATACACGGTGGAACGCATTACACGTCCACCTGCAAAGAGTGCAAGATAGAGCACGTGACAGTATGCCAGCACGGTGGTTGGACTATTCTTGATGCTCTGGTGCACGTAATCCACGAATCCTTGTTGCTCAAGAGGCAGTGCGTTTTGCTCTATGAATCTGTGCAAGTCTGCACTTGTGGGACACTCTTTGGCGTACAAAAGCTCCAAATCCTTTAGAATCTTGTCTGAACGACGGAAATCGTCGACCCAGAACTGCTTTAGGATCTCTCTGGTCTGCACTTCCTGTTGGGTTTGAGCGTTTTCCAAAATTCGGTCAATTTCCTGTTCAATGGCCTGGAAAACGTAATAAAACGCCAGGATGCCTTGGCGATAGATGAAGCCATGCTTCATGGCAAAAGCGAACTTGACGCTCATTTGTGCGTCGATTTTGTTGTGTTGATCTCTGGTGTGAAAGTTGATGCGATTGGCCAGAGCCCCCACATCTGTTGGTGCTGGAATTGTGTTTGTCATGTTCGCAGCGAAATTGATTGTAAATGGTGACAACTGCTCAGAGATGTCTTTACTAAAGCTAAAAAAGTCTAAAACAATTGAAAAGACTTGGAACTCAGCAATTGAAGAGGGCGTCTGTGGGTTTATATACGTATTATTTCGGTAATCTCAAATTTAAAGAGAGTTTGGGTGTAGTAATTCATTCCTTGTGAGTTATGTGTGTGTATAAGTGTGTGTGCTTCGTTACTTATAGCCCATGGCTCTATTATTGGGTGCAATCCGATAACTCCCGGTGGGTCATGTGACTTTGAAGTAAGGGATACGCCGAGTTTTTGGCTTACATCAGCGAAGCACGTGAGCACCCTAGATCACGTGCATCGATTTGATTCTTCACACATCACGTTTTTTGTCGTGGGTGTTTGGGTGTTTGGGTGGTGTTTGGGTGCAATATGTCTCTTAAACCAAGGTGTTCTTCATACTACAAAACCTTCAAGAACTCCATCATGAAAGTACACCCTTTTCTTACACTTCCAGCTATGTAGTACTGTCCTCTATCTCTCAGCTCACATGTGCTTGTGCCTCGTAAAACTCTATAACCTGCTCGGAAGACGTGGCGTCCTCCACAGCCTTGTCGTCACGTATGCGAATAAACCTTGGAAACCGTAATGAAATGCCCTTGTCGTAAGAGCCGGAACCGGCCTTGTAGACCGGCGAAAGCGACAAATCTGCAGTCAGCACCTCGAACAACATGGTGGGCTCGAACCACACGTCCGGCGGGGCCGACTCGCTGAACACATAGAAGGCCTTCGGTTTGCCAATCTCGGTGGGTTTGAGATCGTCATACAGCTTTTGCAGCATTTCATCAGAAAACCCGGTGCCGATCTTGCAACATGTCTCGTACTCGCCGCTGTCCTGATTATAACAGCCCAGTAAGAAGCCGCCGTAAGTGCCCGTACGCTTTCCTCGTCCATAGTACGCACCCAGAACGCACAGGTCCAAAGAGTCACCCACGCCCTGTAGATAGTCCTTTTTCAACTTGAGCCAGTTCCGGGACCGTTTGCTGGGCTCATACTGAGAATCCTCGCCATCCAGTGATTTCACCATCAGACCCTCGCACGAGTCCTTTACAGATTGGTCCAAATAGTGCTGCATCTCTTCTAGACTTGTAGTGGTCATTTCGCTTGCAAACTGCAATTCTCCCGGAACTGGTTTCAGTGCCCGATGCAAGTACTCGCGACGTTCTGCAAAAGAACGACTGATCAAGGGCTCATCGTTGTAGCACAGAATGTCGAACGCAAAGAGACAAACCCGAACTTTCACGTCTTCGGCCACCACGCCCTTTCTTTTTCGCGTGCTTAGTACCTGGAAAGGCAAAATTGTGTTTCGCTCTTTATCCCAAGCAACAGCCTCACAGTCCAGGATAAGTGTATGTGTTGCGTCTTTGTCTGCAATGAAGTCGCTGATTTTAATCTCGGGATATCTTTCCGTCATGTTTTCGCCATTTCGAGAGTATATGTGCATGGTCCCATCGGGCAACAGGTGAACCTGGGCTCTTTCACCATCGTACTTGTACTCGCAGGTGAATCTGTGTCCTTGAAAGCGGTCCAGTACTTCAGACACAGATTTGGACGGTTTAGCCAGCATCGGCTTGAGCGGGATTCCCGGTGTCAGCACACAGTGCTTATCCAGGTTCATAATTCCATGTTCAAGGGCACTTTTTATCACAATTTCATAGTTCGGTATTTGGCAGAAAGCATCACGAATTTTCTCTTCAGCTGCATCTACCGCTGTACTTGAGGGCTCTTTACCGTTATGTTCATACGTTAAGATAGCCTTGGAAAGCGCGATTAACACACTTTTTTCAGCAAGCCCTATTCTCAGCTTGGATTCCAAAGATCTTATCAGAAATTTAGCCTCTACGCCCTCACAAGCAGTCAACATTTTCTTGATCAGCTGGATTTTCCGCAATTGCGAATCCTTTCCCTGGGCCTTGGCAATGGTCTGCAGATTGGTAAACACTTCACCAGTAGTTAGTGGCTTGGGTTTGAACATAGTAGGCTGAACGGCTCTCGCCTCCTGTGCTATACGGCCCAAATCACCGAGCTCACGATACCGGGTCCTAACTTGTGCCAAAGATTTTCCGCAACTTTCGCTGATGGTCTTCATGAGTAGACCCTCACCCAGCCCCAGTTCCAGTCCGAGCTGATAATCTGGACCCAATCTGTTTATCAAAAGGTAAGTGATTGGCACGATATCGTTTTGAGTGTTCGACAGCACAGAATACAAGAAATCACTGCATAGCTTCACAATCTGGAGCCTTGAAGAAGTATTTTCGATCTCGTTGAATACATTGCAGATTTCCGAATACCGGATCTTAGACTGTTTAGGGGCCGTTGGGACTATTTCTGCAGCATCCGGAATATCGTTTTTGACAACAGGTTTAGTAGGTTTCAAAGACACAGGAGATGGGTCCTCGAGCTTTTTCTCAACTGGGGGTTGACCTGGAGTGGAAGAGAGCTCTGGTGAGACTCTCTTTGATTCATTAGCTTCGGCATTGTCTAGTTTCTCGATTCCATCGTTTATTTTGGGCTTCTTGACGGTTTTCTCAACTTTTGACGTCTCGTCGCCGTCTCTTTTTTTGGAGCTGAAGAAAGCCGCCAAGGTGGTCTGTTTTTTACCTGAGGACATTCCAATGCGGGCCAAACGTATCATATACAGTGGGACGTCGAATTTCAACGTAGGACCAGTAAAACTGATCTACCCTTTTCGTCAAACTGATGTATAACGCTTTTGGGCCGAAAAATAACGCTAAAGTTGCGCTTGAAAAACCGAACTAACCCAATTGACCAGCCGCAGATATTCAAAGCAACGGATTGTAACTAAGAAGCTATCAGAAGGTTTCCTTGAAGAATAAAAACTCTAATTCAGATGATTCTTCTTAAACTCATCGATAGACTTGTAATATAAATCTCTATAAAGACGTATTTGGACCAGGAAAGAACGACACGCCCGTCCAAAGTGATCTCAAATTTCTGATACCCAACGTAGCCAATAATTGTAGGATAATTTGTAACTTCACATTTCCAGCTTCTATCCACACACTCAGTGTGGAAGACTGTTCTTGTAGGTCTCCCTCGAGCTACCTGTTTGTTAGATCTATAAAAAATGCATGTTGAAGCCCCATGTCATTTATGACGACATGCTGAAATTTAATGATAATGAAAAATTGGAAATGATCAAATCCTAACCTTTTATAGGGGTCTTGAACGCTTCTACGATAGTCAGGACCCCAGCTAGTTTCAACGGTTATCAGCTTGATCTGCTAGTCTAGTTGCATTCGTCGCGCTGGTTTGAAAATATAGGTTCAGAGTTTACATTTTTTTCCCGCTTCGAAAATGTCCAAATCGTTGATGAGAAAGGCCAAAAACGTGGTGAATGGGTACTCAAGCACCCAAGTGTTACTACGGGAGGCTACATCCAATGACTCAGACGGACCATCCGTGGACCTTTTGGATGAGATTGCAGAACGGTCCTGGGACAATGTGAGTTTTTTTGAGATCATGGACATGCTGGACAAACGCTTAAACGATAAGGGCAAAAATTGGCGCCATGTTGCAAAGTCCCTAACGGTCCTGGACTATTTGGTTCGCTGCGGATCAGACCATTGTGTTCCTTGGGCCAAAGAGAACTTGTACATCATCAAAACCTTGCGGGAGTTTATACATGAAGACGAACTTGGAGTTGACCAGGGCCAGATCGTCCGTGTGAAGGCCCGTGAACTAACCGCGCTGTTGCAGGACGACGAGCGTTTGAGAGAGGAAAGAGAACTAAGACGTAAAAATCGTCGGCCAAGAAGGCGTCGGACTCGGGAAAATCTCGACGACGACATGCAGCGTGCTCTAGAGGAAAGCAGACTTACTGCAGAACAGGAAGAAGAAGAACGTCGCAGAAGACTAGAGCTTTACGATAACAGCAATGACGACTTGCGGACCGCACTGCAACTAAGCCAAGAAGAGGAAGAACTCAGGCGTCTACGAGCCCTTCAAATGCAACAGGCCCAAAATCAGATGTACGAGTTTCAGCAGCCCCAGCAACAGCCTCAACAGCAGGCCATGTACTACGATGTTTTCGGAAACCCTATTTCTTTAGAGGAGTATCTTCAATATCAACAGCAAATGAACGAACAACAGCTCGCACAACAACAATATGAACAAGCAGCCCAACAGCAGTACCTGGCGCAACAACAGTACCTGGCTTTGCAGCAGCAACAGCAAGAAGAAGCGCTTGCTCACCAACGATACTTGCAGTCACTCGCTCAGCAACAGCAACAACAGTTGCAACCCTTGGCGACAGGCTCCAACAATCCGTTTGCAAGAACCAACCAAATGAGTCCGCCACCCACGACTGTTCAATCGCCTCCTTCTCTACCGCGCCCAGTCGAGGTGCCGCAGCCAGCACCCGTCCCACAAAAGATTGCTTCGCCACCACAGCAACCGCTTAAACAGACAAGAACAGGTAACCAGTCTATTTCTGACAAGTTCAGCGATTTGAACAATCTTCTAGCCACGGGCGCAGGTTTAGATACATTTGGTAACACAGGTGATACTCGTATTCCTGCCCAACACACCAAGACGGGCACTTTCATCAATTCACAGGGTACGGGCTACAAGCAGGTAGCTAGTGGACCTCAGGGTAAGAAGAACCCTTTCTTGGGGCAACAATACACGGGACTTCCAAGTACTTCTGTCGTGCCCTCCCACACTGGCTATGGATTCGGAAATGGAAGCCAAAGCTACCAGCCCCAGCAACAGCGCAACCAATATGCGTCTAACGGAGCGGCAGATCAAGGCGTCAGTCTGATAGACTTGTAGTTAAATTTATACTGCAGAAACAAAAGTTTATCTTTTCAACGTCTCTGAGGACATTGACGGAATCAATGCGATTGACGATGGAAGCAAGGCCCTGTCGTTGACAACAAATTCGCGAGATGACAGAAGGACAGATGTCAATATCAGATTTGCTCTCTTGAATTGGTCTTTGTCCGAATAGGTTCATGCTGATGAGCTATTTGTATGTGGACATCTCGCATAACTGCGAGCTCATAAATTCGTAACTTATGGCTATCATGCAGATATGAAAACATTAGTCTCTTGGCAAGTGAGAAGACCAAAGTCAAGTTTGTCTATGTATTGAGAATTCCTTCTTTTCTAGAATGATTAATGAAGACCTTACTATCATCAATGAAAAGCACAGCAACAGAATGACTATTGTTCTCTTACTATGCTAATGATACATTCCTACGCTCAATAAATCCCAATTGATCGTGACAGTAATGGTCAGTGAGAGCTTCAACCGGGTGTCGTTAGTACCTCAAATAAACTTCTGCGTATACGCTCAATAATAAAAATGACGAGAATCTGTAACCTCCCAACTGTAGGACCGCTAATTCAGCACCATTTCTCTGGAATCTTTTTCGAATTGACTAGCTTGTTTTGTAGGAGTGTCGTAGCGGCCACAGGCGGATTACCGAAAACATAACGAACCGCCAGACAGTTCACGAGACAGACTCAATACTTAAACATGGATAAGCGTTTTTGTAGCGACCACTGTTATTTTCCATCAATTCCTGAGATTTCATTGCCGTAGATGGAAAGTGCCTTTTCTTTCAGCCTGTTGCCTAACAGATCTCAAAGTCTCACATATCTAACAGCAGAAGCCCGGAAACACTTTCCAGATCTTTGTGAGTCAATACTAAATCATTGTTTAGTCTATTAGATTCTTGCTCCCCCAAGCGTTCTTTGTTTTCGATCGATCGTAGCACTGCTTCACGAACAAACACCTCAAGGTATTCTTCTATAACGGTCAACGTGGACTCCGTAATTCTTGTGGAATCTTGACTAAATGAGCAAGTTTGGAACACTCGGGCAATAGTATCCTTAGGAACTGGACTCATCATCAGAGATTTAACGTTCTTGTATGGGAGCGATGAGTTTGGAACTTTGTCTATCGATTTAGTAGTTGATGATATGTATATCGATTTACTGTTCTATAAAGACACAACCATCTGGAGTGTTATATTTGTATCGCGGGAGGACGCTAGTAATTGTATCTGATGGGACTCTGCCGCTTCCAGCAAATGTAATGATATTATAGTCCACCCGTCTCCTTTATCCACGATGTCAGTATTTACTTCTGTAGCTTGCAGACCACTCTTCAAGAGTTCTGTCCTTGTTTGCACCGCAGAAAGACGACTTCGACTCAACATATAGTTTGGAATGCGTGTAGCGAAATTGCTGATCTCTTCAACTGGGGTTTGTGCCGGCACATATTCTTCTTGAAGCTCTAGAGCGAATTCGCATACCGGCAAGTAAGCAGTGGTGGGCGCCGCCAATGATATATGCAGTCCCATAGCAGATTGCTCGGTCGCTCTGAAAACGAGGGCTATATCTTTGTAGGTGTGATTGCCGGCCGGATCGACTGTCGTCAAAGGAATAGCTTCCACGTCTGGCAATAGGTGTAAAGCAGAAGATTCCTGAATAAATCGGGAAGACTTCGGGTCTGGAGACACTTGCGTAAGAAGGGCATCACAATGGGGGCATTTGAAATTATACTTGGCCGCGAGTCTGCGTGGCAATGGTAATGACACAGTGGATTTCGAGACATCATGCGCATGCATTTTCCGCACTGGCACAGCGTGTTCTTCGTTGATCAGCTCGTACAATTTTGCAGTTTGAAGTTTTCCTGCTAACTTTCGAGATGTTGCTTCATCCAAGGTTTCGAGCATTCCTTGACTGCATTTGGCCTCAACTTCTTCCAGTTTCCGTTTGGTGCTGTAGAATGCCTGCAGATCGCGGAATCTGGCGGTGTTTGAGTTCTGTTTTTCACTCAATGAGTTGAAATAGGAGGCCAGGCCTTGGGATTTAGCAGTCTCCAATTCACCACTTCGGGAGGCCCATCCACAGCCAGGACAATTGAGCAGCAGTTCCTTTTTGCCAGACGGCTGCAGACGGTCAATTGTTACAATTGGTTGATTGTGGCATTTTGGACACTCCAAACAGTTTCTGCTGCATCGAGTTTGGCTCCCATTCTCAACTGTCGCGTAACATCCAGGACAATACTTCACCACAAGCTCTGGTGTCTGGCACCGATTGCAAGATATTTGTTGACAGGTCCGACATACATTAAGGAAATAAATGGATTTGGGCTCTTTCGAACAGCTACAAAGCCAGTTTACATGCATACCAGAGACCGACAATACATAAAGCAAGGATAAGAGGGAGCAGTCGCAACTTGACCTGGTGTTTTGGACAAATGAGTCGTAGGTTGAACAAATCCTGCTAATAAGGTCGACCGCTAATAACTTCAAGATGTCACGTGATTCTTATAATGTTGACATCAAAACTCGCCAGACTTCAAAAGACAGTCTCAGAATCGAGCGTTGAGCTGTACTGAAATTATGTGAAATTGCTGAACCTAAATTCAATATGATTTGGTGATGATTCGGCTGATTTGCTGTTTCTAGTTGTCCCTATTGTTGCTGGAGATACATTTTCCCGAAAAGTCTACTACTTGGTAAATACATTTTGATCTCAAGGGTTAAGACATATGAGAGAATTCTGTACTTTGCTGTATATCATCCATTATTGGTCGTCAGGATCTTTGGTGCGAAGTTTTAGAACATGACGCGGAAGATTTTGGCTAATTTGCGAGTTTTTCAGGTCTCGCTGGCTCAACTCTACCGGAAACAGAAGAAGCACGGATAGCATATCAGCGATCTGTACGAAACCATATGGGCGTTCTACGCCATTTTTCTCGCTATGCTTGAAAGTCCAACCACCGACAGGTTACTGTTGCTCGACAAGATCACTTTATACTTGGTTGACATAGCGTCAGATAAAAAACCTCGAACGTCGCGACTGAAATAACAAAACATTCCAGCACACGAGACAGAAGAGCCAGTAACACAGCCATGTTAAATGAACATAGATACCCGGGCTAGCTAGCCGTATTCTTCTCCGCCCAAATGTTTGAACGTGGTATATGAATTGTCAAATAGGCTTCATATGAGAAAAAAAGTATATCGAACAGGATTTCCAACTATCCTACAAGCTTCAAAAAGCTGTTGGACTTTAAATTAAAATTTTATGAGCTGGGGCAGAACCCGATTAGTTATATTTAATTTGTTGACCTTACGCATTGAAAAATCCGTTTGAAGGTCAGCTCCGTGTGTGAACTTTATTTTGGCGTCGTCGTGTCAAAACAAAAAGAGAGCAGCACAGCACGACGATATCGACATAATACAAATGAAAATACAGAACAGAATGTTGGCAAATGGCTCTCATAGGCGTTTTCACATTATACTTTGTTCATAAGCTCATCTCTCACGTGACAAGAACTGTTATTTAACACCTTATATATTATAATTCCAGATACTTCAGATAGAAGAAGGACCAACTAGACTAATCCAGTCGCAACCAAACGTTCAAGAGACGTTGGCCAGCGCTTCTTTCATTCCTTGCATTGGCCGTGTCCTGATATATATGAAGGGTCTTTGCATCGCGGCTTTTCTGTTCAATTGCATCCATGTTTGTTGCTTACAACAAGACAAATGGGCTATTATAGCTAAGAACCTGGCACTCCTGCCAAAGCATGAAGAGTGTCTGATCGACTCTGCACAAGATTGGGATCCCTACCAAGGGGGAATAAATATAACTTTACCCATTGATTATTACGAAGAGGAGCAGGAGCATATTTGGGCTGCTTTCATTGCGTCAGAGAGCCACAGCAACAGATTGATGTTTTCAGACCTTGTGCAGTCAAGCGAAACGTTCAACAACACAGAAGCAACCTACACTCTGTCTCAAATCCTATTGCAGCAGCAGTATGGTGTTCCTCAAAGCAAGTCTTTGGCGTTCTACTTTTTGCAAAAGTTCAACAACCTCACTGACTATGCCAATGCCTCAGCCGTTTTCGAAGAGGGCGTAATGCATACCACAGGACTCTTTGGCACTATCCCAGTCAACATTCCCCAGGGGCTAATACTGTATGAAAAGGCAGCTGCGTTGGGGGACCCTAGGGCAATAATGGCATTGGCTTACCGATATTACAAAGGTATAAATGTTCCTCAAGATGATGAAAGGGCTCTTATACTGTACAGAGGGCTGGCTTCAGACCTGCGTGAAAGCTACACTGATCTAGAGTGGGAGATCTTCCATCCTTACGTGGAGTCCTATTATGTTCGTATCCCGGACTTCACAGGCGGTCTTCTGGGCAGCGATCTAAGCCGTAAACCTTCTACCGTGACAAGGTTACGGGCAAACAGGCCCGATATTACAACCCCCGGGTACTCAATTCTCAATGGGCAGGGTGCTCGGCCTGGACCCGGGTATCACTATTACAAGGAGGATGACGACGACAGCGCAAGACTCATGGAACTATATTACACCGCTTTGGATAATTACATGGGTACATATACCCAAAGACGCAATCTCGATGCTGCTGTACAGACATTAAACTCCACTATCCAAGAGTTTTCTCCTCAGATCAAAAACATGGACACTCTACAAAAATTTTACTACGGCAGATGCTTAGAGTTATTGGGTCATATGCTTTTTACTGGGCAGGGATTCCCAACTCGAGATTTAGATGCGGCCGAATCAATTCTTCTCGATGCTGTGTCCATGCCAACCTCCTTTGCGTCACTTGCTCATCTAGATCTTGGCACAATAGAGCACTACTTTCATAAGAACGCGACAGCAGCGCTTCAACACTATGAAAATAGCAGACGTGGTGAAAGTGCATTTCAATTACATCAGCTGTTTAAGTCAGGCTTGCTGTCTAAAAAAAAAAACATGCCCATGTTCTCACTTAAAGATGCTGTAAGAATGGGACAGCGGCAAGCGTTTTATGAGTTGGCCCTTGAGACTGAAGAATCTGCTGCCGATGGGAGGAGCACACTTGTTCAACAGTTCAAAAGATTTGTTGAGTCACAGGAGCAACAGGTCGCACCTCATATGAAGGACGCATTCTTATCACTCCTTAGAGGTGAGACAGAGGCGGCTTTGTGGTTGTATGCACTGGCAGCGGAACAGGGAATCGGGATAGCACAAATAAACGCAGCCTTCATACTCCATCAGCCTCCCTACAGTCTAGACGAGCCGCCTATATCTCCAGTAGAGCGTAAGCACTGGGCAGCACGGTACTATTCCCTAGCGTCTCTGGGAAATACAAAGGATGCACTCATTGTTGCAGGCGACATTTATTTCCAATTAGGTGACTACGAGCGGTCAGCAGCGTTTTATGAAAGCGACACTTATTCTCCTTTGGGTCGTTGGAATTTGGGATACATGCATGAGTATGGGCTAGGTGTGGAACAGGATTTCCGGCTAGCGAAGAAATACTATGGAAAGGCTTTGGAATTCAATCCAGAACTTGTCTTGGGGGTCAAGCTCTCCATCTTGAAGCTGCAACTAAAATCTTGGTTTGCATGGCTCACAAGATCAGCAGAAAGGTTTGGATGGCTAGTGAGCGCGGAGACCACCTCTAAGAGAACAGCCAATGAAGCCCTACACTCACGATTGATCAAAAAGCTCTGTAAAACTCGTTACGAAAAAGCTGATCCGACCATTATCACTCCGAACTATTATGGACTGCCTACTTTGAAAGATGCTGTTCTGATAATTGGTTTGTTTGCAATCTTCTTGATTATACAATTCGCCAGGCTGGCTCGGGGCTTGTTGGCACGTCGTCGCAGAAACCAATTTGGAGGTATAAACTTTCCTCTATGAAGAATGTTTCCCGCGCTTATTGTAGTAACGTTCAAACCCTAAGCATCTACTGCAACGATTTTGGTACAGAAACTCCGTCCAGTTGCATTTTTGTCGCTGTCGCGTTGGAACTTCATGAGTATAATGACAATAATGTTAAAAGTGATAAGGGTTTTTCCTAAAGGAACAAAACACAGAGCAAAAGCTTGTGTTAGTCTGAATTCGATGCTTGTTATGTGCTGTTCGCGCGTTTCAAATTGCAATTGGAGATTCATTGATATCTCAATGCCCTTGTTGACTTTCAAAAGACCAAGCTTTTACTTTTCTTTATGGGGGCCTCAATGCTGGGTATATTGACCAAAATCAGTCATCAAGATCGGTTGATTTTGGCCGTGGACGAAACTGGACAAAAAACGTACTCTCTTCATTGATCCATATGTCAATTGACCAACACGAACGGACAGATCTTAGAACTTACTTAATGAAAACTAATAAGATGAAAGGCAAGATAAACGGCGCGCAGGTTCACACTGATATTTTCAAGATTAGTATCCTAAGCCAAAGTCCAATTTTCTCGACAACTCACACTTCATCAAGACAACTTTCGCCTCTTCGTCGCATGATCGAGCGAGAAATCTTGACTGAATTTAAGCTTCTAATGGACTTAGGCCAAGTCCCCACCACGTGATCTAAACCAGGAAAACAATTAAATCTCTATATACGAAAAAATTGTCTTCAGATTTATTTTGGACCCTTTAGGGAAATTTATTCATAGTAAGAAGCCATCAAACTCCTGGAATAGCCATCCAGAAGAACACAAACTATTCAAAGCCGAACTCATACTATCAACCTTATCAATCTCGCATCACTCTATACGTCATTTTCTTGAAAATTCCTAAGATATCAACATCCCTATATACGGATGTACTCGTGGAAATTTGGGCTTCGGAAATTCGGTACTCGTCCCGTGACCACTTCTTCAATTAACAAATATCAAAGTAAATTCACCACTGCTATCCATAATCATCTTAACAACACCAAGAATCCATCCCAGAAACCCTGTCTTGATTCGAAACCATTGAGCATTCTTTGTTTGTGGAGTTTTTAGATTTGGCAATTGACAATATGGCCACGATTTCTAATGCTCACTCCGAGCTTATCCATGATGCTGTACTGGATTATTATGGTAAACGTCTAGCAACTTGTTCTTCGGACAAAACAATCAAAATCTTCGAAGTGGAAAACGACACTCATAAGCTGGTGGAAACTCTTCATGGACATGAGGGACCAGTGTGGCAAGTGGACTGGGCACACCCCAAGTTTGGTGTGATTCTGGCATCGTGTTCCTACGATGGGAAAGTGTTGATCTGGAAAGAAGAGAATGGACGTTGGGTTCAAACTGCAGTCCATGCTGTGCATTCTGCTTCTGTAAACTCTGTAAAATGGGCTCCTCACGAATACGGGCCCTTTTTGCTTGCAGCTTCGTCCGACGGGAAAGTGTCAGTTGTGGAATTCAAGGAAAACGGCACTTTGGCACCTGTGGTGTTAGATGCCCATGCAATTGGCGTCAACACTGCTTCGTGGGCCTCTGCGGCTCTGCAGGATGGCTCTTCATCTCTCCAGGAGCGTCGTTTCGTCACTGGAGGGGCCGACAACCTCGTCAAAGTCTGGAAATACAGTCCTGAGGCAAACACGTATTTGGTACAAGACACACTGGAAGGCCACACAGACTGGGTGAGAGACGTTGCATGGTCGCCATCGATGCTGCTGCGCTCCTACTTGGCCTCTGTCTCTCAGGACCGTACTTGCATTATCTGGACTCAAGAAAACAACCAGGGACCATGGAAAAAGACCCTATTGAAAGACGACAAATTCCCAGATGTTCTTTGGAGGGCTAGCTGGTCGCTTTCCGGAAACATTCTAGCCATTTCGGGAGGCGATAATAAAGTCACCTTGTGGAAAGAGAACCTAGAGGGTAAATGGGAATCTGCCGGTGAGGTAGAGCAGTGAAATTTGACGAAAATGAGAAGCAAGGCTTCCAATCTAGTCCAAAACTCAAAAGAAGGAAGGGTTAGGCTGTTGTGATCACAGTTTAGTCGTCTCATTGAATATACGTATAAATATCTGCATTTTTATCGAAAATTAGAGAAATTGCGCTATCAAAGCTCGGCAACGACTGCTTCTACAAGACGTTCAACATCCACTGAGGCCAAAAATCCGGCTTCCAAGACTTCTTCGTGGGTGGCTTTTCCTTGATCGATTGGAACCGGGTTTTCGTCCAGTGCACTGGCTGGTGGATCAACGACTACCTGGTTCGTAATGAGACTCAAGGCCAAAACCCTGAGTCCGCAATGCCTTGCCACGATCACTTCGGGAACCGTGCTCATACCCACAACATCTCCACCAAACAAGCGCACCATTCTGGCCTCGGCTCTTGTTTCAAAAGTAGGTCCGGACACGTACGTGTAAACACCCTCGTGCAGAGGCCTGGTCAAACCTAACTCAGCTCTTTTACTGTAAAGTAGTTTGCGGAGAACTAAATCGTAACCATCACTGAGAGCTTGGAATCGAGGGCCATATTCGTCAAAGTTGGGTCCTCTCAATGGGTGTTGGCCTGCCAAGCCAGGAAAATTGATGTGGTCGTTCAGACACATCAGGTCTCCGACCTGATAATCAGGATTTACAGCTCCGCATGCATTGGTTACAACCAGATTCTTAACAAACCCCCATTCGTTCATGACTCTGATGGGGAAGACCGTCTCGTGTAGTTCGTGGCCCTCGTAGTAGTGCAGTCTCCCACACATCAACACCACTGGACTTCCCTGCATGTATCCAAAAACCAGCTTTCCTTGGTGACCAGCCACGGTGCTAGACTTGAATCCTGGAATTTGAGTATATGGGATCTCCAATGGCGCTGGTTTGACTGAAACTTTGTCAACAATTCCTCCTAGTCCTGAACCACATATGATCAGTGTTCTTGGCTCGAACCGAGTAAAATGCTCAAATATAGCATGCTTGATGTATTCTACGGCGTAACCAATGGCAAGACGTTGTTCCTCAAGGTCGAATACACCCATTTGTAGTTTATTGTTTGTTTATATGTGCTGTAACTGAATTCTGCTAGTCCTGCTCCAAGTCAAGTTTAGTAAACTTAAAGCTTACTGGAGATGAATGCTTGCTTATAATTCGAACTTGCAACGAACGATCTTGACCGGAAAGGTGAAAACTAGATTAGCAGACGTAGAAGATAGAGATAGATACAAGATAGTTCGAAGTGATATGGGTATGCGTTTTGTCTTTCTCGAGGCTTTTAATGCTAGCTGACCTACATGGGGGTTATCAACGTTGAACATTTTGTTGACAATGTAAACCACGATGCTACTATACGTCTTACATGGATGATGCACGATGGCAATGTTTCTGCTGGATGTGGATAATGCTTGAGAATAAAATCTTAATCTGACGGTTCTTTATTTGTCGGAAAGACGTGATGAACACATTTTCATGACAATAGGGGAAGAAGCAGATCCAATGGCAACCGAATGTCGATTGCGCAGCAGCCGACAATACTTTAGTGATGGATACTCCATAAATTGAGGACATAAGTTGGAATTTGGTGTCAAAGAACTCCTTTCGCCACATGAATAAAGAAAAATTGGGCTTTGATAATATAACAATGGAAGACAAAACCGTCACAGAAAATCGAAAACCTTATGCCGTACAATGCATGCTAATAATACAATCAATCTGAATGTTCGATCAACGTCAGAAATGGTGGTAAAATGGGACCACAGTGATGGGGATGTTTTTTAAAAAAACAAAAAAAAAAAAAAAAAAACTAGGATAGAATCCAAATGTCTTTTACCTAACGACCAAAATCAGTAGCCGTGAGGAGATGCTTGACCCTGCAAAGATGCCGTAGCGTTCATTGGAGATATGCCTTGCATGTACTGCTGGGCAGCATATTGTTGAGGAGGGTATTGTTGAGGAGCATATTGCTGAGGGTTATATGCCTGTGGTTGGTGCGGCTGTTGTTGTTGTTGCAAGTGTTGTTGTTGTTGTTGCTGTAAGTGCTGGTGTTGTTGGAACTGCTGGGGAGATCCTTGAGGCAACTGATTTTGTTGCTGTGGAACGGCGTACTGTGCCGATGGTACTGCATGAAATTGCGGTTGAGTCTGTTGAGGAGGCAATTGTTGACCCGCAACATTAGCCATCGTATTGGGTAGAGACGACAATGGGAATGGCACTGGAACCGCAGAGTTGTCCTCCGCGACGTATAGCGACTTATCAATCTGAGCAGGAATAGCAGCGATTTCAGTGCCCAATTCTTGCTCGATCTTGTAAAGGTTGAAACGATCGTTCCAGTTGATGAGGTTGATGGCAAGACCCAAATGCCCAAATCTTCCAGATCTACCGATACGATGTAGATATGTCTCTGCGGTCTTGGGGAAATCAAAGTTGATGACAACATTCACAGCTTGAATGTCGATACCACGGGTGAGTAAATCTGAGCACACCAAAGTGCGCACTTTTCCCTGGCGAAATTCGTGGAAAACCTTGTTTCTCTCTTGCTGCTTCATCCGCGCGTGCGAATAATAGCATGAGAATCCAAGATCTGTAATCTTTTTGGCAAGCAGTTCAACACGGTTGGTAGAGTTACAAAAGATGATAGCCTGATTGATTTGTAATTTGGAAAACAAAGTGTTGAGGCAGTGCAGCTTTTGTTTTTCTTCCACAAACGCGTAGTATTGAGTAATACCTTTCAATGTCAATTCGTCCATGAGATTGATCTCGTATGGTTTATGAAGGTGCTTCACCATAAACTCTTTCACTGTGAGCGGAAAGGTTGCACTGAATAGAAGAGATTGATGCTGCGAAGGAAGAAAAGTAAGAATCTGCTCTATGATGGTTTTAAAATCCCGCGACAACATCTTGTCGGCCTCGTCCATGACAAATAGAGGGCATTCGCTGAGATCCGCTACTTTACGCGATGCCAAATCAAGCACACGGCCTGGTGTACCAACGAGTATATGAACGTTGTCATTGAGACGCATGATATCATCGCGCAAATTTGTCCCGCCGGTGGTCACCATGCACGAGATCCCGCAATGTTTACCCAATGTTCTTACCACTTGGGAGGTCTGCAAGGCCAATTCACGCGTGGGGACCATGATTAGCGCCTGGATCTTGTTAAGTTTGGGCTTGACGCGTTCCAGCGTTGGGATCACAAACGCTGCGGTTTTTCCGGTCCCATTTTTGGCACGGGCCAAAACATCTCTTCCGGCTACGGCAATTGGAATGGCTTCTTCCTGAATGGGCGAAGGTTTCTCAAATCCGGCCTCAAAGATGCCCATCAACAGCTCACGCTTCAGGAAAAAGTCTTCAAACGTGTTGCCCTTGGTTCCAAGCACATCATCTGTTTGCGGCCGCGTGTCTTTTTTCGGGATGCTCAAAGCGGCTTTCCAGTCGGATTCCATGGCAGACTGAGAGTTGGGCTTTGTCTTTGCGATTTATTTATATCTGCACAAACGGGAAAATGGCCAAAATTAATGCGATTTTGAAGCGGAAAAAAATCTTTCCAATAGTCAATCTCGTCTGATTCCAGCTGTCTATGTTTCAGCGCCTTAAATTAGCCTTTTGATACGTCTATGCGCTCTTAGCACTCTTGAAGAAAGTGGTTGTTACAAGGTTAAGTTTGTTTTTGACCTTTCACCCCTGTTAAAAAAAATTTTGTAGACTGGTCATGCTTTATATATATTTTTCGAAAACGTCGTTTGTTACGAAGTTGTCCAATTTTTAAGAAAAGTTAATTAGAATATTAGCGTCTTTACTTTAAGGACAGTTCAAAGCTTTAAGACGATCCATCCTGATAATCGCTGTAATACCAGCCAATTCACTTCAATTCGAGGGTTTTAAGTGGTGGATGAGAGTGAGTTTCAGTGGAAACGAAGGGATCGGCGTTAATTGACGCGCTGCAACGAGCCGGTGGCCCTTTTTCACGATCGAAATCGGTTATATCCAGCCATACTTCAAGAAAGAGACATATACATATTTATATTTACACGAACAGCGCGCGGTGGAGAAAATGGACTTCGGAAAGCAAGGCATTCGGCTCCAGCAGGTTAGCGAGCAGGCCGACTCGCGGCTGTTCCAGCCGTCGTCGCTGAAACGCAAGAATCTCAAACATTTGAGGCTTGGCGGAGGGCCTAACTCCGCGGGAACAACAGAAGCATTCAACGGACCGGTCTTGAACCGTGTGGTGAGCTCTGCAACGTCTCCAGGTGCGTTCATGCAACAGCAGCCCAGTCCAACCACGTCGGATCTGTCGTCTGCGGGCATCACACCCACAGACGAATCGGTCAAGGAGCTGGGCGCAGATTTCGAAAACTTATCGTTATTCAAAGACAGCACAATAGAACTACAAGATCTGGTGCAGCTGGGAAAAATCGGGTCCGGAAACTCAGGTACCGTGTTGAAAACTTTGCATGTCCCAGACTCCCGCATTATTGCGAAAAAATCCATACCTGTGGAAAACAAGCCTCTCATCAAGAACCAGCTTATACGCGAACTGACAATCATGCAGAATGTGAAGACACACGAAAACATAGTTGGGTTTTTTGGGGCGTTCTACACGGCGTCTACAACGAATGAGATTGTCATTCTCATGGAATACATGGATTGCGGCTCACTCGATAAGATCATGTCGACCTATAAATCGTTTGTCAGACGGGGGTCTCCAGACGCTTCGGAAAATTGGTTCAACGAACTGGTCCTGGCTAAAATTTCGTTTGCGGTATTAAATGGGCTCTCTTACCTCTACCGAGACTACAAGATCATTCATCGGGATATTAAACCGTCCAATGTTCTGATCAATAGTAAAGGATACGTCAAGATATGTGATTTCGGAGTTTCCAAAAAACTCATAAACTCCATTGCAGATACGTTTGTCGGGACTTCCACATACATGTCGCCCGAGCGCATCCAGGGCAGTGTCTACACAACCAAGGGTGACGTATGGTCACTGGGACTTATGATTGTGGAACTTGTCACTGGCGAGTTTCCATTGGGTGGCCATTCTGACACTCCAGAAGGAATTTTGGACCTTTTGCAGCGAATCGTTAATGAACCTCCCCCTAGACTGCGGCAGGGCCCGCAGCATTCACGAGAAATGGTCGATTTTGTCAATAAGTGCTGTGTGAAGGATGAACAAGAAAGATCGTCGCTACAAGAACTTTTGTGCCACGATTTTGTGGAGAAAGGACGGTCGCAGGGTGACCGGGAGTTCCGACATTGGTGCAAACGCATTAAAAAGAGACTTAAAGAAGACAAGATGTTGCAACGAGAGGAAAATGAGAGAGCCAAGCTGGTCAAGCGCCAGTTGGAAAGTGCCGCAAATGCGGCCACAGCGGCCAGGAGTCGTTAAGAGAGAAATTAGGAGTGTGGAGAGCGGGTGACACAATTGACCCAGAAAACTGTAACAGTATAAACACAAGTGGATAATTATCATTATTTTGTTAATATATTTTGTCGTTAATCGCAGGGTGGTTTTCATCATTTCTCTGTTTTGTCTTTATTCCACAACCATTTTTCGGTTCCTCTTACCAACCCGAAAACTACCAGGGCGCCTCCCAGACTTCTAAGGCTTACACGCCACCATTTGGGGTTGAGCTCTTGGAATTTTTCCATAGAGATCCCTCTTTTTTTCTCTTTATCTGAGTACTCAAATGGTTTACCTGAAGCCAAATATCCACCAAATCCAAGACTGAACATTGTGCTCATAATCTGGCAAGGAATGCAGTCTTTAGTTTCCTCATCAGAAAGATCTCTTTGAGGTGGTGGATTGAATACAGACAAGATGTTGCTAGCCATTGTTCTCTTGAAGTCTGTAGCCTAACTTGAATCGAGATGAGTTGAGATGAGATGAGATGAGATGAGTTAAAGATGTAATTTAGTAGAATTTTGGATCTAAACTAGAGAAAAGACTACATAAACCAAAGGATTTAGAGCTTTGGGGCACCAGGTATGGCGGAATTGAGTGCTTTCCAGAAGCGTCGGCTGGACAACATCAAACGTAACAATGATTTGCTAAAAAAACTCAACTTGAATGGGGTCTCTGGACAATTAAAGAATGAGGCAGGTGTAAAAGACCACACCAAGGCCAAAAAGACCAATGGGAAAAGTAAAACGGTAGTGAAAAGTCCAAAAGTGGCCAAAGTACCAACAAGGAGATCGAGAAGGCTTATGGGAGAAACTTCGGACGGCAAAGAAGTTCCACATGTAAGCGATAACGAGCTTTTGAAAAGGTCCGAATCTCCGAACCTTGAAGAACTGAAAAATACGGCTGTTGTGGGAGATGTGAAACTGAGTGATTTGATCAAATCCGAAGACGAAGAAGAGCTTCTGACGCTGTTCAAAAACTACGGTAACAAAAACTTTTCGTCTGGGGACTTTTTCAAAGAGATTCAAAAGCACAAGAAAGTGTCTAAAGACGTGGCTGCGTTACAGCAGGATTTTGATCTCCAGATGTATGAGATATTTCAACCTAACGAGATAAAGATTGTACAAGACCGTATCAGTGCTATGTTTTTCCATCCAGCGGTTGATCGAAAACTGGTAGTGGCGGGCGATACCACTGGCCACCTTGGGCTCTGGAATGTTCATCTGGAGCAACCCCAGGATGAAATAGAGGCACCAGATATCACAACGGTGAAGCTTTTCCAAAAAAATGTGGCCAAGATCGATGTTTTCCCTCAAGACTCAGGAAAACTGATGACAGCGTCCTATGACGGGATTTTACGCTCAATTGATTTAGGCAGTTTGCAAAGTGAGGAAGTGCTATCGCTGAAAGACGGGTACGACGACCCTATGGGTATCAGTGAATTTCAGTTCAGCTACAAAGATCCGAATCAGGTCTTTATGACCACTTTGGGCGGGGAATTTACAAGTTTTGACATCAGAACCAAAGCTACAGCGCCAAATATTCTACGACTGGCTGACAAAAAAATCGGATCCTTCAGTATAAACCCGCAGAGGCCCTATGAGATTGCTACTGGTTCATTAGACCGAACGCTCAAGGTTTGGGACGTTCGAAAAATTGTAAAATCTGCCGATTGGCTACAAAACGACGATTATTCCAGCCTCGAGCTGGTGGCAAGCTACGACTCCAGACTAAGTGTCTCGGCTGTCTCTTATGCACCTGTGGATGCATCACTGGTTTGCAATGGATACGACGACACCATTCGCATTTTTGATTTGAAAAATGTACCTGCAGCGACAGAATTGCAACCGAAAATCACACTCAAACACAATTGTCAAAGCGGGAGATGGACCAGCATTTTGAAAGCACGCTTCAAGCCCAACATGGACGTTTTCGCCATTGCCAACATGAGTCGAGCCATAGATATATACCACAGCTCGGGAGAGCAGTTGGCACATTTGAAAACCGCAACGGTTCCGGCGGTGGTAAGTTGGCACCCGCTTCAGAACTGGATTGTCGGTGGGAATTCCAGCGGGAAGGTATTTCTCTTCGAGGACACGCAGGACACGCAGGACCACATCCAGCATCACAATGGTGAGTAGAAAAATAAAGTTTTTTTGTTATTAAAGTTGGGATCAAGTAGGTAGAGAAAGTTTGGTCTCATGAACAGCAAGCAGCACAGTTGTGTGAACAAAAAACAGCGCGCTGGCTGGCGTCGAGAACCATTGGTAAAAAAAAGAAAACTATCAAAGAAAAAACTTCGAAATGTTGGTATGATTTCCCTTCAATTCTATCAAAAAAAATGCAAACACCTTTTTTTGGAGCTGTTTTTCAAAAGCTCCGGAAACAGCAAAATAAAAAGAACCATCCGCTGGTTTAGTAGTCATGAGCGGAGCCTTTTTACACGTCTCTTGCACCTGGCAAGTCGCCGTTGTAATATAACATCAAATAACCCGTGAAGCCTTCACCGTGAGGATCGGGATTGCCCTCACTATCCACTTCATTCACACCGTAAGTGAAGGTGTAGTAGTTTTTAAAGCCAAAGTACTCGTAAACGGACTTGGCATGCTCGTTGATGGCCTCCAGGACCAGAGCGACGCCCTCGGCGTCCGCTCTTTGCTTGTAGTGGTCGAAGATGGCTCTGACCGAGCCACGGACCTGAGGCTGCGACAGATCTTTGCCGATGATGAACAAATAGTAGCAATCGATGTCCTGTAGCAGTTCTTCGCGCTTGTCGTGCAGTTCGTCGAAAAAGATCCGGTTGAACTCTGGGTCGTTAGTAAGTTCCTGGTCGAAATGATGGCCAGGACCCGTCCAGACAGCCACGGCGTCGAAATCGTTGGCCTCAACAATCTCCCCGCCCTTATCTGAATATTCGGTGTTGAAGTAGTGAAGAACTGCGTTGATACGCATTTTCGACACTTTTTCATGCACCGAAATATTAGCGAATTTTTTCATAAGGTAGTCGTTGGCTCGAGACTCGTGGAAAGCCTTGGCCAGTGTCAAAGTAGCCCGGTCGATGTCCGTGGTTCTATTTACGGGCACCACGGTTCTTGTGTGGCCTTGATTCAGCTTAACATTTGGTTTGGACTTTATGTTTTCTGCAGGCGAAGCTGGAGGCGAAATTGGAACTGATAGCATTGTTAGCAGTGGTAATAATAATCCGAGTGGGAAGTAGTGAGTGGGTCTTTAAAGTAAATGAGTTTTGGTTTGGATGTAGAGGAAGAAAGAAAGAGAGAGAGAGAAGAGGAAGAGTAAGGGAAAGAATAGTTTACTTCCATGCTTAATTCCTCCCCTCTTTATACCTTTCCAGATCTCGCTTTTCATGGCACCGAAACGCTACGATCGTTTTTTTTTTCCTTCTTGGTTCCGAGATCCTATCTCTAGCCGGCTCTTTCGACTCATTAGTATTACGGCACGCCCCCGTCGTCGCTTCAGGCTCCGATTCCATTGCCCCTTGCTCGACAAATTCGCTTTTTCGCTTTTTAGGCGATCATACTGCAATCGTGTGCACGCATCTTTTCAAGATTCTCGGTCCGATCGTAATTGGTATCGCTGTGATTTCCTGTCGCTTATCTCTGCTGGAAGGGAAGGAAGGAGCCTCGAGGAACACGAGGGGCGTAATCAGTATTACGTAACCCAAAGGCTTTAGCCCTTGATACGAGAGTGTTTCTTTCTTTTTTTTGATGATTCAGAAATCGAGGCCTCGAGAGCGCACATGTGACACGCTTACGTAAACAGGAATGAAGACCCCTTAAATTTTTGACATTGCTGATGTGATTTATTACGTAAGCATCGCCCCTTATCTTTCGAGATCGGGTTATCATAAATGCTTACGTCATCGGAAGTTTTTCCAGAACTTCGAGATAACAAGAAAATCGCTTATCGGCCCAGCGTGAACAGTAGCGCCAACGGGAAGAAATAGCGAAACCGCGAGACATCGAGACAGGCGGGCTGCTAAGCGACAATGAGGCAAATCCTAAAGTCTAAGCGATCTAGAGGCTAAGGCCTAAGACTCGGGATAAGCGTGCGCTCGGAACAAAAAAAGTCTAGAAGCCGTGTACTTTTTCTGTTTCAGCATCTCATATGCGCGCTGGGATTCTTGCGTGAATGCGGGGGGGAGCAGAGGACAAAGAAAAGGAAGCTGGGTTGATTGGCTGGCACGTGACTCCGTTTCAAATGATAACCTGTCCAATATTCTCTCTCACAAATAACAAGTTTATATCGTCATGATCCCACACCAATTGCAACAACAAATTGATCTTTAAAGCGCCATATGAGTGGATCGTCTCCGATGTGCTTTTCAAATACTCTTTAATGACCTGTCGATCTTCGAAATCCACAGTAAACGCGCCGATCACTAGCAACGACCACAGCAGGATGCATAGTAACGGAGTGCCCTTCTCGATATCCTTTAGACTCTTGATGGTGTATTTGACCAAGTCCTGTATCTGCTGGTCATGTACGTCAAAGTCCTCAAACCGTAGAATCTTGCTCAGTAGTAAATAGCACGCCTTGCTGATGATCGACCCGCACAGCAGTCCCGGCCGGTATATCTCATATTTCTGCTCATCGTTCCGCACTTGCTCGGGCAATCGCGGAGGTTTGTAGTACAGACACTCCTCTAGTAGTCTGTCTGCAACTGCCCGCCATTGGCTTTCCTCCAGCGGTAGCGGCAGCCGACTCAGAAACGACACTTTGGCCAGTATGCAGAAAGCATCCAATGAAGGGCCCAATATCGGGTTGTTCATCCATGCAACGTCACAGTCGTTGAAAAGCGGTGACTTCAACAACGCTGCCAACTTTTGGAACCCTTTGCCAAACGGGTTGGGTAATTTCGTCAAGTCTTTTGCAACCAGCAGCGAAACCGTGTAGTTGTACATAAAACTCTCCATCAGCATACGGTCAGCCGGAGTGGAGCCATGTTTCTCGATGTCGTTGTATTTGCGTTTTATGATGTCGAAGGAATGCGACAGATTATCTACACATCGATCCACCATCGACTCTCCCTGTCCATTGTGCAGCTTGTTCGTCAGGACTAGAAGTTGGAAACACGCAAATATCCACGTCTCATCGCCACAGACCCGGTTTGAGTTCAACTCATCGTGCAAGCAAGCTTTGCATTTTTGGTACAAAGCTTCAGCCGTGTCCGAGTATTTCTGCGGTTGGCACCAGGCCAGAAAAGTAGCTCCACAGCACAGAAATACATCCTTCACGATCGCATTTTGTGCAAGTAAAGGCACAAATGTCTCTGTGGTTGTTAATTGAGGCAACGTGTGTTGCGGGCCCACCGCGGGTAGGAAATAGTAAATGCACGTATAGTACAGCAACAAGTCCTGTTGCGTGAACTGGTATTGGGACATTAGATTACCCACTGAAATTGTTTTTCGAGCTTCGTTTTGAGAACTTGTCCAGTTCACAAACTTACGCATTAGTTTATCATACAGTTTTTCCGATAATTCTTCGTCTAGCCCGTAAGCATTATAATCATCGTCTGTATTAGCCGTTATTGTCAGCCGCTGAAAATCGTTTGTGGTTGCACCATCTGCTGGTTCAACTCCTGTTGGCGGGGGAGAATCCAAAAAGGCTGGGGAAAGAACCGTATCCTGAGGATCAGAACCGAAAATCTTGCCCAAAGTCGGTGACACTGGAAAGTCTACGCGTATTTCATTTCCATCGTAGTGCTTGTCACGACCTTGACCCAGTGTGAGTTCCACCTGACTATCACTTTTTTTGTTTGTAACGGGTTGCGTATCATTCAAAGCCCTGAACTCGTTCTGTTGAACGTTGTATGCCTCCATTGCACTATTATCCTGCTCGAACTTCATTTTGCTCGCATCGCCATTGTCTATTTCGTAGTCATTGAATTCCTCGTCTTCATCTTCGCCTGCCTCATCGCTGAGAAGCTCCGGGATTGACCCCAAACCTGGAATGTCACTATTCAGCAGTACAACACCGCATTTATAAGATCCCAGAGTGTAATTGACAAAGCATTGTTCTGGCCTCTTTTCCTGGTTAGCAGCATGTGCATTGGTTGATCCGTCGTCGTAGAGATCGATCTTCTTTTTCATCTTTTCACGCATGTCTCCAGTCAAGCGACCTTCACCTTTGCGCGGCCAAATGCACTTGAACATATGTTTCGAACATGGCCCACATTTGGGCTTACTTTCATCGCACTTTTTGCGTCGTAGTCTGCAGGTATAGCATCCAGCTCGTGATCGACTGCGTTTGGGCTTAATCTTCCGTTGATGTCGAGCCTTGGGCTCTTCTTGGAACTTAGAATTTGCATTCAATGCATCTGGTGGGAAATCTTCCTCATTGGTGTTGTTTAGCTCTTGCTCAAGGTCTGGTTGAAGAGCCGTTTTGTTGCGATCTGGATTTTGAGTTGCAGATGGAGTTGGAGCGCCCATGTTTATGCGAAAGTATCATCAATTGAGTATCGTTAGAGAGTGTGAATTGTGAGCTGAACGAAGCAGTTAAGTTCACTAGTAGATCGGTTACCGCTGGTAAGTTGTGTTACAATCTTGTTCAAGTCATTGTGCTGTCTTCCTATCTTTAGATATGCTTCGTAAGAAATGCCTCCTTAACAAAACTATCACGTGCTATAAAATAGATAATGGGTTCTTGATAAGGCGAAAGAATCATACAGGAAATGTCGTCGAGTAAGCGAAAATGCTGGGTATGATAAAGAAATCAATAGCAGTTTTACAAGATACGCAAAACCCCACGTTTTGTGAGCTTTTTTGGGCTGTTTGAGAGAAAATAGCACCTCGGGATTAAGATGGAAAGACAGACCCAGGTTAGGATGGCTCCTATGTTATATACCTATGAACGACAATTTAAATATATCGTGGACTTGAATGTCAGTCCACACGCCTTGGACATAAAAAATGCGCCCCAGAAGGCGGCTTATAATACTGAATGGTAAGCAATGACACTAAATTCGTATCTATAATCCCGACTAACAGTCGAGCTTTCGATTCCAGTAGCGTGTTTTGAATTATTGAGGGATACCACTTTGTTTTCACCTGTCATCTGTCATCTGTCATCAGGTCATGTGATGTTTTTTTTAAACTGGCGCTGCTCTACAGCTGTGCTTTAGAGACAGTATTGGCCATTACACATGGAATTTGACTTTGTTTACTCTAAGGGCCAGAGGAATTCACATCCAGGCATTTGCTGAAAGTTTTGATATCGCTGCTTTTGTTTCAGAACGTGCAAACCTTTGTGGTATTCCTTGAAACTACTCTCGCGCTCGGATATGGAGTATAAAGTCATTATAGTGCTAAAATATCTCTAGCTGGGTTGGTTCGCTTATTAAAATTCATGTCTGTGCTTGTATCATGCTGATTACTCGAATCCTAATTGTGGACAAACTAACTATACAAGGAAAACATGCTGACATTTATAATGATATGGCTAGACTTAAAATTCAAAAATTATGTTTTTGGCTGGCACAAACAACACCAGCAAGAGATCGACATTAACAGTAAGGCCTTATGCCCACCTGGCGGCTCTTTGATCATCGGGGAGTCGGGATTTTTATCAAGTTCGTTCCATGTTGAGGTGCAATTCTGGTGTATGGCAGCTATTCGAGACGAAAAAATGTTGAGCTCAGCGAATAATAGCTCATCGACTATTTTACTATTTTACGCAAGTTGCTAGTAAATCAAGGGGCACGGCATGTTCCTTTTTGTTTGTATTGTTCAACTTTGGTAAAAGTCCATATTCTTAGGGACTGACACATTTGCCAATTGTCTTCTCTAGCACTATATTGGACTTTTGAGCTGACACCTGCTTAAATGCCAGCGGTTCCATGTACAAGAACGTTTTCATGTCTTAAAATTCTAGAGTTTTTGACCAACCTGTGGGCACAAAATGCAAGTCTGCAAGACACACTTGATCTTGTCACATTGACTCCCATTTTGAACTTGCGTTGCTGGAGTGTCACTGTACGGAAAAGCTTTGAATCTTTGGATAAACATGAAAAGAACTCCGTACCATAACGACAAAGAAGAAAGGTATTTTCACAGGTTATTTACAGCGCCAAGGAGTGAATTTACGAGCTTCAAGCATCGCGTCTTTTACCATTGTATCTGGAGGCCCATTTCCCATCCAGAAGAACAATTAACAATTTCACTTAATTTTATAAATCAAGAAAATCCCCACGATATGTCATTTTGGAAAACTAAGAAAAAACTCACGGCTCACGGTGATCGAAAGCTCCATTTCATGGTCCTAAGGTATGGTCGATAACAGCTATACTTTACAGTTACTTCACAACCCCCGTCGGACGCTGTCGTTTGGTCACGTGATTTTCAAATCATTCTCTCATTAATGTGACTTTAATAAGAAATATGTAAGTTGTAACCGCAAAAGTAAATAGAAGGTCCTCATTGTACAGTACTGATCTGTTCTTCAAATCAGTACCGGGTCTGAGATGCTCGAAAAACAAAAACAAAAACACTCCTATCTAAAGTGTTGAATGGCTCCAAAATATTCTGCAATTTCCTCATTTGCACGCGCTCATAGACAAGCACGTGACTTCCAAATATGTCGAACTACCTACTAGATTATTTTGTTTACATTATAAGCGTCTCTACTTACAATTATACACAAACATCCAAGAACAATCTCGAGCAGAACGAGCATTGAGCTTCCGAACTTTGACTCTTAGCTGTTTACCCAGCTAATATTGAAGACAGATCTAGCCGGCTCTACTTTTACTGTGAGCGATCCGCTTCTTGCAGCGTTTTCAAAATCAGAATTTCGTTGATCTTCGAAGGAACAGCATCCGTTACAGTTCTGCACTTTTGTTGTTTTTGGTCTTTTGAACTTTGAGTCGTTAAATAATAGACACAAACATGCCTACACTCCCGCATACGGATGAAAACGCGGCCTCCACGAATTTTGCCTACCACAATGATGCTGCGATGGGTGTGAAAACTGCGGCCACTCAAAGAACTGCACTTGGCGACGTCACAGCGCGTGCTAACATGCCATCGAAGGTATCTACGGCAGCACAAAGCTTCAAGAATCGAACAGGACTTTACTCGCGTCCGTTAAACACTAGGCATACACCAGAAGTTGAGGTTATCGAAGACGAAGTTGCACAAAATCATGCTGACTGGGGACCTGAAGATGCCGGTGGGTTGAATGATCCCGATAAGAGTGTCGCCGCGGAATCCGATGAGAACGATTCATCCTCGTCCGTCCTGGCAGACAACGAGCCTCTGCTACTGGTCACTACCGACGAATCGCGGCATCTAGTCGAGCTAGCACGCCAGAAGCTCCATACAGACCAGCCAGATCCGCTTGATGAGGATACATACGATCTTGTGATGGTTGTGGAGTACACCAATGATATCTTCACGTATCTTCATGAATTGGAGGATAAATGGCGTCCTCATCCTCGTTATATGCTTTTCCAGCCGGAACTGAAATGGTCTTACCGATCGACATTGATCGATTGGATAGTACAAGTTCATGCTAGATTCCAATTACTTCCAGAGACACTATTTCTGACTGTCAATATCATCGATCGATTTTTGTCGCGCAAAACAGTCACTCTAAACAGGTTTCAACTTGTAGGAGCAGCCGCACTCTTTCTGGCTGCCAAGTTTGAAGAAATTAATTGCCCGACAATCAAAGAGATTCTTTACATGCTGGATAATGCTTACTCCAAAGAAGAACTTCTGAAAGCGGAACGATATATGATAAACACTTTGGAATTCGAATTAGGTTGGCCCGGACCCATGTCGTTTTTGCGACGCGTAAGCAAAGCAGATGACTACGAATACGACATAAGAACATTAGCCAAGTATCTTCTGGAAACGACCATAATGGACTCGCGCCTAATTTCTGCACAACCAAGTTGGCTCGCCGCAGGTGCTTACTACCTGAGCCGAGTCATTCTCGGCTTCAATGACTGGACTCAGCATCATATCTTTTATTCCAATTACACTTCGGAACAGCTATTCCCATTGGCCACCGTGGTGCTAGAAAACTGTCGGCACGCAAGCCAAAGGCATCAAGCAATATTCGAAAAATACGGCGAGCGCCGCCATCGTCGATCTTCGTATATTGTGGCCCGTTGGATAGCTATGGCAGAAGATCGTGCTACGTGAAAGGTAGGATGCATAGAGAACTCACGAAATATTGAAACTTAACGACATTTTGATAATAATAGGCATGATCTTTATAGGTTAATGGATCAGTAGTAATTTAATGTTATATGGTAACATCAAAAAATTGAAACATTTCACCATCACACCTTCGTCATTGTATGCTATGTTGTACTTAATCTTTGAACCGAACGGATCTTGTGAGATTTTTCTTGATACCTGTCTTTTCACCCTCGTAAGAGCCAGTTTGTCCACCAGAATAAACTGCACGAACAGACTTGAGCTTCTTTTGTGCTTTGTCGAACTTCTTTCTTTTCTTAACACGCGAGTTACGGTTATCCTTCTTACGATGAGGTGTTAGACCCTTGTTTTTCATTATTTGGTACCCAACAGCACGCTTCGTGTTGTCATCCATTTCACCAGATAGCTCCGCGAGTTTCCCACTTCTGTTGGCCAACACAGCATCTTTGTGCGCCTGCTGGCGAGCTTGCTTTTTGTTGACACCAGCCTGCTGAGTAGCGCTGTAGTAGTCAGTCGAGGAGCCTTGATTAATTGTATTTGCGACTTTTTCATCTTCCGAATCATACTCTCGAGCATCCAGCTGGGTATTCTCAGACGCTGTTTGGCCTCGCTTGCGCGCTTCTTCCAAGAGCCTCTGCTGTCTTTCAAATAATCTCTCTTTGTATGGAATATCATCATCACCTTTGTAACGGTCAATCTTCTTGTTTTCTTGCTGATCGATCTTAGATGTGTAGAATCGCAGAGTTTTCTTGCGAGCCTTCTTTTCTTGTGCATCAACGTCTGCGGTCTCAGTTTCAACAAAATCGTCTATCTCAGTGTTGGGCAAAACGTCCTCTTTCTTCTTGGCGACACGAGACTCAGTGACATCGAAATCAAATGCGTCATCTTCATCCTCTTCAGAGGCCGATTCTTGCTCACTAGGGTCAGTAGAATGCTCGTGTCCGTCATTTTTGAGAAGGTCCTCGTCTAGTGTTTCGAGATCTGATGGCTCGTCGATCTCTGATTCCTGTTGCTCATCCTGATTTTCTGAAACGTCCTCCGGCAGTTCCTGTGCTTGTCTCCAAATTTCCTTGGACGTAAGGATAGACTCCATTATAGGATGATCCTTCATTCCGGCGAAGTCGTCGTTCGTTTGAACCTCGTGTAATAGTAAGGCGAAATAAGATGAAATGGTTCCAAGATAGGACGAAAGAGCCGCAATCTTCAAAGCAGAAGACCGGCTTGGCAGCTGCTGGCTATTCAAATGTTCCAGCTCGGGAGACCACCGGGCCAACTCTTTCGATAAAGGGAAAAACTCGGGGCACCAGGTTCGCAGAAGGCGCTCTTTCGCCTCCGGCTCCATGGAAAAAATGTCTTTGGCTTTGGTTGTGGTATCACCGGCGCGTTGTGCGTTAGTAGCTTCTTGGAATTGGCCCAAAGTAAAGTTTTTCGCACTCTGAGCCCAGTCTTGCTCGACTTCTTCGTCGAGGTAGTCATTCATGTCCAGATCTGCAAGATGCTTACGCTGTTGACGCAGGGCTTCTTTCTCAATCTCCTTTGCAGTTTCATCGTCATCAAGGTCGTCTGCACCGTAGTATTCGCCTTTCGTTGAGCCCCATGCAGTGTCGTTGTCCAACATGGTATCCGCGTCATCTTCTGCTGCCCCGGAATCGCCAGTGTCCATTTTACGGCCAAACACCTGTCTGAAAGCTGCCTCGCCGTCCAGTTCCTCATCGGCCTCGCTAGCCTCGTTCTCTTCGTCTTCTTCGTCATCACTTTCAACCCCAAGTACTTCTTCCTCGTCATCGTCCTCCAGCAAATGCTCATCGTCTTCTTCGCTAGCTTCAGCTCCCATATTGGCCCTTTCTAGTAAAACCTTCTCCCGTTTATCAGCGAATTCGTCGACTTCATTGCGTCCATATGGATTTTCCTTGGGTTCGGGCTTGGACCTAGCTTTTCTTCCCGTTTTACGAGCCATATTTAGAGACTTTAGACCTTTACAGTTCGAGAAATGCAACTAGAGTACTCACAGGCTTCGAAACTAGCTATCTTTATATGTATTTGGCCTTTCAAAGTTTTGAAAAACTCGCGATGAGCTGTGCGATGAGCTCTATTTGATTTTCGTTAATTCTATTTACTATTGATTTATCTAAAGCCAGGTAAAATTTTCCAATATTTGAAATCACGCGATATGCACATGACACACACGTACTAGACGATCCACAAAATCACATGACATTCATGTGATCTAATTTAGTTTGGATGTCGTCATAAATGATTCCAATATTTTTCAGTAGCTCAGTAAGAGAGCGATCAAGATCGAAGAGCCTGCGATGAGCTACGTCAAAAGAATCCGAAGAGTCGCCAAGCATTTCCAATCGAACTTTCTAGTGTGGTAAATGAGTGGAACAGGACGACTGCCGGGTCTCACGCAAGGTTCTGCGAAACCCGGGCTCAAATTCAAGCCTAAGGCGCTTGCAAGAAGGTCGAAAGAAGAAAGAGAGAAGACAGTGCCGAAACCCACGAGCGAGGAGTTGGGGGATGGCCACAATTCCAAGAAAAAGTATAGCAAAAAGGACCAGGGGAATCGGCAGAAACGGGTGCCGAAATATTTGTTGAACACACGAGTTGTAGGTGCTGGGTTTGGAGCAGAGAACTTCGCAGGTGGAGGAGGTATCAATGCCAGATCAGGGTTCATAAAGAGCGAGGATGGTGGCTCTGGTCATTCACAGCTCATGCAGCTCGGTTTACAAGGCGTAAATGGGGGCGTCAAAGGTGCGGACGAAGACGGAGACTCGGACGGCGGAGATGGACGCACGAAAATTAATATGGGACGTGAGTACCGTTTCAACGACCTATGTGCATCCGATGATGAGGAGGACGATGCTCTAGGGCTACAGACTGGTGCCAACGGCGAGGTAGACGAAGAGGCTCTGCGGTCCAAGCGACTGGCCCACTTTTTTCCAGTCAGGGCTGTCAGAGTGCGTCATGAAGATATGGATTCAGTGCAAAAGGAATTGAAGGAATCGCTTTCGGACCAAACCACTAGGGAACCAACTCCTGGCAACGCTTTGAAAGAGGAAGAAGGCGATCTGTCTGCCGTGTTGCAACAGCGCGACGTTGAATTGCAAGACAAACTCAACGCTTTGCAATTACAAAACGAATTTGCATCCGTTGATTATCAAGAAGGTCTTGATGAAGTGAGACGTCTCAATCAAGACCATGTTCATATTGTCAAAAAACTGTCCAAGATAAACGACCAGCCAGGCAAATTCATGTTTTTCCAGCTACCAGCGGTGCTACCTGATTTTGAACCGCCGCAGCCCATTGAAAAGATGGAGGTTGTGAAAAATGAAGAAGCTGTGGAACCAAAAGAACCGGACACCGAAGCTTCAAGTACAGAAGAGGCTTCTTCCAACGACACAAAAGAACAGCAACCGGAGCCATCCAAGGGCGAAAAGCCGAACGAAAAGAAAAAGGAGCCGGTGGAAGAGGTCGATAAACCGCTCACTGGGAACATTGGCTCGCTTCGAGTCCACAAGTCTGGAAAAATCTCCATCAAGATTGGAAACGTTGTGATGGATGTCAACAGAGGCGCCGAAAACACATTTTTGCAGGAAGTGGTAGCTCTCGATGAGCGAGCTGAGGAGCGAACAGTAGAGTTACTGGGTCAAATTGTAGGCAAGGCGGTGGTGACACCGAAATTTTAAAAAATACAAACAAGATCTAAAAAGATTTGTTCCTAAAACTCAACCCGCATAAACAGCTCTATCATGTACATTATCAATATAAAGGATCATAGCTGTGCCACTATTGACATTGGAGTAACAAACTGCATTTTTAAATGAAATTCATCTCTGTACACTGGCGAGCCCTGTTATTACAACCACAAGAAGCTTGCACTCGATTTTACAGGCGAATAAACTGTACGCTGATGCCGTCGATACGCGCTATCTAGGTTTTGAGAGTATCATGATATGCTCTCTATTCATTATATTATCAAAGTCGTCGATACGATTATAATTGAAAAACTTCCAACCAAAAGCGATTATTGGTGCACCTAATTCTAGAAAATCATTCAGCACCCACCAAACCCTGAAGAACTATCTTTAAGCCTCTCGGGGGCTTGCCAGGATAAGGAGAGCTGGAGCGATGTTTCTTAGGCTGGTGTGATATCATCACGTTTTACGAAGTGTGTCGCTGACATCTGGTCAGATGACAAAGGTGAGTCCATTTGATTTCAATTCGTTAAGTTCTGTCAGCCGCTTGTTCAGCTTCTGATGGCAGCTATGTATTTATGAGCTGGATTTGTTTCCATAGTTTCAGTTCAGATTCAAAAACATGTTTAAAGCGATTCTCTTTTAACCCAGTAACAAAACTCAATTCACTTCTGAGGAAAAAAACCCGAAAATACACATTGAATCTAAAGAAATCTTAGCGAAGAGGACTTCAATACTACAATGCTGGGCGACTATTATGGTATTGGCAACGTTCATCGTCGATGAAATGGTCTTTTTAACGTTGAAATACCCAGATCACTCTGTACGTATGTGACATCAACAAATTAAGGATTCGCATTTACATATGTAAATCACTGAGGTTGGTGTAGTAACAGGACGTTCTATTCAAGGAAAGTCCAGTCCTGATACTCCCATAAGTCGGTGTACTGGCTTGCGAGTACGATCAATGGATAGTCCGGACTCGAAATACAATGGCGCTGAAAGAAATACCTTTCTATCAAGAGTTTTTGGACCCCATTCCGCCGTGGGAAACTCATTGGGCAACACCGAGATAACACAAACTCCTCCAGCAAGTGAGCGTTCCATCACAGCTCATAACGATCTAGGAATCATCGAATCCGATCAAGATAGCTCTTCTTCGGAGGATGCAGATGCTTATGATCGCGATCAGGACAGAGTGCGACCTTTCGAAGGCATTCAAAGTGTGGTTTTGGATCCTGATTCTGAGGCAGAGAACTCTAGCGATAATATCAGTGCAACTAGTTCGATACCAAAGGTTGGCCAGGGTGAAGCAAGTGATGAAAGCGACTTCCGCGAGCCACCCAACGTTGGCCAATATAATCAAAATCATAGTCGTGATGCTAACGAAACTTCACCACACAACGGCCTTTTGCAATCGATGGATTTCAAAAGTCAGTCTCCTGTACCGGCTGGTCCGTCAACAGAGCTTGAAAATAAAAATACAACTCACACTGCGTGGAAAAACACATTTGTGGGAAACCGAAGAAACTTTTTACAATTCAAAGAAACTAGACCCGCAGATCAAGAGGAAAGTTTCCTCTTTCGAAAACCTTCAGTATGGGACGAAGAAAACCAAATTCGTACCAAACCTCAAACCAGTGTCCCTCGCGTTTTCAATAACTTTTCGAACGTCACACGCACACCAACTAACAGGCTGAATACGTTAAGCCCTCGCGAACGGGCTTTGTGGAAATGGGCAAATGTCGAAAATCTTGATTTGTTTTTGCAAGAAGTCTACGACTACTACCTAGGGAATGGCTTTTATTGCATTTGCATCGAGAAAGTCCTCAACATTGCTACACTCCTTTTTGTCGTACTAGTATCGACCTATCTGGGTTGTTGCATCGACTATTCTAAGCTATCTACCAGCCATAAAATTTCTGATATTCAAATTCCACAATGTTACAAAACTCAAATAACGGGCGCTTCCAAAGTTCTGCTGTGGGGATTCTACATCTTTGTAGGGCTGAAGGTTCTGCAATTCTATTTCGACCTAAAAGCGCTACGAGATATCCGCAACTTCTACACTTACCTACTTGAAATTCCTGACAAGGAATTACAGACCATTGCCTGGCAGAATGTCATAAAGCAGATAATGGTCTTGAAGGATCAAAACGCTGTCACTGCTAATGTCGTTGAGGTGAAAGCCAAGAACCGCATTGATGCTCATGACGTTGCAAATCGCATTATGCGAAAAGAAAACTATCTGATCGCCCTCTTCAATAATGATATCCTTGACTTGTCCCTTCCCATCCCTCTGTACAGAACAAGCACGTTGACCAAAACGCTGGAATGGAACCTCAATCTGTGTATAATGGGATTTGCATTTAATGAAGCAGGATACTTGAAGCAAAGCTTCTTGAAGCCGTCACAGAGGGGATACCTGGAAGAGGAATTACGCAAAAGATTCATGCTAGCGGGATTTCTGAACATTATACTCTCTCCTTTCTTGGTAGCGTATTTTGTCCTGCTGTACTTTTTTCGCTACTTCAATGAGTATAAGACCAGTCCTAGTGCGCTGAGTTCGCGGCAATATACGCCGATTGCGGAGTGGAGATTCAGAGAATACAATGAGCTCTATCATTTGTTTCAAAAACGGCTGGGACTCAGCGTTGAGCTCGCTAACGAATACATTGACCAGTTTCCTAAGGAGAAAACCAACCTGATCATGAAATTTGTGGCGTTCGTTTCGGGTTCTTTCGTAGCAGTGCTCGGTATAATGACCGTTTTCGACCCTGAAAACTTCTTAAACTTTGAGCTTACGCACGACAGATCTGTTTTGTTTTACATCAGCGTGTTTGGTACTCTTTGGGCGGTTTGTCGAAGCTCGGTATCCAATGAGTACAAAGTGTTTGATCCTGAAGTCACACTAAAAGAAGTCGTGGGCTATCTTCATTTCAATCCAAAAGATTGGGAGGGAAGGTACCACACTGAAGAAGTCAAACAAGAATTCTGCAAGCTTTTCAACCTGCGTGTCGTTTTGCTATTGCGAGAACTGGCTAGTTTGATAATGACGCCCTTCATTCTTTGGTTCTCTCTGCCAAAATCTTCTGGTAAAATAGTGGACTTCATTCGGGATGTTTCAGTGTATGTTGACGGACTAGGTTATGTTTGCAAATATGCCACGTTCGAAGTTCAAAAACATCGTCATGGGTCGATAAAGAAATCAATATCTCACGCGACAGAAGATACTCGGCAAACAGGGACTGCATTCAGAGCTGCGAAAGACGACGAGTCCTCTGAATCAGAAAGTGAGGATGACAACAGCATGGGTAAAATGATGCGGTCTTACATGTACTTCCTGGATAGCTATCAAAACAATGATAATGCTGTGGGGAAGCACCAGCTGCCTAAAAGTCATGTTGCTATTGGTCATGCGACACTTCCGACCACCAATTACTCTTGGAAGAGACAGTTCCAGCCGGGTCAACGCCCAGAAGACTTTCGGCTTGGACTCGAGAAAAAAGCTAACTATAGCACAAGTCATAACCCCCGAACATCGCGATTGAAAGCGAAGCTGCGTAACGAAGATGCTGGCGTCGGAAGGCTGCGCGGGAAGTTTGACAGTGACTTGGGCGAGTCTTTCATTAATTCCATTCCGTTAGGTGAGTATAGCAACATCGATGGATCTGAGGATAAGGCGGGTAAAAATGGAGTGCTGGGGCTTCTAAATCAATATTACAAAAGTTCAGACGTCGGTAGATAGAAAAAGTGTATGTTTTGAATTGCGATGCTATTTGTCATTGTTTTTTTACATTAAAAGCGCAAGCTTCACACGTCTTACTTACTGTTCCGTAGTCGCTTCTCTCTTTCGTACTTGCTCTTTTCAGCACCTTCCTCAGTACTTATTTGATTAACAATCCGAGCCATTTTAGCATGATAGTCAGAGTGCTCTTTCTTTTTCTGGTCGATCTGTTGTCTTGCTTCAAATTTAGTATCCTTCCTGATTTCTTTCATCGTGAATTTGCGGTCCTTCTTGATTTGTGCTTTCATCTTGTTGAGCTCGCTTCTCGTTCTATCAGGATCATAAGACTTCTTTTCAGGATTGAAACTTTCTTCGAATTTAGGCGTATGCATCGGTATGCTTAGAGGGCGATGGTTCTGTAAAGCCAAAGGAAAGTGCTCGTTGAATGTTTTGAACCTGTTCATTTTATCAGTAAGCGTTCGCAATGCCTCCAGGTCAGGATATTGATCGCGGTAGGCTGCCGTGATAGGTTCAAGCGCGGCTACGAGCTCAGGGAAACAAGACAAATTCTTCCATATTTTCGAAACCGCATCATCCACAGATGCCAAAATATTATGGACTAGGGCGATCTTGTCTTTTTCGGTTATTTGACCTTCTTCGACACTTACGGTACGCAGACTCAAAGTGCATCCATCTCTTTCGTCAAAGGAAATAGAGGAGGGCGCTTTTAGATCATTTGAGTCACACTGAATTGTATCAAGCCCTTTGCTGAACTTTTCTTTCTCGCTTATGGGCAGCAAAGTGACCAATGACTTTTTGAAGAAATAGACGAGCTCAGGAACAAACCGCTGGGCTAGCCGCTGGTATGTGAGAGATATTCTTGCCAAGATTGCACAAAATGCGATATTTTGAAACGAGTTGAGTTTTGTCTGCTCTAACAATTCACCCATGAGAACGTTGCACGGAGTAACAACCAAATGATAGTGGTCGGAGGTGGAAAAAATGTAACCCACCAAGGTAAAAAATACCAGATCCGACACAAGTAGGCCGTGAGATCGTTGGGTCTTGAACCTGGCCTGAATTTCATTCACAATCTCCCGACATGTAAGCGACAAAGATTCATTGTACTTCTGCGCCATAGACTTGAGAATGGTTATTAGCTCATTCTGCATTTTCCCAAATTCCTCTGCGGTCCCATCATTGTAGGAGTCAGAGATAGATAAAATATACCTCAGCAGCACCCCTGTGAAAGTGCTCAAGCGCTCTTTGTTACCAGCCGCTAGTCTAGGCTGGTATGTTCTTACGATGTCCCTCACCAAGGAAGGATGCTCTTGAGCGTTGTGATTTTCGAGATAATTTGTTAGCTCGTCGTGAGTCTGTGGACAAGGTACGACTGAAATAGCAGCTTGTGACTTTTTGAAGTCCTTATCTCTATCATCACCTGGCAATTGAACGTCATCCATATCGAAACCATTATCCATATGCTCTCCTTCGTCTTCTGAGTTTTCACCTTCCCAGAAGTCGTCGCCCAAGTCTTCAACTCCGCGATCTTCGTCTTCGTCAATCTCACCCATGCCACTCATTCTATCGAGTCGCGCTTGCTCTAATTTCTGGCGCTTTTCCAAGTTCTCTTGGTCTATTTCTTCTTGGGTTTTTGTGCGGTCTGCCGGAACAGCTCTTTTCTCTAAGCCCAATTCTCGAACCTTAACATCGTATTGCTTGTCCGAAGGATCATCTTTAGCAACAATTTGGGTCTTTTGCTTCGGAATGGCGTTTAGTTCAGACATAATGTCGTCAAATTCCTCATCAACATCCTCAATTTCTTCCGCAAGCTTTTCCTTCGCTTTCTGACGTTCGTGCTTGTAAAATTTGGACTTAGCAATAATCTCCTTCATTACCTCGGCCTTGGTCTTCTTTCTGGCGGGTCTTCCGTCTTCATTTTCGCCCTCGAACTCTGACGCTGATCTTTTGGGCTGTTCCAAGCCCAAATCTCCATCTTCAAAATCGTCTTCTAGGGCCAATGACTTACCGTAATGCGTCAGTGTGCCACCATAGAGATCTTCACTTCCAGCATTGCCAAATTCTTCATTTTCGTCGTCTTCAAGATTGAAGATGGATTTTTTACTGGACGACGATTGTGCTTGTCTTTCGCGGGTGAAACGCTCCAGCATTTTTTCCTCCTCGGTCAAATCCTTGTTTTTCTCTCCGAATCTGCGGTCCATAACGCCCCCGAGCTTATTCTTGCGCCGCTCGCGAACTTCATGCGCTGCCAACCGTTGTTCTTCACCAATTTGCTTGGAAATACCAGGTTTGCCTGCCGCTTTGTGGGCAGTGTTTTTACCAGCTTGAGAAGACCTCTTGTCGCGATTCATTTTCAGTTCGAAAGGGCTGAACTGTTCACGAATCTTTGAAATTTGTTGGGCTCTTTCGTCACGGTCATATTCTCGGGCCTGGCGTTTGTTTCCCTTCTTAGAGGCTTTGACGTTAGCCTGGCCTGTAAATCCTTTCTCCTTGAGCGATTTTTTCAGCTCTTTCAACTGTGAGCCTGCCATAGTTGGTGTAGCTACGCGAAAGGTCTATATCGGTTGAAACTTGCCGTGCTTTGGGTTGACTTCAGAGGACAAAAAACCATCTCATCGCATCTCATCTCATCTCATCTCATCGCATTGGTATCGTGCATCTTTTGAAATTTTTCAGCGGTCACATGATCGGGACCAATGCTGCTTGAAAGTTAGTCGATCATTATAAACGGAAAGCACTACCTATGGCCTAATTGTACAGTTTAAGGTAGAGAGATACAGTATCATTCGCCTGCCTTTTAAAAATTGTGATGCTATTTTGTCGGTGACCAGACGATTCCGAGCAATTTTCAGCTCTCCAGTATCTTTCACTACGACATATGTCAAACTTGTGAAGTATTACAAAATGTGAAAAAAGCGATGACTTGGGAATAATTGCGGCATTGATTGATCTTCTCAAGCAGCATGCGCAACATGTACAGCTTGCGTTGTTTGAATAAGAAATGAACTCTCCGTCGTCACCACTTCAAAAGATTGTCACGTGATCCTACACATATCTTCTGTAGTCAGTTTGGGGAAAAGTGACCTGGGCGAAAGAGTAGCATCTAAACTATCAATTCGAGCGATCCCAAAGGTAGCGAGTTTTCTCAATCGTGGCATGCACTAGATATGGAACTTATCGGTGGGAATTTGAACATGTCTAGTCCTCCAAACTCATTGACCACATATACCATATAATCGTGTGAAGTGATAGATATGTAACATCTGTTCTTAAGGAGCGAAAAGCAGGCCAGCCCTGGAGAGCAAACCCGGTACTATTAACCTCGGGTTTTCACCCTAGCGTTTCTATTTTAGTCGCTACATGAATCCTCGTTGCGAGTTCTTGTCAGGACAATTTTGGATCTATCAGTACTCGAGTACTTTGAATAACGCTACAATTCAAATTAGAATTTAAAGGTGGCAAAGGAACCATCTTAACAACAATCATACACCATTTCTCAAGCAATTGAGAGCATTTTTGGTGGCTCAAGAACCATTCTTTCATATTCAACATGTCCAGAGATGCACCTTTAAAAGCGGAAAAGGATTACACTGAAATTCTGGCCGAAGAGCTGCCTAAAATCAGCACTTTGGCGCAAAATGATGTGGAAGGTGCTGTAGACCAACTATTGGTTTTAGAAAAGAAGACCCGTCAAGCCTCGGACTTGGCATCTTCCAAGAAGATTCTTGGTGAGCTGGTGGATCTGTTGGCTTCAAAAAACCAATGGGAAACTCTGAATGAACAATTAGCTTTGCTAGCCAAGAAGCATGGTCAACTAAAATTGTCGGTACAATTCATGATTCAGCGCATCATGGAAAAGCTGGATGATATTACCGACCGCGATACAAAGGTAAGTGTCATCGAGGCTATTCGCACCGTTACAGAGAACAAAATCTTCGTGGAAGTGGAAAGAGCCCGTATTACACGCATATATTCTCGCATATGCAGAGAAGAGGGCAAGATAGATGAGGCTACAGACTTGTTATGCTCGTTGCAAGTAGAAACATTTGGCTCAATGGAGATGTACGAGAAAATCGGTTTTATTCTCGAACAGATGGAACTCAGCATTCTCAAGGGCGATTTTTCGCAAGCCACGGTTCTTTCGAGGAAAATATTAAAGAGAACTTTCAAAAACGACAAGTACGAGGCTCTGAAACTTGAATATTTCAACCTTTTGATCAAAATTGGTTTGCACAAATCCGACTATCTGCAAGTGGCCCAGTATTATCAGGAAATTTACAACACGGAGTCTATTCGTGCAGACGACGCAAAATGGAGATATGCCTTATCTCATGTTGTCATATTTCTCGTGTTGACTCCATACGATAATCTTCAAAGTGATCTGATCCATAAGATTCAGCTCGACAACAACTTGAAAAAATTGGAAAAACCAGAATCTTTGGTCAAGCTGTTCACTACCGCTGAATTGATGAGATGGCCCATTGTAAAGGAGAGTTATGAAACTTTTTTGAACGCAGACGATGTAGCGTTTGGCGCCCGCACTAACCACTGGGATGATCTCCGCAAGAGAGTAATTGAACACAATTTAAGAGTCATTTCCAAATACTACACGCGCATCAATCTGTCTAGGCTAAACGAACTTCTGGATCTTACAGAGGCCGATACCGAAAGGTTCATCAGCGATTTGGTTAACCACGGTGTAATCTACGCCAAAATTAACAGGCCAGCCAAAATAGTCAATTTTGGGAAACCCAAGAACTCGAGCTCTTTGCTAAATGAATGGTCGTCTAACGTCGACCAGCTCCTGGAACAGATAGAAACCATTGGGCATCTCATCACAAAAGAGGAAATCATGCACGGATTAAAAGCGACTTGAAGTTTTCCTACGTACGACATTTTTGCAATAAAAAGATTGAAATCGAAGCCTGAGAGGGCACAGCTAGTCATTTTGCTGGTTTCTTTTCTGACGTGCGCTTTCCACAAGACTATCCCAGCGTTCTTTCAGTTTATGGATTTGCGTTGTCAGTTGCTTGTTTTCAGTGCACAATTCTTCGATTCTGGCTTCGTATTCCTTGGATCTCTGTTGGTCGACCCACGAAAGACCCCGTAACAACTGTGTTGTCTCTGCTGCTATTCCGGTCTCCAGATCGTGGACTGAGGCTCCTGGCTTCAATTCTGTCTTTGATCGCACTAAATTCAGAACGTTTTCAACGAACGTCTGGGGACTTTCCGTTGTAGTCATGGGGTTTTTCACCGCTGCCACATTGTCGGGCTTCGCAGCTGGCGTCTTTGCTCGCAAGTTCAATTGTTGGAGTTCCCATACTTTACTTTCAATGTCGATCTTGAGCAATTCGATTGCGGTCTTGACATCTTCAACTTGGTCAAATCCCTTGTTTTTGGACTCAAACTCTTCTATAAGTTTCACTGTCTCTAGGTACACATTTATCGACTCTTCGAAGTTGTGCTCCCGTACTTTCAGTTCAGCATTGGCGATGAGCTCGTAAATCTAAGATCAAGATATATATAAAGGTTAGTAGTCAATGTCAAATTTAAATTCTAAAAGATCTGCAAAACTTCGAGATTAAAGCACATACATCCTTTAATTCTGGCATCTTGAGCTGATTTGTCGACAACTGTTCGAATCCTCTCTGTCCAGGCCAGTATTTCAAGCTTTTCCTCGTTCGAATTGGAACTTTTGACGTCAAGTTGTGTTGTATGTTCAAGAGAATCCAAGTATTTCACGAACTGAGGAAAGATACAAACTTCGGATTTGGGGACCTCTTCATAGAGACAGTAAGTCTGTTAAATTCTTAGACTGATTGGGTATTGGGGAGTGCCAATCTTGATGATATCAAGACCGGAAGCAAACAATGCTGCTCACGAAATTGATGGTGACAAGGACGCTACGCTACGGGCCAATAACTTCGATACTAAAAATGCATTCTGGGACTATATGGAAAGCCTTTTGGAAACACCTGAAGCCAAATGCGATCAATCGACCGTTAACGCTGCCTTGGTGAAGTATATTAAACACGCGGCTGATAACTATCAGTCGTGTGTGAAAACCGAACAAGGTCTGTACCGGTTGGGACTGACATTTACAGAATCGTTGATTTTCCGCAAAAATCAGGACTTTTCGATCAGCAAGTTGCTGTCGCTATTGAGCGTAGATTTGTTGGAATGTAATCTGAAGTTTATCATCAGTTATATCATTCTTTGCGCTGCGAAAGGTGACTCTTCAGTTCTCGAGCTGCTTCTGGAATTCCAAGGATTTACAGTCATATACAACAACCTCTACAATATCTTTGCCTATCTCAATCGGTATGGCGAAGACCAAATAGTGAGCTCAAAAAGTGACACTTTTTCTGGTAGTAGTGAGATAGAATGGGACATCATCCACAATTTGCAGCAGGTATCGACAATATTGATGGATATACTTTTCCAAGTGTTCAAATACTCCAAATGTGAGATTTCTAATGTGACTATAGTAGACGACTTTTTCGTTTACTACACGATGAGCACCATACAGCCTGGAGCCACCGATGATCATTTCAACAACGCCAAATTCAAGCTTCTTTTGGCCCTTAACGAACAGTACATGATATTTTCCTACAAATATGAGCTTGAAAACCGCGTCTACAAGTATCTTGCCGACCACTCAGTCTCTAAAAACTTTGTGGAGTTTTTGCTTCTGAAGTTCAATCGAGCAACCAACCGCTCGCTCCAAATCATGCTTTGCAAAGTGATATACCTGATACTTACGGTGGACAAAAACTCAGCAGAAGATTTCTTCTACCAGAACGATCTCAATGTTATAGTAGACGTCCTGATACGTGAGCTTACGAATATTCCTGAGGATGAAGAGCTCATTCGAAATACTTTTCTGAGAGTGCTTTTACCTTTGTTGAGCAACACCGAGTTGGCGAAAACCAGATACCGTAGATCGGATTTGGCTGGTGTACTAGAGTACTTATCGTCACTTGACAACATATGCTCATCAGAAGCACAACCCGTTCATAAAACGACCGTGCGGTTGGCACAAAAGTGCTTGCAGCAGGTCGAATGGCTCAGAATAGATGACATGAACGATCCTCATAAATTGGCAAGAGTCGACAGCGAGGATTCCAGACAATCGAGTGTGAGCGTAAATTCTGCGTCCTCGTCGCGCGTTTGGCCACATCGTTTTTACCAGAATGGGAATGGCTCTTTGTCGGCCGAGTCCATAACAAGTCGTCTGCAACCACCACCACCACCACCACCGGCTCGAAAGCTACCATCTCGCCAAGGCAGCGGGCAAAAAGTGGCACAGTTCCAGCTGCGGTGAAAAGAGCGCCCTCCTAAAAAAAGAAAAAGTAATAGAGGCACCAAGCCATGTTAGACCTAATCAAACTCCGTATGCAATTGTAGAAACTCAAATAATGTTATCACCATCAGCGTCCAATCCATCAACATCGCCAACCATGTTTTCATCTTCAATGAGAACGTCATCCAGAAAAGTCTCCTGTTCGGCAGCAAAATACTGGTCGATGCATGACTGGACAACTTCGCGAGACTCCACAAACTCATCGACCCCATTTTGGAACATTTTTCCGTTTTGATACATGTGAACAAACGCACCTCTTTGGAACAGCACATCGAAACTCGAGCAGGCATTTTGCAATAGGGTAGTGACAGAGCTTGTATTGGCCAGCATCATACCACTGACTCTGTCATGATCTGTTGTCACATTGTAAATAGACTTTCTTCCCACATTAACGTGTAATGCAGTAGGCGACCAAGGTGGGAACTTGATGCGTTGCTGTGCCTTGATAATGGCTCTTGTTACATCTGATTGATCAGCAGGACCGATGATTGAGTCAAAAATGCTGAGATAAACAGGTGTGTCATTACTTCGAAGAGCCATACCGTTGTTTTTATCGAATAAATCCAGTACAACGTCATACGCTGAACTTTTCTTTGAATCTCGTACCTGTGGAATGAAGTCTGCGGTAAAAGGTGTGAAGCTCGGTACAAGAAAATGCAGGTCCGCGGTTGGGACTAAAGTAGAGAATATGCTCGGAAGTGAGTTGTACATGTAGCTGGGAAACCTCAAACTATTGGTGACGGAAGACAAAACGCTTGCAATTAGCTGGTTGGTCTGTTCGTAGCTGGTATTTCTATCTCGGAAAACTCTTGTGGCCAGGTTCAGAAGAGCGTTGTTGTCGAAAACTACACATCCATCGCTGTTTTCGATCAGCCTTCGTAGAGTCAGAATTGTATTGTATGGTTGAATGACCACTTCAGATTCATTACTGGGGAACACTGAATATGTGGTAACGATCTTTTTGTGGTACCTGTCTGATAGGGCTTCTAGGAAATTGGATCCGAGACCAGACCCGGTACCGCCAGCAACGGAGTGCAAAAGTTGAAATCCTTCGAAATTCTCTGTTGCGTCTATTTCTTTGTCAATCATGTTTATAAACTCTTCCTGGTTCTCCAAACCGTAATCGTAGCCCTTTGACCACGTATTTCCAGCTCCCAATTCTTCCTTCGATACCCATACGTTTCTATCATTGAACAATCCTGGAAATGCGTTTTGTACTCCTGCGATGGCACTTGGCTCTAGATCAAACATTAAAGCCCGTGGCGTGAATCGATCGCTATCATTTTGCCTAAAAAATGTGGTGGGATCATCATCTCTGACTATTCCATCCTTACTTGCATCACCAACTGCGCTTTGTCCATCTTTACCGATGCCATGTTCTTTAATCAATTGTGACCAAAATTGCTTCCCCACCTGGTTTCCACACTGCCCAATTTGAAGTGTTATAATCTCCCCAGTCATTGATGCAACTCAACAGTAGTTCTAGCAGTAAACAGCTGCTTTTGAAAGCACAATTGGTAGCTTTAGAAAGTGAAGTTCACAGTTGTTGAAGTGAGCTGTTGATCCAACTTCATGTATATTTATGAGATCTGTCATTATGTACGTGAAGTGTCAAATAAGCTCGCGATGCCCTCGTTGTAATACCAATTCTTATATCGGATTCTATGATCATCATTCTACATATAGTCGTAGCCTTGGCTTTTTGGTATATACAGCATTGAGCTTTGTTATCCCAGGTGAAAGAGCGAAATACCATTGACAGTTTGTTGTCCGCTTCTTTTCTTCATTTTTCAATTCCGTCGTTGCGCAACCACTGCTACTTATGAAAGTAGAATTCTGAGACCGGAAGCAGGAGTCCCGATCTTTGATACGGAGGCTATGACATCCAACTTGCCCTTCTCAGAGGAGTGGTACTTGGCGCCAGTCAAGGGATCAGTCACGGCTGGGGTATCTTTGTAAATCGGGGTGAAAGTGGAAGCGCAAATACTGAACTCTGCGTAAGGATCGAAATTAACCTCGATAGCATCGTTGGCCATCAGATCGGCTCTGTCCTTCACCTTCTGCGCTTGTTCGGCACGGGGACCCGTCGACACGATGTTGAGGAATTCGCCTGCGAAGTAGGAAGCCTGGATAAAGTTCTTGTGCTTGAAGGACTGGGACATAGCAACCTGCAGAGCGGTACTCTTATGCTGCGGTAGCAGCTTGGCGGTGGTGAAATAGGATGCCAGTTCTAGGTTGCGTTTGACGTCATCAGCGGGTAGCGAGCGTCTTGCCAGCTCTATCGAAATACCAAGAATGTATTCGCGGGCCTTATCCAAAGTCTTGAACGCAAGCGTCTCATCTTCTTTGTTGTCTACAGCCAGCAGCGTGATGGTGTAAATAACGTCGCGGAAAACCTCCTTGGCTAGCTCCAGTTTGTTAGCCTTGAAAAGTTTGAATCCCTCGTTCATCTTGGTGGTAACCACCTCAATTCCAGCAATGAACGGCAGTAGTTTTTCCGCCGCGTTCACCTCGCTGTTAGAACGAATCAAACCGGTAATGCTTGGAAGGTCTTTGGGCGTTGCAGACATGTAGGTTCTGCAACTTCCGTAAATCTCATGGAAGCGAGGTCTTAGAGGCTCGAAATTGACCAAGCCTGCTTGTTTGTTCAACGCCTGCGCTGCTGCTTCAAATGCACCGGCAGCGATCAAAACGTAAGGCAGTTTCGAATTCTTTGTCCATTGTGTGATCTCATTGTCGTCGCTTGGAGCAATTGTTGCTTGCTGCTCCTTGGCTTCGGTCTCTGGTTCATCTACCTCGAGACCCAAATCTTCTTCATCCATGTCCCAACCTCCGTCATCTTGTGCAACAACTTCTTCGTCTGAGAAGGCACTTTGCTCGGCTGCAAATGCGTTACCATTGGATTGGACTTCTTCGTCCTCAGCTTCGTCCTGCAGGTCCAAGTCTTCTATACCACCAGCGAGAGCTTTTTCGAAAAACGAAGGTTCTGCTTTCTCCAAAGGCCATTCCTTTACAGGCTCTGAAATCAATGGAGACTGGTAGTGAGTTGTTGAAGATAATTGCTCAGGCAGAGCCACATCCTCTTCGCTGATACCAGCAGTCTCTAGAATTTGAGCGGCTTTGTCATCCTGGTTGTTTGCCTTGGCAATAGCGTAAGCTAGCGGTAGCGAGCCCGCTTCAGCGAAAACCTGCCCTCTCTTTTCATTAGATTTGTTGTAGATGGTATTAAGGATAACACTGGAGATGTCTCCTCTGTGCTCAGCAATACTTTCCATCTTGGATAGCTTGGTCAAGTCACCCGTTATCAAATACAAAAACGAAAGCTTGTCGAAGCTTTTTTGAGTTTGGTAAACCTGCTCTACGAGTTCAATTTTACCTTGATCCAAGGCAGCTTGACCGAGCTGCTCCCAGGTAGTGCTGTTATCAAGCTTCTGGGCTTCCTCTTGCGCAATAGCCAAGTCACCATACTCAAGAGCAAGATCGAATCTTGTTTGTGGCTCCTGTACGAACTGAAGAGCAATATCGGGAAAACCAGCTTTTTGCAAGTAAGAGATGATATTCTGACCAACCAAGTTGGAGTTTTGAATAATGCGCAGAACCTCTGGGAAGTTTTTATTGACGAGAGCCTTCTTGAAGCGGTATTCAGTAGAATCGATCGTAACAATTTCCACCTCACCTTCACGATTCAAGGCATAAACAAATTTTCCATGAACTTTGTTGATGTAAAGGGTATTGTCTAGAGTTTTTATTATTCCGTTGTCCCCATTCAAGAGAGTATACTTGATGTGGTTCAACGTAGAATAAATCAAAACACCGCTTTCATCCCAAGCGGCACTCTTGATACGGATAGTTTCATGCATCGATGTGATAACTTCAAGGTTTTTCGTCACGATCGTTATCGTATGCTTGCTCATAAGGGCGATGTATTGACCGTCGAGAGACCAGCTCACATACTTTACATTTTTGAGGGTAATCTCGGCTACCTTCCTGGTCTGCTGGACATCGAAGAAGAGAACTGATTTTGACTTCAATACCAAAACTGATCCAGGACCGGCATAGACAAGATCTTTGACGGGACTATCATTTTCAATCTTGATTGTTTTAGTAATCTTGTTATCCAAACCGCGGACTTCCAAAGATGAACTGGCACTGTTGTAGACGACAAATCTGTTGCGGGCAACAAAAGTTGGGAAAGATCCAGTATCTTCCAGAACGGAAGTTGGCTCCACAGCACCCGTAGGCTGCTTGGGTAAAACGCAGAGAGCAAACTTCTCGCTTTGGTTGTCTGAACAGTTGACCAGGACCGAGTGTTGTGATGGACTATAGGATATGCTTTTGAACGCATTCCAAGTGTGACCAATCTTCTTCAAAGATGCATAGGGCAGAGATGAGATTTTCTTTTGATAGTCAAAAGTTTGCACCTGCTTTTCTTTGTTGACAAAAATCAATTGATTCTGATTGATGACGCTACAAGGTCTCTCGCGGTCAAGTTTGAAAACCATGATTCCTGAGTCGTGAGCAGCCCCGAAGAGGTTGATGTGAGGATGAGCTCTTACCAACCAGAAGCGATCGTGTTCTCTTTTAAATTGCTTTACCGGAGTTCTTTTGTCTAAGTCCCAGACGCGAATAGTTTTGTCTTCGCCAACAGAAATGATGAGGTTCTGGTGGGGATGGAAGATTACGCTGTCGACGTTGTTAGTGTGGCCTCTGCAAGTGTCAACTTCCCAAGCCTTGGTGGAACTCATTCTCCAGAGTTTGACCTGGCGATCATCGCCACCTGAAACGATCAAGGGCAGTGTTGGGTGAAAACTGGCCCAGTTAACACCTCTGGAGTGACCTTCGAGAATAAATTTAACCACGCAGTCGCCAAAACCGCCTTCCAGCAGATTTTGTTGAGAAATCATTTGTTCTTCTAAAGAGAACGAGCTCGGTGCCGAATGTCTCTTACGTAGTCCTGAAATATCCCACACTCTCACGGTTTCATCTAAAGATGCAGAAACTACTAAGTCTTCTTTAGGATGGAAATCTGCGCACATTACGAAATGGCTGTGTCCTGCTAAACACGCAATTTCCTTACGGTTTTGCCAGTTCCAAATACGGATGGTATTATCGTCTGAAGCAGAGATTATCCATGGCAGCTCGCGATGGAAGAAAACGGTTCTGACGTAGTCCAAGTGGCCATTCAGGGTGAACAAGCACTTCTTGGTATCTAATGACCATACCTTGATGGTGTAGTCGTCACCGGCAGACACGAAAAGAGGTTGTGTGGGGTGAAAGTCAATTCCTCTAACAGGACCTTCGTGGTCCTCAAACTTGTGTAATAGAGTACCCATGCGATAGTCCCACAATTGAATGGATGACGAGAAAAGTGCCACCAAAACCCAAGGTCTGGATGGGTGGAATGCCAGCCCTTTTGCCCTGGTGGACTTTGACTCGAATTTCGTGAGCATCTTCATCTTTCTATACTGCTTGTATCACTATTGAAACTGTACCAAAAATAACAGCAATTGGCCGTTTAAACACGCTGGAAAAAGCTGGAAGAAGCGTTTACCAATCGATATCGGAAAACAACACTTATTTAGTTCAACAATGCCCACAAAACGCGAATCTTGTGCAGTTTAAAGCCAGATTCGGGTTTGTTGATCAGTTGGTAAAGGGGAATCGTGTTAAAATTCTAAACCAATATATAAAAACTTTTTTGTATATCTCTTTGAACGACATCACATATTGAACAGATCCATCTGGATCTCGGCAACTAAGAATCTTACGACGACGGACAATAGCCAAGAATAACAAAAAGATCGATATTTGTAGACATGAGGTGTGTAAATACAGCTGTAAATACAATTTTCGAGATTTTCAGTAACTGTCTGGATTTTTAGAAATTTGACACATTTTCAAGCATCTTTTTACGACCAAATTTAACCTTTCAAAAGGGAAAATTTGAGAACAGTAGACCCAAAAAGTTCAAACCGCGCATGGAGTTCCTCTGAGTTCGTATTACAGACAAATGAGCCATTCACGCAATCTAGAGAACCAGTTGGGCCCGTAAGATCCAGCTGCGAGGTTTTCATGACGGGTGACAGTTAAATCGGTAGTCACGGCATTGTTTTGCGATTTAGCGGCAGTGCTAGTCGCTAGAGTGGTGTGAAACTTCTGTGAAGTTGATGCATTAGTGGTTGGTCTTTTGTGAATTTTCTGCTTTACTGAAAAGCCATCCTGCATACCCCCGTCACACGCAGGATCGTAAACATAGTCAAAAGCGTCGCTAGATCCTATGCCGTTCACGCCAAGGCTTTCAATTGTGACCAATGCATTCACATACGGCGTAATCTGAATATTTTTGACAAGCAGCTGAAATTGGCCATTTTGAACAATATCGATTGCATTGGTCCAATCGATAGTTCCACCGGCCCACATGATTGTTCCCGGATGGTTCGACTCCACGCCTCCAGGCCATATGGCAAGTTCGAGTCGCATTGGCGTGGAGGGATATTTGTAGATACCTGTTTCCGGGTCGTAAGTGTCCACTCGGTAAAGTGTGCGCACAATAGATCCGTCGATCAACCACTGAATCCGATCTTCGTCCCAATCGAACTCATATGTGTGATATTCTTCGTAGCCATTCGGCCAAATTGGTGACTTTTGCATGCGAGTGTGGACCAGCTCACCTCTATGATAATAATTGGATTGTGCACTGTCGAGTTCCCCGCCCAGGAACTCGAAGTCAATTTCGTCTTTCACCGCAGACATTAGCACCATGGCCGAAACAACACCCTTTCCTCTTGCCATCTTCATTTTTACTGCAACCTTCCCGTATAAAAATGACTTTGACGAGGATACGAGGCTTCCCGTGGTATCGGGAGGCATACCTAGCACTAGGGCGGAGTTGTCGAGGGAACTGTTTACTTGTACGAACCCGCTGTATGTGAAGTCGTAGCTGTCTAAATCCACATTGGCATCTGAAGTTCTTGAGTAGTGTATAAAACCCCGCTCGTCTAGCTCGTCATCGAGGTGGTCAAGCTTGTTTTGCGCAGTTATCTCTGTAGGTGTTTCAAACGCCACATCAATTCTGGGCAAATAGTTCAAATTATCCCCATCTGTTTTAGTCGACACACCTCCCAATGCTCCATATACCGAAATCGCTTGCGGGTACATTGCGGGGACAGCGGCACAGCTTTCATAGCTATGTGAATAACGAGGATCGCAACCCCCCATGCAAAGAGGGCCGTACCCACACTGGCCATATTGTGAGCAGCATGGCCACTCTTCAGGACAATGTTCTTGAGAAGAACAAGCAACATAAGGTTCTGACTTGAAAACATCCGACCCCGCGTTTACTAAGCTACAACCCAGAATTGACAAAATCGAGACAATTGATCTCATCGTCGTCGACCTGTTAACCCAAATTTTTGAGCGAAAGGCTCTTGAAAACAACGATATCTGTGACAGGCTGGTTATTGTTGTATCGCAATGGGAATGCAATGACATCGGTCAACGTCACAAAAAAATAACATCAAGATATTAAAACCGAGTCTATAAATGAGGTCATTGTATCTGAGGAATTTCTTTGAGAGACCTTAAGTCCTGGAAATGGTTTTTGGATGGTTACTCGGATACACTCTCGACTTGTCTGGTCGATTCGTTGAACTTGATTAGTCCCCGACGCTCTTTGATCTTTCCCTGCAAAATGGTCATCAGTTGGTAAAGTACGAATAAAGTGGGAGCGGGGACCCCATTTTCTTGAGCTATCCTTAAAGGATTACCGAGAATGACTTCGAGCTCCATAAGCTGACCCTTTTCGTAGTCAACGCACATAGAGGGCTTGTAGAGATAGTTTTTAGTGAAATCCAAAAAGAAGTTCATTTCTTTAGGATCGATAATAATACCCTCGCTGGCTGCAATGGCAATGATCTCCATCATCCCTGGTACCCACAAATTTTGCTCTGTACTTATGCCATTTTTCGAAAATCTCAAACATCTTGAGGCGTCAAGTTGTGCAAGTGCCGTGGTGGTGTTGACGACCGCATTGTACAGCAGTTTTTTCCAGCGGGTGTAACGCGCGTTGTTTTCGCACTTGACTTCGTTTTGGCCCTCATTGTTGTACATAGAGGCAAACAGTTTTGCGCGGTCTAGGGCATGTTGATCTTTCGAATCGAAAGGCGCTACGCTTAGTCTATCTTGACCAATCTGGACCACTTTGCCTGTGCTAACTTTTGTGGAGCCGATAAGCTGCACGCCCGAGAGAAGGGCGAGTTTGTAGCGATTTTGGTCGAAATGCTCCATAACTTCCTTTTCGAGGTCCAGCCCATTTTGGATCAGAACGATGCTGGTGGTGCGGGTCTGGTCTATTTGGTGGTTGGACAGGATTATGGGACGTACGATTTCGTGCACAGTTCCGCTCTTTGGGCCATCTGGGATATTTTTCACGGTGACGACGATGAAGTCGAAGAAAAAGCCAGATTTCGAGGCGTCATCTGCCGTGCGGAACATATGATGAGGTTTCCAGTTTTCTATGGAGCCGTAGTCACAGGACTCGATTGAGTAGCCGTGTTGCACCACATGGTCGTAATCGGAGCGGACCACCAGCGACACTTCGCTTTTTGCAGCATTGAACAGTGAGTAGGTGGTGATGATGCCGACTCCGCCAGCACCAATGACGAGACAAGTTGGTTTGTTATCCTGAGGAGACATGGTGGTGGGGGTGGTGGGGGTGGTTAGTTGCTGTTAAAGTGGTGAAAATCGGTACTTTAGAGCTTTCTGGAGATGTTATGAGTTTAAGCCATCGAGCTTTTTTCAGGTGCATTGGACATCAAATGGTGATAATTAGATAAGGGAATCATCGAACGTGACAGACCGTTCAAGAAAAGACGCGTCAGTGGATTTTATAAAACGCGTCAGCGTTCTCGATCGATGCCTTGTGATTGATTTCAAAAATGACGGTGCGTGTTTGGATTGGACAGATTTGATGTCTCAGAGTTTCTCAACGGTTTCACGGCTTTTCTAAGAAGGTTCGTGCTGGGCCAAGCTTCTGGTTGAGGATACATTAGAGACCTGGTATTTCTTGAGCTAGTAGCTGAGATAGCAATTCAATTGGTGGGACATTTCTTCTCGTGTCTCGGTGTTTATCTCTTTCTTGTTCTTGTTCTAACGCATGTCTTCTGGGCACTACAGGAGAATATGATAAACTAGATACGTTTTGAATATCACGACCGGGTTGCAATATGGATTACACACTGTACAAAGCGGGTAGTTTACCGGTGTTTTTCGGGTGCTTCGCGGGTAGTCTACGGGTGGCTTTGCGGGTGCTTTTCGGGTAATCTACAGAAACCTTCAAAAAAAATTTCGAATGCTTTTCGGGTACTTTTCGCCTACTTTTCGGGTACTCATCTTGTACGGCCGAGTACTTTCAAATACATTCTATTTTCCCTTTTCAAGTATCTCCCTCTCTCATTTTTTCCACTACACTCAACCTAATCAAAAAAAACTTAAATCCTAACTATCTATCTACCTATCTCATCGCCATGTATAAAAATCATGCTCAGGTAGACTTCTTAATCCACCTGAACTCTCTCTTCCCACGTACAATCTCAACTCCCTCCAGTTCTCCACAGCCGGCTTTTTCGGTCTATCCCGATGACAACAAACCGTATCTCGTTCTTCAAACCCATTTTACCAACAGCTCATCGCAGAGCCGTTTAAAACCAATTCCATACATAACTTACCGTAATTTCCAGATTTCTTGAATCTCTCTTCTGGAAACGAAGCGTCTCGCGACCAGCGTCGTCCCTCCGGTCTCCACTGCCGGCATTGTCGGTCCGTGGAGGAAAAAAAAGCTCTTGAAAAATGCTTGTAAAAATGCTCTTTCGAGCCGTATATGCTCGCAAGCCATAGTAAAGATGCCAAACTCGATTTTGGGTGTGATAAAGACCCTGAGGGAAAGAACCTGAATCTTTTGAAGAGCATTATCAGAATAAACTGCTCACGGTAAAAGTTCTCTAGCTCAATTGCTGGAAACTGGCCGATATTTCGAACACTTGTATATCTGTATATATCATAGGTGTCTGTATGTATGTACGCCAGAAAAAGAGAAAGACATGATGGACAACAACTGAAAGACAGAATTGCCAATTCCACCGCTACGGTTTCCAAATAATGAAATTAACTGGTTTGCCAATTCTGCTGGTGGCAGTCTTCGCCTGTGTCTCTTCAGGCCTGGTCTTGGTAGACTCGTCTCTGGCATCTGCATGTCTGTATTATGAGAAAATGTTCGACTGGGGATGCCATACGCACGGTGTGAGCAGAAAGGCGTACAAATGCCGCTGTTCCAACGTCAATTGGCTGGGCACAATGACCAATTGCATTGCCAACAACACAGACAGCAAACGGCTCAGAAACCATGCCTTTAGACATGTCATCGAGCGGTGTCAGTCCAAGGCCAATATTGACTACACTATGGACGACATGTACGGGTACTGGAAAAACGGTACCCAGTATTTGAGAGACCCTACAATGGCAGACATGGACCATCCGGTCAACACCACGTTGCGGGTCGACCAGCCGGAATTCGACTGGTATTACCGGAAATTTAAAGACTACACCTTTTCCGTGGAGAGAAGTCAGTGGTTCGGATGGGGCCTGGTCTTCTACTGGAGCGCTGTCATCGTTGTCTGTACATTGTACAATTTGAACCAGAAATTCTTGGGCGTCAAATTCACCAACAAATGGCTCTCCAGATCCCTGGTAGTCCCTTCCGCATTCAAAAATACGCTCTTGAAGTATCCCAAACTGCAAAAATTGTTCCCGGGACCCTACGCAACCCGGTTGCAAGGCCTCGCGGTGTTGGTTTTCATTGTCCAAGTGTTCATCACAACGGGTGTCGGCTACGAGATGAAACTGCCACATCCGTATCTCACAACTCGGTGGTTTATGAATCTCACTTTGGTGAGTTATAGAACCGATTTGATGTGCATGTCGCTGTTTCCTCTAATCTTTTTCTTTGGAATCCGCAACAATCCGTTCATTCCACTCACTGGGCTCTCCTATGCGACGTTCTCGTATTTCCACAAATGGTGTGCATACGTGGCTGCTGGTCTCGCTTTCATTCATTCCATAATTTGGACAGTGTGGTCCATCCACGACGGCGGTTACAAGGCATGGGCAATGGACACGTATTGGCAGCACGGAGTGGCCGCCATGACACTAATGGCCCTCCTCGTTTTCCACAGCACCAAGTTCATTAGAGATATGGCCTACGAGGTCTTCCTTTTCTTCCACCAGTTCTTCAGTATATTCTTCATCATCACCATGTACTATCACTGCATCACCTTGGGTTGGATGGGCTGGATCTGGTCGATGGCTGGCATTTTGTGCTTTGACAGATTGCTTCGGATTGTCCGCATAGTCTTAAGCGGTGGTCTGCAGAAATCTACGCTAACTGATTGTGGGAATGGGATTTTGAAGCTGACACTCAAGAAACCCAAGTTCTTGAAGTACAAACCTGGCACTTTTGCCTTTATTTACTTTTTGAGCTGGAACGACCCATGGTACTATCAATGGCAATCGCATCCATTCACCTTGCTGAGCACTTCACTCCATGAGGGCGACAATGGGGAGGAAATCACTGTCATTTTCAAAGCTCACAAGGGAATCACCCAACAGCTGCTGTACAGATTGCTGAGGTCTGGAGAAGAATCTATTCAGATCAGAGTCATGGTTGAAGGCCCTTACGGCGACGTTCTCCCTCAAAAGGCTAAAATTGAGAAAAATTTGGTTGGTGTCGGAGCGGGCCTTGGGGTCACCGCTGTGTATGCCCAGATGGCACACCTTCTAGAAGCGCAAGCGTCTGGTTTGAAATCCAAAATGTATTGGATCGTCAACGACTTGAGTCATATTGCATGGTTCAAAGACGAAATTAGTTGGCTCTTGTCGAGGAATTGTCAAGTCACAATTTTGTGCTCAACAAGAAAGGACATGGACGAAGAGAAGCCGGCGTCGCTATGCTGCTCCTCGCGTGCTTTACTTCAGAAACTCAAAGTTGAATCTTTGTACGGCAGACCTGACCTGGTGGCTCTTGTAGAAAACGAAGTTCGCAAGTCATCAGAGCAGTCCACAGATTTGGGTTTTATCAGTTGTGGACCAACCACTTTCAACGTGGACTTTCGTGCGTCGGTTTCAGCATGTCTTGATCAAAAACAAAGCATAGACGTAGCTTTTTGGGAAGAAAGTTTTGCGTGGTGATAACCTCTTTGCCGTCAAGACACATATATTTAATGCATGCACTTGTAGATATTCACAAATAATCACACTCTATCATTCTTTTAAGCTTGAAACTCATCATTCATCGTCATCACTTGAGTCTTCAGCTTGCTGCATTTTTAGAAGCTCTGACCACTTGGATGCCAGCTCTTTGATTGCGTCGGGATTTGTAACGGCATCTGCCACATCTTGTGGAACTTGGTTTTCGGAATGTTCTTTGCCGGCAAATCGTGCAACGTTGTTTTCCGTTACCAACCGTAGTTCGTAGTCGTCTTCTGGAGTGCTTGGGCTTTGCGTGAGAAGTTCGTTCCAAGAAAACATGAGCGAGTCGGTTTTTCTGCAGAAAGGATTGAAGTCGATGAGCCATACCTTATCGAAAGGTCGCGGGATGTACACGTCGCAAACATACGAAGAGTCCGGGAACTTCGAATTGGCTTGTTCATCCACGAACTCGTCAATGAGATCTTTGAAATTGTCCGCTAGCGGCAGTAGGTAATCGTAAAAGTTCAGATCTCTTTGCGAGACTCCTATGACTTTCGCGTCATTCACAAAGACGCGAAACTCCAGAGCCGGGTTGATGTCGAACCATTTACGCAAAATGAGCTCGTGGCCAAACTTCTCGGCGCTTTCCGCTAGCGAAGTGCGATCGAAACAAACATCGAATGCTCTGTCTAGATCGTGTGTTATATGGTTTGAGGCCTTGAGCAGCAAGTATACGTCATTGATTTCGTGGCATTTTGAACTGTTGTTGGCAAGAATCCAAGTCGCATCCTTGGGACTCGACCACGTCAGTTTTGGAGTCAGAGGACCCATTTGTTGAAATGTAATCTTCAACTTTTCGTGCAGCTCCGGGAACATCGATGTTACATTTGCATCGGGGCGTTCTCTCGAGCTCTTCTCCCTCTCGTTTTCCTCCTCACTCTCCTGCTCCTCCCAATAACTGTATTCATTTTCCTCGCTTTTCTGGATATCTTGGTAATACGAAGACTGGTGGAAGTTGCTATCATTAGGAAGCCTAATGCCGTCTTCTTCTAGGTACCGAATGAATCCCTCTGGTAGTGGCTTGATGATCTCGGCCTTCGGTGTGTGGCCTTGAAAGTTGTGGTACCAGCTGGAAAAAGCACAATTCTTCACCTGTTGTACACTCACTGGAAGCTCGCTAAGTTCCGTGTAATCTGTCATTTTTTCGACCGAAAAAAAGCTATAGATGCGTAAGGTTGAGAACCAGATCTGTAACTTACTGAAGTGTGCTTCTTGACTTGGCTCTTGATCTTATTCTCGATCCTCTTTCAAGTCATCTCATCTCATCTCATCTTCTCAGTGCTGTCCAACGGGTTGACCCGGATCAAAAATTTGCAACCCGGGTTGCAAAATTCGGGTACTTAACGGGTTGCTGTTTTTTTCAATCAGGTCTTTGAGTATTAATAATTTAATATTTACGGATCCTTCAGTGAGTTTCAATCACATTCAATAGCGTCGCTAACGGGTTGGGAACACCTCACATCGCCTCGGTGACAAAGAGGAGCAGCTCATGTTTGTTCGCGATGCTAAAAAACGTTTAGACTTGATATGAATTGTATAATGCTACCTGGGCTAAATACTGGTCAAAATACTAATTACGCCGCCCAGCGACCGTCGAGATGGTCATCATCATCATAGGCATCATCATCATCAACACCGTAATCATCATCCTGACAATCATCCTCAAGGGGTTACTTCATCAGATGATATATTTATAAAATCATCGGCATCGCCCGGTTTCGTGAGTAGAAGTTCCTTGTCGTACAGGCCGAAGTTAAAAAAGCGGCCTCTTAAAAGCAATGATTTCTCCTCGCATTAGCGCTCCCGAGACTTCTGCGGTCGCTTCTCATTAGTTTTCCACTGATAGAGAATGTTCTCTCAATACCGCATGTGCTGAACTTTGTGTAGAACATGGATAAAGCCAACGGAAACAAATGAGGGTAGGTCAAACGCCGCGAGTACCACCACTTCACGGCATCTGTCAAAGAATCTGAAGTTAAATGAGAATCAGCCTTATAGTTCTCCCATTCTTCCAGAGCTTTAGAGGTTCTTTCTGGAGGCTGCTTGAAATGCAATTTTAGCCTTTTGAACTTGGTGACGCGATTCGTGTTCACTGGCTTGAGCATATTGTCAATGTACGGATGGTTTTCGGATTGGCACTGCTTGAGGTAGCCCTTGACATATGCCTCTACCCTTCGAAAGTGCTCTGATCCCTCATTATCACCAAAAAATTCTTTAAAATAATCGCCTTTGATACTAGGATCCAAGAACGCCGCAACAAAGTAGATGTCGTTCTTTTCATACAACTCGAAGTATTCGTCGAATTTTGACCTGGAAGAGATGATGGCTTTCAAAACAGTACTCTTTATCTCTTCAGAGAGTTCGAACTATCCATTAATGAAGGTGAAATCAAAAAACCCCTCTGGAGAAGCTGGAATGGTTTCCGTTTCACCCCTGCTGCATAAGTCATAAAATTCCTTCATCGTGGAATAGAAAGTGACTGCATTAGCTATGTTGCTTGCATTGTTGTCTTGCAAAGTATCGTTCATTAGCTGGAAGATCGAGCAACAGCTCGTAAAATACTCTAAGAGTTGTACTGTTTCGTCCGTGAGCTGCAGCCGCATTTCTATCTTCGGAAGGACATTGTGATATTGTTCATTTGACTTCAAACTCTGAGCCCACCCTAAATATCCTTTGTGATGCTTTAGAAATGTAGCGACCTGTTTCCAAATGAAAATCCACCGCGTTTCGGGAGCCGAAGGCACCAAGGGTAATCTAGCATCCGCTATAGCAGACCTTAAAAGAGATGACCTCTTGATTATTTTGGCGAACGCACTAACATCTCTCAAGCCTTTTTCAAACCTCTCATCTTCCCTCAGCTTTCTCACGATCTCCTGAAACAGAAGGTTCAAAATGTGACTTGCGCAGCGAACATGATGAAAGTTTTTTGTCTTCTTGAATGCCGTCGTCCTCGAAGGTTTTATGAGATTGTGAAGAAGGAAAGAATGCATGGCCGTATTATTAGTAGCATTGTCAGAGGTAAAGGAGAGGACTTTATTTGTTATTCTAAATCGGTTCAAAACCTCCACGACCGTGGTATGCAGACTTTCACCTGTATGGCGTGAGCCGCTGATATCAACAAAATCCAAAAGGTGACTGTTATTGGTCTCTTCACAGTTATTGAGTAATGCCTTTTCTCCAACGCCTTGTAACATCTTTTCATTCAGCAAGTTCGGAGCGAATGAAGCTGCAATACCCAAATAAGAGTGACCGTTGCCTCCAGTCCACACATCTAGCTCTAAGTTTATGAAATCGGTTTGTTCTAGAGCCGCAACGAGTGCCTTATCAAACCATTGGGAGTAGGTTTCGAGTTTTGTATTTATCGTGGTGCGAGATTGAATGAATGACATTTCTGGACATGCCTTACATATCCATTTCCACGTTCTAGAGCTGACAAACGAAAACGGCAACAGTCTTTCCGTCAAAAAGCCAATTGTCCCGATGGAGCCAGGACTGTGCTTACACTCGCGAGCAATTTCTCCCGGCAGCGGAAGCGAGCGAGATTTCATGATCAAAGAGTCTAGTGAACGCTCCTTTATAGTTGCAGCCTTTTGGGATCTGTACTGGCAGGGGTGAATGTTCTTGACGTGCTTGGAGAGATTACCCGTAGAATTGCTTTCGTAGAAGGTTCTTCCGCAATGTATACAGCTAGCTGTGGTCAAACCATCTGTTTGAGAAAGTCGAAAGTGCTTGCGAAGTGCGGACCTTTGCATCCATTGTGATTTTCCACGCGCTAGAGCCTTTTTTGTATTGTGGTGGGGCAAGTCACCTAGGTGGTTCTCAGGATCACTTAGAACCGTATCCCCTTCAAGATCAGTACTGGGACTCGGCGCTAGTTCATGTGGTGCAATCATAAGAGGGGCTTCCATTGTTGGTAGAAACTGTGGCCTGAGCCATGTTCCTGAATGTGAAGTAATGAATTCTGAATTTTGTCACCTTTTATATCTTCAAAAGTTTACGCGTTGCATTTTAAAAAAGACGCGTTACATTTTAGAAAAAACGCGTCCAGGTTCCTCTCAGGTTGCAGTTCAATTCTAAGCGGGTTGTACGACAGGTTATGATTTGCCCGAAGCGGGTTCTTTCAGGTACCTAGCTATTTAGCAGATGGGTCCTCAAATTTTATGAATTTTTTTTTACCCGGCCAGTTTTGCAACCCGTTGGACAGCACTGCATCTTCTGTAAAGGTTGTTAAACACGACCTTGACTTTTCCACTGTATTATCTACTCAGATCTCCAGTCGAATTGACTAAAGCTTCAAGTAGATAAACGTGATTTGGTCTTTTTTATAAGTCACGTGTTTGGTGAAGATTGAATTTCGTTCAATATCATTTAACACGAAAGTGGAACTTTTAACAAAATCTGAAAAATTTGCCACTTTTAAGACAGCTGAACAAGTGTAAAATCGAGACTAGAGACCATCCAATTACGCCCCAATTGGTCTTTCGCGCGACGTTCCATATCCGCAGTGTGTTTTAGTAATGCCACCAAAAAGTTCGCCCAACTCGACGTTCCAAAACCGTGAAAAACCGCAAGAGGTTCGCAAGGCCAACATCATTGCGGCGCGTGCCGTAGCAGACGCAATTCGCACGTCTCTGGGGCCCAAGGGCATGGACAAGATGATCAAGACATCCCGCGGAGAGGTTATTATTTCTAATGACGGCCACACTATCTTGAAACAAATGGCCATCTTGCATCCTGTGGCAAAAATGCTGGTTGAAGTATCGGCCGCTCAAGACACAGAGGCAGGCGATGGTACGACTTCTGTGGTGATCTTGACTGGTGCACTGCTCGGAGCTGCTGAAAAACTTCTCAGCAAGGGCGTGCACCCAACAATCATCGCGGAATCCTTCCAGACAGCCGCCAAAAGATGCGTAGAGATTTTGCTGGATATGTCTGAGAAGATCTCGCTTTCGGATAAGCAAGCGTTGGTGCGTGCAGCAGCTACATCTCTAAGCTCGAAGATCGTGTCACAGCATTCGTCATTTTTGGCTCCACTTGCCGTGGACTGCGTGTTGAGCATCATCAATGAGACAAGCACCAACGTGGACCTCTCCGATATACGTTTGATCAAAAAGGTTGGGGGCACCATAGATGACACAGAGATGGTCGACGGCGTGGTGCTAACTCAAAACGTGGTGAAAACTGCCGGCGGTCCCACCAGAATCGAGAAAGCTCGCATAGGTCTAGTGCAATTCCAAATCTCTCCTCCTAAGCCAGACACCGAGAACAACATTGTGGTCAACGATTATAGACAAATGGACAAGATCCTGAAAGAAGAGCGTGCATACCTTTTGAACATCTGCAAAAAGATCAAGAAAGCCAAGTGTAATGTGCTGCTGATCCAGAAATCGATATTGAGAGACGCAGTAAACGATCTTGCCCTTCATTTCCTATCCAAGCTGGGAATCATGGTCATAAAAGACGTGGAGAGAGACGAAATAGAATTTTTGTCCAAGAGTCTGAACTGCAAGCCTATTTCGGATCCAGAGTTTTTCAGCGAAGACCGCCTTGGCTCTGCAGATCTTGTGGAGGAAATTGACAGCGACGGGTCCAAGATTGTAAAGATCACCGGTGTGAAATCAAACACCGCTACTCCAACAGTATCTGTTGTTATTCGTGGTGCAAACAACGTTATTCTAGACGAAACCGAGAGATCGTTGCATGATGCATTGTGTGTTATTCGTTGTTTGGTCAAGGAAAGAGCATTGATTGCCGGTGGTGGCGCTCCTGAAATTGAGGCATCGCGGACTCTAACAAAAGAGGCCAGAGCTTTACAAGGCGTGGAGGCCTTTGTGTGGCAAGAATTCGCTTCTGCACTTGAAGTCATTCCAACAACGCTGGCCGAAAACGCCGGTCTTCACAGCATTAACGTTGTCACTGAGCTGCGCACGCTGCATGAAAACGGCGAAAAGAACGCCGGTATCTCTATTCGCAGATCGGGCACCACAAACACCTACGACGAGCATGTCTTACAACCGGTCCTGGTGAGTACAAGTGCAATCACTTTGGCATCGGAATGTGTCAAGTCCATCCTGAGAATTGACGACATCACCTTCAGCCGTTAATGATTTAAAGTTAAAGATTGTACATAATAACATTTTCAGCAGCAGAATTGTCTTGGGCGAAAAGTTTTCGATTTTATGTGTTGAGTCTATGTAAAATGCTATAAGATGCTAGTGCTGCGAGGGAGCAAACAAAACTTTTGATTCTTGTTCCGCTCATGGGAAGCTCACTCTTCCGCTGGCGTGGTATCTTAGTCCTTCGATCAGATTTATCCTGATTTCCCAGTTAAATCACTTCAATTTGTTGAGATACTTCACAGCGTTTTTGCTGAAGATGTATGAGGTACCGCTCAGGATAGTGGTTACTCCGACCAGATAACCCATGTAATTGAAAGCTTTTTCGAAAACTCCCACAGCGTCCTCAGATTCTTTTTCCTCAGAGGAGGAGGACTGGAAAATCATCATGGTGACAGCTCCACCAAGATAAATCATTTGTAGAAAAGTGTTCCATTTAGAGATTTGTGTTGGCCTCACTTCCGCACTGGGGAAGTTGAACACGTCCCAAAACGAATTCCAAGTGACTTTTCCGTATGCATGTTTCAAAGACGCTATTCGAAAGTAAATGGCACTGAAGCCGAGTGTGAGATCGCGACCAATTATAAGGCCTGCTAGTGGCGCTGGTATTATCTGCGGGCCACCAGGAAACGCCAGCGACGCTGTCGTCACAAGCATCAAAATTTTATCTGCCATGGGATCCAAAACCGTTCCGGCAACGGATTTCATGTTATATCGTCTTGCCAAATATCCATCCAGGAAATCTGTTATGCAAGAATACGTGAAGAGTCCCAGGGCAGGGACCAGATTGTTGGATACTATGCACTGTCCGATCAATGGTGCTGCAGCAATCCTACTGATCGTAAGTAGATTTGGCAGTGTCCAAATCGACGATATGATAGGAGACACCTTTTTCGGCTTGGAAGATCCAGTAGAAATGGTGCGTAAAGTGGTAGTAGTGGCAGACCATTGTTTAGGCTTTAGCAGTGTGAGAGGACTCGTTGGAAGGCCCAAATTCAGCATTCTCGGTACACATCTCTGCATTCTGGCTAACCTATAATAATACTGGGAAAACGGGGAGATTTGTACCGGCTATATAAGCTTTTTGATAGTTTGGTTGAGCTCGAACGCTATATACAATATTGAATTTTGATTGATATTGAAATTTAAATCTCAAAATATAAATGAGAACATCAAATTCAAACAAAAACAACGGTTTTTGGTACCTGGAGAAGCCTCAATTGATCTGAGGTTACTTTCATCAGTTTGCTGCGATTTTCACGAGCATTTTGAAGTTTTAAACTTGCTGAAATTCGCAAGTTGAGACAAGTTATTAGAGGTTTTTGATAAACTTTCTGGGGCGGCTTCATAGTTTGGGAATTGAACTTAGACGAGCGATAAAGATGAACGTTCTTGTTTACAATGGGCCAGGAGCGTCTCCGGACTCGGTGAAACACACGCTTGTGACCTTGAGACGACTTCTGGAGCCCTTTTACGCTGTGAGCACTGTGAACTCCAGAATACTGAAAACGGAACCCTGGGCCGGCAAGACTTCGGCAGTAGTCTTCCCTGGTGGGGCCGATCTACCTTACACGAAAGATTGTGCTTCGGTCATGCCCCAAATCAAGAAATTTGTATCGAAACAAGGCGGTTTTTTCATTGGATTCTGTGCAGGTGGATATTTCGCAACTGATCGGGTAGAATTCGCCGTAAACGACCCTTTGCTCGAAGTCACAGGCGGAAGAGACTTGAAGTTTTTCCCAGGTGCAGGCAGAGGCCCAGCGTTTCATGGTTTCAAGTATAATAGCGAGGCAGGAGCCCGTGCAGCAAACCTAAGACTGCCCAACGGAGAGGAGTTCAAGACGTATTACAACGGTGGATGCGTTTTCGCAGACGCTGAAAAATACGACAATGTGGAGGTACTTGCACACTACACAGAGCCATTAGATGTTTCTCACTCGCAAGACCCTGCGAGTCTTGGAGCAGCAGCAGTATTATGTCATGTGGGCAAAGGAAAGGCCTTACTTACAGGACCCCATCCTGAATACGTTCCGAAGCTATTGCAAAGAGCTCAAGATGGGGATTATAATTCAACCGTGGTGGACGTTCTAATGGAATACGAAGACAAAAGGCTAAAATTCATGAAAGACGCCCTAACCAAACTAGGATTGCATTGCAACAATGAATTTGCCAACGGGGCAGCTCCCAGCCTAACGCCGCTTCTTGTGGTCTCACCTAATAAACCAGAACTTTTAGCAGCATTTGAAGATAACTTAAAGAAAGCGAATGATGTTACGATGGTAAATGATATCGCAGTACTTGAAGGAGAAACCGATATTTTCCGTATTTACAAAGGGTTCGACAATTATGACTCTGCGAGCAATGAGCTGCTCGATCAAGAACCTGACGAGGTTCCTAAGTCGATTATTGTTGCAACTTCCGAAGAGGCTATGGCTCCTGCAGGTCTCGCTCCAAATTTCGATATGAAGAAATATTTTCAGAACCTGAAGCCTGCCACTGATATAGGGTCTTTGCTCATGTACGGAGAGATCATTACTTCCTCGAGTGCTTTGCTCAATAACAACAAAAAGCTGCTGAGTCTTTTTCCAGCTACTTCAACGCTCCATGTCGGGACCATTCAAGTCTCTGGCCGTGGACGTGGTGGCAATGTATGGATAAATCCAAAAGGTGTCTTTGCTTCCACAGCGTGTGTGAATCTTCCTTTGAAATCTCCAGCGACCGGGGCACCGCTTTCGGTTGTTTTTGTTCAATATCTCGCGATGCTTGCGTATTGTAAAGCTATTCTAGCATATGCACCGGGTTTCGAAGACATGCCAGTTCGAATAAAGTGGCCAAACGATTTATACGCGATGAAGCCAGACTACTACCGTTCTAAGCAGCTCCGTTTGACTGGTAAGGGTCTCGAGGGGAGCAAAGTTCCACTGAACGAACTGGAACCTGCATTTGTGAAAATCTCTGGTCTTCTAGTGAATACAAATTTTATCAACAACCAATACTCTCTGCTACTTGGGTGTGGTCTGAATGTCTCGCACGATGGGCCTACTACCTCGCTCAATTCATGGATCAGGATCCTCAATCAAGAACGCGAGCAATCCCACATGTCTCTCCTTCCTGAAGTCGAGGTCGAAAAGCTACAGGCGTTGTACATGAACAACCTGGATCAGTTAATGAAGCAATTCATCAATTATGGAGCCGATGGGATGCTCCCAGAATACTACAAGCTGTGGCTACATACGAATCAGATTGTAACACTGACTGACCACCACAATGTTCGTGCCAAGTTGGTTGGCATAACAAAAGATTATGGTCTGCTTATTGCCAAGGAGCTCGCTTCTGGCACAAATACTCAGTTCACCGGAAATCTTTATCATTTGCAACCTGATGGAAACACATTTGACATTTTTAAAGGTCTGATATCCAAGAAAGTTGTTTAGTGAACCGAGGAATTCTCATTTCAAAAACATTACAATATTTACATTTCGATATAGTTGATCTGCTTTCCCTGAACTTAGCCACTTCCCAAACTCTTGAAGTATGAAAAGCTTTGGGTGTGCAACATGGTTCAAGAAAACGAGTCTTTTTGCCAATTAAAACTTCATGAGCGTGTGCCGAATAACCTGTTATCAGTTGCTCATTGAGAATTATTGTTGTGATTATCGCTTTTGTCATTATCACCCTTAGGAGAGTTTGGCGAGTATGAAGGTGATCCTGGACTGTAGCTTGGCGAAGTTGGCGAGTAGGAAGGTGAAGTAGGGGAGTAAGATGGTGAAGTAGGACTGTAGCTTGGTGATGTTGGGCTGTAGCTTGGTGATGTTGGTGAATATGATGGCGATGTCGGGCTGTAGCTTGGCGACGTTGGTGAGTACGATGGCGAAGTCGGACTGTAACTTGGTGAAGTTGGTGAGTACGATGGCGAAGTCGGACTGTAACTTGGTGAAGTTGGTGAGTATGAAGGTGACGTCGGACTATAACTTGGCGAAGTTGGTGAGTATGATGGGGACGTTGGGGAGTAAGAAGGTGATGTTGGGCTATAGCTTGGAGACGTTGGGGAGTAGGATGGTGAAGTAGGCGAGTAGGATGGCGACGTCGGGCTGTAGCTTGGCGAGGTAGGTGAGTATGATGGCGATGTAGGAGAGTATGATGGCGAAGTTGGGCTGTAGCTGGGGGAAGTTGGGCTATAGCTTGGCGACGTTGGGGAATAGGCTGGGGAAGAAGGAGAGAATCCGGGAGAAGCGACTCCCCCAAATCCTGGTGATGAGGGACCATCGCCATATCCACTAAATGGAGATGACGCACCACCGTAATCCGCACCTCCATAAGCTGTGAACCCTCCAGACATGGCATCTGTAGAGCCTGAATCCACCATAGGCGAGAACATGAGCTCATCTTTGACATCAATGTCTGCATTGACCAGACCACTTTCGTTGTTGTAAGGGGTTCTGGAACCATCTTGACCGTCAGATATTTCATTGGTTTTCTGTTCAGGCATAAACTTGACCAGCGAGTCTTCATCAATCATGACATCAAATGCACCTGTACCGATAGGGGCGACTTGTCCTAGTAGAACATTCTCAGAAACACCCCGGCAGTCATCGAGCTCGGCAGCAGCACCCGCTTCAAACAGAATCTCTACTGTCTCTTCAAAAGAACATCTCATGAGGGCACCAGTGTCAGACCTATTGAAACCGTGACGAGTAACAGACATTAAGAAACCCTGTGACGTCATGACATCGACAAGTAACGCCATGTGACGATAGTTGACATAAGAACCATCGGATGCAATAACGTTGTAAACCTCCTTGTACAGTGCCGCACGACCTGCTTCGATTCCTAGTACATTCATAATATCAATGAAGGAATTCGTGTAAATACGAGCGGGATCGACACCAGGCACACTCATGACCTCAGCAAGATTGACACCGTCTGTTTCCAAAACCCACTCAGGCACCTTGTGGTATTCACCCGTTAGACTGGGCGTTTTGCGATCGTATTTCATCATCACCACACGAGTGATGTCCTCCACACCACGCAAGGTGATGCTTTCCAACATAGTGTTCTCAATTCTCTTCAACATATGATCTTCTTCAGCTTCCGCCTCAGCATCCAATGTTTTAGGGTCACGAACAACACGACAACGAATGACCAACTTTTCGGCGTTATCTTCAGACCAAATAACGAAAAGATCGTTTTTGAAAGTCTCCTTGATTTTCTCTCCAACTTGTCCCATAGTCAAATCCTTGTCGTTCATTGCTGCACGGTCTAATTCAAGACGTAGCAACCATGGTGATTGATGGTCTAGCGACTGCTCTGTCTCCTCGTCCATCAACGAAAAATGCAACTGAATGATTTCTTCGTCATCTTCAATGACAGTGGAGCGAGGATCAGGATCGTAGTAAATTTCTGAAGCGACTGTGACACTTTTTAAAGTCGTGTGCTCGATTGCAGATCTGATCAATTTTGCCTTCTCCTGGTCAGCAGCATAATCTCCCTCTAGATAGACCGTGAGAGAAGGGGTTTTCATATTTTTTGCCACATTCAAAATTTCCTTCAAACGGGGGACACCTGAGGTAACCTTCTTTGATGCAACACCAGCAAAGTGGAATGTATTCAAGGTCATTTGTGTAGCAGGTTCACCAATGGACTGCGCAGCAAGAACACCCACCATTTCACCAGGGTGAACAATGGACCTCAAAAACTGAGCTTCAATATTGTTCATCACCCAGTCGAAAGTTTGTTTCGTTAGTCTGTACTCTTGAATGACTCTGCGAGCGGCCAACCGGGACCTCAAGAGGCAGCAAAATAGAGTAACGGCATTTTTCTGAGCTTCTTGGAGGAGTTGGCTCTTACCACGCAAAACCAGTAGTCTATCTTGGAGATCTCTCACGCCAAAAATGACATCGCGGATTGTAAGGTCAGTAGGCTTGGAGTGTTCAATACGGAAGGTCTGCTGGGCATTTTGAATGATACGTCTGATGTTTACCGGTAGCGGCCAGTTTTGTTCACCGTCCACGAAAATCTTTCTCAAGAACTTCCTGTCCTCTAGTAATTGTCGGTACTCTTCATCCAGAAGCGCCTGAAGCTTCAAGTCACCAATAATCTCAGAGCCTGATTCCAACAGCGAGGGGTCCAAGGCATGCTTGGGGTTCAAAAGATCAATTCTGTATCTCCGGTCAAAAGCAGCATCTGAAGCGGCGATACTATCAATCGATTGCTTCTCTATGTGAGCGGCGTCCATACCGTCCTCACCATAGACAAACTGGATTACATTACCCAAGGAGTTTCTCGTCGTACCATCATAGTGGACCATGATGTCTTCCAAAGCCTTTACTAAACGACGTTGAATATACCCAGTTTCTGCAGTCTTCACAGCTGTGTCGATCAAACCTTCACGACCACCCATTGCGTGGAAGAAAAATTCTTGTGGAGTCAAACCTCTCAAATACGAGTTTTCGACAAAGCCTTTAGATTCAGGAGAATAGTCGTCCTTCGAAAAGTGCGGCAGTGTTCGATCAGCAAACCCAAACGCGATACGTTTACCCTCGACGGATTGTTGGCCAACACAAGCGGACATTTGAGCAATATTAATAAATGAACCCTTTGAGCCTGCACTTACCATCTGCTTGACGTTATTCAAATCCTTTAGGTTTACTTCCGCAGACCGACCTGCTTTATCTCTAGCCTCATTTAGATAACGCACCACATTATCTTCGAAAGATTCACGCAATGTCATCCCGTGCTTCGCGGTTAGCAAATTTGCTTGCGCCTCCTTGGTCACTTCTTCTACCTTTTTCTTTGCCACCATGATAGCATCCGTGATCTCCCTCATTGACTTTTCATCGGCAATCGTATCACCAATACCAATTGAAAACCCGTTGTGAAGCAACCAGAAATTGACCACTTTTTGGAGGTTACTGAAAAGTCTTGCACACACTTTAGGACCCTTTTCTCTTGTAACAACGTGAATTAAACCGCCGCTAGAAGATCCCACGGTCTTTTTGTCCACAACACCGAATATTATCTGGCCATCAATGATCAACATTCCGTTATCTTTGGGCGACAGAAGTGTTGTACCTTCGTCGAACCTTTGAAGATGAATACCATTAGGGATGGCAATAGACAAAATTTGCTTACCAGACCATAGGGGCTTGGGTTTTAGAATCGTAGGCGTTGGTATAACGCCATCCCAATCTGGAATCCAGTAAAGCATATTAAGAACTTGATCCAGTTCGATAAATGTATCTCTCAGTGTCATTTTCCGTACACCACATAATGTATCTTGAACAATACCCATACAAGGCTTGTTTGACTGAGCGGACACAATCTGTTGTGGTACTGCGCAAAGCTGTGAGAGTTCCGCTCTGGTTTCCTCCGATTGTGGAACGTGTAAGTTCATTTCATCACCGTCGAAATCGGCATTGTATGGTGAGGTGACCGATAAGTTCAATCTGAATGTAGAATAGGGCATGACCTTAACCCTGTGGGCCATCATCGACATTTTGTGTAAAGAGGGTTGACGGTTGAAAAGAACGGGATCGTCATCTATAATATGCCGTTCAACCTTCCATCCGTACTGCAACTGAATATCACCAGCCCTTTTGCTGTATCTTAGATCTATACGATCACCGTTGTCACGAATGACATATTTTGCACCAGGGTGTTCATTAGGTCCATTCCGGACCAACTGCGTCAGGCGGTCGATATTGTATGGTGTTACGACTTCTGGGTAGGTAAGAGTTCTTGCGATGGACTTTGGTACCCCAACCTGGTCCAGATCCAAATTTGGATCACCAGAAATAACGGTACGTGCAGAAAAATCCACACGCTTACCCATAAGATTACCTCTGATACGGCCTTCTTTACCCTTCAAACGAGCACGGATCGATTTAATTGGACGACCAGATTTTTGTAACGCTTGAGGTTGACCTGCAATATCATTGTCCATATAAGTCGCAACATGAAACTGCAAAAGAGATTCTGATTCTTGAATAACATGCTGCGGGGATCCGTTGATTTCAAGCCGTTGTACATTGATATTTGCTTTCAAAATGTCACCAAGCTTGTAGGTCAAATCATCCTCACCTCTTTGGGTCTCGTTGAAAGAAATCGAAGGACGCACAGGAGGAGGAGGGACTGGTAGAACTGTCAAGATCATCCATTCAGGACGAGCAAAATCTTCGTTGAATCCCAACCGTACTGAGTCTTCGGGTGATATATGTTTGAAGACGTTGAGAACTTCGTCAGCGGAGATAATACGTCTTTCGGGTTGGTCGGCATCGTCTGCACCTTTGTCCTTTTTCCACGTACCAACCAACGAAAGACCATCTTTCCTTATGCTAGGCTGCGTATTACCGCAACCGCCTCTAGAAACGTATCTGGTGGGATCATCGTCAGATGGAACGTCCGTGTCACAAACCATCTTGGCCTTACATAGGGACCAGACGGCATTGAACCTCCTCTTAGGATCTTTAATTTTGATGGCTTGCCTCATTAACTCACTATGTTCATCCAAAAGAAGCTTTCCGCAGTGCATACAGACACACTCGCAAACCTTTTTTATCTTGGAAATATAACCGATATGGAACACGGGCTTCGCTAGCTCGATGTGACCAAAATGACCAGGGCAGTCGTTCATACCCTCACCACACGTTTGACATTTGAAATTACGGTCGATAGATCCAAGACGTGGATCGTTCAAACCACCGATCTTGGCCCGCATTTGGGTTTCATCCATAGTTTCTGGAAACTCCACCTTTGCCACACTGATGGCACGTACTTCTTCCGGTGAGAAGATACCAAACTGCACTTCTTTCACCGTCCGCAGCGGGGCGCTGGAATATGGAAATTCGACCATTGTTAGTATGCAGTAGTAAGTAAGTTAAGCAAAGCGTCGTTAGACTGAATGTCTAGCTGAAGGTGATTATTTTTTTGGTCTTTTTCGAGCAATGAAGCTCTTTTTGTCTTTCTTTAGTTGATTTTTTTTTACTGAAGTTGTAATGCTCGATAAGCTAATATCTGAGCTGTTTGGATGCAGGGCTGAAAGGGATGTGCAAATCGTTTCTCTAACTAAATCGAGACGATTTCTTGGTGTTATGAATCTCTTTTTTTATGAATATTGGTGCCAGGCCCTTGTCTCTCGCTGTTCTGAAGCAACCACACAGAACGATGATTATTTGAACTGGAAATTATCTGGAAGCAATGACGAGTCCAACGATGTCCTTAGATTGCACTGGTCGGGCTATTAGGGAGACCCTTTCGAACACAAAAATCTGTGAATAAACTGCTGCCAAAGTCCCTAGAGGTTTGTATTACTCGAAACCTGTCGATTCTGGAAACCCCAAAAATAATCCCTTGAAAACAAGGAAAAAAAGACCGCGACGAGCTCTTCAAATGCAATAATGGTGAAAGAAGACCGGCGCACAATAACCAACTGTTAATGGCGCTCCTATTGCAGTCGTGAAGTGTGCAATGCTTCGTGGTTTACGTATATTCTAGTATATTTACGAGACTTGTCTTTAATTTTCCGCTAATTTGCCACCATTAAAATTTTTCGATATTTAATACGGACGGGTAACGGGCGGAAAGACGACTGGTACTACTGTGGAAGCTGAAGACGCCTGTGAGTGAAGTAGAACGACAGCGATTACCATGAACCGATAGCGAACTTGTCAAATCGAGGTGACTACCCTGGTTTCAAGCGTGAAAAACGCTCGAATTCAAGCAGTTAGTAGGTTTTTCTCATTTTTTCCATGTCCTCTTTTATGAGAACATCTTGGAAAATGCTTTCTTCTGTTTGCCAACCTGGGTCTTTTTCAGGTTCCTGGCGTCTGTGATGGCTTTTAGAATAGCAGCATCGTTCTGCTGGTAGGTTGTAGCAAATTCGAGATCCGTGAGGGCCATTTCGGCATCCTTCAAGTTGTAGTAGGTCAAACCGCGACGATACAATGCCTTAGCTTTGCTCTTGTCGTCGGCCGCGGAGTCGTGGACGACTTCTGTAGCAGCAGTAAGAGCCTTTTGAAAATCGCCGCTCTTCAAAGCACAAAGAGCAATGTTCAGGAACAGCGAGATACGCAACTGGTCGACAGCACGCGTTTTCTCGGGACTCAGGTCTTCGGGGAAAAACTGCTTAATCATAGAAGAGGCCTTTTCATATTTGGACAGAGCGACCTTGAAATCCTGAGCTTTGAACAGTGTGGTGCCAATGTCTTTTACAGCGTTTACGGCTTTTAGAACGGAGTCAACGTCAGCAACATCGACCTTCGAGTCGTCGGCCAGCGTTTCCTCGTAGTTGTCGCCGTATTGGTCTGTAGGGGTCTGTTCTGCATCTGCGGGAACAACGTAGTCCGAGGGAAGAACGCCGCAATCGTCGATCTTGACGTCCTCTTTGGGCTTGTCTCCAGAGTCCGTGGTAATGCCTTCGATCGTGCGGGCAATTCTTTTTCCCTGGATCAGCTCACCGAAAACCACATGTTTCCCATCCAAATGAGGAGTGGGAACACACGTTAGAAAAGCTTGCGAGCCGTTGGTGTTGGGACCTGCATTTGCCATAGACAAAAGGAAAGGTCTGTCGTGCTTGAGTGAAAAGTTCTCGTCTTCGAATTTTTCGCCATATATCGACTCACCTCCGGTACCGTTAAAATTGGTGAAGTCCCCGAATTGCAGCATGAAACCTTTAATGACACGGTGGAATAGGGAGCCCTTGTAGCTCAATGGCACGTCAGGTCTGCTTTTGCTAAAACCAGACTGGCCCTCGCACAATTTGTAGAAGTTTCCAGCCGTCTTGGGCACCACATCGTTGAATAGTTCGAATACCATACGTCCCTTGGGAACGCCGCCGATTGAGACATCTAGAAAAACCTTGGAGTTTGTCATTTCGAAATTAGTGATGCTTTGAGAGTTGTCGCCTTCACAAGAGCCGTTGCTTGACAGTTTCTGTTCTGGTGAGATTCAATGCAGTTTAAACTGGAGCACGCTTAAATATTTTTCAGATCACCATAAACCCTGTCATTTTTAGAAAATGCTGGAAAGTTCAATAATAGGCGTGTGAGGGAGGCATGAGAAGACATTAGTGTGGATCAATGGTTGGACTTGCCTCACTATCAATCTCACTCACGTAGTCACTCTCAATGTCATTTTCATTCTCGTTCTCGTTCTCGTTATCGTTCTCGTTATCCTTCCATATGTTTGTAGCCGTATTGTCGATCTCGATGAGGTCACTCAGTACGCTCACGTAGTTCGAATCGCTAGCATTAACAGTAGAGCCTGGATGAGCATTAAGTCCTCTAACATGACCGTTGTCTTCTATAATCTCGCCTGTGGTAAGATCCACGACATCACCTTGATCTTCGATTGACTCATATTTCTCGATTAAGTTCAGCCAGGCGCGCTTCATGTTTTCGTCTGCTCGTTTGTGCCGCTCCAGAACTTGTTCATCTGTTAGTTTTGGTATCAGCTGTGACTCCTTGGACATCACATACACCACTTCGTTCGCGTGCGGAAGTTGCTGCTCATCGCTGTGCTGCAATCCGAGAGAAACAGGCGCAGATCGTTGTGATGGTACAACGTCTGGTTGTTGAAGAACTGGTTGAGTACCGGAACTCGGTGATTTTTTGTGAACCTGTAAAAGCCCTTGTAGTGCTCCCTTGAGATTCTGGAGCGTTTTATGTCTAGCCTTCTTCTTTTTGACCCCGCTCATGCCCTGGGATGAGTTTTTACGCGTGGGTCAAGGTTATGTCAATTACTCTCTAAAAGTTGTCATTTCCGTCATAAATTTAAACATTATGAAATGGTAAAATGTAACAAAAGAAGATGCGAAAAAAAGCCTACGCTGGCGTCGCAATAACCTTTCATTTTCTATCTACGGTTGATACCCGGTCACTGTTTCCTTTATTTTGCCAGCATTGACGGAAAAGGGCCATCTCGGTCATACACTGTCGCCAATCGTTGGTTTCCGCGTGACACAGCTGAAGTGCCATGTTCTCAACGTAACACCCGGTTTTGTCTATTCTGGAGTCCCACTCATCTTCGTCCTCTTTGGCCAGCTCCTGGTACTCTTCCAGAGCTTGCTTGTAGTATTCAGAGTCCTTGTTTTGCGACATCAGCTTGGTTTTTTAAGGTAGTTGAATGATATAAGGTATTGGAAGATCAGTGTAAAAGAGATAAATTAAGTTTAATTAAAGAGGGAGAGAAGAAGCAGAAAATGGGAAGGGCATATGGGCGGTAAGAACATGAGAAAAGCTCATAGAAAAAAGGCTATCTTCAAAGGTGTGTAAAGAGATAAATGGGTGATACTTGTGGAAAAAGACGCTGGCTGTTACCAACGGGTCACGTGACCAAACGGAAGCTTTGATCTAAACGGCGAATAAAGAAATGTGAGGTGGCAGTGTTGGATAATTTGAGACGTCCAGAGACTCTTCAGATGGGAGAAGCTTGCGTGTTGGGTATAAACAGCGAATCCCGAGAGCGATATTGATCACTGAGTACGTGTACGTATGAATTATCATGGGACGTCTATTTTTGACAATTGTGCTAGGGTGATGATCCAAATTTGAGAAGAGGATTGCGACGAACGGTGCTGGATATTGAAGTGATGGCTTGGGACTTCTTTGAAAGTGTAATTGTTCTCTGATGACCCTTAAATCAGATTATCACGTGATCTAGCTTTTAATACAGCTACGGTTTCTTACTCTTTTCGAATTGGCTTGAGTCACTACGCGTCTCTTTTGCCTCATCCAGTGTACTTGAATTGTAGTATTCGCTTATTATCCTACCGGCAATTCCAGTTCCTCTACACGGCAATTATGCAACGAAGTCCACCTCTGAAAAAAAAATGGGACAAGAAAGACAATCCAATGTAGAAAAAGAACTATTTTCTCGCTAGTATATCCATCGAAGAGCTGGTCCAAATCTCACATTCCCACGGCGCGATGCCCACTATGCTATTGCAATTTTACGATTGTCGTCGTTGCGTTTCGTGGATCATGATACCATTCCAGGACACACTAGTTTGTTCGACATATGCTGTCAGAGACGAAGAACTAGATACATAGATATAATGTAGGGGGAGGGAAACTACCTCATTTTGAGCAGTGCTTTGACAGACTCTATAAAAGTATTCTCAAATTTTCTGACCGCAACAACATCTGAATTTTTTGCTGAATCTGCTCGCGACAGAATAATTTTCCTCCAAGCTCAACTCCAGAAACAGACGAAAATAGCTCGCGAAAGCCTTACCCCATTCAACAAAACATCTCCCACATTTTGAGCCCGTTGTTGCTTCTTCACTGTCGCTGTCACCGAAAACCTCTTCACGTCACGTGACATATCTTATTTTTGGTTCCAAACCATTCCAAAAGTGTTCCAAAGACTCCCAAATTGAACTCAACACAACTTACACATATCAGCTCGCTACCGCTACACTTCTTCTTCATTCAAACCTTCCATTGTCCACTGTTCTTGTCCTGTACTCGTCTCTTTCCTCTCACAGTACTCGTCCAACTTCCAAGTTTTCCAATTCCCCTTTAAAAATTCTTTCATCACTATAGCACACATTATCCATTTCACCAATAACACACAACACGTCTATGTTAAAGGTTTAAAACTCAACAAGTTCAGGAAACTTGACGCATCTTAGAAACACACCATAAACACCAATTCTCGAGAATAAAGCCTTATGGTGAAGGTAGCGGAATACCCAAGAACAGCGACGTTCGCGTGGTCCCAGGATCGGTCGCCTTTACTAGCCACAGGAACAGCATCTGGGACAATTGATGCGGACTTCTCCAGCGAGTCAAAACTGGAGATATGGTCGCTGTTGGCGGACAATGGCGGGAGTCCACAGGCATCGGTGGAGGCAGAAGCGAAATTCAACGATCTGGACTGGTCTTACGACAACCAGGTGGTGGCAGGAGCTTTGGAAAACGGAACGGTGGAGTTTTTTTCGCCCCAGGACTTGAAATCGATTGCCAAGGTCTCAGCGCACTCCACGCCGGTGAAAACGGTGCGTTTCAACGGAAAACAGCACAATGTGATGTGCTCGGGCGGCGGAAACCGGGAAATCTTCATTTGGGACGTGACAAAGGCCACACAATCCGGATACGCTCCGGTGACTCCAGGGACCGCTATGACGCCCATGGACGAAATCAGCTCTTTGGCATGGAACCAGAGCCAGGCACACGTGTTTGCGTCGGCCGGATCGTCTGGGTTTGCATCGATCTGGGATCTCAAGGCCAAAAAAGAGGTTTTGCATTTGAGCCACACGTCGCAGCTCACAGGCCAGAAAAATCAGCTCTCGGTGGTTGAATGGCACCCCACAAATTCGACCCGCATAGCCACTGCGAGCGGCAACGATTCAGACCCTTCCATTTTGGTGTGGGATCTCAGAAACGCCAACGTCCCTCTAAATATACTTTCCGGAGCGCACACAAATGGGATCTTGTCGCTAGACTGGTGCAAACAGGACGAAAAACTGCTGATTTCCAGCGGACGTGACAACACGTGTGTCCTGTGGAATCCCGATGAGTCGCAAGCATTAACCCAGTTCCCCACACGCGGCAATTGGTGTTTCAAAACGAAGTTTGCCCCACAAGCTCCAGACTTGTTTGCGTCAGCGTCTTTCGACAACAAGATCGAGGTCCAAACATTACAGAATCTAAACTGTGATTTGGACACTAACGCATCTGCCAGCAAGCAACAAGAATCCGAGACCGAGTTCTGGAACAACGTTTCTGAGCAGGACAGTAACGAGAAACCCGTAGTGAACAAACTACAGGCTCCAACATGGTATGGAAACAAATCTCCTGCGGCACAATGGGCCTTCGGTGGTAAACTTGTTTATATCACCAATGACAAGAAGGGCGTCAGAATCGTGAAGCAAAACATTCCAGGTGTCGAGAAAAATTCGATGCTTGACGAGGCTCTACAGTCCAAAGACTTCAAGCCAATCATCAACAAAAGACTAGTTCAAAGCATTGATGAGACAAACGAAGAAGATTGGAACATGCTGGAAAGGGTGTCTTTGGATGGTAAGGACGTTTTCTTGAAAGAAGCTCTTGCGTTTGACGACGAAGATCTCAGCGGCGCGGAGGACAAAGCGACAAGTGCTGACGATGGTGATGACTTTTTCTCCAATTTAAACCAAGCGTACACTCCCGAGGGCTCATTCAAACTCGACACCAGTGGTGCTTCTGATGCACTCATCAAAAGCTTAATTAAAAACGACAAGAAGAAGGCCATTGCACAGGCTTTGGACCAAGGGCTGCTGCTAGAATCATTTTTGATTGCGCTAAACAGTGATGACCAAAGCTTAAAGCAGAAAGTGAAAAATTCGTACTTCTCGAAATATGGAAGTACTTCTTCACTTGCTAGAGTCTTGCACAGCGTTTCCCAAAACGATGTCGAAGATTTGGTGGAAAACTTGGACGTTTCTCAATGGAAATACGCTCTCAAAGCTATCAACGCATACTCCTCGAACGATGCGAAGAAGAATGAACTTCTCGTTAAACTCGGTGACAGAGTTTCCGAATCCGATAATAGACAAGACGCATTGCTTCTTTACCTCAGCGCCCAGTCGCTGGACAAGGTTGCTGAGATTTGGCTCAAAGAATTCGTGGGTCTTGAAAGCAAGCTCAAATCTAAAAAGGAAACTATTTACGAAGCACATCTAGAGTGTCTCACCGAGTTTGTGGAAAGATTCACGGTTTTCTTCAGCCTCATCAGTGACAAGCAGCACCAAAAAATTACCAACGAGGGCCTTATCTCCAAATTTTTGGAATTTGTCAACTTAACGTCGGCTAATGGCGATTTCGATCTGGCTCTCAAGTTCCTAGACATTTTGCCAAGCGATAACGAGGAAGTTGTCACGGAAAAGCAACGTGTATTGATTGCATCTAACAAGAATATCTCTGTTGCAAAGACTGGCTCAAATGCTGCGACCAAGGCACCCAAGTCGAGATATGCCGCGACTGGCACAATCCCTGCAGTAAACCCAATTGGTCTTGGGGTTTCTCAAAAGCAGGCTAGCTTTGGTGGCTCGGTACCACCAGCTCAACAGTTGTCCAACAACTACGCTTCTGGATCTTCATTCTCCCAAACGGCTCCTATGACCCCACGTACGGCTTCTATCACCGCTCCAATCACGACCGCATTGAAGTCAAATGCTTATACGCCTGCAACGAATACTCAGGCGCCGGTGCCTAATAAGTATGGCCCTGCGGCCGTTTCCCCAGGTGCTATTACCCGCGTTCCAACCGCCTCTGTTCCACCTGCACCTTTGGCGAACAATGTAGCTGCAGCCAATCCATACACACCTGCTGGGCTACAAACAGCAGCGATGAATCCTCCAGCAAATCCGTATGCCACTCGCTATGGCAGTACCGGTTCTCAACCTACTTACACCCAGCCTTTCAAACCGGTAGCTAACGTTATTGGGGCTGGATCGCCAGGCTACAGCAACGGGATGCAACAGGTACCTCCACCTCCAATAAGTGGTGTGAGTTCGGGCCAGACCCCGCATCTCAATAAAAAGGCGAATGACGGCTGGAACGACTTGCCTTTGAAAAATGTCTCCGATAAGCCTACGCGCGCTAAAGCTGTCTCTGTTGCTCCAGCGAGCGTTGTCACTTCTCCCGGTCCAGTTGGACCCCAGTCAAGCTTTGGATCCATTCCTCCACCACCCTTGTCGAGAGTGACCTCCTCGGCGACCATACAAACCCCAGTTCCTCAAAGAGGTCCCTCCAAGGCATACACCCCATCCACTAGCAGTGCTTCTCCTTCCACCGCTCCTGCACCACTTCCAGCATTTGCTCCTCCCTCCAATCCGTATGCTCCTCCTCCAGCGACCAACTTCCCACCGAACCCATATGCTTCCTCACCTAAGGTAGGTCCCGTACCTAACCAGACTGCTTACGCACCCTCGGCAAACATCCCAATGGGCGGTGGATTGGCTCTAAATGGTCAATCTGGTCCTCCTCCAATTCCACAAAAAGCACCAGTCGGTCCTCCTCCCACCAATATGCGGAGAAGGGCCCACGCCACTCAGGACGTGAGCTCCGCTAATGCTCTATTGGACTCTGTTCAGGGTAAAACAAATAGTCCAGCTCCTCTAGCCACCGAATTTGCACCAAATGGAGCACCATTGGGAGCCGCTGTTGGAAACGGCACTCAGGCACCCAGTAACGCGTATCCTGACACTTCAGCTTCTGCTACTGCCACAGAAACACACACAATACCAGCAGAGCAGCAGCCCATCGTTGATTTCTTGAGGAGTGAACTGGCCCGTGTTACGCCATTGATTCCACAAGAGTACACTAAACAGCTGAAGGACTGCAACAAAAGATTGAATATCTTGTTTGGCCATTTGGAGAGACAGGATCTACTCACTCAGCCCACAATTGACAGGCTACACCAGATTGTAGCATTAATGCAGGAGCACCGTTACGCTGAGGCAATGCAAGTTCATGTCGATATCGCAACCAATCATGCCCACGATGCAGGGAATTGGCTGACCGGCGTGAAGAGACTAATAGGAATTGCTGAAGTCACATCGTCCTGATAGAACTATTCCGATTGGCCTTTGGTCGAATATTCTTACATACCTGCCTGGGCTAAGCTTTGAGTCCGTTGGATGGTATTTCATATCCACGACTCAAGAAACGAGTGTTTAAATGAGTAGTTGACGTTAACTATAGAAATCTTCGAAGTTTTTGAGGGAAGAGTAATAGAAGCCTTCTGAGGCAAGCCCTGGTAGCCAATGAGATGCAAATGGGTTAAAACATTACCATCTGATGTTTGACCCAAATAGCATCGGTACATCACCGATTTTGCTCGATGAAAAGAGCACGAATTCTGGAGTAACAACTTGATTACCGAAAAGCCAAAACAATCCAAACACAGGAGCGTTAAGAAGTTAAACCAGGAAACATAGAAACAAGGCTAGATCGATAACCCTGTTATTCGAATGAAAAGCGTCAAAATGGAGAGTTGATATTTGACGTCCTCGAGTACACCTTTGAATCCTCTAGTCAATATTCAAAAGTACGTACAATGTGATAATAGATCAGGCCCGATCCTAATATAGTCATATTAGCATCAAATCACCTAGAACTACCGGATGATGTGCATTTCAGTAAGAATAAACTCATCAGTCAACACAACCAGAGCACTTGTATCCACGTCAGACTGCTTTGGGATTGCTAGATATTCGTGTTATTAGCGAATCACATTTTCGTTTTTTCGAAAAGACCTATTTTTGGTGGACTTAGCTGTTCATGAATGACCAAGGCCAAGGGACTATAACGAAACAAGATGAGGTGGCCTCCAAGACTGAAAGCGGTAGCTTTTTGAACCAAGCAGTGCATGGAATCAACGATAAACTGGCGTTTCGGTGGCGCCGAAGAATCGCCCAGGTGAGCGACACACCACCTCCTGCAACGGTGGAAATGGGGGACATCGATGAAGTGTACGAAGGCGATGACAGAAGTCGTGATATCTATTATGAAAATGCCGAAACCCACCTGAATCTCACAAATTTGAACTCCAGGGCGTTTTTGCAACCGGCACGCCCGCAGTCGCAACTCATGTCAGTCTTGGTGGGCGTTTTCGTTGCCGTTGGGGGCTTTTTGTATGGATACGATACAGGTCTCATCAACAATATATCTGGCATGCAGTACGTGAAGACTCATTTTGCTAGTAATGGTGAGCAGTTTACGGCCAAAGAGATGTCAATTTTGGTATCCTTCCTGTCTTTAGGGACCTTTTTCGGCGCGCTGGCCGCGCCCTTTATTTCGGACTCATATGGGAGGAAGACCACAATTATTATCAGCACCTTTTTCGTGTTCATGGTAGGAAACTCGTTACAGGTAGCAGCGTCTGGAATGCCTCTTCTTGTTGCTGGCAGAGTGTTTTCTGGAATCGGAGTTGGCTTTATATCAGCAGTGGTGCCGTTATACCAAAGTGAGGCAGCTCAAAAACAAGTAAGAGGAGCTATTATTTGCACGTATCAGTGGGCCATAACTTGGGGACTCTTAGTGTCCAGCGCCGTGGCACAAGGAACACACAACCGGAATGACGCGTCTTCTTATAGAATTCCCATCGGACTACAATATCTATGGTCATGCATTCTGGGGTTCGGCATGATCTTTCTACCGGAAAGTCCTCGCTACTATGTTCTCAAAGACAATCTTGACCTGGCAGCAAAGTCGTTATCCTTTTTAAGAGGTGTACCTGAGGATGATACTGGCCTACTGGAAGAATTGGTAGAAATTAAGGCAAACTACGATTACGAAATGTCGTTTGGGAAGTTTTCGTACTGGGACTGCTTCAAATCCAGCAAGGGCAGAACTAAGCAAACACTGCGAATGTTCACCGGGATCGCCATTCAAGCGTTTCAGCAATTTTCTGGCATCAACTTCATTTTTTATTATGGTGTGAATTTTTTCAGCAAAGCGGGCATTGGCAAAAGCTATTTGATATCTTTTATCACATATGCAGTCAATGTTAGCTGTAACATCCCCGGATTATTTTTGGTAGAATATTTGGGAAGGCGAAAAATCCTGTTGATAGGAGGCGTATTGATGACAATATCAAACTTTATAATAGCTATCGTTGGATGCGTTGCGAAATCGGTGGTTGTTAATAAAGTCCTGATAGCCTTTGTTTGTCTTTTCATAGCGTCCTTCTCTGCCACTTGGGGCGGCTGTGTTTGGGCAATCTCAGCGGAACTTTATCCGCTGGGGGTTCGATCAAAAAGTACAGCCATCTGTGCGGCCTCCAATTGGCTTATCAATTTTATTTGCGCACTAATCACACCGTACTTGGTCGATACAGGAGAACATACTTCATCTTTGGGAACCAAGATTTTTTTCGTTTGGGGCAGCTTGAACGCACTTGGTGTGATAGTGGTATATTTTACTGTTTATGAGACAGGAGGACTGACACTGGAAGAAATAGATCTCTTGTACCGGCTATCTCCCAACAGCGTTGCTTCGACGGCTTGGAACAAACAGATTAGACACTCTCCCGGTTCAGTTCGCGAAATCAGGCTTGATAATCAAAATCGAGAAATGGTGGACAAACCTTCTGGCCCGAACTTGGGTGCGTCGGACTCCAGCTACGAGGATCATACGACACTGAAACGTGCCGAGAGTCCTCTTCACAACTATGTTGACCTCGGAAATGGGTTGGGGTTGAATACTTACAATAGAGGTCCTCCGTCGCTGCTAATGAACTCGTCTGATGAGGACGAGGAGGAGGGTGAAGATGACGACGCCATGAGTGGCAACCCAGATCGAACAGCGATTAATTTTTCCACCAGTGATGGTAATGGATATGGCGGTGTGCGGCACCGCGACCAAAGCCAACTTTCTCACGATGAGGAAGAAAATACCGAAGGCCGGTCCTTCAATACTGAGAATAATGCAAATTTCAGCGAGTACGTGGTACGTTGGATGAACAGCTACAGCGAACAAGGCTCAAATCCTGGTACAGAGTAAGTATAATTTAACTAATGACTTTTATGAACACTTTGATCAAATTCCGTTTTGAGCGCCGCGAACCAAATATGAGAGGAGCTCTTGAGTTTTATGCGCTTGACCAAACCACAGCACCACATTGACCGGCTTGAAATCTTTTTATCACCAGGGCTTCGATTGACCATATAGTAAATTACTGTTGAGAGAGATTATAAGTTATACAGCATTGCATACCAGAGGCAACTACGTATAAATCTTTGAAGCAAAAAGTGCCAATGTGTTTGTCAAAATAAGTTCTAGTTGAGTGAAATTGCAAGGCAAAAAGACAGGGATCTGATCAGCCTCAAGCGTCTGAAAACGGATAATTGAGCAATTCGAGCCAAAGAATCGTCTATCAACGAAAGAAATATGCTTACAATCAGTGACTCGCAATTTGAACCTCGTTGAAATTGGAAGCCATTTCAGATTACAGTGAGCCGTGCCATCTATATCTGGCTTAGAGCTTACTTATTATGAGTTTCCGAGAGATATAAATAAAGGTCGCTACCTAGAAATTCTGTGAAAAGAGGAAATGTGAGAAAACGATTAAGCCATTCAACATTGATTCGATTCAAAGCAAGTCTCAATGACAGTATGGTGCCCTAACAGCTGGCTTGAGCATTAGGTTTCGCAAGATGAATATCATCCTTATTAAATCTCGTCGCTGACATTGAGGTCACGTGTACATGGTGTTAACGATGGCTCACTCATACTTTGGCCTCACAGGGGTATTTGAGAAGCCGCTTTGATGTTAGTTATTCCCATGTTTGTCGAGCGGCTTAAAATTTGACATCTTGAATTGTAATAGTACGATCTGATATCATATTTTATAGATAAATTGGTCTTTTCGAGCCTGGCGCATTTCATTTCAATTTTACATCTGATAATTCGAATTTGACGGTTTTCTTTGTAGATAGCACTGCAATTTTATCTTTTTGACCGCATTGACTGTGTCTTATTGTGCAGGGCTTCAAAGCGAGATACGTTGTCAACTGAATTTGAATGCGAAAAAATGATAGAAATAGACCGCTGTTGATTTGGTAGCCATGTTGAACTCACAGTAGGCTCTCGTGGTACCCCGGTGATTAGCAACGTCTAAATATCCAGGCTTCTTTTGACATACTTGGGTCCCATTTCTGTCGCTGTCATCGCATCACGTGACCCAGATCACCAAACAGCGAATCTGACACCGTCCTCGATGAAAAATATGTCAACATGAATTGCAGCTCAACTGACTACGAGGGCATAATGAGTTTAGTTGGTACTGGATTGAATTGAATCAATTTAGGTGCTCATCAATAAGAATCTAGGATTTTTTTCTTCAAATTGATCGAAATGTTCTAGTGATTGAAAAAATTCAAGGCTGTACATAGAAAGTGTCACTAAATGGAATTTTGAGTATGTGCTGAAACACCAATACAGCTGCCCCATTTATTTACAAAGATATGACTCCAGAAATACAGATACTCTTTGACAATGATGCTATTATCTCCTACAAAACACCTTCAGATCACGTGACTTCCTCCGTCCATCAATTGCTTACGTACAGCTCAAGGATTATATAAGATTCCAGTCACGCGATAAGCACATGACTTTTGTCGCGTGACTTGTACCTCATGAATTTCGATGTACTCTCTCGTAAGGACAATTTCCAAGTTGTAACTTAAAATGTGTTCTTTAACCTAATTCTTCAGCAGCTTAAGAGACCAACTGCCAGATCGACAACCAGTCAATTCCATTTCACATCCAATTGCGTTTCCTTTTTTTCAAGCGATGTCGAAAATACAGGATTCCGTTTTGAAGCGGCAAGACGAGAATTGGAGGGAAGATGAACGGGATCGCAGACGTGTTCCTGCGATCACCAATGGCGTAAAGAACCCTGGAAAACCCAGTGTGGGAAACGTGAAAAAGGTTCTTGAAACAGCAGTTTTGGTGGCTCCAGACAGCGAAATAGTGCGGCGCAAACTTGCACAGCGTCGTGAAACAGGGTCGTGGGCGCAGAGTCGTGTGGAATACGCGTTTTACAAAATCCTGCTGGGTTTGCTGCTGCTGGCGTATGCATGTGTGCGGTACGCGCAGTACGAATACAATCGCGTCAAGATTTTGGTGCTGAATCTGGCGTACAACCCGTCCAACACGCCGCAGTTAATTCGACAGGACGTGCTGAAACTTCAAAAGCTTCCCAAGCGGCTGGCGGCAATACTAGAGGCAAAACCAGACGGTGACGTTGGAGGTGGTATAGGAGGGGTGTTGAACGATGGCAGTGAGTTGGTGGCTTGGTCTGTTTCGGCTGGAATCAAACACCTCATCCTGTACGACCACGATGGTCATCTCAAGCGTAACGTTGACGATTTTCGAAGCAATGTGTTCCATAAGCTTTCCAAATTTTACGATCCCAGCAACGTTCCCAAATTTGCGATCCGGGTCCCGCAATGGAACAAAGTGTATTTCAACACGCCCGGCGCGGAATCTGGTGAGGCCAGAAAAGTGGCTATCGAAATCTCGCTATTGTCGAATCGTGATGGCCGCGAAACAATCATAGATCTGACCAAGACTATGGCAGAACTGTGCGCTCAGAACGAGATGAAATTGTCCGATATCACTATGAAACTTATTGATTCCGAACTGACACAGCTCGTGGGCCACGAGCCCGATCTCCTGCTTTATTTCGGACCCAGTCTTGATCTGCAGGGCTTCCCACCATGGCATATTCGTCTAACGGAGTTTTACTGGGAGCAGGACAACGACCAAGTCACGTATGCCGTATTCATTCGTGGCTTGAAAAAGTACGCCTCTTGCAAAGTGAATGTGGGCAAATGAACAGAGATGAGTCCCCGGGCAAAACAACTCTTATTTTTTGACCTTTGCATAATACCATTTAAGTGTTTTGTGGTGGCGTGTGTCATTTTTGGCGATCTCATGATAACCATCGCGAACATATAGCTTATCGCTATTATTGTTGCATATTTAATCACCTCTGAACCGAGGAAACTAACTAGAATTTAGCATAATTAATTACCAATTGATCTGTCTTGCTGACGTCCAGCGAACGGTACGAGAAGTCATTGTTGTTGGATGTAAACTGTTTGACCGAGCTTTTCAGTGTGGCCATCGAAACATTATATCACTCTGTACTTATCCGTCGACTGTCACTGGAAATCGATTATACGTGATGAATGCTTTAGACGATGAAATAACCTCAACGCCACATGATTGAGCTTGTATACATGAAAAAGAACACAGTAACCTTAGATACAAAACAGCACAGGTGTATGGCGCAAAAACTGGGCTGGAGAAATAGCTATAGCTACATAAATCATAAAAAATTGTTTTAGTCCATGTTCGTGTCACGTGACAAAACCTTCGAATAGGTAATAACTCTAAAATTTCACTAAATTCTTCTCTGTTGTTATAACGAAAGAGCGTTGATCGTCTTTAAATTTCGTTTGCTTTGTACACACTTCAACTTTTTCCTCCAATCCTAAGTGTTGGTGGAGAGTGTAACGTGATCTTTTACCACCGACAAATTACATATATATCACTCAGTACGGCTACGGCTTACCTTTCGAGTTTTTCATTTAGGAGATAATCGATATGCTTATTTACGTGTTCAGCACCGTGCAACTTCTTACTCAACGTAACACATTCGACACCAGAAGTTACACTTGTATTGCAACCTACAGTGTTTTACTTTACCGTACCGAGTATGTTCACGCAGTTCTGTTTGCCTTTTTTTCCGGACCAATTTTGACCCATTGACAGGCCATAGGACTGGTCAAGAAAAGCTGACTTTTCAAGAATACTAACCGATCTGTTTGCGACGCAGAACAAATCTCTGTGCACAATGGGTATCTATATTTCGAAGCTTTTCAACAGTCTTGTCGGCTCCAAGGAGATGCGTATCTTGATGGTGGGTCTTGATGGTGCCGGTAAGACCACCGTGTTATACAAGCTTAAATTGGGTGAGGTGGTTACGACGATCCCAACCATTGGTTTCAACGTTGAAACTGTCGAATACAAGAACATTTCGTTCACCGTGTGGGACGTGGGTGGACAGGACAAGATCAGACCTTTGTGGAGACACTATTTCAGAAACACCGAAGGTATTATTTTCGTGGTCGACTCCAATGACAGATCGCGTATTTCGGAGGCCAGAGAGGTCCTGCAGAGAATGTTGAACGAGGACGAAATAAGAAATGCTTCTTTGTTGGTCTTTGCCAACAAACAGGATTTGCCAGAGGCTATGTCTGCTGCGGAAATCACCGAGAAACTGGGCCTACACTCCATCAGACAGCGTCCATGGTTCATCCAGGCCACCTGTGCCACTTCCGGTGAAGGTTTGTACGAGGGTCTAGAATGGTTGAGCAACAGCTTGAAGAACCAGAGCTAAGCAAAGAATCTTTGGGTGTCTATACTATATTCCTGGATTGCTGCCCACGGTCACCCCAAGCGCTACAGTCAAGTCTTTTTTGGTCCCGAAAAAATGAAATGAGTTCGGAAGAGACATTCGGAATAGAAACCCTGCAAAAGAAAGCTTCCTACAAAAAGCAAGGGAACCCTGAGAGAAACGCATTGCGGCCAGTTGGTGATATAACTGTATAAAGCTTGTAACCATACGCGGTTCTAGTATACTAATCGCTAATCACGTGATAGAATCCGTATTACATGACCTATTAACGAGCAGCAGATTCGTTCATGATGACAGGATATATATCGGAAAATTGTATATCTTAGCAAAGCACAGAATCTTTTGTAAAAATCTCGCTATTGATCGGGAGCGTTCCCATCCGAAATCTTCCGCTTTCTCTTGTTTTTCTACGTGTTGACGCGCTCCTACTATCCGATCGATTTCTTGGCTTTAAGACAGTATATATATATTCGTTACCCTACGCTATTATTGAAGGGCTTTTAGATATATTGAAGAAAAAATTTGATATCAGAAATGTTTTGATCAGATCCGGCACGGAATCCAAGCACCTATAACTAGACAAACAGTATGTTAGAAGCGTGTTTGAAGAACAGAATAAACTGGAAATGGTCATGAACGATGGTCGCGCTAGAGGCCAGGTTTTTTCGGCGCTCAAAATGGTCCATTTTTGGGTGTTTTATGAGATCATTTGAGGTTTTACAGAAGGGGCAAATTCAAGGAACAGAGAAGGAGTTTACCGGAGGAAGATGCATTTGATGGTCGATTAGGATGTCATCAAGGAATTAGGGTTTCCAGAAACTTCTTGTGCTTAACGAAAAACTGTTGGCTTTTACGGCATATTCTTGTTTTGACCCTTCTTATCAAGAGATCTTGACCTTTGTCGTTCTTGACACTTTTCCTTTATTTCCGCTTCAGGTCTTCACTAAATCAGTCTTGCGACTCAATATGCTAACAAATCACTCAGCAAATCATGGGCTCCTCGTTTTCGAAGCTGTTCAGCAGCCTGTTTGGCCATAAAGAAATGCGTATTTTGATGGTGGGTCTTGACGGTGCTGGTAAGACCACCGTGCTATACAAGCTTAAATTGGGTGAGGTAGTCACGACAATCCCAACCATTGGTTTCAACGTCGAAACTGTCGAATACAAGAACATTTCGTTCACCGTGTGGGACGTGGGTGGACAGGACAAGATCAGACCTTTGTGGAGACACTATTTCAGAAACACGGAAGGTATCATTTTCGTGGTCGACTCCAATGACAGATCGCGTATTTCGGAGGCCAGAGAGGTCTTGCAGAGAATGTTGAACGAAGACGAGATCAGAAACGCTGTTCTTTTGGTCTTTGCCAACAAACAAGATTTGCCAGAGGCTATGTCTGCTGCGGAAATTACCGAGAAACTCGGTCTACACTCCATCAGACAGCGTCCATGGTTCATCCAGGCCACCTGTGCCACTTCTGGTGAGGGTTTGTACGAGGGTCTAGAGTGGTTGAGCAACAACCTAAAAAACCAATCATAAGGTGTAGAAGGAGGGATGGATTGACTAGCCTGTGGGTACCAATCCGGAAACGCACTTCACGAAAAAGGGAAACTCACCCGAAGGTACTGGTGCCAGGTGATTTCACGCACTCGAATTTTTTGCAAATGTACGTACTTAGCAATCGAATGAAACAGAGCGAATTGAACATGTTGTCTGCTTGCGGGGGAGTTTGATGTTCCCTAACCGGGACCTGATTCGGACCTGGTCTGAAGATCTTATCATCACATGTTGTTCATTTCCCATCTTAGTCTATATGGTAATACATTGTTCATGTTTTTCGAGTCCTTCTTCTACCCACTGATCGAGCTGACGCAGGTGGCTGACGCGGGCGGCGACGGGAAAAAAAGAGGAGTCTCCAAACATTTGCCTCGTGGTATTCAATTCGCACATTTATCGAAACGACGATACCCTTTTCACGGCAAAAATACCACACAGTAAGACAGTTTGTTTTTTATATTTACCACACTCTCCGTATTCCATAAATTATAACATGTAAACCAGAATAATCATCACTCTCTTGTAATCGAAGCCCAGAAATGCTCTTCGAAAAATAAACGTAGAAATCAAACCGTCACAATGACAAATCCGAAAAGACTCAAGACTTACAATTTCACTGCTTTTATTGTTTGTATTGTGAGTCGTTTCCTTCACAATGCCATTATGGTTATTTCCTTCTACTGCTATTATACACCTTGGAAGTTTCCATGACTTATCTTATGACTGTCATCCCTACACCACAACATCCTTACACCAACATAAGCTTTTTTTAAATTTTTTCAAAAAACCAAGAAATGTCACATGATCTTGAAGTATTCCAAAAAGGACGCAACTTTTTCAAAATTGAAAGATTATAGTGTTGATGTCACTATCCACGTGAAAAGCACAGTTTTCAGAACCCATCGCTGGTAACTGTCACCGTGAACGAGACAATTGGTTTTTTTCCACCTTACTGAAAAACTTGATGCTTTAGAGAACTTTGAGTCTTGAAGTTCACACTAGACTGCTAGCAAGATCAACGACAAAATGGTATGTTATATGATGTGGTAACAACTGCAGAAGATGGGTTTGAGCAAATGGTTAAGCGTCCGAGGTTACTGGAAGCCGCTCAAAGTGCGGTTGCAACGCCTTTCGAACCAAGAAAAACGGACCTCTATAGGATGAATTAGAAACTCAAAGGTGTTGCGGACATGGCGAAAATGTGCAAGCTCTTGTTCCGGAAGGCATGTTGTGTTGTCACTTTCTGCCGCCACTTTTTGCAGTCCCGTTTCTTGCACATTCGTGTGTTCCAAGTTTCAGTCAGGTTTGTCTTTTCCTGCTCTTCTTTCCCGACATAGTGGGGACTAGTCTTTTACACCATCAACGCTGCAGTTTACTTGCGTTTTTACCTGATACTAACGTTATTTCTCCTCCATTTTCATAGGCCGGTATTAAAGCTTACGAACTTAGAACCAAGTCCAAGGAGCAATTGGAATCCCAGTTGGTCGACCTGAAGAAGGAATTGGCCACTTTGAAGGTCCAGAAGTTGTCTAGACCTTCTTTGCCAAAGATCCACACTGTCAGAAAGGACATTGCTCGTGTCTTGACCATCATCAACGAAAACCAGAGACAGGCCGTCAGAGAGCTTTACAAGGGTTCCAAGTACCAGCCAAAGGACATGAGAGCCAAGAAGACCAGAGCTTTGAGAAGAGCTTTGACCAAGTTCGAGGCCACCAGAATCACCCCAAAGCAGAGAAAGAGACAAATCGCTTTCCCACAAAGAAAGTTTGCCATCAAGGCCTAAGGCGTACAGCTGTACTCTCATTTAGAAAGGATCTTCAACTTCCCGTCTTTTGTCTTGATCTCCATATAATTTGTCGGGTTTTTATTTCGCATATATAAAGACTTCAACAAGGAACTTGTGTTAAAATTGTTTTAACGTATCCGGATTTTACATCGTTCAGCTTCAAAGTGCATAGCGAACTCTTAAGCCTTACTCACATACTGTATATATTGGAGCTTTGACTCAATCATGACTTCAAGTGTCTTACTGCTGTGATGCTCTGTTGTGTGCGGCCTTCTTGCGGAAAGCTTCGATCTCATGTCGCAATTCATCATTGGGTATAACATCCTCTAGTTTCAATGGCATTCTGTTAAACGGATCAGTTGAGTCACTCAACAAATGGCTTTTGATCGTACTGCGATCTATTGTCACCCTAGAAGCCGGCAAGATAACCGGATCCTTCATAATTGTAAACATGAGCGGATCTAGATATTCGTCAGGCGCATCACCCATCTCCAAATCCTCTTCTTCCTCAGCAACCTTCTGGTCCTCGGCATCGCGCGCGAATTGCAAAAGTTTAGTGCAGAATTCATCACTCGCCAGCCCAGTCTTAGTTCCTAAGATGTGAACAGCACGGTCAAACATCGCTCTGCTGAAAGATCTACCATCCCGAGCAACGGCACTGATAAACTCCGGCTGTTCTGACAAATTCGTAAAGACGGTGCAAAGCAATTTGAGCAATGACTTGGCATCAAAGCTGTATTTCTCAGGATCTTTTACCTTTAATTCTCGGCATTTGGGGCCAACCAAAGATGCTAAGTTGTAGTCTAACATACCTGCTAGTCTATCAACAATTTCTGGGGTGCAGAAAGCGCCAGGGATGTCCTTGGAAAAGATGTTGAATAGAGTGATTGACTTCTCAGACAATCCACAGCTTGATCTCGCTTGTCTCTCTGATGAAGCGAGCTTTGTTTGTAGTTCTTGATCGTTTTCTTCTCTAATAGGTGCAGCACCTCGCGCCCTGTTATCCAGCTCGAGCTGGATATTGTGTACTTCAGCTAAGCTGCTTAAGCCCTCGTCCAACAAGAATGTCAAGTCATTGAGCATTCTCGCCACGAAGCGGACGAAGAAATCGGCGTTGTTTTGTGATTGCCAAATAATTTTCTGACGATAAGCGGGTATCTTGTAGAGCTCTTCCAAAAGAACAGAAATGCTGTATCGACTATTGAACTTGTCGTAAAACTGTGAAGATGAACCAGTTTTCTCCACGATGACATAGAAATCCAGCAAAGCATACAGCAAATGACTACTGACGAGCTCGTTATTTTCGAAAACGTCCATCATAAATCCTGGCGTATTCTCACGCATTGGCATGGCGCCCAGACTCAAGACCTGGACTAGTTTTCCTTTTAAATGGGGATTCGAAACAAGCTCAGGACATCTCAGGACCACCGTTGCCAACTCAATAAAGGAATGCAAACGTGGATTTCCAAATAGCGGAGACATCACGAACTTGGAAATGTGCTGTGTGTAATTTATTATTCCTTCGATAACAAACTCAGGATAATATTTGAAGGGAATCGGGGCGTTTTGCCGAAGATAATCTGCGTTATCAACATTTTCGACACCGACCTGATCTGGAATCAAGGGAAGAGCGATATTTTTGAAGGGAAATTTATGATTTGGGTCAATGACTCTAATGAGGAACGTGGAGGCGCCGCTAATGAAATCGAAAATTTCGAGCTGCAGGTTCTTATTGGAGAAAAATCCTTGCAACGAGTGCTTGATAGACTGCATCGTTTGCAGAGATTTCTCCAAAGCGGGAAGCTGCATCGACGCGAATCTGGCAAACATATCCTGGGATTGTGCAGCTCTCTTGATTCTTGACATTTCTTCCCTCATACGCCTTACCTGCGGAGTGACCTTTTCATCATAGAGGATAGCTCCGCCAACACCGTAATGCAAATATGCTAAAGTAAGAAAGAAACAGTCCGAAATAAAATTGGGCTTGTTATCATCGGATTTTTTGTTTTGATCGTAGAATTCGTCTGCTTCCTTAAAGTCAGAGTTCATGCGTGTTTCATCTGAGAGGTCCAGATATAGGTTGAGATTGTTAAAGTAATTGACGTCAATCTTATCAATCTTTTTGTAAGAAACATCCAAAAATGGCTGCGAGAAGCGCACTAATAGTAGTGCGATATTTGTGACAAAAGCATTTGAAGCCAACTTATTTGCGTTTGCGTGATCACCTCTCCGTAAATGATTTTTGTTGATGATTTGGGCGAAATAAGTCAATAAGTCCGAACGAGAATCATTCGAGCCTCTTACGATCTTGTCTATAATGTAAAAGAGACGGTCTAAAATCATTTTATGCTCGGTTTGCAATGACTCGTGAATAACATTTGTTTGCTGGCGAGTTCTTTCCAGATTGTCGCCGTAATTCTGGAGCGCGACACTGGCATTGAGCGGAGACAACGTTAGAATGGGTCCCAAGAGTGTAACCTTTTCGTATTGATTAGGTTTCACGTTGTAGTCGGCGAAAAACCCACTCACTCGAGTAATGATGGCAGCAACGGGTTTGAACGAAACAAAGAGCTCGAAAAGCGTGAGCACTGCGGAAACGATTTGCGACTCATTCAAATTGAACAGTTTGAGCGAGTCAATGTAAAATTTCAAAGACATCAGTAAGCTTTCGGTAAACTCAAGTAGCGTTTCTTCTTGTATGGCGCGCTGGACGAGCTGAGATAGAAAGTCGACATATTGATCCACCTGAGCGACGATTTGGGTCATATAGCTCAAAAAGTTATGCTCCCCCGGTGAGAACTCTTCGATCTGGAATAGCACCAGTCCGTAACCGAGGACCAATCGCTCAATTTCCAGAAACGTTTCGCTCACCTGTTGCTGAGATTTTTTGGCAATACGTTTTTGCTGTTGTACCCTCTGGAAGCATTCTTTCAGATACGCAAATTGTCGGTCTGTTAGTTCTGTATTTTCAGTCAACTGGTACAACAAGATGCCATCGACTTGATCCACGTCTAGGGGGGTAGTAGTGTTGAATTCTTCAGGCAAAACGTAAAACCCGTTGTTTTGACCCGCGCCGTCTTTCGACACACGTAGAATTTCCTCCACTAGGGCCATTGTTCTGTTGAAGAGTGCACTAATATGATTCTCTCGGGTTACCCACCGTTTTGAGTCGAGTTTTGTCTAGTGCGTCAAACTGCTCAAAAATTGGTCAAAAAAAGTCGTAAAACAAGCTCTGAGTAGCCACTCAAAAGGACTCAAAGCACACCAGTTCGTCTACCACGCAAATTCGTCGCAAATTCGACCCGACTAGCCACTTTCACGTCCAAATTATCCACAATCTGTGTTGTTTATAACCTCAACAATTCAGTTGAATGATCTTCAAATCATCTATTTATATATCAGATGTATAAATTAGAGATATCTATCCTTTATAAACATGATCCAAAATTCAAGTATATAAAGAACCCTTCTTTCGATCCTGTCAGGCTCCCATCCGTTACACTGTTGCGGATTTGGATTAGCTTCGACAGCGGTGGTTATCATGGGGGATATTTGTTTGACGAAAGCGATGTCGGTAGCATTGTTTGAGCGATCTTATGATAGACAGTTTGTAATTGATTTGGAAAACTCGTTGGTGTCATTTATGGAGTCTGAGCATGTTTCGTATCAGCTGGCTCCTATGAACTCTTACTATCGGCTGCTGGCACACCAATTGGCCGAGTACCACGGTCTCAAACACGCTCTGGCGAAAAATTACGATACTTGTGTGGTCGTTTTCAAGGGAGAGTCGTTTTCACGAAGTCTCGATATACCATTGTTGCAACATCTTGATCTAGGAAACGAGTTGTATCGCCATCGGATACGGGAAGTGGAAGGGTCGAGGAAATTGGGATCTGGACCGGTCCAGACAACCCACAGCAACGCAAATAATGTGCGAGTTTTGGCAACTCAAAAACGCGCCAATCATACCGCTTCTGCTAAAATAGACGGTCCAACAACGCCTCAAAAGTCACGCATTGCGGCAATCGACGAAGAAGATGACTCTCCACAACCTCGCCAGTTTGAAACGTCCAGATACAGTTTCGAGCAACAGGCGGAAACCCACCGTCAAAAACGGCGTTCCCACAAAAAGTCACATTCGCTCACAACGCCCCCAATCTATAGCCAGCCTATGGCCGCCCCACCGCCTCTTTTCAATATACCCATCCCCTACATGATGTACAATCCTTATGCCATGATGTACATCCCGCCCGAGCATCAATTTCCGCCTTATTATCAGGGCCCTAACGCACTTCATATGAGCCCATATGCCAATTACAACTCCGCAGTAGAACCACCACGGATCCTTGAGTCGTCCAGAAGCGATAACAGTGTTTTCTCTGGCAGGAAATCTGAATCCACGACGGACAACAGCGGACAGGCCGAAAAAACGAGGTGAAAAACTAGAAACATTGAGCCTGATAACAAAAGAAGATTTGGCCAGTTGTTAAACATAGCATTTTAAATTAAAAGCGCAAGTCGCTGCGTTCAAGTAAGCTGACGGTTTAGACAATCTTGAAATCTCTTAGTAAAACGAAACAATTCAAAATGGTATTAGTCAAAGGTTATAGAACTTCGCCATTAAAAGAAACCGGTAGGAATTTACTTGACAGCGCTGCTGATGCGAAATTAATTACGTCCATTGATGATGCACAGAAAACTGTGAAATTTTCATTATTTCATTTTGTTTGTGAGACTTGATAGCCGTGATTCGCCAAACAAAGCACGTCCGTTCGCGGTTGTTATTTTTTGACAATCTCCACACCCCAGTGTAGCGTCAGATGGTTGGTCTTATCGTCGTCAATAAATTTGGAGACTGCGGTGTAGTTACCTCTGACCAAAAACCCGCTGGGCGCTTCACTCTCGGGTAGTTCCACCTCGTAGAATGGCTTCGACTTCGTGTTGGGCGCGTACGATCCCAAATGGTCGTCGATGCTGTCCACCGGGATTCCGGCTTTCCGGATGTTTTGCACGTACCTGAGCCCTGTGATGATCTCGTGCTGCACCTTGAACGTAATTCTGAGATGGTACACGGATTTCTCCTTAATTTTGTGGCGCAGGGATTTGAGTTTCTGGATCGTTTCTTCGTTGGTCAGATCGAACACGATAGGATTTTTTTCCGAATCCACCACAAGTTCGATCTTCAAAATCACCACTTTACGCTTGTCTCCTTCAAACTCTAGCGGCAGAGCGTCTGCACCCAATCCAAGGCTTGCTTTCCATTTTGCGAGCGATTCGTCCTCCGCGTCCAATTTTTGGTATTCGGCCAACGTTTTTTTCGCAGAAACCTTGTAGGAGTCCTGGTTTTCTTGTTCGAATTCCTTAAAGTCTTTATCGTCACTCATTATGATTGCAATTTGAGGTCTTGGTCGACCTAAAACGTTGTTTATCTAGTGTCCTTGAAGCGTTCACGACGTGTATCGGTTGTTATCCTAAGAATATCGTTAGAACTGTTCATTACGGAGATGACCTTTATTTTAAGATCAATTTTCCATATCACATATGACGAACCTTTTTCTACACACGTGTAATCTTTATCACTACGTACGCATGTTTCGATTTCGGAGTTGCCCGATGAAAACGATAAGTGTCAGTTTTTAGAGATCTATAAGCTAATGTATAAAAGATACAAGATAGAATTGTAGAATCGCTAACAAATGTTCACGATTCTCCACGTTCAACTAGTTTAGGTAGTCGCTCATCGTATTTTCACGGTCATATACACATATATACGTCACATACTCGCGTGTCTCTGTTAAGTTGGTAATTCAAGGTACCAAGAGCTGTAAGAATATGACTTTGTTGAACTTCCAAAAGTTCAAAAACAGCGATCTTGAAGTCCAGTCCCAGACTTTAGAGACGCTTTTCGAGCGTAGCAAGTCGCTTGAGAAGCTCACGATTGCGAATCCGTCGTTTGCTCAAAATTTGGGCTCCAACTATGTAGAACTGGTCGAGAAAATAAGGGCCAGTCTATTAGACCTATGCAAACAGACAGGATCTTCAAGCGGGGCAAAGGCCGATGTTAGTGACGTTATAGCAGCTCATCCGAGATTGGGACAACCGAACAAAGTCTTGTCAACGCATTCTGCAATTGAGCAGCGCAACTTGGGCAACTCAGACTCTCAGGAAACGCTGGAGACTCTACAACGACTCAACGACCAATACGAAGCCAAATACCCAGGACTGCGATTTGTGGTTTTTGTAAATGGCCGCACACGACCGCAAATCATTCAAGCCATGCAAAGCAGGATACTCTCAGGTCACTCGTGGCTACAGGAAGCGCAGCTCGCATGCAACGAAATGTGCGATATTGCCCTGGACAGAATCAAAAAGAACGTTGCACCGTCAACGCTGCAAAATAAACTGTAATCCCTGTGGCGAAATAGAATCAGTAGCAAACGTAAGCGAACAAGAAAAGATACAAAGAATACAACATGGTTATTTTGTATATGCTGTTGCTGGAAAGAAACCGAAGAAAATTATAACGCTAAAAAAAAAGACCCACCAACATTAAGAGCTCGCATGTCCGCAGCGTGCTAAGTCTTGCACCTTTTCGATAACCTAATACAACTGGTGGGTTTTCCGTTCTGATATTCCCTTAGATCTTCCCTAGATTCTTTCTTCTTCGACGCCACTGCAAAATGCTGACTATCGCCCAGCAAGATGGAAATTGAGTTTACTCCCATCACTGGACAGCGGGTGTGTATATTTGCGTGCGTTTACTTGATGCCTCAGCCATTTGCCGGTTGCTGTGGCGGCATTACGCTGCCCATGCATCTGCATTAGCATCTTATTATTCCCTATAATCTACACTTGGATCACATCTCATAAAAAGTAGTCTGGCGTCTTCCTACTTACCGTAGGCTCTCCAGGCCTCATCGACGGGTCATATTGTAGGAACTGGCGATTGTGATTTTCGTCAAACTCCATAATGGCGGCTTGGTTGCCGCATCTGTAGCAGTAATTGGGCGCGCTGAAAATGGTGACAACGCTTTGCTGATGGGACCACGCGTACCCTTCCATTACCAGTTGATGAGCTCTTGCGATGAGCGACAAATCGTTCGTGTGATTGAATTGCTCGCTGATATCTTGGCCAAAAGTGAAACCTGCTCCTCTTGGACTGATGCCCCATCCACCTCTGTCGTCAGGATCAGACCATAGTAGATCGCACATGGGGCCCTCGTGTGGTACTTCCTGTATTCTATTCAGTTCGCGAACTTGGTCCACGGTCTCGATCATCGGCGACAGACCGCCGTGCAAGCAGAACACTTTGTTGTCCACTAATGCAGTTATGGGGAAATAATCAAACAGGTCCGTGAACATCTTCCAGACGCTGGCGCTACCGTACTTACGCAAGCATTCGTCGTAGAATCCATACACCTGTGTGATCTGTCTTGATTCGTGGTTACCTCTTAGAATGGTGATTCTCTTTGGATACCGCACTTTCATTGCAACTAGATATGACACGGTTTCAACCGAGTAGTAGCCTCTATCAACGTAGTCACCCATGAACAGATAGTTGGTATCTGGACACGGTCCTCCGATTTTGAATAGTTCCATCAAATCGTGGAATTGGCCATGCACGTCACCGCAGATCGTAACAGGCACGTTTACCGGCTGTACGTTTTCCTCGAACTGCAAAACATCCACAGCCATCTTGCACAGTCTTCCCACGTCCTCCTCGGACAATACCTGACACTGACTTAGATGCTCAATCCATTTGTCCAATTGCCCTATATTGCCTGAGTCCAGTTGCAGAGGCTTTGACGATCTATGGCCCGCTGAGGAATCAAGCCCCTCGTCATTCTTGGAACCACCCCCATCTCTCGAGGTGGCCTCATCTTCGTCGAGCGTAGGATCCAGAGGCTCTTCGGTTGCGTCCTGCATTGCCACGTCGTTGTCTATCTCCATGTCTGAAAAAAACCCGCTATTATTGGTATCGTAGAAAAGATCTGTCCTTCAACCCACTATTCGCGCCGCTATTATTTGTCTAAGCGTGCTGGTACAGTCGTTCAGTTTCAAAAACTAAGTTGAACCAAAATCCCAGTGCAGCCTGCTAAAAAGATCGCCAAATGAGGCTTTGAAGTCGTGGAAAAAGCTACCTAGGTCAATTAACAAGCTCTGAATCGCTAAAACAAACGATTGGCTAGTAAAATGTCGATGAAATGTGTCTTTTCTTGCAAAGGGGTTTCGACGAGATTGTTGTATATATGTATGATGTATTATGTATGCTCATATTTGGGAAACTCCTAACTTTGAAATTCTGAAATTTTTCTACCTCAGGGTTACCCGGTTTCTGATCTGATGACTTCGGTTTGTTCACGTGATGAATTGGTTTATATGTCGCTGTCAGCGTCAGCGCTGATAACTAGCCTTTCGAGTTTTCACTGGTTCTATATCTCCATGTCTCTGTAGAAAGATTCATGGTAAGAAAGAATCTTGGTCCGAATTTGTTTAATTGTATTTGACAGTTCATAAAGAAAAAACAAAAGGATGAAAAACTGGTCAAACTGATCGTTGTTTTACTCCTCTTGGTAAATTGCAGGATTCTTGAATCGACTTATAAAAGATGACATACCCACGCCCAAATGAGTGAACCTTGACTATTGGCAGATCTGAAGATAAAACGTCGCTTTCGTAGATGTGCACGTGACCTTCATGTCACTACATATAACTCTACCTTGCAAGTTACGAGATGGGTATTTGAAGCACCACCAGTTCCGTTCAACAATTTTTTAGAGAGTATGAGAGTTACCTCGATAAGAACAGTCTCTACATCACTTCTTATATCCACCTAATTTCATTGGAATTATCTCAAACCTTCTCTTTCAAATGACACATTAGTAGATAGTGATGACCTTGAAGTATGGATTAACTGACGTTGAATCTATTCTCCGGTAAAGCCATACAGCAGCACGTAAGGGCATCAATCATATTTAGTCTCAGTCCTAGTTTTTGACTTGAAATGTCTATCTTATGACTTTTTTCTGTATCTGCCTCTCTAGCCACCTTAATAAATAGAAGTCATCGTGTCGTCTTCAATTCAATTGTCGTACCTCCTGTCACTCACGAAACGATGACTCTTCCATCAAGCGTCTACCAAAAATTCAATCATTTGCCGTGCTTACCGAATGGTGATTCGGTTCTGCTTTGTCTCGAGCATCACCCGTCATTTGTTAAAATTACTGAGAGAAACGTCTGACACTGACATTTGCGTAAGCTGAACTGTGTCTAAAACCTATAAAAAACTGTTTAACGCCGCCTGAATTCTTTTCCCTCTTGGCATTCATCATACCAACCGCAAAGAGATGAATAGCCTTGTTGACAGACCCCTCACACATGGATTTTTGAGTCTGGACCCAGATTCCCCAGACTATGCCTTGCGTTCACACACACTGCCGGCAAATACGACCAGCATAAGGCAGCTGGTTATCAACAAGCAAAATGGGCGCGTGATTGCGGCAAAGAGTCAACTTGTGGGTCGTATGGAAGACGCCCTTATACGCTGGCGTCCGCCCGTGTCGTGCCATGCAGGGTCCACCGCTGCAATTAAAGGTAAGCATCCTTATCAATTGGAGGCGGAAAATACCAGTCTGGCACATACTTCAATAGATTCGATTCGCCAGTGTATCGAAAACTTGGGCAATGCGGTCAGCAAACCTAGCACACGGAAAAAAAAGGATGCGCACCGCCATGGCGAGGAAAGCAGTCTCTTACATTCGGTAAATTTGGGAGACTCCATTGAAACATCTCAAGAATCATCGTCGGCAAGTGGAATGCTTCAGGAAATTCGACAAAGTCTACAAAAAACAGACACACGTGGAATGACCCCACAAGCAATTGAGTGCAGACAAGAGCTTGAAACGTGTACTGTAGAGCCCGTCACATACAGCTTTCCCATTCCGGCCTACTATCTGCCGCGTGAGGATGTGCATCCTGTTGGAGAATCCACGCGGGACAACGTGAATGTTGACGAGGCCGATGGCCAGATGGGCACCCGATTTAATCAGTTTTGGAATCAGTTGTGTCGTGAGTTTAAAATTCTGTGTTCATGCGTGTAATGAGATATATGAAATGGTAGTAGACTGTAAATGGCTTCTATGAGATTGGATGATATGCCAGGTATCATAAGACGCATTCGGTATGCGCTGCAATTACTTTTCAAGTTTTTATCTGAGGTGATATAAGCGTTAGATATGTGCTCACTTGAAGTTATCAAGACAATGAGACGCTTGAACTGGCTCAACTATACCGCAGGGCCCATCGAGTCTGATTAGTTTCTGGTCTGTGTCGCTGACACCCGAGCATTTAGCGACATTGTAGTACAAAGTGATCTTCTAAACGACACACTCGTTAGTTCCATTAGCGAAATCAAGTGATCAGTGAAAATTGCGAAGACTGGTGCCCGACCATGTCTGTTGAGAGAGCTAGCATTATTCAATTACTGATCCATTTTTCATACATTTATGAACTGGGAAAACTTTTTGGCTTCATTAATGCCAATCGAAAGCTTAAAATGTTAAAATACATTTCAAACTCTCCCACAAATGATTGATTTTCGCGATTTGGAAAATAAAACTCCACCTAAACAGCACGAAACTCATAATTTACCAGCTGCCCTGACGCTTAAAGCCAGAAAGAAAACAGTATTTTCAATTGCGATAAATTCCTTCGGATCTTTGTAACTTTATACGAACTGATTTTTCTTTTCCTAAATCACTTGAAGTTCGTTTCACGAGATGAAAGTTGAGCACCAAAGTTCAAGCCGCTAGCTACCACATCAATTGTCTTCGTTTTTCTTCGCTCAGAGTTCTGCAAAAAATGTGCATTTTACTCAAGTCCGATCTCACTCCACCGTCGTAGATGACCAAATCTCATATATAAATGTAAAGCCCAGGGGCCGAATATATTTCAAATTTAACTCTCGACCCTATTAGAAAAAAGATAACACTGCAAAGACTAAAAGTTCGGGACTATAGGCCTCGATAAACGTACCAAAAGTTCTGTTTCTTTCTCTGCTACTTGCTGCAACAAGATTTGTCCTTCTTTTTGCGAAAAAATCGACCGAAAATACGCATTTTTGGGCAATTTTCTTTCAACTAAGAACGGTTAAAACATAAAAAAGGTAACGTCCTCGCGAGTGTATTTGTTAAGTTTGTAAAGATGGCAGGTGCTATGGAGAATGCCCGCAAGGAGATCAAACGTATCTCCTTGGAGGATCACGACGAATCTGAATATGGGTCCATTTACTCCGTTTCTGGGCCCGTTGTGGTGGCCGAAAATATGATCGGTTGTGCCATGTACGAGTTGGTCAGAGTTGGACACGACAATTTGGTCGGAGAAGTCATTCGTATCGAGTCTGATAAGGCCACCATCCAGGTCTACGAAGAAACAGCTGGTGTCACGGTTGGTGACCCTGTTCTTCGTACCGGTAAACCATTGTCAGTCGAGTTGGGTCCTGGTTTGATGGAAACTATTTACGATGGTATTCAAAGACCTCTAAAGGCAATCAAGGAAAAAGTGCAGTCCATTTACATCCCCAGAGGTATCAACGCCCCAGCATTGTCGCGCGAAGTTAAGTGGCAGTTCAACCCTGCTCAAGACAAAAAAGTTGGTGACCACATCGCAGGCGGTGACATTTTCGGTTCGATCTTTGAAAACTCGTTGCTTGAAGACCACAAAATCTTGCTACCTCCAAGAGCTAGAGGTACCATCACCTGGATTGCTCCAGCTGGCGATTACACTGTGGACGAAAAAGTGCTGGAAGTCGAGTACGACGGCGTGAAATATGACTACAGCATGTACCACACGTGGCCCGTGCGTGTGCCACGTCCCGTCACAGAAAAATTGTCTGCCGACTACCCTCTTTTGACAGGTCAAAGAGTCTTGGATTCCCTTTTCCCATGTGTTCAAGGTGGTACTACCTGTATTCCTGGTGCTTTTGGCTGTGGTAAGACAGTTATCTCTCAATCGCTATCCAAGTACTCCAACTCCGATGCCATTGTTTATGTTGGATGTGGTGAACGTGGTAACGAAATGGCTGAAGTTTTGATGGAATTCCCTGAGCTGTTCACCGAGAGAAACGGCAAGAAAGAACCAATTATGAAGCGTACTACTTTGGTCGCTAATACTTCTAACATGCCTGTCGCTGCTAGAGAAGCCTCCATTTACACTGGTATCACATTGGCCGAGTACTTCAGAGATCAGGGTAAGGATATTGCCATGATTGCTGACTCGTCGTCAAGATGGGCTGAGGCCTTGAGAGAAATCTCCGGTCGTCTAGGTGAAATGCCTGCAGATCAAGGTTTCCCGGCTTATTTGGGTGCAAAGCTTGCTTCGTTTTACGAAAGAGCCGGTAAGGCCGTGGCGCTGGGCTCGCCAAACCGTGTAGGATCTGTCTCTATTGTTGCTGCTGTTTCACCTGCAGGTGGTGATTTCTCTGACCCTGTCACCACTTCTACATTGGGTATCACTCAAGTTTTCTGGGGTCTGGACAAAAAACTCGCTCAGAGAAAGCATTTCCCTTCCATCAACACTTCCGTGTCTTACTCCAAGTACACCAACGTGCTCAACAAGTACTACGACGGTAACTACCCTGAATTCCCAGTCTTGAGGGACCGCATTCGTGAAATTTTGTCGAACGCCGAAGAATTGGAACAAGTGGTACAATTGGTCGGTAAGTCCGCTCTGTCGGATAGTGACAAGATTACCTTGGATGTGGCCACGTTGATCAAGGAAGATTTCTTGCAGCAGAACGGGTACTCGACGTACGATGCCTTCTGTCCAATTTGGAAAACTTTCGATATGATGAAGGCCTTTGTTTCTTACCACGACGAGGCTCAAAAAAGCATTTCTAATGGTAGCAACTGGTCCAAGTTGTCTGAGGCCACCGGTGACGTGAAGCACGCCGTTTCGTCGTCCAAGTTTTTGGAACCCAGCAGAGGCGAGAAAGAGGTGCACGGTGAATTCGAACAGCTATTCACCAAGATTCAAGAGAGATTCGCCGAATCTTCCGACTGATTGGATCGTCAACCGAGCCACTAACTACTATACAAGTTACTGACGAGAGATGCGCACACACACACACAACACTCACAACACACTCACTCACACACTCACTTCAAGATAAGAAAAAAAAACATACCTATATAATTTTCGATAGTTCGAAATCGTTTGTGTTCTAGCGAAGGCTGTGATATTAAGAGAGCTATTATTCACAGGGGAGGTGTTTGAGGAAACCTTCTGGGATAGCATCAACTGACGCAATTGGCCATTCAAAACAAGACATATACCAGAGGCCAATCAATAATGGCCTGAAGGCAAACACACATACACACACAGTTGTTTTGCGAAATCATGCATTGGCTATATAGCGAAAACATCTAAATACATATAAATGTATCGGGACTTGACCCAAACACAGCCAACGAAAAGAGATCGCTAAGGTGAGATAATAGAGTACTTCTGAGCCAAAGACATACAGCACACTACAGGCTACGCAAAAGAAGAGCTCCCAGAAAAAAATCTGACCGCTTTTCTCCGCTTCACTTGGCCTGCCAATGGCTGGCTCCTACGCAAACTATTCGATCCGATTATTTGGATCTAGCTCTCACCTTCCGTCTCTTTCTCTTAAGTCTTCTAACTCTCTTCTTTCTCCACTTAGCACGCATTTCGAGTTAGTGAAATATGTGTTATAGTGTTCTGGGGAAAGGAAATGAAATAAACAGTAAGAAAGATGGAAGGGTACAATTGATCGTCAACTTTACTGAAATCTTTCAACTCTTTTCAACCTTTCCCTGGCAGTTGGCAAAGCGAAATCGAAAGTTTGAGTCGGTTGGTGGGCGTATGCCGCAATTGAGAGGGTAACTCCACGCTAGCCAGCAAACTACTCAGGGTTAGGGTTTGGTAAATCACGATGTGAGCAATTCGCAGGCATTTTCGCGACCATTCTGGGGCGCCAGTGTACGTGGGAGATGAGGATGTAGAAATCCGTGTCGGATGCAATTTGGAACCAAAACACGGTCAAAAAGAGGCGTGGGAAAGAACTGAATTGATGTGCAGTTACATACGTAATTGGCATGTATTTTAGAAGTAGAAATAGTGATCAAAAAGGGCTATTTTCTGCTGTTTTGGGCCCTGTGACAGCGATTTTAGCAGTATAAAAACCCATATTTTCCAGTCACTCTGTACTAATGTGGCATAAAGCTCCAGCTCGACGACAGGTTTGTTCAAATAGGAAAGAGGTGGAAAATTTTTGAAAGAGACAGAGGAAACATTGGGTCAAAGTTTCGTGTGGGATTCGAAGATGTACGGGTTGATTATTTCAAGAGCAGTCACATCTGATCGTAATTTGTTTAGTTGAATTCATCCCACGACGTAGGACCAGGTTTGATATTATTATTATACACTGGGCGACAGCGAAAGGTAAAAGATTGGTAGTGAACCAAGATATAGAAAAAACCAGTATTTTTTCAAATTTTGGCAGTGGTCGGGACTCACGAAATTGGAATTGTGCTGTTTGTTTAGAAGGTCAAGATTTGGATCCAGTTTTGTTTTTGTAGTAGTGTGGATAGACAGGGCTTTAAAACATTTATGTATGTATTTCATGTTTTGGACGTCAAATTTGACATTAAGACCATAATTCAATAAAAACAGTAGCTCCCTGCGACATATTCTAAGGCGCCACAATCAAGAAAGAAAGAAAGTCCACATCGAGTTTTTCCACATCCAGTTTTTTCTACATTGTGTTACGTATCTGTACATGTATCTGTACATGCTCTTTGTAGTCGCGAGGTCTCTTGTTGCAGGGCCTTCCGCACAGAACTCCGGATCTCGTGGATCTCCAGCGTGTCGAGAATTCGGTCTAGCATCTTCTCGTCCAAAAGAACACGCTCGTCTGCTTGGTCGCGTTCGCTGCTGGAGAGCCCGGCCCGCAAGATTTCCGAGTACTGGGGCAGATTGGTGTACACCAAACTGTCGCCCTCATGCTTCATCAAAGACCTGAGGCGTTTGGCTCCATTGTAGGCTTTGAAGTTGCGATAGGCACGGTAAAGAAGGTAGAAGCCGGGCACGTTTGGCACCACTGGCACCAGCACCAATGGAAGCGTCAACGGGATACCCAGAATACTTAGCCACGTGAATTTTTTATGGTACTCCAGACCTTGTTTCCATAAGGTTTGCAATTGCTGTCGTGTCTGTGTCTCAGAACACACGCTTCCCGGGTAGTACAGATGGATGGGTCTCAGTTTCAGTTTATCAGCGTTCTTGAACCATTCTTCGAACGTCAATAATCGCTCCTTTTCATTTTCCCACACCCGTTTCATCAAATAATTTTCAGATGGCACACTGTTGAGCGAGTCTTCGGTCCATGCGGTCTTGTCGAGCAGCACATTGATTTTCTCCACGATCTTGCGATTCAACTTGCGGGGCGATTTTTCCAGTTTGACCCACGCTTGCGATACTCTGTTGGTCAATTTTGTCTCATATTTGACCACCTTTGACGTGACATTCAAAATGTCCGATGTATGCTTGTGATAAACAAAAACCTTGTGAGTGGTAATTGGGATGGCTATCAATTTGACAGGATCTTTCAAATATTGTTGAACACTAGGCCCATTTTGCACCGACGAAAAGCTACGACTCGACACACGACACCCAAAATGCCACATAGGCTTGCAATCCATATTCAGTTTCGTAACAAATCGGTTTTTATAAAATGTTCAATTGTCCCTCAACTCTGGCAGCAAAACCAGAGGCTTCAAGTACCAAGTAATTAAGTCAATTCTTATGAGAACAACGAAAAAACCTCCAAAAAGCTTCAAAAGAGCTCGAAAAAGATCCTGATCAACGCAACCTTTGTCGGTGACAGCAACCGTAATTGAAAATGGGCTTTAAAGGCTAGCTAATGGTGCATTTGTCTTATGTGTCAAGTATGGTAATGTCGATTACCTTATAAATTATATGGAAAATCTACAATATTATTAGAACATCATTGAAATAAGATACCTTTAAAGTTCGGAAAGCAAGATCTTTTGACCTTTCAAGCTTCATTTCAAGCCGCTTTCGAGCTCCAAAGTAGGCTAAAATGAGTAAAAGTCGACGTCCGGATGATGAGGAAGAAGAGAGGCAAAAAAAAGCAGAAAAAGAGCTTCAATTACACGATTTCGGGCAACGCAACTCGCACAGATCCCAATCGCGTGAAAGGTCAAACAGCCGTACCAAAAGCAGCCATAAGAGCCAAGAGGAAACAAAGTTGAAACTGCTGAATCCATATGGTCTAAGTGCATCGACTGTTCCTCCATTCGCCTTGGATGAGCAACTAAAGATGCACCGACGTCAGGGCACACAAAATCAAGACGGAGCGTCCCAAATCGTTAAAGATCCGCACAAACAAAATGATTTAAAGCAACAACAACAATGCTCGTCGAAAGACCCCTTTTTGGTTTCCCATAACGACAACTGGGACCAATTTGTGGAAAATATAGGCTCCAACGTCGCATACTTACATAAAGCGGCAGAGGATAACGAGACCGGCTCAGCTCCCGAAGGCGCATCTAGCAGCTCTTCTAAGACCGAAACAACATCCTCCTTCAGTGAAGACACAAAGCATTTCGAAAAAAATAGGAGAACAGCATCTCGAACTGCTTCGAAAGACATTTTTGCCAACCTTGATGACTCCTGGGGTGGTAGCGAGAGACTTAACGCCATCTTTAATGGACCGCTCTTAGACAGCAACAAGTTCACCAACAACCAGGACCGCCAGGATTGGTCAGATTACTTGGAATCGGTCAAAGCTTTTTACTATCGTGATGGAGGGCTGGAAAATCCCGATCTCGAGGCTGGGGTCCAAGCAGAAGACCCAACATCAAACGGCGACAACAATAAGCTGCAGGCATTTTTGGAGAAACAAAAGCTGGACTTTAAGCAAAAACGCAAGCATTGGAGACAATTGGAGCGCCAGAAGAAGCAGAAATGGCTGCCCACGCTTCGCAAACTGATGTTGGACAACCAGTACTTGCCCCTCGGATTCCGCATGTCGATCGTGATTTTAAGCATTATTGCGTTAGGGCTAGCCATAAGGATCTTCCAGAATTCAAACTCGCGAGTAGAAGTAGTAGGAGCTTCGATTCCACAGCAGGCTAGTACGGTCATGGCGATATGCGTCAATTCCATCGCCGTGCTATACCTATTCTACATTGCGTACGATGAATTTTCGGGCAAGCCGCTCGGATTGAGGAATCCTTTTGGAAAACTAAGACTCATTCTGCTAGATCTGCTCTTCATCATTTTTTCCAGTGCCAACCTAGCACTGACGTTTAACACGCTTTACGACAAACAATGGGTGTGTACTGCGGGCGAATACACCAAAGAGCAACTACCAAAGATTGATTACATCTGTAGAAAGCAGAGAGCGTTGGCATCTTTCCTGTTTGTCATGCTTTTCTTATGGGTAACGACGTTTTCCATAAGCATTCTCAGAGTGGTCGAAAAAATGAACTCGAGCTCGCCCAGATAGGTCTTTTTGGGTTGGCGAGTTCCGCATTCAAAAGACAAAGATGTATCAAAACGTCCATTGACAATTGTTCGATCTCTCTCACCATAAGACGATAAAATGGTGCTGAACTCTTCATACTCTTCAAACTTCTACTTGGCGATGAGCCGTGTATAATGATATTTCAATAAGGCATTTTAAATATGGGAATCAACGTCACAGATTCTGATCGTTACCAAAGCGAAACAACGGTTTTAGGCTAGGATACTGGCTTGATTAGACCACAAATCTTGCGATTGGAAATCAGAACACGATGGCTGATGCCCTGCCCAGACCTGACGATCTGGAAGCGACCTGGAACTTTGTAGAGCCCGGAATCCACCAGATCTTGGGACGAGATGGCACACCGTCTTCTGCATTGAAAAGGGTCGATAAGGTACTTTCTCCAGCCATGTACATGGAAGTATACACTGCGATTTACAATTACTGCGTCAACAAGTCGAGCTCTGCTGGCCAATTCAATACAGACAACAACAGACAGAGCCAATCGTCGTTGCTCGTGGGAGGAGAGATTTACCAGAAGCTGCAAAGATGCCTGAAGGATTACCTGTGTAAGTTGGAGAGGGACGCCAATGAAAGCTTTTTGCACTTTTATGTAAGACGTTGGAAAAGGTTCACGGTAGGTGCGATTTTTTTGAACCACGCGTTTGACTACATGAATCGTTACTGGGTGCAGAAGGAGCGTAGTGATGGGAAAAGACATATCTTCGATATCAATACGCTGTGTTTGATGACATGGAAAGAAGTTATGTTCGACAAAAACGTGGACCAGCTGGTGCAAGAAGTAATGCAGGTTATCACTCTGCAGCGTGACGGGTGTGCAATCTCGCACACTGATGCCAATGTGGCCATAAGATCGTTTGTGGCTTTGGGCATCGACCCCCAGGATCTTAAGAAGCTCAATCTTAATGTCTACATACAGTATTTTGAGAAGCCCTTCTTGGAGTACACACGGGCCTATTACAAAAGATTTTCAGAACAGTTTCTGGAGAATCGCACCGTTGCGGAGTACATTTTCGCAGCTCAGGAAAAGATCAATGACGAAGAGAGCAGGATTGTGCTTCATCTGGACGAACACACTAAGAAGCTTTTGTCTGAGGCACTTAACGCTGTTTTGATCACCGATCATTCGCAAGCGCTTGAGGGTGAATTTGTATCCTTATTGGACTCAAGGGATGAGCACAAAATCTCTACGCTTTACGGGCTCATGCAGCGTGATATTCTGCTTCTCCCAAAGCTTGCACAGGCGTACGAGACTTATGTGAGGCAGGCAGGTGAGGCAGAAATTTCTCGCCTGATTGCCAACACCAAGGCCAGGTTGAATGAGGTGGCTGATGAAAGCGCGCCTCAGAAGAAGGCAGGTGCCAGTTTCACCGTTCCTCCTAACGAGTACGTTAAGAAGCTTATCGAAGTCTACGAAACGTTTACCAAGATCACGAAGGACTGTTTTCAGAATGGCCCGCTGTTCACCAAAGCACTTGACAATGCATGTCGTGCGTACATCAATGTCAACGAGCTTTCGATTCCGCCAGGCTCACCCAAATCAGCTACGTCGAAGACTCCTGAGATGCTGGCCAAGTACAGTGATCTCCTGCTCAAAAGATCTAATAAAACTGCCGAAACCTCATCTGCTCTTTCTGCTGATGACATCATGACTATTTTCAAGTTTTTGACGGACAAGGATGCCTTTGAGAACCACTACAGACGTTTGTTTGCCAAGAGATTGATACACGGGACGTCAACCTCGGAGGAAGACGAGGAAATGGTTATTCAGCGTCTTCAGAGTGAAAATAGCATGGAGTACACGGGTAAGATTACTAAAATGCTACAAGATATTCGCTTGTCGAAGCAGCTCGAGGTTGAATTTGAGAGTGCCATCAAGATTGCACCAGATTACACAAGAGAGAGATATCCAGATTTTCAACCGTTTGTGTTGGCGGAAACCATGTGGCCGTTTTCTCACCAGGACGTGGAATTCAATCTGCCACAAGAGCTCACACCCACGCACGGTGGGCTCGAGAAACTATACTCTAATAAGCACAGCGGGAGGGTACTCAAGTGGCTATGGCCACTGTGCCGAGGCGAGATGGTCGCCGACATTGGCAAGCCGGGCAGACCACCTTTTGTGTTTACGGTGACCTTGTTCCAGATGTCGATTCTACTTATGTTCAACGAGAGGTCGAGCGTGACGTTGGAGGAAATCCAAGAGTACACCAATCTGAGCACCACCAATATTGCGTCTTCCCTGATTCCGTTTATTAGATGGAAACTGCTGCAGCAGACTCCGGTCGGGCTGGACGCATTGTCCAAGCCAGACACGGTGTTCAAGATCATGACTCCCTACAAGGCGCTCAAGACCAAGATCAATTTTGCTGCAGGGGTCAAAAGCGAAGTGCCTGGCTTGGGTGGTGCCGGCAACGGGGTGGGTGCAAATGGCACTACCAGCGCTGCGGAACTTTCGGAAGCGCAGAAAATCGAGAAGGAGCTCAACACCGAGCGCCAGATCTTTTTGGAGGCTTGTATTGTGCGGATCATGAAGGCCAGACGCAAGCTTCCCCATGCCACGCTCGTGAACGAATGTATTGCACAGTCTCACCAGCGGTTCAACGCCAAGGTTTCGCTGATCAAACGGGCCATAGACAGCCTGATTGCCAAGGAGTATCTACAGAGATGCAGCGACGGTGAGAGCTACGAATACTTGGCGTAGGAGACACACTTGGAAGAAGTGACAAGACTTAAAGATGCGGCCAGTGCGGTCAAAAAAAAGCCCGAAAATTGGCAATTGGCCCGTATTTTTTCGCAGTCTACAACGCTAGCCAGTTTCCAGCCCACAGTCTCCATCTACAATTCGTTTCCCGGTGTCCCCATTCGAAATACCAAACAATTGCACATCCATTTTTCGCTTTATTCCCAAAATCCTGGCTAACTCGCTATTAGGTCTTTCAAATTCAACACTGCTGCACCATCTGCTGCACCACAACCGTCTACCACCATGTCCATCACGCTTGCCCTTGCCAGCCGTTCCCACGCATCCCATCCCAAATTTTCGTCACCTTTCCTGTCTCTCTGGCTAGTTGCCGTGCCAAACTGTGTCGTCGTCGCTTCTTCACCATAGTGACGTTGCTCATGCTGGAAAAAAAAATCTTTTGGAAAATTCCACTGGAATTCGAATAGTCATAGGATCATGACCAAGTTCAGAATAGCGGTGCAACTTTGATGAATGTATGAGTAACAATCCATACAGTCCGAAGCTCTTTTCAAGCTTGTTGGTTGTCAAGAATCTGCTCTGAAAAATAAAGCTATAAAGAGAGAGAGGTTGTGAAAAATTTTGGACGTTTGAAAAATAAGTTGAATTCTTGTGAAGAACGCTAGCTATCTCATCAATTCACACTTGCATTCAATCCGTCGGTAGGATATTGAAGATCGGTTTTTTGACCAGTTTGTTGCCAAGAGAATAAGCCAGAATCGAACTAAGAATTGAGCCCAAAAATCAAAAACCCAGAAACCAAAATGAGCGAATCAGAGTTCCAGCAAGTCACAGAGTCTGCTACCAGATCAGAAACCACATCACACAATCCATATGGACCCAACCCTGCGGATTTTTTGTCAAATGTCAACAGTTTCCAGCTGATAGACTCGACTCTAAGAGAAGGTGAACAATTTGCAAATTCGTTTTTCGACACCGAGAAGAAAATCGAGATTGCCAAGGCGTTGGACGACTTTGGCGTGGACTACATTGAGCTCACGTCCCCTGTGGCCAGCGAGCAGAGTCGTCACGACTGCGAAGCCATCTGCAAATTGGGCTTGAAAGCGAAAATCCTAACGCACATCAGATGCCACATGGACGACGCTAAGGTGGCCGTGGAAACCGGCGTGGACGGCGTGGACGTGGTGATTGGAACGTCCAAGTTTTTGAGACAGTACTCGCACGGGAAGGACATGAACTACATCGCCAAAAGTGCTATCGAAGTCATCGAATTTGTCAAATCCAAGGGCATAGAAATTCGATTCTCGTCTGAGGACTCGTTCAGATCCGACCTTGTGGATCTGCTGAATATCTACAAAACCGTCGACAAAGTCGGTGTCAACAGAGTTGGTATTGCCGACACCGTTGGCTGTGCTAACCCAAGACAAGTGTACGAGCTGATGAGAACGTTGAAAACGGTTGTGTCGTGCGACGTGGAGTGCCATTTCCACAACGACACGGGCTGTGCCATTGCCAACGCCTACACTGCTCTAGAAGGTGGAGCCAAGCTGATCGACGTGTCCGTTCTTGGTATCGGTGAGAGAAACGGTATCACTCCCCTTGGAGGATTGATGGCCAGAATGATTGTGGCCGCCCCTGAGTACGTCAAATCCAAATACAAGCTGCATAAAATCAGAGATATCGAAAACTTGGTCGCTGAGGCTGTAGAGGTCAACATTCCATTCAACAATCCTATCACCGGGTTCTGCGCATTCACTCACAAGGCTGGTATTCACGCCAAGGCTATTTTGGCCAACCCTTCCACCTACGAGATTCTAAATCCTCACGACTTTGGTTTGAAAAGATATATCCACTTCGCCAACAGGCTGACTGGATGGAATGCTATCAAGTCGAGAGTCGATCAGCTAAACCTGGTTATGTCTGATGCTCAAGTCAAGGAAGTTACCAATAAGATCAAGAGACTTGGTGATATCAGACCGCTCAACATTGACGATGTGGACTCCATCATCAAGGATTTCCACAGCGAGATCAGCACCCCTCAATTGGAGAGTTTGAGAAAGACCGACGTTGAAGATGTCGACGTTGAAACTATCGACCTTGCTCAACCCCCTGTCAAAAAGGCGAAAACTGATCAGTAAAGGACGACGGGCGCCGGCGTCAAGCATTTTATTTACATCACATACTTTTTTGAAATGAAAATTCTTATCCTCTACTCTAGTCGGTGCTGTTAGTGCTAACATCACAGCTGGTATACGTAAAGTGATCCGTTATCAGCGCTCATCATCACTTTTCGAGAATCCTTGTCGTAGTCTATATCGATAACGCTAACAGGTCTTTGCAGCTCAGCCGTAAAGTCCACAAGACGCTCTTTTGAAGTGACGTCGAATAAGCTGTTACCACAGATGATGTGTTGATCGTCATTGATGAAACGATTTCTGATCAAAAATTTGTTGGAATTGTCATTGAAACTAGCGTCGATGACACCCAAACTTCTGAAATCTCGAGTTGGATTTTGCTTGGCATCTTGTAGACAAATCTCATTGTCAAAGCCAAAACTGCACATTTTGAGTCCTGAGGTAACATCGATCGATGTGACAGAGTCTGAATGCTGATTCTCGAGACAAAACAACTCTTGTCCTGTAGGATCTCTCAAATCATAAGCTGTAATTGTAGGATCAAGTCCGGATGTGTAGAATGTATGATTATCAGCCGGTGCGACAACTGTGAATAGTGGAAATTCCGTACTTACTTCCCACACGGGCTTTTTTTGATGAGTGTCCCAAAGTTTCGCACTTCCATCATCGCTGACCGATACGAACTTGTCATTCGAGAGAGGATATATCTGGTTTACAGCTCTGGTGTGGCCAGTGTAATTTCGCAGCTTTTGGCCTGTTTGTATGTCTACCAATGCAATTTGAGAGCTGGAAGCTCCAGCGACGACCAATGGACCATCCAGGGTCGCTAAGGCGGTAATTGCTGGGCTTTGACGGAATAAGTTTTCTATCACATAATTTTTGGAGTTTGGTAGGTCCCAGACACTCAAATGAGCGTCGAGACCAGAAGAGATCGCTGTAGTGCCGGAATTTAAGAATTTGCAGGCCAGAACGGCGCTTTCGTGGCCTTTTGAAAGCTCGAGCAGCGGTGAGTCATTGGCCGGGATCAATGACATTACCACAGACTTGAATTCTTACGTATTGTTGAGATTTCCGTTAACGATTTGAAGATGAGATGAGATGAGATGAGATGAGATGAGATGAGATGAGATGGTGATAGTTGTGGTGAAAATGAAAAAAAATTGGTTCTTGGAGAAGACCAGCGGCAATAGCGTAAACTTGAGAGCTCAGTGAATTGTCTGGTCAGATTGAGAGAGATTCTCGGGTGGTTTTTCGGTTTGGTTGCGAAAATACTACTTTTTTTACAGAAATTTGAGTTTTTGGTATTTATATGCTGTCATGATGGGTATTGTTGTTGAACGTGTGGAGCTTCGAGGGAATGAAGGGTTTGGTGAATTGTTCAAGTGTGGTAGAGCAGTATTCGGTAGTGTTTTGATGGAAACAGTGGATATTTTGGCTGGTTGCGCCAGAGAGGTACAAAGTGATATGGATTTTGATTGGCTTATTCGAAGAAGAGATGAAAAAGTGTGCGGGAAGTGAAAGGGGGGCGAAGCTTGTGTGAAATCTGAACATAATGGATCCATTTAAGGAGAGATAAATGCCTCGGTTCCTCTTTCCAGGGGCTTCGAACAAAAGAGCGGGAAAAAACACCAAGTCACTATGTACGATCTCATTCTACAAGTTCAAATAGAGGTGTAAAGATCTCAACCTAATAGCCTACCTTTCTCAAAAAACTGATGAGAAAAATAAATACACACATCGTGAATACAGGTACTCAAGAAAGCTTTCTCTCGACTCTAAAAGATAATCTCCCCACACAATCACTATATACGAAAAAATGTTTAGTCGCTACACTCAAGTGTCAGTAAAGTTACTAGAATTATAAACGAACAAACACACAAAACACACCGAATCCATATACAATGGTTCTTACTTTCACCACACGACTTGAAATCCTTTCTTCTCACAATCTCTCACAACCTACCACTGCTTTTAAAACTCCCGTTAAAACTCCCGTCCACGTGACCCAATTTTCTCTTTTGGCACTATTTAATTGGTCAAATATCCATTTTCTCAGCCTTTAAAGGGACCGCAACCTAATACACGGGTAAAATTAAGGTTTCAAGGCTTTCAAACTTCTAAAACTCACTTCCGTTCCATTAAAGATTCAAAGAATTTACTCTTTTAGCCTTCATTTTTAAAGCTTGACGAGTACTGTCCAAGACTCCATATTCTTTTACACAAACAGCAATTCCACAATGCTAGCCGCTACAACTCGCAATACCCTTAGACAGTCGCTAAAACTGCAATGCGGTACCGCCGCCAGATTCTACACGGATGGGTCCACGGGCTCTCCAAGAGGTGAGAGTGCCGATGACGCTTTCTCCAAGAGAGAGCGTGCTCAAGAAGACTACTACGTTAGAAAACACGAAAAGGAACTGCTAGCACAACTAAAACAAAAGGTTTCGGAGCAGCAGAAGAAAATCGACCACTTGGAGGGAAAATTGGAAGGGAAAAAGTAAAATGAATGAGCCAAAGAACAAAAAACAACCCCGAAAACAAGCTGGGTCGGGGTCGTCCTTCATCATGATGTTTGAGGTTCCTACACTGGCCCGGGATACGTGGGTAAAAAAGCCTTGCCACCAGTATATATTCTTCTAACCATTTTTTTTTTGTTTTTGTTTTTTGGGTGACACATTTGTTGTTTTCGGAGCGAAATGGCCAAGTGGTGACACTCAACAACTCTAAGCGAGTGATAACTAGCATCGGAAACGCACTGGAAAGCTGTGGAGGGGCCAACTATGAGTGCTAAACTTGACCCACAGGCCCAATCATCCAGTACGTCACGGTAGAACACATATGTCGCTATATATATAAGAATATATATATATATATATATATAAGAAAGACAGCTCAGACTCAGTCTTGTAAACTCTGACCACCACCATAACCACCGAAACCTTCCAATTCCTATTCTACATCCTATTCTATATCCAATGGTTGACCCGTGTAAGCCTCAAGCGTGTGCTATTCAAGGTATGGTTTTTCTACTGATTGAACAGCTTTCTAGCCATAATGTATAATTACATGCTAATAAGAACCCTCACTAACAATTATGCTCTCAACACACACACAGCCTGTTTGACGAAAACTGGATTTGACGAAAGTAAGTGTACGCAAGTGATCGACCAGCTTTACGAATGCTGTACAAAGTTCTACCAAGAGAAAGGTGGGGATGCCCGTACACCTTGCTGTCCCATCCCCAGGCTGTTGAACCTTAAGCTCGAACAACGCAATAAGGAGCCCTTGGACGCAAGGCTTCTATGAAAAACGTCCAGTGCGTCCCGCTCCTTGACTCCATCCTTTTACAAAGAAACCAGAAAAATATACATTTAGGGCCGCGTAGCCTGTCCACTTGGAGGCAAAGCCCCCAGAACAAGGCACGACATTGAAAGGCCGGTCAAAACGCGGTGGGTCCATTTAATCCCATCAATTTTAATTACTATAAGACTACCGCGAGCACGAAGATACAGGCCTTGGAGCATCCTGCATGCGCAACATTCACGGAAGAGATAGAACGTGCCGTGACTCTGGGTGTCTAAAAAGACATTGTATGGTTTCTTTAAAAGGAAGAGGAAAGTAGTCATCAGAGGGAAGAAATCAATTTTTCAACGACGCCTTTTTATACCAAACCGGGGTCTGGGCCGGGTAACTTTGATTACTGAATAATTTGGATATAGTGATATTGCATACTAGGGCCCACAATAAGTAGAAATGTCAGCTTGCAACGAAAAAGATTCGTTATTCCTGTCATCTTCAACATCTTGTCAGTCTGCTAGGAAATTGAACACTTGAAATCTACACTTATCGAGCAGAGCCCTTTTCAAAGTTTCTGCCACGAATGACAATTCAGTGACACTATCGTACAAAGTGATAACTCTACGAAGTGTGTAGTGTCAGTGCCGTGATCTATCCCAAACCACGCCAGGTCTCAACGACGACACTCAACACTCTGTTGTCATGCTTCTCAAAGATTCACTCGCTACCATTCCCGCATTTCTCTCATGTAAAATATGCTCTTAAATTTTGTTTTCTATTCCAGTATGTACACCTATCTACACTCAATCGTACTCTCGGACGTCTGAAATGTACCCTTTATAGCAGCTGTTTTCGGTGACCCAGAGTCGGGTCCCGCTGACATTGCTTGCGCTATTTTCCATTTTGGCATTTTTTTCAAACTCCTGCAGTGCTTGTTTCACTGACGCCGGCTGTATTCCCAAGTCTTCGAGCTGCTTGCGAAGCAACGCAACGTGCAATGCGACTTTCAACTCGCGTGTTTGAACACGCTTGCGCTCGTTCAAGATTTGCAGCTCCCGTTTCTTGCGGTTTGCGTTAAACTCTTTGGTCACCAAATCCTGCGTTTGTTTAAACTGTTCGGCGTCTTGCTCGAGCTTCGCTTCTAATTTCAATCTCACACGATAACTGTCGAACGCTAGCAATGACATTGCCAATACGGAAATGACAGTAGCCAGTTCCAGCAGATACTTGCGCGGAGGATTTTGAACATGATTTCCCGCATTTGTAGGTGAAGTAGCTATTGAAGTAGGTACTGAATTAGGTACTGAAGTAGGTACTGAAGTCGGTACTGAAGAGACTACGGGTCGTGGTGTGGAGCCTGCGAAATATGTAGGAGGCGTACTATACCAGTGACGTCCCAATGGCACATATAGACGGGATGACAGCCTTTTCAGCATTACAAGTACGCCTAATGGAGAGCCTTTGAACAAATCTTGGTGCAGGGTTTCGATGAAATTTCAATAATTTAATGTATGCATATATAATTTAAGATTAGCTCAGATAGCGTGAACTTCGACGTCGCCATGAATGTGAAGTGATCTTTATCAGAATGGCTTCAACATCTGAGCTACCCTCATCAAACATCGGTAGCAGCGCTGCCTGACGCTTCCTGCGCTTGAATTGCGCTTTTTGGATAACGTTTTTAAACGGAGGCTAAGTTACAAAAATGTATTCTACTTGATACTGAATACGTCTTATGGACCCAGATGAGATTATTGGTTGTGAATAGGGGACTGGCTCGCTTAGTGACGACGAGAAGCGGTGATGATGTCGTTCATCTCCTCGACCTTAGCCTTGGCTCTGCCAAAGGTACCCAATCTCTTCTTGGCCACCTTTCTGGCTCTCTTTTCACCAGCGTTTCTGATCAAATCGATCAATCTTCTTTCGTATGGGGCCAAACCGGCGACTTCCTTGACCAAAGATCTGACGAACTTGGTTCTGTTGGAAGAAGCACCCTTTCTGTAGGAGATCTTTGGGGCTGGGGTCATGGCGTTGACCTTCTTACCCTTGTTCAAACCAGTAGCGATACCTGAGAAAGAGGGGAAAAAGTTAGTAAAAATTGCATTGAGGACGTCACAAGCAGTGTTGTCGATGTGGAGAAGACGTAGGGCTTTTCGAGGACATAGCTTTGTTTGTTGTCTTTTTGAAGAATGTCATAGGTTCAAAGTCAAAGGATGGAGTCCCACTAGTCGAAAGATGCTATTTCAAAAACCATGCGTGGTGTTTTAATCTTGACGATTTCGTCATTCATTTTCTAAACCGGGATTTTTATGCCATTATTTCCCACAAATCCTCGTTTCCACGTATTATCAATCCAGACCAGCGGTGTAATGGTATTTGTCTAGTCTAAAGTTCACGTATTGTGGTTCATTCTTCCAGTTCTGTAGTATGCGGTCTTTTCATACCGAAATTTCATCCAATGTCGTCCAATTTCGTCCGTTTTCGTCGCTTTCCCTATGTTTCGCACGGCTTTCAACACACGCACACACTCTCCTGTCGTTCAAATTCAGTTTCCATGGTTCACATACCAGATTTAACGGCCATTGTTACTCTATTGTCAGTGCTTGAGATCTAGTTTCAATCTTCACTGGAAGGGCCACTTCTAAAACTTGAATTAGTTTTATTAAACCGATGCTATGCCTGCACCACTCTTCCTACACACAGCTCTCCCACGCTGCGAGGGAAAATTTTCCAGCCTAGACATAGACACTGGAGGGGACTGGCCTGTCTAGCGGGACCTCACTAGGCGGAGGGTCTGGTACTGGGTGGTGGGAGAGGCGTAGCGGTAGACAGAAGCTCTGCCTAGAGTCGTCTGCCTGGCTTTAGAGAACCTTCCCACGCACAGGAGACGGGCGCTGCCTACAAGGCGAGTCATTTAGCCTGGGGCCGTCCATTTAGACACGATGTCCCATAGTACGGTTTATGATAAAAATTTCTGAATTTTTTACTTTTTTGGAAAACTCGAGGATGTACGGATGTAAAAACAGTCACAGGAGAGATGAGTAGGTCATTGACAACGAATGCTGGAATGCGTTGAACTACTGCCTATATACAATGAATGGGTCTGATAAAGTAGTAACTGGAGAATGGAAACAGAGAAAAAAACGACAAAAGAAGAAACACCGTGCTTTGATGGAAGCAATCGCTCTTGAACCTAAGACCCAAAAACCTGAGACCAGATTGAAGCATTTGTGTGGGCTACATACAAAAACAGCACAAAAAAATAAACTATTAAATAAGGTCACGTGACCGACTGGGAGTTTTGATTCCGGCTCCAGTTCCCGTCCCCGCTAGTCTACTCTGCGTATACGCTATCGTCATAAAATAAACACTACCAAGAACTCTCTTGCCTCGTAGCTGCTTCGTTTCGCTTTATATATATACATGCTTAGAACTGACTTAGACACTCACAGTCTTCAGATCAAATCCGCGACGCTGCAGCATTTCCAACACCTGCACAGCACTCGCGTCCTTGTGCTGGTCCAGAAATTGCCGGTAACTCAAGTCTAACCCGTCGACTCGGTGCTCCAGTTTTTCCAATGGGTACAGATGTTGCATTAGCTTACGACGGCCGCACGTAACGCGGATCGTATTGCCTGCCACAGGTGCCTCGAAGAAAACCCGGTGTTTAACACCATCGGTGCCCTCCACATCGTAAGCGTCCTTGTGTGGCGGGTTTTCGCGCAATTCCTGCTTCTGCAGCACACGGTAGCGGAGTTTCCATCCAGTAGGACCCAATTCCTTGATCCGCGCTGATTTGTCTTTAGTTAGATAGTTATCGATACCGCCCTCTTTGGTTATCGTTCTAAGCACTTTCGCAGTCATCCGTATGCTGATTTTGCGGTCCAAACTTTCACTCCATAATCCCTTTCTCACCACGTTTGGCAACCATCTTCTACGGGTCTTGGTCTTGGATTCCGCAATGTTGTTACCGTATTGCACAAATGATCCACCATAAAGACCCTTGTTACTTTGCTTGAAAATTTTCGATTCGCCAAACTTGTATTCTGGAAACACTTTGCGCTGTTTGGGCACATACACAGGCCGTGCGTCACCAATTTTGAACTCTGGCTGTTTAGCAACACTCCTGCTTTCAACAAGCCTCCACTCTCTCAGCAGTCTAGGAGCAGTAAAGATTCCTCTTCTTAGGCTCGGCATTTGAAACAACATCCCACCAGATGAGCGATGACTTTGCTGGAGTCTTCAGCTTCGATTTGGTTCTGCCTTTCAACTTTCAAAGTTCAGTTAGAATTTTTGAAATTTAAATTAGACCTTCGAAATATCGAAAACGCAGTAAAGGTTAGATCACTACAGTTTGGACAATGATAGGCCTTCCACCTATTAGAGACAATAGCGTTTATCATTTCCAAACCTTTCGTAGTGTCTTCCAGTTTCCCGTATTTGCAGCGGTTCCCGTTTTTGATTTGCCATGTCTGGCATTCGTAAGTTGGTGTTCAAGTTCAACAATTCTCTCTTGTAGTTCTTGGTTGGCATTCATGACTTCTAGGTTGCGAGCCATGGTTTCCTTTAGATCGGCACGCAAGTCCGTGGGTATCTGCGAATCAGGATTGGGTAGCGTCTGTTTTCGAATTTCTTCGCGAAGTTGAACCTTGAGCTGCTTCACTTCCGATTGTAGGTCCTGATTTTGATCCTGAAGCGTTTCCAAATGCAATCTATTTTCAATCAACTCATTCGCGATGTTGATGTGCTCTCGGTTCAAGACAGTGTGGTCTCGCTCGAGTTTGCGGACTTCATTGTGCAATTGTTTGTTCTTTATACGGAGTGTATCCAATTGCGCCTCTTTCTGCGATTCCAGAAGATGGATTTCTTTATACTCGGCAATGTACCTTCTCAGAGATATGGGAGTAATGCTTATCTCATGCATGGCATCTTTGACAAATGCATTGACCGCGTAGTCTTGTTCTGTCAACACTGCCCTTTCTTCCTGGGAACTTATCTTGTAAATTCCAGATCCACTTTTGGAACCATCGGGTGTCTTTAAGTAGTACTCAAAAAGGCCATTCTTCAGGAACTCCAAAAGCTGCTCAAACTGCAACGTCATCAAGACTTTTTCATTTTTGAGCATCAGCACGGACGCAAATTTCAATATGGCTTCCAGCCCCTCCACGAAAACGACATCAAGTATGCGGAGAACAAAGCATAGCGGAAATCGATATGCAAAGCAAGTCAAAAACCATTGCGAAGCATACATCGAGGACCTAACCCCTTGTCTTGCCAAATGATTGTAAAGCGAGGGGGAGTTTTCCTCTATCAGTCTGTCAAATTGATACAGCTTAAGATGCAGCCCCGGCATGTTTGGCAGGTAAAGTTCTCTTAAACCATATCCCACCATCAAACTAATCAAGAGTCCAAAAGCCTCTGATTCTGATTCCACGTTCAGCAGCAATGCGGTGGCCACAAACGCCATGCCTTGAGTATATCCAACTTCAGGATCATGCAATGAGTAGGCTTTTAAAACTCCGAATAGCGATCCTGCTTTTTCTTGAGGTATAAATGCCGTTCTTGAAAGATCCCTCTCAATAGCCTTCTCGTGCGGAGATTCAAGGCTCTGGAGATTTGCGTATTCAACGTCAATTTCTTTAGATTTGGACGAAGATAAAAGTTGCCATATTATGCCACGGACTTGCGGCGGTATTCCGCCAGCGATTTCCTGCTCAAGTTTAAAGGAGTCTTTTTTGGCAACTTCCGCGTAGTTGCTCACAAGTCGGGTCCAAAAGGGCCAGTCCACCGTGGTGAGCTCATCATTATCTTCATCAGAATCGTCTTTCTGCGGTGATAGGCCCTGAGAAGGCTCCACGGTCTCCAAGAAGGCGGTGTAGCTCGACTTCAAAACTCGGGCACCTTCTTGTAGATTTTCTTGCGTGGTGTCATCTTTCGACATGTAATCGTCTTCATTTTCTTGAAACCTACTCAATACAAGGTCGAAGTCCGCGCTTACGGATCTCTTGTGACTTGATCTTGGCGGCACAGGTGGTGGTGGTGGTGGTCCTGATTTCACATTCAGCGCAGCGATTGAGCTGCGGAACACATCGGACTTCAATTCCTCTTCCAATGGAGGAGGAACTGCATGAATTGGTTGCGGGGTGTCTTTTAAAACGTCGCTGGGCTTACGGGAGGGCAAGGGTGGTGGCAGGTCCTGAACGTTACCATGTTCTGTTGTGTGCATTAGAGTTGACTCCTCGGGCTCTTTTTCAGGTACATTTGATGGTTCTTCGATGACACTGGCTGGCCGATCGCCATTGTGGGGCTCCTCAACAGTTTCAGCTGCTAAATTTTCCTCTGCTTCTCTTTCAGTATTTGCACTCACATCAATTTCAGCTTCATCTCCATAAGCCGATAAGCTTACTTCTGATCCCGAATCGTTCTCTACTCCAGTTTCGAGCTCAGCTTGCTTAACTTCAGTTTCATCACTATTGGTAGGCGTGTCTGTTACTGATGGAGGTTCATCAACACGTTCCGCAGTAGTTTTAACCTCATCGAGTTCATCATTTTCGGCATTTGCTATCGTTTCCTCAATTTTAGCATCCGTTTCAACCACTTGCAGCGCCTGTGGATCACTGACGCTTGCACTAAGTTTGTTGAAGTCCTCGTTAAACTTGTCTAGATCGTTCTCGAGCTTTTTATCTTGAACTTCTGTGTAGTTTGTGTTTCCCGATTCGATGCTGGCTGTACTTGCAGACATTTTGAATGGGCTTAGTGTTTGTCAAGCAGCACCAAAAAGTTGCCTGAACACTTTTGTTTTCAACTTTTCAACTGTTTCCCTGAGTTCACGGTTGAATTAGAATATTGATGATTCCTTAATTGTGAAGAAAGAGCTTCGATCACTGTTAAAAGTGTAAATCGTTGGTGAAGAGGAAAACCCAACAGGAGCCTGAGATAGTATCAGTTGACTCGAGTATCTGGGATTTCACACCGTAGTAGAGATTTTTATTCAGTATCTCGGAACAGATATCTTTCTCTTGTGAACAATACAGTTGGTGAGTCGCAGGAATCCGTTTGTGGGTTCTAACAGACTTGCATCATATTCATGAGAAATCTTGGTCGCTAACTTGCCTTTGATTTTATGATGGATTCCGATTTTTGACGTTGCATTCGATCCTCGCAGGAGGACTTGATCTGTTGGAATTGATGTTACTGATGCTTTAAGGGTCCTAAAACGTTGAAATCGAGAAGCTAACCAAAAGTTTCCAGGATTTTCGAATCAATCTCTTGGGTGTGGCTTGTTGCATCTGAAGTTTAAAAGAAGCTCTCTGAAAGGCTTTCTTTCGCATCTGTTGGGATTCTTTTGTTCTTGTTCTTTCTTGGAAATGACGCCCAACACGGCTGTCTCCCATCGATCCCCGTTTTTCAAAGGGAATGTTCACACGGCGATATGTGATGGTTTATGAATCATTTCAGCTTTTCCATAACGATGGATCTTGTTGTTAAGTTACTGTTCTTGTGCATACTTTCATGGATCAAAAAGTGCTGGGCGGCTATCTCGAGTTTAAACAATAAAACGGTGAAACACAAAGTCACGTTATACGATAGCCACGTGCCGAAGCTAAGCTGTGAAGAAGCACGTGAACTTGAATATTTATTGAATAGACCTAATAGCGTAAACACCATCAAGCAACTATAGAGCTGCAAGACCCTGACAGCATAATCTGAATGAAGCTCGTCAGGTAGTGGAAAGAAAGAAAACAATTGTAATCCTAAAAAAAAAATGTAGCAAACCTGTCAACTGTGCTCCCTTTAGCGATCTCCCTAAGCCTGGGACGATAACACTGAAAACTCCGAAAAATGTGTTTCTGACGTCGAAGACGATGAGAGAACAGAACCGAAATCTGACGTTGAACGACAACTTCGAGGGCCCAAGTCGTTTTCGAAAGCATCAGGCCAAGGCTCTTGCCGCCTTGAGCTGTGCTTAGGGTTCGCTTGTTGTTCAGGAAGAACTAGTCCCAGAGTTAAGCCCAAATCTCGCATTAAAACCTCTGCCTCGTTCATTGTGAGGTTCGGAAACCGAACCCGGACGTAGGACTCACCAAACTCCAAAGGCAAAGCACCGTAGTTTTTGTGAATGGTTCGCACACTTTCCTCAATTTCTCGCATCCGCGTGTTGCAAGTCATGAGCTCGTGACGCCAGTTGTCGAGTGCTTCGTCGCTCGCAAAGACAAAAGTGGGCATCTTCGACACGTCAAGGCGTGGCAACTGGAACTCGACGACACAGCCTAACGATTCGGTCTCATTTTCGTCGTCAAAAACCAACTCTTGTCTGTGATCTTGGATCATACGACACACCTCCATTGCACGAATCATTGAGATGGCTTGGTTGCCCAAAGGTTTCGTGCCTGCACCAGATTCACGCAAAGCAAGTTTGCCGGTGTTATGCTGCGTGTCAAGGGGAGAGAACCCCTCCCAAAGGTTGAAAAAACACCGCAGAGAGATGGATAGGTTTTGGGCTGCATCGTGGGTGATTTTAATGGCAGACGTCGAGTAAGAGCGACCTGGTGCAAAGCGCATCGTGCTCATGTTCCAGTTAGTAAACAGACCACGAGGAGCACCTCTGGGAGCCCGATAAGAGCCGTTAAAGTTGGCAAAGACGCCCTTTTTGCCATACGAGCTAAACCTGGGTGCTGAACCGGCAAACGCTTTTTGACCGGCTCTTGCATCCTGTGCAGTGCCGCGCGTGATCGTATGCAAGAACCGAGAGCCTTTACCAAAGGTGGTGCTTGGCTTTACTGGAATGGGAACTCTCACAAGAGCCTTTTGAGGCCTGGGTATGTTTCTCTCTAGTACATTTTGCAGCTCTTCGTCCAGAGTTTGACGGATCTGTTTCACCTGCTTTCGTGCGACTTTCAGCCACTGTCGCAAAGAGTTGGCCGACATCTGAAGTAGCAAGGGCTGTTTGGAGCTTTACCTATGATTTAGGAGTAATGTGGGTGAACTTAGCCTCTAGCTGTCATAATAATCATATCTCTAAGGGAAACTGTAATATCACTTTTGACTTTGGTGACACTGACTTACGATCTGACGCTAACGGTTCGAAGTACCTGACTTCTAGCGCACAGAACGCCATACCAGGACGCCTTTTTGGTTAGCTGCTTCTTTTTCTTTTGGCCCCAAGAAGGTCATTCTTTACTCAGATACAACCGAACTAGGGCCTTACTTGAAAATCATTTGGTAGCACATACGCATGCGTGGCCACTGTGCTCCAACTTTACAATAAAAGCCAACAATGATCCCTTCAATCGCCGTCGTTGAAAATATATCTCATGATATCATCCATTGTTGTAGTATTGAAAGCACTTGTCCCATTCGTGTTGGTATTGAAGAGAGTCTGCACGCTCTGATCGTTCCAATTGGGGAATACGGTATAGTTCTGCGTATTATCCAGATACGGAGGTGTGTATGAGGCGGAGTTTTCGTTTTGGAACATGTTGATGTCCGGTGACGCTTTTGAGCGTGAAGGCTCCGGCGGAGAAAGCTCACTTATAAGCTCTAAAAGGTTGGCAGACGGAGTTGCACTGGAAATCTGTTGCTCTTGTCCGGCAGTTTGCAGGATATTTGATATCGTGAGAGACCGCGGAGAGCGGTGGTCTATATCGTTGAGCAAATAGCCACACATGCTGTTGATCACTTTAATGAATTTTTCAGCAGTCGCGTTCTTACTGGATAGTTTTTCGAAACAATTGCGAGCAAGCATGACGTTCTGTCTCCATTGTCCACCATCGGGCGCATTTGGATCGACTATGAGCCCCACAGCCGGTACAATTGCAGCATTCATCAAGAAATACGTGGCATGCCAAGCAGAAAGAGTCGTGACCTCATACTGCTCGATAAAATCCGCAACGGAACGAATAGTTTGACTTGCAGCTTTATGACACACGGCTGAGCAGTTGACAGAGTCGTGGTGGTCGATTCCCAGCTTTTGGCCGCTCAATAACTTCAGAAAGAAAGGACGAAAAATTGTTGTAGTGAGGTTCTGATACATCCATATGACGAGATATCGACACAAAGGAAACCAGGTGCCATGAGGGTCAATTCTTGGTTGCCATTGTTCAAATTGAGAACCCAAAGACTTCGGCAGTGTCCCAATGTTGGTGTCGATTCTCCTTTCTAACTCAAGTACAGTTGACAACAAAAGCGGCCTTTCTTCCTCATTGAAATAGACCGCTTTATCAGCAATTTCTAGGGAAAGCCTAACAAGTTTGGCATTTTCAACCACACAAGACGAGATCACAGCAGTCCTATCTGCTGCCCTGTCACTTGCATCTGAACCGGAAGGTAATAACGTGTCGACGTCTTTCAAGCCTGGCAGCTGGCGAGGTCTTCCGAAAGCCAATGCAACGTCAAAATCGTAAGCGTACAGGGTCCAGAACATTCGTCTTCGTAATTCTAACGCCTTTTTGTCAGCCTTATTAGCTTCGTTTACTTCCCGATGTAAACCCAAAGATATCGCCATACTGGCAGCAAATCCCATGTAGTTCCAACACGCGTTCGGTTTATTGCGTTTCCTGGCACATTTGGACATAAGAGCAAGAGCTGCTAGAAGTGGGTGAGAGCCACTCTCGAAGATGGTACTGCTCAAGTATGATTTCGCATTCCTGTAAAAGTGTATATCCGCATCTGAGTTTTCACCGTCGATGCACAGAGCTCCCAAAGCAAGAACAGCATTAAGCAAAAGTTGCCATACATCCGTTGAGTCCGGAACAAGTTGGTCTGTGTACCACAACCGAAAGGAAGGCTCATCGACTATTGGGAAGGTGGGGTGGAAAAATGTGAAATATGCGTCGACGTATACTGCCGTTACATCTCTGGAGTGGAGAACGCTGGGATCGTGAGTTGAAAGAGGGCCTCGTCGGACTTCTAGAAACGCATCTGTCACATATAACGCGCGCAAAATTGTCGAGTTCGAGCCAGCTCCAAAAAACCCTTTGTTATTAATGCTCACATTCATTGTCCCCATTCCGTCATCCTTGAAAACCTCGGAGTCACTTTCCTCGCTCCATTCAAAGCCATGCAGAGGGTCGCGCGGCAATTGGTTGACCGGTGGTTGTTGTGACAGCGTTGAGGTAAGCGTTGAAGTTGAAGTTGAAGCTGAATTTGAATGTGAAGTTGAACTTCTTTTTTCGACCTCGGGAGTAATAGACCGTCCACCTTTGGAATTTCTTGCAATTTGTCGTAGCTTCACAGACTTAGGATCGTCCAGAATTTTTTCTACACTTGCGTCAGGGAATATTTCTTCAAACAACGCTTCCAGCCGTGAAAGCTTATTTTCAACACTCGTCAAGTGTGCCCGTGTCAAAGGCGATCTCGTCTGACGTGGTGAGTAATGGCATTCCCAGTTGTTTTCTACGCACTTGGAGCACGTAGGGAACTCCCGCGAACATCGTAGTTTCTTCTTCCTACAGGAATCACACGCCAGCTCCATGTTTTTTCTTCTTGGCCACAAGTTCAGTACTCTTCAGTCTCTAGAGTTCGACGCCGTACTTATTATTCCCAAGTAAACTTCGAATCTTTAAGTTTACGTCCCCAGATGCCCGGTATATACCAACATCTACGGTTCGCGATGCAAAAGCAGCAGTTTGAACGCCAAAAAGCCCGTAAAAACTGGGAAATGAAGCCCAAATCCTGAAATTTTACAAAAGCCCTCAAAGTCAAGCAATTAGTATATTGCCAGAACTAATTTCCTCGATCTTTATCGTTCTCATCACTCTTGTTCCATGTTCAAGTTTCGATACCTTATTTAATAATATCTAGAATTAATGCGTAAACATGAAATGAGAACGCGTCTACAAGATGAGCTACAAAAGTGACCTGATTCTTCACATGAAGCAAGTTTTGTTTTGATGCAAGACAATATAAAGGCTCAGATTGGATGGCTGAAGCAAAGCAGGGCTTTTGAGCCAAAACGGGAGCTTTTAAATCGCGTTTTGAGCCTAGAAACAGCCGATAAAAGGCAAAAAGTGGCAACTCAGTCCCAAGAGATTCACAGGGCCCAAAACGCTGTGATCGACTTAACTAGTGAGACAAGGGTGAACGCGGTGATGCCCGGCATCTTGCAGCCGTCGAAGCAGCCCATTCCCAACGCTGGGGTAAGCACTGAAGAAGAAAGCATCACACCAAGATCTGGTATATCATTTTCGCATCCAACAGCTGTGAAGCATCCTAGAGGGCTCACAGAGTCCACACAGCTATCGCAGAAACCTACATCGCTCCCTGCCACTTCATATGTGGAATCTGGGAGCGCAACTAGCCACCACACAAGTTCGAGTGAGTTCCATAGCCGACTGCGAAAGGACAGATCTCATTTGCAGCCTTCAAGCTCAATGGAGGTCATTTCTTTACAAGACAAGGTGATCGGACTGCTAGAAGAAAAAGCTACAACCCTAAGTGGTAAAATTTCGATTGTAGAATCAACATCACTCTCAGAAGACACTAAGAGACTTCAGATCCAACAACTAGCCCCGAGGCTAATGGCACTGGAGAAAGAGCTGAATGACCTGAAAACCACATTGCGCTCATTGAGACCTGTGTCGCGCGTGCTTGATGGCTCGGTTAGTGAAACTCGGCATGAGCCAGTGAGCCATCCTATTCTCAGCGTTTCCGCTCCTAGCATCAACCCACAAATGCTTCAAGGTCCTCAGGTAGCACTTCGTAATGCCGTCATAGAAAAAGATCTCATCACAGTCCTGGACGACGAAGATGATGATGAAGTTGACGTCAATGGTCGTGATAGAGTGCGCATAGAAGATCAACCAGGATTTCTGGCTCAAGTCACCACGTCAAAAGCAGTACCGATGATAGATAATCAAGCACAAGGGCTACGAGCAAGGCCTTTGCGTAAACACAAAGAAATCAACTACAAGATTCCGGAATTGGATGATAGTCTCAATTACAATATGAGGCCATCGTTTCTGGCTACGCAGCACTCAGGGAAAGACGGAGAAGATACAACCATGGAAGCAGAGCCAGAGGATTCACAGTTTTTGCTCACCGCGGAGGAAGAGCATGATGAAGCACGAACTAGTGATCGAGAGTTTGTTGAAGATGGTTTGGATAATCTTCTAGATGAAAGCACTGATGGAGAATATCAGGCAACACAGGGCTCAAGTGCTGGTCATTTGTCTCCAAAAGGCCCTGAACAGGTTTCTGAGTTTGATCAAAGCCTAAATGTGCAAATTATAGGCTCCTCGCCAGCTCAAAGTCCGCGCAGAGACGTAGGGCCTCGTTCAGGGACTCCTGAGCTCGACTTAACGGGAGCCGATAACGGTCCTGAATTCGATACGATTACTGAAAGCATACAGCAGACGTTTCCAAATCAAAGTCAAGCCAATTGGCAGCCATTCTCATCGAACACAGAGGTACGAGCCCTTCGCGACGATGAAGTTGTTCACGACGATACCTTCACTCACAGTGACTCGGAGGATTTCGATGATTTTGATGCTGAGAGGGAAAATATGACTCAAGGTGCCAGTGTAAGAGAAGTGGATGACGACTTGAGAATTATCTCCGAACAAAGGATAGAGAATTCTAACCAAGCAAGCCACGAAATCAAACGGGAGATTATTGACGTGGAATCAGTTTTTAATGTTGATGATCAACCAAACCAGGTAGTAAAAACACAACCTAACGTCAGCAACGAGAGGCTAGAATACAGTATGACAGAACCTCAATATGCTTGGACACCCGAAGTATTCCACCGCCTTCATCATGTTTTCAAATTACCAGGATTTCGCCTCAATCAGCTGGCGGCGGTCAATGCGACTTTGGCCGGAAAGGACGTTTTCGTTCTCATGCCGACAGGTGGCGGCAAGTCTCTGTGCTACCAGCTGCCAGCTGTTGTGAAGTCGGGCACAACAAGTGGCACGACCGTTGTTATATCGCCTCTCATCTCCCTTATGCAAGATCAGGTTGCTCACTTACTGGCAAAAAATGTCAAAGCTTGTATGTTCAGCTCGAAAGGCACAGCTGATCAAAGACGGCAGACATTCAATCTGTTCATCAATGGCTTGCTTGATCTCATTTATATCTCTCCAGAGATGATAAGTGCGTCTGAGCAATGTAAGAAAGCGATCGGAAGACTGTACAAAGATGGGAAGCTCGCGCGTATTGTCGTGGATGAGGCACACTGTGTATCGAATTGGGGACACGATTTCAGACCCGACTACAAGGAATTGAAGTACTTCAAAGAACAGTACCCTGATATTCCTCTGATAGCACTCACAGCTACGGCAAGTGAACAGGTAAGGCTTGACGTTGTCCACAATTTGCGTTTGAAGGACCCCATATTCTTAAAGCAAAGTTTTAACAGGACTAACTTATACTACGAGGTGCTCAAAAAAGGCAAAGATGCAGTCTCTTCAATATGTGACGCTGTCAAGACCCGGTTCAAGAACCAAACAGGCATAATATACTGCCATTCTAAAAACTCTTGTGAGCAAACGGCATCTATAATGCAAAAAAGAGGTATCAATTCTGCTTATTACCATGCGGGCATGGAACCAGACGAAAGAAATCAAGTCCAACAAGCTTGGCAAGCTGACAAAATTCGCGTCATATGCGCAACGGTCGCCTTCGGGATGGGAATAGATAAACCGGATGTTCGCTTCGTTTATCATCTTACAGTTCCAAGAACCTTGGAGGGCTACTATCAGGAAACAGGCCGTGCAGGAAGGGATGGAAAATATTCGTATTGCATAATGTATTATACCTTTCGAGATGTGCGTACCATGCAGACTATGATTCAGAAAGACAAAAATCTAGACAGAGATAATAAGGAAAAGCATCTTACCAAGCTCCAGCAAGTTATGCAGTACTGTGAGAACGTTACTGACTGCAGAAGGCAACTGGTTTTGTCATATTTCAACGAAAAGTTTGAATCCTCGCTTTGTAAAAGTAATTGTGACAATTGCAAGAATAGCGTTAACACCACTACCGAAGAGCGGGACATTACAGCGGAGACTCTAAACATAGTGAAGTTAATTTCCGAAATACAGGATGAGAAAGTAACATTGATTCACTGTCAAGACATATACAAAGGGTCACGCAATTCCAAAATAGTGCAAGCAGGCCACGATAAGCTCAACTACCATGGTCAGGGAAAAAACATGTCGAAATCAGAGATAGAAAGAATCTTTTTTCACTTAGTCACCAATCAAGTTCTGCAAGAATACCCTGTGATGACGGGGCGAGGCTTTGCTTCAAATTATATCAAAGTGGGAAGCAAGGCACGACAGGTTTTGAATGGAAGAATGAAGGTGTCGATGCATTTTGTCACCTCAAATGGTGCCTCTTCGAGACCAGGGTCTGCTCCTCCAGTTCAAATGGCAGACTTGAATGGAAAGACGCCAACTGATAACAGCAATGGAAATAATGCTTTGTTACGGACCGCTGGCGCGTCTAGCTTTAGCCGACCAGCCCTTAATCGTTATGCTTATGATGAAAATAAACCTTCATCAGATTCAAAACTTTACAATCGATCTGCATCGCCAATACTGATGGAAGACAATACAAGTCATTTATCAGCTGAGGAGCAGCTGAGTGTAACAACAGCTTACCAAGAACTGAGGCAGAGAGCGATGGACGTCGCCAGCCGAAACGGCTATACCTCTTTCATGGGCGTCATCTCTGAACAAGCTCTGAAAAAAGCTGCAGTTACGCTGCCGAGTTCCATTGAGCAGTTTCGACTGTTGCCCAATTTGACCACCTCTCAACAGCAAAACTTTGCCCATTTCAAAGAACTTCTGATAACTTTACGGGCTAGGCGCCAAGCTTCAAGCCGACAACAAACCTCTTGGCAGGCTCCGCCGGCTCCGGGTACCACTCCCTTGTTCCAAGGTTCTGATTTCATCGAAGCTTCGGAGATGCAAAGACGCGATAGCGAGATATTGCAACAAATACGTAACTCTGCATCCATCGACTTTAGCCCTAACGTTCTAAGCCAAAAATTTAGAAGCAGTCAGTCCAAAGCAAAACGAGGAAAGAGGAACAAGTGGCCTGCGAAAAACTGGGCTAAGAGGTGATATTATAGCTTGGTTAATTACCGGTAACGAATTTATAATAGTATCTAAGATTACAGTGCTATTTCTAATAGCGCGTAGGCGCGAGTGCATTTGCATGTAGAGTTGTGTGTTGATTAGAGCACCATCTTTGAGGTGCATTATAGAATTAACGCCTATGCGACTGGGGACTCCAAAGGATGGGCTTCGTCTTTTTTGGAATTGTACAGAACAATGCCGTTTGCTTTGGCATTCTGTTTTTCTTCACGTTTGTAGAACCATAGTACCACTAAAGTCCAAAGTGACAGACAGAATGCAGAAACGGCGGTCCAAGCATAACCCTTCAAGAACCTTGGCGCCTCAACGGTCTTGAAAACTAGCACGGACATGAAGGCGGTCGTGGTTTGAGCCAACATGTTCATGATAACCAGAATGACAGATCTAGCTTCCGCATCGCGACGACAGATATCATTTTGCCAAGAATACAAGACAGGAGCCATTGCCCATCCGAAGTATTGAAGCATGAAAGCAAACCATTTAGCGCCCTGGGGAACATCCCAGGCAGCGAGAATGACGTTTCCAATAAAGTTGAAAACCTGAGTAACAACAATGGCACCCCATCTGCTACGAAGCTTATCAGCAAATACACCTGTACTGGCCAAATAGATCATACCGAGGGCAGGAGTTATCATACTGAGCCTGTTGAGTTCTGGAATAGAATACTTCTTTAGAGATTTTAACCACAACAGGTAAGCGCCTGATGAACCGTTATTATTGTTCCAGCAGAAGATATTCCACAAGGTAAGAACGTAGATTTTCCAGTCAGTCAAGATGCGCACCCAAACCTTCTTATCAAAGAATCTAGATGAGAAGTCTGCTTTCTGAGTGTTGTTTTGCTTCAATCTTTTACGCGCCAATCTGATCTCATCGTCTGTCAGGAAAATAGAATAGCAGTTGTAAGGGTCTCCTGGCAAAGCGTAGAATCCGATGATGCCAACAACTAGGGAAATTATACCGTCGATAATGAAGTTCCATCTCCAACCGGAAAGACCGCCTCTGCCATCTAGAATTGAGTAAACGGAAGATTGAATACCACCCGCAGACATGATACCTGCGTACTGGCCGAAGTAGTAAAATGCAGAACGACGTACCATTTCGTCGTGCTTGTAAAACGAACCAAACAGGTACTGATAGGCCAAATATGCGGGGGCTTCAAAGACACCAATAAAAAACCGAATGGCCTTCAAATGTGACACAGAGTTGACTTTGGAGCTCCCGATGGTGAGCACGGACCAACAGATGTCGAGTATGGGCAACAAAAAGTTGAGGGGAACTTTGTTAAGGATGAAGATCATGGGTAGCTGGAACACGATGTTGCCGATTGTGAACATAACCTGTGTGTGCACAAGCTGATTACCCTTAAACCCGAGTTCTTCACGCATACCAGAGACAAATGCGTTGTTCAGGTTCGAAAAATCCAGGTATTTGACCCAGTAGGCCATGCATGAGTAGAATGCCAGCAAAATGTCCAACTTGAGCAGCAGCTTTCTTTCCTGCGGCGACACACCGCTTCCGAACCACTGCCACCATTTTGAGCGACTAGCTTGCTTGTTATTGACACGATATTCTTGTTCATTGAAAAACGCCCACCATTTGCGGTTGGCCTCGTCTCTGTATTCTAATTGTTCTTCTTCTTCGTGCGCATGCTGCTCGATTTTGATATCGGAGACTTTGTCAGATCCGGAACCGCTCAATACTCTGGAAGGCTCTTTCTCTGCCTCTAATTCAGATTCCGAGCTTTCATTGTGCATCACTAGATCTGATTCATCCACTATTCTTCTCGTGGGAATAAATCCCCACTTGAGTCTTTGAAAAGGGTCTATGACCCACTCCTCTGCAATGCTTTTCACCAATGTCATTATTGGATACCGAGTTGAAGTTGAAGATCTCACTGATGAATTGCAAACAAACCCTGACGCCCATACTTGGTGGCATTTCCTTTCTCTTGTCTTAATCGACTGCCTTTAAGTACTCCGTTATGGCTCATCTCATCGCTTTCTTTCCACCCTTTGAGTGCTAAACTACCTCCGCTACCACTACCCTGCGCATAGTAAGCCACAGTGATAATTGACGATTTTTTTGCATTGTTCGAGACAAGTGAACAGGTTTCTAGGCAAAAAGCCACACACGCTGCTGATAAGGTTCCAGGACCACTGCGGTAATGTGGTCGCGTACTGTTCAAGCTTGCAGACGTGGGACAGGTCAAGGTTTAGCCAAATATATCGATCAGTCATCACTGCCGATAATTGCAGGGTTTTTAGCACACACACACGCACGTAGCAGTGAAGGCGGTGCCAGAGCAGAGTCACAGAGACCCAAGGCAAGTGTTGCTTGGAGCGAGATAAAGGAGTAGAGTCGTTTGGTTGTTTGGACACACCCGGGCACACAATGTGTTGCCATTGTGGGAGAGAAGAGACGGGGAGCGAATTATGAGAGATCACTTCATTACCTTTCTGACGCTGCCCTCGTAAATCATAAGTGGTCGAAAAAAAAGGAAGAACGTGAAAGAAACGACAGAAGCCATTGTGTCTTTTGATATCACTTTCCCTTTCTGCGACTTCGGGCTTTTCATTTTTGCGCGGTAGCTCCTGCTTCCGTTTCCTGTGGGAAACTTCGAGAAATCTCTTATCAACTTTTCACATGGAAACAGGTTGAGTCGCTTGTGATCTCATTCGGCTACCTGCATGGCTTCTTTTTTTTTCTCATTGTCCTTCACTCGATTTCTCGTGCTTCGGTAAGTAGCATCACGTATTGTGCTGTCAAATGTAGCGTGAGGATTCAGAGGGGTCCGAGAAGCCATTGTCATCTTTGAACATGTCATAGTTTTTCAAAACTGTAGCGGGTGTGTGAGTAGAACTTCCGCTCGTCGAGTCCTCGCAGATGGAAAATAAGGCCTGGGAACATCTCGGTGAGAATCAGGTGTTTGTATTTCTCTCTCGAAACTGTACAAGGCAGGGCATGTACAGTTATAGATACAGCGTTCTTGCTTTTAGTGTTCTTTCAAGCAAGTGTAATTTGGAAATTCGAGATTGGATGGGTGAGGCGTCTCGGTTTTCCATATGACACATTCGACGGAGTTCTTATTTCCGCATTTTCTGCAATTGGAGCGGCGATCAACGTCAAGAGCGTAGATACCAGCCAAATTGTGCAGTCAGCTGCGATTCGAAGTCGACCGCTGAGCAATTTGGCGGACGACAGTAAACCACGATGATGCATCTTCACAGATTTGGAGCTTAAAACACTCTCCCTCATCTATCTCCATAAAAGAAAGCTAACAAAGCATGCATCCGTCGTTTTGGGAGCTCTTTAGATCATACTCAGTTAGTACGTTAGCGAGTTGTCACAGTTTTGAAAATTACTCACGGGGTGAAGTTTTATTCGTGTGAATCCTTCTTGAAATATCCGCCAGCTTCTTCTTTCTGGGTAGTTAATTTGCTTACTTTTCCTTTCTCAATATCGCTTTCCAGCAACACATGGAAAACACAACTCTAACTTACTATGGTTTGGTGCCCGTCGAGCATATCGTTCTCGACTCAGATGCTCACTTGCTAAAGGAACGCACGCCACCAAATGGCGGGAAAATGGGTAGCAGATTTATCGGAGCATCGTTACAGGTACTTTCCGGATTCATTCCCACTTTTAAGCTCATATTTTCCAAATAGTCCCAACTAGCTGACCAAAGTATTCGGGCCGTCTGACTTGTTCTGAGTTATGGGAAAACGTGAAGTTCAACAAATCAGCATTGACTTGTGAGTTTCTCGGTACTTTTTTTTAAGGTGAGACCAAACGCTGTTCAATTTTCGCCACCCAGCAAACCTCACGTCAAGAGGTTGCTGATTAGCGGCTAATGCTCCACGACCACATATTAGAGACCCCAATGGCTCTCCTCTTGACCAAAAGCACGTAAGCTTCTTTTCTCTCGCCTATGATCAATTCTTTGAGTTTTCTGGATTGTTGCCCTGATTATAGCTGTTTTCATGACTTAGCCGCCGAAAGGCTGGCAAGCAAAACTTGCGGTATGGCAATGGGTATTCTTCCCGCTGGCATCCAACCATTTTCCAAGCACTACAAATTGATCAAGTTCGTCTTTCAATTGGGCGCCAAACACCATTCTCTAGTGCAATATCTACTTGTGAATTAGTTCTCTGATCCTCGAAGCTCTTCTTGTAGGTAAACTAAAAAGTTGAAAAAAAGCGTATTACATGATAAGGCAGCCAAAACGAAAATGATTTTCGTACATAAACACATCATGAGAAACGTGACATGTACTCGCTTAATCAAGAGTACTCTTGCACGTGGTGTCTCTGAAGTGGCTCCCCTAAATACGTATATAATTATATATTTGAGAACGAGCCTTGATTAGGTAAGAGGCATTGTCGGATTGTGCTGTACTCGAGTACCTCATTGAGCAGATGCTCAGGTCTTCCACACGTCGTCGTTCTTGGCCGTGGTATGCTTATGCTCCAAAATATGCTTATTACTGTAATTACTCTAATAATTACTCCCGTCTATACAATTAGTATCCTAAAATTTCCCTCCTAGCTTTCCCTTCTAATCCTGCTTCGCAACGGTCTCTTCCACCGATGGGCAGGTGCACATCAGGTTCAGGTCACCATAGGTGTCGTCCAGACGAGCTACCGGAGGCCAGAACTTGTTGTACCTCAAGAAGGGGAGCGGATAGGCAGCCATCTCACGACTATAGCCTCTAGTGTCCCAGTCGGGGCTCGAAATGATGTCCTCCAAAGAGTGCGGAGCGTTTTTCAATACGGATCCGCGAGGATCGCCCGTCACGTGCATATCTATCTCGCGCTTGATCGAGATCATGGCATCGACGAACCGGTTGAGTTCTTCGAGGTTTTCGGACTCTGTGGGCTCCACCATCAGCGTTCCTGGCACCGGGAACGCCAAAGTAGGAGCGTGGAACCCGTAGTCCTGTAGACGCTTGGCCACATCGATGGCCTCAACGCCCTGTGCCTTGTACTTTCTCAAATCAATGATAAATTCGTGACCACAATGCTTGGTCGCGGACTTGTCGTTCACGAACATAATATCGTAATGGGCGCTGAGCCGAGTCATCATGTAGTTGGCGTTAACCATGGCCACAACGGACGCAAAGGGCAGACCTTGCGATCCCATCATCTTGGTGTAGGCATATGATATAGGCAGAATCGACGCGCTACCATATGGTGCACTCGAAACAGAGCTGATGCGATGGTCCTCGGGAGCACCTGTCATCATTTCCATAAGATTGTGGCCGGGCAAGTATGGCTCCAAGTGCGATTTCACGCAAATAGGGCCCACACCGGGACCACCACCGCCGTGAGGAATGGCAAAGGTTTTATGCAGATTCAAGTGACACACGTCAGCGCCGAGGTCTCCAGGAGACGTCAAACCTACTTGCGCATTCATGTTGGCGCCGTCCATGTACACCTGGCCACCGTTTTTGTGAACAATTTCAATTGCATCTCTGATACCGGGACCGAACAACCCGTAGGTCGAAGGGTAGGTGATCATAATGGCTGCCAGGTGGTCGGCATGCTTGACGGCTTTCGCCTCCAAATCTTGCAAATCTAGCGAGCCGTCTGGCAAACAGTTGACCGGTACGACTTTCAGACCGCACATAACAGCAGACGCAGGGTTGGTACCATGGGCCGAAACTGGTATCAAGCAGATGTTCCGGTCTGACTGACCCTTGGAAGCCAAGTAGGCCTTGATGACTCTAAGACCTGTGTATTCACCTTGGGCACCAGAATTAGGCTGCAGCGAAACCGCATCAAAGCCCGTGATATCGGCTAGATCAGACTCCAGCGATGTGATCAGCTCACGGTAACCTTCAGCCTGGTTGGTGGGCTGGAACGGGTGCATGTTGGCGAACTGAGGCCACGTTACAGGCATCATTTCGACCGTCGAGTTCAACTTCATTGTGCAAGAACCCAATGGGATCATGGAGTTTGCAAGTGATAAATCACGACTTTGGAGGCGGTGCAAGTACCTTAGCATAGCGGTTTCGCTATGATGCTGATTGAAAACTTCATTGGACAAAATGGAGTCTGTACGCAAAAGTTCGCTTGGAAACTCCGGTAGAGAGCTTGGAAGTTGGTCAGAAACACCAAACAGCTCACAGAGGCTTAGCAATTCTTGTTTGGTAACCAATTCATCCAGAGAAAGCGAAACTGTGGTGTCGCCAACTGCGAATAGATTGATGGCATGCTTGTCAAGAGCTGTTTGTAAAAATTGTTGGGAGGAAGTTCCTTGGGCCAATTTGACGGTCAGAGTGTCAAACCACGTATCATTCACTAAAGTGTGAGGAGACTCTGTCGAGATCTTGTTTGCCAAGACTGTGGTGAACCCGTAGATTCTACCAGCGATCTCCTTGAGACCTTCGGGACCGTGGTAAACGCAGTAATTGGCTGCAATGTTGGCCAAGAGAGCTTGTGCAGTACAGATGTTGGAAGTCGCCTTGTCACGCTTAATGTGTTGTTCTCTGGTCTGGAGGGCCAAACGTAGGGCAGGTTTGCCCAAACGGTCTTTCGAAACACCGACAATACGACCAGGGATTTTACGGTTGAGTTTTTCTGGGACTGCAAGGAAAGCAGCGTGTGGTCCGCCAAAGCCTAGTGGAACACCAAATCTCTGCGAGGATCCAAAGACCACGTCGGCACCAAACTCAGATGGTGGCTTCAAGAGCGTTAGAGCCATCAAATCAGATGCGACCAGCAGCAGAGACTTGTTGGCGTGCAGCACGTCTGCAAAGGTTTTCAAAACCGAGCCCGAGATGATGGATCCGTCGGTGGCAGGGTACTGAACAAGACCCCCAAACACAGCTTTGTCGTTTAAGGCGGCCTTGGAGCTTTCAACATCGGTGACGTCGATTTCAACGAGTTCAATACCAAAGGGCGTGGCGCGAGTCTGCAACACGGCTTTGGTTTGTGGATGTACGCGAGAATCCAGGACGAAAACGGATCTTTTGCGTTTGGCGGCGCTGAAAGCTAGCAACATGGACTCTGCTGCGGCGGTACCTTCGTCCAGCAACGAGGCGTTAGCCACGGGCAGCCCTGTAAGATCGGCAACGGCGGTTTGGAAGTTCAGCAGCGATTCCAGACGGCCCTGGGAGATCTCCGGCTGGTAGGGCGTGTAGGAAGTATACCACTCTGGACACTCTAGCAGATTCCGCTGGATCACAGGAGGCAACAGGGTGCCGTAGTAGCCCTTTCCGATGAGGTTTCTGATATGGTGCTGGTTTTTGTCGGCGATTTTTTGCAAATGCTGTAGCATCTGCTGCTCGGTGAATCCATTGGCGGGGGCTTCTAGCTGCAGGGCCCTTTTTTCGAGTACTTTTGGAGGGATGAGCTGCGAAACGAAATTGTCGAGATTTTCGTAGCCCATAGTTTTCAGCATTTCCTGGATTTTCTGAGGACTGGGGCCCAAATGGCGTCTTTGAAAGCTGTCCAGGGGCTCATACGAGCCCTGGGGATGTTTGTAAATGCTTGCATACTGCTGGGACGAGACATTGGCCACTTTAGAGACGTTTTGCGAGAGCGATCTCGTGACCAGCAATCTTGATGTTACCAGACCAATTCTTGATCTGAGCATTATTAGAGATGAGATGAGATGAGATGAGCAGTGAAGTGAAGTGAAGTGAAATGGTAGTGAAATAACGAAGAGAAAGGACTTTAATAGCACAGAATCTCTGTAAAACTTCACTTAAGAGCACTTTGTTGCCACAATCCACTTTGATAATCCTGCTTTGCAAGTTGGCTAAGTTGCTGTTTCTAACACACTGCGATCAACACAGTTTGAGAAGCAGAGATCTATCGAAGTTGGCCTGAGTGTTTGTGATATCTCAACACTTGGATATCGAGTTTGTACTTCTTGTGGTTCTTCCCTCTTATACTCTTCCTTCTTATAGTCCCGTCGTTGCCAGCTTTTCTCCATCGGCGTTTTAATTTCACAGGCTCAAGGAAGCACGGTGAAAAAGCGACGTCTGTTTACGGGAAGGGGTTCGGTAATAGAAACCTTCGATAATGGAGTTGTGTGTGTGTCTGTGTGTGTGTTTGTGTGTCGGTGAGCGGTGGTAGTGAGAATAGGTAGTAGCGATAGCAGGTGGGTTGATCAGTCATTGTGTAGAGATTAGGGAAGGAGTCAGCGGAGACGGGTGCGGGAGGGAGGAGTCAGAGTGGGGAGGAGTCGAAGTTGGAGGAGGAGGAGTCAGGGTAGGAGAGGTCAGGGTAAGAGGAGGAGTCATGGTAGGAGAAGTCAGAAACGGAAAAAGAAAAAAGAAGGATTTGTGAAATGATATCACGTGCTCTTTCGTATCATGTGACTTTTCCGTACGAAATGCACTTTTCCGTTACCTCCCCTCACTCATCCACCCAGCTGCTTTCTAGTCGCTCACATTCAACTTTAATTGCCCCATTCAATTTTGTCATTCAGTTTCTAACGGCCTGGAAATGACGACCCATATTGGCTCCAAACCAATCGCCCTCGGGTCTCCAAACCACGTTATTTATCTCGTAATTCGTGTCGTCGTACGCCTGCTGCGGCGTGTCCATCGACTGCACGCCCATCTTGCCGTTGCCCCATTTCGCCGTCGTCGCAGACGACGCCGTACCGCTGCTCCCGCCGCTACCGGCACTCCCACCACCGTTCGTCGGCGTGTTGAGATCCCACACGAGAGCCTGGCAATCGTCACCGCCCGAAAGTAGCACGTTGTGGCGGGTTGGGTGCCACTTGATCTGGTTCACCGCCCCAGAGTGGCCGTCCAGCGTCCACACGGGTGTCCCTGGGTATCGCATATCCAAGACCAGCACGCTTGTAGAGTCCTGGGCAAACGTAGCCACCACGTTCGGATCAAACGGCGAAGACTCCAATTTCAAAAGCGCATTCTGTCCACCGTCCGCGCCCGATCCGCTCGAGCTGCCTCCGCTACCACTACCGCCGCTGCTCATATGGTCCCGCGACTGCGATGACGAATGGCTACTAGCCGGCTCGTAAATGATGGTGCTGTGGGCCAAAGACCGTAGATCAAACACTCTTACACTGCCATCTCCACCGCAACTCGCAAACAGCTGCGTCGATTGCGTCAAAAACTTGACGTCAAATACCTCGCTATCGTGAGCAATCAGTTGAGTCTTGGCGTAGTTGCTGGACTGCAAATCCCAAACGGTGCAAGTGGTGTCAATGGAGCTGGAAATCAGCAGATTGGGGTCTGTGGGGTTCCAATGGAACGAGGAAACGGGCGGCAGCTGGCCCAGCGTTACCGAAGAGCTTGTTTTGCCACTGCCAGATTCGCCAGAGTTGCCGTTGCTCTTGTTGTACCGCTGTAGCGACAAGTTGAGTTGTTCTTCCAGCGTGAAATCCGTGAAAGTCCACAGCCGCAACGAGTCTGAACACGTTGCTAACTGCTGCGAGCTCCCATTGGGACACCATTGAATTCTTGAAATTGGGAAAACGCTGTTGGCCTCTCCCACTTTGTCCCACGAAATCACGTCTGAAGAATGCAAAATCTGCAATTTGTTATAACTATCCTCCCGGTACGATCCGACCGCGACGTAATCCTCGGGGCTCCAGTCCAACGCATAAAGCGGGAAATTGGCCTCGTAACGACATGGATAGAATGCCATTGGTGTTTGCTGAGTTGGCGGTTGTTGTTGCTGTTGTTGCGCGGCGTACATTTGCCGCGGCGAGTAGTAAGAAAGGTCATTTTGATTGAAGTTCACCACGGGTCTTTGGAAGCTTCCAAAGGAGATAGAGCTGCGTTTGCCAGCTCTGTAATTGTCCATTTATGATCGATATCTTAGACCTTGGATTAAAAAGCAAGCGAAATGCGACAAAGGTAGGGACAAACGGCTATTCAAAACCTGCTGAACAAGCCGATCACGGTCTCGAGTTCGTTAGCGGTCGTACAAGGGCCAGTGTGTGAGCGCCTGGCTTGTTGTTCGAGCTTTTGAACACAACCTCGAGGAAATAGTCAGTATTTCATTATATGTAATTGATGCGGGAGGAATTTGAATATGCTAGATTAGTACAAAGTGATGTAAAAGTTGAAAGATCGGCTAAAGAAAGCTGTAAAAAGCGATCTACTAAAAGCATTTCGAGACGCAGAGTCTTGTTGAAGCAATAGAAAGTTAAGGATGGGTTTGTTTACCATGCGCTTTCTTTACGCTCGCGAAACGAGTATGTAAACTCTATCGTTTTGTACGAGCATTGTGATGATGAGCTTCGGACTGCAGACAGAAGAACGAGAAGCGTAAAGTGAACTCCCTTGTTGAGGTCATTCATTTTATTGACATACTCTTGACACATTCCATGGTAATGGTTACTCATTAAATGAGAGCGGTACTATATTTCGAGTGTATCGTTCTACACGGAACCGTTACCCATAGGTCTCATCCATTTAATGTTTATTAGTCCAATAGCTGAATTCAACGATGAGAACTACAGCACCAGTCCGCTGTAACCATAAAGCAGTTTGAAGCACACACACATGATTGTAACGCTTTATCATGCCTTGAATATGTGACCGGCTTGACACACAAACTGATTTCGAAAAATGAAACACAATGGATATCGACTTTTTGGAATTCACCGTTGAGTCGTCGTGGAGATCCATTTTGGTTGAATTTTTATAATAATACCTAAAAATTCGGCTCTCGCTTGGTCCAGATGGTGCTATGGAAATAGAAGCCTTTTAAACACTATTGAAACAACTTTTTACGTTTCGCACCAAGAAGATAATCACATCTGAATGTGTTTTACCCATCAACTCGTTCGCGAGTCGCTTACAGAGTCTAGTACTCGCAATTTGAGACAAAAGACGTGAGGGGAAGCTTCTTGACGTGCCTTCAAACTATGAACCGCAGATCTACTTTCCGGGGAGCTTCATCGGTATCATAAGCTATTGGAACCAAAAGAAAAACCCACATATTCAAGAGTGCTTGACAGACGTTAATCTTTATGTTAAGTCTTCTTTGTTTTCTTTGTAGTCTAGCTATCTTGGACACAGCTCTCACAGAAAAGAGTCCTTCAGAGGACCTCAACGGTCTGTCGTGTCGTGATGGATTCTCGTTTTCCTAAGTTCTCTTCCCTTGCCTTTGTTCCTCTCAGCCAGCGTTTACGCGTTATGTGTCAAACAAATATAAAATGCTTCCGGGTTTTTTTCAGGTTGCTGACATTTTTTAAACGGGTTCTAAACGGGTTCTTCAAAAATTCCCGATTCTCGACCAAACGGATCCCAAAAAAAGTATTATAACGCAGGTGTCATTATTTCATTATGAACCCATTATGTCACACCGTGTTCAAAGAGTGCAAGGGCAAATGCTATTTTCACGCAATTGAGTGCGACAAGACATCAATAAACGAGCCCTTTTCATTCAATTGAGCGCGGCAACACGTCCTCTTCCTAGATATTTTTAAAAAGCGAGAATATAGAAAAACCAATCAAACTTAAAAGCTTCAGCAACCAACAGATCTGGGATCACAATAATCTATCAAATGACTATCCATTCATTGCCAGACCCTGGCTAATCGATTGACTCTTGGCCCAGGAGAGCGCGTCAGTGAAAACAGAAATGATAACTCCCAGCCTATACACGTGACACGTATTTCATCACTCTTCACGTAAAATATACTTTCTCTCAATTCTGCGCCCATCGGGAAATTGAAAAATTGAGAATTGGAAGATACTCTCGTACGAAAGCGGTACACATTTACAACAGCGTTTTGATCAAGAGGAACTATAGATCTTCGAAGTAAGTCATCAACAACACGGTTTCTTATTGCTTAACTGAACGTGGCTCTTCTACAAGTTCTACAAGTTCTGCGGTTTTAGCTACTCTCCTCTTCAATACCCCGTCTGCTGGAAATCATGGCCCGCCAAAATTTCGTAGGCCTGGTTGTCTCACAGGGCAAGATGCTCAAAACAGTCAAAGTTCGTGTGGAAACCAAAGTGTTCAACCACCGCATCAACAAAGAGCTTTTCAGCAGAAAAGACTATCTGGTGCACGACGAAGAGGGCGTCTCGCGTGAAGGTGACTTGGTGCGGATCGAAGCCACCAGGCCACTGTCAAAACGCAAGTTTTTCAGCATAGCCGAAATTCTCAAAAACAAAGGTCAACAGTTTGCACTGTTCGAGTCCGAAGCAAAGATTCAGGTGTCACAACAAGAAGCCGAAAAAACCCGCGAATTTTTGAGCAGGCGTAAGGCCCACGAATCCGACGACAGTATTCTGCTGAGAGACATCCACACTATTCAAAATGCGTTGTCTCAGGGCAAAGACGCCGAGGAGCTCGTTGAAATCAAGGCCCGGTACGGAATCGAGCAGTTCACGCCCGAAACGTTGCGCCAGCTTTTACAATTGGACGTTTTGGCTCTAGAATCCCAGGTTGACGCACAGAAAACCAAAATTGATACCGCCCAGCAACGTGTCCGTGAACTACTGGAAAACGGTCAAGAATGCGACTCGTGGCTGGCACAGCGCGGTGTTGAAAATGCAGCGAGCTTAAAGCCAAATATCAAGCGAAATTTGCTACGCAAGCATGTTTTGCAAGAACTCTAAAATCTGGAAAAAAAGGCACAGCGTCTGTAGTCAAGTCGTAATCGATCCCCCTGTATATATACGTATAACCGAGGTAACATATTAAACACCTGGTGCAATAAACACAATCAATATTTCCCTAAGAGCCCAGCGGACGTCCTTCACCTTGGAACCCCGTGTTTTGTGGAGTTGAGTGAAGCGGCAGAACGCTTTCTTCCCCGAGGAGCGAGGTGTACGATTCTGATCTGTTAGCATCGACTTCTTTGTAAAACTTAACCCCCAAGGGAATGGCTGCAATTGCACGGTCAAGTTTGGCCTCAATTTTCTGGATTAGTGCGCTTGGTGGAACCAATTTAGCTGCATACACCTCCTTCGAGCCAAGTGCGTACCCCCACAACAGCCCAATGGAGTGACCCCAGAAACTGGAAGCAGGGAAAAAAATCGTAACAAGCACTAACACGGCCACGGGAATGTAACGTGTGGGTAGCGAATAGTCATTGAAAATGCGCTGTTGAGGACGCATTATCGATTCTTTGAAGCTGAAATATGCCAAAAATGAGAAACACCATCCGCTGCTCCCTATAACTTCAGTCTTTGAAAAAAACAGGGAACCTAGTAAGCAGTAAGGAATAGCAGTGAAAACTGCCAAAAGGTTGAGTATCACACCCGTATGAACGGTTCCGTGGCTTCTTTCAAATACCGTCAATGGGCCGTAAAGCGAAATTGAGTTCATAAAGAGATGCACAAACGAAACATGACCCAATGGGTACAAGGAAATGCTGTTCACTTCAAAGAAAAAGCTCGTCCAGTTAGTATCAAGTTATGCAAAAGCTCGAGATTTTCTCAAGTAGTCCCCAAAATCTGGTCCCGAAAATCTGACATACAATTCAATTGAAATAAGGCATTTGGCTTTAGGCTTATGTGTGCGTTTATGTTGAAGACAAAGTTGAGAACAAACAGCAGAAACATAAAGATCATTAGACCAGTGCTTAATGCAGCTGCTGGTTTCCCATCTGGCATTTTCAGCTGGGGCAAGTTGCCGTTGCTCATTTGAGATAGCGAGGGTAGCGGAGAATGGATCGACTAGCTCTGAAACTTGGGCTGATAGTCATTGAAGATGTAGGTGGACTGAATGGCTCAGATGTGTTGTTGTAATATAAACATCTAAGAAAGTCGATGAGTTCGTGTATAGTGAGGGAGTTTCACTTCAATGGACACCGAAAAGGTAAAATTTGGGAGAAACAGACCTCATTTTGCGACTATATCGATAGATTTAAATTTGAGCGCTTGATAGAAGCCTTGAGTAAATGCTTGTCTACAATCGTATGCTCCATTGTTGCGTTGCATAATCCTTTTTCGATAAATAGTGACATATAACGCTTACATCACCTGACTTCCGGTTATTTGAACAAACATACAACTAGTCTGCATCCAGGTTCACGTCAAGAAAACCCGGCAATCTGTTGAAAGCAGTTCTAGTTCATCAAACATGCTTCTGGATCACAAACTGTTACAATATTTTATTTTACAACGGTTATACATCAAATTTGTTTCTTGAAATCTGACATCTTTATCTACCATGCTGTCATCAAAATGATCTATAGTTGCAACAGCTCACGAACTTCTCTTTCGATTCGCGCTCACCTCAGTAGTAACAATTTGCACAAAATTACTTTCTTTACATGCAAGTGCTATATGCAAGTCTATATCAAAGACTTCTGCCTCTTTACAGCCCGTCTTTATCTCTTTCCTGGGCGGTGTCAGCGAAAAAACATTATTCAGATTTCTTGACATGAACAGTGGTAGACGCCCGGCTCTTGATCAGGGCCTCGCTCGTAATGCCAGCGAAGACTATACTGATACCAAACCATTGCAATGTACTGACATGGTGTCCATACACTATAATGCTCAAAATCATCGATATCATCTTCCTGGTGACAGTCACCATAACCAAAACCAATGATCCATAGTTTTGCAACGTGTAAAAAATGCAGATCTGGCCCAAAGCTCCACAGGCCGCGTACGTTAGGAGGTACAGCGCAATGGTTGGATCTAGGGAAACCATTGTTTTGGTCCTGAGTGCTTGCTGAGGGTCTATAATTGCCAGATAAGCCAGATTCCATATCACGATGCACAGATTGAGTCCCAACATCAAGTGACTGCCTGTGATCAGTTTTTGGCTTTTTTCAGCCCGATTCCGCTTCAATAGCGTATCCTGGGTAGCGTTCGTGAATCCATCCAGCAAAAGACTGACCACAAGCGGCAAAAATCCATGCACAAGACTGATGTCGTTTCTGCTGGTCTTTGTACTAGATTTTTTTTGGGATCCCAGGTTGAACAAAACAACACCGAAAGTGACTGCAATCGCAACCAGTTTCTTATCGCTCGAAATTCGCGTGTGGTACAACATCAAATGCACCACAAGAATCGGAATCAGTTTACAGCTTTTGGCCAACATGTAAGTCAAAAAATCCACATATTGCAATGAATATGCGGCCAACGGCGTTGACAGACTTTGGGTCAAGGAAATGGCCAGCAAGTCCCGTGCGTAATTGCGCAAAAACTCCCGAGCTCTGTACTGTGTATGCTGCTGCTTCAAATACAATGTTCCAGTCACTGCAGCAACTGCAGCCTGCACCAAGGCCACTACGCAAGGTGCCTGGAATTTAGCCTGCGAATTAGGCCAAATTCGCGTTGTGAGCGGCTCATACACCAAAGACCATGTCAGAAATGCTACATATATGCCAGAGACACATGCCACAAGTCTCAATTGCGAGCCCATCACAGCACCACTACTAGTGTTGTAAATTGATCAATCTCTGTCCGTTAACTTAGAAGAAAATCGACCCAATTCCTTGAAAATGATGCGTTTCGACCGCTTGAAAAATAATTCCTGAGCTTCCGAGGTGATCAAAGCTAGTTAACAACACTAGACAGCGTGAAAAACACTCTTTTCAGAAGCTTTTTCGCCATTTTCCTCGAGTGAACTTTAACCTGGATCACCTTTAATCTATAAGAAAGTTGAAAAATTTTGAAGATATATTCATCAAATAAAGCATCACTTCCTAGTTGAAGAATCCAAACAAAGAGAGCATTTTTGCCATGTCAAGCTCTCATCAGAGTCACTACTCGCCACTAGGCGCCACCTATGGAGTAAGGATTGACCAATTCCTCGAAACAACGGAAGATTTTGACAAATATCATGCGAAATTGAACCGCAAACTGCAGAAGCTAAGGCACCATTGTCAATTGACAGTCAAGGACACCAAGCGGTATTCTACGAAGGAAAAATACTCGAAAATTACGCCGACGGACTATGACACGAAAAATAAGCTTCTGGGCACCCTTATGTTGCTACATGCAGAGAGGGATCTTGCCCATGGAGAGACGTTACGTTTGAGGTCTCGCCAAAGAGGCTCTTTGAAGAAATCTGAGGCCAAAGTGGTGGGCACAAGACTTAAAAAGGCATTTCAAACTTGTGCGCGACTCTTGGAACTCACAGCCAATGAGCAGAATCCATTTACGCGTGTTGAGTATCTCATCTACTATAAATTGGCCCTTGTGAGCTATCTCAGTTTTGGAAAGCATTCTAAGGCCAAACGTGCGGCCTCTGCGGGACAAATCGCCAAGGAACTCAGTCTGACGTTTTCTGCCCTTCAATTTTTGCAGCAAACTGAAATTCTGAGCGCCGTGATCGTGGATTCCATAACATCTCGTTTCGATTACCTTTTGAGACAAAGCGCTAATACTGGAGTGTCTTCTTCGAAGGCACTGCGCAATTTTGTTGCAAAGCAGGTGTGCGACCATGCTGATGACCCTCTCATCACGCTGCTCTCTCAAAATGGCTTTGAAATGCCCTCTTTGTCGGAAGAAGGTGATTCTGCCACCACTACAGTGACTAAAGTCCAATGGCGAAGATTCACCGCTGAAGTTACAGACTCAAAAGTGGCTGAGCTGATTGCCGAAGCCGGTGCAATCCAAACCTCAGATTTGTCTCAGTTCAGCGAAAAACTCGCCAAATGGCAGCAGGCACTGGAATTACAACAGCGAGTGCTGGAGCAAAAGCGAGACGATGACACCGGTGAAGCCACCGGCGAAGACGATGAGATTTTGTTGACTTACATCCAGTACAACTCACATTTCACCACAATCGAACGTGACGATATCTTGTTCCGCAAATTGTGGTCGCAGTGGAAACTGTCATCCAACAAGACTAAAAATGTAAGAATAACCAAGGTCAAGGAGATCGAGCGTATTGTGCATAACATCACTACCTATCTAAACCAGGTGATGGAATTACCTGGTGTCTATTCTGACGACACCCTGATGGCAAACCTAAAGCTGGCTACCGTTTATTATCAAGTACACCTTTCTGCAGGATGTTTGGCTTCCTTCTACCAAAGCCAGCAAAAGTACTTAGAGGCGCTTGCTTTGTACGTCGATGGTCAAAAGGCATTAGCCTTCGGTATGGAAGATACGTCTTTTGAGGAAAGTCTTCCTGGAGATATTGTGAATGCTACCAAGCTTACTGAACTAGAGAATTTCATTACGACTGCGTTGAAAAGTGTTGTCTCACTGGCCGAATATGAGAAAATTGCTACTCCTGGTGAGCGGGCCTCTTTCGTGCCTTCCTTAGTGGAGAAACTGGACAAACACATCGGTCCTAGTGATGTCAACTTGTCAAATTTGTTTCCGTTGAGACCAGTCATTAGACCAATTACTGCAAAACCTGCCCTTTTCGATCTTGCATTCAACTATATCACCTACGATGGTCAACCCATGGATCAAGATATAGATGTGGAGTCAGAAACAGCTTCTGCTAAACCTGACGAGCAAAATCAGACCGGTCAGACCGGCCAGACTCAAAGTTCTAAGAAGAAAGGTCTGTTTGGCCTTTTTGGACTCTGAAGATTTGGAAATTTACCACCAGATTCGATCGCAGTGTATATACAAATGAATATTATACGTTTGATGAGTAGATAAGGTGGTAGTTGTTAGCTCTGATTGTCGTTGTTCTCCGGTACGTAGATTTAAACCTTCTGAACCCAGCTTGTCACTTTCTCCTTCAACTGGCACTTCCCAAACCAAAGAATTGAATTCAAAGGCTGACTCTACAAGTCATCCCAACAAGTTCACACTGCACTTCGTTGCGCATGTATTGAGGCTCTCATTGCTGGTTTTCAAACTTTCAAAAGCTTGAATTTGACGTCTACGAAGCCCTTTCTTGTTTGGAAAATGGTGGAACAAGATACCAGATGTTGGATATGTCTGTGTTCGGGAGACGAACGTCCACCTATGGGCAACTTGAGCGATGCTCATGACTGGGTTCACCCTTGTAAGTGCTCGTTGGTAGCTCATCGCAAATGTCTCTTAGAATGGGTGTCCCGAAACTATCTGGACTACAAAAATGAGGTCTTACGTGAGTTTAGAAACGACAACCATAGTATCTGGTTTGATTCTATGAACTTCTCAGATGCGTATTCGTGGCTCCATTCAGCTGCTGGTGCATTTCAGTCTCTGAACTGGATAACAATAGAGAGCTCTGAAACGAATTCCTTCATTAACGAAACGAGATCTTTCAATCCGGAGGAGGTAAGCCGTGTCTTCGCCGCTGAAGGAATCGACGAATCCATAATCAGCAACGTCACCAATGCCATGGCAGCGGGTGCTCGAGATTCTTCTTTTGCTGGAAATTGGTCTCTGCGAAACTCTCGCAGGCTAGTGATCAATACTGTTTGCCCACAGTGCAATGCTCCCATTTTGTTGAAAACTAATTCCGGGATTGTAGTACCCACCTCTGTTTTGGTATCCAAGACTTTAAACTGGGTAGCTAAAACTGTCACACAAACTACAATTTTGGGAACAGTAGGAGGCGCTCTTCTTTTCAGCTGCGGTGGTCTGCTTACTTCATGGGGGATCCGTATTCTTACTACACTAGCCCCAGAGAGCACGTTGCTGAAGCTACTGGATCTCCCACATGCCTCGTCCTTGTATCAGGCCTTCCAAAAGAACCAGGTAGGCTTTCGACAAATCGTTTTGATGGGGTTGACGCCTATATACTTGCTAAGCTTCAGATTTGAAAACAGATTCACGAGCTGGCCAAAACGACTTTACCCTTTGCTGTTTCTCAAACCTGGTGAAAGTCTGGAACTCAACGTCAAGAGATTTTTGTTATTTCAGTACCCACTCTCGATACTGAATGATGCTTTTAAAGCTCTTGTCTACAATCCGATTTACTTTAGCTGGGCCCACCGTGTGAAACCTTATTTCGTGTGTGATAGGATATCTTTGCAACAGCTAAGACTTTACGAGGCAGAGCAGCACTACCTCGAGTCCAGAAATGATCTTCAGGAAGATCATGATGATTCGCGCGGTATACTGTCGAAACTATTGAATACTTTCAGATCGCCAGATCGGGAGCCGATAGCGCAAGGAATCAACGTTCGCCGGTTTGCCATGCTGACGAGATTCGATTATTCCCAAGCACTCATAGAAACGTCATTTTGGGAGAAAATAGGAACAGTGATGTTGTGGCCAGCAGCAGGCAAACTTATCCATGAAGTCTTCCTTTCGAAATCATACTGGTTCAAACGCATTGTATCTCAGCTCACATCAACCCCAAACGACGGTCTCTATCTAGGAAACTTGCTTGGATGTTGTGTCTCTGTTCTTTTAAAGGATTTGGCGCATTTTCTGATAACTTGGCGCAGGGTCAAGCAACTGCAAAACATGGAAGTCATGGAGTACATGTCACCAGAATGGGAGTACACCTTGAACAGAAAGATGGGCCAGATTCTTAATCAATTGGGCACACTAGGTGAAGACGAGGAATCACACGCTATACTCAATGAACATGTCAACAATATGCTTTCCGGACAATACCGGAATCAGTGGGATGAGCTGTCAGCGAGCATTCCCAATGTAACTGGTAAGGTCAACTTCTTCAGGTACCTAGTCATGAAGATGGGTGTCGAGCGTTCTGCCGCCTTCAAAAGGGAACCGAAGCTGGAAGCTGTCAGCTAATCGAACAAATGATGATGTGCAGGCGATGACGCATCGTTAATAGAGGGTTGCTCTTCAAGTTCGATCAATTGTGAGAAGAAGCTCTCAGAAGCAATTCCAAGGTATGGGGACAACTGGTTGTCAAGCGTTTAGAATCGGAATCGAAGAGTGCCATCTCTTGAAGTATTCAGCACTAGCCCTCACTTGCGACAGGACGGAAAAAAACCGGTACATAGACAACTTTAATATTACTGTACTCTTTTTATGAAGGATGCTGCGATGAGCTCAAGTAGAGGAGCCAGATTGAACTCCGCCTTGTTGGAAAACAAAACCAAGCTCGCTTTTTCGGTTTTAGCCAGTTGGTCAACGAGTTTCGAGAATTGGAAGTTATCCGTTTTGGAAGAGCCCGCCCTCTTTTCTGCCTTTCTTTCATCGAGTAGCTCTACTGCAAAATACTCGCCGTCCGAGGTAGAAAACCTAAAGTTTACATCAGGAAACTTGGGACCGCTTGAGCCGAAAAAACTCACGGCAGCCTTTCCCAAATTTTCTCCTTTTAGATCTTTCAACGCTCGAAGCTCAAAGAGATGGCGAGAACTCCACTCCAAACTCAAACAATCTTTACCACCAGACCCTTTATTATTGACCTTATGATAAACGTCCTTTAGTTTCCGGCCGAATCCGTGCTTCTTCAGTGGCGCATAATTACCGGACGCCTGCGCCTTACCTAAGGTACGCTTTTGAGAAAGCTCAAGTGCGCGAGATTTATCCTTCAGCTGCATGTTCGTTGTCTGAATGGACCTGAGTGTAGACTCCGCAGTTTTGATTTCTTTTGATGTTGACTCTACAACATATTCACGAGATTTGATGGTGTTCGCGATGTCATTTAGGATGCTTTGAACATTGTCGTCAATGCTTAGACTCCCCATTTGTCGAAGTTCGTAAGCGCGTTCTAGCACATGCTGTTTCAAATTGAAGTAAGTGATAGCTTCGAAGTTTTTGAATAACGGGTCGCTGTGAATAGCTGCGGTCTCTTGAAGCAGTTGCTGGAATCTCGGCTCGTCTGCATCAATGATACAGCCCGTCATCAAGTCGTACAAATTGGTACCCACGTCCTCGACTTGCATCATGTAGACGAGTCCTCTTTTGATTTCGTTGTAGATGGCGGTCAACCTATCGTCGCTAGATGACAGGTGATAAGCGCTTGGGTTTAACCGAAGCTTCACAATGCTATTGGGACTATCTTGGAGCTTCTTGATTTCACTCATTTTGATCTTTTCAATCAGAGAATTGACAGGATCGTCGTGGGGAAAGGCATCGAGGTTGGCGTGTAACCTTTTACCGATTTCAAGCAGGTACTGCTTGGGGATGCTCAGAGAGGGTCTCTCATCCTGGCACATGTCACTGTAATGAAGCTCATCACAGTACACATCGAAAGAGGGGAATATCAACATATTCTTAAGCGAAAATGCTAGATCATCATGTATCTCTTCCGCATATTGATTGAGAGGTGCCAAGTAGTTCTGGAATTCGGTAAAGGAGAATACTGTGTCAACAGCTTCTGACAAAAGATGTATTTTTTGAATCGCGGTATTGGAAAACTTGGCTAGGCCGAATTTGGAGGGGGATCTCAAAACTGGAAAGACTAACGCCTCCAGCAGGATTCTTGAAATGGCAATCAGAGAATCCTTTTGGTAGGGGCTATGATCTGCAACAATTTTGTACGCAGTTGTACACAAAAACTTGACCTCTTCAGGTACCGCGTGTGCGTTCTTCAATAAAGATTCGCTGACAATCTCTACTCCTTTCCATAGATTCATGAGGTTAGCTACAAAAGTAGTTCTCGTCATTTCATCTTCGATCGCCTCACTCGATGATAATTCAGGTCTGCTAGGATGCAACTTTTTATAAATTGTGGCGGGCACGGCTTCAAAAGCAACAGAGTCTAGCGACAAAAATTCCACCAGAGGTGACATCACTTCAACGAGAAGCTGCGGTAATTGGCGATGGACATAGAAGGAAACCAACTCCTTCCAGAAAGACGACCCCGTGTGCTCCAAAAACTGCTGCGGATCATCAAAACTTTCGATTTCAGCGGCTAGAAACTCTGACACCAGTCTCATGAAAAAAATGGCTTCTCTGCGTCCCATGACGCTGTTCGAGGAAACAAACGTTTTGGTGAGGTGTTTGGTAACAAATTCTGGCTCAAGACGATTCAGCGTCACCCAGTAAAATGGATCTGTCTGAATCAAATAGAGCATTTTCTCATACTCGGGATAACGAATATCAATTGTAGATTCTAAGCCGTTTTCAGTGAAGCTGTGAGGCACGAAAATGTTACAATCACCGAGAATGGTGTTTTTCCGCTTCAAAAGTTCGAAATGGTCTTCGATAACATCCCTGTCTTTATTTGACTGGTCGATCTGCGACTTGATATACTCAAGTTTACTTCGAGATTCGTGACTGGCATGTATCTTATTGATTAAATGGACAAACCTCTTCACAGACGAGATGCTGGGATTGGCGGACGACATGAACTCCAGATATGCTTTCCGCAGCTGATACGAACGAATCAAACTTTGAACTTTGATGACCTGTGCTTTCCGGGCCCTGTAGTAGAGAGACATCTGCATGTTTTTTCTCCTGATGAGACTGCCTTTTGCGCAAGCTTGAATCGCAGACAAATCGCTACCCTCTACAATATCGGAAATTAGTTCCAGAGTGAAGCGCACCAAGATGCCTCTGGAGAGAGCCTGCATAGAGACGACTGGGTTCTTACTATCACGAACGGCCATTGCGAAGGACTTAATGCCCGCTCTTAGGAACGAGCCCTTGAGACTGGCAGCAAAGCTTTCAATGGCACCACTGTGGTGCCTCAATTGCGTGTTGGTTACGCGAACTGCATTACGCACCAGCGAACCTTTCGCGAATGATTGAAGGGCATTGACGATGTCAAACCTCTCATTTAGCGAAAAATATATGGATTTTCTGTGATTTCTCAGATGATGTGCTCGAAGCAAACCTTGCAGCCTCACTATCAATGGACGGCATGCATCAACTTCTCTTAGAAGTTCAGCGAGTTTGGTTCTCTGCAGCTGTGCTTTAGCGTAAGCTTGTAGTCTTGGCAATGGCTTTCTCAAGATGGCATGCCCTGCAAGCGCGCCTTTACTGCGTAATCTTACAACTTTGGCGCGGCACAAGCTTTGTAAAATGCTTATATCGTCTTCGACAGAAAAGAGGCGCACTCGAAGTTTAAAGATTTTCTCGCGGACCAAGCGAGCCTTAGAATACGACTGTAAAGCACGCAATGGAGATTCGTCAATGTTTGTAGACATGAAGTAGCTTTTAGCTGCCGGTCCTCTTCTAGCCATGCGTCCTCTTGCTTGCGCTTGAAGCAACCTCACCTTTTCGACGACAATATCCACTTTTCTTTGCGTTAGCGCTATTCCAAATCTTGTGTTCACACCCCTGCATATGGCCTGTAAACTCGAAACCGAATCCAAGAATTGGATTTCTGTCATTCGCTGCCTTCTCACAGGAGAATACTCTTGTTTGTTGTAACGGTGGATCCCATACCGGTCAAGATCGTAGGGATCTTCTGCAAACCTGAAAGAAGGGGATCTGTTGGCGGGCGAACGGTACGACAAGTGACGGTAAATCCGGGGTGAGTAATATGAGAGTGACTTGGATGGGCTGATGTCCGAATCAAAGCTCAGCAAAGGGGTGTTTCCCGTCAAAATATTAGCAGAAGAAAGTTTATCTGTCCCGTTCGAGCTCTCGGCATTTCCGATATCGAGCGAGGCCCGTGGAGGCGGGGTGCGCGTTAAAGGAGTTTGTGGAGAGTGTTTATTGATGTCTTGAGCTTCTTTGACGGGGCTTTGGTATCTTTTGGGAGAGCTTTGTGCAGAGCCCTGCAGTGAATCCTTCTCATCATTGCCATGCTGAGGGTTGCCCGAGCTTGGAACCTTGAATGATCGGAAATTGTGAATGGCAGGTATTTTGCGTTGACATACCTTAATGTCATTTTCCGGGAAAGTGGCTCTGCCGCTCAAGTTCTGAATTTCGGGCACCTTCCCAGGCCACTTGCTGTTTATGATGTTAATAAGAGCATGTAGCGTCTCGAATACCTTTGGTATATTCTTTTTGTCATAAAGATCTGTAAGTTCGAACCTGAACAGATCAGGAACGCCTACTTCTTCGACCAGATGGAAGAACGCATTGATATTCTGCGTATGAGTGTACTGGAGCGATGTTCCAGCCGGAACGATTTTTTTCACAAGCTTGGGATTGATTGTTTGCGTAATTTTGGCCAGATAAACCCCATCTCGCAAACTATTCCCGCTTATCAATTCCACTTCCGAGGGTAGCTCTTCTCCTATGACTTCCGATATCCATTCTTTAGCCTCTCTGACTCGGCACAGAAACTCATAGTATTTGGTATCCTTCGGGGAGAGCTTCGTGACGTCGAACGTATCTTCATTGCGAACTGACGACTTGACCATTGGTGGTGATTCTTTCTTTTTGGTCCATTGCAATGGTGAACGAATGTTTTGATTTGTCCCTGTGATTTCTTTCAGAGGACTTGGTAAAGGCCTTACCTCCACCTGTCCTGAATTTTTCAATGTCTTACGAGGTATGTTTTCCTTATCATTATTGACCTGAGGAAGGCCAGAGTCTTGTCCAGAACTTTCTCCCAGGTTCGCCATATATCGTTCGATGAACGGGTTTCTGCTCTTACCAGGAGAGCCGGTAAGAGAGGTCATGAATGATATGGATGTCCGATTTTACTGCAGTTCAGGATTTTCAATTGTTAGCTATGATTCTGGTCTGAAATCAAAGTGTTTTCGGGTCTCCAGGTTCTGTTCTTTCAAACTGCATTCCCATTACTGCTTTCTTAAACGCTAAATGGAACTCTTCGAGACGAGACCAGTAATACGTCTAAGCAAACTGTTATTATTTGTTCTTTCCTTATGCGGAAGGATCAACAGCTCATCCCAAAGAAGAACGACACGTTATTCCAAAGTGACACGGATATCTGGTCATGTGACTTCGACGGCTAGATCTGGGTCAGTTGAGAGCTTAGTTTGCTCTGAATGCAACGCATGAGAGCCGGTGTTTCAAAATTGCACAAGTCGAAATCTTTGTACCGATAGTTTGGTTGTTCAGGTGCACTCGTCTTTCCAACGCTACTGAAATCTTGAATTTTCGTGATATCCCGTAGGTTGCTGTGAAAACGTAGATCTTTGCAGTTTTCCAGCACGACGGACTGCAGTTGCGAATCTTCACGGGCAACGTAAATATCGCAGCTTTCAAGTCCATGGAGTCTGATCTGTATGTGCGATAATTCTGGCAATCGGAAAACGATTACACAACTTCCAGCGTCTTCGATGTAAATGCTGCCGTGCAAAAACGGCAGTCCTTTGAAATTGATAACGCTGTTGTGACAGGATTTGATGTGTATGGCAGACGAGTTACAATCGCTGAGCTTCTCATTCTCAAACGTGAGTGAACAATTCTCGAGATTTTCATATTCTGCTCCCGTCTCGAATTCAAGAGCCTTTCCAACGCATTTCGGGGAGACAACAGCTGCGTTTGACATATGTTGCATATTCTGAGCTTTATTATCATCTTTGACTTGGTCTTTTGGCTGCGGTCTACTCTTGAACTGAAATTTTCTTGTTGTAGAAGAGGAAGCATCGGTTGTAATCCGTTTGAGTAACCTTGTCAATCTTGAATTGTATCTTTCCAGATCGTAAGCCGAAATAGAATCAGACACTGATCTCAAGAGTTCGAAAATCTCCAGGACTTCCTTTTTCAATAGTGATGCACTAGTATTTTGTCCCATTTTCTGCTCGATAGCTTTGAGTGCGTTAGTGTACATGGCCTTATTTCATTGTCCCATATACTCATTCAAAATAGTTTACTTACCATCACACGCATCGTCAAATACTTTTGGGAACTCTGATGGGTTCAGCTCTGAGGTTCGGTTGCTCATCATCAATTGTGATGTTTGAGATTGGTAGTTTTTCAAGTTAGTCAAGTTAATAGACCTTAGCGTAAAATAACCTTAAATCAGGTTAAGTAAGACACGGGATCGAAAATATGTTTTACCTATAGGCATAATGTTAACAATGATAAGTATGTAAACAACCTATTCATGATCTGATGGATGCTTTACTTTATACAATATTTCTACTTGATTAGAGAACGCGGCGGAACCATGCTAAACCGTTTAATCCACTTCTTCCATTTCGGTCTCAGCAGCGTTTTCAGCAGCTGGAGCTTCGGTAGCGGCTTCTGGGGCAGCTTCTTCTTCTTCATCTTCATCGATGTTCAAACCCAAAGAGATCAATCTGTTGATTCTTGTGGCGAAAGAGGCTGGCTCCTCCAAAGTGAAACCAGAAGTCAACAAGGCGGTCTCGTACAATAGGTTGGTCAAGTCCTTGACGGTTCTGTCCTGAGCACCGTTCTCCTCGACTCTCTTCTTCAACTCCTTGATGATAGAAGATTTTGGAGAAATTTCGAAGATCTTCTTGGAAGACATGTAAGAAGACATGGAAGAGTCTCTCAAAGCTTGAGCCTTCATGATTCTCTCCATGTTAGCGGACCAGCCGAATTGGCCAGTTCTGATAGCAGCTGGCGCATCGATGAGCTTGTGAGAAACGACAACCTTTTCGACTTGGTCGCCCAAGACTTCCTTTAGAGCGGTGGCCAACTGTTCGTATTGCTTGGCCTCCTCCTCTCTTTGTGCCTTTTCCTCTTCGGTTTCTTCTAGTTCGAAGTCCTTGGTGATGTCGACAAGTGTCTTGCCTTCGAACTCCTTCAACTGGGTGAAGGCGTATTCGTCGATTGGGTCAACCAAGAACAAAACTTCAAAGTTCTTAGCCTTCAAAGCGTCCAAGAATGGAGACTTTTCAACAGCCTTCATGGATTCACCAGTGATGAAGTAAACGTTCTTCTGGTGCTCTGGCATTCTGGTGATGTAGTCCGTTAGAGAGGTTAGCTCATCTAGAGACTTGGTGGAGTTGTAACGCAATAGCTTGGCCAAAGCGGTTCTGTTTTGAGTGTCTTCGTGAATTCCAAGCTTCAAGTTCTTGGCGAAAGCAGAGTAGAACTTGTCGAATTGCTCTCTGTCTTCAGCGATTTCGTTGAAGGTCTCGATCAATTTCTTGACGATGTTCTTTCTGATAACCTTCATGATCTTGTTTTGTTGCAACATTTCTCTGGACAAGTTCAATGGCAAGTCCTCGGAGTCGACAACACCTCTGACGAAGCTCAACCATTCAGGAATCAATTCTTCGGCTTCGTCGGTGATGAAGACACGGCGCACGTATAGCTTGATGTTAGTCTTCTTCTTCTTAGACTCAAACAAGTCCATAGGAGCTCTCTTTGGAACGAACAAGATTGCTCTGAACTCTAGTTGACCTTCAACGGAGAAGTGCTTGACGGCCAATGGGTCTTCCCAGTCGTTAGAGATGGATTTGTAGAAAGCGTTGTATTCCTCCTGGGAAACATCGGATGGGTTTCTGGTCCACAATGGCTTGGTCTTGTTTAGTTCTTCCAATTCTTCCACGGACTCCTTAATCTTCTTGGTCTCGGGCTTCTTCTCGGAGTCCTCGTCCTCGTCAACTTCCTCCAACTTTGGCTTTTTGTCGTCGGATTCCTCTTCGTCCTTCTTCTCTTCTTCGGCAACAGGGACGTCCTTCTCGACTTCCTTAGTGACCAAAAGTTGGATTGGGTAAGCAACGAACTCGGAGTGTCTCTTGACGACTTCCTTGATTCTCTTTTCTTCCAAGTATTCAAGTTGGTCTTCCTTCAAGAACAGTCTCAAGACGGAACCTCTTCCTAGTCTTTCGTTGTGCTCGTCCAAAGTAACGGTGAAAGAACCACCAGCGTTGGATTCCCAGATGTACTGTTCGTCGTCATTGTGCTTAGAAATGACCTGAACCTTGTCAGCGACCAAGAACAGCGAGTAGAAACCAACACCGAACTGACCGATCATAGAAACATCGGCACCTGCAGAAAGAGCCTCCATGAAAGCCTTGGTACCGGACTTGGCGATCGTACCCAAGTTGTTGATCAAATCGGCCTTAGTCATACCGATACCAGAGTCTCTGATCTCGAGAACTTTCTCCTCGGGTCTTGGAGTCAATCTGATGAACAACTCTGGCTCAGTTTCCAGCTGCTTGGGGTCAGACAAAGCCTGGTATCTGATCTTGTCCAATGCATCCGAAGCGTTAGAGATCAATTCTCTCAAGAAGATCTCTTTGTTCGAGTACACAGTGTTGATGATCAAACTCATCAACTGAGTGATTTCAGCCTGAAATTCATAAGTTTCCTGGGACATGTTGAAAAACAGGAGCTAGACGTTTAGTTTGACGCTTGTATAAGAACAAATGCTAGCGATGATATCGAAACCGAACGATAGTTTAGATGATCAACATCGCGAAAGCCATGTCCTTTAAATACTCAAAATCCAGGGAAATTTTGTGGGAGGGCGAACTTTCTAGAAAAAAATATCATCTGGTGTCACTGTAGTACAAAGTGATAATTGCTGTTCAACGTTTCTAGTATGTTCTGGGAACTCGAGCGACTCTCTCGAGCAAGCTTGACCCCAGACAATACCGTAATTACTTCGCAGGTACACGATGAACAAGCTCGACACTTGTTTTTGGAGGTTTCCAGAGATTTTGGCGTTTCGGCTCGCTTGTCACTAGAGACTGAGATCTGCGATTGGCACGGACGACAGCGCCGGCTGATAGAGTTCTTGAATAGTTTGTTGTAAAGTGCCGGCCTGGTCGTACACTAGATAGTCCGGATCTGTAGACTTCACGTAGTTCAGAAGGCTCGAAAGTTGCGCAATTGAGTAACCTTGGGGTCCTGCGAAAAAACTTGGGCTTGCACACGTCACCAATGAGTGAAGAAGATGTAAAGCGGCGCGTCTCAGAAGTTTAGACGAGTTTTCAGAACTTTCAGATTGTTCAGACCTCTCCAGTCTCAAGACCCCCATCGCACAGTCCATAATGTCTGTCAACTCGTTTTGAATGGCTAAGCAGTTGGTTTCCACACACACGCTGAGAAGTGACAGAGCTGACATTCTAATACGTGCGTCGAGCGTTTCGTGCTGTTGTATATTCTTCAAGCATGTTGCAACGATTGCCCGCGATGTTTGGCCGCCAAACATTTCGTTTTGAGTCTCAACGTAATTCACCAATACCTCCCCCACCTTCAACACATCATCCAATGTCGTGCCCTTCTTCGACTCCGCACACAGTCCTGAATACACCTCTAGCAAGTATTGAAGAGTTTGAGTTGGCTCGAACTCGCAAAGCGCAGAAAGACCCTTGATCGCGTTGAGATAGACAAATGGCTCCTTGTCATGAAGTAGACGCCCGTGTAACTCCAAAACCTGTTTCAGATTGATCACCGGCGAGTTCTGCTCAATGAGCTGCCGCAGTTCGTGAAGGCCGTGCGCACGTATCGGCGGCAGCGTGTCTTCGACGTTCATCATAGCTTGCTGTAACTTCTGCTCTGCGTCAAACTCGCCGGAGCATTCTCCCGGCTCCATGCCGAGGCTATGTTCGTCACCGCCATGTAAAAGATTTGCAAGCTTCATAACCAGAGCACGCGATTCTGGATCAGTCGGTTGTCTCTCTAGTGATGTTTGAATTGAAGTTAGCTCCTTACGGCATTGCAAAAGGTCTCTCTTCGGTGTAGTAGCCATAATCGTTGAAAGCAATTTAAGCAGTGTCAGATAAACGCTTGTGGCTCTTGGGTTCTGCAGAAGATCATCCTCTTCAGCAGAAGTTTTGTCAGCATTACCGCTGTTGTCATTAACGTCATCGTCGTCAGAATCTTGATTCTCATCATCGGAGTCTTCTGTAGCGTCCCTAACATCTTCTTGCTCTTCCGGCAGCTCGAGAAGTTCATCTATCATTATGAGAACATCTCTTGGCTTTTTTATTATGTCGTTTTTGAATGCTTCGTCGAGCTTCTCCATCAACTTGAGATCAACTAGCACTAATAAGCTACCCTGAACGTCTTTGGCGGCAAGCGACTTCGAAGTGTCTTGAGATTTTGTGCTGCTAACCCAGCGACTCATGACCGAGAGGAAAATTCTCTTGACGACCTCGGGCTCGTTGAGTAGCTTCAAAAGCTGCGCGAATAGTTGGACAGCTAGGTCAATATCCAAAAAAACCTGCTGCATTTTTATAAGGTCCCCTGCAGTGTCTCTTTGTGACAGTTTGAGATCATTGTTGAAATCGCTTCCACAGGGCAGCAGCTTGACGCTGGGAAGTTGTGTTTCGGCATCAATTCTATAGCCCCAACTACTATGATCGAAATTAACCAGATTTGAGACGATCGAGTCTAGAGCGCCGTAGGCGCGGTTGATCACAAGATACCCTTTCAGTAGAGATAGTATCACAGTATAATATGGCGCATCAATTTCTTTCGCCCCGCTACGAGGCTGTATTTTTTGTTTCTTTCGCAAAAACATACAGTAGATCCATAATGTGAGATAAAAGTTTCCTGGGCCGAAACTTGCTATGTCGTTTGTTAGTTCAGCACTGGGACTCTTTGAAAGGGATATGAGGACATTTATGGTGTCATTAAGGGCTTTGGATGTGAATTCCTGTAGGGTTTCATTATACAGGACAACGGAAATCCTTTTGAATAGAAAATCATGAACGATTCTCTTATTTTTAAAGTAAAACTCGCTCACTAGGTTGTTTAGACAGCTAACGAGAATCGGCTTGTTGACAAAAGTGAGGCCTTCGTAAATTTGATCAAAAAGCTTCGAGAAATATTGTGCGCTGGTCATGGATTTTGGTTTTGCAACAAGAAGCTGACTCACTCCGTTATATTTGCTGATATCGATTTCCTCGTCTTCGCGAACGCCCACAATGAAATCAATCAGGCTGATTACGCCATTGGTTCGTCTGATGGGGAGGGTGGCCAGTTTGGAAAGCGCCAATTCCTTGTACTGCAAATTTGTGGTAGAATGAACAAGCAGTGTGTATAAAGCAAATAGTTGATATGTTTCTTGAAGGTCTTCGGCCCTGTCAAACATATCGCGGTACTGCTGTTTGTGAGCTGCGTCACCGTGCGGCTGGAGAACGACTAGAGCAGTCATCAGATCCGAAAAACCTGCTCCTTTGAGTAGCAGACGTCCAATGGTGTTTGATTTTAGTGGAGCTGCCGTGAAAATGGCGAAAAGAACGTTGCATACACGGTCCAAAGTGGCCAAATTGGCAGAATGGCCAGAGGGCACCTCGTACTTCTTGTCTCTGTCTCGAAAATGGTCAATTCTTCGTTGTTCCAGTGGGATACCAATCCCCGGTGGAAGATTAGCGTATACACCATGTATCACTATCAAGTTTACCAACAAATCGAAATATTTCATGTCGTGTAGCGATATGGGTACCAACCGTGCTGATGAAGCGTCATTCTCGGCTGTTGCCAGCGTCAAAGAGCTTAGATCGACGAGCTTGCTCAAGACATATGCCACAAAGTCTTCGTTGTTTGAGAAACCTACTTCTTGGTACAGCGGAATGCTGGAATCTTCCGAAATCTTTGAGATTAGCTGCGATTGTAAGGAATCGAAAAATTGGTCCAGTGGACCATTATTAGTGAACTCTGGTTTCCGGTCCAGGACCTGCTGCAAGCTGCTACAAGATGCTGGGGTCTCTGTCATTACTCGAAGAGTCTACCAAACTGTATGGTGCTCTTTCTTGAGGTGAGCATTGATGTAGGGGTTGTAGAAGTATACAAGTTTACCTGTATAACCGCTCTCATATATAGATTAGTCTAAATAAGACTTAATGTATAAGACTTTCGTAGAACGTGACAAAATATGAAGAAACACGATTTGGACGGATGACGAGGTGGAAAACAACGTTGTTTGCGAGAGAAATGAGGTATGCGATAGCATAGATTTGGCACGGATGGTTTGGCACGGATGGGATTGGGAGAAATAAGGTAATTACGGAGTCAAATTTCAATCCTGGGGTTTCCTCGTCTCTAAAACAGAAAACAGAAAAGGAAACGAAAAACCTGCTGTGATTTCGAATCGATTCCTTGAAAAATTAATCCATGTTACAGAAAATTGTTTTTGAAGCTGAAAGGTATATTTTTCTTGTTCACTGGTGTTGGTGTTGTCTCATGGATTCTGATGTCAGCGATATTTACATCGAGAAAATTATGATAAAATCGTTCAAGAACGTTTGAGAACGTTTTTTTGATGAGATGTGGGAAGCAAAAATAGTTTAATTCAGATGGGTCTCAAATTAGAGGTTCCCGTACAAATGTTCATCAAAATGTCATTCTTTTTTGATATGGTTGTCGAGAATTATTAAGCTGTTGAATGATTAATATCAATTACACCTTACGAACAATGAACTGGAAATGACAGCAGGAAAAGAATGACAAGATCGGGCTATAGAGAGAGAACGAACGGAATGGGGGGGGGGGGGGAGAAATTTGGAAGACAGGATGATTGCAAAACTTCTTTTTTTCTTTCCGATTTTCACTGCTGCATATACTCATTTTTTGAAGCACAAGAGTTTTATGTTTGGAGAACCGAAGAATCTTCCATAAAACTTTCACAAGTCGCAATAGAGAGATCATGAGTGGAGACATATTAGCACACTCTAGGAAAACACCACCAGGCCGCTATGGACAGTGTTTGGACTGCGTTGCACTGTACAGAGAAACAATGATCGTAGAGTGAAGCAGTTTCTCATATATCATTACATCACGTGATCTTAGTCAACGGGTTTCTTTTCCAAGTCAAACAGGGATTTAAATTCAATTCTTCTTTGAAGCGAGATGCAAGGCTGTGGGTTCCCCACCAGTTCAAAGCTTACTGTCCGAACTTGCTTCAACAGGGGAAAATCAATCCGCTTTTATGAAAAAAATCTGTTAGGGTATAATTCATATCATCATTCACGACTACGCCGTAACCCAAAATTTCAAATTTTTTTACTTCCAATTTCCCAATAATGAAAAATTCAAAGTCTAAGAGCTAGCTCATCGCCTTAGATACTTTGAGCGACACATTCAATCAAAACCACCACAGCGTTTGTCATGGGCCTCCACAGCGATCCACTGGACCAAGAAGACCAGGACGCGATTATCCTCGACGCCAGAAGCGGGGATCTCGAGTCTCTGCAAGACATTTTCTCGACCTTGGTCGACCCAAAGTTGGTAGTGACATGCTGCGATGCCGAGACTAAAAGCACACCTTTGCACATGGCTGCTGCCAACGGCCACGCAGAGGTGATTGCGTACCTTGCGCAGCTGATAGAGGACACCCAGGAGCGCACAAAATGGGTCAACACGCGCAATGCCACGGGCAACACCGCGCTGCACTGGGCTTCGCTGAACGGGAAGCTGGAGTGTGTGAAGCTGCTGTGCGACACGCTAGGCGCCGACCCGTTTGTGCGGAACGATTTCGACCACGATGCGATCTTCGAGGCCGAGCGGAGCGCCCACGAGGACGTCGAAACGTACTACTTGCAGAAATACGACGTGGAGCCCGAATCCGAGCCCCAGGAGGGCTCCACTGCGGATACCGTGCAGTACAAGGAAGGTACGGAGATCGAGCAGGTCACGAAGGATGCCGCCGAGGCTCTGAGTGCGAAAACCGGGGAATTGAACCTGCAGGACAAGGACACCGAGGCCTGAGGCGGGGAAAGCGGGCAAGCTAGCGAAGCGGGCAACGAACAAAACAACCAACCAACCAACCAACCAACCAAGCACTGAATTATGTACACTATTTCGAAACCCGAATGATAATAACAATAATATTAAAGATTCTGACAGTATTACCATTACCATTTAACCATAGACGATCAGCTCGAAACCAATTTCGTATAGAAGTACAGTTCATATATCACATGACTTTCGCACTTCTATCATGATCCACGAGTCTCGTGTAAACTGACAGCTATCTCTCTTTTTCTCACGTTTCACGACTATCGTACAGACTGATATTCGCCTTTCTCCCCTCCATCACCTCCCACGACAAATCCCATCTCGTCAGAAAATTTTTATGTTTTTCAGCTTTTACAGCTATTCATATTGATCAGAGAAATTCACACACACTCACATTAAAAGATAAAAATCTAGACTTCACTACTGAACCAGACACACACAACTTGACTACTTGTCAATACCAGAAAATAAGAGCTTAAACAGCTGGTGCTCATAGGCTCACAGATAAATAAACACATGTCAGAACTAGCGAATGAGTTGGGGTTCGATCCCTCGCTGAAGAAGAAGAAGAAGTCCAAGAAGGTAGAAGAATCCGAGACCAACAACGGAGCAGCAGCAGCAACAGCAGCAGAAGAAGCGGATCTTTTTAGCGGGCTGAAAAAGAAGAAGAAGAAGCCTAAACAGGCGTTGGGCGACGCCGGAGATATACAGGACGCTGTGGACGAGGTGGACGCAGCGCTGGGCGAGCTGAAGCTTAAGAAGAAAAAGAAGAAGAGCAAGGAAAGCACTGTGGACGAGTTCGAAAAAGAATTGGCCAAAGCGGGCGTTTCCACGCCCGCAGGCCGTGAAAACAGCAACGGGACCAGCCGCGAGGCGTCGCTGGTGCCAGACGAAGATTCCGCGTTGCAGCAGGACGCAGGCCTGCCCTACCAGGATCTGCTGTCGCGATTCTTCGAAGTGCTCAGAACCAACAACCCGGAGCTGGCAGGCGACAGAAGTGGACCCAAGTTCAGAATCCCACCTCCCGTGTGCCAGAGAGACGGTAAGAAAACGATTTTCTGCAACATCCAGGAAATTTCCGAAAAACTGCAAAGAAACCCAGAACATCTCATCCAGTACCTGTTTGCTGAACTGGGTACTTCCGGTTCCGTGGACGGTCAAAAGAGACTGGTCATGAAGGGTAAGTTCATGCCCAAACAGATGGAGAACGTGCTGAGAAGATACATTCTGGAGTACGTCACGTGTAAGACCTGTAAGAGCATCAACACCGATCTGCGCAAGGAACAGTCCAACAGACTGTTCTTCTTGGTTTGCAAGAGCTGTGGCTCGACCAGATCCGTGTCGTCCATCAAGACCGGTTTCCAGGCCATTGTTGGTAAGAGAAGAAGGATGTGAGTGCAAAACGCTGTTTTCACACCGCCCCATCGCACTCCACATCCGCAAGGACTGCAGACGCTGCATCACCCAAATCCATGTACAGATTATCCAAAGAGTGGTTTCTTTAGTCTATTTCACGCATAGGTTCACAACCGTCTTGCACAACATCATATTTTAATCGAATATCAAGAACGTAACAGCAATCAGAACTGATGCTTAGGAAAGCAAACACGGCAACTGACGAACGTCTTCTGCGACTACCACCCTGGATCAAAACTCTACGTAATCAAAAAAGTCTTTTTGGAAGGTTTTTTTTAGTATTTCTGCCTATATCCCGTCCGCTTGCAAGTTACACAAGATTTTTCGAAGCGACGGACACCATTTATTGACGGTGGAATCCGACATCATCCATTGAGTCAAGATCTTGTGTACTTTCGATTCGTCCTGCAAAGATGCCAGCACCTCGTTCATGAGCTGTCGCCCATGGTCCTGCTCCAAGACTTGCCCAAAATTCGCACGGAACTTTTTTTGGTGATATTCCAACTCAGCAGCCGGCAGCTTGGACTCTCTGGCCAGCAAATTATCAATTTCATGTAAAATTTCGTCTTTATCCATGCAAAGAGTCTCTTGCGGGGCGACTTTGCAGACGCTCGAATTGTGACTACTCGTGCGCTTTCTGATTGTGGGTGGTGGTGGAGCTGACGCCGCCTGCGTGCTTCCAAACGTGTCTATCTGCCCGTTAACCATAGTCTGCTTCGAGCCCGTGCCGCGTTTAGCTGGGTATACAAAACTTGGGCAGTCATTGTAACCTGGGACATCCGTTTCCCTACAGTTCTGGAAACTCTTAGTACGATCCAGCATTCAATTGATCTAGCACAATTCGCTTTCCGCTATGCGTTGTTGACAAGCGAGTGTTCACTATTGTAAAGACACATCAGCATCATCCATAGAACGGTGATTATAACCATTAGCCATTACCACCACCCACTCACCAAGAGATCTGAGATGAAAATGAACGGTCACACGACCAAGGTCATAACGTGCATCTCACGAGACCAGTTCACCTTGCAAATCCATCAACAGCGTCAAAAGTTCACCGCTGGAGGGTCTTTCAGCTGGATCTACTTTCAAACACTGGTGTATTATATCGATGAGCTTAGCACTGCGGTGAGTGCCTCGCGGTATAGTGTATTTCCCCGTTGTGATGGCATAGGAGATCGAAGCACCGCTGATTTGTTCCTCTCGCTCGAACGGTGAGATCCCAAAGCACATAGCGTAGATAGTACAGCCCAACGACCATATATCGCACTTTTCCGTTATCACGGACTTGAGCTGAGCATCGACTATTTCAGGAGCAGTGAAAGCCGGCGTGCAATGTTCGGAGCTCCACTCCTGAAACTGCAGCAGTCCCTGTCGGGAGCTGATCTCGAGCACTGCCCGAGAACACGAGCCCAGATCGCTTATAACAGGCATACCTTCAGGCGATATCATCACGTTGGCAGGCTTCAAATCGCGGTGCGCATACGATTGCTGGGATTCGCCAAAGGTGTCGAGCTCCAGATCGTTCAAAAGCGAGGTATCGTCGTGGTACGGTGCAGATACAATGCTGTAGGTGACCTCTGCATCGTCGTTCACATTAGATTCATGAATGCACAGCAAACCCCGGGCGATGCCCACTGAAAATCGCACAATGTCCAGTTCGGACATTTCAGTGCAGTTCAAAAGGTTTCGGTCAATCTCATCTTGTAAAGAACCCCGGGAGAAATACGGCAGCAGGATATACACGGTCTTGGAGCCATCTTTTTCCTGCGAAACTTGCGAGTCGACAAGTTGTACGATGTAGGGGCTTTGGAATCTTTTGTAGTTGGTGACCTCTTTCATGGCCGGCGATATCGTGCCAATGCTACCAAATGGACACCGGGTTTTCTTGAGCGCTAGGAGCTCGCTTGAAGCGGTTTTGACGAGATATACAAACGAGAACCCTCCTTCGCCCAGTAGTTTTTGGATCTCGTATTTCTGACCACTTACAACGACTATTGATGGCTGGAAACCGGCACAACAACACAGTGCAGCAAGCACTGACATTTCGTGAAGACCAATTGAATGAAATACAGAAGTAGATGCCAATCTCAATTGCTTTCTTTCTTGATCGATCGACGAGTGACACTTTCTGCTAGAGTTGAGATGTCTAATGTACGCCAGACGTCATAAACCCATTACCATATCGAGCACGTGACTTGTGAAATTGAATTCGGTCTTTTTTAGAGATTTGGCAACGTTGACTAGCTGCTCAGAATAGTGGATGGTATCGATTCTGCTGAGCATCAAATCGATTGACTTTGAATAACCGATGGTCTCACCAAATCTCTTGAAGAACTTTTTTACAAGTATCACTGTGTACGAGTGTACCAAATGAGACCGATCTCAAAAAGAAGAAGGCGTAAGCAGAGATCTAAAAGGAATCCAAACCTGTCCGCACTTTACCGCTTCTGCGTCTCCTAGCTTCCGGTCATCAACAATCTTTCGTACCTAGCAAATTGTATTTGTCACTATCTACGAATTTTTGTGAAATTTGAAGATACCAAAAATGTGTCCGGTAAACAGAATCAAGCCTGTCTGGAATATGACAGGGGAATTCCAAATCCCAAAAATGTCTTTTCTGTCTCTTTAAACACCTGATTCCAAATTAATTACACTTGGAACCTCGTTTTTCTACTATTATCTCAGCACGTGATTCTATATTACTATCACACTTCACGAAATATGTGAATAAGCTTCAATTAAAAAAATGCTAGTGCACAACTACTCATCAAGATTGATCAAATCGAGAACAAGTAAAGAGGCTAAACAGTTCTTCTGTCCAATCGCCAACCGAAAGACGTTTCAGACATGTCCATTCAAACTAGCAATCCGAGCTCCAACGATTACAGCAAGGCCCTGTCGCTGATCGCGGCGCACTCTCATATTTCAGGTCTAGGTCTCGATGAGCATCTCCAGCCAAAGGCCACTTCTCAAGGTATGGTTGGACAAATACAAGCCAGAAGAGCCGCGGGGGTTATTTTGAAAATGGTCCAGAATGGTTCTATTGCGGGCCGTGCGGTTCTCCTCGCTGGTCCCCCCTCTACCGGTAAAACAGCGCTTGCAATGGGGCTTTCGCAATCGCTTGGTGAAGACGTACCTTTCACGGCAATTGCCGGATCTGAGATCTTTTCCCTTGAATTGAGCAAAACTGAAGCGCTTACTCAGGCATTCCGTAAATCTATTGGCGTGAAAATCAAAGAGGAAACCGAAATGATAGAAGGTGAAGTGGTGGAAATTCAAATCGACAAGTCCATCACCGGTGGCCACAAGCAGGGCAAACTGACAATCAAGACAACCGACATGGAGACGATCTACGAGCTTGGAAGCAAAATGATTGAAGGATTGACCAAAGAAAAAGTGCTGGCAGGAGACGTTATTTCCATCGACAAAGCCAGTGTCAAAATTACAAAACTAGGCCGTTCGTTTGCGAGATCTAGAGACTACGATGCTATGGGCGCCGATACCAGATTCGTGCAATGTCCAGAAGGAGAATTGCAAAAAAGAAAATCGGTTGTCCACACCGTGTCGCTGCATGAAATTGACGTTATAAACTCTAGAACGCAAGGGTTTTTGGCTCTTTTCACCGGTGACACAGGAGAAATCAGATCGGAAGTAAGAGATCAGATCAACACAAAAGTAGCCGAATGGAAAGAAGAGGGCAAAGCTGACATTGTGCCTGGTGTGCTATTCATCGACGAAGTGCACATGTTGGATATTGAGTGTTTTTCTTTCATCAACCGTGCTTTGGAAGACGAATTTGCTCCTATAGTAGTGATGGCAACTAACAGGGGAATCTCCAAAACCAGAGGAACAAACTACAAATCTCCGCATGGACTGCCGCTCGATTTGCTCGACAGATCGATTATCATAACGACCCAAAACTACAACGAGCAAGAAATAAAAACAATCTTGTCCATCAGGGCACAAGAGGAAGAAGTTGACGTTTCCGCAGATGCCTTGGACCTGTTGACGAAAATTGGTACAGAAAGCAGTTTGCGATACGCCAGTAATCTAATCGCTGTTTCGCAGCAAATCGCCCAGAAACGTAAGAGTAACAGCATTGAAGTTGCAGACATAAAGAGAGCATACTTGTTGTTTTTGGACAGCTCCAGATCTGTCAAGTTTTTGCAAGAATACGAGCCTCAGTACATCGACGATCAAGGGAATGTGCAAATTGCCAGCGCAGACACCAATTCTGACGCTATGGACACTGCAGCCTGAATGGGAACATCAAATAGAACCAGTGTAGAAAGTGAAAGAAAATTTTATACTTTTATAGTCGTTTTCGGGTTGTGCGATGTATTTAAAAAAAGGGCTTTATTTCATTTTAATTCTATACTTGTAGATGATGTTGATGTTGATGTTTCCGCTCAAGAGCGACATATCTTGTTGTTTTGGTCTTTACACATTAGGATGGTTTAACCAGAGCTTCTCGTATTGAGGATCAGGGCGATAATCATACCGTACAAGCCCAGCACTTCGGCGAAAATCAAAACCAGTACGATACCCACAAACAGTCTTGGCTGGTGCATATATTTACGCACACCGATATCACCCACGATTCCAATGGCGTATCCACTGCTCAAACACGCAAAACCAACGCACAGACCGCAGCTCATGTGCATGAACCCGTTGAAAAGGGTGTAGTCCTCCGATGGGGACAGCCCTCCCGCTATCAAAACGGCCACCACCAAGCCGTAAACGGCCAGAATACCACTCATGACCACTGGGATCAGAGACTTCATGATCAACTCCGGCTTGAACGAACCGATACCGGCAATACCGATTCCTGACTTGGCCGTCCCTATTGCGGCTCCCAGACAAGATAAAGTCATGGCGAAAGCACAGCCTGCAAAGCCAAAAAACGGCGCGAAAAAGGGAGCGTATTCATCTGTGGCAACTAGCTGAGACATCTTTAAGGCTTCCAAGGCGCAGAAAACCTGTTTTATAGAGCCTCTATGATAGGTTTCTTTGTAGTGAACCTTTACGTCTTTATACCTAGTGATTTTGAAAATAGGTACGATATTCTATCATATCATGATATACTGTAGCTTATAGTGTAGAGATGAGATATTCGGACAGTGGGTAGGTAATTATATACGAGACAATTTTTCAAAGAGAGAAAAATGCGAAATTTGAAAAAAAAAAATTGAAAGAGATCACGTGCACCAATATCTCAAAAACGTTATGACCATCTCGTTATGTTTTGTATTTACATATGCTTGAAAACTTGCCACTCAATCAATTGAAAAGAGCGAGGAAATAGTTAGGGTACAATTCGGTCACCTAATACGGTATCCGCCTACACTTGCGTGTAAAATGATAAAGAGTTCGAAATTCGGTGTCAATATCACTCCGTACGAGGATGCATACACTATACATACAAATAAGCTATAAATGTATACAATTAACACACATCTATAATCATATTTCAACAACTTTAACAGACATCCTAGGGACATGCTGAGGCATTCATAGAGTCTATAAGAGCACAGGAGCTGGTGCCGAAAGTTTTTGTGAACTATAATAATCACACGGTCTTTTTATTTTTTTGCAGGACAAAAATATGTCTTCTCAACCATCCAAATTGGACATAACAGCGGGTCAGTTACGATCCATCTACACGCAATTCCAAAGCGTATTTGATGAAAAAGTGTCTTTGCATCTGCCCCAAGAACACGATGCCACCAAGGGAGAGGTGCTGCTGGAATTGCAGAAGTTTCTGATGGAGGGAATGGACGCAGCATCCAGCTCACTCGGTGTTGTGGACGCACCGGAAAACGCATCGATTGCCGATGTTTTGGCACAATCTCGCGATCAGTTTGTGGAACCATTCGATTTGGGCCTCAATGAGCAAGTCCGGCAGAAATACCAAGAATGGGAGGACCAGACCGTGAAAGCCGCACAGTTGCGGCGCGAAGCGCCACGGAAGCTACGTGAGATGTACGAATCTGAGGCCCAAGACGTTTTGCACGAGGTGGATGTCCTAATAGAGAATTTTTCTCGCGAGGATGGAAACAGCAGGACTAAGTCGCCAAGTGAGACACACCAGGACCAGGACCTGGAGCTAAATTGGGCCAGCCTGCAAAACGACTACTCAGAAGCGCTCGCTCGTCTGGCGCTCGTGAAAGACGAGCTGCCGAAAAACCACGCTAGGGTGAAAAAACTCGAGCAACTTGTACTGTTTTTGGAATCAGAGCTGGACTCCGAACGCTAGCAGATATGACTGGTTTATTCTTTTCCCTCCAAGCCTACCCGAGACTTGCAACTCACCATCAACGACACTCCATTTACGCTCATTAATCAATTCATTCTTTCTGAACGACCGGTAAACATATTCCTATCACGTCAATTCCAGAGAAAGGAAGAAACAAACCGATAAGGCGTACGTCAAAATTCAAGTAACCAATACAATTATCTTCCTCTTCTCTATTGCACAACTTCGAATTCTTGGCACTTGGAATTACTAACTTTACACGAAATTGAACCCAAGTTTTCAAAGCTTCTAGGCAAGCTACGATAACAGTTTGAGTCCCCAAAATTCACTTAAAAACTCCTTCATTATTCTGACGTTATTTCTAGTCATCGCGTGGATACTTCTCAATTGTCAACACCACGCTGACGCCGCGTCATTGTGAGACGGAGCGGCGACGTATATAGTGCTCGATATGGGGTTTCAAAAATTAAAGTGGCTTAACAACCAACCTCGTTCAAACCAACGGTGATGTTCGAGAAAAGACACAACTCAAGCAAGCTCTTTTCATCAAGAAGGTGAGGTTTCAAGAACTGTCAGTCTCCTAATCGCCGTCGTCTTTAGAAAAACAGATTCAGCATGAGTTACAACAATCCGTACCAACAAAGCAACCCGTACGCGGAAACGTATGACATGCAGGAAAACATTGGCTCCACGACTCAGCACAATGGCGGCGATTTCCTAGAGTTCATGAATGGTATCAACCAAATCAATGTGGATTTGGACCATTACTCGGAACTCGTGGATCAGATTGATGCGAACCAGAAAAGACTTCTCACCGAAGTGAATGAGGACCAGGAATTGACCCTGAGACAGCATTTGGACGGGCTTGTTTCCAGAGCTTCAGATCTTCAATACAAACTCAGAAACAGTATAAAAACGGCCCAGCAGCAGGGAGCATCGGACTCGAGCAAGCAGGCGCAGGCAGAAAACTCTAGACAGCGGTTTTTGAAGCTCATTCAGGACTACAGAATCATCGAGGCCAACTACAAAGACCAGAACAAACAACAAGCGAAAAGACAGTACCAAATCATCCAGCCTGAGGCGACGGAGGATGAAGTGGAGGCTGCTATTAGTGATGTGGGTGGGCAACAGATCTTCTCCCAGGCGTTGTTGAACGCAAACAGACGTGGTGAGGCCAAGACCGCGTTGGCTGAGGTTCAGGCCAGACACCAGGAATTGTTGAAGCTTGAAAAGACCATGGCAGAGTTGACACAGCTTTTCAACGACATGGAACAACTGGTTATCGAACAACAGGAAAACATCGAGGTCATTGATAAAAACGTCGAAGAAGCCCAACAGGATGTGGAACAGGGTGTTGGTCACACCAACAAAGCGGTGAAGAGCGCAAGAAGGGCGCGCAGAAACAAAATCAGATGTCTATTGATTCTTGCAGCCGTCATTATTATTATCGTGGTCGTGTGTGTGGCCGTTCCTTTGGCAACCAAGCACTGAAAAAACTAGCAGGTAGTTCTCTTTGGAGAATTTACGGTACCAGGGTCTGTATAATTCTTTTGCGTGTTTTCTCCTTGCTCAACCTCTCAAAATCTCGCCAAGAATAGACCCTCAAGATGCCATTGTGGGCAAGCTTTGATAACTTGTCATGTAGTATAAAAATTATCGATTTTACGAAATATAGAGGAAACGACGAAAATATGGCAATCTGTGCTTTCCGGTATAACAAAAATCGACCAGTTCGCTGGTATGATTGATTGACATCAAGGCGTTACAAGTCTGACGATTCAAAAGGTCAAGAATATTACCCCAACATGTTAGTCCCGACCTGCAATTTTTTTCTTGAGCAGTGTTTCTTGCGAAGCATGCCCCTGCAGTTCAGGGTGGAGAAAGGGTATGTTGATTTTCCAGTTAAACCAGTTTTTCATGCACCGTGGGGGTGCAGATCTGCTGGTATAGTCGCAACTAAGGTAGCAGACCTCAAAGAAGCCCCGAAAGGCTCCCAGCACATGAAAAGGCTTTTGATAGTTTCTGGGGAATACTACGAACGCATTTTGGCGAAAAAAAATTCCGGTGAACACCCAGATTTACTACTGTAGAGCTAGAGCACACCGAGATTATTATCGCACAATGTAAGTCTGCATTGAGCATTGGTTTTCCAAGAGTGTTTGGGGCTGGTTTGGAACCAGAATTGGTGTTAACTAAATATCTCTTGAAAATTCCAGTTTATATAGTTCGTGTGCATCACTCCACACGAGCAGTATCCGTCAGGATTTTTAGGGCTTTTTAAATACCTTGTGGTCTAGTTAACACTTTTGCCGCTGAGGAGACGTAGTTGACCATGCATTCAAGAACACAAGCTATAAGACGGTTACATATTACAAGATGACTGATATAGCAGTTTAGAAGACTTGGATGACGATGCGGGGGCAGCTTTAACGGTTTCAAAAGAGCCATTTTAAGTGTTCCTACGACAAAAAGACTGCTTTCGAGAGCTTGACGTGTGGCGACTCAAAAAACCCTACATTCCGATAATCGAGCCAACAAGGAATAACCTGCAGTAGCACATGAGCTACCGGCTCTTTCCTACGATTATGAAGTCCACTGGCATGCCAGCACATAATTTTTACCCGTTTGCCCCTTCACCAAACATAGACTCAAATTAAGACGCTCGAGTCCCTGAAAGAATTGGGAAAAGACAACATCCGCGTTAAAATCCCAACTGTATCAGAGACATCGTACACGCAAATCCGGCCAGACTTTTTGTTCGCGTCTCTCTCGAACTTCGATATATCGTGTTTCGAGACCAAATTTCAAGGAAAAGCTCACCATTTCTCCCGATAAAAAGCTGCTCACGACGCAGAACTCCGCACGCCTAAAATCAAAACAACGCCTTTCTCAACCTCACTTGGTCGTTCTACTACAATTGTATCTCAGAGGTCAAATGTACTCGTGTTCAACATATGAGCAGGACGTCACCCTGCACGAGTCTCAACACGCGAGTCTCATCGGTATCCAACAAACCAACAAAAACATGTTTTTCAAAGGGCTTGAGAAGATATAAAATAAGGGCTGGGTTGGCTCGCCGATGACATCGTGATGAGAATAAATTTTAGAAAAACTGAAGTCGAAGACCACCTTGCAACCGGCTAGTAACTTGGCAGGTTTTTGAGTGTTTGGAACTTTTAACTAGTAACTGAATTGACCTTTCAAAGATGGTCATGAAACCTGAAGTTGAGCAGGAATTGGCTCACGTTCTGTTGACGGAACTGTTGGCGTACCAGTTTGCGTCGCCCGTGAGATGGATTGAAACGCAAGATGTGTTTTTGAAAGACTTCAACACCGAAAGAGTGGTTGAAATTGGTCCTTCGCCTACCCTTGCTGGTATGGCTCAAAGAACCATCAAAAACAAATATGAGTCCTACGACGCAGCATTGTCTTTGCAAAGAGACGTTTTGTGCTACTCAAAGGACGCCAGAGAGATCTACTATACCCCAGACCCAGCAGATCTCGCTGCTAAAGAAGAGGCTACCGGATCTGCCGGAGATGCAGGTGCCGCTGCTGCCGCACCCGCAGCCGCCGCTGCCGCGGCTCCTGCTGCTGCTGCTGCCGCAGCAGCACCAGTGGCTGCCCCTAGCGGTCCTGTTGCCGAGATTCCCGATGAGCCCGTCAAAGCCAGCCTTCTATTGCACGTTCTCGTCGCCCACAAGCTTAAGAAGGGTACTGAGCAAATCCCTCTTGCCAAGACAATTAAGGACTTGGTCGGAGGTAAGTCCACCGTCCAGAATGAAATTTTGGGTGATCTAGGAAAGGAGTTTGGCTCCACACCGGAAAAACCAGAAGAAACACCTTTGGAGGAGTTGGCTGAGTCTTTCCAGGACACCTTCAATGGCCAATTGGGTAAGCAATCGACATCGTTGATCAATAGACTTATGTCTTCCAAAATGCCTGGTGGTTTCACTATCACCACAGCCAGAAAGTACTTGCAAACTCGTTGGGGTTTGGCTTCCGGCAGACAGGACTCTGTCTTGTTGATCGCTTTGTCTCAGGAACCAGCCTCTCGTTTGGGTTCCGAAGGTGATGCCAAGCAGTTTTTGGATGCTTCAGCCCAAAAATACGCCGCGATGAGCGGTCTCGACTTGTCTGCTGCCACAGCGTCTGCCGCAGGCGGTGCTGCCGGCGGAGCCGGCGGAGCTACTATTGATGCCGCAGCATTCGAAGAACTGACCAAGGACCAAAAGGTCTTGGCTCGTCAACAGTTGGAAGTGTTGGCTCGTTACTTGAAGATGGACTTGAACAGTGGCGAAAAGAAGTACCTACAAGAAAAGACCACCACAGAACAATTGCAAGCGCAATTGGATTTCTTGACCAACGAATTGGGCGACTATTTCGTTCAAGGCATTTCGACTTCCTTTTCTAGAAAGAAGGCAAGAACTTTCGACTCTTCTTGGAATTGGGCCAAACAATCTCTTCTTTCGTTGTACTTCGAAATTATTCATGGCGTGTTGAAGAACGTTGACCGTGAGCTGGTGGCCGAGGCCATCAACATCATGAACAGATCTAACGAAACTCTAATCAAGTTTATGGAATATCACATCTCTCAAACTAAGGTCGACGAGGGCGATAACTACAAGCTTGCAAAGACCTTGGGTGAGCAGTTGATTGAAAACTGTAAGCAGGTTCTTGATTTGGATCCTGTTTACAAGGATGTCACCAAACCAACTGCTCCTCAGACCATCGTTGACAAGAATGGTAACATTAACTACGACGAGGTTCCAAGACCAGCTGTCAGAAAGCTATCTCAATACGTTGAAGAGATGGCCCTCGGTGGTGCCTTGACCAAGGTGAAGCAGCCAACGCTACAAGATGACTTGACCCGTGTTTACAAGACCATCAACGCTCAGGCGGCCGAACATAACATTTCTGACTCGACCAAAATCCAGTTCGAAAAATTATACGGCGAGCTGTTGAAGTTCCTAGAAACTTCGAACGAAATCGACTCGTCTGCTTCGACAAGACTTGCTGGCGTTGTCGACGACGCTTTGGACAAGGATGCCACCAAAGAAGTGGCATCTTTGCCAAACAAATCGGAATTGGCTAAGCATGTGTCTTCTACCATTCCAAGAGAAACTGTGCCATTCTTGCACTTGAAGAAGAAGTTGGCTAGTGGCGACTGGGTTTACGACCGTCAATTGTCTTCTCTATTCTTGAATGGTCTGGAGAGTGCTGCTATCAACGGTGTGACTTTCAAAGGAAAGTACGTTTTGATCACTGGTGCTGGTGAAGGTTCTATCGGTGCTGAGGTGCTGCAAGGGTTGATTCAAGGTGGTGCCAAGGTAATTGTCACCACCTCTCGTTTCTCCAAGAAGGTAACCGACTACTACCAAAGCCTCTACGCCAAGTACGGTGCCAAGGGTTCCACTTTGGTCGTTGTGCCTTTTAACCAAGGTTCGAAGCAGGACGTTGAAGAGTTGATTAGCTTCATTTATGATGAGGAAAAGAATGGCGGTCTCGGGTGGGATCTAGATGCCATTATTCCATTTGCTGCTATCCCAGAAAATGGTATTGAGCTAGAGAACATCGATTCTAAATCAGAGTTCGCCCATAGAATTATGCTCACCAACATTTTGAGAATGTTGGGTAATGTTAAGAAGCAGAAGTCTGCCCAAGGAATTGAGACTAGACCAGCCCAGGTTATCCTTCCAATGTCACCAAACCATGGTACCTTCGGTGGTGACGGTATGTACGCCGAATCGAAGTTGTCTTTGGAGACTCTATTCAACAGATGGCACTCGGAATCTTGGTCCAACCAATTGACTATCTGTGGTGCAATTATTGGATGGACCAGAGGTACTGGTTTGATGTCTGCAAACAACATTATTGCTGAAGGTATTGAGAAGCTAGGTGTTCGCACTTTCTCCCAGAGAGAAATGGCTTTCAATTTGCTAGGTCTTTTGACCCCAGAGGTTGTTCAACTATGTCAGACCTCCCCGGTTATGGCGGATTTGAACGGTGGTTTCCAATTCTTGCCTGACTTGAAGGAGTTCACCGCGAAATTGCGTAAGGAATTGACCGAGACCTCGGAAGTCAGAAAAGCGGTTTCTATTGAGACTGCCCTTGACCACAAGATTGTGAACGGCAGCAACGCTGATGCTGCCTACTCTAAAGCAGAGGTTCAGCCAAGAGCAAATATCCAACTAGACTTCCCTACTTTGAAATCTTACGAGCAGGTTCAGAAGCTCGCCCCTCAAGAACTTCAAGGTATGTTGGATTTGGAAAAGGTCATCGTTGTCACCGGTTTCTCTGAAGTTGGTCCATGGGGTTCTGCCAGAACGAGATGGGAGATGGAAGCCACTGGTGAGTTCTCCTTGGAAGGTTGCGTTGAAATGGCTTGGATCATGGGCCTCATCAAATACCATAACGGTAACTTGAAGGGCCGTCCATACACCGGCTGGGTTGACGCCAAAACCAACGAACCCGTTGAAGACAAGGACATCAAGGCCAAGTATGAAAGTCACATTCTAGACCATGCTGGTATCAGACTCATCGAACCAGAGCTGTTCAATGGATACGACCCTAAGAAAAAACAGATGATCCAAGAAGTTGTTCTTGGCGAAGATCTCGAACCTTTCGAAGCTTCCAAGGAAACTGCTTTGCAGTTCAAACATGAACATGGTGACAAGGCTGACATTTTCGAAATTCCAGAAAGTGGTGAGTACACCGTTAAGTTGTTGAAGGGTGCTACCCTTTACATTCCAAAGGCTCTTAGATTCGACCGTTTGGTTGCGGGTCAAGTTCCTACCGGTTGGAATGCCAAGACTTACGGTATTTCCGACGATACCATTTCTCAGGTTGATCCTATCACTCTGTTCGTATTGGTTTCGGTCATCGAATGTTTCATTTCTTCTGGTATCACTGATCCCTACGAAATGTACCAATACGTTCACGTTTCCGAAGTCGGAAACTGTTCTGGTTCAGGTATGGGTGGTGTCTCTGCTTTGCGTGGTATGTTCAAGGATCGTTACAAGGATCAACCAGTTCAGAATGATATTTTGCAAGAGTCTTTTATCAACACGATGTCTGCTTGGGTTAACATGTTGTTGATCTCCTCGTCTGGTCCAATCAAGACCCCTGTGGGTGCCTGCGCGACCGCCGTCGAATCCTTGGATGTTGGTGCGGAAACCATTCTTTCTGGCAAAGCTAAGATCTGTATTGTTGGTGGTTACGATGACTTCCAAGAAGAAGGTTCTTACGAGTTCGGTAACATGGGAGCCACTTCAAACTCTTTGGATGAATTTGACCATGGCCGCACGCCAGCCGAGATGTCGAGACCTACTACCACAAGCCGTAACGGTTTCATGGAATCCCAAGGTTCTGGTATCCAGGTGATCATGGGCGCAGACCTTGCCTTGAAGATGGGTGTTCCAATTTACGGTGTCTTGGCTTTGACCGCCACCGCCACCGATAAGATCGGTAGATCTGTTCCTGCTCCAGGTAAAGGTATCTTGACTGCTGCAAGAGAACACCAGGGCAGCTTGAAGTTCCCATCTCCATTGTTGAGCATCAAATACAGAAGACGTCAACTAGACAGTCGTATTGCTCAGATCAAGAACTGGGTTGAGAATGAACTTGACCTATTGAAATATGAGGCTGAAGCGGTGCCAGAGCAAGACCAATCTACTTTCTACGCTGAGCGTACTGAAGAGCTACAACGTGAGGCTGAGAGACAGCTAAAGGCTGCTCAAGCTCAATGGGGTAACGAATTCTACAAGAGCGACCCACGTATCGCTCCATTGAGAGGAGCTTTGGCTACTTTCGGTCTCACGATCGATGACTTGGGAGTTGCTTCATTCCATGGTACCTCGACTAAGGCCAACGACAAGAATGAATCCGCAACGATCAACAAGATGATGGAGCACTTGGGTAGATCTGAAGGTAACCCAGTTCTTGGTGTTTTCCAGAAGTACTTGACAGGTCACCCTAAGGGTGCTGCTGGTGCCTGGATGATGAACGGTGCATTGCAAATGTTGAACTCGGGCATTGTGCCTGGTAACCGTAATGCGGACAATGTGGACAAGGTACTAGAGCAGTTTGAGTACATCTTGTACCCATCCAGAAGCATCAAGACAGACGGTATCAAGGCTGTCTCGGTGACTTCTTTCGGTTTCGGTCAAAAGGGTGGTCTAGCCATCGCAGTGCACCCAGACTACTTGTATGCCTCTGTTGACAAGTCGACTTACAATGCCTACGTTGCCAAGGTTTCTGCCAGAGAACAGGCTGCTCACCAATACTTCCACAACGGTATGATCAACAACTCCTTGTTTGTGGCTAAGGACCATCCTCCTTACGAAGATGAGCTTGAACAACCAGTTTACTTGGACCCATTGGCCCGTGTTAGCGCCAACAAGAAGACCGGTCTCTTGGCTTTTGACGAGAAGAAATTGAACGCTAAAACCACTTACGTTTCCGACGCCAACTTGAAAACGTCGGAAGTTGTCAGCCAGCTTGCCAAAGCCGCCTCTGCCGAGGGTAATGTCGGTGTCGGTGTCGACGTTGAGTTGATCAAATCTGTCAATGTGGAAAACGATACCTTCATTGAGCGTAACTTCACCGCTGGTGAGATCGCTTACTGCCAGAAACAGCCATGTGTCCAGAGTTCTTTTGCTGGCACGTGGTCTGCGAAGGAAGCTGTGTTCAAGTCCCTTGGTGTCAAGTCCCAGGGTGGCGGTGCTGCATTGAAAGACATCGAAATTGTTCGTGCCAACGGTACTGGACCCCAGGTGACTCTTCACGGCGCTGCCTCTTCTGCAGCTGCCTCTGCTGGTGTGAAAAACGTCTCTGTTTCGATCTCCCATGACGACTTCCAAGCTGTTGCCGTGGCTTACTCGCAGAAATAACTGAGCGGAATTGATCCAAATACATATTTAGACTAGAATTTGAAAGAAGTGTTATTTGATTAGTTGTTACGCGAGGTTTACCGATTGTAGTATACATGGTTTCTACTAGAAAGCGCCGAGGAAAAAATGGCGTTTTGTTGATAGACTCCAAAGACAGCGAATTAAACAAAGCTAAATGATACGAACAAGCTGAACAGTCAAGCTAGCTCTGTCCCGCAGAGTCAGGCCTGCATTTGCAAGGGTGGTATATGTTTATTTAGAGTTTGAGCTCGAAGGATGTAGGAACGTTGTTTGAATCCGTATCAAGCGACTGATGGTCACGGGAATTATATGTTATCACTTGACACGGTAGAGATTTTCTGATCACGTTATATGGTCACATGCTTCTGTCATGTGGTCTGTTGATCACATGACGAGTACCTTGCTTTTCAACGAAACGTGATACTGTTGCGTACTCATCTGGTGATAAGGCACGAGCCAGATAATTAACTGATATAGAGGGGATGGGTTTCAATAAACTTACAACTATAACCAACATAAACCATTCACCACAACAAAAGATAACAACATCTGTAACAACAAAAGATAATCAAATTCGGACCATTGAGATTCTGACTGATTGCTCTCATATTTCTGAAACCTAAAACTAGCAAATTTCGGCTTTACAGTGCACCAAATTAGACCAAAATTGGTGGAAAACCGAGTAAATAACATAAACTGGAACAAAAAAACAACATACAGCGAAATCAAGCCCTATGTCGTTTCTAACACCCCCAAACTCAGTGGCAGGTCTGAGTAAAGGCTCCATAAGTCAAAGCTTTGTGCTGGATACGCCTGTATCGCAGCTGTTCCCCCCTGACGGCTCGGAAATGTCTCTCAAAACGAAAAACAACATTTGCAAGTCGTTTGAAGATGACTTGTTTTTCTGTCCGAGGGGGCTACTGTCAACGCAGGAACAGTCGACTTGCCAACAAATGGATCTCGTTCTACTTGATCAGATGCGTGAATTCGGAGCTTCTCAACCTCATGGGTCGAAGTATCTCGAAAACATGCAGCCACAGCCCAAGAAATTCAACCCTTATACCTCCCAGAGTTTTAGTCCTGCACCTCCACCTTTCGAGCCTCACGCGCCTCTACAACAAGACTCCAATAATAGCTTTTGACGCGAGCGCCGATTACGACAAAATGAATAGTGTGCGGAATTTTTCTTCGAGGATAGGGCTTTCTCTCGGTAGGTTCTGGAGAAAGTTTGGGGTTATTTATGCAGGGAATTCGGTATTTGACACACGGTTAGGGAAAACATTGGGCTTACGGTAAGCTGCTCTTAGTGTTGGTTGGTTTGCATCAACTATACATTTTGGGCTGTAAGTATTGACGTACACTTAGATGTAGCGTTGGCCATTACCACTTCATGTAAGAAACACATTTCAGAAACATAATTTTTGAGAAAATGGTCTGTTCAACGCTGTACTGGGTGGGAAGCATCACGTACAGCACCCGGGTCAGCTTTGACATCTTGTAATATACATAGACATTGAACAACTTCGAGTATTGTATTCGAATATTTTATAAGCTTGTCGTGGTCGTTGAGTCTTTTTTACCAGTGACTGATCTCATTATATAACTGAGGACGTAGCTCCAGATCTTCTAGATTTCACTAATCGTAGAGTTTTAGAGTCCACTGGCCCAAGTCCTTCTTATACACAGGTGTGGTTTTAGCAGTGACGTTGTACTTGAACGACAGCTTAGCAGGTCTGAGTCCTAGGCTCGAGCACATCCGTGAATTGTGATACATGTAACGATATTTAGTTGATTGTACAGTCGTTCATCTAGTCGATGTGAAATGTTATCTGACTGTGAGAGAATGGCCATAATGGTATCCAAATCTCAAGAGTTTGTCGAAATGCGAGCCAACAAGTTCATTAACCTGTTTCCGGCTTGGACCTAAATTTTTGTTTAGTTCAGGGTTTTTTTAGAGGTCATAGTTATAATGTTTTTGAATGACATATGCCAAACACAGTGTACACATCAAAAACATTAAAAAACTAGAACAAACATTGATACTAAAAATACAGATTCAGCTTGTTTCCTTCAATGCTATTTTCCTTATTGTATTCGAAAATGCCCAAAAACCTTCAAAGAAACGCATATGACAGTTTAAGTTTGTTTTCGACGAGGAGGAACATAATTGAAAGGAAAATTGCTGAGTAACAAAGGTTTCTCCTCCATAAACTCGAAAGACAACATAGACTACATCTCTGGCTACACAGACCTAATATCGAGCCAGTTGTTATTCCATTTGCCATGATAGTTCTTACTGTGTGTCAGTTGCGTATAAAGTGATATCAAGCATTACTATAATTTCCACAAGAAATTAGACATGAAGACACCTGCCAGCTCTGGCACCAATGTCTATCCAAAAAGACGTCCAATCAAAGGTCAAAACCTCTTCTTTTAACATATAATTCGTCGCTCAATTGAGCTACCAATTCGCTGTTCCCCATGAGTACCCCCAAACCAGAGGTAAGCCGCGGTCTTTCGCTGGAAGATTTGGTCAATCATGATGAAAGTCCCAACTCCAAGAGAGAGGCCAGAAGAAGAAGTTCCCAGACTTTGAATCCGCTTCCAGCAGAGGAAATCAAGAAAAGGCTCAGTGTGGACGGTTCTGGAAATGGCTCGAGCAGCACTCCAAAGAGCTCGAAACCTGCAGGCAAAACGGGTAATGACGAAGAAACCGACACGGACGATGAGGTAGGTGGATCTGGAGATATCTTGTTTGAGACAGGAGACTTCAAGTTCGACTATGACAAGCAAGAGAGAAGTGAGACTAATTCAGGCCCTACTGAAAACGCAAGCAAGCCACCTAAGAGTACCAAAACTGGAAATCCTGCCAAAGCAGAAAGTCGAAGCAAGCAAAACGAAGAGGCTGCTGCAACAACGACAACAGCTCCCACTGTAGATGACGCCGAATCCTCAGATGCCGCGAAAAAAGTTAAACCACGGAAAGACTCCGATATGAAAGACATTTTCGAAGAAAAATCGTCGCTTCAATCCAAGCGGAATGCGCTGAAAAAGGATTTGAAGGTACTTAATGAGATCGCATCCACCGCCAAGCCGAGCAGATACCATGTTGCACCACTTTGGGCCCAGAAGTGGAAACCCACAGTTAAGGCACTGGAAAGTATCGACACCAAAAATTTGAACATCGATGCGTCCTTCACAAATATCATTCCGGATGATGACTTGACAAAGTCGGTACAGGACTGGGTCTATGCCACCATGGTATCTATACCGCCGGACCAACGACAGTTCATCGAAATGGAAATGAAATTTGGAATAATTGTGGAGGGAAGTGACACCAACAGAGTAAGTCCGCCTGTTTCCTCTCAAACTGTTTACACAGAAATGGATGCACACTTGACCCCAGACGTTGACGAGAGAGTCTTTTTCGAGCTCAACAAGTACATGAAGGGCATATCGGAATTGAGTGAGTACACGGGTAAATTCAACATCATCGAGTCGCACAGCACTGATTCGTTGTATCGTGTTGGAATGTCCACACAAAGACCCCGATTTCTCAGAATGAGCCGAGACATCAAAACTGGGCGTGTGGGGCAGTTCATCGAGAAGCGACACATCAGTCAATTACTTCTTCTGTCACCGAAGGATAGTTACGATGTCAAAATTTCGATCAATCTTGAGTTGCCCGTACCTGAGAACGATCCGCCTGAAAAGTACAAGGACAATACCCCTGTAAGTATTCGTACCAAACAGCGGATAAGTTATATTCATAATGACTCTTGTACCCGTATGGATATAACGAAGGTGTCGACTCACAACCAGGGAGTGAAACAAAGACATACAGAGGGCACTCATGAAATCGAATTGGAGGTAAATACTTCAGCTCTGTTGAGTGCGTTTGAAAACATCACACAAAACAGCAAAGAGTATGCTTCCATTTTGAGGACATTTTTGAACAACGGCACTATCGTAAGAAGGAAACTGACAGGGTTGTCACTAGAGATTTTCGAGGGCCAGAAAAAGGTTTAGTAATGGGATGGGGATTTTTCTATCTAAACTTTACATGGAAGTGGCGAATTATGAGTATAATCGTACAATAGCCTCCTGTCGAGAGCTCGAGACCTTGAAAACGACAACGATCGTTTAACACTCGGTTTTACCGCTATAAATGCCCATAATGTAAGCCAACCTAATAGTGATTAGGTCTTTCGCCATGTTTATGCTGTCTCTAGCAAGCTCCATTTTAGAGCCACCTACCTCGTGCCAGGAAATAGCCACTTCTTTGATCGGTATCTGTTTTTTGAGCGCTAAAATCAGAATCTCCACGTCGAAGATCCAGCCCTCGGTGTGCAAGTAAGGGAAAATCTGCACGATCGCGGGTCTGTTGAAAAGCTTGAACCCACACTGCGTGTCTTTTATCGATCTAATGCCGAACACGAAAACAAGCGTATGCAGTCCGTACATAAGAAAGTTTCTGATAAATGAACGCTTGACCACAGCATCCGTGTTTACCATGTGGGCTCGAGACCCAATGGCTACAACGGCTTTGCCGCTCTCATCGAGTTTCTGGGTCGCGCTCAGCAGTTTTTCGCAGTCCGAAAACTTGCTGGCACCGTCAGCATCTGCAAAGAGCCCGAATTTTCCTCTGATGTGAAGCATTCCGTGTCTCACAGCACCGCCTTTACCACGATTTTTAGCCAATTTTATAACCCTCAGTTGTCCAGGCTTGAGTTTGAATGTTTCGTGAGCTAGCTTCAGACAGTATTCTGACGTCCCGTCTCGCGAGCCATCGTCAACTATAAGAATCTCCCACTTGTTTTCTATTTTCTTTTGCAGAAACTCAATTGCATCTGTTAACATCACCAAAATACGTCCCACTTCATTATAGCTGGGAACTAGGACGGAAAGCTCAATTCCATCAACATTTTCCTTGCAATCTTTCACACAAACCAATTGACCGCTAGTTTCGCCTCCTTGGTTACCATTGGTCCTGTATGAGAGCTCTTCGGCAAAAGGTTTTCTGGGCCAGTGTGATAAAAGTAGTACTAAAAGGTACAGAGAGCTCAGAATCACAGCGAAAAAGGTACCGCATACTACAGCGACATTGAAATCGCGTACTCGAGAACAAAGCGATCCCCACATAGCTCTTGAATACTTCTTTTCGAGCTTAAAGAACCATCAAACTTCTTCGATGTCTATGTTTAGTTATGTACAGGTAAGACGTTCATTAATATCAATAACGAAACTTCACCAGTCATGTGAGTACCTGCTTGGGATCTGGATAGGGATCTGGATAGGTACCCGGTTAGGTACCCGTTCAAGTACCCACTCGAGTACCCGTTCGAGTACCTGTTTGAGTACCTGCCTCGAAGCAAGGTAGCTAGCGAGCTACTAATAAGAACTACATGTTGCGACAAATATTGACATTTTGGCGCTGAAGATATCAGTAAATCTCAGATTCTACAATGTTAAAACCACTTTTGCCCCATGCTGCCTCTTACTGACTACAGCTAGTGACGTTTATGCCTAAAAGTAAATCCTACCCGTGTGTATTGCCCGAACCTTAAAAACCTTATATACGCGAAAACTGATGTCCGGCACTTGCTGCATCGTGCTCCTCTCTATGCTTAGAAATTTCCCCGTCGCTCGAGCGATATTGCGTGGCCGGCGTGGAATTCATTCCGGTTTCCTGCGGGCCCCCATTCATCGAAAAATCATCGTTCAAGATCGTGCTGTCGTGGTGGCCATCAATATCTGCATCGTTATCCGCTCCGGAGTAGGGAAACATTGACGTTGGCGATGAAGGCATGATTCCTCGTTTTCTGCGCTTTTCCTGCATATATGCATCCATGTAGTCTTCATCTCCGACAGGCGAAGAAGTCGCAGAACCTGTTCTTTTCCCCATGCATCTTGATTTTCCATCAACGACTTCCGCTGTGGGCGAGGTGTGCGGAACGGGCATACTTTCATCCTCCAGATCCTGCAAAAAAGCTCCACTAGCGGCTCTCGAAAGCAGCGGCAATCTTCGCAGCTGATCTTTGCACGAGGGAGCTGCTTTTTCGGCCATTTGCACCTTCTTTTGTTCAAGTTCATACAATGGCATTGATAAGGTGTCCATGGGTGACGTTCTATCGAGATCACTCACGGGCACCCTAACAGCATCGGGCTCCTCGTCTTCGATGGGGAGAGTATTACAGGTCAGGGGATCCTTTATAGGTGTAGCACCTTTTTGGCTCAGAATTGGAGAGCCGAACAGATCGTTAAACCATTCCATTGGATCGTCACTTCTGGGGTTATGGAGTGCTTTTTCAGCATCACTCGGTGTTCTAGAAGATGGAAGGTCCATACCCAGCAAATCCTCGAAACGGGAGCTAGCCGGCGTCGTACGCGGAGGTATATTTTCCTTGTTGGATTCGTCACTTCTTTCAGGTTGATCAGGGTCGAAGTAATCGATGGATTTCACTTTTTGTTTGTCTAGTAGCTCCTGAACAAGATCTTCGTCCCCCAGCAGTTTAAATTCATCGAGCTCATCACTTTTGTTGACTGCTAGCGACTCACTTGAACCTGCAGCAACCGGGTTAGGGACACTATCCCTTCTAGTCTTTTTGACCACCGTCGATTTAGACTTGCTTGCAGGTTTTTTGATGCTAGGTTTGCCCATTTTGCCCTTCTTCTTTGTAATGAAGTCGAATCTTTTGCTAACTGAATCATCGACCTTAGTTCTCTGAACTGTGTTGTCGTTTTGTAAGCTGCTGATCTGGAAGACTGGTTTTTTGTAATCCTGATTCTGCCTTAGCGCTGGATCTGTATCTTTAGCAGCTCTATCTGCAAGATAAATCTTGTGTGCGATGGAATTGGTGGGTAATGCAAATTGATTGTTTTTTGTCTGATCCCAAATGGGTAACGACTGGGTTCGTACTGCCTTGGGTGCTGGCTTGGGATTTGTTTGTCTTTTAATCGTTATGGGCGCTGTTGCTTGATCTGGTTTCCCCAGCTCCGTTGTTTTGGATAAGCGTTTTGTGACGGTATGCACAGCCGTGCCGTTGGCAGATGATGTTGATGATGATGAAATTCTAGCCATGTTTACCGGCGCGTTTTTGTTTGATATGCTTGACCTGCGAGAAGAGTTTGCCGTGGCTACTTTGGAAAAACGCATTTTTATCTCTAGAGTGCGTTGGGATGCTGCATCAGCGTTTTGATTCTGGAACCGCAGCATCGCCGAAAAATTAGAACACACGCGCCCGATGACTAAGGGCCATTTGGAAACTTGTTGAGTGGCAGATGAATCTCTTCGCAGTTTCGACAAAAGGCCGAGGCTGACCAAAGGTTCGTCCATTTCGCAAATGTCTTTACAGTAAACATTATAATCAACGTTCGCTCCAAGTCCAAAGCTGAAGAGCTCGGGCGATGATGCACATATTTCGTTCAACACATCGTTCAACTGCACGATTCCGATCTTTATCTGGGACCCGTCATCATTAGGACTGGTAATGTTTTCCACACGTACGCCCACCGCTGTTTCGCTTCGGGTCAAGTAGGAATTAGTTTCGTTGTCCACGGTATATAGCACCTTCAGCGACATATTAGTCGTCATTGTGAGAGCAGCGTAGCTTGGTGTTGGAGGTATAAGTCGTGGAAAGGGGTGCTAGTTGCTTCGATAGGTTAGTTTTCTAACGAACGAAAGTTCAAAGTCTTGCACAACTGAAATATTATCAAAAAATAATCTGGTCTAGCGTCTAGCAGTCCAACCATCGCTAACTCATCAAGGCCCGTCTTCCTGCATCTCCTGCTATGCCTCAATCAGTGCAAAGCTGCTGTGAACAGCACGCGAACGCGTAAAAATGCTACTCATAACGCGTATTGTTTTTTTCGCGTTGCATGAGACGCGTAAAAAAAACGCGTAAGCATTTACGCGTCTCTGTTTTTTTGGACTATACACCTAATCGAAAAGGGTAGTGCAAGTGGCCACTATTAACAACGGCAAAGACCGCGTTGTACTAGCCAGACTTCAACATTCTTCGAGTGAATGAGCGTTGGGTTTTGGTCTTGTTGCTATGCATTTTCCCATATGCTAAAACTCAAGCTCAAATAGCAAATAGACCTCGAAATCGGTCGGAGCAAAAGGCCAATTTGGAAGCCGCTTGATATGCACATCACCCACCCAGCAACTAGTATTGGCTATGCCCTCCTCCACTCCCGTCCACACAAATTTCCATCATTTGACTTGTCTTGTCCGCTTTTCCTTCAGTTAACCATCTGATCTTGAAAACTGACGCTAATTACCGGCACATGACCTTAAAGATCACGTGCGAAAAGAAAAAATCAAAAATCTCCGAGACCCAGATCTGGCGTATATAATGATTCCAGATATTACTGAAAGAAAATTTTTAGTACCGTAACATCTCATCTCATCTCATCTCATCTCAGATGTGTCTCTTATTCAAGAGTGCAATCGCCTTACAGAACAAGCATTTGTAGCGGTTAGAACGTTGAAATCCCAACCGGACTTTTAAAACACGACTGAAGAAGCAGTCTGTTAATTTTCAGCTCTCTTTTCCGACTTCAACTTAGATTTTTGACCGCGTAAAATGCCTCCTAAGAAGTTTGTTTCCCTTGACGACTTCATGGGCGAAGAAAAGCCCAAGAAGAACCAAGTGCCTTCGCCATTCGGTGGGTTCTACACTAAGCAAGCTGCCAGCAATGCAGCCCCGGTCGGTGGCCAGCAGCAGCACAAAAAGACCCTAAACCAACAGTCCTCGTACCAGGCCCAACGTAACTGGAACGACGGCAGCCAGTACCAAAGCTACCAGAATCACCAAGCTCCTCAAAACTACCAAAATTATCAGAGTAACCAGAATTATCAGAATTACCAATCACCCGCGTATTCGCAAACATCGACGCCAGCAACAAGCAACACTCCAACTCCCACAACGTCGACCACATCTCTAACGTCATTGACCACGTCGTTGGCTAACTTGGGTGTCACTCCAATCTCAGGGATCCTTTCGAGCCTCCCACAATGCGCGTCGCTGGCAGACTGCAAACAACAAATTCAGCTGGCCGTAGCAGAATTCAATAAAGAAGGCCACTCCGCCGAAGACATCAAGAACTGGGACGTTCCTAGCATCATCAGTAAGCTTATGAAACCCAAGAATGCTTCGCTGGTCCAAGAGTCGGGCATGGTCTTGATCTCTCAGTTGGCCAGTAACTACGCAGGCAAATCGCCACAAGAGGTGTTCCTACTGCCTTTGTTGCCTTCTGCTTTGGACGCCATCATCAGTAAAGAAAGCTCTGTAAGACGCTCCGCCCAGCACGCAATTGATTCGGTATTTGGCCTTTTCCCAATTGAGGCGCAAACATGCGTTGTGCTGCCCAAGCTTCTAGAGTATTTGAGCTCCGGTGTCAAGTGGCAATGCAAATGTGCAGCGTTGAAGTTGGTTGACCGTATCAGAGAAGAGTCCCCCAATGATTTGCTCGAGCTTACTTTCAAAGACGCGGTTCCCGTACTCACCGATGTTGCGACTGATTTCAAGCCTGAACTAGCAAAGCAAGGTCACAAAACCCTGTTGGACTTTGTTTCCATTTTGGACAATTTGGATCTTTCCCCCCGTTTCGAACTGATCGTGGACACTTTGCAGGACCCAGCCAAGGTTCCAAGTTCAGTAAAGTCCTTGTCTAGTGTTACTTTCGTTGCTGAGGTCACAGAGCCGGCCTTGAGTATATTGGTACCAATCCTTAACAGATCGCTAAACCTTTCTTCATCTTCGCAAGAACAGCTCAGACAAACTGTTATCGTTGTTGAAAATTTGACTAGGCTGGTGAATAACAGATCCGAGATCCAACATTTCATCCCTCAACTAATGCCTGGCGTCCAAAAAGTTCTAAACACTGCCTCCTTACCAGAAGTACGTGAACTAGCAGAAAAAGCACTTCAAGTTTTGAAGGACGATTCACAAGACGATGGCAAGTTCGCTGGCAAAATTTCATTTGAAGAAGGCTCCACCTTTTTCAAGGAAAGGCTTCACTATCTCACCGAAGGCAAGTTAAGCGAGGATGCGGTCTCCTACGTTTCTAAGATTCTTACTGTTGATGCAAATGTTAACGACTGGAAGAGGCTAAGAGAATACCTTGTGCTAGTTTTTGGTGAAGAAAAAGCTGAAAATGTTGACACCCACTTCATTCATGAACTAAGACTTCTTTTCCATCAAGAAAAAGCGCAATACGATGATGACGGAATTGAAATTGTTAACGCTGATTTCTCTCTTGCTTACGGTTCCAGAATGCTGTTAAACAAGACCACTCTTCGTTTGTTGAAAGGTCACCGTTACGGTTTGTGCGGTAGAAATGGTGCTGGTAAATCAACATTGATGAGATCGATTGACAATGGCCAATTGGAAGGCTTTCCTGATAAGAACACATTAAGAACGTGTTTTGTGGAACACAAGCTGCAAGGAGAAGAGGGTGAACTCGATTTGGCTTCTTTCATAGCTTTGGATCCTATCTTGAAGGACGTTTCTCGTGAAGAGATCTCTAAAGCCTTGGAAACTGTGGGATTTGATGAAGAAAGAAGAGCACAGACTGTTGGTTCTTTGTCAGGTGGTTGGAAGATGAAGTTGGAATTGGCGAGAGCCATGTTGCAGAGAGCCGATGTTCTCTTGTTGGACGAACCAACTAACCACTTGGATGTGGCAAATGTCAAATGGCTACAAGACTACCTATTAGAACATACTGAGATTACATCTTTGATTGTTTCGCACGACACCGGTTTCTTGGACGCGGTTTGTACTGACATTATTCACTACGAAAACAAGAAGCTTGCTTACTACAAGGGTAACTTGGCTGCTTTTGTAGAGCAGAAACCAGAGGCGAAATCCTATTACACCTTGACTGATAGCAATGCGCAAATGAGATTCCCACCACCTGGTATCTTGACGGGTGTGAAATCAAATACCAGAGCTGTCGCAAAGGTGACTGGCGTCACCTTTGCCTATCCAGGTGCTAGCAAACCTTCCTTGAGTGATGCATCATGTGCGCTGTCATTGAGTTCAAGAGTAGCTGTACTTGGACCTAACGGTGCAGGTAAGTCAACTCTTATCAAAATTCTCACGGGGGAACTTGTCCCTCAAGAAGGAAAAGTGGAAAAGCATCCTAACCTTCGTATTGGGTACATCGCGCAGCACGCTCTGCAACACGTTAATCTGCACAAAGAAAAGACCGCTAATCAATACTTACAATGGCGTTACCAGTTCGGTGATGACAGAGAAGTGCTGTTGAAGGAATCGAGAAAGATCTCGGAACAAGAGAAAGAAATGATGTCTCAGCAAATTGATATTAACGACGGCAGAGGTAGCCGTGAAATTGAAGCTATTGTGGGACGGTCCAAACTGAGAAAGTCTTTCCAGTATGAGGTTAAATGGAAGTTTTGGCTACCAAAGTACAATTCTTGGGTTCCTAAAGAGGTGCTCCTCGAAAATGGGTTTGACAAACTAGTGCAAAAATTCGATGATCACGAAGCGTCTAGAGAAGGTCTTGGATATCGTGAACTGACCCCAGCTGTGATCACAAAGCATTTTGAAGATGTTGGATTGGACGCTGAAATTGCAAACCACACACCATTGGGCTCTTTGTCCGGTGGTCAACTGGTCAAAGTCGTCATTGCCGGTGCAATGTGGAATAATCCTCACTTGCTAGTGTTGGATGAACCCACCAATTATTTGGACAGAGACTCGCTAGGTGCCCTGGCTATGGCCATTAGAGACTGGTCTGGTGGTGTGGTGATGATTTCGCACAACAACGAATTTGTGGGTGCTCTGTGCCCAGAACAATGGATTGTTGAAAACGGTAAGATGGTCCAGAAGGGTGTTAATGCAATCGACCAGAGCAGATTCGAAGATGGTGGAAATGCTAGCGCTGCTGGTGCAAATGTCAAAGCATCGCCATCAGTTGATGATGATGATTCGCCAGCCAACATCAAGGTCAAGCAGAGAAAGAAGCGGGGGTTGACCAGGAATGAGAAGAAACTGCAGGTGGAAAGACGCCGTTTGCGTTATATTGAGTGGTTGAACTCACCCAAGGGTACTCCGAAACCTGTCGATACTGACGACGAGGAGGAGTAAAATTGTGAAACCTGGCATGTGTAAAGTATAGAATTTTAAAGGATAGAGATCGTTAATTTTTGGCTTGTAAGATAGCGTGGTAGAAAAGTTAGAGGCTTGTAAGCCCGCAAGCTGGCAGAATTTGGAGTGTCTCCCAGAATCGTGCCAATCATTAGTTTTTATCGCTTTCTATCTTGAATCGGAAATCCGTTGCTCCTCTTCAGCCGTTATGGGCTTCCCGTCGAGCTTCTGGATAGACTCCTTTACCAGCTCTTTGAGAAATATGGTGTGCTCTTTAAGACCGAGGATACTAACAGTATTGAATCCCATACCATAGTGAGGATAAGACCCTATTTTTATCTCCCCAGAGACCGCCACACACCGCGATTGCAATTCACGCAAGAACGCCGATATCTCAGATTCTGATTTTTTGGTCTTGATGAAATATCGTTCGTAAAGATGAGGGTCTCTGTCATTGACGTTGTACAACTGTTTTAACGTTGGCTCAAATGCATTGAGCAGTTTCTCAAAAAGTTGCGGGATTCCGGGCAAAATGTACACTTTTTGACTGATTGCTACGATGGGCACCCATAGCTCATCCAAAACGTAAAAACTGTGCACTTCGGGACCCGCAGGCAAAGTGGCCATCCTGTAAAAGTCCTTGAGGGCGTTGGAGTCGTAGCGCTGTTCTGGCTTAGAGATTTTCCGCATTCGGTCCTGGCATTGCTTGTTGAGTTCGCAATGCAGATTGAAAGCACTGGCGATCGATTCGTACGTGATATCGTCGTGTGTGGGGCCGATACCGCCTGAGGTAATTACAAGGTCATTTTCTGCGCTGAGACGTTTGATCGAGCTGGAAATTTGGTCTTTCTGATCACCAATCGTCGCTATTTCTCGAAGATTGATGCCCAACCGGTAACAATATTGAGCGAAAAACCGAGAGTTGGTGTCGGTGATTTTACCATTTAGAACCTCATCGCCTATGATCAAACACGCTGCTTTGACGAGTGGCATTTGAGAAGTAGAAGGAGTGAGTACGGGATAAGAAAAAGTATTCAAGAGCCTTTTGAACATGAATTGTTGTTCGAGCAAGAACTGTTAAAATGGATAGAAAGTAGATAAAGATCCGGGCCCTTTAATTTCCAGGATCTGCAATAATATATATTTATAGGTCACATGCTAGAAATCTTGAACTCAGATCCCGTGATAATCACAAGACCAGATTAGATCACGCGCATATGGCGTGACCAAATGTAAACCACGTGTCAGTCACAACGAACGAAATAAATCTGATCATTTTTTTTCTTCTTGACCATTCTCATCTCTTCTAGAAAGTAAAGTTGAAAAAAAACCTACAATGAGTTAAAAGATCACTCGAATATATAAACCGGTATTGATCGAGCTAAAAGGTACACTTATCAATAGATATCATATTTGAAACCTAGCCCAAATTATTTGAATTGTCGTATTTCATAGCTGCCCTCTTTTCCCCGGCTTTTTTACTGCATTTTTAACCATTTCGCATTATTCTATCACTTTACACACTCACTAACACACCGGATGTCGACATTTAACCCAGAAACCGCTGAAAACTTGGAAGACCTCGAGAAACAATTTGCCGTTGTTGCGGTAGAACAGGCAGAAACTTACTGGAACCTGATCACAAAAGTTGCCGGCTCCAAGCTTCGTCTAACCAAACATGACGACGAAATCTACGAAAAGTTCCAAGAACATTTCCCCGAGTACAAGGACCTTAACAGACTCAGCAAATTCACAGAAGACGAGCTGAAAACCAAGGAGGCCAAGGAAAGATGGAGAAAGTTCATCAAACTTTTCGAAGAAAAAATCGACGACTTCAACTTTGGCACTTTGCTCAGAACAGACTCGTCTCAAGAGTACGGCCAGTTCAGCACTTGCTTTGTCGTGAGATTGCAGTTCTACGCTTTTGAAATTGCCAGAAACAAGAACAAATTGAACGACTGGGCTGTGGGCCATCAGTAAGACTTTCGGGGGAGCCTCAAGAACACATTCGTCCAGCACCTTTTTTTCCGGTATGCTTCTCATGTATGCACAAAACCACACATTTCCTCATTGACGCTATCATATAATGTATCATTTACCATTTTCGTTTTTTGTTTTCAATGCTTGTGGGTATGTCCCTCTCCCAGCCCTCCGAAATGCGAATGTGTATGGGAGCCCGCCATAAGGGCGGGATCTTCACTCGCTTTGGTGTGTGGCAAGGGCGGCGTTCCCATTTGGCTTTGTTTTTGTAGTTCTTGTATCTGCTCGGGGCTCAATGGTGGCCTTTCTTCCACAAACTCTATGTCCGCATTTCGAAAACTAGGCACATTAACGCTCAGGGCACTACGAACATGATCTGTGACGTTCTCAAACTCCTTTAGACCAAGAACGTTTCCCCATCTTTGCAGTGGAGCCTCAAGGACCAGTTTGGCATGAACGCTAGGTCCAGATGCCAAGACAATTAGATCTTTCACCTTGTAAGGCTTGCCTGCATTGTTGTTAGACACCATCTGGCTCAAAATCTCGTCCAGATTCTTCTCAACTCCTTTGTATCGCACATCTGTCTTTGCAAGAGATTTGTCCATCAACTCTGCCATTGCCATTGCCAAGCCATCTGTGCCCGCTTTTACAACAAGCCCTGAGACGAGTAAACCACCCAAAGCATCCAATGACTGAACATTGAAGAAGTATCCTGACGATATTGTTACCAGTGCCACTAAAGACGTCAGAGAATCCACTCTATGGTGCCAAGCATTTGCCAAAAGAACGTTGGAGTTCGTTTCTTTTGCAACCTTCTTCGTAGCATTAAATATCCATTCCTTCACCACTATCGACCCGGCTGCAATCCAAGCGGCGTTTATGTTGGCAACATCTTCTACCACGCCGTGACTATGGGAATGAGAGTGTGAGGACAAATAGTGCATTATTGTGTCTGGAAGGAACGGGGCCGCAATTGCACACAAAGATCCCCATCCAATTGATAAACCTGCCACTGCGAGTATTGCAGAGACAGATAAAGATCCCAAAGTTTGTATTTTACCGTATCCCAATGGATATTCTTTTGTAGGATGCTTAGAAGATAGCCCGATGGAGAATAACGTCAAAAAGTCAGAGACCAGGTCCGAAAACGCGTGAACCGCGTCTGCAGTCAGTGCTTGTGAGTGGAAAACAATACCACCTGCAAACTTGCCTCCCGCCATTCCGACGTTAATAAGCAGGCCGATCCACGTTATTCTGACACCAGGGTTTTTTTGGAATTGTTTCTTACTGAGAACCAGCATTGGATTTCCTTGTAAGCTCGCAGATCTCTGATCCAAACGATTGGTACCGTTATGGTGTCTTTCTAGATTCAGAGTCGAGCCCAATTGGTACGAATCGTTTTCCATCGTTTCTGATTCCTGCATGTGTATATGTTGATGGCTAGAATCTTTGAAAACCTCAGACAAGCTTTGGAAATCTGCATTCTTTTCTAGCCTCTTTTCAGCATCGCTGAGGCCTGCTGGACGAGACAATGGTTTATGTTTATTGTCGTTTACAAGTAGTCTGCAAAAGCTATGAATTGTGCGCCTTTCATGGTGAACTGGCCTGTTCAACCCAGTGTGACCGATCGATCGGAAACAGAGTCGCAGCATAGACATGGCAGAAACTTTTTAGAACCCAGGCTTCACCTTGCTGGGTTGCTTACCTTTTGTTGATGATCTCGGTTAAGTTCGATAAGTTGATCTTACCAGTGTGCATCTTTAAAAAATGACAGAATAACACCCAAGTTTTGATGTAGCTGAACAAAACTGAGTCAGGAAGAAGATCGCTAGGAATTGAAAGGCGAGGTAATAACCTATGCATGGTAGTAGTTAATCTATAAAAGCTATAGCTTCTGGCACCTTCGGCCGATATGAAAGGTTATGGTAGCTGTGGCGCATCTGAGATTTGGACACCTTGCTGGTGAAAGTATTCTACAAACTGTCGCCGAAAAGAGTGAGGTTTTGAACCATCTTTTCTCTCTGATTTGAGGATTGTTTCGACCTGCTTAGGTTTCTTTGGGAGGCTTTGTTTCTTCCGAAGGCTTCAATTCTTCCGCAGCCTTTTCGGTAGAAGCTAATTCACGAGGTCTTTCATCTGCATTTTCCAATCCAGTGACTACTTTGATGGTTTTTTGCGCTAACTCTTGTATTTTTTTAGCATCGTGCCCGCGGCATGCATTCCGAAGCGTTTGCTCTTCGCTGACCAGTTTCACTCCGCTCCCTGCAAGCTTTCGAAGGTAGAATTTTATCTCTGACAGTGGGACATCTGATTTCACTGTGCCACTGGGATCAAGAACAGAATTTCGAACCGTGCGTTTGAACTGAAAAGCGAGCTTGAATATCTCAAACACCTCCGTGAGTACCTGGCGATCAGGAATGATTTTCAAGTGGCAGGACTCGATGATCAATTTTTGTAGATCGTCGTAGTGTATAACGTTGGGGCCCGAAATGTCCCGGGAACAACAGATGGGACAAACAAAAACGCTGCTCTCGCTATCTCCCAAGGACCATTTCCCTTTGTTTATGCAAGTCATATGATACCATTCTCCACATATCTCACAGGCAACCATGGTACTGCCAAAGTCCCCTCGACGACAAAAACAATAAAACTCATCTTTTTCAGCGTTCCCTGTAGATGCAGGCTGCCAAATATCAGCTTCATTTCCAAGACATTGTTCCGTGGCCTGTACAACTTTACCCCAAGACTGTCTTTTCGAAACAGCGCTAAAAAGGGCATGCAGCCACGCTCTGCAATCTTTAACGTGTTTGGCAAATATCGATTTATTTGGAACTTCTTGTTGAGTTAAACGTTGATCGCTTAGAGAACCGTCGAATCTTTCAATAATGGCCAGACCATTTAAAGCTTCGACCGTGGTATATTTCGTCACTTCACTCAAAAACTGGTCGTTTATGTTTAGTTTTGCAAAAGCTGCAGCGTAACTTAGCTTTGTTTTCTCGAACGCGTCAAGAACGGCTTCAATCACTTCTTTTAAACGGGGATCGATTATGTTTCTATTTTCTGCCATTGCAGAAAAAAGTTCCTGAAGTCTATCCACAGATACCTTGCTGTTCTTCTTCTTAAAAAGAGACTTCACATCAAATAGTATATTTTGGGCTGATAGAATGGCTCTCCGGACTTCACGAAACTTCTCCATGTGTTCGTCTTTCCTCACATACCGTAATCCATATTCTAAGAAAAGCGGCAGGTCCTCAAGGTCGTTCTTTATAAGAGTACTGGTTTTGGCCTCCGGTCTGTTTAAGAATATTCTGTTATATTCCTCGAGCCACAAACTTTCGCCTATACTCTTTGCCAACTGCTTTTGATATATGGAGCTGACGCCAAGCGAAAATCCGCTCACGAAGGCATCGCGAATAAGCCTCACGTCGTTCTTTTGTATGGCCACTTTGCAAAGCGTTTGGTATCGCTTAACTTTTCTGCATAGACTGAAAATGTCCTGCATTTCAGGAAACTCTACAGGAACATTCTGTATCTCCTTTTGCAAATTGAAGAGCTCTGTGACCGAGTACTGAAACTCCGGTACATGGACCCCTTCGAAATCGAATTTCAAATGTGTATCGAGGTAAGGAGATTTAGGCAAACGGCTCTGAACGCTCCTGAGAAATTGAACGCATTTGGATCTTATGATTCTTAGTTCACCCACTATTTTGTTCAAGTTTTTTGCAACTGAATCGTCAAAATGAGATAACGCTTCGTTGTACATGTTTATTTCCTCGAAACGCAACCGTTTTCCACTTTTGACAATTTGTGCAATGTATGCGGCTAAAATGGGTGCCTTTTCTTCCTTTCCGAGATCGTTCAAATGTCGCGAGAAAGCCATCGCAGCCTTTTTTCGAGCGCGACACTGTTGAAGCATAAGATCGAGATCTTCATTGGGGTATAGCAAATGCAGTGATACGCTTGTCCAGTCATTATCAACATCTTGACCCAAAACGTGTAACCTTCCATCTTTCACGAATGAATTAACCTGAAATTGCTTCAATGAAAGAGTAATGCAATCGTCCGCATTGGCCAAAAGTACTTTTGAAGCTCCCGTGGAAGAGTAGTCCAGGTCAGATACGAAATCAAAGGTGTTTTGGCAGACGGAGAGCTTCTTTGACATGCCGGTCAGCTTCTCCCTGGCTTCTAATTCATCGGTGATGAGTGGCAAAAGAATATTACTTGCTTTTGTGACTAAGCTCTTGTCTTTTGACTCCGAGATAATAGTATGCAGGAGCTGGAAAGAATTGATGGACGACAAAATACCGTGTTTCGCAAGCCATAGTTCGCTATCGAGGAGATGGTCCAACCAAGAAGCGGTAGCAAAATGGACATTTTCCGAAACGCCGAAGCCTGAATGTATGTTCATCGCATAGGTCTTTGGAAATTTGAAAATGTACGATCCTGGGTTTTGAATGACTTTACGAATCTTTATGTCGTTCAATTCGAAAATCTCCGGATGTAATAGTAGGTCCCCATATAGCTGATCTAACTCCGGCGCAAAACCAGTACCCTTACCGAGATGCAACGGAAATGAATGTGTGTTGATTCTTGAACGCATGCCCGAGAACTCCTGCATTTGCGTAGTTCCATTGAAACACTGAAATAAGACTGAATCTCGAAACTGTCTTTCTTTTATTGGGTCCGTGATGACACCGGATGAGGCAATAGCATCTCTTGATGTGGACATCAACTGTTCGAACTTTTCTAAATCCTGGGGAGAAACCACGTACCATAATTTTGACGACCCAACATGGTGATAGTCTACGGCAGGAAGAAAGCTGTCCTCGACGGCCCAACCTTTTATTGAAAACAACATCCCTATGTCCAAGTGTGATGATACATGGTCACCGTAATCCGCATTCAAAAAGCACAGAGCTGACTTACTGGACAAGGGCATGCTGCTCAGTGACCACGAATCATTGGTTGATGTACCATCCCCATTCCGACTAGCTTTAGGAAAAGCCGACCCGTGTATACGAGACGGCAGATTTATCGCAGAATCCACGTCACACGGGACGTTTACATCTAACAAAACTTGATGAAAAAGCCTTTCGAATTTGTCAACGCCCATTTTTTGATAATTTGATATAGCATGTGGCAATCTCTCCACGCATCTATCGAAAACCTGCTTCGAATGCAAATGCGATTTTTCGGAATATTGAATGAGATTGTAAAAAGGAGAATTTGATGCTTCATAAGGGGATTGATCGAAAATTGCTGTGGTGTTCCTCCAGAAAGAAAAATCGTAATTTGGTAAGGTCAAGACAGATGGTTTTGTTATATGCTTCTTGCCATCAGTCAAAGACTCGAACTTGGTAACAAAACCTTTATATTGCAATATGTCTCGCAACCTTGGGTATTCGACGCCCGTCCCTATAACTTTGTAAGCTTTTAATTTCGAGACTTTCTGCCTTTTCGTGCTATTGTCGGATATCAGTGTGGTGGTCGCAGCCACTCTCTTTTTACACATTCCATTTGCTGCTTCATGAGTCTTGGATGACGGAAGTATTATCTTGTGTTTGGGACCGAGTTCTTGCTGAACAACATTATCAGCATTGTGGCTCTTTGATGTTTGTTCATCAAAGTCGAGCAAAATCTTTGCATAAGTTGATCGCAGGGTTGACAAAAGAGAAGTTGATGCTCTTCTAGAATACCCCAGCTCTCTACTAATCTGCGCCCAAGCTTTTTTATTACAAACAGCTTGATACCCTCCTCTTAGAAGAACGCATTGGCGCAATCTGTACAGATCCAGCGGTCTTCTGTCGATACTTGGTATTTTCTGCAAGCTGGAGTCCATGTCTTTGTTGCCGTGCACGGTATGGTGATGGTGCAGTTTCCGGTAAAAGTCTAGCTTTCTTTGTCTCTCAATATGTGGGGGTCTCAAGGCCTGCTTTCTGGCCTTGAAATGCAAACGCTCGGGATCCAAAGCTGTGGCCGATTGCTTCTCTGACTTGAGCGGGTCCTCAATGACTTGAAGAACGACTGCTCCAAAATGGCGCCCGATGGGTTCCACTTCTTCGTAGAAAGTCAATGGGTCTGGAAGTTTGGATCGCAGCATTTCAAAACACGGAACTGAGCCCTCCTTTATTAAGTACTGCCACCCAGACTTTGTGGTGTAAATTTCGCTACTAGTTGTCGAATTTTCGGTCCATTCAAGTTTCCGTGCTTCCACTTGAGGTATTTCGTGAAGCTTTCCGTACTCGTTTTCAGTGCCAAGGGAACCAGAACTCGACGGATGCGGTGCGCGTTCGCATAGCTTTTTAACACGACTGGTTTTCTGTGTTTTTTGTTCGACTGGAGACGTACTCACGGACGCTGCCTTGGGTGAAATGTTCCATTTACCTAGAGGTGGTAATTTGGACGTATCTGCGTCATTCTTGGACGAAAACTCTTGATTTTGCGGTGGTCCCGGAAGCTTCGCCAGTGTCATAATCAGGTCAAACTAACTTTACCCATTAGTGAGTGGATCTGGTCGGTGAAAGGAAGAGTTTAAAAGGGTTGAGTGAGTGGGATATCATTAGTTTAATCATCATCAAGCTCTTATACATCTTTCAAATTATGTTGTTATATTAATATGAGTGTGATTAACTGAAAATTGGACACGGATCGCTTGATACGAGGTGTGGTTTTTTGATGCAAGATTGTGAGTTTTACGGTTGAAAATAACGTACTGGGAAAGCTCATCTCAAGTGGTAATGCTGGTCGTTGCTTGAGGTAGGAATCAAGGACGGCTGTGGGCTTTAAATCCCAAAAAAAAAAGACCAATAAAAATATATGAGTAAGATCACGTGACTACTTCATATCATTATACCAGTGCAGTTTCGATCAAACCAAGCACGAACAACCTAAACAGATAGGAGCGATAAGTATGATGCATCCGGTTGGAAGAGAAGTCATTGTGAATTAGGCCTTTGTTCAAAACTCGTTGCGTGGAAAAAATGGGTTTTAGACAAGTTTCAAAGGAATTGGCACACCAGTTGCCCAAAAAATTACGCCCAGAAGTTGTGATTCAAAGTATTCACAATCAAAGTTGAGCTACGCTCAATTTAATGGTAATAAAGCCGTTACTTTCATGAATTTCTGCTATACCAGGTCTAGGTCACGTGACTAACGAATTATTTTGTCAGTGAGTCTATAAGCTCATCAAGCTATATCAATAAAGTCATAATCACCATTCAATAAGATGTGTTCGAATGACAGCGAGACATAGATCGATAATGATGACGGTACAGAACCTTTGTAATTTGCAGTTCGACTAACAAGCTTTTGTATAATTTTCAATGAATTTTTTCTCATGATCTGCGTCTCCCATCCCCGAAAGTTCCGCAGCTCTTCCCAGTGACACTCAACATCTGCAAAGTTGTCTGCCACATCGCTGCCTTACAAACACCATCGCCATGTATTTCAACATTTTTCAAGATTATTCCATTGAAATATACTAGCATAAAACATACACATACATACACATAATCTTCATCATCAAGTTTCGTTACTCAGAGGACGCCAGGCCTCAGCAATCGCTCACCAGTAGCGTTTTTGGAATTCGTCAGCGTAGTCGTCCTTTCTGCGCGTGCCTCTACGTTGGTCGTCACCCACATCTTCGTCCTCGTCCCAAGCGTCGTTGCCAACGTCACTACCACCCATCACAGGGCCTGGCATCTGCTGTCCCTGCATGGGGTTGGAACGGTTTGCAGAAAAATCAGAGGTGTCACCTTGCAAGTCGTGTTCCTGCTGACGGTACCCGCCGTGTTTGCTCTGCATTTGGTGACCAGAGGTTGTTTCGGAAGAGCCACCCATGTGCTGAGAAGGTAGAGGCATCGTACCATCGTCGCGTTGCTGCTGTTGCTGCTGACTCAAGCGATTTCCCTGGGTGTCGCGCTCGTCGTCATGCTGGTCATGACCCATAAGTTTGTCTGATACTTTGTGAATGATGTTGGACATATTTGGCTGTTGTAGTTGGATGTAGTAGTGAGAGAAGGCAAGAGAGAAAAAAAATTGACAAGGAACTGAAATGAGCTTGGCGTGCAAGCGTGCGTTTATATAACCGAGTATGGGCGACGAAAGCAATATATGCTGTTATTGGACTGGATTCGTAGCTTGTGGGGAGGCTTTGCCAGAAAAGCTGTTTAAGCGTGGGGTCAAAGGGTACCCCGATCTCAATGTAAGAGTGGAAAGAAAGAGTGGAAATAGTGCAACAAAATAATGAAAAAGGGAAGCCCAGAGGCGGGGAGTGTGGGAGAAAAGGATGCTACTTGTTGCTGTTGGCCAATGGGCCCAACATATTGTGATGTGATGTATCCCTGAATGCAGCGGGGTTGTGACTGGGATTTTAGCTTGGTCTTTATGGACTTTCTGGACCAGTCTTAGTCTTACTCAGTCTTATTGTTTGCTAGGGTATCCTGCATACAGTCATGTACTCGTGTTTCTACTTGATCTTCCAGTTGCGACCCGGGAAAAACACCTGAATGACGCCATGCACAAACACACCCACCCCTTTTTTTTCGGCAACCGTCTCTTATCATTTCTGACGATACGCCAAGCTATGTAATTTTGCACTTTATATCGTTTCTTTTCTTTTCTTTTCTTTTCTCTCCTTGTTTCTTTTGTTCCTTTTTATAGACTTCCTCCCCTAAAACCTCTCCCCCCTTTTTTTTTTCCTTTTCTTTTCCCCCTTTCTTTTCCCTTTTCTTTTCCCGTTTCTTTTTTCTTCTCGCTTCCCCGGCTTCCAAATCACTTCGTACGAAATGCCATCTCATTGTTCTAACACCATCACATGTTACTTGCGTCATATCCGAACTCTTCTTCCCCTACTGCATGTCATGTTCTCTCTTTCGCAAACCCCGGGGACCCGTTAGTAGTCTTCGTGGTCTTCATAGTCTTATTACTCTTTCTTTCAGTTTCGAATACCATCTACGAGTCATTTCGCCCGTTGGTTTCTGACCGTTTCACGTCCATAACCTGCTGTCTACTCGCTTTGACGTTTCGGTACCTAAAATACAATCTACCAGCGTTAGAGTATATAAAGACGAACCCGACAAGTCTTTGAGTCTGCATTTGAGTCGTGATTTCATTTAGAGTGCTTTTTTTTAGTTTTACCACCAATTAACGCGTCGTCCAAGTTTTGTCATTGTTAGTAACATTCACTGGGGCGTACACGTCTGATCTGATCTGGCTGGGTTTTTTTCTGGATTTCATTCTCTGACTAGAAAAACACCTAGAGAATCAACAAAATAATCAACTCGAAAATCAAGTTAAGAAGCCGAGCAGAGGAACGACTAGAAGGTCAACTGGAAGGTTCACTGGAAAGCCAATTCAGACGACACCTCGAGCACGAGTACTCGAGTACATATCCCATCGCCTCAACCTCTGGCCCTCTCAGGTCAGCTAACGAACGATGTCCAACCTGTTTGAACAGGCCCGTGAACGTCTCAATGGGTCCACCCAACTGGTTCCCGAACGTTTGCGGTATTTGACAAGCCAAACCCCCACCCTCGGCCGTGGAGGTCCGGGCAGCAGCAGCAGCAGCAGCAGCAGCAGCAGCGACAATGATGTGATGAGTCGTACCGGTAGCTACTCGACCTGCGAAACCGATCGCTCCGAAGCTTCGGGCGCCGTTTCGTCGGGTCCCGGAAGTGGCAGTGGCTCGGACGAGTCCGAAAACTTGCTCACTACGGGATCCAAGCTCGGTCACGGCCATCAGAACCACCACCACCACCATCCTCTTCACTACCATGTGAAGCGTGGTCAAGCCGATAGCGCTGCTGCAACCACCAACAATTCCGCAGCGTTCGTTTTCGGCAAAGGCGGCAGCAGCAGCGGCAACGCCAAGAAAAGCTCCGTTGCTCGTCCCACTGTCAACTCGGATGCTGTGGCCAATGGTGCCAGTATGGGTTCAGAAGCAGCTGAAAAAGCTGTTTCGTCTTTTAAAACGGAACAAAACACTTCCAATTGACTTGGTTGCAGTTGAAAGCCAGTCTTTAGAAACGAAAAGCTGGGGAAACGCACTTCTTTACGTTGTAATTCCTCTGCAACGTTTCCCGCTCTCCCGTTCGTGAACCGCTTAAAACTAAATTCTCTCTTATTGCGATGTCAACATCCAAATCCACCAACATTTTGAGATCTTCAACTATTCAAGCGCAAGGCTGCGCGGGACTACACGAAGGACGCAGAATCGCGGCATTATAAACTTCAATTGAACTTTTGTAGTTTTGAGTTTCTGGAAATTGTTTGTTCAGTTTATATACATACTTGGTAATTGGCATACTTTGAGCGAGCAAGATTCTAAGAGCCATCTGTAAATTCTGCATGAGCTGGCTGGTACCTCCAAAACACAGTTCGCTTGGAGGTAGGCTGTCGGAACGTACCGACACTCTGCTTCGAAGAATAGCTGGTCTTTGGCATAACTTTAAAGAAGACGAGCGTTAAAACGTTACCACATAATATCTACATACCTTAAAGAAAACGAGCTTGAATTTGATGATCATCGAAGCTAGTTGTAGTAGGAGGAGTTAGCACCGCCGTACGAGTCGTTAGAGTTTTGATTACCGTAGGAACTCTGGCCGTAGGAGTCGTTGTTAGAAGAACTTTGACCGTAGGAGTTGCTGCTGTTGTTATTGTTGCTGTTTCCGTACGAGTCATCATTGTAGGAGCTCTGGCCGTAAGAGTCGTTGTTGGAAGAGCTTTGACCGTAGGAACTACTGTTATTGTTTCCGTAGGAGCTTTGGCCGTAAGAGTCGTTCTTCTTGCTGCTGCTGTTTCCGTAGGAATCATCGCCGTAGGAGCTTTGGCCATAAGAGTCGTTCTTCTTGCTGCTGCTGTTTCCGTAGGAATCGTTATTAGAGGAGCTCTGGCCGTAGGAGTCATCGCCGTAAGAGCTCTGACCATAAGAGTCGTTCTTCTTGCTGCTGCTGTTTCCGTAGGAATTATCGCCGTAAGAGCTTTGGCCATAAGAATCGTTCTTCTTGTTGCTGCTGTTTCCGTAGGAATCGTTATTAGAGGAGCTCTGTCCGTAGGAGTCATTGCCGTAAGAGCTCTGGCCATAGGAGTCGTTCTTCTTTCCACTGTTCTTGCTTCCGTAAGAATCATCGTTCGAGGAGCTCTTTCCGTAGGAATCCTTCTTTTTGCCGCTCTTACTTCCATAGGAGTCGTCGTTGGAAGAGCTGTTTCCGTAGGTATCGGTTTTCTTACTGCTGCTGTTTCCGTAGGAGTCGTCGCCGTAAGAACTGTTCCCGTAGGAGTCGTTTTTCTTGCTGTTCTTGCCTCCATAGGAGTCGTTCTTCTTACTGCTGTTGTTTCCATAGGAATCGTTCTTCTTACTGCTGCTGCTTCCATAGGAATCATTGTTGGAAGAGCTGTTTCCGTAGGTGTCGTCATTAGAAGAGCTGTTTCCGTAAGAATCATTCTTCTTGCTGCTGCTGTTTCCATAAGAGTCGTCGCCGTAAGAGCTGTTTCCATAGGAATCATTCTTCTTACTGCTGCTGTTTCCATAAGAGTCGTCGCCGTAAGAGCTGTTTCCATAGGAGTCGTTCTTCTTACTGCTGCTGTTTCCGTAAGAATCATTGTTCGAAGAACTTTGGCCATACGAATCACTGTTCAAATTGCTGCTGTCCCCGTAAGAATCATCGTTGTTGGAGCTCTGGCCGTAAGAATTCTCATTCTTACGGCTGCTGTTTCCGTAAGAGGTGCTGTTGTCATTGTTGCTGTTATTTCCATAAGAATCGTCGTCGTCGATATCCCTCTTACTGTCACTGTCTTTAATCGACGTACCGGCAAATTGTTTCCTCACTCCGGACTCAAACTTATCGAAGTTGTCTCCGCCGACTTTGTTTCTGATCTGGCTCACACGGTCTTGTCCCAATGCTCTTTCAGCCTTGGAAACAAAGTCATCGTTGTTACCAGACCCACCATTGCCACTACTGCCGCTTCCACTGGCGATATCCTTAACCTTGTCTAAAAATCCCATTTTCACTGTATAATGCACCTATCTTCGGAGAATTGCTGATGCTTGATAGTTTAAGCTTTTGTTTGGAACGAAGAATTCCGAAATTAAGCTTAAAGGTTTCCATTCCCCTTTTATACTTCTCGTTTCAACCACCAGCGTGGGTCCATTCTTGAATCACAGTTCCGTGTCCTTTTGATTTCGTCATCTTGCTTCATCGCAGTAGAATGATTTCAAGCCCGTGTTTTCTGCCTATACAGGAATCAAGATGCCACTGGCAACCAGAACTTCGACCTAGTGAGAGAAAAAAATAAAGTCCGCAACGAAATCAGCCACGCACCAGCCTTTGGTAAGGTTTCAGTACACCCACATATGCACGTCGCAAGTGGCTCCGTTCAAGGAGGTCTTCAGTAGCGATTGGAATGCGTAGAAGCCTTGGATTCGTAAGAACTCTCTTATTGGCTTGGCAGCCTATCATGTTGAGCGAGGATGACGTAACAGATGGGAACTCATGCGAAACTCTTCACGAGGACGGTGCAAGATTCCAAACAAGGAAAAAGGGAGCTTTTTTGAGCTAGCCCGTGGCTTGTATGCTGCAGAATGTTCGGATGCCCTAAACTGCTACGGAAGCCACACAACATTTTGAAGTTGTTGGTAGTGTTTCCGGCTCTGTACATTGTGAACTATTGTGAACGGATTGGTGATGACCGCTCGGCTAGGGTTCGTAGATCCTTCTTGTTTGAGGTCTGAAGCTGAAAACCAAAGAGCAGTGGTTTGTTGTAAGATAGGATTGGCTTGAATAGTACGTAAAAATAATGCTATGTGGGTTGGCGAAAAAGGCTGCTGTCATTGCAATGTTGACAATTGAGGCCAGCGAATAATTAACATCTACTGTTGCTGGAAGTCGAGCTCAATAAAAGGAGTCGAAAGCGAGGATCAAGCCTTTTTTCAGTGCTCATCACAGGTTGGTTTTTTCTATCTCAAAGATGATCTTGTTTAATCTTTCAAATTTGTATCTTGAAATATATAATGAATATTAATAATAGTAGTAGTAGTAGTAGTAGTAGTAGTAGTAGTAGTAGTAGTAGTGAACATCTTAGGCTAATACATCGACAAGCAACAAAGCCTCAGCTTCAAATGCCACTCAAACTTTGCTGTAGCCATCCAATTGTACGTTTTTTCACTTCTCCATGCTCGTTTTTGTAGATTCTTCGCTTTTCCAAAAGATCAATCATCTCATCAGCACTGTGGCCCCGTTTCAGGCCGTTCAAAATAAACTTGTAAAGCCGCTTCCTTCTTGCAAAAGTCTTGACGTTCTTCTTAAGTCGCCATTTGTTGCCGTACGCGTCCTCCAGGAACTTCACAGACGGGTTGCCGTTGACACCCTCGATATACTCTTGCCATATGGCTCTGACGTTCGCAGGCGCCTTCAACAACGTGTAGTTCAGGTCTCGTTCGTGGCCCTTCGAATTCGTCCTCCGTGGAGGCCTTGCATTTGGTTGGTTTGCACCGGTTTCGCGCTGGTATCTGCTGCTAGTCGACCGCGACATGTTTTGAGCAGACGGCTCGAAGAAATCGGCGTAAGCTGACTCGTAATTCAGTTCCTGGGGCCTGCCTACGGCACCACGACCACTGGTCGCTCGAATGTCCACCTGGGACCCGAACGCGTCGCTATTGTGATCCTCGTCTTCTTCTTGGTACCCGTCTTCTTCATCTGACGAATCCGTGTCCAATGCGCTATCCGAGCCCACCTGGATGTCGATAGGCCGACTTCGAGCTCTCGAGTTAGCGATTGTCGCATCCTGCATAGATGGGAACAAATTGGTGTTCATGTGAGGGCCGAATTTTCGAGACATGTTCTCCAGGGCTATATTTGGTAAGCTTGTCGACCCCAAACCATTAGAAGATGCAGCCAAGTCCTGATGTCCTTGAATGACCGTGGGAGTATTGTTATTTGCCACCGTATTAGCTCTTCTACGTTTGATGCCATTTGGATTCAGGGTAAAGGACTGTTGAGTGAGATACGTTGGCAGCGCCAAAGCGGAAGAATTCGTAGTGTTAGCATTTTGAGACACTGAAAGCGCCTGTCTTTCAGTAGTCTGGGACCGTTGCCGTGCCATAGCAGCAATATTGATAGCCTTGTCATTGTCATTGTTATTGTCATTGTCATGTAATGATGCCTGTGCTGAAGGAGGAGAAGATACTGACTGTTTCGACGGATGATTCTCTGGTTCACTCAAAGAAGAGCGCTGGCGCTTATATCTTTGCGTTTGCTTTGAATTGACCCTCTTCAGATAGTTGGAGCTCACGTTGGTTATTGAGTTTAGCAAGTCCGTAACAAAGCCATCTTTTTCGTTGTCATCGGGATTATCTAAAACGGGCATACTGTGGTTTATCTGGCGAATTTCAGATAAAATGACGTTTAGAAATCGATCGTTTTGTTCCCGCATCTGCTGAATAGACGCATCCTGGTCTGTGATCTTGCAGCAAAGCTTGGTGACCATCTCTTCCATCGCAATCATGCGCGCACTGACTTCGTCCATCCGCTGACAGATTTGAACGCTACTGTTGGTCGAGTTCGTTGCTCCAGAAGCCAGGTCCGGGCCGCTAGGGACATGCGGGAGAACTGAAAAATGCGCAGGAGACTGGGAAGTGACATTGTTACCACTGTGTGCCGCTATAGAGCCATGATGGGTGTCTGCCGTGCCAGATGAGCGCTCGTTATTCAGCGGTGTTGCATGACTGCCAACCGTAGGATGACTACTAGTGCTCGAGCTCACATGCGGAGATGATTCGGCTGCACCGAGAATGTCTATCAAGCTAGGACCACCTCTGGTAAGGTTTCTTCGCGCCCCAGCGCTGTTCGCATTGTTCAAGGCCGTTTGATGACGGACGGACGTCGAAGGAATTGCCAATCCGTCAAGACCCACATGTACTGTCTGGCCAGGCTTTGTCATCACTGGTATCGAGTTCGCCATAGCCGCCAAGGGGTGTATGATCAGTCAGACATACTTCAGATAGCACAGTTTAGTTCTTTGAATCTGACGTTAATTTGGCACATATAAATTCCAACGATCGCGTATGAAGTGACCTGCTGTCATATGGTCGTGAAACGTTATAGCTAGACGAAACTGCCATATACTCCTGGTATGAAAGCTGGGCTCATTGACTCGATTGAGATTTTCCCATTTTTGGTTTGGAACAAGCGTGGAATGCTTTCATTTCAAATACGCTTGCGGCTTCGTTTTTCACGTGAGAACGGAGACTTACTGACAGACGTTGAGACGGCTATAACAGGTATCAGATGTTGGAAACCAGTCAACATAGCCAATGTAAGAAGGAGGGCATCAAAGCATTGCCCTTTTGCAGCGCACTTTCGCAATGAAAACGAAACACTGCTTTACATACTGCGTCAGGATCACTATTGACGTATGAAAACACGCTGTCACTTGGCAAGCAGCAGGAAGACTAAGTTTACGTGCGCATTGAATTGCCCTTCTTTTCGCCCATATTGAATACAAAGACACTGTAAAAGAATGAAGGTGGTCTCAGCACTTCGTTCGATTCCTCTCTGCTTCTTCTTCAGACCCTTCACGTCACATTTGGAAGAAGTGATACAGCATAATTGCAATTTCTATACCTGCTCGCATTATTACATAAAGAAGACCCTATGAATAAACTCAGAGGAAAAAGACCAACATCCCTTATCCTCCCTAAACTGTCTATATTATCGCTACATTGTAGTTCCTAGCCATTCTTGAAATCTGTGCAATTACATGGAATACCGGTTGTGCTGAGTTTCACGGCAAATTTGGCCTTCTTCAACGTAAAAACATCACTCTTCTAATTAGCTGCCAATATGAGCGAGGCTAGAACGGTTTTAGGCGCTCTCAAGGAATCTGGAGCAGCAATGTTCGCTCAATCGCTCAAGCCTGACAATATGATACCTAGTGTTGCGAGAGCTATCGAGATTAACGAATCTGGAGACGAAGATGAGCGCAGGAAACGCTTTCACACGCCACGAATGGTCTCAAATAGCGCTCATTTCGCATACACAGTACCCGAGCATCGTCCTCATTATAAGCCAGTCATCACATCGCAAAAAGCATTGGATCATCTTGGTTTAAAAATGGACCAGGAGCTCATGGATTTGCTCAACGGCGCCAAAACTTTTGTTGATGATCAAAAAGGCATCTTCCCTTACAGTATGGCGTATGCTGGGTTTCAGTTTGGGCAATTTGCCGGACAGCTCGGTGATGGTCGAGTTGTGAATATTTTTGATATCCCAGACAAAAACGGTGTATTGCAGACATTGCAACTTAAAGGAGCAGGACTGACCCCTTTTTCACGTTTTGCCGATGGTAAAGCAGTTCTCAGATCTAGTATTCGAGAGTTCATCGTGTCAGAGGCACTTCATCACATTGGCATCCCCTCCACCAGAGCTCTTCAGCTCACCGGTCTGCCCGAAACTAAGGCTATGCGGTCCGTTTACGAGCCTTGTGCCATCTATTGTAGATATGCTCCTTCGTGGATCCGTCTGGGAAACTTCGATCTGTGCCGCTATCGGCAAAACCATCAAAGTTTAGTTCAACTATCAGACTTTTGCATCGGTGAAGTCTTCAAAAATGGGAAGGATTTCCCTAAAAGTGTCAGTGCTGAGACTTTTAAGCATGATTTTTTTCCAGATCAAGACGAAGAAGACTCCTCCTCCAACAAACCAGCCCTGCAAAACATCGAGAATGCTACCAAATATGAATTATTTTTTCGCCATGTTGTGAATCTGAACGCTGAATCAGTCGCGTACTGGCAATCCTATGGGTTTCTGAATGGTGTTTTAAATACTGACAATACCTCGATTCTGGGCTTAGCAATGGATTTTGGACCCTTCAGTTTTTTGGACAAATTTCAACCGCAATACACGCCGAATCATGATGATGTCGAAAAGCGGTATTCTTTTGCAAATCAACCGACTGCAGTGTGGTGGAATTTGACCAAGTTTGCACAAGCACTAACAACTTTGATTGGTGCGGGACCGAAGCACATCGACAATATTGTCAACAATGGCCTTGATGAAATCACCGATGAAGTCAGGGATGACATAGTCAGTCGAGCCAATTCGGTCATCCTTTCGGCTGGAAATGAATACAAATTCAGATTCACAGTCAACTACGCGCGGATAATGTCTGAAAGATTGGGAATTGACCTAGAAATCCCTCGCCATATCACAAATGAGAATTTACACAAGGCTGCTGATAAGGCCAGGGATTTCAACAAGACCATCTTGGAGCCTCTTCTACAGCTACTGTACGTTTCGCAGGTTGATTACAACAACTTTTTCGTCAAATTGCAAGGTTATCAGGGGACTTTCATGGTCCAAGAGGGTGAAGGCTTTGACAGCATTGACCCAGAGCTGCTCAGTATCTTTTTCAATGAAAGGCAAATCTCCAAATTAAAGAAGCACGCAGCTGGGGCTCCTGAGTCTGATTCAGGCGAAACAAGAATTCTGGCTGAGTCAGCAGAGACATTAGAGACCTGGATCCATGATTACACAGCCTTGTTGTCGCCCGAACCGGAATCCAGATATCGCATCGCCAAAAAAGTCAATCCTCTTTTCACTCCGAGAGCATTCATTTTCGAGCAAGTCATCGAAAGCATCACTGACAAGCAAAAGGGTAAGTTGGACGATCCTAAGGCCTCTATTGACATGTCTTATCTTCAGAAACTTTACAACATGAGCGTGAATCCTTACGACCCTACGAAGTGGGATGACAGTTTACGGCCAGAGGTCGTTTCAAGCTGGACAACGCATGGCGACGACGACTCAAAATTTATGAAGCAGCTGTCATGTTCTAGCTGAATTGTACTATGGGTACGAACGTTTTATCTACTTACATGAACATATATATTTCCATTTATGAGTTCAATCGAGCTGTCTGACCTCGAATTGAATGTTCAGGCTGAAGACCAAATCTATAAAACCATTTAAATTAAAGTCATTTTTAAATCTGGGGTCAAAAATTAAGAGCTTTCCAAGCTTTAAACACTATTCAAGTAGCAAGCAATTCGTAAAACCTCCAGGTTAGACACAATGCCTTTCAGCTTCTCTTTCCCATGTTTAAGGCCATTTGCAACCAACAATGTTGTGCCATTGCCTGGTGTATCTTACCAATTTAACATTTCCAGACCAGAAGGTGACGCTGTTCTGCAGGCATTGGGCAATACGGAGACGGTTCTGGACGATGAAATACATGATAGCAGAAAGAAGGATCAGAAAAATGATTTTGATGTGTTGGATTCTTTCTCCAAATTCGAAACAGAGTTTTCTGTCGCAGAGCGCGGGAAAAACACTTACACATGTCTTGTACCCACCAGTAGCACTGGAAATTCTTTTGGTTGCATTACAGTACTGCAAAGTTTCGCAGTTAGGGAGGATGCTGTCTCTTTTACTTTCAAAGGATTGAGAAGGGCAAAAATTATGAATCCAGAACTCAACCTTCACGACCAAGTTTGGATAAGCACCGTTGTGGTCCAGAAAGACGTTGATCTTGCAAATATATTGAAAGAAGGTGATCTGGAAGAGTGCATAAAAAATGCACGCCAGAGTTTCAAAAGTCTGACCAGCAGCCTCAAACATTTCACATCTTACTACAAGAACGCCATGCAGGACAGAGATGGAGAGTTTGGTCATTTGCTATTGCTGTCGCCACTTTCCAATATGATGTACCTTCAACTGAGTAGAGGTTCGTTCATCAAATCATGGGATTCGTTGAACCGGTCGTTGGAGTTTTTACCACCCAAGATCACAGAAAAAAAAGATCTCGAACTTCTGCTGCAAATTTTGGACATGTCAGTTGCCATTTTGCCCCTAGCACACCTCGAAAAACTGCGATTTTTGGCTTTAGAGAAACCACAAGAAAGGTTGCAAGCTCTTGTTGATGCTGAGCTTAAACTGACTCGTCTTTTCGCGGAAATCTATGATTCTGTCAAGAGAAGCAAAGTTCAGCTGCGAGAACTGACCGCCCAAGAGAAGGCCAACTTTGTCGCCTTGCATCTCAATGCATTGCGTAAGTTTTTGGGTATTACTCGCAAATCCCGTTCTAGATTGCCTGAATCTAAGATTGGCGGTTTGCTGAAAGGGAGTTCAAACTCCGCTGTCGAATCGCAAGATGTTGAAGAAGACGATGCCACCGCGATGGAAAGTTTTTTGCAACGCATAGAAGGGAACGATCTTCATCAGGATGGACGCAAAATGCTGCTCAAAGACTTGCGAAGATTTAGGCAGATGCAGCCGCAAAATTCCGAGTATCAGGTTCTCAAGAATTATTTTGATGTGATAGTGGATATTCCTTTCAAGACTCGCGGTGACAAAAGTGATCCTGTGGATCTTCGAAAGTCCAAAGATAAGCTAGACACCGATCATTTCGGACTGCACGACGTAAAGCGGAGACTTGTCGAATACCTTTCTGTCATGAAACTGAACGAGACCGTTGCAGATGCTTCACTACAAGCAAGACCACCAATATTATTATTGTCAGGACCACCGGGCGTTGGAAAGACATCCATAGCAAAATCAATCGCGGATGTTTTAGGCAGGAAGTTTCACAGAATCTCCTTGGGTGGTATTTACAACGAAGCAGAGATCAGAGGTCACCGCAGGACATATGTAGGTGCGATGTGCGGCCTCATCATAAATGCGCTGCGAAAAAGTGGCTCAATGAAACCATTGATTTTGCTGGACGAAATCGATAAGGTGTTGAGTCTAACTGGGGCTGGAAAAGGTGGTCGCGGTGCCAGCATAAATGGGGACCCGGGTGCAGCATTGTTGGAAGTTTTGGACCCCGAACAAAATTCGACGTTTACAGATCATTATGTTGGATTCCCCGTGGACTTGTCAAACGTTCTGTTCTTCTGTACTGCTAACGATTCAACAGAAATTTCAGCACCTTTGCTGAATCGTATGGAGGTTATAGAAATTCCGGGATACTCTCTCGAAGAGAAAATTGAAATTGGAGCTAAGTTTTTACTTCCTAAGCAAGTGAGACTAAATGGTCTGCAAGGTGTTGGAGCAACAGTTGAGCTTTCCAATGACGCATGGAACAAGCTTGTTGCCGAATACACGAGAGAGCCCGGGGTTCGAGGCCTGGAACGTAGTCTCGCCTCTTTAGTGCGAGGCAAAGTTGTCGAATACGTGAATGGAGCGGGCAAAGATCAACATAAACTGGTGAATTCTGCTGACCTTGTCAAGTATCTAGGATTTCCACCACATCCGATTTCCAAGGAACTTGTCAAAGACGTGAGGCTTGCGGAGAAAAGCGGTGTTGTGAATGGTCTGGCCTACAGCTCAAGTGGCTCTGGTGGGGTGCTTGTCTTTGAGGTTGTTCGAATCGGGACTTTGGGTGAAATCCGCAACGGACCCAAAGTGCACACGACAGGCAATTTGGGCTCGCTCCTTAACGAGTCCATCGAAGTTGCAACAGCTCTAGTGAAATCTCTCAGGGAAAGGAGCGTTGTGCAAGGGCTTATCCAGGACCCTTTCGAAGAGTTTCGACGCTCCGAGCTGCATTTACACGTGCCTATGGGTGCTGTGTCGAAGGATGGACCTAGCGCTGGTCTTGCGATAACGCTGGCTCTTCTTTCGATCGCTTTTGACATGCCTGTTCCCACAAACTTGTGTATGACCGGCGAGATAACATCGAGAGGAAAGGTGCTTCCCATCGGCGGGGTGAAAGAAAAACTTTTGGGGGCTCGGTTATTCGGCATGAATAAGGTAATGGTGCCACTTTCCAACCGAACGGACGTGATAGAGTCTGTAATGGACTCTGAGGGTTTTGAGAAGTGTTTGAAATCCACACACTTTCCTGAGCTCTCTGTAGTGCGACAGAAATGGCACTTGGAGCTGCACTACGTGGATGACTTGTTTGATAGCATAAGAGTTTGCTGGCCGCACAGTTTTCAAGTCAAAGGCAACAAGATATTGATGATACCCACGGTAGGATCCGCGAGACCGCTGCTGTAATGATATCGAGGCAAGAATTCTATACTCAGCATTGTCATGATTTATGTGACGTTGACACCTGTCACATGATCTGATTCTCCTTTCAAACTTTTTCGCGGATCTGCAACGTACATGGTGATATCTAATAATGGAAAATTATTAAAAAAAGAGGAAGGTATGGGTAAATCATTCATCTGAAGTATAAAAACTAGTTGAGCCAAGTTTCGAAGGGCTCGATTAGCTTACCCAGGGATTTAGAAAGACGACACGAGCCGAGCCTGAAGTCGCGTTAAAGTCTTTAAGCATTTTGCTCATCACCCTCGCTAACAAAGCCGCAGTCTAAAAGACTAACAAGGAAAGTGAAATTTCAGGTCGAAATTGTAGGTCTTACTCGGAAGAAAGGCTTAGCAACTCGAAATATCTTGCTGCGCGGACTACTTTACTCAGGCGTTCTGTTGAGCTCCAGAAGGCAGCCGTTTTTGTTGTAACGGTGCCGAGTTATTTGAGCGCATTACTACGCCTTTTTTGATCCAGAAATGCATCTGCTCGCTACGTTACTATTCGTTTTGAACTTCGTCCACCATGTGTGTGCGAAAAGAAAACTGGTGGCTTCATCGCTAGTAAGCTGCTTGGACGGCTCAGGACTAGTAGCCAATTCTTTTTCGGTGACATTTGATCCAGACAGCAGAGCTCTTCACTACTCTCTAGACATGACCACCGAGATTGATAACTATATTACTGCTGATGTAGAGGTGTGGGCATACGGTTTCAAAATCATCACAAGATCGCTGGATTTATGTTCGCTAAATTGGAAGCAATTTTGCCCCTTACATCCAGGTAATGTTCAAGTTGAGTCGATCGAATATATCTCGAAGGATCTTGTGAAACAGATTCCTGGTATTGCATATCAGGTTCCGGATATTGACGCCTTTGTACGTGTAAAAATTCATCCACGTGGAAACAAAGCGGAAACTTTGGCATGCATTCAAGCTTTTTTCTCCAACGGTAAGACCGTATCCCAGACAGGTGTCAAGTGGGCTACCGCTGTTATTGCAGGAATAGGTTTGCTGTGCTCTGCTATCTTGTCGACTTTCGGGAACTCAAACGCTGCCTCCCATATCTCGGCTAACACGATGTCACTTTTCCTGTACTTCCAATCAGTTGTCGTGGTATCCATGCAGCATGTCCACAGAGTACCACCAATTGCCGCTGCATGGTCAGAAAACTTGATTTGGTCGATGGGGCTTATTCACATCAATTTCATGCAAAAAATTTTCAGATGGTTTGTACAGTCGACTGGTGGTACTCCATCGTTGTATTTGACCTCTAAAACCATTTCTGTACTTGTACAGAGAGGCTACGACATACTAGACAGCGTTCCTCTACTGAAACGTGCAGCTGATGTGCTTTATGGAAATTCTACTGTGCTTATTGAAAGAGGTATAAAGAGGTTGGCTCACCGGGCCGGTATCGAAAACACTTCGATTGTTTGCACAGGGTTCACCTTCTTTTTCTTATGCGGTTATTTCCTCGCTGGTTTCATCATAGCTTCCAAGTATGCCATTGATCTAAGCATCAAAGCTGGGTGGATGAACAGAAACAGATTTTCAGACTTTAGAGGCAATTGGCGTGTGATTCTCAAGGGTACCCTATTGCGCTACACGTACATTGGCTTTACCCAGCTCACTTTGTTGAGCTTCTGGGAATTTACCCAAAATGATTCTCCTGCAGTTATTGTCATTGCAGTGCTTCTGATCATACAGGCCTTGGGGCTCATGCTATGGGCCGCATTCAGAACAATTTCCTTTGCTAGACTCTCAGTTCAGCAAAGGAAAAATCCCGCGGCTCTTCTTTATGGTGATCAGCGCATTCTGGACAAATATGGGTTTTTCTACACCATGTTCAGTGCCAAGCGTTACTGGTGGAATTGCGTCATACTGTCATACATTCTTTTGAAAACTATTTTCATTGCGTTCTGTCAGGGTTCGGGTAAAACTCAGGCGTTGGCAATTTTCATCTTTGACTTGGCATACATGATTGTTCTCATTGTTTACCAACCCTACTTCGATCGTCCTACCAACATCGTCAACATTTTGATTACCACCGTAACGACGGTCAATTCATTTTTGTTCCTATTCTTCTCTGACTTATTTGGCCAGCCTTATAATGTCTCGTCGATTATGGGGTGGGTATTTTTCATTATGAATGCAGCTTTCTCCCTCATTCTTCTAGTGCTCATCCTCATTTTTGTCATCCTAGTCGTTTGCTCTAATAACCCAGATTTGAGATTCAAGCCGGCCAAAGACGATAGAACTTCGTTCCAGAGATCATCTGGGAGCCACGGAAAAATAAATAAATCTGTTGCGGCCGAATTAATGGCATTGGGAAACACTGCCAAGAACCACGATGAAAATTGGGAAGAGGGGCTCTACGCCCAGCAAAAGCTGCAGAAAGACCGCAGTATGTCGGGGTTGGACTACTCCGATGAAAAGTTAGCAAGTCCCCAGTCAACATCAGAGGATAATGAAGGTGTCCAGCCGTCATTAGCTGAGAGGTTGAAGCGCAAACTATCTTTCAAGCGTGCGAAATCGACCTCGTCAAGAAACAGGCCTGAGAAAGATAGCGAGGCGGTCAAATCAGAAAACGCCATAACGTCTCTATCTCGCGAGCCCTCAGATTCATCAAATGCCGCAGCGGCGGTCAAGAGAGACTACCCCGGTATCCACAACAGACAGCAGTCGGATTCGAACAATGGTCTGATGCACTCTTATAATGTCGCCGAAAATGGACGATTAGCAACTCAGGAAGAAGACGATCATCCTTTGGTGGGGGCAAATGGGCACCAGGCACCAAATATTGAGAGGAGTAACGAATTGGCAAGAGATGAAAGCATGGATTCGGTCAATGCTGCTACTCAGCCGCACGCCACTTCTTCGACCGATCTTTTTACACACAATAATGGTTCTTACTATGGAAGGTTATAAATAAAATATTAACAACGTTATCCAGCGGTTTAAATGCTTCGTGATCATCTTTTCAGTGTTAATTTGCTTATGAAGAATAAAATGCTGCTCAGACGTCATGGGCTGTGTTGTTTCTTGACGAGTTTCTCTTCCTTTGAAAACGCTTAATCAGGAGGAACTATTTGAAGCTGTGCTCTTAGAAATTGGCCATTGGGTCTATACTTCCAGCCTAATCAAAGAGAAACTAGACCTGCGCACAAATTTTTGGTAGCGAAAGGCCTTTGCTTGACAATGTCGAAGACTTCGAATCAATGACAAATGTTACACGTCTCGAGCTAGAGCGACGTAGTTGTTGCAACATAAGATGCGGATTGCAACCAAAACTACCAGAGAGGGCTGCTCGGCAGCGTCCAATTTTACTTCCGAGATCCAAACATCAGGGCTATAATACGTCTGGCATCTCCAAACTAAATCGAGTTTATGAATCAAAATTTAACGGTGAGCTTATAATAGCATGAGTGCTGCCCTTTTGAAGCTCCTCGCGCTGTAAATTTGAATGACTATTTGATACGAACGGCCGTTGTTGAGAATTTGCGTGGTAGTATTCGGAGAACTTGGCTTGGTTTTACGAGCCCATGTCACCGCGTTGGCTAGCACGAACCAGGAAATTTTCAAATTTGCGGATTTTGTCTTCTATTAGCGACCTTCCTGTGCCGTTGTTCTGACCTTCATAGCATTCTTCTGGGTCGATGTCGGTGAGCAATTGTTCATTCGCATCTTTGGATACCCGTGGCCAGTTCAAATGATTTGCGAGATTGAAAGACTGTCCGATTGGAAAAGAATTGTTGAGGGCAATTCGATCTTGAATGCTAAAATTTCCGGAAAGAGGATTGACCCATGGTGTATGCAGAAAAGGTACTGTTTTTCTCATATGGGTTCTCGATATTCTTCTCAAAATCGGCACTTTAGACTTGGGACTCACCTCTGTCCAATGTTTCAAATAACTGTCAGATATGAGTGGTTCCAGCGGGATGGAATTACTCGTCTTGCATATCGCAAGGTTCTTTAGATTTTGCGATTCGAGATTGTCACTCATTCCGTCCAAGACTGTTTTCTTTGCCTCATTGTCCAGGTCACAGTAAAAAAGCCCACCAATCCATTTGTGTGGCATGTGTATGGATAAGTTACGATGAGAATATTTTTCTCTACGCGCTATCTTGAAGCAATGGAAATTGTCGAGGTCATCAGTTGCCCGCTGTTTTTGACTTAACTGGAGTTGAACTTTCGACTTGCGTTTGGAAGCGAACATTTGCCAAAATCGATTGCCTCGCACTACGGGTGGTGCACTTGCCGGGGTGTATACGCATATGGGAGATTCCCATTCTAGTCCAGGTGAGTTTTTCTGCTCTGTTTGCCATTGAATCTTTCCTAGGTTACAGTACGTCATCTTTATCGAAGGCTGTGCTTTTTCGAAAAGGCCTCCGAAGCTAAAAACTTGGTGGAATTTGAACCCAGTATAGATTTTTTTACTGCGGCCTAGAACTCCCACATCTAGCCCTGCAAGGGTCCCGACCAAATGCCGGTAGCTGCCTTGCCCGTCGATATGATCTAGTGAGCAGATTTTGTCCTGCGTCCGAAAAGCATCGTTCAAAGTTCCTATGGGTCCATTCAACGGTTTTGCGAACACGGAAAAAGACTGGAAAGTATTGAAAATGGAGATTAACGCACAGAATTGCAGCAAGAATCGGAGGAAACCCGTGCCAAGACTAAATTCTTGCCTCAGGCGCTCGACTCCACCAATATCTAGCGGTATTTTTCGAACAATGTTGATCATATCACCATACAGAACAATAATTTTCGAGAGAAAGACGGAAGCTCTCCAGTATAACAATTCCCAAATATTGCAATTGATCAAAACTGGAGCAATGAAATCTACAAAGTAAACCGGTGTTGGAAAGTGTCTGTCGTTTTCGTTACACTGACATCGGACGTATAAAATGATATTAATCAGAAAAGCTAGTTTTAAGTATATTTCTCTAAAGGACATACACGTAACAACAACAGTAACAGGTTAGAAACAGCGTGAATCCGCACCAGCTATCATGAAGCTGGATATCAAAGTATGTTTTTCACTATTATGCTGTTCTTGAGCTCTTAATTGGATTTCGAAATTCCAAAATTGGTGCAAAATTGGTCGAGTGGAATGCAGTTGTTGCTGGTCCTTTTTAGGTCACTTCATTTCAATCAGAAAGGCTTTCAGTCCTGGCTATGGCCATTGGTCATGGTTCTGGCCACTTATACTCTTGAGGAATATGCTCCAAGATTTGTGCTGGCTATGTGCGAGATGTTTTACTAACTTGTTTGTTTCATAGAAAGCGTTCGCAAATCGTTCGGACCGTGTCAAGGGCATCGATTTCCATCCAACGGAACCATGGGTTTTGACCACACTTTACTCAGGTAGAGTTGAAATCTGGAATTTCGAAACGCAGACTGAGGTCAAATCTATCGCTGTCACTGACACTCCAGTCAGAGCTGGTCGCTTTATTGCGAGAAAGAACTGGATTGTGGTGGGCTCTGATGACTTCAAGATCAGAGTGTTCAATTACAACACAGGTGAAAAAGTAGCAGACTTCGAGGCTCATCCTGATTACATTCGTTCTTTGGCGGTACATCCAACGAGACCTTATGTTTTGTCTGGTTCTGACGACACTACGATCAGATTCTGGAATTGGGAAAAAAACTGGTCCTTGGAACAGACCTTCGAAGGCCACCAACATTTCGTCATGAGTGTGGCGTTCAATCCCAAAGATCCCAGCACATTTGCATCGGCAAGTCAGGATCTCACCATCAAAGTGTGGTCTCTTGGTCAAGCAACCGCTAATTTCACTCTTAATGCACACGAAACCAGAGGTGTCAACTACGTCGATTATTATCCATTGCAAGACAAACCCTACTTGATTACAAGTTCAGATGACCGCACAGCAAAAATCTGGGACTACCAGACCAAATCTTGCGTCGCAACGTTGGAGGGACACATGGCAAACGTGTCTTTCGCAGTTTTCCATCCCTCACTTCCAATTATCGTCACTGGCTCTGAAGATAGTACTCTGAAAATATGGAATTCGAACACATACAAGTTAGAAAAGACTTTGAATCTCGGGTTGGAAAGAAGTTGGTGTATTGCTTCGCATCCTACCGGAAAACGCAATCTCATTGCTTCCGGTTTTGATAGCGGCTTTACCGTTCTGTCCCTCGGTAACGACGAGCCAAAACTTTCTCTGGATCCTGTCGGAAAGCTTGTATGGTGTGGCGGCAAAAATGCTTCTGCGACTGATGTCTTCACTGCTGCTATTAGAGGTGTCGAAGTGACCCTAGACGGGGAGCCCATACCTCTACAAACCAAGGAACTGGGTACAATTGATGTTTTCCCTCAGTCTCTACAGCACTCCCCAAATGGTAGATTTGTAACGGTTGTTGGAGATGGAGAGTACATTGTTTACACAGCATTGGCCTGGAGAAACAAAGCTTTCGGAAAGTGTCACGACTTTGTGTGGGGTCCTGACTCCAATAGCTATGCATTGATAGATGAAACAGGGCGAGTCAAATTCTACAAAAACTTCAAAGAAACTACTTCATGGTCGGTACCATTGGATTTTGGAATTGAGAAGCTGTTTTCGGGCGCTTTTCTTGGAGTCAAAGCCGATGGATTTGTCTACTTTTTCGATTGGGAATCAGGTTCCCTTGTCAGAAGGATCGATGTTGACGCGCGCGACATCGTCTGGTCTGACAATGGGGAGCTTGTAATGATCATCAACAACACAGACGAAAATAACACAGAGGAGAGCTCCGCATATGTTCTTGACTTCAACAGGGAAATTTTTGAGAACTTTTTGGCCAGCGAGGAGGACGTTCCTGAGGATGGCGTAGAAGGGGCGTTTGAAGTTTTGTATGAAGTGGGCGATACCATCAGTTCGGGAAAATGGGTTGGTGATGTTTTCATCTACACTACGTCCACTAATAGACTCAACTACTTTGTTGGGGGTAAATCTTACAATCTCGCTCATTTCGATAAAGAGATGTACATGCTAGGTTATCTTCCAAGAGACAACAAGGTTTACTTGGCTGATCACGATATCCATGTCTACAGCTATGAAATTTCTATTGAGGTGCTCGAGTTTCAGACACTAGTACTAAGAGGTGACTTAGACGAAGCTAAAACCAACGTGCTACCCAACATTCAGGGTAAAGAGAACTTGCTCAAAATAGCCAGGTTTTTGGAAGGTCAAGACTATCAAGAAGAAGCTTTCGAAATTAGTCCTGATAGCGATCAAAAATTTGATTTGGCACTGAAGCTAGGTAAGCTTTCATTTGCCCAAACTATAGTGAAAGAAAACGAGAATGAATTCAAGTGGAGGCAACTAGGTGACAAGGCCTTAGAGCGCTTCGAGTTCAAGCTAGCGTTGGAGTCATACGAAAAGGCGTCTGATCTCGAATCCCTATTCTTGCTCTATTCATCGTTCAACAATAAGAACGCCTTGATAGAGCTAGGAAAAAAAGCACAAAGAGTAGGTAAGTACAACCTGGCATTCAACTCTTACTGGGTTGCTGGAGACGTTGACGGAGCAAGGGAGCTTCTGGCGACTAATGGGAGATATTCCGAAGCTGCCATCTTATCCAAAACTTACAGTAATGATGTCGACGGCACCAACGGACTAGTGTCCAAATGGAAAGAAGCTTTGTCTGCTGCTGGAAAATCTACAATAGCATCCAGAATTCTGAAAGTATCGAATGGCGAGAAGGGTGCTAAGGACGAAGCTCTTGTCGATCTTGAAACGGAAGAGGAAGAGGCGGCTGACACTCCTGAAGAAACTCCATCTTCCACCACAGACGCTGAGCAACCCAAGGCTGCGGATGAGGCCAAGGATGGGGGTGAAGACCAATAGGACGATTTATAAAGTCTACGAAAAACGAAGTGTAAAGGTAACCAAAATCGCGTATGTGCGGGTTCAAAGTTGAGCACGACTTGACGGAAAGTCTGTAGATCGCTAGTTAAGTCCGTATACGTAACAAAAGAGGTTAGTTGAGAAATACGTCCAACTTGTTTACGTCTTTTTTCTTCCCCAACCCAATGAAGTATAACTCCTTTGACTCGTTCCGTGAAGCTGACGGTTTGAACCTTTGTACATCTCTGAAGACCCGCTTCAGTCTCTCTTCTAATAGTTTGTCCTCCTCGCCGGTGTATAGCTTGCAAACGAAAGAGCCACCCGGCTTGAGCAAGTCAATGGCCGCTACCAGCGCAGCATCACATAGATCCATCGACATGAAGTGATCTTTTATGGCAATACCTGTAGTATTGGCCATCCTGTCATAGGCTGAATTAGTAAAGTTATTCCAAAATCCTTCAGTTTGAGGCCAGGGTTCATACATGTCGCTTATTATAACGTCAATTGGAGTTCCTTCCACGCAAGGTCTGTCAGAGTTTATCGCGCTCTGTTCATTGACGAAAGCGAGTTCTTCTTCAAGCATGTGCTGGAAATAGCCGTGGTCTTTATGCAGTTGATCTTCCCGATACAGTTGGAAGTGTTTAGAGAAAAAGAGCCTTATGAGCTCATGCGTTTTTTTAGCTAAAATGTTGGCCTGTATCGAATGCACTCCTCGCGGTGGCGAACATGGCAAAATGTCCACCCCAAGTATTATGCCGTCAGATCCAGTTCTTTCCAAGGCCACCTGAGACCATGCACCCGGAGCGTATCCTAAATCCAGCACCCTTTGGTTGGCGTTTTTCCGAAACAATTTGACTTTGTCATCAATTTGCTGAAGCTTGAATGCTGCTCTCGATCTCAATCCAAGTACTTTGGCTTCTCTTGTAAAGGAATCGGATCGTTGTCTGCCAAGCCATCTGCTCTTTGAAGAAGAATTCCAGCGCACGAAGCGTATGCTTGAAACGCTCCAAAATTTCGAAATCAATTGCGAGGTCAAAACCAAATTGGACATGTTACGCTTCGATAATCGAGCAGCAAGTTGAGCCGAATTCTTTGAGAGTTTCGTTGTGATGACAGCGCGATGCGATGAGCTTGACGTCTAATATTTTTCAAAATTTATATAAAGAGGCTTCAACATTGACGGACAGGAAAAGTAGCGAAGACAGCCAAATAAATTCGTGCAATTGGAGACATTGGTACTGAAGACTCGATGCAAAATACAGGGATTGATTGTAGTATGGAATTGAGGCTGCTTTTGATTACTGACAATGAGTTGAGATGACTTGAAGAGTAGATCACGTGACAGATGTCACGGAACGTTCTCCAGTAGATTGTAACAACATTTAAAGTCTGAATGCCGCTAAAAGATTCAATTGGTTTCGAGAATGTTCAATATCAGCTTTAAGCTTTTAAAATTCGATGAGGAAGCACTCGTCTCACGTTGGTATGGTTATTGCGAGAAAAAAAAATGAACGTAATTTGTCATAATTCTTGGACGCTGCTTTGAAGTATAATTAACATGCAAATAGTACCTCAAGATTGCTCAAAAAACCAAGCTATATGCTTGATCTCAGGCGATGAGACGATGGTAATTGATGACATTATCGTTTGAAGATATATGTAGTAGCGAAATTTGTCAAATTTGAAAAACGCTTTTTTAGTGGTGAAGCTCTTGGCCATTTAACTTTCCAGAATTTGAAGAGCATTATTGAAAGCTAACCCATGCTATTATCTTGATACGCTATCGAGGATGTCTAAGACACTTTTCATGTCTTTTGAAATGGAAAGTCAGAGCCCTTGTCACTTTTGTCAAGATTGACGGGACACTCTTTTGACACGTGACTGTATTCCCCTCATTAACGTCATTTGTAAGTATAGGATGCTGTGGTTAGCAAAATCTAGCTGCCCCGCCCCCCGCCTCAGATTTTGTTTTCTGGTGGAGAACTCTCGTGTTAGCCAAGTTATTTGTTTTGAAGAACAGCAAGTTTTAAGCCCGAACATCCTAAAAACCATTGTTGAATCAATCCGTGAGCTGAAGACGAGCGGATTCTGCGAAAAAATACAATAATCAGAGTCGCAACAAAGAATGATACGCAGTTCAAAACCTTAGTCTTACTGCCCAAACTTTATTATACTGCAAGTCATTATCACTATTCTCCGAACTGTCGCAATACAACGTCACATACGTTTATAATGACATAAATGAAATATACGAATCAAACCGTTGAAGACAAGAGAAACAATGATGTTATCGTCTGCTGACTACACCCGTATATCTGCGGCGAGTTACCACCTACTAGTACATGTGCCATTTCCGTCTTTACGACACAAAACACAAACACCCACACATCACAGCCATTATACGAAAAACAAAAAGTTTTGAAAAAAACTAATAAACCCACACATCCAGAAAAGACAGTCACAACTCAGCCAACCCACGCAAAAAATTCAGGCCAAATCTTTCAACAACCTCTCTGCTGTAGAAGAGAAGTCTCGATATCCGACAACAACCCTGCACTCCAGGATCTCTTTACTCTTTCATAAAAGACCATTAGTCGCAAGCCTTCTTTCAGGACCACCAATTACTATTGGAAGACTAATAATAGACAAACTACCAAGATGTCTAAGATCAGCTCTACCCAGATTAGAGACAACGTCAAGGAGGTCTTGAAGTTCTCTAACGAGACCAAGAAGAGAAACTTCTTGGAAACCGTTGAACTTCAAGTCGGTCTAAAGAACTACGACCCTCAAAGAGACAAGCGTTTCTCTGGTACTTTGAAGCTTCCTCAATGTCCAAGACCAAACTTGTCGATCTGTATCTTCGGTGACGCCTTTGACGTTGACAGAGCCAAGTCTGTTGGTGTCGACGCCATGTCTGTCGATGACTTGAAGAAGTTGAACAAGAACAAGAAGCTCATCAAGAAGCTAGCCAAGAAGTACAGTGCTTTCGTTGCTTCCGAAGTCTTGATCAAGCAGGTTCCTAGACTATTGGGTCCTCAGTTGTCCAAGGCCGGTAAGTTCCCAACTCCAGTCTCTCACAACGAAGACTTGTACGCCAAGGTCACCGACGTCAAGTCCACCATCAGATTCCAATTGAAGAAGGTGTTGTGTTTGGCTGTTGCCGTTGGTAACATCGAGATGGACGAAGACACTTTGGTTAACCAAATCTTGATGTCTGTCAACTTCTTGGTCTCTTTGTTGAAGAAGAACTGGCAAAACGTTGGTTCTTTGGTCATCAAGTCCACCATGGGTCCTCCATTCAGACTCTACTAAGCTTAGAGCTTCACTGATGGTTGATTCTATAGTCGATGTCTGTAGTAACTCTTTATATAGTTCCTAAAGACTTTAACTAACTCGACGACGACGACGATGAGCTCTCGTGCAGAGCGACTTGTATATTTATATTGGTCTATTTTGACATATTTAAAAGATGAACTTATCGAATGTGGAGTTTTAAAGGGCATCGCGGCTTTCTTATAGCCCCCAAAGAGCTCCAAATAGCTCTCAAAAGCTCGTTTTATAGTCTTAGAGAGCCTCCAAAAACCCCGGAAGTACAGGTGCGTTGCTTTGACCCCTTTCAAGCGCGGTTTTTACTCAAAAAATGACAGAAACACCAACCAACTTCATCAGTGAGAATTCCCTGAAACAAAATGAACCGAAGAACGCTCACGTTTACCTGTCTGAAATCCCCGATGGAAACGATAGTATTGATCTCGACTACGACCTGGACGACGAAACGTTCGAACTGCCACTCAAGGCTCGATCCAAATCTGAGCAATCTGGAAATTTTTCAGATCTCGCGCCGGTCGGGAGTATCGATAAGAAAGTGAGGTTTCAAAGCCAGACGGTATCACCATGGGATCCGCTAACAAGTGACTCGATTGAAGTCCTGGATACACACTATTTGGGCGCTCCAGGGGCTCCCAAAACTCCAAGCGGTAATCTTGGCCGAAAACCACACATCGAGGACGTTTTACAGCACGCTCAAATGTTGAACGGGTACCTGGATCAAAATCTCGGTAAAATAAAATCTTTTCAGACTGACTTCTACAATCAGGATCACGAGAGCTCCTTTCCTATGAGTAGCAATTTTGCCAGCAACGTTGCCACTGCGCCAACTACTCCATCCGGTTCAGTATCGAATTTTCAACTGAGTGAAAGCGAGGCTAGTGAAGCTAGCGAAGCTAGCGATGCACCGGAAGATCCGCATTCGGACTTTGATGCAGTCTCTTCTGCTGTTTTACAAAGCGACAACGAGAGAGAGGATCGCAAAATCAAACAGATTTTGTCTAAGCATCAAACTGCAACATACCCTCGATCTGAAAACCCCTCCAACGTGAGCCTGGTGAAAGGCGTCTCCAACACATGCGTAGGGACTGTGCGACCAGATTCGCCCTGCACGTCTCTCGGGTCGCCTGCCAACGGCGTTCAAACTATTCAAAACTCACCGGTCATACGTGATGAAAATTTCTTGCGACCCCCAAGATTGGTACCACGACCCTCGGAGACGGATGAAGAACCAGATGCAGACCCCCCAGATATGGATTCTGATGTGGCGCTGGCGCTATACATCAAGACCATCAAATGCTTAATTGAATACAGCAAAGACATTGATATTACCCCAGAGCACATAGAGCCTTCGTTTGCTACTTTTCACATGAAATCTGCCCCTACGCTTGGGTACGAAGAGTATTTGCAACGATTCCATGGGAAATTCTCCTTCTCTTCCGTGGTGTACCTCACGGCGGCGCATCTTTTACAAACTTTAGTGCTGCGGAAGGACGCTTTTAGCAATCAACTTCTATTCCGATTCAAAATCGAGTCTCGACAAGTACACCGGCTTATCATTGCGACCGTGAGGCTCGCAACCAAGCTGCTGGAGGACTGCGTACATTCACATACCTATTTCAGTCGCATATGTGGTATTTCCAAAAAGCTGCTGACCCGGTTGGAAGTGGCGCTGCTGGAGTGTTTGAAGTTCCAAGCTCTCAAAATTACGAACAAAACTTTACTCCACGCTGTACAGATCCACGAAGAGCTATGTAAGCTTCGGGAATGATTTTACGAAACATGAGGATATTGGATGAATGTTCATTCATCCTAAATCATTGAAACGCTTAATATTCAATTTGGAAGAAGAAAAAAAATGAGAACAGAATAGACCAAAATTAATTGCGCAACGATTCTAGTGCTACCGTCTGTCACTTTGCCATCTCATTGCGCCGGTATCAGAGCTACAAGCACGAAATTTTGAAAATGTCCTAATTTACCGTCGTCACCTTGTTATCGCTTCAAAAACGCTGGTTTTTTTTTGAAAGTAACCGCTTAATTTAGCCTGCTTCTCAATTCAATACTGACCATCCTTGTAATCGCTACAAACCTTCAAAAGCTCTTTCTCAGCAGTCAGCATCTGTAGTGTCAGTGAACTGCTCATGGTTAGTCGATCCAAATAACGACTACTAAGACACAAGTCACCATACACGAAAAGGCATACAGGATATTTATCGATCGGTATTGTAAAAACTATATCAAAAACACATCTTTAAACGGATCATAACGAACTTTCTGGTCTTTAACAAAGCTAAAACAACTACTAGTTTAGTTTAGCCAAGCTCTAAAGTTTTCAGTCAGCACTTGATTTCGCTAAAATGTGGGATTTGTTTGGATGGTGTACGTATTTGATCGCAGAAAGTTTCTGAGCGCAAGTTAATGCTAACGTGAAGAAAAAGGCATTTGAATCAAGATCTAGTTACTAACTTTTAAGGTTCGACTCCACTTGATAGTCAGAGATATTTTGTCGTCTCTTGGTCTTTGGAATAAACACGGTAAACTGTTGTTTTTGGGTCTAGACAATGCAGGTAAAACTACGTTGCTTCACATGTTGAAAAATGACAGACTGGCCACTTTACAACCTACTTGGCACCCTACTTCCGAGGAATTGGCCATTGGAAACATCAAATTCACCACTTTCGATCTTGGTGGCCATATCCAAGCCCGTCGTTTGTGGAAGGACTACTTCCCTGAGGTGAACGGCATTGTCTTCTTGGTGGACGCGGCAGACCCCGAAAGACTCAACGAAGCGCGCGTAGAGCTGGACGCTTTGTTCAATATCGCAGAACTCAAAGACGTTCCTTTCGTGGTTCTGGGCAACAAGATTGACTCGCCAAACGCCGTCTCTGAGACTGAATTGAGATCGGCTTTGGGCCTATTGAACACCACTGGTGGTGCCAGGATTGAGGGCCAAAGACCTGTGGAAGTGTTTATGTGCTCTGTGGTGATGAAGAACGGATATTTGGAAGCCTTCCAATGGCTATCTCAGTACATTTAGAACAAGCCTATGTGTGTAATAGGATACATATAAACTATTTATATGTATATGTATATCAGCTTGTCCTCGTTATGTGAGTAGAAACTGTGTTGTACCAATGGTGCTATTGCTCCTGTGTTGCACATGTGCCGATCCTTATCTACGTTTGTTAGATTCCCTGTCTGCACTGGAGTCAGTGTGTTGTCTCTTCTTACCTTCTCCGGAAAAATATCTCTTCTTGCGCTCTTTGTCCTTTTCAATTTTGATTTCCTCAAGTTTAGCCAATTTCTTGAGCCTTTCCTTGCGCGAATCTTGATTCTTGGCTTTCCTCTTCTCTTCTTTGGCGCTCGCTACCGTTAGCACTTTCTGCATGAATGAGCGTGCCTTCTTTTCTTCACCACCGAGAACGACAGCTCTCTTAGCCATGTAAGTCTTCTTCTTCTGAGGCTTCATTTGATGCACTTGAGATTTGAATGGAAGTGACTTTTGAATAGATGATGGGATTTTTAGACCATTGAAACGTCTTTCAGAGCGCTCAACCTTTTTGTAAGCACTATCTGGATTCATTGGTGTTTCGATGTTCATGGCAGCTCTGATCTGACCGGTGAGCCTCAAACCTTTCCATTCGGTCTTATTCTGCAGCAGCAAGGATGTGACTGGGTTGTAAAATTTCTTGATGTGAACCGGATACCAACTTCTCAGCACAATGATGTCACTCAAGAGAATTTTGTCTTCGAAAGTGGCTCTGAAATGACCTTCAGGCTTGGATAAGGCTCTTTTTATTTCACCTCTGATACCCGAAACAGTTTTGATTTGAGCACCTTCAAACCTTGCAACCTCCATAGCACTGGAGAACATATCCTTGATGAAAGCGGTGTTTCTGAAAATCTTGTAAGGATACCCAACAAGTTTCAATTTTTTGACGATCTCCACACTGGCATCGATCTCTTCTACAATACCAGTGGCTGCAATTCTGAAACTTCCAGTGGTATCACTGTTCGCAACAACCTGAATACCGCAAAAGGTTGTATTAGGGGAACACAAGGGTCCATAAAAGCTGGCAAAACAGTACGAATGTTCTGGAGTGTACTTGAGCATTCTATTTCTTGTCCGCGAATCACTGGTCGTGTATATCGGCAATGTTTGAAATCTTCTCCAGCCTAACGACAATACTAGCGGATCATTGGTTTTCAAGATCTTTTTGTGCCATCTGTGTCTTCTGATTCTTGCTTTGATGATACCAAACTTCAATTCGGCGGGCAGCAAACCTCCCATAATAATAGGGTATTTGGGGTTGAAGTTCTCAACAAACTCCATTGGCAAATTGTCAAAAACAATTCGCACATAGGATCCTGCTCTATAACCTTCAATTTTTTGACGCTGCTCAGGAGTCATATCCTCAAGCTCGGCATTATTGATTTCCATTTGTTTGGCCATTTTGGCCTTTTGTAACTCATACCACGTATCATATTCGTTGTTTGGATCGTCCTCCTTGAAATTGTCACCTTCTTCCATCTCAAATTGCAAGCGTAGGTTCTCTTTCTTTGCTGCATTCTGTTCTCTTTCTTCTTCTGTTGAAAGTGACTTTTTCTCTTCGCGGTCGAAATCTGTAAATGAGTGGTCGCTTTCACTACCATCGCTATCACTATGAGATGAGTTGTCACTATTAGCCTCACTTTCTGCTCCTTCACCGTTGGTTTCTTCGAGATCTTCAAAGTCACCATAAGCTTCCTCGTCTTCATCAGCTTCATCAGCACCTGCTGAACTTGCGGATGAAGATTTTGAAGATCCAATGAATCTGTTCTTGATCCGATCCATATTAGGCCATTTGGAAATGAGCTTTTTAAATGTCTCGAAATGTGGTTTGAATTTTTCTAAGTCGTCATTGGCATCGGATGCCGCAGATTTCACAGTGTCCTTCTTCTGGAAAAAATCTTCATCTTCTTCCAATTCATCATCGTTTTCCGTTTCTTGATCAGTTTCGCCTCTCCATCTTTTCAGACAGTCCGAGGGTGCAATATTGTCCATGTAGATGAGTTTACCAATGTCCCATTTCCTGCGCCTGTTGTTGAGACCTTCGAGCTTTGAGGCTGTACTACGCGTCCAGATATCTTGTTCGTGATCTGAAAGCTCAAATTCAGAGTCGGTCTGGGCATCAACTAGATCACCGTTTCCAGTAGGAAAGTCAACATCAACCATTCGCCTTTGACGCGTTTCATCATCATTAAAATCGTCATTTTCTTCTTCATCTTCGGATGCTAACGCGTCAACTTCTGCATCTGCTTCTTGTACGGATTTACCGTAAATTCTGGGTTTTCTCAAGTTGGATCTTCCCCCATCTACCCCATTAACGTCGGCTTCTTCGTCACTCCCTGAGTCGTCCAATTGCTGATCCTCGGCGTGTAACTCCTGTCCATTACTAAAAAGTTGCAAGCCGACGCCATCAAAACCTTCTGCAAATCCTCTCTCAGCTGATTGAAGGCTGGTCACAAGCTTTTCACCTTCACCCTTTTCCTGGCCTGGTACGAAGCTGGCACCTTCTCCACTCTTCGAGCCAACGTCAATAAAAACGGCGTCTTTGTCCATAAGAACACCACCCACGTCAGACATTGGTGCGTAAATAAGCTTTTGCTTGTCGTCAAGCCTTTTACGTCTACGAGGCGCACCAGAAGAGGCACCGCCTTCTTCTTTCATCCTTTCCCGTTCATATTCATCCTGCTTTTGCTGAAAGTAAGGAGTTGGACATGGATCGGGCAATTTCTCGACATGCGATATGGAGTAGTCACCTACCCCTGCCAGATGGACGCGGGCTCCGGCCATAGCAGGCAAAGCGGATCCATGTAAGTAGCCATAGAGTGCGACTTTTCTGTCAACGTGTTTACCCTTGGTCTCCAATATTTGCGGATGCGTGATGTCTGTAAGACGGTCCGCCAATAGATATGGATGTTCGTTTCTCCATTTCAATGGTCTGAATTTCATGACTGAAATAAATCTTGATAAATTCAAAATCTCACGATCTGGATAACGGCCATTTATGACACCGGACAGATAGAATAGTTTGGCACCTTGGTAAACTTCTGTCCAAAATCTGTGCTTTAGCCGCTTCTTGGAGGCTCTCAAAGTGGACTGCGATTTGAAGAGATCCAAATGCGTGGCAACACCTAATACTCGAGGCATACCGTGGTGTTGTGCAAGGTTAAGAAATTCCATGGTTTCCATTTCGAAACCAAAGTTTCCGTCCATCATTAGTAAAACCAGGTCCGCAACCTTGGCAACGTCGACCATGGAGTTGAGATCGTCGGCAGGACACTCTAGAAAAGTCAATCTTCTTCTCTTACCTGAAACCACGGTGATGGGCCCGTTGACCTCTGTGAGTGACGACTTCGTCATCCTTCTCACGAGAGACTTAATGAGAGTGGTCTTACCGGTTCCCGGAGGCCCCACCACAGCGACAATCACGGGTGGAGGATCGTCTTCCGGAGTCCGGTCTACCATTGGAACATGGAGCTTTCTCTCATTTACGTCGCTGGTCCTTTGGATGGCCTTTGCCATTTTGCCCGGAGCTGACACGGCGAACGCTTTGGCATTGTGGCCCTGCGTATGCAGTTTCTTCTTGGCTGTTGCCTTTTCGCTCCTCTTCCTGTGCTCCTTGTTGGACTGCTCCATCGTGGAAGATTTGGAAGGCGTTTTTTGGGAGACTGCTCAAAGGAGAGGTAAGATGAGGAAACAAGCTTAGATGCGATGAGATGAGATGAAATGAGATGAGATACATTGTGATGTAATTTTTTCCCACTCAAAATTTTCTAGCGACAATTTAATTTGAACCCGTGAGTACCCTTGAGAGTACTCGCAGGACGGAAAAAAGAAAAACAAACGCCCCTCCAAAAAAAAAGGAGTCACGTGAAAACATCATCACGCCTACATCACGTTTTAGCCGCGATAGCTCTTTCTTCGTATCAGATGATCAGGCCACTCCATAACAACCACAAAAACGTAAAATGGGGCCCAACCCCTTGAAAGCGGTATCCCAAATCAAACAACAGCGCATAAAAAGAGGCGATTTAAAGCCAAAAATTACCACTCTGAACACAATCTGACAAGCTCATAACAGATATACGTTTCCGTAAAGTGGACATCTTTCTTTGCAGCTGTTTTAGGGCGAATTTGGCGCGTTTTGAATCTTTTCATGAAAAGACCCTTTTCAAGCGCGGCAAACACAATAAAGTACTATTCTTAACATACTATCGATCGTAATAGTGTAGTAGCATCATCTTTTGGGCCCTTTTCACTCCCTCTATGTCTCAGAATTTCTCTCCTGTACCTTGGCGTCAATCAAAAAGTGGTGTATATTAGAGATAAATCTGATATTTATTGCAGCTTTTATATGCGTCTGTTTGTATATACAAATTTAAAAGAGACTGATTTTTTAATCCATATAAGCTAACAGTTGATGAAAGTTCAAATAAAGGCGATCATCTCCAGTGTTTACACTTGATAACAAGTTACTGTTGTTGGTTCACAGAGCGTGGGCGTGAAGCTAAAGGATTTTTGAAAAAGTGGTGATGGTCCTATACAAACGGAAACCACTGGTATTACCTCCTCCTGGGCCTTTGCCTGCCAATATCAATGTGAAAGTATGGCACATTAACGAGACGGGAGAATGGTTTTTACGATACACGGAGTATTTGCAACGTATGGACTTCTACATGAGACGTCAGTTTACATGTGAGATCACCGGGTCTTCGTTTCTGACGTTTTTCGAGGCCCTTAACAGCGAGGAAGCTGAGTTCCGGCTTGTAGAGGAAAAATTTCCACTCAAGTTGCGGGAACCAGTTGCAAAATTCATGCATTTCAACGAAATTGGGCGTGTGGACTTACTTGTGGAGCGCACGCACTCACGATTTAGAAGTGATTTTTATCCAGGCGAAAGAGTATTTTTAAGACGCAAGAATGACAGAGCAGCGGACGAACCGGCCACTCACGGCCACAAGCCGTATATCATCAAGGAAAAAGCTAGCTTCAATGCGGTTCTCGACGTCACGGGCTCGAAGATCGTCAAGCCGGCGTTTTCCAAGTATATGATAACAGAGGAATTTGGTATCAACTCGCTCATGGTGGACCAAAACGACATTTACAGAGACCGGACAACTTTCACAAAACATTTGATCAAATGCTTCTGCAAAATCACCCTGAGAAGGGTCTCGACCAAAAGTGGTGCGCCATTGTGTGTCAAGGATGAGTACCTCGCTATGTATGGCTTGACAATGGACTGGCCTGCGTCGATGCTGAAGTTCAAAGAAGACATTCCAGAGCCCCGCTCTTCGCGGCCCAGCAGCCAGCGTACTCAGAATGGTACCAAAACATCAAAACATCCACAGCACCCTTCAGACACCAAAAGAAACATTGACGACACAACTAACGGACACGACAATAAAAAACAAAAGACAGGACTAGAAAAAGAGCCGAGCCCTTTGCCAGCACTCTCCGAACCGGAAGAAACACCCAAACTTTATAGCGGACCCAATCCAGCTATCGGTAATGCATATTTCTACAACGACAGCTTGGATTATATCCCCGTCAGGCATCCAGGAAAACAGTTTGCACACATGTACAAACTATTGGAAGTCTTCCAATTTTGTCAAACCTTTAGCAAAGTTTTGCTCCTGTCACCTTTCAGCTTAGACAACTTTATCAAAAGCTTACAGGCCACAGACATTAAGACCGCAGGCACTTTAGTCGTAAAGAGCCGGATCAACTCACCGCTTTTCGATGAGAGCTGCAAGCAGCATACACCGAACAAAGACGGCAAGACCGTCTCGGATTCCGTTGTTGCGAACGCAGAAAAAAGAAAACCTGGAATTTGCCGCTTTATCGAAAACCGCGGGACATCATTTGTAACTTTCGAGCCTTCTGAAGCAGACAATCAGGTCAGCATCGCAACCGACGATGTGGACTCCTGTGGTGCATCTTTGATATTGGAGTGCTTTGTTGCACTTGAGCGTCTCTTTATCAGCGAAAATGGCGACTGGAAGTGCATGGTCATGGACAAATGGTATGATGAAGATGAACTTGTTGAAAAGCCGATCAAAGAGGATGAAGGCAAGTCTGATTCCCAAGATGACGCAGAGAATACGAAGGCCCCCATCAAAAACGAAGATGATGTTTTAAATGACCCGGAGATCGACGATCTTTTAGAACGATGTCTGAACTTCCGCAAAGTTTCTTGGACGGAACGTTTATCTAAGAGGCAGTTCAAAAATGGTTATTGGATCATTATTCTACTTGGTATCTTTCAGGATTGCATGCATATACCAATGTACACAGCATTTGCGCAAAAATTTATCAGAGCCATTGTACCACCTGAAGGATCCGCCACACACCTGAACAAAATTCTGTGGGAGAACTTTTGCAAGAATTTAAGTTTGGAAGATAAGGTTTTTGCCCTTTGGATTTTGGTGGATATAGCATCAAACTTCTCGCAAGAAATTAGAACCTACGTCGAAGACACACTGGATGTCTGCACTCAAATTCGCAGCGAAAAGTTGAAGTTATCCAGGCGACTGAAGTCTGAAATGCAGCATGTTTCGCAATTGTCGGCACCTACCAATGATTCCGTTGAACCGCAGGAAGAAATCAACCAGCACCAAGCGACAATTGACAAAATCAACCAAGATAGGAGCTATTTGACCCAAAAGCTGATCGAAAATGACGTCCGAAGATTGAGGGCTTTGGGGTCGGACAGAAATGGTAATAAATATTACTGGCAAGAGTTAAGTGGTGTTCAGAGGCTTCCCGCAGATGACCTTCACGAAATCGGGTCTGGCAGGTTATGGATACGGGGCATCAGTGTTAGAGACTCAGAAAGAATTCTCAGCGTTTCTCAAGAACAGCTGATTGCCTGGAAGAAGTTGGCAAAGGAAAAATCAGTTTCTGAGGCGAACGCCGAAATTTTCAAGATTAGAAGAACAGATGAAGGTTCCATTATTGACGAAAGTGCGGGTGAAAGTTCAACTATAGTATTTGCCGACGGGAAGGTGAATGTCCCAGCCATTGAATCATCTGCACTATACAGAAAAATGGTTGATGAGACACCGGAGCAGGCGCTGTTGAGCGAATCTCAATGGATCGCCATTGAGCTGCCTGGTGATGTCGATGAGCTGATCCTATGGTCTGCAGAATATGGTAATAGCGACCAAGCACTTTCCAAACAGCTGAGAGCCATTAAGGAACCTTTGTTTGAAGGTCAAAGACGGCGAGAGGGGCGGCTTTTCACTGCAGTGGAGAGCACAGAGATCGCGCGTTTAGAAGAGGCCTTGGACGAAAATTTCATCAGCGATAACGAAATTGAGCAATGCCAGGTGAGCGAGCAAGAGAAGCAATCTGTTGATGACGATAACGCGCTCGAAAAGATTGCTACTGAGATCATGATGCTTGACGACGGGTCTCAAACTGAAAGCTCACTCAAGAAAATCAAAGAACTCGAGGAACGTCGCGATCACATCCTCAATACTCGCACATATAAAGATCACTCCGACAGACAGCAATCAAAAGCGGTTCGTCAAGCAACAGTCAAAGCCGTACAGGAAAAAGTTGGTTACCAGGCAGCTGCTCTGACTTCCTACTTGAATGCTGTGATTCAAAATGCTAAACCTGCAGAGAAGCTGTGGACCAACGAGCTCGCTAGAAGTCTATGGAATACATCGCTGTATCTTGGGGCTAGCGGGAAGCCCATCGCCCGCAATAAACTCTCTGTGAAAGAAAGGATGACGGAGATATTCGATGGAATGACGAGCTCACATCAAAAAAAATCTTGAGTCATGTCGAGTCCAGTATTAAATAAGGCAAATGGTAAGGTGAGAGGACATAAACATTGATAAGCTTCCATGCCTCCGCATCCATACGGATTGCAGCTTCTCTTCCAGGCTGAAATATCGTTGTGAACGTTTAGTTGTTCATGAATTCAGAGGTCACCTGATCTCACAAATTTTTCAAGATTTAATTACTAGGCTTACCAGATTAAGCGTGAAGTTGGATGTGGATTAACATCAACTCTAGAGTGACGATGGAACATTGTTGAGACCAAAATGCTCAACTATAATACCTCGAACGGTGTCAGAAATGCATTTCACTGTTTCAGAAATCTAAGGTTTCATAAGGGACCTCGAGCTCTAAAGTATACCACCAATACCAACAGCTCAAACAAGGCCGGCGAGCTGGAGTCTCCGGAAGAGTTGACTTTGAAATCCCATTTGAAGTCCAAGCCAATCGATTACACGAATAACGCGCCAGTAAATCCCAAAAAACAGCGTCCTTTATTATCGGACTCCAAATACGAATCGAAGCTATACCAATTACCAAAATGGAAAGAAGCCTTGGGTGAAATTGTGATTAAAGGCTTCAATCTCGATATGGACAAAGTCAGAGCTGGGCCTGTGGCTGGATCTTACTATTATGCCATGTGTAAAGAGCAAGGGCTGCAGTTTGAAAATGAGCCACTGTCCGCTACGGCTAAGTTTTTTTACGAAGACCTAAAGCTGCCCCGTACCTTTTCCCAGTGGTTCCAGGTTACGATATTGCACGAGTGGATTTTGTTTGTCAGAATGCGTGCTATGCCGTTCAAGTATGGTAAAAATTACCAGCAGAAACTAGTGGACAGAACTTTCTCAGACATCGAGCTAAGACTGTTTGATGAAATGAACGTTAATTCGGGTCGGATCGCAGACCAGTATCTTAAGGACTTCAATTCGCAGCTTCGTGGTGCTGTGTTTGCATACGACGAGGGGTTTTTCACTGACGACTCGACTCTGGCAGCTGCGATTTGGAGAAACTTATTTGGAGGCAGAAAGAACGTTGATATGGTTCATCTCGAGGCTATGGTGAGATATGTTCGCGCACAACTGTACGTGCTAAGTAAGATGTCGGATAGAGAATTTGCCATGGGCGGGTTCAAATTCGTGCCACCAGACGAGACTGTGTACCAACTGTCACCTCAACAAGAAGCAGACATGAAAAAAGCAGTTGTGGAGAAATACGAGGCTATGGATAAAAAAACTGACTTGCTGCCAAGCGAACGTAGTAGATTATCCTACGAAAACTAGTCTTGACGAACATAGTTCATGAAGCATATTTAACGTTGTAAATAGTACTAAAGCCTGGTCTCATATCGAGCGATATGTTGCGCTCCAGCTTGAAGGATTATTTTCCTTCAACATATTGTCCAAAGCGTCTATCAAGTTGACTTGAAAACTGCCGCTGCCTTTGCTTTTTAGGGAGGCGGTATGGCCTGCTGACTTGTACATTTGAACTGCTGTTAACACACCGCCAAAAATGTCTTGTTTGTCAGAAATCCCCCCTATCAAACATGCTATTGTTGTCCCGAGAGAACAACCACTCGCAGTTATTTTACCCATTAATGGGATATCGCCAGCCTCCACTATATACGCTGGAAGTTGAGATGGAGGGGAATTGCAGCCCACTGATAGCTTGAAGTTTCCTGAGTTCAATCCATTGGCCACGATATCAAATTTGCCTGTGCAGACGGCAACACAACGGTATCTGTAAGCAACGAGTCTGGTGGCGGTAGCGATGACTGAAGTGTCAGACCCCGTATGACCAGAGTCCACGCCTCTCATCTTGCCCATGTTCATGTCAGCCAGTGACAAAATTTCGCCAGCATTACCCTTTATACAGGTGAACTGACCATGAGCAAGTAAATGTTTGTTCAGAACCAAACGAACCGAAGTGGCACTGAATCCGACAGGATCAAACACTATAGGCCTTCTGGCATCATTGTACGCTCTCATTGCACTCACCAAAGTCTCTAGAGGCGCGACTGAGCCAGTGTTTAAGAGAAGCGTCGCATGTGGCACTTGAGACAGTTCTGTGAACTCCGGTTCAATTTCTGACATGATGGGCGATGATCCCAATGAAAGTGCTACGTTAGCACCAAAATTTTGGTGTACTTTGTTGGTGATATGATGAATTAAGGGCGAGTTTTGTTTGATGGAGTCGATGTAAGCATGGGCAGAAACGACGGAATTCACGGTCTGAGAAACGACGCCCGTAACAAAAGGGTACGCATTGGCATCAATAATACTATGGAGTCGCTTTGTAGCTTCTCCGGCTTGTGATGAAGCCATTATGTCACTTACTACAGCAATACCGTCCAGACTCCTTTTCCCATCTTCAGAGCATACCTGGTATAAAACTCGGGCGATGTTGTCCGGATGTAGACCACCTATAGCTACAGTTTTGCACCAAGTAGCATTCGAGGCTTGCAAAGCGTCTAACAAGCTGGAGACTCCTCTAGGTCCCATTGGAGACTTTTTGGCATTTTTTTTGGTCTCAGTGGGGAAAACCATTCCCAAACCAATATAGTCCACTTGTTGGGGTCCCATATCGGCCAGTTTCTGAACTTCGTGCTCATAGCCTACGCTCCAACCTATAATCTTATCAGGACCAAGCAGTTTACGGACCATAGGTATAGGCATATCGTCCTGTCCAACATGTACACCGTCAGCGTCAATTGCAAGCGCAACATCCACACGATCGTTGATTATTAGAGGCACATTGTGCTGACGACAAAGCTCTTGAACTTTCAAAGCTTCTTCGATGAACACTTTTGTATCCGTTTCTTTCTCGCGCAACTGAACCAAAGTGACCCCATTTTGTAGAGCTGATCGAACCTGGGATACTAATGTTGTCCCTGGTGGCAACATTGTCGAATCTGTCACCAAATACAGTGAATAATCCACTTTTGACTTGTCAACCATTTTTTTTTTGGTTTCAACGCTAGGAAGCGAAGAGGTAACAGCGAGTAACCAGGAAAACTAAGGATGTCAACTGAAACCAAGAGTCGATGCCATGATAAGCCATAAGTGGCTCTCAAAAGGTGTCTTTAGTCGTTGGTTTTTATATCTATTCCTCTCGGCACAGTGATGCTAAAGGTTTCCTTTAGTTTATAAAGGCTAGTTCACTAGGAAATCTTCCAAGGTGTATCATGTCATACGGGAAGACGACGTCTTAAATCCGAGAAATGGGTTCAAACTGATGATTTATAAAGCTTTCTGATTGATTTGATGTGTGAATTATTTATGAAATTTCGATGGCACCCATTCCTTCGTCAAATGCCTTTTTTTACTTCGTCAAGAAACTCGAGTTTTGAATTTGTATTATTTACCTATAGTACGGTCTCGAGAAATTGAAAAGCTGGATTCGTCATTTGCGGATGATTGTACGAGTAATTTGTGAATTATTGGGATAGCTGCTATGCGTGATAATGCATTCTGCCGGTAGATAATGATATTCTACATTAATTTTTCAACTTGGTGGGGCTAATTAGTTATATTGACGAGAAGCTAAACGGTTGCCAAAACAGCAAGTTTCTTTGAAATTGTCAAGATGACGGTGAGTTTTAGCCCCTCAAGAGAGAATTTGGGGCAATGGTACATCAATTTGGCGAATAGAACAGGTTTGTTGTCTTAAGTTCTGCAACTATGAGCTAACTTGGTTGTATCACTTTGTACTAATCTGTCATGGATCGTATATTAGACTATAATGAAGTGACACTGCTGGCAAATGGGTTTAAGAATCATCTACAAGATGCACTGATTCGAATGTCTTGTAGAAATTGTTGTATCTGGCTATTTCTCAAGAGATAATGTGTGTGGTTTGATAACTTAATCGAATTTGCGGGTCTTGTTCCTCACCACTTGGTATTTGCTGTAGGTTTATTCTGAGCGAGCATTTCGGGCCACAGGAATAAGTTGTCATTTGTATTTTGATCTCTAAAAATATGGGGGTAGATTAGGCTTCAATTTTCGGCGTTGAATGCATCAAATTCGCAAGTTTCAGAGATGACCTTTCTGTCATTCAAATTTGAGGCCTCCGAACATTTGGCAGTTTGACGATGAGTTTTTGAGAAATGCGAGAACTTGTAGCTTCAAATAAGTCGAGACTTAAGCACTCAAATAAAAAAGGATACTTTCACTGTATCCTCCTGCGTTATGTACTCTCACAGCTTTTCGTCTACTCCCTCATCATTTTGTAACAACGTGTCGTCATCGCCGGCTTGTGACAGGCTCGTATAGAGTGACTTAGAAGCTTAGCTCGGAAACCGCATTGTTGTAGTTTGCCAGTAAGATTACGAATTGCTAAAAAGCATTAAAAGAGAGAGCTCACGATATCGTCTCCTTTCCTTACGTCCAGCTGCACCAACTCAGGTTTTCAGTAGCCGATTTTAAATTTCATCATGATCACTATGTACGTATGTAAGATTTAGGAAACTTATCGAGCACTACGAGCGAGCGATAAAACGTCGTCCGGTACTTATTTAGTTGGCGACGCACGAGAATAACAGCCGAGCCATAATTTGGAAATCAATAACTTTGGTAGCGTCCATACGATTACCATTAATCTCAAAACTATAACTAATTCACATTTGCTAAATGGACCTGCTTTTCAAAATCACTATATACGAGTGCGACATCATTACACAAATTGTGAGACTTCTTATAGTGAACATAGCTCTTTTGTCCAGTGACCTCCATTTTGAGCTTGAACGACGTGCCACCCTTTCTACTATAATCGTCAGGGTGAGCAGTCAAGCTCTGGCCTCTACCCGTCAAAAACGACTAAAATCCAATAAAATATATTAAAATCAATTAATCATCATGTGACCATGCTTCAGTTACTTGTAGTCGCTCTCAAGAAGTTATGGACATCAAACGTCTAGAATCGCTACAGCTTCGAGGTCTTAACGACGATGAAACTCACTCCAGGTGCTCTTATAGATGCCCCCAAGTACTACAACAACATCGGGAATGGAACTCACAATACAGAAATGACTGTAGTTCTGCGAGACCTTCAATTGGAAAATGATAATGAAGCGATGCCCGCCGTGATACGAAAGTATCTGCCGAGTGCAACGCAAATTCTAGACTTGACCAATAATGACCTCACGGCTATTCCAGATCTGCGAGCCAAAACAAGTATTACAACATTGTTGTTGTCCAGAAATCGAATCCATGGTATTGATGGCAGCTCGCTGCCACGGCATCTGCGCAGTCTGGTTTTGGCCAATAATGGAATTTCAAAACTCGGAGACCTCCAAGGGTTACGCAAAAGTCCCAGAACTCTTCGAAACCTGGTTTTGCGAGGAAATCAGGTATGTTATCTCGAAAATTATCGGCTTTATACGCTTTCCTTGGTACCACAACTGCAGACACTTGATTTCTCCAAAATCAGCGACGATGAGCGCCAGAAAGCACGTCTTTTCAAATCAGCAGATTTGAGTAAAGAGACCGGGGTCAATCAGCAGGCAGACCAAAGGGCCAAGACTCCTCGTGACAAAGACGGTGAGGTAATGAGTGTTGTTCTGGAAAAGATGGATACAGACGTTCGTGAGAAACTAAAAGAACAGCTAGCTAACGCTGCAACACTGGAAGAAATGGAAAGAATCGAAAAAATTCTAACCGGAGGCTTATAAACAAATTAGGAGCAAATGCGTATTATCTATAAAAGCTAATGTTACACAGCATAATGCTGATTCGACTCAGCCACTTGAGTCTTTCAATTTCTCGGGTTTTGCACTACAACAGACGTGATTTCTGACGGTGATCCTGAGTCCTCCACTTTCACGCTCTTTGCCTTTTTAACTCCCTTCAATGGACCCGGGGTCCTAGACCTTTTGACTCGAGGTGTCGCAATATTGGAAGAGTTTGATCTATCAATGTGAATATCTTTCAGAAACTCCTCTTTCAATTCCAAAAAAGCGAGTCTATCCGAGTGATCGGTATCCTTCTCGTTCTCTTCCTCATCGGAAAGCAAGCCAGTGTCTATGTCGGCAATGTTGTTATAGCACGAATAACATTTGTTTCCATACCAATATATTGAACTATGGCATTTGCAATGCTCGCACTGTTTCACTTCAGCAGTGATATTATTCTTGGATTCAGCACTGTAAACATCATTTATTGCCCCTGTCAACATGCCCATAGATTTATCCGTCATTTCGGCTAGCTTCATTTTGACAGGGCTGGTCTCGAATGATCCTGAATTCTTGTAGTTTTTGCAATAAATCTCTTGCAGTGATTCGCCTTGTTCAGTTCTATAGTTTAAAGGTAGGTGACTAGCAAACTGTGTCTGATCATGATTTGGGCATACCAGGACCGGCCTGATTTCTGACACTTCACCATCGATTTCTACAACCCTCTTCTGTTCACCGTTTGAACTCGCTTGTACTCTATCAAATTTGAAGGTGTATCCCGGTGCGTCTTGACCGCATGTAACATGACACCATAAGGAACAAGCAGTGCACTTTACAAGACCGCCACCATTATTGCGACAAACAGAGCAAGTTTGCTGATCACCTCTCAATAAGGTTTTTGTTATTTTTCCCACACACTGTAGCTTACCCGAAGCATTATATGCAATGTTCTCATTGAATAGCGAGCAGCTTACGTGGGACCATTCTTCCGTAGCAGTTATTTTAAGGGCATCTGGAATTGAGCGGCCCTTCAACAGTCGAGCACCATCATCATCATGTTCATGTGCGTTACATAGGCAACACTGATAATTCTCCGTGGCTATCGGATTTAGTTCATTGCTACAAGGGTCGCATAACCAATGATAGTCTTTGAATGGAACATCTTGCCTGAGTCCTTTGCTTCGATTAGGTGCATCCAGTCCGTAACAAAAGAAATGAACATTGAGCCCACAATTTTGGCATAAAATTTCCTCGTCTCTATCTTGAGCAAACTTCAAATGACATACGCAACAAAAATCGCGTTTCTTTAATGTGCTACTACTTCCTGTTTTGCTGCCGATAGAAAATGGAGACTTTGCACGTCGCCCTAAATGGTTCGAGATGAGTGGATTTGGGTCCGTCGTCATTTTTTGCAAATGCTCGTAGTTGATTCTAGGAAGTTTGCCTTGAGACCACTCATTGTAGAACGGATTATGCTTGTGGTATGCTTCTAATATTTTTGGAAAGCTTCCATCGGTAACGATAGGCGCATTAGAAGCATTGGTAACTTGAAATGCTGAGAAGTCCGAAGCTTTCATCTGTCCCTTCGCTTTGTTAATATGTGTGCTTTCACAGTCCTCGATCCCATCAGATGTTTTTGGTTGTGACTGAACAACAAGATTTTGTGGAGGATGCTCGGACTTGAAAATATATGAGAAGAGTTCATCAGACAACCGTATATTTTCGAAACTGTCGTCCACCTTAATTTCACCAATTTTTCTTCTATTTTCACCGACAAAAACGTCCACTACTTTGTCGCCACTCGGTACAGCAAGGTCTTGCTTTGTATTTTTTCCTGCAATGGCTTCCTTTGAAATTTTTCGTGCACCATTCTTAGTATGCGCTTCAGCAGATGTTACTAGTCCGACTTCGCGAGGCCCCGAAGTTCTCTTTGCAGGTGTCTGGGTTGTTATTTTAGAGCGATTCTGCATGGCTAATAATCGCTCTTCCTTTGATTTAGCCTGTCTCTCCTTTTTACGGGCTTCTGCAGCAAACTCTCTGACGAGATTTTCTAAGAGTTGTGTCATTCTACCGTCTGAGTAGCCATCCTTCTCAACGAGGCGTCTTACCACTTTGTTCAGCTGCGCATGGACTGAAAGGCAGTTGCGTTTCATTTTCGCAAACTTCTCAGGATCACCGATGATACTCAGGCGCTGTTTTATAATCAGCTCCGAATCCTGCACTAACTCCCACTCCACACATTTTTCGGATAAGAGGCTAGGCTGCACTTTCACAGTTGTGTCGTCAGAGTCAGTGAGTAACAAGTCTAACGCGGCCCGCACGCTCGAGGAATATTTCCCGTTCAATTTTTTGATGACGTCCATGGGGCTGTACCACTTAACTGCATATCTTCTCCACAAGCGAGCGCACCTGATGCAGAGGGCTTCGAGATGGTGATTTGCTTCATCATGGTGTTTCTTTCGCGGGAGTTTGTCAGACGTTGACGTTTTCTCATTAACACCTGTAATCATTCTTGTCTTAATATGATCGTCGTCACAGCCGCCTGTCACGCGAAACCAAAGCGGAGAGTAATCCACTTCGCAGAACATGCACTTGAAGTATGTTTTCAGCGTTGATATCTTCTCAGAATCGAAGGAAGAATCGTCAATGTGCTTCCATTCTTTACTTACTGCCGTTTCACTTTCTCGTGATATCTTCGAGGGTTTTCGAATACGCTGAGTTTTGTTCATATCTTCGGTCTTTTTCTTGGATCCCATAAGGCTTTTGTTTTTATTCTTCTTTCTTCCTTCAAAGTTACCCCAAATCCTTCTGCCATTCGGCGTCTTCTTCCAATGATAATAGAACCGCACAATCATGGCCATAGGTTGAGTTATGACATGCTTGAAAACATAATGCAATTCACTTCCATGTTTAGCGACACCCTCTTCAAATTTCGCAATCTCAGCTTGAGTAAAATTGGGCTCTCGAAGGGTCTCTCTTGTAATTTTTCTCGAGCATTTCTTCAATGCGACGGAGGGATTGTAATCGTTGATCATTAGAATGTTTAGTATCATGTCCCAAAAGTTACAGGTTTGAGGAACTATATCGAGTACTTGCGGAAACCTTTTCTGACACTCCTCAATGTAATCATCCAGCTTGAGTTCGGACAATTTACTGGTATCGCTTTTCCATAAAACAAGTTTCTCGTCATCTTCTCCTCGTTCGCCTGCTTTGCCTTCGTAGGGCTTTGGCTCCCATTGATCGTTTTCACAGCCAATCCACTGATATTTGGAACCTGTTCTGAGTTTTTTGATAGGAAACGGTAAGGAGAGCTCTGGTGATAATACGTCGATCAGGTTATCAACAACTTTAGATCCCAGGTAATGGAACCAGAGGTTTTCTTTAAGTCTAGTCAAGCAGATGAATTGATTAAAGTTTTTCAGTTGCTGATCGATGGGCGTCCACTGATCATGTTCGTGCTGACCATCGACTTTGGTGTTGCATTTGGAACAAATCCAAATGACACCTTTAGCAGGTTTTCGCTCCAGTGGTGGATCCAAACAGTATAAATGTACAGTGATGTGACACTCGTCGCATCTAAGACATTGATTCTTTTCGCACCAATCCCCACATTCAGCACATTTGAGATCCCAAGTTTGCTCATCTGGCGGTTTCCTACCAAGTACATACTTTTGGATGACTTGTTCGAGAGGAAACTGTTCTTCAACAAAAACAAAAGGATAGAGTTTGGCGACGGTCGATAAATACATTGAAGATGGTGCCAGAGGCAGAAGCTGTCTCCTAGTATCCCAAACATCGTAGTACTGCAGCGTATACCTATCGAAAAGCTGTTCGTAGTAAAAAGTGTTGGGTTTCGTGAGACCCTCGAGTTCCGCTTCTTTTGGGGCTTCTAAGGTGGATCTATGCAGGACGGTGCACTTTCCGCGGTAAGAATGTAGTGGACACAAATCCATGTGTAATGAGGCATAGAGAAGTCTGGGGCTGACATTCAGCGCCTTTTCTTGAACGTCTCGAGGCCTGTAGTACCAATTCATTTTTGCTTGGAAATACCTGGCAGGAAATGTACTAGTATATTTCTTGCCTTCTTCGATGAGATGACTGAATTCTGCCTTTGGTTCAAACTGCACAACTCTACCAATATAGTATGGCTCCCCAGGCGGTTCGGAAACCATGTAGATATGATCGTCACGCTTAAAAAGCACTGAAGCTCCATTGCTTAAAATATCGCTCTTCACATCTATCACAGCATTTTCCAGTTCCAAAACGTTTGAAAAACGGCTGTGCTTTCTGAAAGTGGCCGGGAGTGACGGTATAAAGTTCCAGGCGGTGCTCTTGTCATTCAAATACTCTTGATACTTTGTCTTTGGTACTTTCATTTTGCTTGCAGCAGACGCAGAGCTAGCTTCTCTATTCTTTTCCATCAGTTGAATCCTTCGCACCACGTCCTCATCTGCGTCTTTCTCATTGTAATTGACCTTCCGAATAGCTCTTCTTCGGTTGGGAGTCCCAGGCTCGTTCGTCATGGTAGCTGGGATCTTCGTAGTGTGTCTGTTAGTGTAGCAGAGGATCAATTAGAGATGACCTTGGTCATTAATGAAGGACAATTTGATTTTATACTCTTTAAATATCCAGAGATCTATGGCCAGGTGAAAATGGTGATCAAAATAGCCTGAAGTAGCCTCTGAAACTTGAAGCTAACTTGAAAACTCTGAGCTTTCGGGTGAACTTCCAAATCGCAGGCTGAGCTTCGAAATTCGAATGGTAAATCATATCAGCCGTCTATCACATAAAAAGAGGTGTCGCAATAAGAACTACAAGAGAGAAATGTTTGGTTTGAGTAAAATTAGTTTTTGAGTACCGTGGATCGATTCTGAGTATTTGAGATAGATTCGATTGAAGACTTAGTTATGTTTGAATATCACTACGGTATTTGTTCAAATATTGTATGTGGGAAATAGCTAGCAACTGAGTTCATCTTCGAGGCTTTCATTGATGTTTAGCTAGAAACCTGGAAGGGGAATTACACTGGATTGACAGGCTAAGACCGAGCAGGCAAAACGGCTCTACTCTTGAACTCTGCAGCGTGACGCTAAAATTCCATCAAAGCTTTCCAGCCTGAAAAAAGCTTTACAGTAGCCTAACAGGTATTTTACTTCTTGGTGATATTAAAAACAGGTTGCGGAAAGAATTGGGCCGTGGTGGAAATCACTTGCAGGCATAGGAGTAACAGATCATTATTGAGTTCAAGTCTTCCACAAATAAAATAGAGAACTTTGTTGCTAACAAAAATGTGTGGTTGCGTTATTATTCCACTTCCAGCGCACTGGCTTCGATCTTTTTGAAAATTTACGTTGTTTAACGTCTTGTGGGTAGACACCCGTATCCTTTTAAAGTAACGATGCAAGCTGGAAAGGTCTAAAAGACATAGTTGTACCTCATTATTCCAGAAGCTCAACCTAATTATCAGGAGAGCAGACGCTTTCAATCTCACAATTCCTCGCAATAAGTTCCATATTATACAATCGTTTGTCGCTGACACCTGGTCAAATAAACAAAATGCTGTGCTAGTCGAAAACCTATTCATAACTGAGTCCACAATTTCTTTGGCAAAATCGTCAATTACAGTTTCTCGCTGCGTCAAGCTCATACTACCTTCAGCTATTACAATCCTGTGTACTTTTGGAATCCTTTAGGTGCTCGCTGCGCTGTCGTTGTCATCTTCTTAGCGACTCTGTAGTATAAAATGATATTAGTGGTAATTACATTAATCGCTGTCATCGACTAATTCAAAAGAATCTATTAACCAACGCAGCCTCGACCTTTTGGAATGAAGCTCTAATTGTGTTTCGAGTCTTTCTATTTAGGTCAGCTCAGTTCCTCAAGCCATTGATTTGATAAAATGACCCTGGGGTTTTAGTTTGAAATCAGCAATTCACAATAATTAAATCTCAAGAGTTTGAAACTGCCGGAAAAAGGCTAGATAATGTCAAACAAAATATTCTAAGCTAGCACAGCATGCCAAAACTTCTAATTGGAATGCTTTCTTTACTACATTACTCACATCTTACCATACATATAGTAGTTGTTTCGTGTTCGGTGATAGTTATTAACAACTCTCACTACTAGTAACGATAATTCGAACAACAACTAGCTTTGAAAGCTACAAAAACCAGGCCATCACAGCTCTACCTAAGCTCTCTCTGACTCTATAACCAGCTCTACCAACTACAATTATAACAATATGGACAGCAGAGTTGCTCCAGAAATTCCGGGAATCAGACTCCCGGCTAGTGTAATGCAAGATATTCGCATGTTGGTATGCAAGCTGCTGAATAGCCCAAAGCCTACCAAGACATTTCCTGGTTCACAGCCGATCAGTTTCCACCACTCAGACATTGAAGAGAAACTTTTGGTCCAGGACTACTATGTTTGTGAAAAAACTGATGGATTGAGAGCACTAATGCTAGTGGTGGTCAATCCAGTAACTAAAGAGCAAGGCTGTTTCATCATTGATAGAGAAAACAATTACTTCCAAATCTCTGGATTCCGCTTTCCAAGACTGCCCAGACAATCCCGCAAAGAGCTTTTAGAAACTTTCCAAGACGGTACACTCATCGATGGTGAACTGGTAGTACAGACAAATCCTGTGACGAAATTAAAAGAACTGCGATATCTCATGTTTGACTGTCTTGCTATCAATGGCCGTTGCATAGCTCAATCCCCAACAAGTTCACGGCTGGCTCATCTAGGCAAAGAGTTTTTCAAGCCCTACTACGATCTCCGTTCGTTATACCCTGCACAATGTAGCACATTTCCATTCAAGATCTCTATGAAAGTGATGAATTTCAGCACAGACCTTTCTAAAGTTGCGCATTCGCTTGATAAGCTACCTCACGTATCGGATGGGCTCATTTTTACTCCTGTCAACACGCCTTATATTGTTGGTGGTAAAGATTCCTTATTATTGAAATGGAAGCCCGAGGATGAAAACTCTGTTGATTTCAAGATGATTCTTGACATTCCCTTAGCTGAGGACACCTCCTTGCCCAAGAACGATGCAAACCGGTTTTATTTTAACTATGATGTCAAACCATCGTTTCACCTTTACACATGGCAAGGTGGTGCAGACGTCAATGCAAGATTGCAAGATTTCGATCAACCCTTCTCCAAGAAAGAACTGGATCTTCTTGACAGAACCTACAAGAAATTTGCAGAATTGGAAATGACGAATGAAAAATGGCAAGAACTGAAATCACTCGACGAGCCACTCAATGGCAGAATTGTAGAATGTACAAAAGATCAAGAGACTGGTGTCTGGCATATGTTGCGTTTCAGAGATGATAAACTCAATGGTAATCATGTTTCCGTCGTTAAGAAAGTCTTGGAAAGTATTAGCGATGCTGTTAAGATAGAAGATCTTGAAGAGGCAACTACTAAAATGAAAGAAAATTGGCAATTACGCCATTCAGACCGAAAGCGCAGCTTTCAAGAAGTTGACCGACCCTCTTCGTCAGGAGACGTAGATCTTAATACTAGCAACGGCGATCAGAGCTTCAAACAACCCCATTACGTTGACGACGACGATGACGAAGATGAAGATATGTGGCCTGACAATGATGAAGGTACCGTTACAGAGGCCAAAAAGCCCAATCTGTAAAATTACCGTGGGGCCAGAGTAAATTGACATGTGAATATTCACAGGTGAGTGTTATAATATATACAGTTAGATGCTCATGAAAAATGTAGAACTAAGCTCTTCAACAGTTCTTTAGGGTTACCATTACCGCTCAGAATGTACTTTTCGTCGACGAGCTTTTCAAAGTCTTGCGATTCGGTATCCTTCGACAAAACGATTTCAGATTTGGAATAGAATTCTATCAGTTTTCTAACTTCCTCCTTGGCCAATTTCTCCAAAGGAAACTCCTGTAGTCCTCCCTTCGCCAACATGCTGGAAAGCTCGTGGTCATAATGCTTTCTGCTAATGTATGGGTCATGCGGTAGCTTTTGCAGGCCCACTGGAAGCGTCCTGTTAGTTCTATCGGACCCGGATGTAGCCAAGACTACGCTGCTAGACTTGTTGGCAAAATCGATGTTGCCATTAACAATGTCCATTATGGTTTTGCCCAGTTGTAACTCCAATACGTGAATGTTTTTGTTCTCTGTGCTTTTGTAAGCCGTGTAAGGCTCGCTTAAGATACGAGAAAAATTGTCGACACAGAAAAAGACAGGCACGCTTTCCTGTCTTGACAGTTCGGATATGAGAGCGCGGAAAACCTCTCCACGGCTGCGTGAAGTGGTTTTCATTGACAGAAGGTCAAGTAGTGTGTTTTCCTTGGCGTTCAGCTGAATGAACTTTCGACTAGAGGAATCTCTGGGGTCAGCATTGGGGAACTTGTAGCTATCTGCGAGAGGAATCGAGGAAAGAAGCTTGTGGTCGTTTGCTTTGAGTATTTTGGTGAGCAAGCCCTTTAGGTACATGGGCTGCACATAATTGGATCCATCATGGAAAAAGTCACTGGTACCATTCATGAACAGCTCTGGATGAGAAATGTTGATAACCAATGCTTTGAGATCGCAGGCTAGCGCATTCACTTGCGCTAGAAGTACACTTTTTCCCACACCGGCCTCACCGGTTAAAATGTATTTTGCTGTGATATTGGATTTCTTAGTCAACTTCTCAAATAGATCTAGCGTCGTACTACGTCTGACCAAGCTTATTGGATGCGGGAAGAGTTCATTGAACTGATTCTGCTTGAATAAGCCATTGATATAAAGGCTTTTGTATTGTGCATCAGAAAAGTTGACAATTTGATCAACACTTTTGGACAATTCCAATGGCTTGAAAGTCCCAATTTCCGCAGAAACCGCATTTTTATTGAATTTAGCAGTAGCAACAGTCTCTTGCCATGGTTTATACATCGATCCAGCGCTTACCTTCTTGGCAGATGTTTTTCCAGCACTCACTTTTTTGGCAAATCCTTGGGCTTTGCCACGGGCAGGAGCTGCATGCCTCACACAGCTGCTACTCAAACTTCTAATGCCAATGCGTAACATAACTGAGGATTCGATGAGCAGCCGATAAGACTGGATTCTCTGAGTTTGAAAGCCCGAATGCTTGAAGTATCTGTTACACCAATTTCTGCATTAACAGGTATATTTTAAAATTTTACTATAAGTTTCAAATCATTTTGTACTATTCTGATATTTACGGGCTTCTAACGTCAGAGTTGCCGTCTGTCGTCAGTAATGGTCCTAATGGTTACATTTGAAGGACCAAGACTGAGCTAGAAACGTTAAGATTTCAAATAGATGCTGCATTGCATTTTTTTGTTGCATTATAACATGCTTCTTGCAATTTCAAAAATCAAGTTTAAAACCCAATGATTTCACGATTTCTAGGAAGGTTTTAAGGTCATAAAAGAGATTCGGTTGCTGTTTGGTTGGTCTTTCAATAGGAAGGTTCAGGGTTATTCTTTTACTATGATAACACGACGAATCACGAATTTGTTCGACGACAATTGCGTGTAAAATGCTTTCTTTTATGCTTTCCAGCTCAACGGGTGCATTGGAAGACAGTGTTGTTCAATGATTCATTGTTGATACTACATCCGATTCTGATCTGATCTTGATCTTTCGAGTGATTTTGTATTGCTTTCTATAAAAAGTTTTGCATAGTACTGGTTTTACTCGACTATAGGTGTACTCTCAGGTAAATCAGAAAGTGGACCGGTCGCAGGCACCGTTGGAGAACTGGCCTTCTCGTTTTGAATTTGGTTTTTTTCGGTGGTTCCAGTGATTCCGCGGGCGGTGAGGAAGTCGAAAACGCTTCTGCGCGCATTTTCAGGATTCTTGTTCTCGGATGCTGACTCTTCTCCGGTCTGCTGCTCATTGACACTTTGAGCACCTGTAACTTGACTGAAGTTGTCGATGTAGCTGAAGAAAGCATTGAAAACGTTCTCAGCAACTTCCTCCTCGTAGATTTTATCATAGATGTATTTCATCTTAAAGGCATCCATTTTTTCTTGATACTCGCTGAAGTCGATTCCATTGTAACCAAATTCTTTTAGCTTTTTGTTGTATCCGTCATAAACGGGACACTCCAGTAAGAGCCCTAAAGCAGGTGCTTTGGGAATGTTGATTCTTTGAGGCTTGTACGCGTCCAATATGCGATCGGTAGGACAAGAACAACGGGTGACAAGAGTGGCCATCGAGATCATTTTCCGAATCTGATGCAGCATGAAGGATTGGCCATGAATCTTAATGGAAACCCACTCTGTGTTTTTCTCTCCAATCACAAAAGGCTCCGAAACTTTCAGTTCTTTCATAAATCTCACGGCGCTAGCATCTTTGAAGTCTTTGCCCAAAGTGAAATTGAAAAAGTTGTGAGGGCCCACATACTGTTTCATTGCGTCTCTGAAAGTATCTAGCTTAGTTGTGGAGATTCGATAAGCCCTTCTGTGAGTATTTTCGAGCTGTTTGTAGCGCTTCACGAGCTGATATGTGTCATCGGTGTCGTCAAATTCGTCTCTTGGTGGAGCAACATAGTTTTTGATACATTCTAGTTCTTCAGGAGTGAACTGACCCTCAGCATCCTGGAAAAACTTGGTCCAGAAGACTTTACTTTCTTCATCTTCGCTTATAACGCCAGGGAATTCGGCTTTGCTGTCCTCGATATCTTTGTAAAGAGCACTTCCGGGTTTGGGAGCAATCAAAGAATAAGTCGGCAGGAGGTACTCGTACCAACGAGAGCTGCACATTTTTCTGCAGTCAAAAGCTTTATTCACACGCTCAATATCCCAAATACGGATTCCTGCAGGTAGCTTTGAGTTGATTTTTGACACGATGTCGGGATCCTCGATGATTAGCTTTAACGAAATGACATTTCCTCCTGCATGAACACCCTTATCAGTTCTAGCGGCTCTCATGAATCCACTTTTCTTAAGATCGGTGGAATTGGCCTGCGAAATGGCGCCTGCTTCCACAAACGCCTTGAAAAGTTCGGCCTCGATGGTTGGCGTTGGTGGATTGTACTGCATACCATGGTAGCCGGTTCCACAATAACCAACCATGACGGCAACTTTTCTCTTTGGAAGTCTTTTCTCTTTTGTCTCCGACTCTTCAGCTTGCGCTGTGTCTGTTGGTGTAGAAGAGCGTTCATCTAATTTACTGTTCACCGTTTAGTTAGTTACCGAGTAGTTATGTCGATTGGTTATTCTTCCCGAGACATACATACACTCTCTTATTTGCCGAACTCTCGTCAGTTTTGGCATCTTCATGATCAGATTTACGAGCTTTGGTCCATTTGTACTGGTTACCTCTTTTATAAGTGTCTTCACCAGGTTGATCATCTTCATAAGCAGGTCTTAGGTTCTCGTTCTCTGCCATCGTTATGCAAATGAGACTAGTCGTATTTCTGACAGTTGATGGGGTCCTTGTGGTCGATGACAGCGGTTTTGTTTTCGCTTGGAAAGAGAGATGAGCTGTGAGAGTTGCCAATTTTTTCACCAGAGAGCCTAAACTGTATATTTTATACAAAATTAAGCTAGAAAGGTGGTAAAAGATGCGGAGAATAAGACAAGCAGTCAGTCGTTGATTGGACTGAATTATCCACTGTGATCAGAATAATTTGGAATTGACTATTTCAACTGTCTTTTTGGAGGTTTCAGGCGAGGTTCGTCAGCTGTCGCTTGATCAGACAGTGAAATTAGGAATAAATATAAAAAAAAACATCAAAGTATGTACCAAAACCAGCAGAGAAGGTGATTTCCGGGACTAGCGTTTTCTGATAATCTCAAATGTAAAGATGCAGGTACTTTCAGTATATCTTACCTTCAAAGAAACAAGGAAAGCGATCAACGACAGTTTCGTAGAGAGTGATCAATTGGGCAGATTAAACTGACACCGCGAGTTTAACGTCTAAGATCGTTCCACAGAATGTCATATATGTTCGGACGACTGGTGGGAGCATATCTACAATCCATTTCTATCGTTTCCAAGTAGAGATATCATCACACTTTTTCTGGAGGATCCACACCGACTAGAATCTCAACATCAGACATAGGTAATTTACCGTAATCTAAAATGTTTTATTCTGGGCTTTGCCGTAAACTTTCAAAACAATAAATTCCAGCTTTGTGGAATTTCTCGACAGTCTCAAGCCCAACCTTTATAGACCGCAACACCAGATACCTTTTATACCTTGAATGTGTATGTGTGTGTCTCTCTCTCTCTTTGATAGATCATCACCCCGAACGATGTGTAAAATTTTTTTCAATTACTCTAGGCATTATAATGCGATGAGCTCGATGCATTTCAGCGATGAGATGAGCTCGATTGTTGTTGTCGATTCAGCAAGTTCTCACGCCCACAAGCCAGCCTTAGCAGCATTTGAACAACTGGCAAGATGCGTCAATTAACAGAAGAAGAAACCCGCGTCGTTTTTGAGAAATTGGCTGGTTATATCGGAAGAAATATCAAACTGCTGGTGGATAACAAGACTCAGCCGTTCGTTTTCAGACTTCAGAAGGATAGAGTGTATTATGTTCCTGAACACATTGCCAACCTGGCAACTTCGGTCGCCAGAACAAATTTGATGTCGGTGGGTCTATGTTTGGGCAAGTTCACCAAGACAGGTAAATTTAGACTTCATATTACAGCTCTTACGGTGCTGGCAGAACATGCCAAATACAAAGTATGGATCAAACCAAACGGAGAGATGCCATTTTTGTACGGAAACCATGTTTTGAAAGCACATGTGGGTAAAATGTCGGAGGATATTCCAGAACACGCAGGTGTGATAGTTTTTTCCATGCATGATGTTCCATTAGGATTCGGTGTAAGTGCCAAGAGCACTTCCGAGTCCAGAAACGTTCAGCCCACTGGTATCGTTGCATTCAGACAAGCAGACATCGGTGAATATTTGAGAGATGAAGACACACTTTTCACGTAAACAAGCCTGCGCTCAAGCGGTTGGTTGTAAAAAACAGACAATTTTAATGCCTGTTTATGTATCATAGCATAGAAAGTAAAAAAAATTAGAGATACGTTGGCTCTACAGATTTTCCCTGCCGTGAGGCCTATTTTGCAGTGACGCGGCACTCAAGGTAGTAATTACCAGAATGCCGACACAAAGCTATCATTTGCGTTTCTTGGATTTGGACTTTTTGGACATGTCCAGGCTCTGAGTGCCCTTTAAATTGGCGCCGCCGCCTTGTGTCAGTTTTGCCGCCACCTTCTTGTTAGGTTTATAGTCCGAACGATCTTTGAGTGGGAGCCACCTTTCTGGGTTTGGCTGTATTTTAGGGTCAAAGCTTTTAGGCAGCTTCCTCTTCTTATGAACCCTTCTTTTCTTAATCGTCTTGTTTAGAGCAGTGTCTCCTCTGCGTTTAGTGCGACTGTCAAAAGGCATCGTTCCCTGGTTTTTCAAACCCTCGACATCAACCGTGTCGACTAGGGAGTCCAAATCTACTCCCAGTTGTTCATGCCTGTCACAATTGAGTTCGGTAAGTGACAAAGACGGGCATTGGCTTTGCAGGCGAGCAAATATCCCATCTGCTTTTTCATAAGAGCGAAAAGCCTGCATTTTGAAGGCTATAAACCTCCAGAACTGTGGGTCCTCATTCACATACTCGTCACGCATCGAATCACATATTTTTGAGGTGAGATTGTGTGAAGGTGTCGTTCTTCCGGTCTTTTGATATAGCTCAAATAGAACGTAACAAATGGTACGGTAGGACGCACTGAATGCGGAAGAAGGATTGTTCACGAATTTCTCACACAAGATGATTGCTCTATCGTATTGTTTTTCAACTACCTGAAGTTGAACTGCTAACAAAACAAGACCCACAACGCTCCCTTCAATGCTGCATGACATGACAGACTCGGCGTAGTGAAACAATTTCTTGGCTTGCGATTGGTAAGATTCCAGGATTGGATCGTCCACAATCTTTTGATAGTGTGCTAGAGTCTTGGAAAGAATCGACTTTTTCGCTTGAACGCTAGATTTGCTAAAAAGATTCAAGAAGAGCAAGTTGCCCAGCACACGCTTTTGCTGTTCCAACCCTAATGTTGCAACCACGCCACTTAATTTCGGGGCGTTTAGTTCGCGAAGCAATAGCGGGATGTTTGTGGTGTATTTTGATATGTCTTGCAGTGATTTGAGATTGTTGAAAGCCAGCAAGTAATTTTTTGATCCGGCCTTACTGTCTTCCAGCAGGGACCGAAGAAGAGCTTTTGAACCTTTAATGTCACCCAAAATTTGCAAGACGTACGCACGTTGGAGACCGATGGCAAATTTGTCGTCATCCAAACCATCTTGCGCTGCAAGTTCTGATGCCTTTTCGAGATATTCGAGACTCAATTCCGGGTGGTCCTGGGCGAGTGCTATCAAAGATTCATTTAGAAGCAGATCGTACGAGTCATCCTGAAGGGGCATGTATGGTTCGCTTTCCTTGACCAGGCTCGAAAATGACAATGCAGCCCGTTCGTTGCACGCAATTTCGGTTTCGTTATCGGGCTGGTTTTTGTTATTCTGCGCCAACACCCTGTATATTTCTGTAGCCTCGTCATATTTGCCGTTTTTGAAGCAGAATTGGGCACGAACATGCAGCACGCCTCTGCTTTGTGAGTTATTCCCATGCACAGCATTTTTCACTCCTTCATACACTTTCTCGAATTCTTTGGTATAACCCAGTTTGTAAAGGACGTATAGTCTTTCCAAATAAAAGCCATCATTCAATTCCGAGCTATATTGCCCCAACAAATCATAGGACTTTTTGTACTGATCACTCTTGACCAATGCAATCAGCCATTGTCTCAAAACAGGTCTCTTATCCTCAATGCCTCCTTCTATCAGTCTTTGACAAGTTTTGGCAACTTCCGAGTGTTTATTACTGTTATAGAGCACATTAAGATCCGAGAAAAGCGATGTGAGATCCTTCATAGTCGTTGGAGTTCACAATCACAACAACCTGAGAGCCTAATCCTTGTCTTTGACCCTAAGCTTTTCTTGAGTTGTTCGATCTTCAATATTGAAAAATTTTGGTGATGATTCTAGTTTATTACTTTGAGCTTATAGAGGGCAGAAAGCTTAAGAAGCGATGAGATGAAGCTTTTAAAGAGATCCGCAACAATATGGAGGGCTTTAGGTATCGATCGAATGCTGCAGTGATCAGCAGAGTTTTGACACAAAGTTTGAGATGTTTTTCTCGAAAATCGGCCAGCAAACAAGTAAGTAAGGCACCTACCAGATTCAAATTGAACAATGACATACGAGGTGTGCGAAAACCTTCCAAAAATGGCAAAGAAAAGGCACAACAAGACCGCGGGGTTTTCCATTACGGTAGTTTTGGAGGTCTGAAGGAGATTGGCGATGCAGAAACCCAGAAAACAGCGGAAGTTCTGAAGAAAATAACTGAATTTGAGCAATTGAAGATCCTGCCAGAAGTACGAAACGCGTTGCAACAGGTCATATCTAAGGAGTCCATCGCTTTGCAAGAAACCAAAGACGTTTCCACCATAAAACCTTCGCCGATCCAGGTCGCAGTGACGCAAAAAATCGCACGGACGCTGATGGAGAAGCAGCTCCAAGTCAACACGATTGCGGCCGAAACTGGATCGGGGAAAACGATTGCGTACTTGGTGCCCCTTCTTGACTATCTGAAACGTGTGGAGGTGGAAACGCCCGAAAACTGGGATCTCATAAAGGACAAAGCCATCGTCAGATCTGTCATACTAGTGCCGACGCACGAGCTCGTCGAGCAGGTATACAGAACTGTAAGTCAGAGCGCTGCGCTATTGGGCCTCAATGCATTCCGTTGGAACATGAACACTTCCTACACTGATTTTATAGATGCCGTGAAGAACCGTATCGACGTTATGGTGACGACTCCGGGGAAAATTCTGAACACCTTCAAAGTTAGGATCATTAACAGACCAGACCGGCTGTTTTCTGGAGTAAAGTTCGTGGTCTTGGATGAAGCAGACACATTGATGGATAAATCTTGGTTGGAAGAGACCCACAGCGCCATTCAAAAGTTTCCCAACGTGAATCATCTTATGTTCTGCTCTGCCACCATTCCAAATGAGTTCAGTAAGACGATGGACAGGTTGTTCCCCACCAGGAAATCGATTACGACACCGAAGTTGCACAAGATTTCACGGAAAATCGATTTCAAGCTGATTGATGCTAGCCTTAACCCATACAAAGGCTCAAAAATGAAGGTGCTGTCTCAAATCCTTTACGCAGTCCTGAAGGACGGTACGGAGGCAGGGTTTGAAAAAAGATGCGTAGTATTTGTGAATGAAAAGAAAGATGCTAAAAAGGTGGAAGAACAATTGAAGTCCAACTATGGCCATGATTGCATTAGCTTGACTGGAGAAGATACCGTTGAGGAGCGGCTGCAAAAAATAGATTTATTCGTCAAACCTGCAAGACCGCTCAAGTCTCTTGACTCCGAACCAACCGTTCCAGAACCAATCGAGGAAACGGAAGAATTTCTGCCCAATTCAAACATTAGAGTGAACAGAACCAAATCTGTCACTACAAGCCAGAAAAAAGTTTCTCTCAAAGTCTTGGTTACCACCGACCTCATGGCGAGAGGACTCAACTTCCATGGCATCAGAAACGTTGTTCTTTACGATGTTCCCAAAACTGCGATTGATTTGGTCCACCGGGCAGGCAGGACAGGAAGAATGATGCAAGGTGGCAGGGTGTTCATGATAACTGACAAAAAAACCAAATCTTGGGCTAAAGCAATACCAAAAATAGTGAGAACTAACAAGACTCTATCCTAGTATCATGTAAATAGAAAGGGATTCAAAAGTTGGAAGGCCAGCTTCACCAAAATGGGCGATTTTTTTCTATCCAGGGGTGATGTTTAACATCACTCAGTGGTATTCTTGCGTTTGGCTCGAATGCTAAAAGCCGACTGATCAGATCTCGAGCTTGTGTTGATACATGATTTGGAAAACGAAGATCTCGTTTCAGTATACGTCTGTAAGTAAGCTCCTTTGAGCTTTCCTCGAAAGGAGGGTTTCCGACTAAAAGCTCAAATGCTAAGACGCCCAGCGCCCAAACATCTGCTTTATTGTCGTATTCGCGAAACTTGATTAGCTCGGGAGACAGGTAATCCATTGTTCCGCACAATGTCTTCCTCTTGGCGCTGCCCACGTTAGTTACACTCCACCCAAAATCCGTGAGCTTCAACGTATTTTGAAACCCAAGTAGAATGTTCTCGGGCTTAATATCTCTGTGTAATATGTGTCTGCTGTGCATGTAGTCGAGGGCATCTGCCATTTGGTAGACAAAATGTGAAGCCACAATATCGTTGAAGGGACCGTGCGACCTCAAATGCTTGTAAAGCTCCCCATTGACGAGGTACTCCATCAGAAGGTATACGCGCTTGTCATCGTGGAAATAACCGTACAACTTGGTGAGATTTGGATGTTTCAGTGCTGATTGGATTTCGACCTCGCGTCTGAACTGCTTCTCGACGTTATACTGGACAATTTCACTTTTTTTCATTGCTTTCAATGCACAGATGAAGCCGGTGGGCTTGTGTTTGACGCAGTACACTTTTCCAAACTTGCCTTTGCCGAGTTTTTTCCCTACCTCGAAGTCGTCCAGCGACAGTTCTCGATAATTCAATGCAAACGGTTCCGTTGCTTCATTGGGAACCACAGTGGACTCAATTTCAGCTGAGGTATTGATAGCGGATTTTCTGCCAGCCGTGGGAGAAGCTGGTTTCGAGCCGGTCGACGCATCCTTCGGTCGATGACTAGAGATAATTCCTTCGGATCCTGACGATTTTGGTTCATGCGAGAGTGACATACGCCAAGGTTTCCGTATTGTGCTTGAGCCCAATGCCGTTCTAGCTGAGTTTCCAAAACTTTTGCGGCCCCTTCCATTATTCAATCGCATACTCAGCAATAAATTCCGCTGGTGAAGCGAACTACGTCGTAAATCGGGGCCTGTCGTCGTAGATTCACTCATTTCTCAACACCTACAAATCTATGATAATGCTGGCTTTCAGCTACAGCCAAATGATAGCAGAAAGAAACCTTTTTAGCTGTCTTTTTCTTACAATTGGTAACTCAAATCAGTCAAAAGTTACAGCAGATCTTAAAGTTAAATCTGGTTTATAACTATTATTATTAATATAATCGCCTTATACCGAAATGATCAAAGTTAAAGCTCAAAGAACAACAGATCTAAGAGAATCTCAATGCTGACAAGAGCCCTGAAACTAATAGTTTATAAGGCTTTCAGATCTGAGTATATTGAACGTTGGTTTCGGATTTGAAGAGCGCTCGTAGCAGTAGTGCTCATCGCGGTCCTCGAAGGTCAATGCATGTCTCTTGAAAAACCTGAATTTGCTACAATTTGTGTTAACGTGTGCTTGACGTTGTACACGATGCTCAAATTCTTGGAGCAAACTTATATGTGTCTCCCTTTCCTTGCTTGGTACTTTGTTGATGAGAACACATGAATATACAGCATTTCCTTGCATTAACGAAGTAGAAGGGTCCATGGCATGCTTGTTGGTGCTAGAGATTGATATGGAGATGACGTGAAAGAACAGCAACCATGAAAGTTATGTTTGTCAAGCGCCAGATCGGTTTGAAAAAATGACAACTTTGAATTGCTCAGCATAAGATTATCATGACACTGGCGTAATTGCACAAACGATTAGACAGAAACGCAGCAGTTTGCCCAATTGTTCAAGAATGCAAAGGATTCGAGTTACAGGATAAGTGAGACCGCAATGGATCCTTAAGAAAGGTTCATTTTACCAGACGTTCCGCATCTTGGGAAACTTTCGATAACTGGATATATAGGTATTTATATATATTAAGTGCTGAAAGTAATCTCATCTCTAATTGAAATGTACTTAAACAACATTAAACTTCAAATACATCAAGCTTCAACAATGCTTTCACCGCAACTGTCTGAATTGCTTACTTGGGGGTCTGATAATGGCATTACATGGCCAAACGGCCTGCAATTTCTCGAAAGGCCTGAGAAAGGCATTTCTGCGGTAGCCACTGCCAAGATTTCGCATGCAACGCTTCAAGTACCAAAACAAGCTTTGTTCAGCGGTGAACTAGCCGAAAATTACTTCAATAGTGACCAAAATACCAACTCTCTACTCAAGTTGCTGCTTGCCAAGTTAAAGTTCGATCCTAACTCGACATCAGTGAATGCAGAAGATCTGAAGTCGAAATTTGGGCCGTACATAAGGGCTTTACCAAAAGAAATAGCCTCTCCGTTGGTATGGAATCCAAAAGAACTTGATCTCTTGGGAAATACAAATTTGCGCACCTCAATTGCCAAGAAACTGGAATCAATGTTCGCTGAATGGAAAGTAGCAGTGGGCCAGGTGGCAGAAATCAAGCAAGACGTTGCCCTGGAGATCGCACAGGTTGAGGACATTTTGGGCCAGGGAGAAGACCAGATTTATGCCAAAATTACCTCCAAAGTTTTCGCAAACTCGCTGCAGCTCTCGTGGTGGTCCTTCCCGGCGTTTCTATGGTCGAGCATTGTGTTTCTGTCGCGGGCGTTTCCGGAAAAGGTGGTCAATGGATTAGCAGACCCTTCAAGAATCATCCTTCTACCGGTTATTGACCTGTTAAACCATGACTATCGCTCAAAAGTAGAGTGGAGGCAGAGCAATGACTCTTTTTGTCTCGAAATTCTCGAGGACATCGAAGAGGGCTGTGAAATCTTCAATAATTACGGCGGCAAGGGCAACGAAGAGCTTCTATGGGGCTACGGCTTTGTTCTAGAAGAAAACATATGTGACACTGTGGCACTGAAGATAAAGCTACCACCGGCCACGCTGCATCAGATCTCAAAAGAAAAAAGCATAAGGCTTCCTACTCTCGCAGACTATACGCGGTCAGCGTTTGATCTTCCGTCAGAAATCCCAAAGGAGTCCGAAAAGTTACCTCTGGAAGAAAAATTCGAAGACGGAATACTCTATATGTTAAGTGCTACCAACAATACGTGTCTGTTGTGGCTGCTTGACGTGTTCACATTTTTGGAAAAGTCCAAAACCGAGTCACTTGTCAATCTCAGACCCCGCTTACAGGGTCTTCAGAATCTCAGAGCTGCTCTAGAGGCCAAGCACAGCTCCTACAACGCCGAGACCGTGTATTCGGGTGCTGTAGAGTACCCTGTGAGTGATTATAGGGCACATGCTGCTCAGAATTACAGATCAAGCCAAATCAAAATAATCAAGAGTTCCATTTCCCAGCTAAAGACGCTTGAGAAGAACTGGACATCAACTTACAAGCATGAATTGCTCAGTGTCAACAAGCTCATGCGGTTGGATCCAGATTTTATCGAAACTCAACTTCCCATCCTACTGCAACTGGAGCCCGGTTCCGATATCGCACTGGACTCGTACGAAACCTTACTCTACCTATGGATAATACAAAATCAAGATACAAAGACTATCCCCAAGGGGCTCCAATGGGTAATTGCGCAATATAACCAGTTTATCGATGCCCAAGGTGCCGACTCTGGCCCAATTTCAGATCATGTTCGAATTCTTCATCAGACAATTTTCGTCAAAGACACCCAAAAAGAATACCTGGAGAAACTCCAGAAAGCACAGGAATTTGTTATGGCCAACTCCTACATCAGATATTCCAAAGATGAGCCCATCCTGGTCAGAAGCATCGATGTGTAATGAGACCGATTCTGATTGGCTTGCTGAAAGCTTCTGTCACATGGTCTGCCTTCAACTAGTCAAAGAAAACTGAATATAAAGTGATCACAACTCATCTCATCTCATCTCATCTCATCTCATCGCATCGCATCAAATCGCATCGCATAGCTCAAAGTTGTGAACTATAAGAACTGGCCGATTATCGCTGCCAGTAAAGCTTTGAACTCGGCTTTCAAATTAAAGTTCTGTGAGCATTTTGGGCGCTGTCTCTGGCACTTATTTCATGGGTTTTCTAAAAGATCTTGACGATCATCTGCTGATACTGTCTGTGGCAGCCACCTATGTGCTGTCCGGAGGACGTTTCACCTTGGGACTAGCCGTTCTTGTGGTGTATGGACTGATCAGATATGACACCGCGAGAAATGAGAAGAACAGTAAAATGGTAGATTCAGAGACTTCGGAGAACGCAGACGTTAAAAAGAAGAAGAAAACTTGTTGTGGTGGTAAAGGTGGTGGCTGTTGCTCCTCTAAATCGAGCGAAAAGAAAGGCGGCTGCTGCGGTGGCAACTGCTCTTCTAAAAAAAAGAGCAGTGAAAAAGTTGAGGAAGTCACTTCAGACACAACACCCGCTGCTACAGAAGTGGAAGAGCTGGCGATCGATTTCACTGAAGCTTTCAAACCGGTGAAAAAAAGCAAGAAGGCACGCAAAATTGTGAAAAGCACGAAACCAGAGCCTAAAAACAAGTCTGAGTTCTTCAAAAAAGCTCTAACGGTGTCAAATGAGACGCTGATAAGCTCACAAATTTATGTCTTTTATTCTTCGCTCCAAGGTGCCGCAGAAAGGTCAGCAAAGGTCGTGACTGATGTTTTGTCGGATATCAAGGGCTTGAAACATGTGCCTAAGCTTATGAACCTCGATGAACTAAGTGACTTTGATGACTATTTCGTCAATGTTCCGTGTAATAACGCCCTGTACGTTATGGTGCTTCCTTCTTATGAGACAGATTCACCTCTAGATTTTTTCCTACAATCCATGGACGAAAACGTGAATGATTTCCGAATTGACAGGCTTTCTTTAAGAAAACTGGTGGGTTATTGTGTGCTGGGCATCGGTGACTCCGAATCGTGGCCGGAAAAGTTCTGCTATCAGGCACAGCAGGCTGATCTTTTACTGGCAAAGCAAGGTGGGAGAAGGGTTTTCCCAGTTGGGGAGATCTGTATGAAATTTGGGGGCGATCCCAGCGTCATGGAGTGGGCAAAACTTCTGGCAGATACACTGCGGGACGATGAACCCATTCTTTACGAGTACGATGAAAGCTTAGAAACCGAAAATGCCGAAGAGCCCAGCGACGAACTCACTAAAGAATCGTTAGTAGATCTAGAAGATGTTGGGGCTTCTTCCGAATTGCAAGATGTTACTCAGATTAAGGAAATGGTTGCTAAGAACAGTCCAACGTACAAAAACTTGACAAAGCAGGGATATACAGTGGTCGGCTCACACTCCGGTGTCAAAATCTGTCGGTGGACTAAAAATGATCTGCGCGGAAGAGGGTCATGCTACAAACACTCATTATTCAATATTGTATCGAGTAGGTGTATGGAACTTACTCCATCACTTGCATGTTCTTCGAAGTGCGTTTTCTGTTGGCGCCATGGTACTAATCCGGTTTCCAAGAATTGGCGATGGGAGGTCGACGACCCAGAGTACATTCTGGAAAATGCCCTTAAGGGACACTACTCTAAGATTAAGCAAATGAGAGGTGTTCCGGGAGTCATAGCGGAAAGATTTGCAAAGGCCTTTGAAGTACGTCATTGTGCACTTTCTTTGGTCGGAGAACCCATCATGTATCCCTTCATCAACAAATTTGTCAGTCTGCTACACGAGAAAAAGATATCAAGCTTCCTGGTTTGCAATGCACAACATCCTCAACCTTTGAGAGATTTGGGTAAAGTCACGCAGCTGTATGTATCCATTGACGCTCCATCCAAAAGCGAGCTTAAAAAAATTGACAGGCCATTGTACCGGGACTTCTGGGAAAGAATGCTGGAATGTCTTGAAATACTGAAAACCTCCCAATCACATCAACGTACAGTCTTCAGAATGACGTTAGTCAAAGGTTTTAATATGAGCGAGGTCAATGCTTATGCAGACCTCGTTCAGAGGGGCCTACCATGTTTTATCGAGGTCAAAGGTGCTACGTTTTGCGGATCTTCTGACGGCAATGGCAATCCCTTGACAATGCAGAATATACCATTTTATGAGGAGTGTGCGAACTTTGTCAAGGCCCTTTCAGCTGAACTGCAGAAAAGAGGTTTAGGATATGACGTGGCAGCCGAACATGCTCACTCGAATTGTATCCTGATCGCCGATACCAAGTTCAAGATTGATGGCGAATGGTGGACCCATATTGATTTTGATAGATTTTTTGAACTTTTGGAATCTGGAAAGCCGTTTGATCATACGGAATACATCGCGAAGACTCCAGAATGGGCATTGTTTGGTAACGGAGGTTTTGCGCCGGGAAACACGAGGTTTTATAAGAAGAAAAAGAGCACGGAGACAAAAAGTGAGGATCCAAAAGATGACACTAAAATGACGCGTCCGATTGCTGCGTGAGAGCTTCGATCGGGCGGTTTTACCATATTTAATATACTTGTACATTACCGTCGAAATATTGTTTTTCATTGTTCTCGACCTGCTTTACCAAAACTTGAGAGCCTTGAGCCAACCTAATTCCAAAGTCTTTGGCAAAGTCAAACTCTCCTTCATTTGTGTATTCCGCAGTCTTAGTTCTTCTTTGTAAATTTCTGACACATCTGTTTCGTTCAAGACCCGAGAAAGCTCCTTGTCAACCAACAAGTAGAACTTTTGTGTGGACAGCGGGGCCTGCAGATTGTAAGATCTCAAAGAATTGTTTAGTTCGTTGATTTTTGATTGAGCAATAGCGTTGTAAGAGCTTGTCCATTTGCGAAAGGCGAAAAGTTCAATTTCATTCATGTACTTAGTGTCGTGAACTTTATCGTTACGTTTGAATACCCCCCTTGCGTTCAATTGAGATATGAGTTCTTGATGGTAGCTTTTGGCAAAGTTCGATCTCAGGCGGGATATTTCTACATTAACGGAACCTTGCTTGTCGATCCAAGGTGGTGACATCTTTTGTCTGGCCAGAATATCATTAAGATGATGCTCTGTGCGATCCACGTATGGTTTTGGCGATACCATGGCCAATTTCTGGCCCCGCAATTGACTTGTGGACCTGAATTCGCCTTTCTTCATGCTTTCCTCAATTCTGACGTCTGCAAGTGACCGAAGTTTTTCAAAGGACCCAACCGGTGTAAACTTTTCGGCATAAAGCGCGCGAAACTCAGACGCTTCATCTGTCTCGATTTTTTGATCATCTTTTTCATTTTGGTAGTTTATAATACTGTCTTGAGCTGCTTCCAAACGGTCTCTTATTCTTGAATTCTTGGTCCCCAGGCCTCTCATATTATTCACGGTGTCTGTGGTCGATTTAAAGGCCAAATTTTCCAGGCTTTTATGTGAAACACTCTTGGCTTCTTTTACTGAGTCCAGTAGCATTCTAAGTGAAGTGTCAGTGAAATATTCTTCGCCAGTCCAAGGTTTGGACAACGCCGTTTCTCGTAGTTCTTTGCCCACATGATTCCCAAGTTTAGAAGCCTCTAATTGTGCTTTAAATCGCTGTTCAAATTCCTTTCGAGGTAAATCCTCAGCTAGTTCATCGAGTTTTTCACTTCTGATGAGTTTATGCAGCGGGTCTCTCTCATCTACCGAGTTTTCGTCTTTAAGCTGCTGAAGACGTCTCTTTAAATAGCCCTCATCTTCCTTGATGCTTTGAAGAGCCTTGCAAGTCTTTGTAAACTTTCTTCTAGGTATCAGATGGCCAAACATCTCTTAAAAGCTTGTAATTCCTGTCTTTTGGATTCACTAGCTGAATAGTAAATTGAATAAAGTTCATCTCAATTAAAGACCGAGATCCTAGTTTAAAGATCAACACTTTTGACCACAACATCCAGCATAAAAGGCTCTCTCAGACCTTCCAAAATGTCTTCAAACGCTCAAACAAATCAGTCCACGCTAAGGAAACTACGAATTGCGTTTGTCCACCCAGACCTGGGCATTGGAGGAGCCGAAAGATTGGTTGTTGATGCAGCCTTAGGTTTACAGGAAAAGGGCCATGAAGTTATCATATACACTAGTCATTGCGACAAGAATCATTGTTTTGAAGAGGTGAAGAGTGGTGTATTGAAAGTGGAGGTCATGGGTGACTTTTGGCCCACTAATATCTCCGGGAAACTGTTCATTTTGTTTGCCAATCTGCGTCAGTTATATCTGACTGGGAAGCTTGCTCTGACGGGGAAGATTGGCAAAAACGATCTGTATATTGTTGATCAGCTCTCTACATGTGTTCCATTCATTGCTCTGCTAAGCCAGTCTAGTAGGGTGTTGTTTTATTGTCATTTTCCGGACCAGTTGCTGGCTAGAAGGACCAGTTTAGTGAAAAAGGCCTACAGAGTCCCATTCGATCTGCTCGAACAGCTCACCATGAATGCAGCAGATTGCATTGTTGTTAACTCCAAGTTCACTAGGTCGGTGTTCGCCAAAACTTTCAGACTGGCAACGAGAAAGCCAAACGTTGTATATCCATGTGTGGGCCTGGAAAACGAGAAAACTCCAGACATAGATACAACTCGATTCAACTTTATTCTTGCTAAAGACGCTAAATTCTATGTGAGCGTAAACCGCTTCGAACGGAAGAAGAACATAGAGCTCGCCATACAAGCATTTGCTTTAACTTCGCAGAGTAAAAAGACAGACACCAAGCTAGTCATTGCTGGTGGTTACGACGAAAGAGTACAAGAAAATAGGGACTATTTGTTGGAGCTTCAGCAGCTGTCAGACAAATCAGGACTCGACTATGTGACTTTACACTATCCACAATGGGAGAAGTGTCAGCAGGCAATTCGCAAGGAAATCTCCCATGTCAAAATTATCTTTTTAACATCCATATCCTCTTCGCTGAAAGATCTGCTACTACAAAAAAGTGAAATGCTTCTTTACACACCTGCTTTCGAGCACTTTGGGATTGTACCTTTGGAAGCCATGAAATTGGGAAAACCCGTTCTTGCGGTGGACAATGGTGGGCCTTTGGAAACGGTGGTTTCGCTTTCTCCTGGCTCGAACGAAAAGGAATCCACCGGGTGGTTAAGAAGGGGCGTTCCTAGCGAGTGGGCTGCCGCTCTGGAAGAATCGGTGACCTATCTCCAAGAAAGCCCCACGATTTTTGAGCAAAACGGGCCCACTAGAGTCCACGACATGTTTTCCAGAGAAGCGATGACAGAAGAATTTGAAAAAAATATATCAGGACTTCCTTGGGACACCAACAGACGAACCTACGCTTACCGATTAACGTTCCTCCTGTTATGTATGTGTTCCATCGCTCCCGTTGCATATTTCGCGGGTGTAAGAAGCTTGCCTTTCACAGTGACCGTGGCAGGACTACTCTATTTCTTCAAAGGAATCGATTCATTTGCATGTATCGCGGCTACCATCATAGTCAGCATGATAGTTGCGCGTTGATAGAGCTTCGATATGCCTTAATTCATTAATATTACATACTTATTGAGCAGACCGCTGCATTATGTTCACTAACGTTGATCGCCACCAGGTGTAACGTTTAGAGGATTGCTGTTACTTCGGCTATTGGCCATATTAACGGGGGATCCGACAGCAGAGTTGACGCCAGCGTTTTGACTCGCAGCTTGGTTTTTAGGCCCATTCTGCATCAATTTTGTTGCCGTTGCAAGGTGATATGCCGCTGCCTCAAATCGCTGCTGTTGAACCTGTTGCTGCCTGAGCCTCTGTTGTTGCTTCTGAATACCCTGGGGTGTAAGGCCTGATTCGAGATCGGCTTGCGACAGAGATCCCTGGTTTTTCTGTTGCAGTCGCCCATTTTGAATCTGCTGCTGTTGCTGAAGGAAGCTGGGAGATGGGTTCGCTTGATGCTGCTGGATAGTTCCAGGTGTATGTTGCTGTTGATGCTGAAATTGTGCGTTTTGTTGCTGTTGTTGCCGCTGTTGCATCTGTTGCACTTGATGCTGCGGTTGCTGCTGTTGCTGATGTTGTTGCTGTTCGGCTAGCATTTGAGCTTGTAGCATTCTCTGCTGCTGAATCTTCTGCCTCTGCTGTGGAGTAAGATTATTCGGGTTCATGTTATTGATCAACTGAGGTGTGCGAATTCGGAAAGTGTAATCAGTCGTTCTATCGAGGTCAATACAGCCCACTCTCGAATGAATGGCTCCGTATCCTGGCGCACTAAAACCAGGACGAACCGAAAATGAGGATGCAAACATCTCGCGCATTCTAAAGTATTTGGTTCTCAGCCTAGAGGAGCCTAAAACGTTTGTCTCCAATGGTAGCGGAAGCGACCGTGACACGCCATTTAGAACTTGAGTTGTTTCTTCCTCGGGAGATATCTCAACCGGTAACCCTTCGTTGATTTCTGAATTTTGGCCCTGTTGTGATTGCGGTTGCTGAGTAGCCGTTTTAGTTTTTTGTTTCGAGTTCGTATTGGTCTTGAGCTGGTTTTTCTTCTGGTACTGGCTCAGCAGTACATCAAAGGGTTGAGATCTGCCTTTTACCGCTCTCTTGGTTCCCACAGAATGCGATTTGCATGTCAAAGATCGACCACAATAACCTCCTTCTGCCAACTCAACACCACACTGTTTATCGAAATCTATGAGATGTTTTTCGGTTGGATTTCTCTGCTTGATGCGTCTTTTTGCTTTGGAAGGAACCGGTGTTGATCCTGCCTTACGCTGTTTTTTCACGGCAGGACTGGTTTCGGGCTTGGGGTCAGTTTCGAACGGCGTAGATCTTTTAGAACTCGATTGAAGATTCTTTTTCTTGTCACCAGAGCCAGAGATGTCATCCATGACTTCAGTGTCTTCTGTTTTGATGCTACCCTCTGGATCACCCCCCGCTTTATCTTGGGTGAGTCCTTTGCAATGGATTTGTAGATGGTCTACAAGAGCTGAAAGACTCACAGGTTTCCTACACTTTTCGCAAACTCGGTATTCCAGTGGCGTACCCAATGGGTCTTCTAGAATGGATGCTGGATCGTTAAAATACTCTCCACGGGCGTCTTTCAAATGACTTTTTGCGCGGTCGTCTTTAACTGTCGCTACAAGACCTCTCCAATTGGGCGTGGAGCTATTGCCGTTACTTTCTAAGTCGTCCTTGATGTATTTGCGTATTCCTTTAATCTCTAGATGCACATCTGTCATACTAATTCCCAACTGGTCTTTCTTCTGGTGACAGTAGCTCTCGATGTCCAAAGTCGATGACAGCTCCCGCAATTTCTGCTCTAGAAAAGAGAAAAATAAGAGAAAAATTCGACAAGTATCGTAACGAGCTGCTAAGCAATCTTAATGTAACTTCTGGTGGCTCAAATACCTTCAGAATGCCCGTTTATACGCCGATTTTGATAGTTTCTTTCGATATCTGCTAGTTTTTCGAATTTAGACGACTGCTTCAAGGTAATATTTAAATATAAACGTCAGGTATACCCGATATATAAAAGGTGAGGTTTTGATACACAGGAAGCGCTTTGGAATCGAACAAATAGATCAGTAGCTCACCAGAGGTGGGCTGAAGGTTCAAGGTTCAAAAAAGTCTTCGAAAAGAGCACGCAAAACCTCCAAAAAGATGAAAGAAGTATTTATCACGTGACCCGTGATGGATTAGTCCTAGAAGCGATTGAGATGTCATTGGATGATCTTTCTGGAAACAATGCCAGTATCTTCCAGGTCTAGGTCTTTATCTTGATTCTCATAGCGCCTTTTACCTTTCGTTTTCAGGCCTTGTAACGTTTGGAATAATGAAGCAAGACGGCCATAGAGAACCGTGTCTGATTGAACGGATTCTTCGTTTTCCTCTAAGAGAGCGTCCGCTTGGCTTGGCCCCATCCGCTGTATGTCAAACCAAGAATATTCTGAAGTGCGGGATCAGAAATTCTTAATATTTTGCAAAGACATTATGGCTGTCGACGACGTTTTCCGCGAGCGAAACACACCAGGATCAATCCCTAGTAAAAAAAAGCCACTGAAAGCCCTGAAAAGAAGAGAGATGATTGTCACGTAAGAGACATCCACACTCGCTTCAGTTGGTGTTTTATTGGCATAGTTGTCACTTCTTGGCGTTTCAGGCGTACCTTTGGCTTTTGGAGGTGTTTTTAACTTCCAAGTGCATTATTCTCAAAAATCTACCATCACCACAACTGTCTGCCGACTCTATGAGATGTTTTCCAAAGCCCGACGTTTATATGAGGTGAGCTGTTTTCATCGCCTTGACAACCAACATTGAAAAAGAGACCCCTGCAACCTTATGCTGGGCCCACGAGGAAAACAAGAATCCTACTATGAACTCATAGATGAGAAGAAATGCGTAAAATCTGGCTCCTTCCTTGGTCAAAAGAAAAGGACGCCTAAATTTGGTCTTCAATTGCAGCCTTGTCGAGATCGCTTTTTTTGCTTCGTCTGGATAATCTGTAACAAACCCTGTAATCGGGAGCGCAGCGCACTGCTTAAAGTCTTCGGCCCGGTTCACCGTCCATGCATACGTCTGTACGTTGTTTTCTCTCAAATATGGGATCATATCCTTTTGAAATGCAGAAGTCCAGGTGGAGACAAAATGCACGCTGACAGCGCTGAGACGATAGTGCGGATTGTCGACTTTTCGTGAGAATTCCACAAACCGCTTGGCCATTTCTAGCGACAATGTGGTGCACACCACCTCGAAATCCTTGATTACACCGGTTTCCATGCCGTATTGGAACCAGTCTATGCTCCACAACCCCCATATTACATGTTCTCGCCAAAACGGCAGATCTTCTCGAACGCTCAGCATTTCGGCGACGCTTTTGAGCATTATTTCGTGATCATTTGAGTATTTGATATCCAGCAGTACTTTGACTTGCGGATGGTCTATCAACCATTTCAGAACATCTATAAGGGTCAGCATTTTCAAATCTGGGAACCCGGGTTTTTTGCTACCTAGCGACTTTAGTTCACTCCATTCAGTATCACCGACCTTGTAATTCTTATCCCAGCACCGCTGTGTTGTTTGATCATGGTTGATGACAACCACACCATCTTTGGACATTTGCAGGTCAGTTGCAATTACATCTGCTCCTGCCTCCAGGGCTTTGTTAAACGCGACCAGCGTATTCTCTGGATATTTGCCTCGATAGCCTCGATTTCCAATGATAATAGGCCTCGACATTGAATTGTTCAAACCTCTTTTACACCGTGTGTAAGGTGTCAACAAAAGGTGTCAACCCTTAAGTTTGCCAACTTGAAGGAAGTTCATCAAACTTACATTCAAGATAATCGTCAAAAGTGTCCCGGCTTTTGACCAAGTCAAGTGACCGGGACCAACGATCATCGCAAGCTCGATAGCTTGGACCAGTTCCTTAAGACTTGGTTAGCTTTTTGAACTTCACTCTATCTGTTTTCGTAGTAGGACCCATGAAGTATTGGTATATATTGGGATGCTTATATCCATGTTAGTTGGACACAGCACTTGTGGCTTTGCTCTGACCAACAATGTAGTTCATCAGCATGTAAGCGACAGACTTGTTGTTGGGTAGGTTCAGCCCCGTACTTTCGTCCTGAATGAACCCCGTAGCAGATTCTTCTTGTTTGAGAATGGATTCCAGCACGGAACAAGGAACCCAGCGCACCTCGTCCAGTTCGCGGTCGTGTGTCAGATCTGGAGTCTGGGTTTCGTCTGCGACGGCCACACAACCGATCATGAGGTTGTTAGGAAATGGCCAAGGCTGACTCATCAGTATCTGCACTTTGTCGGTGTTGAGACCGGTCTCTTCCCAAATTTCGCGGGCAACGGCAACCTCAAGGGTCTCGCTAGGGTCTACAAAGCCGCTCACACAGCTGTAGAGTTTACGCTCCTTGTTTCTGGGAGCCCCAGATCTGCACAGCAGTACTTTGGTGTTATCGCGGTTTGTGATGGCGCTGATGACAACGGGATCGGTTCTGGGAAAGCAAACGTTGGATACACGGTGATTGGATACGCATTCGGTGTTTGCACAGTGTAGTCTCGTACCAGCATCCACGGCTAGAGTCTTGGAACCGCAAATCGAGCAGAATTTGTGGGTGTCAAGCCATTGCAAGTACATTCTGGCCTGAGAAACAATACTCGATTCTTCCAACGTGAGGCGGTTCAGATCTTTGAAAGACTCAAGTTTTCGGTAATTGTTCAGCAAGTCCCGCAGCTGTGGGGTGTTTGAATTATAGCTCGACACATTGAGTGCAAAAGTAGGAGTACCACGGTATCTGGCACTATAAACAAAGTTGGATTTGGCTGACAACGATAACCCCAAAAACACCAAATTGCGTGTGAGATTTTGCTGTGCTACAACCTCGTCAAGTTCCTTGCGGTGCAAACGCACCATGACGCCATCCCGTTCGTTAATGAACGGCATGTAGTCCTCGAATGGAATAAATACAGTTTCTGCATGAGTTAAAGCCTCTTCAATGAACTGTGGGTCTTTCCTCAAAAATGAAACACGGTTCAAAACCTCTTGACTGTAGTGTAGCGAGTGGGTGATGGGACGAGTAGCCAGAGTACTCATTGTGATTGAATGCAGATGGATTGAGTTTCTTGAAGGAAGAAATGTTTAGAAGTGAACTTGATCTAAGAATTAACACTAATATTTCAATAATTACGGTTAGTAATGTGGTGAAATATTGAAGCGAAGAATTTTGATGGGAAGAGCTGTGGGAATGGTGGCTTAATGCTCATATTTTGAGTGGTTGTAGCCAAAAGAATTGCGGACTTTTTGATACCTTACTTGCAGCGGTTGTGTCCATGAACTATGATATTGTGGGTAATGAAACGAGAAGATTATCAAGTCTTGAGGATGGAAAAGGCGCGGGGGATGTGCATCGGTGGGTTCATGGTGTGTATAAAAATTGTGGGCTGATTATTAAGACTAGAAAAACGCAATAGAGGGGTTCTTTTGAGTTAATGAAGTTGGCGACACTTTTGAGAAGATATCCAAGAAGAAACGTTAAAGAACCTGCAGGGAGGTTTTTTTTTGAGCCTGGATTGAGAGTGGTGTTAACTGAGAGCATTAGCCGCGCCATTGAAATTCTGTGGCTTGTGTGGGCCATTCTTGGGGATCTTTTGGTTGTATGTTAAAAATATCATCTTGTACTAATCTGTCTCTGTCGTTGGTCATTTGTAGCGCACACGACCAAAAGACGCGAATAACGGAGATGCCATAGGGCGACTTTTTGGGGTGCAAGCAGCACTACTGGTACGTCACCATGTTTGGACTTCGAGATAACATCGCTTGATTTCCAAACTCCAAGAGTTTAGGGCAGATTGTAGGTTGCGAATTTATGAGTTTATAAGCTTATATATATGACAGTCGAAAAGAGAAAATAAGTAGCGAGGTTCTACTGTACTTATGAAACTCGTTGTGTGACAGTGTATCAGACCGCTTTCGTAGTATTTGATACCGCTCAGTAACAACATAAAGAAGAACCATGGGCGCCAGGAAGCTAGGTTCTTGGAATTCAAAGTCATACGTTTACCAATTCTGACGCTGACACGTATCACGTGACTAGCATTATTTTATCGTAAATTTGACGTCCAATCGAAGAGATGAACCCGACACTTGTATCAAGATGGGCATTTCAACTTGGAAATCGACCAGCTCTAACACTATCTTCAGAGAAGCGCGATGGGAGACTCACGGATTTCATGTTGCTTAACTTGGACTCTACATCATTTAGTACGACACCAGTTTGTCGTTACTTGATTGTGTAAATTTTGAGGGTCGAGGGCCTAGCTATTCGGTCGTTTCCTGCAATTATTAATTCCAAAACACCAAGAACAGATTAATTTTGTGCCTTCCCTCTTATGGTTCCCTGTAAGTGTGAATACTCGTTTTCGTACATTAAGACCTCTCTTACCCACTTCCTCATTCATTTACCCATCTACTACTTACTCATATAGCTACTCGTGAGAGGAAGTACGGGTCTTGGCCGTTGAACGTGATCCAGCCATGAAGACCCGAGAAAAAGAAGGCTGTCACGTGAACCACGTGACATGTTTTGATCACATGATGAAAAACTAATTTACACCCACACACCACACTGTATATTTGCTTCTTTTTGTTTTTCCCCCAATGACTTCCTCTCCCAAAGAATTTCAAACATAGCACAGCACCATCATTCATAACCTTCTTCTCAAGCTTCAGCCGCTACATATGTATACATACAAAATGCACACTTTCATCACATGACCTAAACCCCGGGCTGATTTTTCTTCTCCCTCCCCCTAAACGTCATCTCCTACGAATACCTGTTTTCCACCTTGGTTCTTTCCATATATGCCACAAGCAAAAAAATTTTTAAGGAGAAACAGATCGATTTCTCACATCACAAGGTTATAATATCTATAAAACCCATATGGAAATACAATTGATACAAAAACCTAACTCAATTGATCAATTGATACTTTTCTCAAACACGAAAACAAAGACAAGGTGAGTGTTTTGCCGCCTTTGAAAGAGGAGCGTGAGTTTGGAACAGCGGCTAGTTTTGTAGAGGTTCAATAGAGCTTTTCAAAGCGAGTTTTTCGAGCGTTTTAGCGTGAAATTTGGGTACAAAACAACGGAAAACAACAGTTGGGAACACAAGAAGCATTTTTGGTCGATTGATCCTTTGGTTTCGAGGTTTTTCATTCAAGCAAGCACACACACAACACACACTACGCACACTACACACACAAGATGGATCTCAGAGTGGGACGCAAGTATAGAATCGGAAGGAAGATCGGAAGCGGGTCTTTTGGTGACATTTACCATGGAACCAACCTGATAAGTGGCGAAGAAGTGGCCATCAAGCTGGAATCGATCCGGTCACGGCATCCACAGCTGGACTACGAGTCCCGCGTGTACAAGTATCTGAGCGGCGGCATCGGAATCCCGTTTATTCGGTGGTTTGGTCGAGAAGGCGAGTACAACGCCATGGTCATCGACCTGCTGGGTCCTTCGCTCGAGGATCTGTTCAACTACTGCCACCGCAAGTTCTCGTTCAAAACAGTAATGATGCTGGCGCTGCAGATGATCTGTCGCATCCAGTACATCCACGGCCGGTCCTTCATCCACCGAGACATCAAACCGGACAACTTTCTCATGGGTGTGGGCCGTCGTGGATCTACCGTGCACGTTATTGATTTCGGGCTATCCAAAAAATACCGGGATTTCTCCACCCATCACCACATCCCGTATCGCGAAAACAAAAACTTGACCGGTACGGCTCGGTACGCATCCGTCAACACGCATTTGGGGATCGAACAATCGCGCAGAGACGACCTCGAAAGTTTGGGATACGTGCTGATCTATTTCTGTAAAGGATCTCTTCCGTGGCAGGGTTTGAAAGCCACGACCAAACGTCAAAAATACGATCGCATTATGGAGAAAAAGCTGTGCATCAGTGTCGAACAGTTGTGTGCGGGTCTGCCGGTGGAATTTGTGGAATACATGCGTTATTGCCGTAATCTGAGGTTTGATGAGAGACCGGACTATTTGTATTTGGCTCGTCTATTCAAAGATCTCAGTATCAAGCTAGACTACCACAACGACCATTTGTTCGACTGGACCATGTTGCGATACACCAAGGCCATGATCGAAAAGCAGCGTGCGCTGGGAGAACTGCCCATGCCCGAAGAGTCCAAGGACGATGAATCGAAACAAGACTCTTTTAACCGTGTGAAGCAACTCGCAATGCGCAAGTTTTCTACTCATTTCCATTACAGCCGGTCCGAGGACAAGCATCATCCCTCGGCGGACGAAATCAAGCAACAAACGGTTCAGAACAACCAGGCGGTGCTATCCATCCCACAAGATCTGTTGAGCGCCATCGACAAAGACATGGACAATCTCAAGCAGAATGTTGCACAGGCTCCGGAAGCTACTTTGCAACGACAACAACAGCAACAAGCCACGCAACAACAACAAGATCAGCTCCAGCAGCAACCTCTTCAGTCTCGACAGTTTCAAAACGAGGTTGACTATCAAAGCAGAGTTCCAGTTGCAGAGCCTCTGCTGCAGACTCAAAAGGATGCGGATTACGACGATCTCAAGCGCACCCTGGACATGCTCAACAGCAATGGCACTCCGCAGCCCACGCCGTCCCGCAAGCCAACCCAGAGCGCCACGCAGTATCCGCCTGCTGGCGTGAACAAACCATCAGGTGGTGACATTTGGCTATAGCGACCGAGACGCACGCACATTCAAATCGAAGAAGAAGAACAAAATACTACAAGAAGCACCACACCACACCAAACTTTACAACAGGGTCGTCGTCGTCGTCGCCGACAGCGGGTGATCTGTCTGCCAATTCCCGACCATCCCAACCACAATTTGCATTTTCTGGCATCATTTTTATAATTATCTACTTACAAGTCAGTAACAGTAGGAGAGTTCTAAACCCAACTTTTAAGGAACATGAAAGGAAGTGATAGAAATTTACAGAAGAAACAGGAGAGACACAATGGTTAAATCGACAAAAGTATAAATGTCTGGTATTTATCGATTTTTGAGCTTAATTGTTATCCATGGATGCGACAATATGTCCGTACACTATGATATCTCTTAGGGGTCATATATCTTTATAAAATGCCAACTTGACCTTAGAACAGCCCTTTTCGATCAGACAAGACATCTTTCTTATAACATATTGTTCGATCTAGTGGTATCTAGGCCTTTTGAAAAGGTTGATACAGTGTGCAATTGAGTACCCAAGGTGTGTGGGGAATTTGATCCGACTTCAACGGTTGCTGGGACGCAATTTTCCAGGTATAAGTGGTCAAAAATGGAACATCAGAATGAGGGATACGTGGCAGCGCAGGAGTCGAGACCTGCATTGGGAGAACGTCAAAGATCGCTTCTGCCTCAAAGGTCGGCAATCTCGAAAGGAAAATACACTTTGCACGACTTTCAAATTCTAAGAACGCTTGGAACAGGATCGTTTGGACGGGTGCATCTGGTTCGTTCGGTGCATAACGGACGCTATTATGCGATCAAAGTGCTAAAGAAACAGCAAGTGATAAAAATGAAGCAAATTGAGCACACGAACGATGAGCGTCGGATGCTGAAACTGGTAGATCATCCCTTTCTGATTCGCATGTGGGGCACGTTCCAGGACTCTCGAAGTTTGTTTATGGTAATGGACTACATCGAAGGTGGAGAGCTGTTTTCGTTGCTCAGAAAATCGCAGCGATTCCCCAATCCTGTGGCGAAATTTTTCGCTGCAGAGGTAATCCTCGCGCTGGAGTACCTCCACGCACACGACATTATCTACCGGGATCTGAAGCCAGAAAATATATTGCTGGACCGCAACGGACACATCAAAATCACAGATTTCGGGTTCGCCAAAGAGGTTGACACGGTGACGTGGACTTTGTGCGGTACTCCGGACTACATTGCACCTGAGGTCATTGCAACTAAGCCCTACAACAAATCTGTAGATTGGTGGTCTTTGGGTATCTTAATTTTTGAGATGTTGGCTGGTTTCACGCCCTTTTACGATACCACACCCATGAAAACCTACGAAAAGATTTTACAGGGCAAGGTCACCTACCCGCCATTCTTCCATCCTGATGTGGTAGACTTATTGGTGAAATTGATCACCTCAGATTTGACCCGTAGATTGGGAAATCTGCAGAGTGGTGCTCAGGATGTTAAATCACACCCTTGGTTCAGTGAAGTCATATGGGAAAAGCTTTTAGCGAAGGACATTGAGACCCCTTATGAACCTCCAATCACAGCTGGCGTTGGTGACTCTTCTTTATTCGATCAATATCCAGAAGAGCACTTGGATTACGGTTGCCAAGGTGAAGATCCCTATGCGCAATATTTCATTGATTTTTGATGTAAGCGCAATACACAACTTCTGCTTTTCTTCCTGGCTTGCGCTCTTCTATCGGTGAGTAAGCACGCAGTGCCTAATAAACAATCTTATATCAATAGCGACTACAAATATCTTGATTCATTATTATAAGTCACGAAACCTAACGAATTGTGCGTCTTTTCTTTCTGTATATACATGAGATAACAAAGTTACATGTTTTCGATATGAACCTCGATTTGGAATCTTACTCCAATGCGACTTTGGCACCTAGACCTTCCAAAGCGGCCTTAATCTTATCGGCGTCCTCCTTAGCCACATTTTCCTTCAATACCTTAGGGGCCGCTTCCACAAACTTCTTGGCTTCCACCAATGACAGTCCCAGTAGATTTTTCACTTCTTTAATGACCTTTGGCTTAGACTTAGCGTCAAAAGACTCGAGCTTTATAGAGAAGATTGTCTTTTCTTCTTTCACTTCTTCTTCCTTGGCTTCTTCAGCAGCTGCTGGAGCGGCACCACCGGCGGGCACAGCACCTGCAACGGGCATAGCAATGTCAGGAATGTTTAGTTGAGTTTTCAGTTCGCTAATTAGCGAACTTGTCTCTAGAAGGGTCAACTTCGAGATATCTTCCACGATTTTGGCAATTTTAGGGTCCACAGGGGCGGGAGAAGCCGCGGTGCTGTTCAAACGCACATAGGAGGCTCTAATTACGGGCAATTGGGCGAGTCTGGCAACGTTTCTTCTAGCTCCACGTACCAACATTATAACGATTTTCCAAGTGATCTATAGCGGTTCTGAAAGTCGTGAAAGTTAACGGAAAAAAGCCAACAAAACTTCAATGGAACGCGGGAAAATTCGGCTGATCTTTGACAATAGTCAGATTCGTTTTAACTCGAAGCAGTGAATCGTAACGGCTATCGCAGTTATCCGTTTCGATTTGGTGAATTCAATGTCGACCTATTGAATAGTAAAATTTTCCCAATTTATTCGGTCTCTTCGTAATTGATGATTTGAGCGAGATAATCTAGTTGGGTGTCTTGTCAATCTTCGAGTCGATTTTCGTGTCGTGTGCGTGAATTGAGTAGATGGCGAAGGAATATGGTTATGGAGCGGAAGCCCTGCAAGAAGAAAGTTTAAAACAATGAAAGTGAAAGATGAGGGGGGAGGGTCATGAGCTTTTGAGCTTGAGCTAATGAATTTGGTGACGGGATTCGAAGTCAGCCGCTGGACTTGATAAACCGTCGCGAGTTTATGTCCGGATCTTATCACTTTTATCAATTTTGTCGCTTGGAAAGCCCACTTGGTAATCGAACCCCGAGTCTTGTAATCTTTTAGCACCGCATTCTCTTCAGCCTGAAAACGAGGTGTAAATTAAGATCCGGCCCTGTAACTGCAATTGATGCGCTGTTCTGCTCCCGTTAAGAACTCCTCGTCGTGGCGAAATGTCGAGCAGTGTCAGTTTAGTACAAAGTGATATAATATTGTATGGAATTTTTCACGAGAAGGCCCAATTATGAATACGACATCGAATATAACACCTATTGACCTATCAAACTTTAACAGAAAGCTGAGATCTTTAGACTAAGCTCCAATTGAATCTACTTGATTTCTAGCCATCTTTGATCTCCTCCTCGGGTTTTGCACTTCAGCTTTTTTCCAAATCTCCAAAACGCTCCTATAAGCATCTCAAAATGACCACTTTCAGATTTTGTCGAGATTGCAACAACATGTTATACCCAAGAGAAGACAAGGACAACCAAAGGCTTCTGTTCGAATGTCGTACATGTGCGTATGCAGAAGAAGCAGGAACGCCCATGGTGTATCGCCACGAATTGATCACGAACATCGGTGAAACTGCAGGTGTGGTCCAAGACATCGGTTCAGATCCAACGCTTCCGCGTTCGGATAAAGAGTGCCCGCGGTGCCACTCGCACGAAAACGTATTTTTCCAATCGCAACAGCGGCGTAGTGACACTTCCATGGTCCTTTTTTTCGTCTGTTTAGGTTGTTCACACATCTTCACAAGTGACCAGAAAAACAAACGTACAGGATTCAGTTAGAGACATCTACTTCAATTGGCTGGGAAGCTCTCAAAAGGATCTTAGGGGGAGCAACATCATAAATATTTTGTGTGTAGCATGCATGCACTTGCGAACATCGAAAACCTGTAAAACATTAAACGCATTATATATCATTATACTTGTTCATGAGATTGATGGCCGCTCGCCATGTCCCACATTATATCCTGGTTGGGAGCTGGTGAATGCGTATGTGGATTGGCGAGATGCAGATTCCGCATATTGCTATTCAAAAACCCACCAACCTCAGACTGCGGTCGCTGAAGATATAGTGGGGACTGATTCCTGTTTTCGTATATGCCAGCGTCATCTTCAGCCTGAGATGCATTGAAGGGTGTAGCGGTTGATGACGAAGGGATGCAATCGCAGTGGTTTGAGTGATTTAACTCACATAAGGCCTCGCCAGCGGGGAATTGAAGTTCATCCAGAAAAGGTTTATTCTCGACAACGGCCCACTGAGTTGGGTCTGTAAGATCCGTTGTTGGGTGCGGATTTGTGCTCCCATGCAAAGGCTCTTGTTTTGTGCGGGGCAACGGCTTGAGGAACAAGTCCGTGAAATCGATTTCCTCAGTGGCTGCCATGAAATTGGTTGGGTCCCAACTCGCTCCTGAAGGGTCAACGGGCTGCGAGGTGGGTAAGCCGCTTTCTATCGCAATTTCGGGTGCACCATGCTGTCCACCACCGCTTCCTTGTGATACAACTGAGACGGAGTCCCATCCGTGAGGCATGGTATTTCGGCTTAGCAGGTGAGCAAAATTTTTTTTCTTGCGTGGCTGTTGCGACTTGTGAGCCGGCTTACTGACCGTTTTGTCTACACTCTTGTTAACGCCCTCTGAGGTCGGCAAAACAATATCAAAACTCTTGATTTCTTGCGTAAGTCCACAGTCACACGGTATTGCTTCGGGCTCGATAGGCAAATTGAATCGAGTTCTGGTTTCCAGCTCGTCGAATTTCCTTACCGCATCCCAGTCTTGCTGTTCTCGAAGGACGTTCTTGAAGTTTTTATAGTCGTCACTGTCAGCGTTGAACTTCAAAGGATGGGAGTGTCCGTTGTTCATCACCACAATGTTCCATTTCTTGCGTTTCAACGAGTACGTGGCCCGTACACGAAAGGGACACGTATTGTAGGGCGACACCGATCTTTTTTTCTGTCTTGACTGCTGGAGGATCCGCTTGGCCGCTTGCGGGCTTTCTGGATTCTCATCAGGAGTGTTGCCATCTTGTGGGGCTGAGTTTCGAGAGGTACGGCCCCGTTTCGAAGCTTTGCACTTGAACACCACTTTGATCTTGTCGGACCGTTCTATCACGATCTCGATGCCCTGTGGGTAGAAAATCTTCTGCAGCCATGTCTTTATGTCTTTACGGTCCTGAAAATCCGGTATGGGGTCCAAATGAATCAGTTTATTCTGTGCTCGCTGTCTCTTGATCGATTCCAATGCATTTTCGCTGAGCAGATTGTTGAGACTCGCTGTATCGCTCCAAGCGGGAGTTTCTGTACTTCCTGCACGGCCCGCTTCCTGTCCACTACTCCCAGTGAGTGTGGTTGTGACCGTTCCCACCGTGTCTGCCGTCGACAACGGCGACTCTTCCGCCAAGATAGAGTCCCACGACGGCGACGTGGCAACAGAAGCGCCCAGGAACCTATCCAGCGGTGTGAACTCCATTATAGTACACTCCTACACTGTCACTGTCGCTGTCGCTATCTCCACGTACAGGCCGTCTTTTTCGCTTCCGAGTTTTGGTATGGGTCCGCAAATTTCGACGGTAATTCAAAGGCCTGAGTATAAAGTCGGCAAACTCGTATTTCGACGCTGTTTTCGATCTAATTGTTGTAACATCAATGAGCTTTAGCCGGTCACTTTTGATAGTTTCCTGGTAGTAACGATTTTCTGCACCCATTTTTCATCAATTAAAAAAGTGCATTAATGACATTTCGAAAAAGGCCGGGCGTTCGAATCCTCAAAGAGACATCAATTTTTTAAAAAAATGGTGATCGGTGGGAACCACTGGAGACACTCCTAGCAAAGCGAGATGTGGTTCCATCAAGTAGAAATAGCAGTACAATGAAGTTGAGAGGCAGCACACTTATGAACATTTGCTCGTGTTTTGCCTGTAGTCGTTGTAATGTGTAGTTTTTTTTGGCTATTTTCATCGTTTTCGGTTTCGTTTCAACCAAAAGCGTCAAGAGGACACTGTGGTGGCCAGTTGATAGCACGCATCGGAGCCGGAAAAGACCAACAGTCGCGAACGTAGAGCGTAGAAGGAGCGGATATCGCGAATTCCAAATTGGGCCCTGATATCTGAATAGCCAAGCGGAACCCATCTGGCGGTGGTCTGATCGACACTAAAACAAGCAATGTGCGTGCCGTACAGATGCTCCTGCTCTACTACGATCTTGCTGTCACTGTCAAAGAAATCGTAGAATGCTTTTTCGCGGATATCACACACCAGGTCCGCACAGGACCCAAAATCGTAAACGAAAAGTCTGCGGGATGTGGCGATGAGCATCGAATTTTGACGCGTCGCAAACTTCAAAGATACAATTTTCTCGTCCTCCTCCAAATAAAGACCCCTTACACCGCGAGATCGGTCTGGGTACCGCAAATCCCACAAGTAAACCTGCGCTCCGTCGTGCATCGCTACCGTTTGCACGTTATGGTCCACGTCAGCGCCCAAACAACGGAATGGGACCGAGGAATGCCGCAAAGTCACCATTCGCGTAACCCGCGTGGCCAATGAGGTGATAGAAAGACGGCAGTTTGTCCGACAGAACGCTACGGTCGTCCAGGACCGGTTTACCAATCGCGTCCACATGTCCGTCACAGGGCCCGCCAAAGATGGGCCTGAAATTTGTATCGAGCCGTTTCCAAGCACGAAGATACCACTAGCGCCCAAAGAGGAGCCGAACGCGACCGTACCACAATCCACCACATCCATTGCCGTGATTTCTCCGGCCAAACTCGAATTTACATCCGCTGTCTTCAACACCACGCCAGAATCGTCCAAGATGCTGATTCCAGTCCCGTTTTCGCGCCAGCAGCACCAGAACGCGCCATCAGAGCGTTTGTTGGTTCTTTTGTCGGCAAATCCTGCGTTTTCGGCTGTTTCCTGTAGCTTTTCTAGTCTCCAGTCTCTTGCTTGCGAGTAAGCGTGAATGTTCACGTTTGCGATTGCAAGCAGAGGAGAATGGACGATAGCCAGTTGACATTTCCCCTGTCTCTCCTTCGCAGTTGCGGCATCGTGCAAATCACAGATCAAAAGTCCCATGGTGCGTGGAGGTATATCTCTTTAAGAGTTGCAGTTAGAAACTCTATCCTAGGGCTGAAGAAATGTCAAATGTGGGTCTTTTTTAGCCGTTTTTTTGGCAGCAGCTTCGTTACAATGAGCTTTTGTGGCCTTGGCGAGTCAAAATAAGTCAAATTGCCCTCTTTTATGCTTGTTTCAGCACCACTTGTAGATCAAAACCACTGGCTCATCGCCTATTTTCAATATTTTTACGGGTTTCTGATACATCAATAATGCTCTGTTCGCATCAATATGACATCAAAGGGTGCCGTCAGAAAATATAATCCGGGGTTTAAAAAAAGAGCCATCCCAAAACACGTGCGCAGAGATTATGTAATCAGAAAATTTCAATCATGTGAAAGTCTCGTGCTTTGATTACGTCATCTGAAATGCTCGAGTTCCTGTTATAAGAGTGTAAGTAGACCTAGACAGTGGACTCAAGCCATAATTTGGTTGTCTGTTTGCTTTTTTCTCTGTCTAGTGAAGTGCTGATGCCATCTATGTGTTCGTTTTCCGCTCTCTGCTTGTCTTTTGCTTTTTTGCCAACGTACGTGGGTCGCCTTGTTGTGGCCCTTTTTCGTTATCTTCTTGTTCTACTCCCTCATGAGATGCAAGGCTGCGTTTTCCCGGCTGTTTCGGCGGCGATTCCTGTATAAGTGGACTCATATTACTCGGATCTGTAGTTGAAAGATAATCTTGAAGATCGAAAGTGGGAGCTGCAGGTTGCTGTCCGTTGGCGTTGGAGCTTGTAGCTTGATCGTCAGGTGTAATACCGGGCACAGAGGCCGGAGCGCTATCGAGCCCATTGGAATGCGACGGAGACATCTTGGTAATCCAATCCTCAAGCTCTTGAATCGATTCGCCTTGTCTTTTAATGTTCGACTCGAGGTCGTCGAAAAAATTGGGTCCCACAGACGATGCTGAGTCAAAGGCTGGCGGCTCAGACTGGCTGGTTCGTGAGTTACGGTTCTCACTGTGGCCCGCGTCACTTGTAGACATACCTGTAGCTGCACTTGGAGGGTCGTCAATATACTGGCGACCTATTTCTTGTATGGGAGAAGGTGCACGTCCGAGATCGTGCGGAACGCTGTCTTGCGTGTTCATGTGGTTTTTTGATAGATTATGCGCCTGACTGTCCTTTAACAGCAGTCTTGGCCGGGTCATCGCACTATTCATGCTACCCAAATCCCAGTAGTTGGTATTTCCTGTCGGTATATCGTTGAAGCCGGAGTTTGTCTGCGCCAGCTGGTTGGCGAGGTCGTGTCCCAATAGTTTCTGGGCATTGGAACCCATGAGAGATGTCAGCAGATGCAGAATCTTATTGAGAGCCTGTTGCTGGGCCTGGTGTCTTTCACGAGCCATCATGTTTTCCTTCCACAACAATTCGTTATCCTTCGACATACGCTTGATATCCTCGGCAATTGCCATCTGGTTGAATTTGACGGATTCCAGTTCATTCAGCAGTATCCCGATGTCCATTTCTTCGCCGTTTTGTCCCACCAGCAGATCTTTGGAATTGTTGGAACTTGATTTCTGTCTCACAATGTTATCCAGCAATTCTTCAGAGTCTCTGATAAAGTTTTCGTTTTCAAACTGCGATCTTTCGTCGGAATTCTCCTGGATCGATCCAGATCGTACATCCTGTACTTTGTGCCAGCCATACATGTTCAATTGGCGTACAAAAGATGCGAAATTGGAGTGCTTGAAGTATCTGGGCAAAACGTTGTGCACGAAGCCCTCGCGGTTGGTGATTATGAAGGATTTGCCGTCGGGCGCCCAGTGCATAAGTTCTGCATTTGCAGTATCGTTGACCATTGACCACAGTTTGTTGACAAAAGCAGGTCTAGTCTTTGCGCTCGTTAGTTTCCGTTTGGGTAATTGTTTTGGAGAGACAGAAGGTTGTGGTTTCGCGACTGGCTTCAGCAGTCTATTTCTATAAGGCATGAGAATTGAATCCGATAGAAGAGAATCGTGAATGGGCGGGCGCTCTGTTTCGGTGTTGAGAGTTCCAGGATAGAAACTGGATGGTGTGCTCCGTCTGACGATATCTCCTGAATGTTCCTGACCCATGGGCAGCAAAGAGGCGTGAGTAGACAGCGGTGAGAAGATGCCTTGTCCCGAGCCCTCTGTCGACTGAGGATCGAAGTGGGCCGGTGACATAGCACTCGAAGGATCCCATGCGGGATTTACAATGTCCTCCACCACTGGCTGTGAGTTTTGGTGACCATTGCCAGCCGCCGTCTGATTGGGATTGATTATACTTTCGATCTCGTCATCATTGAGAATGTGGCTGTCGTTGTTTTGGTTTGTGGTGTGATCACTCATCGTTGCTGCGCTTGCAAACTTGTCGTGTGATAAAATAGCTCTGGATATGCTATCTTATTTCACAACTTCTTATAGGGTTCGTTGCGAGCAGACAAGCAACAGTAGCGACAAATATATGTACGAAGTTTCTTTAAAAGCGCAATAGATGCACTAACCAGGTGTAAATGGCTTGAGAAAGACTGCTGCTGGTCCCTCCTGCGTTGTTTGCAATTGAAGGTTTTCTACCAGCTCATCGATTAATTTTCATCAACAGTAAATTAGACTATATACTTCTTGAAATGTGGAAAACGTCCAGATACAAGATGTTCGTGAAGTACAATGAAACTACAATGTTTTCCAGCCCGGTATTGACTGTGCTTTGTACTTTGTGAAGCTAATGTGGGCCGGTCAAAAAGTGGCATTTTTTAATTTCCGTGTTTCGACAGTTTCTTGTGCCAAATGTACTTTACACACAACTTTCTTGAAAGTAGACCGACGGCGTTGAGCATATTTTTATTTGGCCTATCCATGAACTACATGTAGTTTCTTGTCTTAGGATAGTGCGATGCTTAAATCTAACGATACTTGCTCACCTATTTCGCCAAAAATGAACATATCCTGTCATCTACAATTTACACTACTTGCAGCATCGTTTCCATTGCCTTTGATAACGTTTTTGACTCTTTATTTCAAGTAAAAAAGAAATTTTGAGCATTTGATGGTGATTGATGGTGATTGACGAAATGTTGAATGTCATTGGGAGTAAATCGCCGTAACTTTCATTGATTCGGTCTTTGATGGGTTTAGCTTATTTTTCAATATCTTAATATCCAAGACACTGTCATCTACGATGTAAAGACAAAAAACCATCATCGGAAAGACACAGCAGATAGAAGAGGAATCCAAACACATGAAGCCCAAAGGTGATAAATTTGAAATCAGTTGTGTTAAATCAAATCGAAATTTGGGTTTTACTTTTGAAACAAATGGTAGAATTGAACTAAAACCTATTTAAAACTGAGCATCCAATGCCACACATAATTTCCCGTAAAATGCAAAAACTAGAGAAATCAAATCAAACCAAAAGCTGAAACATAGCAGACGTCAGTCGAAGCGGAAATCGCCAAAAGCATACATTTCGAGCAATGACACACGTTACTTACAATATTTATCACTATATACGCACAATGCCATCTCATTACGCGACACTATATAATTGATACACGTAACCTGATGCTCTCTATTCATCACAAAACAGCCGCTGAAAACAGAAATGAGCGATACCGACGAGGCTTCGGGACACCTTCTGGAGTCTGTATGGCCATTGATTGATGTAAAAGGTACTGGGTTTATATATGGTCGCGATTTCCCACTTGCAGTGTCGAAAATGGAGGAACTGCTGAATAAGGGCCAAGGCAGGTCAAAAACCTCCTTGGTATCCAAAACCGGACAAGAGATCCTCAAAAAGTTCAGCAGTGATCAGGAGTTTTTCAAGGTTTACAAGGATGACTTTGCAGAGCTTTTTGATGGACTACTTGGTACCACTTTTAGAACCGCCGTTCAATCGTGCTCCAGAGAAGGAGGGCCAGATTTTGGAGCACCAGCGCCAGAAACGGCCAGCTTCCATGATAACGAAGATACGCCTGTGGAATCTACTGAAATGCTGCGAGGCGAAATTGCCACTTTGAGAAATCAGCTGGGAGAACTGCGGCGGCAAAACGACGGAAAGGACCAGATCATAGCAGCTAAAGAGGCACTTCTAGTGGGGCTTCGAAATACCAGTGGTTCTCCAACAGCCAGTCCACTCACAAAGGCCGGCGCACGAAGCTTACAAGCCCGGATATCCCATTTATCGGAGGAGATTCAGGCCAGAGATGATGCGATACGAGAGAAAGACCATGAACTACTGTCCATGACTAAAAAAGTCGGGGAATACAGAGACAAGTATCAGTTTTTGGAGCGTGAGTTTCAATTCTACAAAGACCACGGTGAGCTACAAAAACCAGAAGCCACTAAAGAAGCCACAAGACACGAGTTCATCATATCGGAGCTCAGAAGAAAAATAACCGACCAAAGCGATATGATAAACACCATGCGATCACAAGTAGAGTCCAGGAAAACCCCCATTCCTCGTTCAAAAGCGGTTAGTGTAGAATCCACCATACTCGATATAATACCGCCACAGAAAGTGGTGAAGTGGATTGGAGCGGTTCTTGGAATCCTGCTCGTGACAAATATCGTCTTATACCTTATTGCGACCATTAGATCGATGTTTGGATCCTACTCTGCTTCAGGTTTGGGTACTAAAATTCGGCTAAATTGGTGGGAGCGAAGCTCGTTATCGAGCAAAATTGTCTGGTTTTTCTCCGATTACTTCGAGCAGGATTGGTCTACCGGTGCTGACGAAAATATCAATTCTAGTTACAACAAAATTTTTGGCGTATAGCCAGTCCAGTTTAGTAAGCTATGAAAAAGCTTTGCTTTGAGAAGAAAGTTGTTCAAAAGGTCTGACGTTACATATTCTTTTTGATGCACATGCACACAAATTTCAACAGCGTGTTTACGAGATCTCCGTTCCCGTTGTTTCCCTGGTTTGCATTGTGCTGCTGTTGAGGTTGTTGCTGGTACTGGGGCTGTTGCTGATACTGAGGTTGTTGCTGTTGAACGTAATTGTGAGGACGGTTCTGCTGGGGCTTTGCACTTGGGTTAGGGCGACTCACCGTGTTGTTGTGCGCATACGTCGAATAATCCATAGAACGCCAAGAATCAGGCACCTGGGCATTTTGGAGCTCAATGATCAAAACGCCCGAGTTTTTGGGGTCCACGTAATTCGGTAAATTGGCTTGCTTGCAAAGTTCCTCTACCGCAGGTTTTATTTTGGCTATACCATTTTGAGAGTGGATACCCTTACCAACGATCACCTCGAGTCTTTGTTCCTGATTGGCAACGCCTGCTGCTATTCTCCTCTGCAAGATCCACTGCGCTTCCTTGGTGTACAGCCCGTGCAGGTCTATTTCGTTTGAGTCACTGTCGGCGTTGTTTTGGGTGAAGACGTATTCTGCAGCCTGCATGTTGAACTTCTCGGCGACCTCTAGCTGTTCTTTTGCTTGTTCGCTAAGGTTATGAGCCTCGCTTTTGTCACCGCTCTTGAACGCCTGCTGGGACTGCTGAGAAAGTGACTGCCTCTTCTTGTAGGCGACATCAGCCAATCCGCGAAGGCGCTTGTATTCTGAGTCTGTGGCATGGTTGTAGTCCTTGTGCTGCGACAAGTACGCGCCTCTGTCGGCGACGGCGGCAGTGCTCATTGGCTGTTTACCTCTTGATGGGTTCAGATGGTTTGTTTTCGGTGCAATTTAGTGGGTTATTTTTATTTTTTCATGCGTGGAAGGCTTCGTCGAGCAGTAGGGAAGGGTTCTGGAAGCAAAATTGGCTTAAGAGTGACGTGAAAAGATCAATGTCAGCTCTCAATATATATGTTTACGCGGGCATAGTATGGTAATGGTGAATGTCTTTGTCATTGGCATGGTGCTCTGAGAATCCACAAAAGGTTAAAATTGTGCAGTGTCGCAGCTGGAAGTCAAAATAAGTGCGAGAAATATAAAAAATTATCGTTTAAGGCGGGACTGTGGTAGAGAGGGTTTAAGAGAAGAAATGATCACAAAAAAAAAGCACAGGCTCAGGATGACTGATGAGGGGGACTTCCCCAACGAAAAGCTGATTTTGGTTCTTCTATCGGATCACGTGTGACCTTTATTGGCGACGCAGGTGTGATGAGATGATAAAGAGTGTCTCGAAACCTACCAGAATACTCATCTCACGGGATGTGTGTAGCCCTGGTGTTTTACTGGCTCAATCTGTTACAGAATTCTCGAACGTTTGCCTGGTTCACGTGTGCCTCGTATTCCAGCGGCGAATGTCAGAACTGCAGCCTGCATGACAAGAAAAACCAAGAAAAAAAACAACAGCAACAACAACAACGACAACGTCAACGAGAATCGCCGCTTGTCTCCACCCCAAATTCCCAAAAAGCCGTCAATGCCCAATGTGCATTTGTCATGAAACCGTTGGCCTAATTCTTGAGGCCTTACGACGGCGTGGACAACGCCATGGAAAGAAAAGAGCGATAGCTACCGGTTCGGCTGTCTAAATGAACAAAGAAGGGCCTCGTATTGAGGGCGTATCGAACGGGATCTCCAATTCTGCTGCAGCTCGCGATTCAATTTCCCAATTAGTTGAAACGCAGGTATTTGGGAGGAATTTTTTTTTTTCCACAGGTCGTTCATGTGCACCCACTTTTATTGAGCGGGGGCCTCATTCTCCCAATGGGCTTGGCAGAGAGCATGTGACGGCTTATTCATTCATGCATTCATTCGTTCATTCACTCACTAACTCACTCACTCACTCATGTTATTTTGGCATCTTTATTTCCGGCTTTAAGTGATATGCGTGTAAAGACACATGAGGGTTTGATAAAATTTGCATTCTTCGCGCCCGTAACGGTTACCAGTTTGATCTTCCGTTTCAGATTCGGTTTCGGTTTTGGTTTTGGTTTCAGTTTCGGTTTCGATCCAATTCGTTTCCGCTTTCTAGCGGCCCCGTCTTTCGCTTCCTTTTCTTTTCTTGTCGGGTTTTTTCGGCCTTCTCGGGATTTTTTTCGGTTATGCGTTTATCATTATGACGCCGGCCTCAACGGGCGTGCAAACCTACTCTGTTTTTCTGGTGATGTCAGTGTTGTTGCATCGCATGAGAAACTAAAACCCGAAGATTGGCAACTGGCCTGCGTAGGGACTGGTGCATCCAGCCAACCAGCACAATATTCTGGTGTCACTTTTCTGGTGGTAGCGAGCACAATATTGCACAGCGTTTGGCAAAGGCGGCCTGCCGCACGCGAAGTCTAAGATGCGTTGCCGATCTCATTTCAAAAGGGCCACCCGGTGCCTGCGTTGTCACAGATATGGAGAGAAACAGCGAGCCTATGATCAGAAAGGCAAGGCAAGTCATACACTTTTTTCTTGGCCAAGGAACGGCTCAACCTCTATGACAACGACAGACCAACTACTAGCCACTACGCTGCGTAAAGCGTGTAGTAGTGCCGTGCCGGAATCGTAAAAAACACAGAAAAAAGAAACAGTGGAAAAATAAATAGGGGTCCCGGCCATGGTCGCCGAGGACGAAGGACGCTTATCCCCGGCTGCTGCACTTCGTGTGGCGTTTGCTGTTTGCGGAAAGTATGCTTCCCAATGCGGACGGTCATGCATGCACGTCGAGAACAATGGCGGATGGTCTTACTAATCGTGCATGATGCATGTGTTGGCATGCCTACGCCCGAGAGGCAGAAAAACTACGTTGTGTTGATGAAATTGGGCAACTTATTTTTATTTTTTTGGCCTTTTTTTTTCCATCCTGGGTTTTTCCCTGTTTGGGTCTGCCCTGCTGGGCTCTACTTCCTCTTCTCGTTGGCTTTTCGGACACAGATTCTCGCGACGCTCCCTCCACACATACACGACTCAGCTCACATTCTTGCCATGCATCGCACGGCTACTTGCTGTCCGTCGTACCTGCCACGCGGTGTCTGTGCTTCTTGCCGTAGCCTCTCAGAAGACGCGCGGCGGTGAAAAGTTACAACAACGTTCGGCAGGAACAATTGGGCTATCGTGTGTGTGTGTAGGCATGCGCGTGCGTGTACTCCATTCAATGACAACAACAGCTGCACCGAGCTCTCTATCACCCTCTCACAAAGGCCCGCTCCGTCCCACCTTTCGTTGACTTTCTAATATGCCCAAAAAACCACCAACAGTTTGCCCATGTCCACACAGAGCTTCGCGGTACTTCGCGGTACTTCGCCGTGCTATGCAGTGAGTGAGTTACGTCTACTGCCTTTTCTTTTTTTCCTCTACGTTTCGGTTTCTGTCCGTGTTTTGCGCTCATGCCATGACACAGCGTTGATCCCAATCTTCCATCCATCCTCCGCCCAGTGTGCTTATTAAAGGGGACACCCTTCGGGGCCTAGGCACCCTTCGAAACCTCTAATGGTTTTTACGATACAATGTGTGTTTGCCGATCACTGTCGCCATTATACTCATTGTGTGTGTGTGTGTGCAGTAAGGAAAAAAATTAAAGAAAACTCGCTTTCCAAGCCGTGGAAAAGTACGACCCGTGAGCTGGGCGTGCAGACGCCATCAAAAAAGGATCACCATACACCAATCAATTTCACAAGACGAAGACAACCCGTTACGGTGTTGCCAATTCAGATCGAAAGTTTTGGTCGTGGAGAAAGGCTCCGTTTGCAGAGTGTTTGGCCAATTAGAGAGAGCAGGAGAGATAGGGATAAAGAGAGAGAAAGAGAGAAACAGAGAGTAACCCGTGGTTATTGACGTCTGTCCTTTTTTTTGATCTGAGATTCGAAGCCTGAATTTTCGTGCTCCCTCGTTCGCTACAGCTGGTCTTGTCGCATTTTTCCAGTTGCACACGCGCGCACATAAACCGGGAGCATTCTGTGATTTCACAATCGAAAGATCTTTTGCAGCTGCATCAACAATACTGGACGGAAAATTTACCAGATAAAAAGGAAGAGAAACTACTTAGTGTTGCCCCGCTTCCATTACCACACAAGAGGAATTTCGGGAAAAAAAACAGCATTGGCTACCAAGAAACGCATTGTTTAGCCTACCCTTTGCAGCAGCAGCAGCGATTGACCTCTGGAAAAACCTTCTGAAGGCCTGTCACCGCACCCACACACCACGCGCAACAAACTAAATCAACGCTATGCGTGAATCGCGACACCAAAAATTCGTGTGGACCATCCGTCACGATTGCGCACTTGTAGACTCAGTGCTGGCGCTGGGAGACATGCTAGCGGATCCCATCCGTTCATATCCAAGAACCAAGTTTTGGGCAAGTGTGAGTGATGAGCTGCATCTGACGCATCAATTGGCACGCAACAGTCGGCAATGCCGGGACCGTTTCAATCTATTGTTCTCACGCGCATTGCTGGTACCTGCAGAACTGCGGCGATCACCCCCATTGTCTTCGAATCCGCTGCCTGCCAGCGTTGCTGCCGGGCCTATATCACGTGGGACGGTATACGACGAGTCATCAGAGGCTGACTTACCCATACCGTCAGAAATGGTACTTGAGTCCAGACTACAAATGTGCGTGCGACGGTTTCGATTTGGCAATGGAAGAAGCCTGGAGCTGAACAACAGCGGCAATCTCAATAATAATATCAACAACAACAACAACAACAACAACAGCAGCAACAACAGCAATAATCTTAGCATCATCAACGCGAGCAACGCAGCAGCAGCAGCAGACCGTCTCGCTACCACCATTGCTTCACATGGCCCGGTTCTGGAAAGCCCACCGCCACCACCGCGAACGGGAGCTCTTCATGAACTAATACACCCACCGGATTCGCCATCGCAGACGACCGTAGCACGGCCGGAAGCACGGTTTGCGGATCTGGCCCTCATACACTCACAGCTGCACCATGTGCATTCTGTGTTGGGCACACTCACGACAGATGTAGCACAACTCAAGGCTCAAGTTACGCAATTGCAGCAGTGTCTTTCGCAGCGTGACGGCGGTGACGAGAGCGGCTGTGCTAAGCAAGAATGAGCCTACCGAGACTTCACCTTTGTTTCGGCATATGCATGCACCAACACGCACTCACGCTCACGTCAGTTATTGTAATATTAGTTACCCAGCAGGGACAAAAGAAAAGCAAAGCAGTGCGAAGCAGAGAAGGAAAGGAACGAAAGAAGGGAACGCTTCCGGCCCGATCCAACAATGGTGAGACTCACGCAAGGAAAAAAGCTGGCGTCGCATTTGTGGCTTTCGTCATAGGATTACCGTGAACACTACGGCAGGAAAAACTTCCACAAAGCGCGTTGATCAATACAGTCACCGAGACGGATGCAATCTTGTGGTTTCGCCGCTTTTACACGACATTCCTCAATTGCTTCATGCAGCCTCGACGTGCCTCTCTTGAACAATAAGATCTGTTTGTCTGCTCGCATTGTCTTGAGCCAGCACCTACATACGAACCGTTTGAAAACGCATGCATACGCATATACATACAGTATACAGGCTAGTATACACATTTCTGCGTTAAGAAAGAATACATGCATGACGGAATCGCTAGCCCTAATGGCGACGCCCTATTGCCGTCCATAAAGCTCACTGTTTGTAAAAAGCGTAACCCGGTGTTTTGGAGTGTGTTTAGCGAAGTCTCATAAAAAGCTGAGATCAGATATCGAAGTATCAATCTTAATCACCACTTTTTTAATGAAAAGAACAAGAAACATACCGAAAACATCAAAACAACTGGGAGAAAGCGGTAACGTCGTGTGGTGTCGGGCCATGAGAACATGGCCAACTCACGAAAGGCGTCTGTTTCCCTCTGTTATCCTCTGGATCACGGTTTTGAGTTGACCTTTGCGTCGATTGTGTGTTTCTTAATCTCTCTTTTCTAGTTTAGTGCTTGTAGTCATACATGTGTGTGTTAAGGTTTGGGTGATGAAAAGTGTATATCAACATTTTACAGTGGCTAGCTACGGCGATGTTGTCTACTACGTTAACCATCTTTCGGGGCTGACATCCTTAACACAGAGAAGTATGAGAATATGTAGCAGCGAAGTAGGCCGTAGGACGTAGGAGTTCTTGGATTCGGACGAATGAGAAAGGTTTGGGCTTTTCGATAATTGCAACTTGTCACAAATCAGAAGTCTCGAAACATGCAGTGTGATGTGAATACAAAGTTCCAGGACTTCCACTTCTTGGCTTCTTCAGTTCTTACTTCAAACCTGGATGTCTGTCTATCGCTGTTTGTTATAGAACAGAGACTTACTAAATTCGATGTTCTGAGTTGTGACTGCTAACACCCATACATCTTTTCAAAATTGTACCAAATTTTTAAATATTTAAAAAATCCCAAAAATAGTTTTTCAAAAAATTATTTTCACGAACCCACGCAAAAAATTTATTATTCTCATCGCTCAGCGGCTGGCAACTTTTTCTTCACGATTATAAAAGGAGACACTTGAAAGATTGTACAGACCACTAATGTCTTGATCAAAGTAGAACCATCTACAATTCAATCAAAAATGGCTGCTGAGTATGTTTTCCACTGCTAACAAGTAGAGTAATCACGAAATTGCTCTTCTTTATGAATTCCTCATAATGAACTACAAGTTGCATCGGACCTGATCAAACACCTTTCAAGACCATTTTTTATTGGTGTTTTTTTACAGGCCTTTGTGAATCAATTCGGTGTTTTTTCCGATACTCTGGCAATTCTCATTTTTCGAGAATGCCGCCCGTAGGGGACTTTTCACCAGAGAAAAAAGTTTATTTTTTTCGGGTGGAACAAAGACATGGATAGCTGGACGTTGGGGTCTCTTTTTTTTCACTCTTGAAAACCACCGTTGTATTTCCCAACTGTTCTTCATCCTGTCTCTGCCATTTCCCCCACCGTCGAATGGAACGTGGTGTGTTTCAGTTCGATGTGACTTTGTATTCGACGAGTATATGGTCCGTTTGCTAACCAGAAATTTCTTGTGTATAGAAAGGTCCAGGTCCCAGAATCCCAATTGAAGAAGTCTAAGGCTCAACAAAAGTCGGCCGAGCAAGTCGCCGCCGAGAGAGTCGCCCGCAAGGCTGTATGTTGAAAACACTCAAACAACCCAGGACCCTTAGTCACGGGTCCGGCTGTAAGGCTAAGCACGCATCCCGCCAAAGCGCACTCCGTGAGCTCACGGAACCTGCGTGCTGTGACAGTCTGTCGTTTTTTCCACTTCTGTTTTCTTACAATGATGAAATTTTCCCAAATATCATTTTGATCGACTAGCTACGGCAATGTTGTCGAAACTTACACCATCTTTCGCCTGATTTTTGCTAAGAAACAGAAGAGGTTAGACACATACAGACTTTGGTTTGCGGTTGCGTAGCAGTACTGTCGCATTTCTTTCTACAAAACAACTTACTAACCGTCTTCTGTTTACAGGCCAACAAGGAAAAGAGAGCTGCCATTTTGGAGAGAAACGCTGCCTACCAGCAGGAGTACGTTGACGCTCAAAGAGCCATCATCGACGCCAAGCGTGAGGCCAAGGCCAACGGTTCTTTCTACATCGACGCCCAGCCAAAGTTGGTTTTCGTTGTCAGAATCAAGGGTATCAACAAGATTGCTCCAAAGCCAAGAAAGATCATGCAGTTGTTGAGATTGAACCAGATCAACACCGGTGTTTTCGTCAAGGTCACCAAGGCCACCTCCGAGCTTTTGAAGTTGATCGAGCCATACGTTGCCTACGGTTACCCATCTTTCGCCACTGTTAGAAAGTTGGTTTACAAGAGAGGTTACGGTAAGATCAACAAGCAAAGAATTGCTTTGGCCGACAACTCTATTGTCGAGGCCAACTTGGGCCAATTCGGCATTGTCTCCATCGACGACTTGATCCACGAGATTGTCAGCGTTGGTCCTCACTTCAAGCAGGCCAGCAACTTCTTGTGGCCATTCAAGTTGTCCAACCCATCTGGTGGCTGGGGTGTTCCAAGAAAGTTCAAGCACTTCATCCAGGGTGGTTCTTTCGGTAACCGTGAGGAGTTCATCAACAAGTTGGTCAAGTCCATGAACTAAGCTAACCTTCTTGGCACGCTGACAAAAACAAACGCTATACTTACTCTTATATAGCGGGTGTGTACTTGTCAAAACATCCATGGTTGTTCAGTTCATCTTGTTAAGGTTTTTCAGAAATTATAATAAGTTTATGTATATTAGTGCTAGACTCTTCCCAGTGAAGAACTAAAGAAAGGTTGAATAAGGACACAACAAGACGCCACGGTGCCGATTAAGCTATCAAATGTCAACTGACTGTTAGTTACAACCCGATTCTGAACGTGATGAGCTTCAAAATCGTGTGTAACTATGGCTATTTCCCGAGTTTTTGGTTTTCGTTTTCACATGGTCATTATTCGCACTGTTAAATCACACTGAAAATGACGATAAAACGACCATTTTTGACCGTTGAAAAAGCCTGAACCAACGTGTAACTATTCTGAACACATTACCATTCAAAAACTGGTCTTAGAAGAGCCGAATTGCTGGTTGTTTTGCTTGTTTTTCTCTTCAGATTTGGAACTTTTTCGTTTATTGGCCTCCATATCATCAAATCTCAATCTCGAGCCGGACTGATAAACTGAAAAAAATTGGGAAAAAAATACCAAGACTTGATAAACTTTAAGCTCATCTCACCTCATCTCATCTCATCTCATTTGATCTCATCTCGTCTGATTTAGTCCCACCAGTTTCTTTGTTCGAATTGTGTCCGCTCGGTTTGGTTTTGTTAAACTCTCAGTTTTAGGTCTTACTAGCTTTTCAGACTAGTCTAATAGGCCTCGACCTATTAAAATAATACCATTATCGAATCACCGATATCGAAAATGGTAACAGAGGGAAGCACCTCTTTTAGAGGTAATGTTTCCTCGCGTGACAGCTCCGAATCATCGGCTAAACAGGCTGTGCACGAATTCCATAAAGGCGACGAAGTAGCGATTTCCGAAAACTTCGCAAAAAGCTCAGAAGGCCAGCCGGAGGGCCAGCTGAGAAGACAATTTTCGGTGTGGTCGATCCTGGGAGTCGGCTTCGGACTCACCAACTCGTGGTTTGGTATCTCAGCGTCCATGGTAACAGGTATCTCCTCCGGCGGACCCATGATGATCGTGTACGGTATCATAATCGTGGGTTTGATCTCGGTGTGTGTGGGTGTGTCGCTTGGAGAACTGTCCTCGGCGTACCCTCACGCCGGAGGTCAGTTCTGGTGGTCGTTGAAATTGGCCCCCGCCAAATACAAGAGATTTGCTGCCTACATGTGCGGATCCTTCGCATATGCAGGCTCGGTTTTCACCAGTGCGTCTACGACGCTCTCCGTGGCTACTGAACTAGTGGGCATGTACGCCCTGGCACACCCAGATTTCACCGTAAAGAGATGGCACGTCTTTGTGTGTTTCGAGTGTCTGCATCTGTTTTTGATGTTATTCAACTGCTACGGGAGATCGTTGCCCTTCATATCGTCCAGTGCTCTGTACATCTCGCTATTTTCCTTCGTGACAATCACGATCACCGTGCTTGCATGTTCGCATGGGAACTACAATGATGCCAAATTCGTGTTTGCCACTTTTTTCAACGAAACCGGATGGAAAAGCAGCGGGATTGCCTTTATTGTGGGTCTGATTAACCCCGCTTGGTCCTTTTCTTGTCTGGACTGTGCCACACACATGGCTTTCGAAGTCGAAAAACCGGAACGTGTCATTCCCATCGCCATCTTAGGTACCGTGGCAATCGGATTCTGTACCTCGTTCTGCTACGTTATTGCCATGTTTTTCTCTTTGCACAACCTCTCCGCTATTACCAGCTCTAACACCGGGGCTCCAATTCTTGACATTTATTTTCAAGCGTTGGGTAACAAAGCGGGTGCTCTAGTGTTGGGTACGTTGGTTCTGTTGACATCGTTCGGCTGCGTTATTGCATGTCACACTTGGCAGGCAAGATTATGCTGGTCTTTTGCCAGAGATGAGGGTCTACCATTCTCCAAGTTCATGTCTAAAATTAACCCACAGCTTGGCATTCCATTGAACGCCCACTTGGTGTCTTCATTCCTTATCGTGTTATTGGGTGTGCTGTACTTGGCTTCCACAACAGCTTTCAACTCGTTGATCACCGGATGCATTATGTTTTTACTTCTCTCATACATTGTTCCGGTGATTTGCCTGCTATTGAAGAAACGCGATATCAAACATGGTCCATTCTGGCTTGGCAAATTCGGCTTACTATGCAATATCGTGCTACTGGGTTGGACCGTTTTCGCCTTTGTATTTTTCTGTTTCCCCTTCGTGATGCCTGTTGAGAAGGACAACATGAACTACGCTTCGGTGGTAATTGTCGGATACTTACTCTTCTCCTTGCTGTATTGGGTTTTCAGAGGGCGCAAGAATTTCCACGCCGTCGAAGAGGAAGACTATGGTTCTGAAGATCCTTATTTAATGGAATAAGTCATTGGGATGGGTTATTGAATATAAATCAAGAGTGTACTAGTAAACTAATAACAGTCGGTTAATCTGAGTTAGAAAGCGTATTCTGATCATTTGTGAGGTCTGATCGGGCAGGACAGAGCTATCAAGAACATCAGCGAAGTCCGGATTCGTTCTGTACAGGGCAATGGCTAGAAGAGCTGTCACTGTAGTACAAAGTGATACACAGTTTTGAACCCTGTCATCACTGCTTATCTTCCACCACAGAGCCATGATAATCACCCCCACAAGCTCAAAATGCTTCAGAAAAGACAATAGTGGACTTGAATTCCCAAAAAAGTGTGATCCTGAATTTTCGATGGCTTCTACAATTGTCAAGAAACTAGGTCTTAAAATCACGCCAAAACGACCAGAAACAAATGCTTAACCATGGAATTTCTACTACAAGCTATACATCCCAAATTTATCAATCTTGCCCACCGATCCTCCCGGCCTCTTTGGAAAAACTGTCACTTCTACAAATCGCGTTAAACAGCTGGAAAATTTTCAATATTTGTATTAGTGAAAAAAAAGTCAGATGAGATGAGATGAGATGAGATGAGCTCACCAACACTTCAAAACTTTACAAACGTCAACGATCAAGCATTTCATCCACTCCTAACGATGTCCACCGACGAGATCAAGCAGCGGAAGCGTAAGCAGGATGACACGGAAGTCGCTGCTCAAAAAAAGGTGAAGAAAGACAAGAAAGAGAAGAAGGACAAGAAGGACAAGAAGGATAAGAAGGAAAAGAAGGAAAAGAAGGAAAAGAAAGAGAAGAAGGCCAAAAAAGACTCTGCAAAAGATCAGGAGAATGCCGTTGAAGCTCAGGTTGAAGCTGACAATTCCAGCGTCACTAGAAGTCCTACAGAGGAAAGTTCAGTTCCAGACTCTGGCTACGTTGAAAGTAAACTGCTGGCCAAACTTCCTCAAAGCGAGGTGGATGAATTTTACACTGAAAACGAGGTCAGTGTGGACGATCCAAAGAAGCTCAACTTACGTCCACTTTTGTCGTTCGGCCACCTCGAATTATCGTCAGAAATTCAAAAAGAGATTTCTAAATTCCCAAAACCTACACCAATTCAAGCCGTTTCGTGGCCTTATCTGCTGTCTGGACGTGACGTGATTGGTGTTGCGGAAACGGGTTCCGGAAAAACCTTTGCGTTCGGCGTTCCTGCAATCAACAACTTGATGAATGCAAAGGGCTCAAGAAATGCTGGGGTCCAGGTTCTGGTGATTTCCCCTACCCGTGAGCTTGCTTCCCAGATTTACGATAACCTGATCTTGCTTGCCAAGAAGGCCGGTGTGCACTGTTGCTGTCTGTACGGTGGTGTTCCAAAAGACGAGCAAAGAGCTCAGCTGAAAAAGGCCCAGGTAGTGGTCGCTACGCCAGGTAGATTGCTCGATCTAATCGAAGAAGGATCTGCCAGACTTGCGAATGTGGACTACCTGGTGCTCGACGAAGCCGATCGTATGCTCGAAAAGGGTTTTGAAGAGGATATCAAAAGAATTATTGGCTCTACAAAGAGCATTGGAAGACAAACCCTGATGTTCACAGCCACTTGGCCTAAGGAGGTGCGCGAATTGGCTAGTACTTTCATGAAAGACCCAGTCAAGGTTTCGATTGGTAACAGAGACGAGCTTTCGGCCAACAAACGCATTACTCAAATCGTGGAAGTGGTTGAACCTTTCAAGAAAGACCGTAAGCTACTCGATCTTTTGAAAAAATACCAGTCCGGTGCCCGTTCCAACGATAAGGTTCTGATTTTCGCTTTGTACAAAAAAGAAGCTGCTCGCGTGGAGAGGAACCTCAATCACAACGGTTACAAAGTTGCTGCTATCCATGGAGATTTGTCGCAACAACAAAGAACCCAAGCCTTGAGCGAGTTCAAGTCTGGCGTATCAAACCTGCTGCTGGCCACGGACGTTGCTGCAAGAGGTCTAGACATTCCTAACGTGAAGACAGTGATCAATTTGACCTTTCCATTGACCGTGGAGGACTACGTTCACAGAATCGGGAGAACAGGACGTGCTGGCCAGACCGGTACTGCCCATACGCTTTTCACAGAGCAGGAAAAACATCTTGCGGGCGCTTTGGTCAACGTCTTGAACGGTGCAGGACAGCCGGTTCCCGAGGATCTCAAAAAGTTCGGTACTCACACCAAGAAGAAGGAACACAGTGCTTACGGTGCGTTTTACAAAGACGTTGACACCACCAAGAAGCCCAAGAAAATCACTTTCGATTGAAAAATCGGGTCTAGTCAGCATTTCCCTCCCTCTTCTGTATAAATAAAATATGTAAACTAAGATAAACTTAAATCGTTGTGAAGAAGCCGCTCTCAGCTTGAACGCACGGCTGTTCAAGAGCTGGCATATACTCAAAGGGCAGGTCCAAATTTTTGGGATTACAGCTTCATTGATGACTACACTAATCTGAGTGAACTCCGTTACAAACTGCTCGACAGACATCCGATATTAATATTGTTCGAGCCAGAACAGCGTCCAATTGACCAAATTTTGACCAAGTTTGACCATTAGAAACACCGAAATCTGCAAATTCTACTCAAGACTTGTCTAGCCCTTTTATCGTTCACGTCGACATGAGTTTTATCGGTTTTAGGTGGACGGAATTTCATGTCGTTCTGATTCTTGAAAAGAATTGATAAAATGATACTTATAAGTCTAGATCTTATACAACAGTTTAACAAAACTTCGAGCCAGTTAGACTTCCTACCACCTCTATATCGCTTCAAAAACCCATGAAGATACTATCTATAACATGAGCAAAACCATACAACGATGCGAGATCGAAGAACGGATTTCAAAGGGCCAGGCTATCGTTATTTATCGTGGATACGCTCTGAGACTTGATAAATGGATCAAATTCCATCCTGGCGGTGACAAGGCTATCCACCATATGATTGGAAGGGATGCCACTGACGAAATGAATGCGTATCATTGTGATGAGACCGTTGCTCAGTTTTTGAGATGGAAAATAGGCACAATTGAAGGAGATTGGGTGAATTACGTTCCTCCGATCCAAGGCGGCGTGTTCGACTCTAAGCCAAACGTCGTCGAACCTGAACACCAGAAAAACGATATCAAGATGTGTGGCGAACCTGCGGTTAAAATTGTTCCTAAAATGCCCCAAGGTGTGGTGCCATCTTTGGATATGACAGAAGCTTTCGAGCAGCATATCGTAGTGGATCGAGCCCTAATGCCAGCAGATCGCTACGACGATGCTCTTGTGCGAAAGGACTTGGCATCCCTGCCTAGTCTCGATGCTGCAACCCAGCAATGGCTTTCCCGTGAGTATAATGACATGCATCAAAAAATCATTGCTGCAGGTTTATATCAATGCGACTATTATCGCTACGCTAAAGAATTGACACGTATAAGCATTCTTTTCGGCTTGTCGTTTCTTCTGTTATTTGCATATCACCGTAACTTTTGGAGTGCGATTTTCATGGGCGCCGCATGGCAGCAGCTTGTATTTATCGCGCACGACGCAGGCCATATTGGCATTACTCACAATTATCAAGTCGACAACATCATCGGTATGCTAGTTGCATCGTGGATTGGAGGGCTTTCACTTGGATGGTGGAAACGGAATCACAATGTCCACCATTTGGTTACCAACGACCCGGTCCATGATCCAGACATTCAACACTTGCCCTTCTTTGCTGTGAGTACACGACTCTTCAATAACGTTTACTCCACATATTACGAACGATTCTTGTGGTTCGACGCACTAGCACGCAAAACTATTCCCCTTCAGCGTTTCCTCTACTACCCCATCCTGAGCTTTGGCCGCTTCAACTTGTATCGCTTGAGTTGGATGCATGTATTGCTGGGACTTGGACCTCGGCGAGGCAAAGCTGCGTGGTTTCGATACTTTGAGCTTGCCGGTTTGACATTTTTCAATTACTGGTTTTTCTACTTGGTGTGTGGCCGAGGGCTTTCAACAACATGGGATCGTGTACAGTACGTGTTGGTTTCACATATTACGACCATGATTGTACATGTCCAAATCACATTATCGCATTTTGCGATGTCTACGTCGGATTTGGGAGTTGCAGAAGGTTTTCCAATGCGTCAATTACGCACATCAATGGATGTGGATTGTCCAAGATGGCTCGATTTCTTCCATGGTGGCTTACAGTTTCAAGTAGTGCATCATTTGTTCCCCCGGTTGCCGCGACACAATCTGCGCGCCGCACAGCCCTTTGTGATTGAATTTTGCCGGAGGGTGGGTTTGAAATACTCTATCTATGGTTTCACTAAGGGGAACGAAGTGGTTCTTAGCAAATTAGAGGAAATCGCTTTGCAGGCAAAGACTATGCTGGATTGTGCAAAGACTATGAATGCTCGAAACTCAGCCGAATAGACCATATTTTCGCGGATATCAGATTTGAGTTAGGAGAGGAATGCCAGCGTCGGACACATTTCCGCACAGAAATGTTATCCCACTAGTTCGCGGGGTATATATACTCTGGGATGAGGGTTAGAGGATACATGGGAAGAAGTAAGTGACCACGAGGATCCAGACCTGGGGATCTTAACCTAAAGGTCAGCGTTCATATCAGAATATCAATTGCTACATCAGTGCAGATAACACTGATGAGTAGTTATGTCTCGTTTTGCATCGTTTTGCAACATATCCTCCAAAAGCTGCTTCATACACCCCGAGGCTGATGACCATCGACTCCAAAGGTTGCCAATCTCAGCCGTCTATTCGCTACCACGCTCAAAAATTAGACTTTAAGACTCCAAAAACAGCATGATGTCTCGAATCGATTGATAACGATCCTATTCCCAATCAAGAAGCGTTGCATGGAACATTGTCATTCAAAAACCAGCAAACACAAATCCCAGGACAACTTTGCAACCTGCATTGTACATACTTAGCAAGTCCGGGATTTTGCTGAACACTTGGTCTGAACACTCGGTCTGAACACTCGAAATGACAAAATGCCAGAATTGAGCTGGTTCGAAATCCAGCAAGCGTCCAACGCAACCAACGTCAAGATTCATAAATAATAGTTCATACAGTCTCACTGGAGAACATCAGAGGGCAAAATACCGTCTGGTTCTCTACTGACACATTCCAAATACCATCTCGAGTACTGACACCGTCGTCGAGTATTTCAGCTTAAGGTATCCGTTAACAAGGCATCGATCGTATGGGAAAGCTATCGCCAACGAATGCCTTAGCCACACGCTTCAAGCACACACGAACGGCTTTGTATCATTATCTATAGCACATGAAAGCATTAAAACGTCGTCTTTCCACGATGAAGGGTCGCCAGGATACCACAATTGATACAGACTCTGTTGATAACACAACTCCAGCATTTGAAGACGAATCGTTGCCTCCAGTGACACTCCATGGGTATATTGAAAGTACCCGAAGTCGATTGCTGTCTCCAGACATCTGTGATGAGCTACGCAACCTAATGCCCACCCGTATACAGCTGTATTCGGACTGGCACTTGCTGTACAGTCTGCAACAACATGGGGCATCTCTACAATCGCTGTTCGGTCGCACAGCTCCCGATCAAGCAGTCCCAGCACGTATTGGCTATGTGATTCTGATAGAGGATCGGAAAGGTGGGCTTTTTGGAGGATATTGCAACGAACCACCACGTCCATCGGACAGTAAACGGTACTATGGGAACGGAGAGTGTTTCTTATGGCGATTGGAACGGGCAGCAAGTGTGGATTTGGGTGGTGTAAAGAATGAGAATGATGCCGATGGCTGGAGATTCTGTGGGTATCCTTACACCGGACTGAATCATTTCGTTATGCACAGTACGAGCCATTATTTCTCGATGGGAGCGGGTGATGGTCATTATGGACTCTGGTGCGATCAAGCGCTGGAAACAGGCGTCACAAACCCGAGTTTGACATTCGGAAACGAATGTTTGAGTCGAGAAGGTGCGAAATTCCACATTGTGAATCTGGAGGTCTGGAGAGTGGGCTGAAAAGATGGCTACAACCGGATTGTAAGCAAGGCATAGCGCCAGAAAAAGACACCGGAGCCTGCTGTACAGCTCACATACGTCGTATCCATACCAATACAAATGACACATCTGCTTAAAACCTTATATCTACAGATTTATGGAGATTTTTCAATTTTCTTCGCTTGTGAGCGTCCATCCAGTTTAGCTCAATGTTCCTCGTCAAGAACCCGCTCGACCTCGTCTTTAGCTTGCTGGTACTCAATTGCATACCGTTTTTCGAACACTTTCTCTACCTGCTTGACCCGTCCACTACAGAATTCCAAACGACGACGGATTTGTCGAGCTACTTGCGAACCCCGGGCAAACCGGGTCTCCAGATGCGGCAGCCGTTGTTGCAAAGTGTCTACCAACTGTTCGAGTTCTCTACTGCGGGAATTGATGATTCCTGCGGTTCTAGTTTGTATAGCTATAGCTTGAGCAAAGTCCGCACTGTTCAAGGCATGAGCCAATGACTGGAAAATGTATCGAGAAACATCAAAAACCGGTGCTTCGAGCGGTCGTGCTAGCCAATCGCGTCCAACTTGCTCATTGTCGTTTTCTTCACCATTTCCCCATTCTTCTTCCTCTGCTTCTTCTTCACCGTCATCGCTGCTACTACTACCGGTGGATATAGGAGACTCTGGGGCCGGAATTGCATACATCTGAGAATCTATACTGGTTGTACGGGATCTAGACCCGATATCACTACTACCAATGTCACTCATGGGCTTCTAGCTAGTCTTTCTTATGATTTTGAACTAGTTAACGTCCTTAGTGTATAAATACCTAACGTTTTTGATCTAAACCTTTAACTTCGAATACCACTTGCCAAAACCAAAAAACAAGGTTAAAATCGCGTCAGAGGTGGGATTTTAACAGTCAAGAGACTGCCTTAGCGTGTGGAGTGGATAATAAGGCATGGCATCAGCTTATGCGGCCTCTGCGGAGGACGTAGTGCGAAGATTGCGTCCATTTGGCATGTTTTTTGAGACATCGCTAAAGGACTTGATCAAGAGCATTCGTGGGGCAAGTGAGGACCCTGAACAGCTGCAACAGGTCCTGGGACAAGCGTTGGCAGATTGCAGGGAAGAAGTACGGTCGCCAGATGTCGAATTGAAGGCCAATGCCGTGGTTAAACTCACGTATTTGGAAATGTACGGTTTCGACATGGCTTGGGCCAATTTCCATATCCTGGAAGTCATGAGCAGTAGTAAGCTCCAGCATAAGCGCATAGGGTATCTGGCAGCCTCGCAAACGTTCTACAAAGACGCAGACGTTTTGATGTTGGCAACGAATCTGCTGAAAAAGGATCTGCGGTATGAAGGTCGACGCGATGGTCGTAACGATGTGCTGACTATGGGCGTGACTTTGAGCGGGCTGTCGACTATGGTAACCGCGCCGCTGGCACGGGACATTTGCGACGACCTGTTTGGGATGTTGAGCAGTTCAAGACCTTACATTCGCAAAAAAGCCATTGCAGCTCTTTTTAAAGTGTTTTTGCAGTTTCCAGAGGCACTTCGAGACCATTTTGACCGGTTTGCTGCCAGATTACGTGACGAAGACCAATCGGTCGTCTCAGCCACTGTAAGCGTTGTCTGTGAGCTATCCAAAAAAAACCCACGTCCATTTGTTGTGTTATCACCACTGCTTTACGAAATGCTCTTGACTATCGACAACAATTGGATCATAATTCGGCTGCTGAAGCTGTTTACAAACTTGGCTCAGGTAGAACCGAAACTAAGAGCCAAGATTCTCCCCAAAGTCCTGGATCTTATGGAAATGACTTCGGCAACATCAGTGATTTACGAATCGATCAATTGTATCGTGCGGGGCCACATGCTGGAGGAAGATGACTACGATGCGGCAGCAACATGCCTACAAGAGCTTATTAAGTTCTGCAACTCGAATGATCCAAATTTGCGTTACATTAGCGTAATTCTATTCTACAAGATCGGAAAAATCAATCCTGAGTTCATCGCCAAGTTCGACACGCTAGTAATTCGGCTGCTCAAAGACGTGGATGTTTCGATTCGAAGCCGCGCTTTAGAGCTCTTGGAAGGTGCTACAGACGAAGACAATCTCGCTTCCGTCGTGCAAACTTTAATACAACAGTTTACGGACAAAGATATGGTTTCCACAAGCAATCTTTTCCAACAGGCTTCAAAGACCTGTATAGAGATTGAGATCCCCGTTTCCTACAAGATAAAGATGGTCAGCGTGATTTTGAAAATCTGTTCCTTCGACAATTACGCAAAGATCCCTGACTTCGATTGGTATATAGCTGTCCTGTCAGATCTGTGCGTAGTTTCACAGGATTTGAACAACAGCACTATCGGAAACCAGCTAGCGGATGAAATACGAAACGTAATGGTCAAGGTGCCTGATTTGCGGCCTAAATTCATCGAAACGATAGTGAATTTGGTGCTAAATCCAGATATAACGCAGCAAATGCCAATGATTTTGCGAGAAGGGTATTGGTGTATTGGCGAATACTCGAGCATTTTGAGAAATGGTGACGAATTCATCAAGAAATCTGTGAAGCAGCAACGGGTTCAACCGCAAGTTCTACAAATAATGTCACAGGCTTTAATCAAAGTCTTCAGCAATTGGTGTAATAATGACGCCGAAAGTAAATCCGTTCCGCGCGTCAAAGAAGTTCTTGGAGAGCTGGTAGGATTCTATGAGTGTCTCAGTACCTCCCAATGGTTTGAGGTGCAAGAACGTGCTGTGGAATTTCTTGAATTCTGCAGACTTTGTGACGAATCCCTCAAAAGCGACGAGGAAGAGCTGCCTCTCCTGATAACCGAGATTCTGCCTGGGTTTTTCAACGCCTACGATCTAAAGCCTATCATGCACGGTACTCAACTTAAGATTCAGGAGAATTTGGCGTTGGATTTGGAGACGCCCTTTCTCAGCAACGAAGAATTGGAAAATCTTTTGCTTCAAGACTCGAATAGAACTGACGAAGGAGACTCTGTACTAGAATCGGATTTAGAACTGGATTCTGAATCCGATGACGACGGCGATATAATTCAACCGTCAGAACAGTCAAGGACGGTCCCGCTTCAGGGGATCAAGAAGAGCGACATGACTGCAGAGGAGCGTCATTCTTTAGAGGAGAAGCGCAGACAAGATCGCATGGACAATCCTTTCTATTTGGATGCTGGCGATGAATTACCAGAGACCAAGGACAGCAAGCTAATCGACTTTGATGGTGAAGAAACGCGCACAGAGCCCAAGAGCGTAGGCACACTTGATCTATCCATCATTTCTAGTGGCTCAAGGTCCAAGAATAAGAGCAAGGGGAAGAAGAAGGCGCAGGTACTGGTCGAAGAAGGCCTTCCGGATTTGCTACCAGACACACAATACAATCGCGGCAGCCTCGATAAGGTTCTCAGTAGTTCTTCGAGTGTCAATTCTAGTGCAATCAATCTCAAGACGCAATCGAAACTTGAAAATTTTGATTTCAGCTCGCCTCACATATCTCCTGGCGTAACACCATTTGGCGAGAACGACGATTCTGCTGACATCGAAAAATTAAGAGCTAAATTCGCTTCACCATCTTTTGGCAATAGCCAAAATCCAGACGACGAAGAGGTTATCGTTGTCAAGAAGAAATCAAAATCGAAATCCAAGTCAAAATCCAAGGCTTCCAAGTCTAAATCGAAATCCAAATCCAAAAAGTCCGAAAAAAACTCTGGAGAAATCCCAGATTCCACAGAACCAATGCCATAATTCTTATTCCATTGGAAAAATTATAAAATAGGACTATCAAGAGCTGACATCAGTCACTGTCATCATCATAGCACTGTCGTCAATATCACTGTCATCTGTAAAGTGTCATTAACATGTATCATTCAACACGAAAGTGTCTTAATTCGTTATAGAATAGTTGATCTGAGTATCACATCAGCTTTACCACAGCGGCTAAAAGTGCTTCAATTGAAGCTCTAAGGGCCTCTTAAACTATGATTTTCAATGCCTGCATCTCCAATGCTCAAAATCATACCGTGTGGAGAAAAGTTCTTCAAAATCTGAGCACTTTACATGAAGATATCAAGTGCACAATCACGCAACGAGAGTTTATCGTATCGTCCATGAATAGCACAGATACAGCAATGGGTCAAGCCCGTTTCAAACATAGTTTTTTCGAGAGCTATGAATTCAAACCCCAGGAAACAGTGTTTGGAGAAGACGGGCTTCAACAAGTTCAGGATCAGCAGCTTGAGGTGCATCAATTGTATTCGTTCAAGATCAATGGCAAACTCCTAGGTATACTCTTTCGAAAACCTGAAAATGACAATATCAAAACACTGGAACTGGCTATCCATAATGGTGCAACTTGTCCAGAATCTTTGGCCAACCGATTTCAGATAACGATACATACCGAGAGCTTGATGGTTAAAGAATATGTGCCTAACATAGTACCTATAAAATACGATCCTATTGTGATCAATCTGAGATACAAGTGGCGCTTTCTGGAGGTCTACGGCGGATCGTGCGAAGATCAGGGAGAACAGCTGGATCCGCGGCTACTAGACATGTTCAAGGTCTTTAATCGTGAACTTACAGAATCATATTTCAACAACGACATACTATCGAATAGCAAAAAATCCAGTGGTGAGCTGACACCAGAGGATGAAATCAATTATTTGTGCTGCAATCTACAACTTTTGAAGAATTTCATTGATAGCTGTCATACAAGCGCCACAGAAGAGGTCAAAATCGAGGTGTCAATCTCCAAACTAGGTTTAACTGCCTTCACCAAGGCCATCTACAGCAAAAATAACGACGTTCTACGTAACGCAATACGCGCCACGAACATTGTGAGTACGAACGATTTAGAGCATTACTGTCTGTTTACGACGACAGGCGACGAGAATAGTAAAAATCGACCGCTGGCTAAAACAATTTCCTTTGGCATGAGAGACTTCAGGAATTTTGTAAACATGGCTGCGTTTTGGAAGGGAAACCAGAATGTCAACATATGGTTTTGTCGTCCAGGAGATCCAATCTTTATGGAGTTGGTCAAAGACGACCTACTACTGGATCTCGTACAAGTTACTGAGAGCAGTGACACTGTACCGAGCAATGGAAATAAGGTCCATGCTACAAGGACGAGCCCAATACGAGAATCCGCCGTGAAAGCCGTAAGTCCCCGGAAATCGCCTCTTCAAAATAAAAGTCCTTTCAGGTCCAATTCTAAGGAGATCTCTCGCAGTCCGCTTAAGCCAAAATCTCTATTCACAACCGATGACGATGAAAGTCAGGAACAACAAGGATGGAAGAACCCTATACGCGGAAAACGGCGGCTCGAGGATGAACGTCAAGAAGGGTATTCGAAGAAGCATTTTGAGCAAAACCAGCCCGGCGACACAATGGCGCACCGCACTCGAACAACAATTGAATGGGGCAATGGTAATTTGGAGTCTGCCACCGACACAACTCCTGTGCCACCTCTAGACCAAAGAGATTTATTGAAAGAGGAGAAGAGAAAGTTTCTACGCGATCTGAAAGCGCAGCGCGAAAAGGACCAGAGCAACACAGAGGACGAAGCAAACGAGGAACAGTTAGGTCCCACGCAAATTGATAGGCCCAAAGGTCTTTTCGACTAGTGCAGTCTTTTCAATCGGCTCGACTTGCACAAGAAAATGCAATGCACACTTTTGGGGAATATGAATTGAGTATACATGCTAAAATTGGGAGTGCAGAAATGCGGTCGCTTTACTCCTATTCCACAGCTGGAGCGGGAGCAGGGACCACTGCCGCCTCATGCTTGGCTTTTTTCTCCGCACCGCCGAGATAATGAAAGTTGACAAACCGCATTGCCTGGCCTGTCTGGGCCAGAGAATTGACGACGTGGCATCCGAATAATAAATAGTTTTTGGGCTGCACCGTGAGTGCGAACTTCATGAAAACACCCGAATACATGATCAGGGCAGTGGTCATTGGCCCAGAGATCATTTCTGGGTCTTTTTTCAGGTCATAAATCGCAGCTAATGGGATACCAAAGTTCGACACTGGGCCCCAGAAATGCGTGGTGAAAACGTACTTCAAGGTTTCTTTATTCATGAAACGACGCATCACACTTTGAGAAACGGCTTTTTGAGCAGATTGAGACATATTTCGATCAGTTCTTTTGGATCAGTTGGCTAGGATACTTGGTTGTAAAGGGTTTTTCCACCAAAAAAAAGACAAAAAACAGCGACTGAAAACGTTGAAGAGGAAAGTGTACGCGGAGGATAATTTTACAATTGGAGCTAAGATCCAAGAGTCGCCTTATGGTCGATAATTGATGTGTTCTTTCAAGTATTCGTTCAGGGAAAGGGTCTTGTTGAGTTTGAAGAATTTTGGGCCCCATTGTTAAAGCTCGCCGTATCGAATGCAAAAAATAAAAAACGGTCATCGAAAACAATACCGAGAGGCATTCAACTGAGGTCATTGGAGGCAAATAGTCGGTCCTCCATCAATGGGTATTGGTGTTTATGGGAACTTTTACAGTCCTGTTTGCTTTATGTGAGAAAAATGGTGGTTTCTTCGAAATAAGCCTTTCTTCGACGGAATTTTGACGAAAAACATCCCAGAAAAAACGTGAAAAGAGCTTGCCATACCGATTCAAAAAGAAGGCTTGTTTTGGCATTCTGAGGGTGCTTCCGTCGCCGTCTTTTCAGCTTGTTTACTGAGTTGAACGTTCGATGAGAATTAAGTGTTTCGTCCACAGTGATACAATTGGAAAAGCTTTCTTGAGAACTCATCGCATCAAGTCATCGGTTCAGCAGGAACGACCTAAGAGACGGAGTGTCCATTCTTTCAGCACGCGGGTTTATGAGTTACAACGGTCAGCATCAGGATCCGCCGATTCCAAGACCGACCTCGTCGGGCCGCATTATGCTGGATCATAATGCAGGTTCGAACGGGATTAATGAGTCGTCAGCGGGACCTTCTAACGCACACTATCATCACAGTCACCATCTAAATCAACCTGGTGTGTTTTACCCACAATATACCGGCTATGGATATCCTCATGCTCAATCCCAGGTTCCATACAATGGATATTACCAGCAGCAACCTCAGAATTATGCTCAGTCTTTTTATGGACCGTCATATTATAATACACCGGCGCCGGCGCCATTTTCCTCTGCTCCTGGATTTCAGAAATTTGAGCAAGCCGAGTCTGCAGCATTTTCTCTCTCTCATGAACCACCGAGTCATAATGAGAGCTACCAGACAGAGGGCAAAGAAGACACAGATCGATCGGAGACTAAGCCCGTTGAAAAAGCGGGAAATGGTGCAGTGGAGGCAAATACAACTGACCCGCCTATAAATTCTGCCAAGCGGGAGGAGGAAAAGGTCCAGATTCAAGGAACTTCAATCACATTGGCGTCAGACGAGGATATCAAGAAATGGAGAGAAGAACGTCGCAAAATGTGGCTCATGAAGATCTCGAATCAACGAGAAAAGCACAAGCTGGAACTTGGCATGCAAGAAGAGCAGCCATCCAAGCAACCATCTTTCCAAAATGCTAAAAAGGATCAACAATTTATTCAAAACATACAGAACCAAATTGGAAGGTACAATTCCAGCCCAAATTTGAGTCTCAACTTGGTGCAAAGAACCATGGCTGAAGAAAATGCCAAACTACTTAACTTCATCAAAGAGCTAGGCGATGCAAAACTGCTTGAATATGAACTTAACGACGAAGAAAAGGAGAAGCTGTTTGGCAATAATAAGAGAGGAAGACCCAGAAATGAATATAATAAGCGGTTTGCAAGCGCTCGAAATGGACCTTCTCGGTACGATGGAAATACCAAGAAACAACGCTTCCAACAGCCTAGCGACAAGGGTGTCTGAAACTCAAACTTCATGACATCAACCTCTTAATCAGCAATTTTATGGCCAAAGAGCTAAATGCGGACCCAAGAAATGATCCGCAAATGACTCCGCGAAAAAATACCCTGTTACGCTCGGTTTCCAAAACTTTCAATTTGTCTTCTTTGCTCATTAGTTGCGCTTCCAGCATCATGGTTGTTCGTTTTCCTTTTTTCAAGCTTTCCTTGAAATGCCTTTTCCCTTTATGGCGATGTTTTGAAACTCGACAGCGCTTTTGAGCGTGCTGTGATACTTTTAGTTCACTAGTTGGTTGAGGTGGTTTTACCACAATCTTGTTGTCTTTATCTGGCTCATCAGCCGATGAAAACATGAGGAATTCTATTCATCATCTGGAAGAAATTCGATTGGATGCAGCTATAATATCTCCTACCTTTCATTTTGGGCAATATATACGTTTTCGGCTCCCGAAACGCATCCTGTCTCGTCTTGCTTCAAATCGGTTTCAAGTTTGTAACAAGTGCTCATAGCCAACACCACTGTCCAGTTATCAAATTGCACTTCGAGACTCATGGTATTCTGTCATTCTGCATAGGCCCACATTAGTGAAATCAAGTAAGTTTACGTTAGAAAAGTGCCATATATATAAAAAAAAACCTCGGAAAGAAACTATTAACCCATGTTGGCGATCCCAACCAACAAACCCAATGTGCCAACAGATCCTGCCAGAAAACCGATCATTCCCCCAATAAAAACTTGTCTTGTATCAGCCTTTTTGACTTTTGGAGACGTATCCGAAGTTATTGTCGTCTTGGAACGCTTGGCGTTATCAGTATTAGCAGTTTCATCCTCATCCTCATCTGCTTGACTATCAAAGCTTCTCTTACGGACTTGGTTCTCAAAACCACCATCATCTAGAGCCAAAAGCTCGCAATTGTCATCTTCCTGTACTTCAACGGCCGTAGCACAATCGTAGCACTGTGGTGTTCCGTCACGAGAAACACCGATTTCTGATGTAGGTAACGATTTCCCAGGAGATTGATCTCTGATTGTGATGACAACGTCCGAGGAATTTGACAGATTGCATGCTTTCTGAGAGAATACCTCATTTTCGGCAACAAGTTCAACGACGCTGTCATCACCCTCTTCTTGGCCAGAGTCACCACTGCTGGCATCGTCATCATTACGGCTGTTGTCATCATCATCGTTGTCGTTATCATCATCTAGCAATACACGCACATCCAGTGAACGTTCGAAGGTGTCTTCTTCTTCTTCTTCTTCTTCTTCTTCTTCTTCCTCTTTGTCAGCGTCTGTTTCCAAGGAAGTCTCTTGCTTTTCCAAATTGTCGTTCTTGAGCGTGATGCTTTGCGGTTCGTAGGTGTCCAAATGCAAATCAAGATCCTCACTAAAGTTCAACTCAGATGAGGAACAAGAACTCGAAACGTTTTCGGTACGTGCCATGGTGTTTGGTCTACTGGCAAATGGACTGTCCTCGAATGTCACATTAGTCAACCATAAGTCCAAACTTTTGCCATCCGGACGAAGTTCGTTGGTTTTTAGGCTTACCTGGAACTTCAACTTAGCACCACGCGATTGCCCCGATGCCAATGGCTGATATAACTTGATAAGACCAAATCTCTCCCCATTTTTTAGATCGATCACTTTCGTGTCAGCGTCCTGCGACTGTAAATCCACCAAACCATGAGTAGAACCCAGATCTTGTACGGAAATGCGAAATTGATCTAGCAATGGGACATATGGGTCTTGATCCGCTGGATAAAGCCTTTTTATGCATAACATAGCATGCTTCCTACTGAGACTCTTTTCCTGAAACAAAAAGTTGTTTTCCCGCTCAGATCGCTCCGGATCCTTTGAGCTCGCTCGTCCGATCGGGAACTGCAACCCATCGCCATCTGCTTCTTCAACCTGGAAAGATATCTTACGGAATGAACCAAAATCGGAGTCTCTCATCGAATAGTTTCAAATTCTTGAAATGAACAGTAAAATAACGGTTAAAAAGCCCTGGAAAAGTCACAGAGAAGCACTGAATTCGAACAGAGCTACTGGCTAGTTCTTAACCACGTCAACACGCTTCTATTGGGACTCAAATTGTAAAGTCTTGGTGCTCTCGAGTTTGTGAATGTATCAGGTTGTTCTTTGCCCCTTAGAAGTTATGAATATGAACGGAACGGTAGTCACAGTGCACGGGTGTGTCACTTGCAAACAACGAACACTGTCGTTCAACGGTGAACTTCGATTTTGAGGCCTTTGAGTCATCCTGGAATACTGTAGAAACCCGTATGTGGCCAAGCAAAGTTTATCGCTTCTTCCTTTCGCTCTTTTTTCTTCTTTCTATTTCCCTCTTTTTGGTCATCGGGTTTGATATTCGGGAAATGTGTCATTCTGTTTTTTATTTCACCTTGACAGCTTTAAACTTTTTGTGCCCGAGACTAGTGGTGCAATGCGCTTAAGCTTGTCTAAATTGTCTGTTGTCTGTTGTCTGTTTTCTCTTTTTTGTTTGCCGTCAGCTCTAGCTTGTCGCTTTACATCACAATGCAGCTTTTCTTCAATTTATCGCGTTTGCGAGTTTTAGGACCCTTCTTCTTCTTCGAGTCCTTCTCCTTTTTCATAGCTCTCGAGTTCCCATTGTTGTGGGCTCTGGTCCCTTCGTAGTTGCGTTGCATACTTCTGGCCACTCGGGCATCTTCTTGCTCCTGTGATTGCCGAGCATACTGCTCGTCCGTCATGTAATTAGGATCGTTTTCAGGACCGCTAGCGTGGTATGAAGCCACAGGATCGGCAAAAGGATTGTTAGAATTACCTCTGGCCCCCACAGCTAAAGAGCTTCCCTGCGTAGATGAGCGATTGAACATTGCAGGGAGAAAGTTGCCTGTGAAAAACGTATCTTGCGAACCATTCACAGATTTTAAAGATTGCCACACGACTTGCGTGTCATTTTTGAATCCCAAGTCTGTCACCAAGGTGTAAAGCTGGTTATTGCTCTTGCAAATTGTTGCGAAATGATCGTTGCGAAACATGACAGCATAGGAGTTCTCTAATAGCACTTCCTTCATGTGTTCCAAGCCATAATCCGTCAGCTGCGTAGCTGACCGGGCCAAAAAGGATTTGATGAAGTTCGAATCTTTGACTGCTGCCGTGTTCTCTGGTGTTTCGGCGATGTTTCCGTGTTGAACGTCATAAGCCGCAATCAACGCCTTTTGAGCTCCCTCATACGAGTAGCTTGAGACATGCTCGTATTGCAACGGGTCACTGGCATAGTCTGCGAGCCATCCATGCACAATGCTTACGTTGAATAGCCGGAACAGAGCCATCTCGTCTCCGTCCTGGAATGACCCATTGAAAATCGGATCGATTGACAGACCCGTGTGCAATTGCGGTAGCAATTGCAATAATCTATCTACATCTGAATGTGCACCGCGAGGCACTTGCACTCCAATGTTGGCCAACGTGGTGATGACACTATGAAGTTCTACTTCGTCACTTCTCGAGACTAGTTCCAGCAGGGGAGCCGCCTGCTGGAGCAATTGCGGCGAAAGCAGAAGCACATTACATAGCGCTAGCAAAGCGCAAGGACCGTTCTCATTCTGCAAGAGTATCCTATGCGAGCTTCCATTAATGTTAATCGTTTTCACGTCGAATGTTAAGCTCATATTATGCTAAAATGCTCGTTTGAGTACCGATTTGGATCGGATTTTTTTTGTACAAAAAAAGTCAATTGGCTCAGAAACTCTATCTCAAACTAGAGTTGAGAGGTGTAGAGGTCAATGGGCTTGGAAATGAATTCTATATGATACCTTTAAATACATGATTCTCGAGACTATCGATATCTGCTAGTTGCACTTACTTTTTTCAATCATTATATATAGTCCTAGCCAAAACCATAAAAAAAAGGGGTGGCAAGTATATTATGTCGTTGAATACGATGAGTACTTAATTGGAGCGAGTACTCGTCAAATATACGCGATTACGTTATCAGGACTTGGGCGGCTAAATTAATGTAAACACAACCGCGTATAATGGATAAAGGATGCAAAATCCAAAGAGGAAAGGACGTGAGCGAATAGAGGCACAGTGTATGTCTGTCTTTTCAAGTCCTGGATAGGATCGAAAGAACAAGGGCTTTTCAGAGAGTCCCTGGTTGTCCATTTACTTACTGAGAGATCGAGAACAGCACAGCGATAGAAGTACAGAGTGAAGAGAGTTGTAGATGGTTGTAGACGGCCAAGAGATGGCACACGGAAATGCGAGAAGGCTAAGGATGCTGACGAGAGAGAAAAAGAAGAGCTCTTCAAGAATTCGGATCGACAAGAAATGAGTGTAAAGACCACACATATACGTCGATGTTTCACGGTAGAGCTGTGAGAACAACGACAAACTTGGAGTGAGAAAAATTTGGCGACAGCCCGACACACTGGAGTTTATAAGATCTTCTCAACAAAGGATGGTTCATTTCTGTACCACTACAGTGGATAGGGCGTTTACTTTTGTTGCAGTTGGGCCAAACTGTCAAGAAGACTTTGGACATTATTGTTACCAGACATTGAAGGAGACTGTTGCTGAGGAACAGGGTTCTGGGAAGGAGGGATCTTTGGACCAGAAGCGTAAGGGTCCTGTTGCTGAGCCTGGATTGGAGGAGGAGGTGGAGGGGGATGTACTTGATGTTGTGGTTGGTGATGCACGGACGGATTGACCATTGGCATCTGCTGGAACCCACCATACGACATAGGAGCGGGTGGAGATCCTTGTGCTTGTCCTTGTGGCTGCATTGACTGGATTATTCCAAGTAATTGCTGCTGCTGTTGTGGTTGTTGTTGCGCCATGGACAACAAGTTTGATACAACATTGGGTGGCAGATTCTGAATTGCCGAAAGTAGTTGCTGTTGGTCCATCTGTGGGACAGCACCCATCGCAGGAGCCATTGCGGGCGGCTGGGCAACGTGGGTGGGGGGTCCAGCAACTGGATGACCCTGGTATGGGTAGCTCTGGGCCATAGCAGGAGGAGGGGGTCCAGCCGCATTGTACGCCTGGGGTGTTGGCGCCATTGCACCGTATGCTTGCTGCATATAGGCCTGTCCCTGATGCGGCGGAAGCGGGGCAGGGGCTGCATGGTAGCCACCGTAGTATTGCTGCTGAGGAACTGGTTGAGGAGCCATGGTGACGGAGCTGCTTCTGTTACCTTTGAGGTTGTTAAAAATTGCAATAGCATCTTCGCAGGATACGCTAGCATACTCGTCAAATTTAGTCTCTCCCTGAGCGCCCTTGTAAAAAGTTTGTATGTCAACGTTCCTGGTTTTGTTTACCAGTACCACACCCCAAACGCCTTCATAAGCGGCATCGTTGATCATTTTGCGCAGTTCCATACGGGGCTTCAAGAAGATCATATCGGTTTCTAGACCAGTGCGTTGCCTAAATCTTGCGAATACATCATTGGCGTATGCTCTATCAGCGGTTCTCTTGACGTAAATCTGACATTCCGGCACCCGTCTCTTACCTCTTTTCTGATTCTCGTTATAAAGGTCTTCTTCCTCTTCTTCTTCTTCTTCGAATGGGCGTTTGGACGACGAGATGAATGTAGAGCTACTGTTAGTGCCATGGTCACCATGGTCATACTGTGGCCTGCTGTTGGAAGAGGAGATCTCGAGAATCAACTTCTTGCCGAAGTTGATTTCATTTGATTCGCCTGCAATGGCAGCTTTCACAGATTGTGGGTTATCATATTGAATGAAACCAAAAGCATTTTTGATGTTTATCTGATAGATGTGACCGTAGGGCGAAAATATGCGGAAGAGATCATCTTTGGCAACGTTTTTCAACGGCAAGTTTCCAATAAAGAGACGCGACTTTGGTGGGATATTTTGAATTTCTGTGATCCTATTTTCACCTTTCAAGTATTCATTGTAACGTTTGCGCTCAACAGAGGACATGGGTTGGAACAAATTTGGCCTCTCTTCGCCATTTTCTGTTACGGGCTCCTGAGAAACTGAAGCGGTTTGACGTGGGAGAGCAGTTTCCGCACCGGTGCTGAGCAGAGAGACTATCGCGCTGATCTTTTCGGGGTCTGAAAGACGTTGAAATTGAGGTCTGTCCAAAATTTGACTATCTAAGATCAAAGTTGCTTGTCTTTGAAGCAAATTATAATCCACGTTCTCTGCGACTCTGCTGAAATTGTTGACGTCAAATTTTTGAGGTTCCGAGGGGAAAGCTTCTGAATCAGAAGAGGATGATGATGAATCTTTGTTCTGGTCGGAAATTTCGCCTTCGTTGTCAGCAGAAGCGTCTGGCTCTAATGCCGTATTTTCGATTTCTGCTTCTTCATCCATTACGGGCTGTTCGGGTTTAACTGGCTCGGTAGATTCTTCAATGTTCTCGGAGTCACTAGAGGCATTGGCCTGTTCTTCTTCTTGTTGTTGTATATCCGTGATTTGTTCGTTTGATGGCTGAACACTAGTTGTGAGATCGTTTTCCTCTGCAACGGCCGCTGTTTCGGGTATCACGTCCACCACAGTATTAGACAGAGTCCTGGAAAGAGCAGCTTCGCCTGTCTCACCAACATCATTGTTTATTTCGTCGACAGCACCTGCATCTACTTCTTGCGTTTCTGCTCCGATTAGACCCTCATTAACATCCTCATTAGTGGCCGTTTGAATCTCGGGAGTGGCACTGTCTTCTTTCTCGGCAACATCTCTTTCTTCATCATGCGAATACAAACTTTCTTCCCGGTCTTCTTCTTCCTCTTCACCATCGAGGGCAGCGGTGTCGGCTACCTCAACGTTAGTTTCCTCTACAGGGGCGCCTTCCAAGGCTGGAGGCACCAAAGAACTGTCTCCTCCAGTCTCCAGGGGTTCGGGTTCCTCGTAGGACATGGGCTGGGCAATGAACAAGTAGATAAAGACCAGTTGTGGTCTAAGTGATGGGTTTTTTAAAGGTAGAGGTATAGGTGAAGTCAATTTCAATTATCAATGGTTTTTTGATGTCTTATTAGCGATCAGGAGGGTAACTTTGAGGGCGACACATGAAAGAACAGTGACTTTTGAGAATGCTCTGTTTGCAATAGTCGTAGAATTGTCGTTTGCGATCTCCTTTTAGCGATCGGTGAGCACCCTGATGTTGTAACTATTGTTGACGTTTCTGCTGAGATTTCAAAACTCCAAGATCTGTACGTTTTTTGTAATTTTGCTGAAATGATATTTGCCAGAAACAATGAAGCATGCTGATAAAATCATTGACATAAGATTTGTGATCGATCAAAATCGCATCGATGGACCGAGCTCTGTGCTGAATATAATAACTTACTATTTGTGTCTCTATTTACAACTTCGAATGACGAAGAATGCTAAGCATGTGAACAACTAAACCTTTTTTAATTCTCGAAGTCTTGTTCGTTAAAGAGAGAAAAAAAAAGGATTCCCATATATCTCACTGCAAGCGGGCACCTGCCCGGTTGAAGACTGATTACCGCAGACCAATAAAACCCTAGCCCAGTATGGATGGAGTAGCGACGATTCGGCCAGCTTGGTATCGTCTATGTTTATAATTTCCTGTTGGGTCCCCAAAAACCCCCCTCCCTTTATGTTGATCTCGACAATCTTTCGAGCTTTTCTTTCTCTAGCTTCTCTTTCTGCTCCAGAACAGCTAGAGGAGCGTCAGAGTCCAGTGTGTGTGCCGGACACGGTATCGCTGAACTCAACGCTACAGACGAGAAGGCCACGAGAAAAGTGGTCATGAACAAACGATTTGTCACGTTCACTCTGGTTGATGCTCTCATGTTGCCAACTCAGTATCAATAAATATAGGATCCTCTCCGATATTGATGAAGGTGGAAACCTGTCAACAAAATAGGCTCAAAAAAAAATGCTTTTAATCCACGAATGTAAAGCCCTTGAAAGATCTTGAAAAGGCTCCACAGATTCTCACTAATGAAAGGAGCAGTGAATAATAAATAAGTAAAGGTTAACTATCCGTGGGAGACAGCCTCTTTGATGTGTTTAAATATGTGCTTGTTCAGTTGAATTCGATATTTCCGTTGTATCGATCTAAGATGAGTTTTCACCAATTAATTATACTCGATTTCTATATTCTTGTCACTCTATACGTAACACGTGACGGGATTTAGTACATAAAAAAAAGAAATGCAGCAAAGACAATGTCAGGTATTAAAAAAGTGATCAATGTGGCCAACTGTAAAGTGCAACAACGAACCCTGCTCATCACGTAGAATACAGTATACCCAACGTTGCGTGCGTATTCCTTGGTTCATGTTCCAAATTGTGTGAAATGGTGTCCTCTTGCACTTTATATGAGCGAAGTATTCTCGCTAGAAATTGCCGGGTTATTGTGACGTGCAGTAGAGTTCTTGAGCGGCTGCATGGTCATAGAAAACCCAGGTGGATAAGCAGCAGTGGTGTTTGCCGAGGTGTTTGCTGATGGAATGCTTGTAGTTGACGGCGTAGACGATACAAAGTCGTCGAAATCGTCCACGTCTTCATGCACACTTTTCGTACCAGATGCTCTCAGAGGAGAAGCTGCAGGTCGAGCAGCAGCCGAAGCAGATGCAGAGCCCTTAGTCAACACAAGTGGTCTTGATTGGGGCTTGGTTTTTGGCCGCGGCGTCAGCTTTTTGGGAGCTGGGCTCAAAGTGCCCTTGTTGATTAATTCTGTGGGTTTTGGCAGTGGTTTGGATATTGCCTTTTGGTGTAATGCATGCTGAGATTTCGGAATTATCGCTGGAACACCAATTTTATGCGATGCCTCTAAGTCAGGGTCTTGTATTCTTTGAGCTGGCTTTTCTATGACGTTGTCAAAGTTGGCTTCCTTTCCATTAGAGGCCTCGAGTTTTGCCAAGTGAGAACGCTGTATATCAGCACTTATTTTGTTAATAACGTTCGTGAACTGAGTGTATTGCGTCGTTCTCAAAGTCGTGGCCATAGAAAAGTCCCAAAGTAATGGAAGGAGCTGTTCTATCAGTGCTTGCTCGCTTTCTATTAGTTCTGGTAGCAGGGAGAGTAGCTGGAGGGACTTCATAAGAATACGCGGATCTCGAGTCTTCATGGATTTGAATAAAGGTAGCAAATCATCAATACAGGTAAACTTATCGATTGCTTTCCGTTCGATCATGATTCGAAAACTATCAACACATGAACTTTTAACAGTGAGACTAGTAGTCTTGATGAAAAGCTTCGATAGTAAACTGAATAAAAAATTCTTGACAGTTGCGAAATCAAAAGCTTGGAGTAAAACGTCAAGTTTTCCCATAAGTGCTTCTTGGACCACCACAGCGCTTTCTCCGCTGATAGAAGAAAAAACATGCGTACACAAGGGCTTCAAAATCTCACTAGTAAACGCTTCGGACTTGACTTTGCTATGCAGAACAGCTAGATTTTCAATCAAGCTTGCTGTTGCATGCTCTAGCAGACGACTAAAATTGTCCTTCGAGACCAAATGTGGATAAAGTCTTTCTTGGAATGACAGCTGTGATAGAGTTGCACCGATCTTCGAAATCAACGTCACAAGCGTGTTGAGGTCCTTTGTCACTAATGCGTCTGACGAACAGACTTGATCAAGTAAATGTAGCAGTACGGGCAAAAATTTTCTTTGCAGTAGTTGAGGTGGGAATTGAGGCAAAATTTCTAATAGACCGCTCAGGTAAATTCCTCTCTCTTGGGAATCTTTTGTTGGTAAGTCGTCCAAAAAGGCAAGGGTCTTTACCAAGGGATCATGGAAAAAGTCCGACTCCAAAAACTCTTGTATATTATCGAATCTTGCATAAACGTCTCTGTTCATAAGTCTAGACATGCTGGATCTCAACTTTTCCGGGATCTTTGCCAAATATCTTTCAGGGGTTTGTCGGAGCAGGTCTCTTTCATATCTACCGTATTCCTCCTTGTAGTCTCCAATGTAATCCTTGCAAGAGAATAAATGCGTCTTGTAAAACAAGAAGTATATTAGCAGACCCAATGAGAAGTAGTCATTTCTTGGGGACAGCATATTTTCTAGTATCAATTCAGGAGCGCTATAATCAAGAGGAATGTGCATGAAGGGAGCGTAACGCGGATCGAAATCTGGGCTATACTGACCCGTATTAGATCCAGAGGGCAGTTTAGTAAGATGTCCGAAACCGCACAGCTTCCAATCGGAGTTTTCATTGATAAGCACGGAAGCGGGTCTAAGATCAAGTAAAACCGAGCCTGCACGGTTGTGTATGAAGTCTAGACCCTGGGATATCTGTTGGATACCACGTTGCGTTATCACGTTTCCTGAACCCGACATGGCCAAAACTTCAAAATTGTCCTCGGGCTTTGCGTCCAGCACTGAGGACTCCACGCTTCCGCTCACGTATTCTGAGACGAATATAAAGTTTTTGGAGTGCTCTTCCAATGGCTCGATTAACGCCAAAACATTGGGATGTTTAAGTTTAGCCAGTTGGCTTACCTGTGCCCGCAACACGTCGTACGCACTTCTGATGAATTGCTTATCTCTACTAGAAGTACGAGACTTTATAGATCCCGTAGTTAGCAGATGGTTTTCAAACTTGGATTTGTCAAAAATGAATATGGACACCTTGGGAGCTGTGGAACTAGTTGAAGACGAACCCGAGCTTTTTGGTCTACCAGTGTGGACGTTCCAGGGCTCCACGGTAAAGGTGGGAGACGAAGAGTATGAGTAGTTAGAGCTGATTCCTGATTTGGACGACCAAAACATTGCGTGAGCAGGGAATCAAACACTATTGGGTCAGGCGGAAGCAGTATGCTTTACCGTGCTTGAAGTTTCTCTAACATTTGAATTAAAGTGTTTTGTAGAATATCGAAGGATATTTATCGTGAGTGAGATGGACAAAAAATCAAAAATATGCGCAAGCCCGGAATCGAACCGGGGGCCCAACGATGGCAACGTTGGATTTTACCACTAAACCACTTGCGCTTCTTATGGTGTAAGAGATTCTATAGGCTTTACTAGTAGAGAAAACAGCGTCATGGTGGGGCTCGACCACGCGTTAAGAGGTGGTTATGTAAAAGCCGGGGACTTCTTTCAGCTAAACATACTTATGCTACGAAAGATGAAGTGGTCTTCTAAATAGTGTGCGCATGTGTATTTTGGTTGCAATGACGGCTTCTTTCTTCCTAAGGTGTCAAAATTGTAATGATAACACGAATCATAGACCTTCCAGTATAGAGCTATTTACTTTTTGATAGCACAGACATTAATTCCTCGTAAAAAAAACCGATCGAACAACGGAAGCTCAGATCTGTCTACATCGAACCTCACCAGATCAGATCATCAGTAAAGCAGTTTTCCTTAGATTTCTCTGGACTATCATGAGCACATCTCTTTTTTTCTTCACTCCTGTCACGAAAAACACTGTCATTCACTCGCTCTTAACACCAAAGGCAACCTAATCTCGAACAAAAAAAGAAGAGCCTGAAAAAGAATGATACGCTTAACGCTTTGACGCGTTATTTTCCAACCATGCCAATGCTTTACATCCAAGATCCCGAAAGAAACCGAGACTTATCCTTTACAACTCTGCGAACGTAATAATTCCTTGAGTAACGTGATATGCAATTTATTGAGTAGGCACAGCTATTCCATTAAAAATGCATAGAACAGTGCTTTTGATGCATGGAAGTTTCGGGAGCAGTTAATGCCCGTGCTTGGCATCTCTCAATGTAGTGTCATGAAGTCAATTGAAAAAAGCCACTGAGAATAGTATTTGCGAGTTTTAAAATATGATCTTACTGCATTGAAATACGAGCAACCGGTCTTCACAAATGGAAAGAGCAGATATCTGTGTTGCGAGCGAAGAGCACGAGATTCGATTGTCTTAACTCTTTTCAAAACTTCTGCAATAAACCCACTAATGTGAAATTTCTTTGATGTAACGTATGGCTTGTATATATCGCGACGGGGCTCGCTCTCTCAAATCACCATGGGACTTCAGATCCGTCGTGGGAAATAAATTTACCTGCTAGCTCAGGCAGTTTTTCCAAAATATTCTTCTTGATGTCCTCTGCTGACTCTTCGGGCGTGATGGGTGGAAACTTCTCGACAATGTCCTTTATCAAACCCTTGAAGTTCTTATTATTGATGCCCTTGATACCCATATCGCTGCTGACAAGACCAGGGTGGATAGCCACGACTTTGTAGCCTTGTGGGCCTAGCTCCCGGTTCAAATTGATAATCGCAAAGTTGATACCAGCTTTCGATAAGCCGTAAGAAGAAGTGGAGATGGGGAAGTCAATATTCCTGACTAGAGAACCTGCGACAGATGACACGACCGCGAAATGTTTTGTGGATTTTTTGTCAAGCAGAGACTTGAAAGCGCGAAGAAGTCTAATAGGTCCTAGTGTATTGACAGTGAAATGTTCGTAGTACGAGTCGTCAGAAATATCTAAAATAGGCTCTGAGGCCTTGCCAATGCCAGCATTGGCAATCAATACATCAAGCCCGTCTGGCAAAATACGAGCGGTCTCTTTGGCTGCCTCTTCGTGGCTCTCCGCGACAGAAACGTCCAAAGACACGATTTTCACGTTTGTATGCGAATTAGCCCATTCTTGAAGTTCAGTGGCTCCCTCCACGTTACGAACACCGGCAACCACGGTGTTTGAAGCATCGGAGCTAAGCATTTTGACAAGGGCAAATCCAATGCCACGGTTTCCGCCAGAGATAAAGTAAGACTTGGACATTTGATCTAGTAAGTTGTTTTGGTGTAAAGAAGTTTGATTCAATTGCAAGAGAAAACAACAGATTAAATTGACTTGAACAGCAGAAATGTGTGAGTGCTACTCAGGTTTTATATGCTTCATGAGAACTCAAACGGTGTTGCGAGCTGAGCGGAATTGCAGTTGATTCCGCGGAAGACTGAGTGCATAGAGGTTTTACTAATTAAAAGGCATGAAAATTGACGTGAACCAGGTATTTGACGTCAAGTTTGTCGATTCCGGTCAAAATCCGCGGGTGCGACATCAGTCAGCAGTGTTGGTACCAGGAAAGATCTTCGAAGAAGTTCTACTTGTTCTACAATCGAAGTGAAACACTGTCTTTGAGTTTTTCTTCGCGATAAATGTCTCAAAAACTTCAGTAATTTCCGTGGAATATTAGGCAGCGCTGGCAAATTCAGTGATCAAGCTCCCGGAACAAGTTTTCTGACCTTGACCGCTATCTCAAGCACAAGTAGCACATAATGCACTGGCTATTCTCTTCTTTACAAGTTTCCAAGAGCCAGGTCGTGTCTGGTTAATTAGGACGCTGTCGTTGGATCGCGTGATCACTTATTCATTCAGTATCTTGCAAACTGATCATCACCACAGTTGCAATAGTTCCATAGGGTCTTCAGTGGCCATTTGAGTTTTCGGTGAATTTCTTTATCTCAAGAAAACATTGCAGGTTCGTTTGCCAAGAATTAACGATTTGTTGATAATCGATATCCAAATAATGTATAATGATGTCTTCCCATTTGATTTTGGGCCGAAACCGCACTATCCAATCGCCAGTACCTAATTGCGACAAATAACCTTATTGTAAGCAGCAGGAGACACATTTTTTCGCGTTTCTATAGTGTGTCATTGCTCGAGTGAGCACTACTTTTCAGATTTCGGATCTTGAAGTTTCCAAGAAAAAATAACACCAAAATGATCTGAAATCTCGTATCAGGATCAGCAATTCGGGTCATTTGGGGACCGATTATACGCTACATTCTCGAGTGTTTTTGTCACTATCTGGATGATCTCCGTACATGAATATCTATTATTGAGATTTCTAGCCATATAAGCTATATTTATTACACTCTTAAAATGCATAAACAAACCTATTGAAAATGTCAACTGAAAACATATAAGGAACACCTCCAAAAAGCTCTCATCTAACCATTGTTGAGTGTTGCTGAATCGATCGATTCAACCTTTGGATAAAAGTTCCTTGCAATTTACGCATCCTGAGAATTTCAAGGTAATATGTCCTTGAAACATGTCGCTGAAGATGTCGGATCGTTCTTTTCCTTGAAAACGCTGGATTCGAGGCTAGATCCAGGTCTGGACCAAAAACGCATACAGAAGGCAAAATTAGGGCCCAGCAGAAGTCGATGGAACTCCCTGGAGTTCAAACTCTATTATGTAGCGTTCGCCATTGCAGTTCCAATGATGCTGAAAACAGCCATGTCAGCTACAAACGAGCAAAACCCAAATTTTGCTCGAATCGAACCGCTGCTAAGTAAAGGCTGGATTTTTGGACGCAAAGTGGATAATAGTGACTCGCAATACAGGTTTTTCCGCGATAATCTTCCACTTCTTTTGGGTCTGGCAGCACTTCACACATTCTCCAAGAAAGTGGTACTCCGGACGGTCAAATGTCGTAAAGTCACATTCGACCTCATTTTTGGCCTCATTTTCCTATTTGCCGCACATGGTGTCAGCGCTCTACGTGTGCTAACGCACTTGATGATCAATTTCACAATTGCCAAAAGTCTTCGCAGAAAACCAAGAGTCGCCAAACTTTTGACGTGGACTTACGGTATTGGATCCCTATTTATTAACGACAATTACCGCAAATATCCGTTCGGAAACATTTTGTACATTTTGTCGCCACTGGATTCGTCCTTCACAGGAATCATCGAACGGTGGGACGTATTCTACAACTTCACTCTGCTAAGAATGCTCAGTTTTGACATGGATTTCCTCGAAAAGTGGCAGGAAATTACGCAGGGGCAAAATAACGCCACACAGACGCAGCCCACAGCAGCAAAGCCTGAGCTCAAGAGATCTGCATCTTCGGCCACCACACTGGAAACCATATGTGAAGATGGCCACAAGAATTTGCTCATGGAAGAGCGCGCAAGACAAAATGCTCCTCATCACATCCAGGAGTACTCGCTGGCTCATTACCTTGCGTACATCACCTACACCCCGCTGTTCATTGCTGGTCCCATAATAACCTTCAATGACTATTTATATCAGTCTCAGCACACATTGCCGTCCATCAACAGAAAGGCAATCTTGAAGTACGCTCTGCGGTTTGCTTTCTGTGTGTTGACCATGGAAGTTGTGTTGCATTACATCTATGCGGTTGCTGTGTCCAAAACGAGGGCTTGGGAGAACATTACACCTTTCCAGATCTCGATGATTGGTCTATTCAATCTCAACATAGTCTGGCTAAAGTTATTGATTCCTTGGAGACTTTTCAGACTCTGGGCACTGGTGGACGGAATCGACCCACCTGAAAACATGATTCGTTGCATGAATAACAACTTCAGCGCCCTTGCATTCTGGAGAGCTTGGCACAGATCTTTCAACAAGTGGGTAGTTCGGTATATTTACATACCGCTGGGGGGTTCGAGAAGCAGAATTCTCACTTCTTTAGCAGTATTCTCTTTCGTCGCGATCTGGCACGATATTGAGCTGAAACTTCTGCTGTGGGGGTGGCTCATAGTGCTGTTTTTACTGCCAGAAATCTCTGCACAGCAAATATATTCCGGGTCTCACAAAAAACCATGGTACAGGTACCTTCGCTCAGTAGGTGCCATTTTGAATATCTGGATGATGATGATCGCTAACCTATTTGGTTTCTGTTTGGGCTACGACGGCACGGTTTACCTCATCAAAGGCATTTTCCTGACATCATCTGGCCTACAGTTCCTCATATGTGCGAATGGGGCTCTATTTATTGCAACTCAAGTCATGTTCGAGCAAAGAGAACATGAAAAACGCAATGGAGTGAACGTGAAATGCTAAGTATAACGTAGATAAGAAACAAGCGATATCTATTTTACGCGACTCTTTTCTTGTAAGCGGCAGGGGTTTCCAGTTTTTTCAGACTCCAAATCCCTCTTTTGTTGGCTTTGGCCACATTTTGATGGAAAAGATAAACGTCTTCTTCTGAGTCAAACTCGGCTCCAGTCTTCCCCTCATAGACTGTTGCAAGTCCACATTTCACCATTTCCAGACTTAGATTTTTGTAGCCGGTCCATGTTAAGTATTCGACTTTTGCAACACAACGACTGTACTGATCAATAGCCAACGGTTTGACCCAGACATTGCGTCCTATTATGGTGTGACGTAGCCAAATGAGCGCTTCTTCACTGAAAGGCTGAGCTTCGTTGCCGAAATGTGCTCTTTCTGGAGCATCCACACCACACAGACGGATCGAAACGGTTGGTAAATTTCGTTTACCTTTCAGCGGGACGTGCAATGCTAGAAACTTGTCTTTTTCGGTCATTTTGCGTCTGCGAAAAGGATTTAAAAGCCAGTGACTGGCTTCTACTTTTTTGTCATTGTCTGTCTTTTCAAGTTCCGGTACTCTTCGAAGCCAACCCCATCCGCCACGGATCCCACCCGGGGTATGAAAGAAATGAAAATTGTCACCATCCCCCACTGCTGTAACCTTCCCGTAAAGCCATTTTTTGCGAAACACTTTCTGTGGGATATCGGTAGCTTTCTTATACTGTGTTAGGTGCTTGTTGAACAACGCATAGCTGGTCAAAATCGATCCTGTCAACACAAATGACAGCAGGAGTACCCGGGCATACAAAGATTGCTGTACGTTGAGCGGTTCACGCTGGCCAACTGGCATTGACAGTCCTGTAGACCGCGCTGTTGTTGGCTAGTTTTGAAAGCATCGGTGGTGTCGAATTCTTGAAGCGCATGCTCAATATATATGGTAGAAAATCAGACGTCGTAGACGTATAGAGTGATGTAGCGATACATATTGGGTATCGTCAAGCAAACCGATGAAATTGTTAGCGATACCAGAGCGAGCTCACGATCAATATATCGGCTCCATTTCAAATGCTTTTGAGTCTTCAATTTGAAGGATTCGTGTTTTTCGTAATTTTTCATTCTTTCTAACTGAAAAAAACCGTAAACGTATCGAAGTTGAAGAAAAACGGTAGTTTGAATAGATTGAGATAAGTAAATGTTAAATACAGACTGAAATTTCGTGATCTGATTCGTTTCCGAGCAATGCTACATGCTTTCGCAACTTGGGATCCGATAAAAATTTACATTCACCAAAATGATCACTTCGTACTATTTTGACCCAGCGTCTGTTCTTTTAGAAAAGTAATCTATAATGATAAAGTAGAAGCACCAGCATACCTTTCAAACTCCCACAGCAGTAACGACAGTTTGCAATTCAGCCTAAACCTGCCTCATCTATTAAGTGTTTAGACAAGAATTCAGGACCAATTTCTGAAGTCCAACGTTGCCCAATACCGGTGTCTTTTCCCCGCGTCTAATTTATTCTATTTCAAGAGCACCTTGATTTCAGAGATAAGGTGCAGAGTATATTTTGACTTGACACCTGCTCACTTCGCAACTGCTAATTCATTCCTCAGCATTTTTCTCACTTCCTTGAGTCCTTTCCCGTCCCGTTTTAACGTCGGTCCGTGTCATCCTATACATGACACTTTCCCCGCGATTAAAGTCTCATTTTGAAGCGTGTCGCCAGTCGAGTAGTTTGAGTTGAGTAACTCCATTTTCCTCGAGCAACTAAGGCGGAAACTCAAGCTTCCAATCAGTTTCGAAGCCTAATCGAAGGTAAAGGTCGCTGTTTTCGAGTATTCATATCCATAGCGAGTCTTGAATACAAATCTGGTTATTAATTGATCGACTAGCAAGAACCCTTCGATTGTAAGAACAAACTACAAGAAACTTTAGCAAAATACAACAAGAAGTGAGCCCTTTACAACGCTACCACTTGCATAGTTGGTGAATATCTTTGAGTGCCGTGAAATTTTCCATAAAAGAGATGTCACGCAACAAACCTGACGATGCCATAGAGCTCGAAATGCTTTTGGGCAATGACGAAGACGAAGACTCCAGCAGCCTTACAGTCACCCGTTCAAATCAAGCTCCTGAATATAATGGTGAGACCATCCATCTATATCCTTTGGACTATCAGAAGGTGCATATCGTGAGATGGCAAATGGCCGCAAATCTAGTTTTGTTTCTAGTTCTAGGTCTCAACGATGAATGCAATGGTGCCCTATTGCCAGCTTTGACGCAACACTACAATGTCTCAAAAGTGACAGTCGCAAACCTCTTCATTGTGCAGTTCTTAGGCTATTGTACTGCCTCCCTGCTTACCCAGAAAATACACACAAGAGTCGGCGCCAGAGGAGCCATGCTAACAGCAGCGGGACTGTGCGTTTTGTTCTATACCATTTTGCTCTCAAGACCTCCTTGGTTCCCCATTTACGTTGCATGTTTCATGCCCCTAGGACTAGCGATAGGAATAATGGACTCGGTGTCTAACGTGCTTTTCGGAAACCTCGAGATCCATAAAAACGAATGGATGGGTTTGCTCCATGGTCTTTACGGTGCAGCGGCCATGGTAACAGCGCCCGTGGTGTCTTATTTTGTCAAGTACAGCCAGTGGAACCTTTTCTTTCTGCTGCCATTGACGGTTTCGTTGGTGGGGCTTATTATGGTGCCCTACGCTTTCAAAGACGAGACCGCTAACAAATACAACTATTTATGTGAGATCAGTCGGGAGCAAGGTGACGAGGTTCATCCCAGCTTCTGGACCTTGGTGCGCAGACCAGCAATTTACATGTATGCGATCTACATGTTCATATACCTTGGCTCCGAGGTATCTACTGGAGCATGGATCTTCACCTACCTACTGGAAGTGAAAAAAGGTGAGGTAATCCCGATGTCTTACGTGACGGCTGCTTTTTGGATGGGCCTCACGACGGGCAGACTCGTCCTGGGGTTCGTCACGAAGCGGTGGTTTACAAACGAATATAGAGCCTCCGCTTTCTACACAAAGTTAAGCTTTGTGAGCTACACAGGTTTCCTAGCTGTAACCTACTTTTCTGGATCTTCTGCCCTCTATTTCGTGGCCGTGTCAGTTATGATCTTCCTGGGAGGGGTGTTCATAGGGCCGCTTTTCCCTAACGCTAGCGTTGTCGCTCTGCAGGTCCTGCCGAAAAACATGCATGTCAGCGGTGTGGGCATTGCTGTAGCACTGGGGGGCTGTGGATCGGCAATCTTGCCCTATTCCGTGGGCCTGATAACGAATATGATTGGTTTTGTATGGTTTCCATTTCTGTGCTGGATAATGGTTGCTGTCGTGGCCGTTGTTTGGTACTTATACCCCAAAGTCATCAAGGGGCATGAAGAGTATCTTTGAGAGTCTTTTCTCTACCAATTGAACTGATCGTCTCTGATGAACCCTTTGGTGAACTGTGTGAATCACTATCTTAGCAGGAGTGGAAATCCGAAAAATGCTACACCTCAAGCAATCTCTAGAGCGCCTTTGTTACAGTCAGAGAAGGCATTATCAATAGGAAGTTTTGAAAGAAACTCACTAAGCCATACCTCGAAGAAAGTGTCAGGCTAGTCAATTCACAACGGACAGAAGTGCATTTACAGGTAAAAACCAGGCATAACTTCCTGACCAAAGAAAGACGAATTTGGCAGAAAATCCGGTAGATCAGAAAAGCATTGCTGATAATGGATCAAGACTGTTACTCACGCTCCTGGAGCCCAGACTGTTCCATCTCATGTAGGCGGTGATGCCGATCTACAGAAGACACAACGTATATGATGATTTGTCATATTTGAAAGGTATTGATATATTCCAGTTCATCCAGGTTCATCCAGGTTACACCAGGTTAATCCACCTCAACATCGCTATCCATAATCACCATTCAAGGTCCATTGTTTGCGACAATAGCGACTCTTGCTTAACGTTTGTTTATCACCCATGAATGGCACAAATAGCTACGATTCCCAGCAAAATGACAAAAGATACGTTACGCAACGACGTACCGTCGATATGAGCTCACCTTATGATAGATTGTACCATTTAAAGAAACATGGGCTACCCATTCCCTTCATTGAGCCTGAAACAAGTTATACAACCAACATTTTACCTGCTGATGCGTATTTGCACAATAGACGAGTGATAAATACGCCGACCAAATTCACACATCTGAGCTCGAACAAGGTAAAGCATGTCATTCCAGCTCTGGAATGGACTCCAGAGGGTCGGAGGTTAGTTGTTGCGACTTATAGCGGGGAATTCTCGCTTTGGAATGGGTCAACTTTTAATTTCGAGAGTATCATGCAGGCCCACGACAGTGCCGTGGCTGTCATGAAATACTCACACGCAGGTGACTGGCTCATAAGTGGTGACTCTAATGGTACGATCAAGATCTGGCAGCCAAACTTCAACATGGTCAAAGTGCTGGACGAAGCCCATACGCAATGCATAAGAGGTATCTCGTTCAGTGGCACGGATTCTAAGTTTGTAACTTGTTCTGACGACAACATTTTGAAAATTTGGAATTTCAGTAATGGGCAACAGGAAAGCACGCTTTCCGGTCATCATTGGGACGTACGCAGTTGTGATTGGCACCCGACGATGGGTCTAATCGCATCTGGATCTAAGGATAATTTGATCAAACTATGGGACCCCAGATCGGGTCAATGCATCAGCACGATTCTGGGTTGCAAGCATACAATTATCAGTACTAAGTTCCAGCCTACCAAGGGCAACATGCTGGCCGTGATTTCCAAGGACAAAAGTTGTAGAGTATTTGATATCCGTCAAAATATGAAAGAGTTGGCTGTTTACAAGGACGAGTCCGATTACATGTCTCTGACGTGGCACCCTATCAATGAATCAATTTTCACCGTAGGTTGCTATGACGGATCGATGAAGCATTTTGATCTACTTCAAGAACCGCAAGATCCGTCTTCGGGCTATTACCATAACATTCCATATGCTCATGACAAGTGTATCACGTCTCTGTCCTACAACCCCGTTGGCCATATACTTGCAAGTGCTTCAAAAGATAGAACAATACGATTCTGGACCAGGGCAAGGCCAACCGATCCCAATGCCTTCGATGATCCTACCTACAACAACAGAAAAGTCAATGCTTGGTATTTCGGTATCAATAATAATATCAATGCTATCAGGCCCAAAACTGAAGATGGTATAGCATTGCCCCCAGCAGGTAACGAGTTTGGAAGCTCCATGAATAATAACAATGCTTACATAGGGCAGAGGGTTCAATCACCGGCTTCTTCGGGTCTGCCGGGATTGAACTTTTGAAAAGTGGAGTTCGTAAAATAGTGTCTATTGGGGTTCTATAAAATAAGTTTATAATAAACAGCAGCATTTATCTTCCCGAATTGCTGCTGATGTCAAATTGAAGTGAACTTTATCCGTGGTCGTTAATACATTAATCGTTGAGTTTGTTCGTGCGCTACACAAACGGTCCTTTTAGGGACCGGCAGAAGTAGTCGTCATTAACAATTCCATTTAGAATTGTGGCGTACGGTACATCCGTGTTGTGACGAGTGTCTGTTGGTAGCTGGAGTTTAGGAGCAGATGTTCTATTGGATGGAGTCATGCCTTTGGCGAAATCTTGAACGTCTTGAATATACTTCTTGGCATAAATGTTAGAATAGCATTCCATGAAAAGTTCGATGGATTTGATCAATTCTGTCAGATATTTGGTGGCTCCTGGTGGGTGATGTTTTGCCGACTCACTGGAGGCATCGGAATATCCTGCGTTAATAACGCTATACCAAAACAGCCCATTGTCCTCACTGACTAGCTTATTTTCAGCAATATGGTTACTGAATTCAGCCTTAGTGAAGGGTATGTACTGGGAGTGGTAGTGAGCCAGTCGCTTGGCGAAATCGCGCACTGCGAACTCGTAAGGTTTATCGAAATAGTCCTGATTGAAAGTTTTGTTGTGGATGTTGAAACGAATAAACGCGCGTTCTGTGCACGACACTTGGAGAACCACGGGAGTAATATGGTAGTGGCGTTTCAGATCTGCGTTATAGAGACGTAGCTGTTGGAAAATGAACGCACGTCTCTGTTCGGTAGAGTTGGTGGCATCGAATATAGCGACATCGCACGCATCTTGGTCCAGATCCGAAAACATCTGTTGAAGCGTGAGTTTGGCGTACTGTTCCTTCTTTTGTGAGTTTTTCGGATTGAACAAGTCCTCAGAAGAGTTGTTGGCTAGCATCATGGGTCTGCCACGACAGCTGAGTTTTCTTCTAACCTGGCCGGCATTGAATATTTTGCAGCGCAAATGAGCTGTGCGTGGATCCCGGCCAAGATACTGAATAAGATGATTCGAAACCGTCGATTTACCGCTGGCAGGTAATCCCACCAGCACTATCACGAGTTTGTCGTCCGCAGCGGGCAACTGAGGTGGTGGGGCTGCAGACACAGACGAAAAACGTCGGCCGCGACTGGTATAGTTGAGCGTGAGAGCCGTAGGCTCTTCACGCGAATACTGCTGCGGAAGCGACCGCTGGTCCAAATTTTCCTCTTCTTCTTCTTCTTCTTCTTCTTCTTCTTCTTCGGTCAGGTACTGGTCCACGATACTGGAATAACTATCCCGATGACCGCGAAGCGAAAAAAGCGAGTTGGTCGAGTTGGATTTCGATCCACTATCCATATCGCCCGGTGAGAGTGGAATAACCATTTTTCGAGCGGAGTGTAGTAGGAGAGCAGATTATTGAGTTTCTGATCGGGGGGAAAAGATCGATGGGACGACCGTCCGGGAGAATGAGACGCTGTTGGCTTGGAAAAATGACTTGCAAGAAAAACGAGAAAGACACCCAACCTGGTGTTGTTTTTTTGGGATGACTCTTTGAAAGTTCAAGTGGTGATGGATCTCGATGATTTCCTCGAGCCTCGAGGTTTATCCGGTCCTGCAGAAGGTTGGTTTTTTAAGTTTTTCCGTGATCGATTCGATCAGTGGAAAAGGAATGGAGTTTTTCCGATTTTTAAATTGAGGCGTCGACTCACCTTCTCGAGATTTATTATCAACGGATTTATGAAGAAGATCGTTGATGTTTTTCCTGTCGTTGATAATTACTTTATCCTACTCTACTCTGCTTTTTTTTTTTTTTTGATGTTTTTTCCTTTCCTCCGATAATGTATAATTCTGTACGGAACTCGGAAAAATACCAAAAAAGGAAAAACAGGTTTTTCCGGGATCCGCGATTCGTGTGTCGCGATTCAAGTATTTTTTTTGGGCTTTAGATAACCTATAAAGAGTGTCTGCGATCTAACAAACAAACAAACTAAAGCCCTGCGACACAGCCAGAATATTGTATCGATTACTGTGTTTTTTTGTTACTGATTTATCGAGACAATTTTTCCTAATAGTCTTTCCTCGAGATTCTCTTCTTTTTCCTTTTTTTTCTTTCGCTTCTCTTTCGTGTACTGGAGTAATATGTCCATTATTATATCTACAGTATTCAAGAATGACGTATTGAGACGATCTGACGTATTTGAGATCTCTGCCCAGGAAAAAGAAAAAAACCCACATTTAAGACTGTGGTGACCGGTAGTGACCGGTAGTGTTCCTGTGAACGTGCCTGGATTTGGACTCAATCCTCGAGATGCGGTGGTTCAGATGATAGCTATTGTCAACTTTCCTCTGTCACAACTTGCTGGTTTCCCACATCTTCCTGTGTCTCGCCCACCATCTGCAGTAGTTTCTCCTTGACCTGAGCACACACCTGCTCAATATTCTGTATCTCACGCTTCTTGCCCTCTAGTTGTTCTTCCAGTAACATGATGAGCGACTCACGTGACTGGTGAGGTCGGTATTCGTTCAAGAGATGGTGGATGTTGACCAGGATGGTTTGGATGTGTTCGACTTTTGCGGGAAACTGTTCAGGATTCACACTCAGGAGACCTGTGAGTTCTAAGAAATTCAGCAATAAAGATCGCATAAGTTTGTGTAGCTCTTGTATCTTATCTTGGTAACTTGAACTCCCGCCTTCATGGTTTTCACGAGATTGGTACAACTGCGTCATGCCCATGCTGGCAAGGTCCGGGAGCTCATCTTTCACCTGCCAAACGCTTCCAAAAGCCCTATAATGACCTTCTGTAGGGATATTTGGAGGAACAAGATGATCTAGCTCATCCTCCAAATGATCGAGACTGGCACCGGATTTTTTGAGTTCTTCGATCTTGGCAACATTTTCCGCCGTGAAGTGTTTGACGTAGGGTGGCGGTGGTGGATAGAGCGCTGCGATTTCGTTGGTCCCGTTGATTGACATCTTTAATTCTGCAAAACTTGCCAAAAAAAACGGTCTTGATCTTCAACCAACCAGGACAATAGCTATTCTTTCAATTTTATATCAGCATGAACGCTGCTCTAGTGGGCTTGTGGAGAGATAGTTGGAAAGAAGAGGTGAAGACGGTGAGTGACGCTGTGTTTGTAGTTCAGCTCTGGGTTCTTGTAGATAGCTCAATTGATCATGGGCTATGATTAAAGTAGCGGTTGTTGTATTCGTATAACGCGATTGGGGAATTTAGGAAAGCTAGCTGTCTTGAGAATAATAGTACAACGTGTGGAACAATTTTAAGACAAATTCAAGCGTGAATGGCTATTGGCAACAGCTTTTGTTACTTTTGGAAGTAGTTTCTCTACCATTTGGAAACTTTTGTTGTGAATTTTTGTAGTAGATATAATCACGTGCCCTGTGAATTGTGAAATTCGATTTTTTTGGAGTTGCGGTCTTTTTTTGTGGTATATAAGCGTAAAGCAAGTCTGACCGGTTTCCTACATTACTTTCCAACTTTAGATAGAGCTGTTTTTCTAGCACGACTGTTTTTTTTGAAGTTCTTACGAAAATTGTAATATCTCATTCGTTCATGATGATTCTTGAAAGCGACACCGTCGTGCATAGTGACCCGTTGTCGAACTCAGAACAACCGGATAGCGTATAAACAGCAAGTTTGTGAAAACCACTTATCATATAAAGTACGACACCTGCTTCGTAACTCAGACTCACTCTTATATGTTGCATTGCAAAGGCCAAGTATGTTAAGATAGTCACGTGACCTCTTCATCACTTTTCTCTTCTTGACCATAAACTCTTGCCACGTTTGCTCACATTCTCAACACTATTACTGCTGCAAAGACATGTGTCAAGCCATTTTTTTTTCAAACACCCCACTACGTCTTACGCCACTCCAGGCTACGGTAAAAAACGTTACGCTCTCAACCATAACCTCTCACGTTCACCACTGTACAATCTCATCCTTTTGTACGGAAGACCTATTTTACTAAATCAAGTCCAAATATACTCATCATCAATCTTTAAGAATCGAACTGGACTTGTCAGGCTTCCCTCTAGACCACTTCTCTCTGGCATTTGAAGCTTCAATTGTCGCCTTTACCTCCTGAAAACACATTAGGATCATGTCAGAAGATAAAATGGATCTCGACGAGCAGCGAGTCGGCCAGGAGGAAGTGCAGGACACTGAGATGAGCACAGTCAACAATTCAGCAGCGACAGAAACGCGGCCCAAAAAACGATTTGAGATCAAGAAATGGACTGCAGTGGCCTTCTGGTCGTGGGATATAGCGGTAGAAAACTGCGCAATTTGCAGAAATCACATTATGGAACCATGCATTCAGTGCCAGCCTACAGCGATGACGGATAGTGAAACAGAGTGTGTAGCGGCCTGGGGTGTGTGTAACCACGCATTCCATTTGCACTGCATCAACAAATGGCTACAAACGAGAAATGCCTGTCCACTGGATAACCAGCCATGGCAGTTTGCTAAATACGGGAGATGAAGAAAACTCAGTTTAAGGAATTGGATTTCACCAAGGACACGACACCCAGTCCACTAGAGTAAACTAGAGTGGAATCGAAGCTGTAGTTTTTTTAACTCTTTTTTTCGTGGGGCTCCCAGGTTCGGGTTCGAGAAAACAACATTTGCGTTTCGCTACTCTCTGCGCAGGAGCTTTAAAAGCATTTTCGCCATCTAGATTTGTGCAGATGGATTTGTCGATTATCAGCACCAGTAGTATATAAATGTAAATGTTTCATTTATCGCATTGTTTGGCTTTGGCCTAGGATATCTCATAGTATCGACCATTACGATTGAATGTTCCCCAAAGACAGAATTTCAACGACTTCGAGCTGAGTCCTGTGAAAATGGGCTCCCAATTCACAGCACTTTCGTGATTGAGCTCAATAAAGAAAATATATTGCCATTTACGCCTCTTTGCCTCTTCGCTCTCCCTTCGTGCCCCAGTCTCATTGTCAACAGGATAGTGATACGGTCTGGAACTGATCGAGCACATATTGATCTGATTTTCCTTCAAGACATTCAAAACGTCGACAAGACTGCCGGGCGTGTCTTGTGCAACAATAAACGCTAGCAGGGATACTTTTTGAGCACTTATGGACGTCGCACAGGGACGTGCTGTTAGAGGGCCTTGATTTGAGCTGCGTCTTTGTAATACCAAAAATCGGGTGGTGTTCCCCTTGCGGTCATTGATTGGCTGCTCTAGAATGGTAGCACCATGCATTTTAGCGGCTGTGGTGCTGGCTATCGCTAACGTTACCTCATTGGCGGACTCGTGGTCCCTTTTTTCGCAACAATATCGCACGGCGCCTGATGTAGAAGTGGTATCGATCATCTGGAGTGAATTCACTTTTTGGCGAAGTTTCTCAAGATAGCCAGTTGCTTGGCCCCAAACCTGAGGATGTGAGTAGATTTTCAAGGTGGTGGATTCGTTAAAAGATTCGATGCTGACATTACCAGAAGAAATCAAGCACAGATCAATAGAGACGTACTGTTCGGCCACCACTTGTAGATCTGGCAAAGCCTGGTTTTCCCTATAGTTTGCGGCATCGTTCATGAGATCTCGCAACAGATCGTATGTGAAAACTACCTGTCCATTTGTAGAGTTTTCCAACGGTACTACAGCGTAGTCCAAACTAGTGTCGTGAGTCAACTCTTCAAAGCATTGAGGAATCGTTTTGAGAGCAGTATACTTGGTATTAGCATCCTCTGGAAACTGCTGAAGCACTGCCTGATGTGTGTAAGTCCCAAGAGGACCTAAAAAGGCGACATTGACCATCTTTTGGCTAGCCAAAGTCGATATTTAAAGATATCTTTCAAGACTCGATGGTCATATTTCAACCAAGATGATGGAAATTTAAGAGCTCAAAGCTACTAACAGAAATAGTAAAACTAAACCAACAAAAAGACAGCTTGACAAGACTTGTAAAGGCTTTCCAGGTTATCTTTAGGCATAGCTGTTTCCTATATACATTTATATATATCTTGAGCTAAGGATTTTGGACTGGTGTTTTAGCGTTCAGACGTCCATTGACTGAGCTAAACTGATGAGCTTTTCAACACTGAAATTGGTCGAACCACTGGCAAAATCACGTAGAAGCTGGAGTCTCAGCTTGGAAGGAATAGTTTCCTCGCCCATGGCGCCGTAGAAGCGTTGGACGTTCAAAAGCAACAGCTGGGCGTCCTGGAGTGACACATTGACGTCTTTTTCCACATGTCCGTTCATCAGCACTATTTGCTTGTCCTGGGCTAGCTCGGTGTGGAACTGGAAAGTGGTGTGTGGCTTGGCGTACTCCTTGTGTAGCTTATAGTCGGCTAGGGACGTCATGATACAGTGCACGGTGTTAGGCCCCGCTATTTGCCATTGGATGTAGTGAAGCTCGACGCCCTGGCCGTCATTTGCGTTGCCCTGCAAATCGGACGCATCGGCCTTGATTTCGCGAGGCAACGGCAGCACAAACGTCGGGACCGCTTTGAAATGCTTGGACATCTGATCAAATACAGCTGCGGGAACCACAGCGTTCAAAGCCTGGTCGTTGTTGGCCCAGCGCGCACGCCATAGAAACTCTATTTCCTGCTTGGATAGATCCCTGATCTTCTCGAGCTTCAAAAACGAATCGAGCGTTTTGAAAGGCGCGGGGGCCGTGGCAGCGTCCACAGGGCCTCTGGGCTCTGTCATCTTGGCGTTGTTGCTTGCCATTTTCATGCGTTGTTCGTAATCCAAAAGTTCTTGCAGAGGGTCGATCTTGTTGAGTGAACGTTTTTTGTCTTCGATTTGGGACTTCAGATTCTGCTTGAGATCGTCCACACTATCAAATCCCTGTTCTTTGGCCTTTTGCACTAGTTTTTCGTGGTATCGGTGTTCCAGAGCCTCTGTTGAATACTTCTTGGTCTGTAATAGCTGTTGCTGAACAAAACTTGTCAGTGAGATTGCAGACGCCTTTCGGGTTTGGTAGCGAAAGAGTCGGGCCACGCTACGATTCACAAGGCTCATTACCAGCAACTGTTTCGGGTCGAGACTTGGACAAGATGGATTGGATCTACGTTTCTGCTTATTTATTAAAAATTCTTTCGTACTCGTCGAGATGACTGCTCTGATAGCCATTCCATTGGCTCTTACGATGGCTATGAGAGTGCGTACACGTCTGGTAGGGCAATACTAGCGCATTGTTGAACAAATGTTGGTAAGAGAAGTGTTGGCTGGCGCGTTCAAGGCTACGGAAAGTTGAGTTTTGTCTACTGCACAAGCTAGTGACAGATAATTCTACAAGGGCGTGGAAAACTAACGGTTCGAACTGGAAGAAGTTGCTCCAGGCGAGTCGAAGTTTGTGGGAATGAAAAGCGCACAACTTCCAGGAGTCAAGGATGGAGCCTTGGCCCGCTTTATTTGAATCAAGTTAGCGTTTCTATGAAGTTATGGGTGGATCAACACTAGATATCCACACTATTGAATTTTAATATTTTATTAATTAATTTGATTTGACTCATTGTTGACGAGACTCGTACATAGCTATCCATTTACGCAGTCACATGACTAAAGTCTATCATGTGTTTTTCACATGACCGATTTTTTTTCAATTTCCAAGATTTATCGATAACGCATATTTGTAGATCGACAAACAATACCGATATTCTTTATCCAGACATATCGCCTCTTTAAAACCCTGTAACCTCCAGCTTCTATCTTTCTCTCCCGCCGTCTCCTCGAGTGCTCGCCAGACTCACGCCGCTAGCCCATCGTCCAACACCGGAATGACCTTTGCGCCTCGAGGAAGGGACATCATAACGGGCACGCACAACCAACACCGATAAAGATGAGCAATCCCGATGATCTACTGGTGGAGCTCATGTACGAGTACAAGCCGCACTTGCAATCATACCGGCACCGTCTGAATACGTGGAATGAGCTGCTGCAGGCCTTCAACAGAGCCACAGGCGCCAATTATCGCCAGAGCAGGACTCTCAAGACGCGATTCGAAAAATTGAAAGAGCTGTTTGTGAACGGAGAACCGCTGCAAATTAAGAGCATGGCTCTTTTACAAAGATTGCTGGATGAGTGTGGTCATGAAAATCGAGTCTTGGACGACAAAAGTCCGTCAGAGCAGTATCAGTCGTCGGAACATTCCAACACCCCCACTGCAGGTTTTCCCGAGAAATCACAGCCGCAGCAAAAATCGCAATTACAGTCACATTCCCAGTCACAACGAGACACAGATTTTCCCCCTGAGTGTGAAGAAAACGAAGATCAAGATATGTCAAGACCACCGCCGCTGGATTCGATCACGATTTTCCCTCACACCCAAATGCGACGATTTCAGGAAGAGAGATTTGTGAAAAATGGTGGGTTTGCGGCGTCTCAGGATTTTTCCAGGAGCTCGCACGATTCGCCCTTTAATTCTCAGAATGCGTCTGCAGCAGATACCCCTGGAGAACAACATATGGTAACTGAAGAAAACATCGCTTCGGTCTTGGAATCCCTCAAAGCAGACTTTCGGAGCTTCAACTCGTTTGATTATTCTCCGGAGGACATAAGCTCTTTGGCAGCACTAAGGAGTGAAGTCGCCACGATAAAACATAATCAAGAAGTGTTCCAGAGAAACGTTCTCGCAAAACTAGACAGAATTGCCGAAGTTCTGCATCCAACATCGGACTTTCTTCGAAACAACTCTCAACCTCATCAAGATCAAGGCTACGGCCACTAATCATTTTGCTTTTGCTTTCACCTCCTACTCGCCTTTCATCGCCAAAATCGACTCTTCTAATATTATCTAATGTGCTCTTTCGACGCTAATTGCAAAGTGCAGTTTGAGACTTACATTCACACAACATACTCTATAGATTATTTCTCAATTCTACCAACTTTTCCCACCCTTCGGAATCCTCCCAACTGGTTCTGCCTCTACTCATCAATGACTTTATAGTAGACCGTGCCTTATACTTCCAATCTTTGCAAACTACGCTGCCCGGTCCATGTTTTCCTTCCATTTCACCCAAAGACTCGTATGCCGATACCAAATCGTCACACGCCTCCACTGTCGTGTTCCACACTTTTTCGTCAAATTCAAGATCTGGGTTGTGCGACATGGCTCGATATTCCTTCTCATAGCATTCTAGAGATGCCCATGGTCTCTTCCTCCACAATTCTACCTTTGCGACCAGCTTCCAGCACTCCGAATTTGTTGTTACCACCCTGGGTAAGGTGTCGCAAATAAACTCCATGCAAGAAGTTTGGAAATGGGTCAATCGTTGGGAAGAGTCAGTGGGGAAATCTGAGGTAACTAGTAGCTCTACTAGCTTTTCAACTACAGGCATGTCAATTGAGAATTCCCCAACTTTATCCTTTCGTATATCCACAAGCTTACGGCATGCGAGTAAAACGTCTGACCATATGCTCAGCTTTATCGAGACTAGCATGAAATTCTCCCAAATCCTCCAGTTATTAGGCGAATCGGAACTTACCGCTTTGCTGAGGCAGCTATGAGCTTCCTTCAGCTTACCTTGCTCAATGAATGCAGCACTTAAGTTGGACCACGAGATGGAGTGCGTAGCGTCTAATGACACACATCTTGTAAAGGCTTCAGCAGCAAGGTCCATCTTACCACATTCCAAACCCACACACCCATAAAAGTACCAAGTCTCGAACGAGAGCGGGTACAAGCGCAAAGAGTCGTTTAAGTGCTTGATACATGTAACAGGATCTTTTGTTAATCCTGACGATGAAGGTGGGTTGTAGTAGTATTTGGCCAGCGAGTTTTTTGCATTAACGTGTTTACCAACTTCCCAACTCTTCTGCCACAAGCTTGGATCCTGTCTTATATCCCCCAAAATGGATAACGCTCTTGCGTCATTAGGATTTTCTTCGATATTCTCGACCAAAAGTTTTTCCGCGGTCGTTTCGTCACCGACAGCGGCGTAACACAACGCAGCTTCACACACCATTGACAATCTCTCGTAGATCTCCACTGCTGACTTCAAAACGCCAAGACTCATGTACTTTTCCGCCAGTGTGACATCCATTGCCCAACGCGGAAGGAATGGCAGCTTATGCACATATTTTAATCTCTCGACGCTTTGAGTTCGATCGCCACTGCTCTCTTGGGGAAGCATACGGGCCGAGATTCTCAAGTCCAATTCTTCAACCAACGATTGCATTTGTAAAAGACCTCTTTCAATTGTCTTGGCCTTGGTAGTCTCGATAAGCGATCTCTCCCACAAGCCTCTGGAAAACAAAGTCCAGTTTTTTTTACCAGACTGGTACAAAACGCGATTCACAATGGCACTCAGCTCCTGTTCCACCATTGGGTTTTGAGCTGGTGTAGTCTGACGAATAACCTGTAGTCGAAGAAGTAGTTGCGCATTATCGTCGTCAGATAGAGCCGGCTGATCATTGGGATCAAGTTCGCGCAAGACAAGCGGAATGTCTTCCTGTCTGATGGCGATAGGGAGCAGTCTTTCTTCGTCAAGGGAGTACTCCTGGTCTATTTTTGGTCTCTTCACAACCTGCTCGTCCAAGGGCTCATTTCCGATTGATTGGTAGATCGGTTTTTCTAGTAAATGGTCCGACTCTAACGCGAGCGTCTCGGGCGCTTCGTTTGAGGTTCCATCACCAGAATCTAGTTTGTTTGCACCCTGCTGCGAATGAGCTAAGATTATGAGCCCAGAACGGAATTCATTCTGGTATTTGGTTCTCTTGGCTCTTGCACCTGTTAAGACAAACTGAAATTGTGTCAGTTTCTGGACCTTCGCCAAAGCGGGTAAACACATGTGCTCGGTATTCGTGGCCAAAGAGCATTTAACATTCTCCAGATAAAAGCTCACGCCTAGTTGATTTTCAAGAGTGGACTTCAAATGGGATGGAAGCTCTTTGGAGATGGCATAGACCAGATCTATGCTGTTGAAAATTGAAGAAGCGACCATAGGGTGAGGTCCTGTGGGCTCAGATAAAAGCGACAGCTGCGTTAAAAGAGCCCTTGCGCGCCACCAGTGGGCACATGCCACAAGTGCAGACGTTTCCGCTGGCGATATCTCGACTAGCGCTGTTTCCTGGAAGTCTGTGCCAAACAGAGAAGGTTGCTGGGAAATTTGCTCAAGCAGAATCAAAGCCATCACCAAGTAAACGGCGTCGTCACACAATTTGTACGCGGATTGGCCCAAAACGCTGAGAAGCGTTATGGAAAACCGGTGTAAACTGTCTTTCTGGTCGTTCGTGCACGCCAAAACTTCGGACGAAGGCTGAATTGCACCTGGTCCTGTGAAATTACTCTGAATAAATGACTGTAACAGGGCTATAGCGAGTACCAGAGCCAGATTTGGATGGTCCTTGAAAGCAGCCGTAAAACGGTCTCTCAAACCTGCATATGTCTCTTGTGAGCTGTTGAAATCGCAGTTTCCCGTGATGTCTGCGGCCTTCAATAGTTCCTTAATAACGACGTCGTGTTGACCGCTCAAGATCAGCTTGGCGTTGATCAAGCATGTGGCATCGATTTGACCAGAGAATTCATCAAGCGGTACGTTCTTGGATCCCAGCAAAAGCGCTGTTTGCAAAATCGCCTCCATTATATGAAACCGACTCCAGAAAGAAGGATAGAGGTGTTTAAAATGCCGAAAATGAACTCCCAGATGGGCTTTTAGAGGATCTTTCTGGATTTGAATGTGGTTATATCTGTATTTCAAATAGCCGATGAGCATGTCCAAAATTTTAGTCACCACACAGGAGCATTTTGTACGATCCCGTTCTTCGAAGTCAGCTACAAGTATGGTCAAAAAGCACTTTCCACCATTGTTTAGAGCCAGGGTTCACGATTCAGTCTTGATCAAGCTCGTGGGTTATTCACTATTCACCAGAATCGCGTCATTTTCGATTGTGTGATCTTCTTGTCATTTTCCGGTTGCAGAACTGAACCTCATATAGCTTCATCACCATCGGGATTGCGAAGCGCTCGAGCTAAACGCTTGTGGGGTTGTAGCACAATTCAGGAACTGCAATCGGCTCTGTAGTTCGCATTTCCATCGCTTCAAACAAAAGCGATGAGATCGAACAAGGCAGACAAACTTGAAGTGACCTTAAAATGCGAAAAAAAACAGGTTTTTAGACTCAAAAAAATGCCTGAAGTCGGTACACGTTGGATAGTAACATTCTCCCGACTTAAAAAGCTCAGAAACACGTCCTATTTCTATTCTTTTGATCCATTGATGTTTGTTCTCGAAACGCGAAACGCGTGAACATTAGTTTAAAACTAATAAATTTAAAACTCAACCTTAAAGACCAGAACTTGGTTAAAAAAACGGCTCAAACAGCAAAGAAGTAAGCCAAATAGCGGCATTTAAAGCTTTATCATAATCACAAAACATGTCCGGTATGTTGATATTGAGATATCCATGCTTTTTCTGTTCTTTTGAAGGCCTTTTCTTTACTAACTTAGCATACTAAACAGGTTATCAACCTTATAACGAATTTTCATCAGTCTCTGGAGGCGGTGGCGGTGGTGGGTTTGAAAACAGTCAGGGCAATAGTAGCAGGCCTGCTACCGGCGGTGGCTCGCAATCAACACTGATGCCCGTAACGATCAAACAGGTTTTGGAGTCGAAGCAAATGGTACAAGATGGACCTTTTGTCATCCAGAATCTGGAGCTCCACCATGTGGTGTTCGTTGGGGTGGTCAGAAACGTTGTAGACAAGACGTCAAATATTACGCTGACCATCGAAGACGGTACGGGCCAAATCGATGTTCGTCAGTGGACAGCAGACCCTACAGATATTGCCAACGCTAACGAGCAAGGAGAGAAACAAGAGGGCTCATACAGCTCACAGATATCACAAATGTACCAAGTGGGCAAATACGTCAAGGTGTTTGGAGCGCTGCGTGAATTTAGCGGCAAAAAAAATGTCCAGTATGCTGTTGTGAAGCCCATTGAGAGTTTCAACGATGTGATAGCTCACCATCTGTCTGCGATGAAATGCCATGCCATTGCCAATGGTTCTATGCAGAGCCCGGCATACCCAAACACTGACGCTACGGAATTGACCGGTACTAACCAGCAACCGGCTCAGGATCAAAGCTTGTTTGTGCAGGATAATTCCGCAGGTGATCCTAAACCCGCTTTACACAAGATTTTGGAATTCTGTGCTGCTCAATGCGAGGGCAAAGACGCCAGTAATTTTGCTGTTCATACCAAACTCATTGAACAAAGTCTGGGTATTACTGAAGCAGACGTGAAGATGTACTGCCAAACCTTAGTCGATCAAGGCTTCATCTACCCAACCTTTGATGACAGCAGTTTTTTCGTTTTATAAAAATGCAGGTAAGAATGTATATACGAACTGATGCGATGGTTAACACCAGCTTTTGTTATTTGATGTCTGCCGTTATTGACATTGACATGATTTATGTTTTTGACGTCAGAGTCAACAAATAGAAACAGACACAATGTCACCGTGATAACTAAATCTGTGTTTTGACAGTAATACTCTAGAGTCCTGTTGAAACTTGCCTTCCCACCTCGCAATCAAGTCCATTAAGACAGAATGCTATCGCCCTTTTTGAGAGTTTATCTGATTTTTTGGGTCTTGCTGAAAGTAAGGCTAGTGGCAGCCTCAGTCAATCCAATAGAAATCCACGAGCAGCATTTCTACGACTCTGTCACAGGCGAGCCTTTTTTCATAAAAGGTGTCGACTATCAGCCAGGTGGCTCCTCTGACGTAACAAGTAACCGAGATCCACTCTCAAATGCCAAGATTTGCGCCCGTGACATCTTCCTCTTCCAAAAATTGGGCATCAACACCATCCGAGTGTACTCGATTAGCCCAGATTTGAACCATGATGAATGCATGACCATGATGGCTGCCGCAGGAATATATCTAATTCTTGACGTCAACTCACCTTTGGAAAATCAGCACCTCAATAGATACGAGCCTTGGACAACTTACAATGAGGACTATCTGGAGCACGTCTTTAAGGTTGTGGAGCAATTTAGCCACTACAACAACACTTTGGGATTTTTTGCGGGCAACGAGATCATCAACGATGGTCAGTCTGCAAGACGCTGCCCCCCGTATATAAGGGCGGTTGTCAACGATATGAAGCAGTACATTCAGGCTCATTCCCCACGCACCATCCCAGTGGGCTATTCGGCAGCTGATGATTTAAGGTATCGGATACCCTTGTCACAGTACCTGGAGTGTCACGACGAAAAACATCCGGATTCAAGTATCGATTTTTATGGTGTCAACTCATATCAATGGTGTGGTCCACAAACCTTCCAGTCATCTGGGTACGACCAGCTTGTTGACGCATACAAGCAATATTCTAAGCCCGTTTTCTTTTCGGAATTCGGATGCAACACCTTTAGGCCACGCTCGTTCGAAGAGGTCGAAGCATTATACTCAGAAGAGATGATCAACACTTTCAGCGGAGGCCTTGTTTATGAATTCACCGATGAGCCCAATGAGTATGGGTTGGTAAAGATTGATGATGACAACAGCGCCAAGATTCTTCAAGACTTCGCGAACTTGCAAGACCGCTTCGCTAAGATTGAAAGTAAAGAATTTCAAATGATTCGCAAAAATGCAGTGAGCTTGATGGCCACTGCTCCTTTACCAGCTTGCAAAAATAGTTATGAAAACCTTCAAGTTGACGCTTCCGTAGCAGACGGTATAGCCACGAAACTCCTCAGACGGGGAGTAGAGCAGGAAAAAGGCAGATACTTGAATCTCGAGAATTCTGCTTTTTCTTCGGAATATGAAATTCATGACGTAAATGGAAGGTCCCTCGATAGCCCTCGCAAAATATCAATAATTCATCACATCGAGGGCACGGAACCTGAGGCCCGACACCTGGACCAATCTCATGCAACAGGACCAACCTCCACTGTGGCCACAAAATTGAACGAGGACAAACATGATAGTGTGAAAATGAATGAAGGTGTGTCAGCCATGCCTTCCACAGCTTCCGTTTTATCTTGGTTCTTGGGTTCAGTTTATTTGCTTGCGAGCTTGATACTACTATAAGCAGTCCTAGAGTTTTCATTTTGCCCACAAGAACGTCAAATAGTGAAGTTCACTTAGCTCCATACTTGTACAAGACAAAACCATCGTTGTCTCTTACTGTCAACATCATTTCTGCATTTAAAAGTGGTCTCAGCAAAATCTCCCAATCGTATCGCGTTCTTGGAGTACACCATAACCACTTTCTGAGCATTCTTATATCAACAGACTGAAACCTCGACAACGACTTCAAGAACATCCATAAGTTAACGTTTGGGATGTCTTTGAAAAGGTGAAAATTTTGGAAACTATTCCACAGTTGCTGCTGATCCATAATATCGTTGTCGCTGAGAGAATCCGCGACACTATCATTTAAACAACTGAGCACAGCGTTGTCCCACCAATGAGTGCTCGAATACCCGTCTTCCGCGTGGGTAGAGCCACACAAAGTCTGGAGATCATCTCCGGTGTAAGCGTCCAGTTGCCGCCAAAAATGGAGTGGCTGTAGCGGGAAGACGTTGGTGAAGGGTATATTGACAATTGATAGCTTGATGCCTTTCGTAGGAAGCCGGTCCCAAAGATCTTTGTAATAGTGGTAGAAGTAGTGGAAGGAATGTATCCTCATGTTTTTATAATATTGTTCTTGTGTTGCAGATATTGTTCCTGGCTTTCTACCTTCGTTATCGCTAACACGTTTGATATAGCCTTCGTTCATGGCAATCACAATTGGGGTAGTGGCGGGCGGTACAGTAAGTCTTCGTGTAATCGGTGTTTCAACTAAGGTTTCTGCCAGAGAAGCATTGTCAGAAGACTCTTGGGAGCATTCTTTGAAATAGTACGCACTATCAGCGACCCTCTGACTATTGAAGCATTCGCTATTACAATCAATTGTTAAATGCTTCAGGCTAGGAAAGCATTTTGTTAGGATGAGGTCATACTTGCTGCGAATGTTGAGTAGCTTGAGATTTTTCACCCGATGATAATAGGAATGCAGAAGCTTCACTAGCCCATTTCCAGGGACGATTTCACAACTTTTGAGTGAAAGCGATGTGATTGGCAAATACAGGTCAAGAAAACCCTCTTCACTTCTCCGCATATACAGCGGCATGTATTCAAATGGAGCATCAAGTGATTCTGCATCTATAGCCATGTTTTCCAGAATCAGCTCATCAAAGATGCCAAAACAGCTTAGCATATTGGACCTCAAAGGTACTGGGGGTTTATCGCTGGCTGCCCGAAGCTCCAGCTTTTTGAAGCGAGGTAAAGTATGATATTTCTCCTCGTATGCAGCAAGCCATGAAGAGGAAAACTCAAAGCTCATGAGATCGTCCCTGTTCAAAGACTGCTGCCCTTTGATGATTCTTTTGTAAAAGTCCTTAGATCCGTCATTCAATACCGAATACCATAGCGGAATCTTAAAGCCCGGACGAATACCACTAAGCACAACATGTGTGAGATTGGGGCAAAAATCAATAATGTCCAGCATTAGCTCTAGGTAGGTATGAGATTCGTATTTGGCCATTAGTTTGGATCGAGAAGATGAAGAGATATCAAAAAAAGACCTGAGCGGGGACTCCGTGCGTCTATTAAGTGGACTCGACAGGTTCAAACGCCTGTTATCGGAAGAATGGCTTCTGCGCTCACGCAAGGGCGTTCCTTCGGGTGATTTCTCGCGCGAAAAGTTCTGTACCCGTTGAGAATCACTAGACAGACGATAGGAGCTGCCAATGGTATCTGGCTCATCTCTACTGCAATACTTGCCGTATTTGAGAAGCGAATCCTGGTACAGTGGGTTCACGAATTCCACAGAGCGAACCAAAAATCGAAGGTTTTGAGACGAAACACCAATTCTAGGTTGACTCAATGCGTTCGACGTGTGTGTTTCGCTATGAATTAATGCTGCAAATTGCAGCAAGGCCAGCTTATCCTTCAGAACAACGTTTTGATACAGAAAGTTATTGCTTATGATATTGTACAGCTTGGAGTTTACCAGACACAGCGAGAGAAGCGTTGGAACGTCCAACATTCGCAGAATTTGGTCGATGATCTTTGAGGGCAAAGACAGCAGGCCCGATAATTCTTCCTTGTTGATAGGTTGACTCTTAACGTTACCTCTAGTCCTTGCAACTCTCAGCTCTGAAGTTGGGGCCGCCTCTTCCCTAGATCTTCCAAACAGCTGAAGACGGCGCATATGGAACTTAACGAGAGGAAGACGATAATGGCAACGGCTGAGTCAGGATTGGAATACCCAGCGTCGAAGCAAGGACAAGCCTTATCTTTTGAGTAGTGAGTAGGTTGAAATGACTAACCTAGGATGTAATTAAATCAACAGTATAAAGACTTCTATAGTGACTCGTGAGCCACGAACCCAGTAAACCATGGAAATCGTCCAGTAGAGACGACTTTTCGAGTATGTACTCTTTATTTACAACGAGACTAAAACTGCGGACGAAGGTCGGAGAACGGCCCCGCTGAACGGACTCCCCAATCAATAGAATTGCAAATGGTCTCGCTTACAGATTTAGATGTGTTCTTTAAACAGCATTATTTCTGATTGGCGTCGTTGCTACCGGGAAGAATATGTTTGGACTCTGCTCCAGACTTCTCCTGCATGTCTTTGGGGGCATCCTTGGCATGATGGCCTATCGTTGAGCGTAGTTTTTCCGGGATGTCTTCAAAGGCCAAATCGTCTGTTGTCAGGGCCACAGACTCGCCCTTGGTGCTCAGGATGTCTTGAATAGTAATGTGGTCATCGGAAAAGATTTTGAGATGGTCTGCAATCAAGTGTCTGCTCTTGCAGCCCGGACACTGGATCAAAACCGTTCCACCTGTGTACGCCTGTTTTGACATGGTATGCGATGAACGCGTGTTGCATTTCTTGCAGGTGAACGCTATCATCATTGCAGGTTTGTCGGTCTTGACTGCGGCCGCCTTGGCGGCCGCTGTCAAGTCCTTGGGCATCTCATTGCGCTGAAATCTGGAAACAGAGAAAGTTCTTGTAAAAACAGGTAGAATGGTCGTATTGAGACGGGAGAAGTGGCGAGCTCTCGGTACGGAGCATCGCACAACTGTTCGAAGGCCTTGAAAACGGAACATTGTAAGGTTTCACAGCTCAAACTGCCCAAATATGATTTCGTTTCCTAGGTTTTTCTTCAAACCAGGCATATCACATCTAATTTGGCAAGCATCCCATGTTAATGAATTAAACTCAAGAATAGAGAGAATACATCAAAACTGACCAAAAACCAACTAAACGCGTCTAAAACTCGCTTCAGAACAATGGAATCAGGCCAATTATCACCGCAAAAGGAGCAGGAAATTGCGCTGAAGATCCTGGAGAGAGCAGAGCTTGCTCAGATGACTCGTCAGCTCAAAATGGGTCTTGGAAAAGTGGCGACGCCAAAGAAGAATTCACGCGCATCACCCGTAAAACTGGGGGTACCAACGGCAACGCTGGACGCTGCTCGTGTGTCACCCTTGAAACGGAGACGCTCGCCTGGAAACAGCGGTGGCGGAGTCGTGGGAGACCCGGAGCGTGAAAAGAGCCCCACGAAACGCGTTGCTGCAACACCACCGGGAAGTCCTTTGGGCAGAGCAAGACGGCCCAGCATCGAACTGACGGCGCCACAGACACCACAAGCTCGCTCTTCGGGATCTGCGACTGGTGCAGGCACTGGAAATGGCTCCGAAGAGCACGAACTGGGCGCTGACCTGCTAATGTATCTGGCTACCAGTCCCTATACGTCGTCTTCAAGAGCGGGCTCCAACTCTCGTTCACTTTCCCATCCACAGGCTCCACAAACGCCTTCTGCTGCTGTGAATGGCGGTGGGAGGATCCCAACAACGCCATCGGTGGCTCAGACGCATCTAAGAAGCCAAGGGGCAGCTGCTTCACCGCACTCCACGTTCAAAGTACCGGGTCTTGCGGCCGCACATCACACAACGCCGTCCCATTCGACATCCAATATGCAATTCTCAGATATTATGGAATCACCACAATTATCTTTCTACATGCCCTCCTCAACGCCACGGAAGCGTCGTGGTTCTACTGCCAAGAATGGTGCCGCTAACGGCTTGGGATTCACCAACACACAAAACTTGACTGTTCCTGGAACACCAAATTTCAACATGGGTGACTACGTGCACAACCTGTTCAGCCCATCGCCCCGCGTTACTAGCGGGTCTTTCAGAGAGTCTAAAAAGGAGTAGCGATGCGGAAAGCGTGTATCACAAGATCTACTTTACACGTTACATGGCTGCGGAACCGTCTTTGTCTCTCTGTCTCTCTCTCGAGGAAAACGCCAAAAAGGGTTTAGCCGCCGAGCGAGGTGTTGACTATCTGCAACGCCCTCGAGGATAATTAGCACGGGTGCTGACATAATACCAAAATCTATTTTTGAGAAGAGGTGGTTTTTCCGGTCCACGTGATCTCATAGAGTTTTTCCGGGTTTTTTTTCCTTTTTTCTTTTTCGGAGAAACTTGTTTTTCCGAGCCCAATCTACCGTTTTCCTAACCACGTGATGCCACGATGTACCTGCGAAAAAATTCAAAAATTATTACGAGTCACGCGACCACAATTAATATGGTCCGCTCAAAGAAAAAAAAACGTTCAATAATTAGATGAACCAACCCACCATATTCAAAGACAATCTGAAAAGACTCTCTCATTTTAATCGCCAGACAAGTTCAAAAGTGTCCATAGACTTGTTAGGTTTGTGACTAACCCAACGCGGTAGTGTGCTCGATACTGGCTGGAAGAATAGCGACTTTTTCCGCCTTTTTTTGCCGAAAAATTCCAATTTTCGCTCATCTCTTTCGCTCATTGCCTTTTACTGTGCGGGTCGCATCCTTTCTCTCGGCAAGTTGAGCTCTGTCCATTCTACACTGTCGAGCTCGGTCTTGGCGTGTTCGAAACACCCAGATCCACCCTAGAATAGACAAATTTCGGTTGAAAACCAAGAGCGGTTTGTGTTCAGGGCCTATTCTGTCAACATCTGCTGCATTTTTACTTAAAGCTCCAGAAACCACTAGTACGCATGAGATCGGATTCTGAATCCGAAAGCTCTCGTGAGCACGCTTCGCCAGCGGCGTCCGTGGCTGTTTCCCTTGCGTCCATGGATACTGAAGAGCACAACGAACTTTACGACCACAGACACTTGCCGGACTCGTTGCCTGTGCGTCAAAACTCGAGCATCACTCATCTAGCTGGGGCTCGGTCTCCCTCTTCGGAGGCCAGACATGGTATTAAGGTGTCGCCAAGCCCTGTACATCCAGACATCAGGTTCGACAATGACTCTGACGACGACCCCCGTATTGAAAACCCCCATATGAGACTTTCTGCCACCAACACGGGGAACGCTCGACCCTCCCGTATAGCCCATTCGATGGCACATCAAAGACAATTGTACTCAGGACCTGGGTCCGCTCAGCATTTGAACACGCCTCCACCACTACTTCCAAAGAAGTCTTCCAAGAGTTCTGGTCCTGAAGAAGCTGGTAACATGAAGAAGAGCAAGACAAGAACCAACTCAGATTCTTCATCCACGAGACCCATGCATTTTCTCACCAAAACCGTGTCAGCACGATCCAATCAAAGCGAAAACATCAGAGAGCAAGCTATGAGACGCAGGCTCTCTAGGGTATCAATCGAAAGTGACAACTCTCACGCTTCAAGAGAATCACAAGAAACAGAAGAAGATGTGTGTTTTCCCATGGAAAGGCTAGAGCACTTGAGAATTAATGGTATTGATTTCGACGAGCTCGAAGAATTCGCCATCCAATCGCGAGAAGAAAGCTTTAACGGTGGTGTGAATAATATGCCTGTGGAACCGATCAATATCAATCAGCACACTCTTAATAAGGAAGGGTCATCCTCCTCAACTGCAACCACCACTTCCACAGCTGCTTTGAAGTATACTCCCAAATCCTCATCCCCGGAAGTGAAAAAGGTCACTACTCAAAATCAGGAGTCGGTAGCTCCAACTCACGAAGGTATCTTTTTCGGTAACAACAAGGTTGAAAATGATGAATCAGAAAACCTAAGAGCCTCAAATACATACAACATGGAAAACTACGTGGTGCCAGACAGATTTTCTTTCTTTCGATCTGATTCTGACGAAACAATTCATGGCCCAGATATTGCCTCGCTTGTCGCACCTGGCGGGACATTTAGGGAGCTTTTTAAGGATGGCTCACCCACATGGTGGCTAGATTGTGTTTGTCCTACTGACGAAGAGATGCGTTGTATTTCAAAAGCTTTCGGTTTGCATCCTTTGACGGCTGAAGATATCAGGATGCAAGAGACCCGTGAAAAAGTGGAGCTTTTTAAAACCTACTACTTTGTTTGTTTCCACACCTTCGAAGGTGATCCAGAATCCGAAGATTTCCTCGAGCCTATCAATGTTTACATCGTAATTTTCAAGGAGGGTGTTCTGACTTTCCATTTTGGACCCGTGTACCACTGTTCTAATGTAAGAAGACGTGTGAGACAACTGCGGGATTACGTGGATGTGAGCTCTGATTGGTTATGTTATGCTCTCATCGATGACATTACCGATAGCTTCGCACCTGTCATCCAAGCCATTGAATATGAAGCCGACGTTATTGAGGACTCAGTCTTCATGGCTCGTGATATGGACTTTTCTGCAATGCTGCAGAGAATAGGAGAAAGCAGAAGAAAGACAATGACATTAATGAGGCTGTTGAGCGGGAAGGCCGATGTGATCAAGATGTTTGCTAAGAGGTGTCAAGATGAACTAAACGGGATAGGTCCTGCCCTGACGTCCCAGGTGAACATCGCCAATTTACAGCAATCGCAACCAGAGAAATACTTTCAGAGGCAAAACGTGCCCAATATTTATCCGCCCACTGCTCAACCAAGAGCAGATATCGCTTTGTATTTGGGCGATATTCAGGACCACGTCGTCACTATGTTCCAAAATTTACTTTCCTACGAGAAGATTTTCTCGCGGTCGCATGCTAATTACCTGGCCCAACTGCAGGTAGAATCGTTCAATTCTAATAACAAAGTTACTGAGATGTTAGGTAAGGTCACTCTCATTGGTACCATATTGATTCCACTTAATATCATTACCGGGTTGTTCGGAATGAACGTTCCAGTACCTGGTCAGGTAGACGGAGGTGGACTGGGATGGTGGTTTGGTATAATGGGGGTGATGGTATTTGTTGCGTTGAGTTTTGCTTTGATAGCTCACCTATGGCTCAGCAGGATATCAGCACCCGCTACACTGAATGAAGCATCTGAAAGTGGTACGCGGTCAATAATGAACACTTTGCGGTCTGGCAGAGCCAGATCTGCTAAACCAGACTCATACAGGAAAGGAGGCGCCAATCGGTCAATGTCTAGTTTTCAAAGATAAACAAATTCAAAGCGGAGCTAGAAAGATAGTTTTGTGTTGTAGAGAAATGATGTACATTATAAGCGAGAGTAAACTAATTTGACACAACAAACCTTTTGCTGGGCGCCAAGCCCAACCGGTAAAAAAAATCCTTTTATGCTATAAATCTATTGATTGTGGGTACTGTTTGTCTTTTTGGAATGCTTACTTTTCTTGTCTGGGATTGGAAGACTTTCAACATCTTCTATTGGCTCCTCGGTGCCAAAAGTCTTCTTCCTCCACTCTCTTACGCGTCGGCTTTTTGTGACCTTACGGCGATCTTTCGCCCGCAGTTCTTTGGCTCTGTAAGGTGCAAATTTCTTGAGACCGATGAAATCGTTCAGATCAGTATCATCGGCAGCGAAAATCTCTCTGTAAGAAAGCCCAAATGACTCAGGCGACACCTCTCGGTACCGAAACTTCATCTCACCGTCATCTTTTGTCCTTGAACGAGATTTTCTCTCTTCCTCGACCTGATCAACAAGTGCAAGCTTTTCGTTATCAACAGCTTTCTCGACCATTTCTGAGATTTTTTTCTTTTCCTTCTTCTGAGACGACTTTTCTTGCTTCTTGTCCTTTCTTGACTTCTTCTTAGCTGGAAGCTCTTCTTCATCAACACTTTCCTCGCCCTCTTTATCACCTTCGTTTTGGTAAAAGTCCCCCATTATCTCATCATTCTCGTCCCACGTAGGCTTGCTTTTTTGGTTGTAGTATTCGTCGTTGAAAAGTTCGCTGACAACTGCATCCCATTGATTGTCTTCGAAGTCTCCGTTGATGAGCGAGCTGGTGAGTTTCTTGACCATTGCTTCGTCTATATCAGCACCATATTCCTTTTTGACCTGCTCCAAAACATCAGTGAGCTTATTGACCTTTTCTGTTTTCTTCTTTTGAACTTGGGTATCTTTGTCCTTCTTTTCAGCTTGTGCCAGTTTCTTCTCCTCATCTCTCTTACGTCTACGAGAGTTGTCATTACCTCTTCTCAAAGTCGCCTGGTTACGGGCATACGATATGATTTCTGCCGCATTAGGATCCTCATAACGGAAATTGTATGCGTTTTCGAACTGCTCGGCTGCGTCTTCAAATTCCTCGTCATCCTGCATACCTGGGTCATCTAGATTTATATCTTTATCACCCTGCTGAGGTACCCAAGCATGTTTGCTCACAAAAGCCTGCAAAAACTCTTCATCGTTCTCTTCTGGATTTGGGAGAATGCTTTCTGAGCGCGCTTTACGCTGTTTGGGCTCTTTTTTCACCAAAAAGTCGTCGTCATCACCGTCTTCGCCAGATGCTTCGTCTTGCTTAAACTGATCATTAATTTCATTCAAAAGCTTGGTTTTACCTTCTCTTTGCTCCGACACAAACGATTGTTTGCCATCCACGGTTTCCATTTCTTTGGCGTCGTTGTCGTCATCGTCGTCTTTGAACGTTTCTCCGGATAGAATATTCATCCGATGATAGTCTTTCAAGAAAACGGGTTTCTCCTTACGTTGCTTGGCCACTTCCGCAGCAGCTTTTTCCGGGTCATCGAAAAAGCGAACTGACGGGTCAAACAGGGCTTTATCATTGTTTTTGATCGCTGCTAACACTTGCTTAAACCCGTCTTCCACCTCTTCTGTGACGAGTTCACCGAAGTCATCTTCTTCCTCAGAGCTTGAATCTTCCGTGTCACTACCATCGCTTTGAGCAGCCTGCTTTTCAGCCTTTCGTGACGTTGTTGGAGCCTGTTTCTGCAGAGCCGGACTCGCGTCCACTGTGCGAGTGTCTGACCCAGCCTTACCAGCGTTTTCTCTGGCTTTTTTGGCCGCAGACTTCTTTCTAGGCATAATTCAGAATTATTTCGGTACCAAACGCTTTCGTTGACCTCGGAAAGACGTATTCTTCAAAGGATTATCTTTACTCAAGGTGCGATGAGTAGAGGCGATGAGATGCGATGAGCTTAAAATTTTTGACATAGTAATTAAAGCTTGGTCACATGATCGTCGTCAGTGTCTAATTTATTGATTCTAAACAGGAAGCTCATGTAAAAACAATGGCAAGCCCAGCTTTAATGATGATCTTATTGAAAGCATGATATTTGGCCATGTTTCTACAATCGATGACGCTAAACGGATGTGGTAATTAAAGGCTTTTTACAGTTATATAAAATAGATATTTATACATCGTGTGTCTGTTCGATCTTTCAAGTATAACGAGTCGTGTGTCAGTAGAGTTAATGATTATAAAGGTTTTGAAAGGCAGCAGAACATAAAGGGAGGAAGAAACTGGGTATTCACTCAGCCAAACGTTTTATGTTCTTTTTATTTCATCATTACGTATATAGTGACCACATAATCATCACCTGATACGAAAAACATCCAAGATTCCGATTTGTTTTCATCAAGATTCGCATGATCGATCATCTACTCCCTATAGCTTTTCGGTGTGTTCCTATGAGCTTCATTTTACTGCTCTTTTTACATACATTACGAACCTCGTATGATAATCATCATACTATGCCATTGTAAACCCAATCACGTGACGCGCGTCAGCGTCAGAATTTATAAAAAATGAGACTTCGCTTACCCATAGTAATGGTAAGCATTGTGTTCAAGAGCCACGATTCTGAGTGTCTAGAATTCGAATTCGATTAGTAGTGCCTGATAGAGTGTATCGTCTCTGTTATGGCTTCAGCTTTATACTTGTGAAAAGACCATTTTTCTTTCCGGGTTTCTTTACAAGATGAATGGCTCAAACGTTTGAAATATTTCCTCCACTTGATGTAAAGAGTTTAGCAGTTAGATTGAGCTCCCCACAGTCGCAAATTTGGTCCCAAAAAATATAGATATACTACAAATTCAATGACAATCACTTTGAAGCTAAGTCACAATATTCAAGCAAGGTTGTTGATTGTCTCTTCAGTTCTTTGGCTATGCGTAACTTTCAAATTGAATATTAAGTGAATTTCTGATTCTACATCTTCTGAAGTACTAGAGATTCTGAAGCTACCGTAGAAGGCTTGATTTCAACGACAACAACATAGTTCAGAAACGAGTTTCGCGGAGCCAAAAAATGGAGAAGGATGGGAGAAAGTCCAAGAAATATCTGCCTGTTTAAGATACGTAAACTTCCTAATGGTTGAAGCCATCTGTACGCTGAACTTGTACTATATGCTGTCACCTAGAAAGAAGTCACGTGACAAACAACAAATTCTGAAAAAAAAGTCTTTGGAAGTGTCTACTGAAATTCCAGCTAGTCCAGATCATTCTAGGAGTAGCAAAACCCTCACTAAGACCTTACATTCACTCCATTCTTGACTGCTTCTTACCGTGGAATCACCTTCTTTGAAACCTAAGTGAAAATATCACATCTCACGAATTTCGCGATTAATACCCATGACATCATATATTCAAATCGTGAACCCAACCCTTCTAAAGATTCACCACTTCTTAAAGACAACAACCCGTGTATCGTAAGCCACAGCATTAGCACAATCAACTCGAGTGAATGGAAACTGATCGACAAAGACTCTTTAGACTCCCCTTCAAGCTTCCCAGCTCAGCCAAGGCTCGGTCCATAGGCGTATATATCGCGGGTGCACTATATGCTATCGGAGCGTGGTGTTTCTTGGATGCTGCGATATATTCCAGAAAAGCCAATGGCTCATCGGTGCACGTAACATTTGTGGACTGGATTCCTTTTATTTGCAGCACTTTAGGCATGATAGTGGTTAACTCAATCGAGAAAAATAGACTCATACAGGACGCAATGGGATCTGGTTCTTTCAGTGGTTCATCGTCTATGGCGTGGCAAGCGCGCGTGATCCTCTTTCTGGGGTTCGCACTCCTAGCTGGTGGTATCTCTGGATCTATCGTGGTGCTCATTCTTAAATTTTTGGTCAAAGACTTCACCTCTTACCCAACCCTTGGAATGGGGGTGAACAACGTTGTGGGGAACTTCTGTATAGCATTGAGCTGTGTGATTTTGTGGATTGCACAAAACGTAGAAGACGAATATTCCTACTCTCTAACCCTTTGAAACTAATATTATCCATACTATTGAAAGTTTTGGCCAAGAATCGAGACGCCTGGCAGGAAATGACCCTTTTACGGACGTGGTAAATTTAGCCAAGTGTTCTGCCCCGTCCTATGAACGTGGAGCTACAAAAGAGAAGGGGATGGAAAGACTAGTGACACAATAACTTGAGCGGCACACCACTAGACTGCGACTGGATACCACCCTTCCTCGGGCCACTTTCAATGACATATCTCATTTAGACCCATCAAATAGCACAATAATTGCAATTAGTATTACACAGGACACTATTGGACGCGATGAAGCCATGATATCGATCTCGGTAAAGCTCGGGTGGAGCTTGGCACTATCCGTATTGCCATTCTTTGATACAGCATTTTTCCACCGCGTCAAAGCTTAAAGGAGAAAAATCGGACTTGAGAGCTCTGGTCAAACCAAACAGGATCGATTTCGATCAAGATCCACAAATTCGGATGACGGCAAAAAAAAGGGGCTTCTCCTATTTGGTTTAATTCTCATTTGAAGGTGTTCCGGAAAGCCTTTACTCTTGTGGTAGAACCTCTGGAGCCAGTTCACCAATGATTTGCATCTCGAAAGGTGTAAAATCAAACAGCTCAGGTAGGCATTTTGGTTGAGTATGGCCGCGAGGAAAGAAATAACGTTCTTTTTTCAAGTCATCGAAAAATGGGTGCGCCAGGATACGCCGCGGCGAAAGTCTGCGCTCCGGTTCATATGTCATTATTTTCATCAGCAAATCCACGCCATCGGGGCCAGCTTGACCGAAATGCTTTTCAAAACGCTCTTTCACAGTTCCAGTGAACAAAGGCTTCGAGAAAAGTGGCCCATCGTAAGATGGGTTAGAAAAAAACAAGAATTTCTTGTCTGGAGGGCCCAGTAGTTTGGAAATTTCCCGCAGCTGCAGTAAGGGCTCCTGGCCTTGAAAAACTGCTTTGCCTATCAGCATTTCCCCCATTACACACCCCAGCCCCCAAATGTCTATCTGAGTAGTATATTGCGTGCATCCTACTATGAGTTCCGGAGCTCTATAGAATCTGGAACAGATGTAGCTGATAGAAGGCTGGTTTTGTTCGAGTTTTTTGGCAGACCCAAAGTCACAAATCTTGAGCACACCGGAATTTGGGTCCACAAGCACGTTTGATGGCTTCACGTCACGGTGGCAGATGCCCAGTGCGTGCAGATACAGCATACCGCGTGCAACTTGGTATGTGTATAGCTTGGTATGCTTTAAGGGCAGTTCCAACTTATTTAAAGCATACCGATGGATTTCGAATTGCAAAGTTTCCGGGAGACATTCCATGGCAAGATGTTGATAAACCTTGTTGTCCTGCGGCGATACGTGTGTAAAGAAATACTCCAGTTTGACCACGTTGGGATGCTCTGCAATCCGTAGCATTTCCAATTCTCTCGATTTGTATTCAGTTTGAGCCGGCACCTTTTTGATAGCGAACGGACCGTACCATTTATTATTATCCGGAGTCAAAAACGCTTGTACCACAGTTCCAAAAGCTCCATGTCCGATTTTTTTATATTCCTTGACAAGCATAGGCCGCGTACTATTCGAAGAGTTCGACGTGACGTCGTTGGCTATGAATTGATCTTGTCTTGGCGTCTGAGACATTGTTTCCGTTCTTGATAATATATTGTTCGATTTTTAACCTAAAAAGCCCGCCAAAGTCGCCCAGCTCCGTTCTAATTGGAGTAGCTGATCGAGGCAACGAGTCGTGCTTATAATCCGTTGTTTTTTGGGGCTGAAGGCGCTTTCCAGTGGTCAAAACAAGAGTGGAAGTTGGTGTACTCCTTTGACAAGCTTCATGTCGTGTTATTTGTTTTAGGATATCTAAGGTATTAATTACTTGGAAAAATTGAAGACGGGTAAGAGTATACGCAGACACCCGAAGATAAAACGGCCAAGAAAAGAAGAGCAGAGAAAGAAGACCATAATGGGAACGAGATTGGGTTTTCACGGTGATTGGAATAATTTGAGGGTAAAGATGGTGATTTTTGGAAGGCTTTGGAGAAGGTTGGTTTTTTGGTGCGTCACGACGAATTTTGAGCATTAAATTGAATAAGTTGGGTGTTTTTTGGGTAAATAGGGGTTGAGCTGGTTCTAATGCAGGGATTATGGTTAAAATGAGTCAGGTACATTGGGGATGCGAATATAAGCCTGTTTGAGACGAGGAGAAACGAAAAACCAGAAATCGTCGATAATGATGAGATGTACAAACCCTGGCATCGTGTCCGTATGTCTTCAAAGAGAGACTTTAAAGCTAAGCAATGGAGTCCTGGGAATTTACGGGTCTTGTTCCAAAGGTTTTTTTCCTGATTCCGATGAGTTTTTTGGAGAAAAAAATGAGAAACACATTCGATCGGAAATAGAATGGCTAGTTTTATTTGGATAGACACGGGGGGTGTAAGCGGAGGGCTGTGGTTTTTTGTACAAGCTGCAACGAAAAGAATCAAGTTTTTTGATTTGCGTTTCCCTGCAGCTCAAGTGTAGATCACTCTGTACATGTCTGACACTTGCATATGATGCTCACGTACAGTAGTTGATGTAAACCCTCTGAAGTGTTCAAAGACCATGACAGCGTGACAGCGAATACGATTGATTTGAACCTACCCAGCACATACATGTATTTATATTTGACAAATTGACCAGAATTATCCCGGCGATCATTCTCAGACTTCTCACTCTAGTGTAGTCTCTTTTTTATTCACATCTAGTAACTCAAAAACTTCGTAAAATGAACGCTTCCACACCAAGGCCTCACACTCAATATTCAACTATGCTGCTTTCCCTATGAGCATCTTCTTCTTATCGATGTCACTGACATCTTAGCTAGTAGCGAAATTGGCTCAACTACTGTAAATTGAAAAATTATATATAAATGTTTAACTAAACTCGAAATCAAATCCGGTTCTAACCACAACAGCAGGCCAAGTCTGGAATCCAGAAACCGACTCACGACAATGCTGAGGAGCACTTTTGGTCTGTGTAGACCCTTTTCGATGGGCCGGCCGCTTCTGAATTCGAAATCGCCAATATCATTTGCATCAATTGCCAAAGCGGTGGATCCTGCCACGAATCCAATGACGAACCCAATGTCGAACGTTATATCACCCCAGGACGGTAACAAAGAGGTCAGCTCTCGAGTTTCCAAGAAACGCGGCGAACATACCGTAAAGTACGTCTTAAATTGTCTGTTCTCCAAGAATAACACTCATTTCACATATTCCGCGGTGGTAGAGGACTTGAACTTTTTGAAGAATAATGCAGACGCAAGCTACAACGAAAAGTTTCTCTATTACTTGAAACTGCCCCAAAAGGTGAAATTCAGACTTTCAACGGGAAATCTGGGGTTCCGTAAAGCTGCTCGTGGTGAATATGAAGCTACTTTTCAAACCAGCGCTCGTTTGTTCCAGATGATGCAGCAGAAAAAGCTGCTGGACCGCAACGTGGAGATTGTGATAAAGGACTTTGGGAAGGGCCGTGAAGCGTTCATTGCTGCTCTCAACGGTAAGGAAGGCACGGCCGTGCGCAGGAACGTTGTGCGTGTGTCTGATGCTACTCCTATCAAGTTTGGTGGTGTGAGATCGCCAAGAATGAGACGTTTGTGAGATACAAGACGAACAAAACGGTTATTTTTCCCATCGCTGGAAAATAGTGCATTCGTCTAGCGGTCGGAAATTCGAGATGCTCGCGACAATTGTAAATACATTAATATCGCATGTGAATAAAAAGACGTATTGGTAATAGGGCTGCTGCGAGAGGGCCACTTGCAAGAGGGCCACTTGCTCAGCTATAAGAGCTGCAGTGTTACCACCAAAAACGAAGATGATGGTGGTTCATACAATAGAATTTTTGAAATGAGATTTGAGATTACGTTTGGATTCTGAACTAATGCTATCAGGTGCTTCCAGACATTTTATACTATTGTTACTTGATATGCTGACGATCCAGTCTTCTACAGCATATATAGTCAAGTTGTATATGTTAGATATATAAGCCTTGTGATTCTTCTGTTGTGACTGCTTTCCAAAACCCACACATCCTCGAAATTCAAAAATGTAATACTTTTCAGAATTTCGAAAAAACAGGTGAAAATCGTAGACAATTACTTGAGTGGGCCCGCATCATCTCTTCTGGATTCTGCCAGTGTCACATCGTACCCACGCAAATTCTCTGCCTAGCTCGCGGCCTAGCTTCTGCCCACCAACGGCCGCAGTTTCCTGTCCGGCCTGCCTGGATCCTACTCGCTCTCTGCCTAGCTCTCTCCAATGGGACGGCGCTCCAGGCTGGATCCTGTCTGGAGGTCCATGGACCTCTGCCTAGCTCGGATCTCGACTCTCTGGTTCACTGTCTCTCCTGGCACGTAGGATCCAATTTACAGAAAACTTCCAAATTTCACAGCACACCGCCCATCTTACAGGCTTGAAAGAACCGCATAACACATCAATCAATAATGGCTCCATCAAGTATGTTTATACCAGTCTAGCACACCAAGGGAACGATACAACGAGACGGGTTTATGGCCCTTTGAAAGCAGTTGAAAAATAGCTGAGTTTTAGTGGATTCCAGGGCGACATCACAGTTGGGAAAAATTGAGTAATTCAACACAGTGGAATTGTACCGTATTGCATGGGGTATTGAGAGAAGTTTTATCAGATTTCAGTGCGATGTTTGAGCCCTGTGCTAAACCTAGAGTTTTGGTCCGTGGAATAAGAAGAAGATCTCGATTTTGAAAATCAAGAACCAACGTGGAAAAATCCATTACCATTTTTTGCTTTACAAAGTTTCTGTGGCGGTTTTGTGAAACAGTCTTGTAAGGCTTGAGGATATGCCTGCTCACTACTTTCAGCTCGTCTGTTTACAAATTGTTCCGTATATCGTCAAAACAGTTTACTAACAATCTCTCTTTTTACAGCTAAGGCTACTGCTGCCAAGAAGGCTGTTGTGAAGGGTACCAACGGTAAGAAGGCCACCAAGGTGAGAACCTCTGCTTCTTTCCGTCTACCTAAGACTTTGAAGTTGGCCAGACGTCCAGCTTACGCTTCCAAGTCTGTCCCACACTACAACAGATTGGACTCCTACAAGGTCATCGAAAACCCAATCACTTCCGAAACCGCCATGAAGAAGGTCGAAGACGGTAACACTTTGGTTTTCCAAGTCTCCTTGAAGGCCAACAAGCACCAGATCAAGAGAGCCGTCAAGGAATTGTACGAGGTCGACATCAGATCTGTCAACACCTTGGTCAGACCAAACGGTACCAAGAAGGCTTACGTTAGATTGACTGCCGACTACGATGCTTTGGACATTGCCAACAGAATCGGTTACATCTAAATCATTTAGCGTTCGATGTATATGTAGTAAAAAGATTTTAATACAACCAGCGTTCATTCATTATTGGAATAAAGAAAGGGACTATCATAGATAAATGGGTTTGACTCGATTTCTTCTTTAGTCTTCTTTAGTCCTCGCGGTTGCGGCCCAGAATTCGTAAAATGTATAGGAACAAATTGATGATGTCCAAGTACAGCATCATTGCGCAGCGGATTTCCTCATCGGGATAAACTTTACGGAAGATGAGTTGCGTGTCGATAAACAAATAGACCGTGAATACAGCGGCACCCAGCCAGCTGTATAGCAAGTCTACCTTGGAGTTCATACCAAAAAAGATCGAAGACAATCCGATACCAATCAGCAACCACAGGGCCAAATTCAGCCAGTAATAGATCGTGTTGGAGGCGGTGACGGATGTTTCAAACCTATCTGATACGGCCATGGCTGTGATGCCCACCACGACGGTACCGGTGATGAAAAGTGCACTCAAAATAGTGCGTGAGTCGTACACAAGGGTGACCATGGATAGCGTGTACGCCTCGCAAAGTGTGAAGAAAGCTAAAAGCAGCAACTGGCCGCGGTATGACAGATAGTACCATGGTTTTTTGGTATCTTCGCGGGGCTCAGTATCGAGTAGTGCATCCTGACTATCTTGATTTAGAGCAGTCGTGTCCTCGGCATAATCACCAGCCCTGGGCGCTACAGAGAGCCAAACACAGCTGATTATTCCTAAAACGGCGGCCAAGAAAAATATCCATTGGTGGTTAAAGATGGCTGCTTGAAGTTGCGGGGAGCGACTTACCCAGAAGCAGAATGCAAACGACGACAGCAGTTGGCACGACAAAAGCGTATAGACTTTGCGCATGAACCACCTGCGCACCCGCGAGTCACACGACGTTACGGTCACTGAGTATTTGAAGTCATCTGGAATAAAGTTTCGGGTTTCTTCGCTTTGATAGTAAGAGGTGGGATCTGGGTTTGCGGCGGTCGAGCTCGCGGGGACTTGGGCCTCGTTGTATGGTGGGGGAGGTGGCAAAGATGATCCTGATGGGTCTTTCATCTGAGCTGGGTGTGGTTAGGAGGATGGGGTTCTGGTTCAGAATTGTGGTTTGTAAAGGATTTTAAGGTTTCCTCGAAAGATGGATAGCGATGAGCCTAATTTAAATTGAAATTTATATCACGTGACTGGGAGATTTTTATTACGCCAAGTCTTTTTGAACGAGCACCATTTGGCTAGGGAGTGAATTTTCTGAGAAACAACATGATGCTTATTCGATAAGAAGTTAGACGTTTAAATGGCTGGTGTTCTGAATCATTGCTAGTCGAAGGTTTTTGAATTATGGCTGCGGAACCTTTCAAAATCTCATCTGGTGACAAATTCGTGCTGGAGTGATCGAGATCACGTGACTGTAGAAACAGCGTCGGAATGGATAAATATGACAGCTTTTAGACAACATCATGTCCGCAGCTTTGAGCACTAAAAGGGCGTCACGATGATGCCGACGTTCGAGAAAGGTGAATACTATAATTTTTTGCATTGATATAGTACTTTTCACGCCCAATTTTTAAGGCGTGTTTGTCGTGTGAGGGCACTTCAAGAAAAAAGTGTCAAAGTGAGTATGTTAACGAATTTCAGTAATTATATCTGACCAACACTCGCATTGGGTTCTAACCATAGAAAATTGCAACGTTCAAAGCGGCCTCTGAAAATGCCATGCGTGGTTCTTCGCTCGAAGTTCGAAAGAACTCATTAAGTGCTGTGTCCAGCAATCTTCTTTATCGTTATATACGTCTCTGACGTTGGCAGTGGCAGCGAGAACGACGCGCTGGGAGAATAGCCTTGGTGTGAGCCACTAATTGTGTAAGGAGAAAACATTCCTGTTGGTTCAGCTAAAACTTCGATTCTTCGGTTCTCGTATTTTTTTGCCGGGTGAAACCTGAAAAAAACGGGCCTCGACTACAGGGTGTGGGAAAAACTGTAATTTTGAAAAGCTTTTTTTATCCAAAGTCCTGGCTTGGCAGAAAAAAAGGTCGCAGGATGTTATCAATAGAGTAAATACGCTACAATTAGGTGTTTTATCGTTGACATCGCGTCACATTACATGCAATTAGAGTGTGTGTGTGTGTGTGTGTGTGTGTGTGTGTGTGACTTCCTTTACGTACATAATGATTTTCACAATTTTGGCAGTTTGTCAGTGTTCTGGAAAATGTGTTTCTTTCCACTTGGACGACTGCTTAGGGTCTTAATCAGAATAGCAAGCTCTCTCTCTCCCTCTCTCTCTCTCGCTCCACAAATGAAATAAACCTTAATGCAAATTAATCATGAATAAATAAAAATAATAATAATAATAGCGGTAAAGCACCCGCTCCCATCAATGAAATCCCATGTGTTTCCCCGTTAGCGACTCATTGGGGCTTGACCGTTGTGCCTTCAAGCTCTTTCACACATGTTGCCCACAGTTTGACTTCATCGGACGTTAAATTTTGTGCCCATTGGGTGTCAATAGCCTGGATCCCGTCTTTGGTGATGGTCAAGGGCAACGAAACGTACGCCAACCCTTTGGTGACCTCGGTCACGTGCTTCGCGGCATCCGGGGTCTCCGTCGTCGAAAATGCTCCTCCGAGGTTCGCGTACAAAGTGTCTTGCAAATGAGGACGTAGTCCCAATAAGAGCTCTGCAAACGTGCGAGTGATTTGTGCAGCTGCGTAGGCCATAGATAACGTGGCGCTACCAGCGCCGTTTTTGGCCTTGACCACCTCATCGCCGCCAAACTGCACGCGATGCACCAGCTGTGCGAGCACTTCTGGGCTGAGCGCGCGTACGCGCGCGCGCAGCTTGTGGTCCTGCGCGCTGTTCTGGCACGACGCCTGCGAGAACAGCGGCACAATGGTGTGGCCGGAGTGACCGCCCACTACAGGCACGCGCAGCTGGTCGCTGGGGCCGCATCCTAGAGCCGCGTGCAGGAACGTAGACGCACGCACTGCGTCCAGCTGCGTGAGTCCAAACACGCGCCGCGCGACGGTCTGAGCCGCGCGGGCGTCGCTGCTGGCAACCAGGGTCTCCACCAAAATGGGCACTAGGGAGTTGACTGGGTTGGAGATCAGCAGCACGAACGTGCGTGACAGGTCGCAGTGGGCGGCTATGCCGCGGGCCAGCTGGGTCACGATCCGCGCGTTAATGGAAAATAGATCGTCGCGGGTCATTCCGGGTTTCCGCGGAACCCCCGCGGGGATAACCACAAGCGTAGCATCGCGCAAACACGTGGCAAGCGGGTCTTCTTGTGCTTTTTGTGCTTCTTGTGCTTCTTGTGTAGTGCTGGAAGAAGCCGCATGCCACGTGACATTCACGGGCGTGTTGATATGCGACAAATCCGTAGCGGCTCCGGCCACGGCGTCGCGATTGACGTCGTACAGAGCGATATGGATCGTCGAGTTGGCGGCCAAGCACGTGCTGTGGAGTTCCGTTTTGAGTAATAATGATAACGACTGACCAATTCCGCCTCCGGCGCCGAGAACGGCAATTTTCAGCGGCGTGTGTCTAGCGGGGTTCGTAGGATGTGGCATTTCTCGTGGTAAGTGAGTTATTTGCTAGTGGCGAGAGTGTGTGGTGTGTTGAACGATATCACCACAATCAGTCAGTCCCAGCAATCAGTAAGAGGTAAAGTAATGCGACGTGTAGCGGGATTGGGATTCCTCACAATGATACGAAACAAAACGGGGAGCTGCTGCTGCTGCGTTGTTGATAGTAGTAACTCTAGTGACTATCTTTCTTGGTAGAGCGTTTTCTACAGAGTCTCGTCTTCTTTTCTACTTGGCAATGCAGAGAAAAAGATAGGTTTAACGCTGCGATGAGGTGGACGTTGGTAAATTGTAGTTACCGGGATAGAACACGTCTCTTGTAAATCGTAGTTACCGTGATAGATAACTTCTTTCTGTTCAAAAGATGTTTGTTGTATGAGCTATTCCATCTTTTTATACCAGGATGGCTCTACGAAAGGCCTTATTGCGTCACGACTTTCTTATCACGCGTGGGGGGGTGAAGGGGCAGATGGAGAGAAGTAGCCAGACAGAGGGCATTTTGGACGAAGCTACGCGGTTGAAAGATAAAACGAAGGTCGAAAGATTGAAAGATCGAAAGATCGAAAGGACAGGCAAGAACAGAAAAACAAGGCAGGTGGTAATTTGAAGGAGACGGGAGTGGTACGTGCTCCCGGGTTTCAGGCTTTGTTTTTGGTTTGTTTTGGTGTATCATACGGGTGGATTTAGGTTTTTTCACGTTTGGATTGGGCAATATGGGTTCGAAGCGGACTCCCAGACCTAATTCCGTTTAATTGAGGGAAGAGCGAGTACTTGTGTACTTGTGTACTTGTGTACCCGAGTACCCGAGTACCACACCGGAACAATGGACTCACTCAGCTCGGTGTTAGGGACGAAAGCGATCTAGACCGTGTCGTATTTAGTTGCAATGAAGGTGCCAGCGTCTGGAAGATGTTCACGGATCTTTTTGATTACTTGCCCATGAATGCATTAGTGGACAACAAAGTGTTCTTCCTGCACGGCGCGGTTCCCGCCGAACGAGATCCAGACATGTACAGTGGATCCCAATCTACGTCCAGGTAGGTGACTTTTGGAAAAAATACTGAGATCATTCAGTCAAGATTTAAGTATCCGAAAAGTATCCGAAAAGTATCCGAAAGGTATCCGAAAGGTATCTGAAAAGTATCTGAAAAAGGAAACAACTATCTCTAACAATCTTGAATAGACTTCTTAGAATCAATGTATCACAATCTAATGTCTCTCTTTTTTAGCTCACAGAAGACCCATTCCGTATATAGTTACTACCCACTTGGGATCTGCTTTTGCCAAAGTATCCGGATCAACCCGAAGCCTACACGTTACGACACGGAAAACTGCATGTTTCATCTTTTTGAAAAAGTGCTGTTCCAGTGATCAAACATACACACTTTTAAGTACTCATCTAACTTGAAGCCAAGTGCTTTTACTATTATACCTTCAACGCCAGATTGAAAGTCGCCTTAACCGAACAAAATATTAAATTTCACTCATTTAAATTACAGCTCACATACGCAACAAAAACACAGTAAAGACTAATCACAACACACACACTAACAGCGTCTTGGACTCAACCCTTCCTGATGGTTGGTCCCGTCGTGCCTTTGCCTTTGCCACTTTCAACACAGTTATGACACGTCTTTTCACCATTGAACAAACAGGTTCACGCACGTTTTCCACAGCAAAGTATAAACCCTCTTTTTTTTGGCAAACAACAATTGTTCTACATCCTGAGTGTCTCACAAATTGAACGCTACAAACCATAACCGAGACTCGAGAATCGGCTATCATCGAATACAACCGGTTCTCGAGGATTTGTCCAACCTTAAAGTAACAACTATCACCAGTCACGTGCTGCTCATCGCTTCAATAGCTTGAAAAATTAAGAGCTGCTAGAAACCTACTTAGATCTAAAAGTCTCGATCTTAAGTCTCGATCTCCAGAAAACATGTCACAATCTCCAGCCGCTTTACTGGACACGGATTCTTTTCCCGCGGCTTCGAACTCGTCGTCTGCACATACCAAAACCGGTGCCGCCCCCCGTTTACAATGCAAGTTCTTCTTACAACAGAAGAACAGACGGTGCGGCATGACACGCAAGACCAATCTGGAATACTGCTCAGAACATCTGAATCTCCTCAATCACGATGCGGAGGGCCCTACGGGCCGCCGCATCGCATGTCCCATCGATCCTCGCCATTCCGTTTGGGAAAAAGACGTGGCACGACACATGCGTAAATGCAGCACTGCCAAGAAAAACGCCCCACCAGTGGACTGTCCGTGGTTCAAGCTCAACTACAACCTGAAATCCACAAGCCCAGTGGTATCCAGTCACGCTGCAGATAACACAACAGTCTTACAGGCCATCCCGGTCTTGAACAAATGTTTCGACGATCGTTTCGGTGACAAGCCACTCCCGTTGGTAGTCAAAAGCAACACGACCGTTGAATCTCAACGGTTTCCACAGCTATTGGGCTCCAAAAAACACGCTCTTCAGCAGTCGTCTCTGATCCAGCATTTGATAGAAAATTCCATGGCCTCTCATAAAGAAGGCACCAATTTCATCGAGTTCGGATGTGGGCGTGCCGAGTTTTCCCGCTACGTCAACCGCGCCATGCATGTCTATTACTCTCAAGAAGTGACAAAGAGTATTCCCCAGTCGAAATTCATACTCATCGACCGGGCCTCCAACAGAATGAAATTTGACTCAAAATTCAAAGACGACTATGACGAGCTATACTCAAGTGAAGTTCCACCGGAGTCGCGTGTTTATCCTGAAATCGCACGCAAGAAAATCGATATCAAGGACCTTTACATCGACAATCTCCTCAACGGCGACGATCGGTCCGCGGTGGCGATCTCGAAACATTTGTGTGGAGTGGCTACAGACCTGACCATCACCTGTTGTCTCAACAGCGACGTTTTGCACCGCAAGCACGACCGACTTCGCGGAATGGTCATTGCGATGTGCTGCAGACACGTTTGCGATGCCCAGCAATACGTCAATAGGCCCTTCATCGAGGAAATGCTACAAGATATGCCCACTATTTCCTACACAGATTTTTTCAATTCCTTGAAGAAGATCGCGTCCTGGGCCGTGTGTGGTCGTAAACCCGGTACCGAGGACAGCGATGTGGGCAACCATTTCACTGATCTTCCGGTCTGTGAACGTGAGAAACTTGGTGAAAAAGCTAGACGAATCATTGACGAAGGTCGTGCAGAGCATCTGCGACGCAATGGGTACCGTGCAGAACTAGTAAAATACGTCGACAGCACGGTGTCACTAGAGAATGTCGCCATGATAGTAAATCGGGTCTAACGACGACGTCATGGCGCTCGTTCAGAAAAAGGAAAACAAGAACGAGAATCTTCGCACTGAATGACAACCTCAAAGGTCATGAATACCTCGAAAGCATCTTTTCAACACGTTAAACAATTTCAAGGGCTCTCCACCTCGGCGGCTATTTTACTCCCGACTCCAAAAAGATTCCCCATTTCTTTCACCATCGTGATCACTACACACGAAGGCGAGTGTCTTTTCCAAAAGTCCTAAAGTAAAGTAATCATCAAATGTCGAATTCAACGTTCGAACAGTTGATCCACAGAATTCAGACAAAGAAGACACAGACTCCGAGTTTAAGGCGCCTACATGTGCACTGAAAGTAACCGGTGAGAAATCAGGATGTCAACAACACGTCAGAAGCGGTATTCCATCAATTTTTCGGCCCCGGCATCACCGATTTCACCATCTGTGTCGAGATTTCCATCCGAAACTCTAGGTGGATTGTCTCAGGGCACCAGGCCCTGCTCATCCAGAACACAGTCCGCTCGCCCTTCATCCGCCTATGGGCTGGATCTGGGCCGTTCGCATTCACAGCGAAGTGCCTCCTCTAAATCATTCTATCGGGTTCGTGCCGATCAACAGAACATTTCACTGGATTCATTAACAGACTCGTCTTCAATCAAGTTACTTCTGATTGGAGATGCAGCCGTGGGCAAGACGGCCATGATTTTAAGCTACTGCAATGAGCTTCCGACCAGGTCACAGGCCACCATAATCAAGAAAGGAAGCAGTCCCAGGTACCCTGCGCAGATACCGCAAAGAAACAAACGGCTACAAAACCTGAAAACGATCGATAAGCGAAAGCGATACAGCTTGAACGACTACGAGGAACTGTTTAACAGCACTGTGCCAACTATGAAGAGTCCCTCAATATCCGAGGAGACACAGCTGGATTCGGCTAAAGGTGAGGGCGCCGACCCAAACGAAATCATAATAGATACAAGAAGCACAATAGGAGTGGACATCCGTACAAATGTCGTCAACATTGACAACCGCTATTTTAAAGTCACTATGTGGGATACTGCTGGCCAGGAACGCTACAGAAACGCTATGATTCCGTCATTGTACAAGGGCTCCCACGGCGTTTTACTGAGTTACGATATCTGCAACAAGAGAAGTTTCGAGCAGTGTTTGGACTATTGGCTCGAAGAGGTTCTCAACTGCTGCTCTCAGGACCAATCCATGCGAATTTATCTGGTCGGTAACAAAATCGATCTGTACAAGGTCAGGCAAGTAACTCACGAGGATGTGTTGCAATTCATCGATCGGGCCAAGCAGAAATTCGGCGTAAAAATTGCGGGCAATTTTGAAGTGAGCTGTAAATGGCATCAAGTGGTCGAGCGTACTTTTAACATCATAATTAAGGATCTCGTCGAACAAGGCTGTTATGAAAATGATAATACTGTTAAAGAGGAGTCTCCCGAATCCGATCAGGGTCCTTCATGCGGCTCAGGACATCCTGGAGGCACAACACCATGGACAGAAACCGAGAGAAGAGGCTCCACAATTATTCGAAGAAGAGCCACGGAAAGTGTGAGGGAAAGATCAAAGGAGAAAGCTCACACCGTGGATCTTACAAAACCGCAAGATACGGACAGTAGGACAGGTGGCTCACGCTGTTGCGTTTGATATGTATCGAGGTGACGGTGGCCTGCTCTCGATCCTGGTACGCGCGAAAAACGCCTATTTACTACATAGATGATGGTTTTTATAAAGACAAAATGTGCATTAGTTAAACCCATTGAAATAGCGATCACGAAAGTTTTCTTTCGATCGCTCCAAACCTACGTTGGCAGGTCCTTTGTAGTCGGAGCCTCTGTTGATGTAAACCAAGAGACGTCTGGACCACTTGTTGAATTCCTGGACACAGTTGTATTTGAGTTCCAAGTTGGAATGTAACGGTATGACTGTTTCAATATCTTCATCATTGGCCACCGGCATCCAAAATGCAAGTCTTCCATTTAGGGGCAGTCTTTCGACGGCGAAATGCAACAAATCATCCAGGAGCGCATCGAGGGAATATGGTTTTTTGGTGGGGATGTAGTCGCGCATTAGATAGGCCTTTTTACCATCTATTTCAACGTTCTCCTTCCCAACAAACCGCTCTGGATCTTTGGCACCCAGAATTTTGATACTTTCGCGAATGCCGTAAGGTGGATCACAAAGTATTGTGTCTATCATCATATTACTTCTGAGCGCATTGTGAGTAAAATCCATCGTTAGCACATCCAAAAACTGCAACGAGTCCTGGTATTTTTTGAAATTGGCTCTAATCGTCTGGTTTCCCTTGCCTCTTATCATGCGTCCATCAATGTCAGAGCCAATCACCATTGCCTGGTAATGTCCACCTGCAGTCAAAAAGGAGCCAGTGCCGGCAAATGGGTCGTACATTACAGTCCCCGGTTTAACCTGCGCAATATTGGCACTAACAAGCGAAAGTTCGGCTTCAAAACTCGTGGTGCCCTTGTAAGGTCTTTTTTTCAAGTCGTATTTTTCCAATGCTCCACGGAAACGGTCACTGCGTTGAACTTCGCGACCGAAAAACACACGCAATGGTGTTTCGCCGGCCTGGTTGTCATTCAGCGGCTCATACTCCTCGATGATGGTGAAGATTTCTTGCGGGTTTTTCATGCGAATCGGGCCTTGGAAATCCAAATATTGAAATGATTCGATGCATGCAACACGGTCTAGCCTGCCCGAAGAGCTACCGCCGAAGCTGTCGAACTCGAACTTGAAAGACGCATTGCGATACTCGTGCTTGCGTTGTGAGAAGTCTGGGCTACTCTGCACGTTTTCATGCAACTGGGAGTAGTCTTTGCCCTGGCCCCAGTACTCATAGATGGCGCGAGTCAGGATCGACCTGGAGATCCATTTTTTCGCTTGTTCGTCGTTTTCCAGTTCCACTATAAAAAATGGCGACTCTCTATCGTACTGTGTGAAATCCACGCTCTTGATCCCATGCAGATCCGCCAGGGACTCCAATTCCGCAAGTCTGAAGTTGAGGTGCACTTGCACCATGAAAACTAGGTATTTTTTAGCCATTTTTGGCGCTTCTTTTTCCCCAGATCTAGCTCCTGCTACCTATTTCTCTGTTTGAAAGTGACTACACCGACTTTCAAGGCTTCTGGGGCCTCTATTCTGTCCTGTTTTGAAGCTTGATTTTGTTAAATATCTATACATCTGAGCTCATCGCCCAATTTTTTTTCCATTTGCTAGTTAGCGGCTCTATGAGCAGCTACAAACGTCGAAAAATCATCAAAAGAAGCGCCGAAAAAAGCTCAATTCGATAATCATAGATCAAAGCTACAAAACAGAGTCTTCGAATACTCAAAAGCTGCTCTTAACTCTCCTCAGGACACCATACTTGCCGTCTTTCATCTTCTTATAGCTATATACAGATTCAATTATTTATTGAAATTTCACTTATCGACAGTTACCCGGCCCTCTTATTTCAAAAATCAATAAAACACAAAAAAAAAAAATAATTACTATATAAAGAGCCCAAAATCAGGGTCGGGAATTTGTATTTCGTAGAACCATTGTGGCCACTTTACAACATCCACAACAGCAAGAACAACAGCGTTTTCAAGAGGAAAGACGAAAAGAAGACGACACGGAGACTGTAAGCGTTGAATTGTAAGGAAGAACACGAAGAAACAAGATTACTTGAAGTCTGATTTTTTCCGTTTTTTACCCTTTTTTTAAGATAGGATAAGAAATTTGAAAATTCGTCATTCTAGGGTGCTGATTCTCTCTTCTATTTGGAACTCGAAAACTTGAGGTTGCGATTTACATCATAATCTGCCAATAGCGATTACTTGTCGAACTTTTTAACTGCGAAGACTAGTTTTACGTTTTCGTTTTTTTGTTTGTTTTTTTGTTTAGACAGAGATATCTTGTGTGCAGCAGCCCAATATACACGCGTCAATCAATAATTGGAATCTCGTCCCTGAATAACAGTACGAATATTGTTTTTATCTTTGGCAACATTTCCCTTGTTTGTTTTGGCGTTTTCTGTTTCTCAAAAAGCATTTTTATTTTTTGAGCCAGCGATCGACCAGCATTTATAATCTACTCTCTAGGTTTCTTTTGGAGCCCAAATCTCTACCCTAGCAGGCTATCCAGAACGGTAACTTCAAATTCCCACAGATTCACAGCAAAATTCACCCAACAAAGATGAGTTTTTCCGACGACGAAGACTTTAACGATATCTACGGCGATGACTCCAAGGACGTGTCCAATACCACATCTACAACAGCTGCCACCACGGCAGCTGCAGAGCCCACTACAAAACCGGAATTAGCTAAGGAGTCCGGCTCGGCTTCTAACTCCGCAGAAACCGCTACCGGCGATGGCTCGGCAGCAGGTACGACCGCAGCCCCGGTTTCATCCGGCACTTCTTCTCTGGACCAATTGGCGGCCCTTCAGGCTCTTTCTTCCAACTTGAACCAACTCCAACAAGCTGCCAACGGCGGAGCTGCCTCCGCTGAGGCTCCACAGCAGCCAGCACAGGGTCAGCCAGCAACTCAAGCTCAAGACCAATCTAATGACACGACATCTTTGACTCCAACCGGCTCTTCTGCACCTGCTGTTCCTAGCATGCCTAGCATGCCAGGTATGCCAGGAATGCCAACCATGCCTGGAATGCCAAACATGCAACAATGGCAACAGTTGCAACAGCTTCAACAGAACATGCCTCAGTTTCAACAAGCTGCTTCTCAAGCTGCCATTCAGGAAAAGACCAATAAAGCAGATCTGTCGCGAGACATTTGCAAAATGTTCATTGGTGGCTTGAACTGGGAAACTACAGAAGACAATTTGAAAGATTATTTCTCCAAGTACGGTGTGGTCACAGACCTCAAGATCATGAGAGACAACGCAACAGGCAGATCCAGAGGTTTTGGATTTTTGACCTTTGCAGAAGCTTCAAGTGTAGATGAAGTTGTAAAGACCCAGCATATTCTTGACGGTAAAGTTATCGATCCTAAGAGGGCCATTCCCCGCGAAGAGCAAGACAAGACGGGTAAGATTTTTGTAGGTGGTATTGGTCCTGATGTCAGACCTAAGGAATTCGAAGAGTTTTTCTCTCAATGGGGAACTATCATAGATGCGCAGTTAATGTTGGATAAAGATACTGGTAGATCTAGAGGTTTTGGATTTATCACTTATGACACTCCAGACGCTGTCGACCGCGTTTGTGAGAACAAGTTTATCGAGTTTAAAGGTAAGAGAATAGAAATTAAAAGAGCAGAACCAAGGCATTTACAAAAGCAGATGCAACAACAAAAAACGCAGACTTTTGGCGGCTCATCTCAGTTTAATATGTTTCAAAATCCAATGATGGGAAGTTTCAATCCTATGTTCAACCCCCAAGCTATGGCAGAATATTATAATAAAATGCAAGAATACTACGCTCAAATGCAGCAGCAAACTGGCGTCGATTATAGTCAAATGTATCAACAGCAAATGCAGCAAATGCAACAGATGATGGGTGGTATGATGCCTGGAATGGGTGCCATGCCAAGTATGCCATCTGGTCAATCAGAAACGCCTACTCAAGAATCTTCAGATGTTCCTACGATTGGATCTGAAGAGCGAGTGGACGACGGAGACTCCAATGGTGATAGAGATCTGGACAGAAGAGCAGTATCTCCTCCAATCAATGCTCCAAGAGGTCCTCGCATGGGTGGCTCCCGTGTAGACAATCGTGACGGTGGTCGTGAATTCAACCGCGATAGTAATCGTGATTATGGTCGTGACAACAGTCGTGATAGTCGCGACAATCGCGACGGCAATCGTGATGGAAGTCGCGGAAACTTTCGGTCGGGATTCCGTGGCCGGGGCCGTGGCGGATATCGTGGTGGACGCAGTGGCTACTCTAGAAGAAATAACAACGGGTACCATCCATATTCCACTTAAAGCTTACACGCGTCTTCACATCTGTGACGTACTATTATTTTCTGGGGCATTTTGCGTTGTAGCAAGACAAAAGCTGCAAACTCATATCGTCCCGTTGCTCAACTATATAGCAGCAACTGTATACTATGTATAGCGAATTATCTACATGTTAGTTCAGAGTTTGGTGAACGGAATGCGGGTGTTACATCTGCTCAACTGATATCACCTCCAGAAAGGCCCAATTGGACAATAGCATAAACGTTGAGAACGGAGATGAACAGCCAAACGACGATTGCAATTATAGATGTCACCCAGTTGTTGGACATATCAACCACAGAAGAATCACCATTCTCGATGTCCGACTGACTCTCTGCATTGGAAGAACGCTCTTCCACTTTCATCACAGACTTTTTGCAAGTAAAATAGATCAAAGGCGCCGTCAAGAAAGGTAACAACAAAGACAACACTACCTGAGAGGCGTTTAGAGTTTTTGATAAAGCGGAGCGACCCACACTCAAAGAAATGGCAAGACAGGGAATAATGGAGATCATTCTAGTCGCGATACGACGCTTCCAAGGTTTCAATTTCCAATTGATATGTCCTTCACTGACAATCTGTCCTGCAATAGTACACACAATGCCCGCCGATTGTCCGCTCAGTAGTAGAGCCAGCATAAAGATAGTACCAACAACAGGTGCCAGATCTCTGGACAAAAGATCGTGGATTGTGTATAAATCTGCCCCAGCAGCTTCTGGTGAGCCATATAAGGTCGCTCCTGAAATGATCAGAATGGAACTGTTGACAAAAAGCGCAAAGGTGAATAGAGTGATGGTCAATTCTGAAATGGAGTACTTGAGAGCATACCGAATTGCCGACATGCTTGGTTTGTAATTGAGATAGCCCTGATCCAGCTTTTCGTCTTCGCTAAGCTTTTCGCTTGAAGATTCCTCAGAGTTGACCTCTACGGAAGCCAACTTGGAGTAGTTGCCGTTTTGCTCATCGAATTCCAGAAGCCTGGGTTGCACCAAACCTGATCCTAAGAACAAAGAGTGTGGCATGACAGTGGCACCAAGAATAGATGCTGCAATGTAAATCCCGTTGTTTTGAAACATTTCCTTAGAGGGAGCAAAACCACGGAAGACTTCACGTACAGGAATTCGTGGTAGGAACGCAAGCTGGATACAGAAACAGATGCAGACTCCCAAAACCAAAGCTGCCACGGCCAATTCGAAGAGTCTCACAAACCGCATGGATGAGCTGCCGGGTTTGTACGCGATCATGACAAACAAAACATCCACCACTGTGATTGCCACACCAGCTGGCAGAGGAACTTTGATCAAAATGTTAAGAGCCACCGCAGAACCAATCACTTCTGCTACATCTGTAGCAATGATGGCAGCTTCAGCACATAAGTAAATTGTCCAATTCAACCACCGAGGCAAGTATTTACGACAGGCTCTAGACAGATCCATGCCCGTTACGGTGCCCAATTTGATACACAGCGATTGCAAGAAGATGGCGATGATGTTGGACAGCAGGATAACAAACAAAAGTGCAAATCTGTTGGTACTTCCGGCATCCACTGCAGTAGAGTAATTACCTGGATCCATGTACGCAACACTAACCATCAACCCGGGGCCCACGAATTTCATGTATTTTTTCAAAACCGATCTGGTCGACCTGGAAGCATTGTACAGCATCGACACAGGCTTCAAACGTCTGTTGGCATTATTTGTCGACGGCATAGGTTTTCGATTTGGTCAAAGGTCCGGATTTTTCACTAAGTTCTTGGCGTAAAGGTATCAAAGTGCTGGAAGATGCTGTTGAAAGAGAGCTTTCACCACTCTTGAGGAGAATGAAAAAGCTGGACGCCTAGAACGGTTTTGCACGGTGGGAAAAACTGTAGTCAAGGTAACATTCAACCAGAGCTGGTACGACTTTTTTTATAGTGACCTTGATGGGCTGGACCATATGAAGTCCACGATAATTTTTCGATGAGGTATTCAACATGAAAAAAAATGTGAGCAACTGGTAGGTGATATTGATTTTGAAAGTTGGTGTTCATAAATTAATTGGTCTCTTGGCCCAGTTGGTTAAGGCACCGTGCTAATAACGCGGGGATCAGCGGTTCGATCCCGCTAGAGACCATTTTAAATTTATTTTTTGTTGGTCGGGAATTTAATACCTAGATGGACCATGTACCATACGCAACGCCAACAGGAATGGTGACTTAATCCTATAATCCTCAATGTCAATGCACATCCTTTTTGTCTTATTGGTTTTGAAATTTTGTTTACTTACAGCCTGCCCACGGACTTTTATATTTTACAGCCCAGAAAATTTCTTGATTCCATGCTCTTGTTTCTGCAGGTTACGAAGCTGCTTGGACGTCAAGGGCTTCTGCTCGAGCTTCTGCTTCTTGGACGCGAGCTTGGAATCGTCGCGTTGCCTTGCGTGTTTTTCCTTCGTGCCGGATTTTCCACCTTCATCGTCACTTCCAGTGAGATCTTTGTCCAATTCTTTGAGCAAATCTTCCTTGCTGAGTCCCACAAGCTCTCCTTCTTCGCCCGAGTCATCATCATCATCATCATCACCCGGAGCCGATTCGGCATCAGAATCAGAGACGGAATCTCCCTCCGAATCGGAATTTTCATTCAGAGCAGAGCTGTCACTTTCGCTGTCACTGTCGTCGCCACTGTCACTGTCAACCGCAGAAAACTCATCCGCGGCATCTGCTTCGTCTTCCACCAGCTCCCAGAGCTTGATCTTGTCCATCCCACCGGAAACAAGGCGGTATTCGCAGTCGAGATCCAGGAAAACAACTTCATCCATCCCGCTGTGCCTGCGGATCTCGGTTATCTTCCCTGTCTTGACGTTGACTTTGTAAACTTGGCCATCAGAACAGCCGGTCCATACGGAGTCATCGTCTTGCAGAGTAGGCACCACGCAGTCCAAGCTTTCATTTTTCTTGACCTTGATACGACTGATCTGATCGACCAGGTCGTTTTTCTTGGGCTTCCAAACCGTGAGAAGACCTTCACCCATGCCGCACACCAGTGTATCACCGTTCTGGGGATCCACAAACGTTCCACACAGGATCTCGTCTTCCTGGTCGTCACTCAGCCGAACTTTACGCTTTGCTTCCAGATCATCGGCCGGGATCTTGAAGTCCGAGTCATTAGATTCCCGAGAGTCCCAGTACGCCAACGTGGTTTGGCCCACGGAGATGAATTTGTAAACCGACTGTGCTGTGAAGGGGAAAATGTCGTTGATGGCATCGCCCGAGTGAATTTTCCGGATCGTGGTTTTCAGAGCCAAAGTTTCACTGTCCAGGACCAGAACATTCCCATTTTCGTCTCCAACCAGTAAAAATGGGTGAGTGTTTGATTTGACGAGCTTCGTGACTTTGACACCAATATCTTCAGTGATCTGTCTTTTTTTGACCACTTTACCGGTTTCTGAGTTGGCCTTTTTCAGCACGCAGTCCACACCAATGGTGTAAAGATGCGTTCCATCAGCATCCAAACACATGGCACGCACGCTTCCCTTGTGTCTTTTAGTCTTCCATTGCAATTTTAGACCCTCGGTGTCAGTGCTGCCGTCGTCTTTGGCTTCAACCACGACCCAGAACTTTTTTTTGGTTTTTTCGTCTTCTTCTTCTCCTTTTTTGGAGCTAGATTTCGCAGCAACTTCCTCGCTCCGTTTCATGCGCGTTTGTAAAACTTTGGCATCGTATCTGTGGCACATAACATGGCCTGAAGCCTGTCCTGAGAATATTAGAGGTTTTTCAGGATGACAACGCAATGCAAATAAAGGTTCGGGGAAGGAGACCTCCAGGATGGGACTGCTGGTAGAAGCAATGCTGCTGAGTCCCTGACTGTTTTTAACCTTCTTCTTACCCATTTTTTTCGCCGACGTCTGGAGAGCGATGAGCAGTAGTAGTTCCGCCGGTGTATAATAGCCATCTACTGCATTACTCGTGGCTAGTATATGCTTGAAAAATTTCCACCATAATGGAGCAGCACGTGATGGGCATCGATGCCAGTAGAGAAAAACGGAAGAAGACAGAAAGAAAGAGCTGTTGATGGTTTGGGACGTGAATAGTGTGTGTGGAAGATTGAATGAGAGGCCGAATGTCTATTTCCTTTCCTCTTTCCTCTTTCTGTTCTTCTTCTCGCTCCTTTTTTCGGAAAAAAAAGAGAATCATCTTCTCACCCTAGCGCCACCCTGGAGCAACAGCTCCCGCTCTTCTGCGTGTGGATCCTGCAGCATCACCTGTCTGTTCGCTGCAAAATGTCTTTGACGCTGTCCTGCATGTCTGGAAACTCCGCAACGATCTTCTCTGCAAGCGAGTCTCTCAGCTGCTTCAGCCCGTTCATCTTGGCCCGCTGGTACTGGTTCGAGCGCCGGATGGCCTCCACAAAGTCCCGGGTGTAAACGTCCGGGTTTCGCCCGTCCTCTATATACTGCAGCACCTCCATGGGCACTTGAAAATTGGCCAATTGCGATTCCGGGTCGTTGCTTTTGCAGTTCAGACCGCGCAATCGGTCCACGTTTCGTTGCAGGTTTGTCATCATGCCCTGGGCGGCCTCTGACGTTCCAGGGAAGTCATAGATCGAAACGCCCAGCTCGATGAAAGACTCGATGATCGATCCGATTTCTTGCTCTGTGGTGGCCAGATCACCGTGCAGTTTGTCCAGATCCAAAGCTGGCATTTCCCAATCGCGTGCGAAGATAGCTTGTACAAGTAGAACCAAAACCTTGGTGTCTTATAGTCTCAAATCGTTATGGCTCAGAATCTTGATTTTTCACTTCACCAGTTCCAAACTCAATTTAACTTAACCTAGCGTTTAGTCTATCAAAATATCTCATATACAATGCTACGAGCCGAAAAAAACTAAGGAAAAAGCGTGTAACGATATCAAACTACAGAATTGGATCTCTGACGTGCTTAAAGGCAGGTCTTTGGCGGCTAAATCTAGTGTATTTTACGCTTTGAAAATTGGTTTTCGTTTGTTATTCTTTGTTGATGTGATTATTTACCTATTTGAAATCCAATTTATTCTGCAATTTACAATGTCACGTGACCCTCGTGAAAGATTCTTGGCTTTTAACTATGGCGTTGGGATGAGATGACGATCTCAGGAAGCTCACACTACTACTACTACTACGACGACGACCAAGACGACCACCGTTTACCATTCATAGCTAGAGAATGACAAAGAAACGAGTGAACAAGTGAACGAAAAGGAAACGAGTTAGCTTAGTAAAAAAAAATTCAAGTCTCAGATCCAAAAACCCATCGGTCTGTCTTTCAAACCAGAATCTTGGCTTTTCCAAAAAATTTCAAACTAAAGATCTGAGCTTTTTGCTGGGATCTGTGAACCTAATAACCTTATAGACCACCAGGCTCGCTATCAACAACTTACGTAGCAGCCCAGATTTCAATTACAGTCAAAAAGCCAAATTCACACTCCAAAAAACAACCGTTATGACCTCTTACAGCCTTAATAATAATATCGTGGTGACACAGGAGCAACTGGACCACTGGAACACCGCTCTGGCGGAAATGAAGTCGCCTCACGAAATCCTGGTCTGGGCCATCGCGACGTTCCCACATTTGTTCCAAACCACGGCTTTTGGACTAACGGGCCTCGCTACCATAGACATGTTGTCGAAAATCCAAACCGATCGCATCGTGCCGCTCATTTTCATCGACACCCTGCACCATTTCCCACAAACGCTGTCTTTGCTGGGAAAAATGGAAGAACGCTACTATAGGCCCCGCAACCAGCCTATAAACGTTTTCAAGCCCGAGGGACTCGATTCCGAAGCAGAGTTTGCTGCAAAACACGGCGACTTCTTGTGGGAGCGTGATGACACCAAATACGACTATTTGGTCAAGGCTGAACCGGCCCATCGGGCTTACAAAGAGCTGCGTGTCACGGCAATCCTCACGGGTCGCCGCAAGTCCCAGGGTGGCAGCCGTTCCGCTCTGCGATTCGTTGAGCTCGACGAGCTCAATGGCGTTCTCAAGATCAACCCTCTGGCCAACTGGGACTTTTCACAAGTAAAGGCCTACATCGACGCCAATCACGTGCCGTACAACGAACTGCTCGATCTGGGCTACAAGTCTGTTGGGGACTACCATTCCACCGTGCCGGTAGCAGAAGGGGAAGACGAGCGGGCTGGGAGATGGAAGGGTCAGGCCAAGACTGAATGCGGGATTCATGAAACCAGTCGTTTTGCTCAATTTATACAGCAGAAAAGCGAATCTCAAAACTGAGTGGCGAGAATGGGCTCAAAAAGAGCGGGAAAAAAACGAGGCTCCAAAATAGGAGATTTTAAAAGCCAACAAACAAATCTCACAACTGCACCCCCCACCCTTTTGATTGCGCCGCTGTCATCGTCATCTCATGGATATTTATGTATGCTAATGTCACATCACAATATACGAAACACTTTTTTCAAAAAGTTTCAATCAAGAATATCTATAGATATCAGCTAAAAGCTACAATCCCAACGGTGCCAAATACCTCGAGAAGCGATCCAGTCAGCGGATTCATCACATTTGTTAACCGTTGCAACACAATGAGCAACTTTCGTTTCCCTGTTAAAGTCAAACTGCCTTCAACTTTCCTCAATGCCCGAGTGATCAGAGACAACTTCAAGAGACAGCAGGTTGCAGAACATGAAGTGACAACCAAGGCTTTAAAATACATAGCCAGAAACACAACCTTACCGCCAAGAGCAAGACTGGAGGCCCAGCTGCGTTTGAGCACTATGCCCAACTACACAAGGATGTCTCAGGTGAGAAATAGATGTGTGGAAACGGGCCATGCCAGAGCTGTGTTGAGCGACTTCAGACTGTGTAGAACGCAGTTTAGAGAGATGGCCAGAAACGGCAGTCTGCCGGGCGTCAAGAAAGGTGTGTGGTAGTTGCGGTGTCGAGAGCATTGTTGAACACCAGCAGCATCGCGCAGCAGCATCGCAGCAGCATCACAACTAGCATCAAATAAGAATCCTGTATATAGGCATCAATTATAATATAACGGTTAGAAAAAAAATGGTGCAAAATGAAGCAAAAGATTAAAGAGAAAATGCAGCAGAGTTTGGCCTTAGTGGCTTACAGAGCCTGTACAATTGCGACTTTCTCAGGGTTGGTGTTGATGCTTCTATTCTGGCAGGGGGGTTATTTTTTTTTAGGTGTTTTCAAAATCTCAGGCCTTGCGCATTCCATTCCTTTTGTAAGTTTGTAAAGATGGCAATATAGGGCTCTCTGGAATTGTAGCTCAACCTTCTTGTTTAGCAACAGCCAGTCTCAAATGCATTTTTTTTCAATACGGGGATTACGTGTGCCGTCCGAGGTTTGGCGCAATCGGTTGATGGACGACGAAAGGGACATTGACGGGCTATTTTTTTACAATAGCACACACTTCTTCTTCTTCTTGCCCGAAGATTTGGTCTTCTTGGTCTTGTTTTGCTTGCCCATGAGCGAAGCCCTGGTGGCAGCTTCGAAAACTTCGCGCACTCCGTAGCCGGTCTTGGCAGAACATTCGATGTATTCGACGGCACCGATCTGTTCGGCGACTTCCTGGGCGGAGCCCTGCGAAACAGGTTCCTGGCCATTGGCTCTCAAATTTTCGATCACCTGGCCGTCGTTTCTGAGATCCACTTTGCACCCAACCAAAATGATAGGCACGCCTTGACAGAAATGTAGCACCTCCGAGATCCACTTTTCCATCACATTTTCGAGCGAATCAGGTAGATCGATCGAAAAACAGATCAACACCACGTTCGAGTCTGGGTACGATAGCGGTCTCAGACGATCGTAGTCTTCCTGGCCAGCAGTGTCCCACAATGCAAGCTCCACGCGGCGGCCATCCACCTCCACGTCAGCCACGTAGTTGTCAAACACCGTGGGCACGTAAACTTGTGGGAATTTGCCCTTGGCAAACACAATCAGCAGACATGTTTTACCACAAGCACCGTCACCGACAATAACCAGCTTTCTTCTGATGCTTGCGTTGTTGTTCACGGCAGCCTGAGACATCTTGTATTATTATTTGCTTTGAATTTGATGAACGTACACTCAAACTGTTTTTACGTCAGATCAACGAAAACTGGTGCGATTTTCTTCGTTTTTGCAGGCTTAGATATCCAAATTTCGGCCTGAATCCAAATCTTGTGTTTGACAGCTCAAAAAACCACGTTAATTTCCAGTTTTTATAGCACCTTTGCCTTCTTTGCGGTCCTATCGAGCTCAAATGTGTTTGATCTAACGAGTGTTGTGTTCTTGATCTCTTTCCCCCTCGACACTGTTTTTTCGTCTAATGTTTATATAGTTAGAAAATTTATGGAAATAGTGGGATATTTTTAACTGCCAGGTTAGACATGTGAGAATGTAACTGTGTACGGTTGGAAAAGTGGGAAGATATGATCACGTGACCTTTTTTATTTCAACGACTATCAAACTACAAAAATTTGTGAAAGAGGTGTTGAAAGAAACAAAAGAAGGCAGCATTTGTCAATTTGATCAACTCGTCTTGTTGTTGTTGGTGCTATTTGTTTGTTTTCTTCTTCCAGTTTTTATTATGATAAAAAGTCACATCACGTTACACGAAGTGCGCTTTTTGACGCACTTCGACTACAACTGGAGCTAAAGAAGCCCACCAGGTCGATCCACTCCAAGCTCAAGCTCACAATCTCTCACAAGACTACAATTGATACCTTTATTTCATGGAAAGGAGGGAATCATCAGTTGGTATTAATACATATTGGCAAAATATAACACGGGAAGGAAAATTTAGAAAAATTCGGCACCGGGAGCGACAGTTTTCGAATAGTTAGTTTCTCGCTTCTCCTGGTGTGAGTTTATAGGATGGATTTTTATAGCTTGTGTTCAACGAGGGAGAAATGCTGTGTTCAAGACGAATGGATGCATAGTAGGGCGGACAAAAACAGCCCCCCCCAAAAAGAAAAAAAATGAAAAACAACAATGAAGGAAGGACAGTCTTGATAGTAGGGAGAGAGTAGGTAGGTAAGCGTGGTGGGGCCATTTGTGAATCACACAATCACAGAATCACAGAATCACACACTTTTTCTTGCGTTTGGGCGTGCCATTTTTACTCTTGATGGGACTTGTTTTGCCCGCAATTGCGGCCCGTGTGGCGGCCTCGAAAACTTCGGGAACACCGTACCCGGTCTTTGCAGAGCACTCGTAGTATGCAGAAGCTCCGATCTGGTCTGCCACGGCCTGGGCCTCGGCTCCGGTGACCGGATGCTGGCCTGTGGCCGTCAACGCCTCCAGCGTGGCCATATCGTCTCTCAGATCGACTTTGCATCCTACCAGCACCACGGGCACGCCTTGGCAGAAATGCGAGACCTCTGCTATCCATTTTTCCTGCACATTGTCGAGCGAATCAGGCAGATCGATCGAAAAACAGATCAACACCACGCTGGAGTCCGGGTACGACAGCGGTCTGAGCCGGTCGTAGTCTTCCTGGCCAGCAGTATCCCACAACGCCAGCTCTACACGGCGGCCGTCCACTTCTACGTCCGCCACGTAGTTTTCGAACACCGTGGGAACGTACACTTCTGGGAATTGACCCTTCGAGAATACAATCAGTAAACACGTTTTCCCACACGCTCCGTCACCCACGATCACCAGTTTTTTGCGTATACCCGGTCCAGACCCAGCTTGGTATGACATTGTTACGGTATTCAAGTCTATAAGAGCCGCTGCTGTTGCTGCTGGTGGTGCTTCTGAAGTTTCCCTTTAGTATGCGTAAAGACAAACAAAAAAAACCCGCTTTCGCAGTCTTTTCAATCTTGCTTTGTGCAAGTCACAAAAAGCTGCTTAACAAGAGCTTGAGTGTTCCACAACCCTGGTGGATTCTGCGTTTGATATCTTTCGCTTTAAAAGTTGAAGATTTAGGCTTAGTTTAGTTTAGTTATGGTAAATTCTATCTTATATTATAATATAATAATATTATATTATATATAGGCTTCGAGGGCTCCGAATCTGAGAAGGAACCGAGAAAAATAGAGGACATGTGATTTATCGGGAATCAGTGAAAAATGCTTAAAAGTTCACATTGAGATGTTTTAGTGGTTTAGGGTAAAGATGTTAAAGCTTGATTCTATAACTGTGATTTTAAGCGCTCATATGGTTGTATCAATGTAGGAATTTTTATGGTTTTTATGGTTTTTGAAGCTAAGAGGCGTTTCAAGGCTTGTAGACTCTTGGAATTGCTCGGATTGAGGTTTTATATAATTATACTAGCTGGGATATTAACGCTTATCGATATAAATCTTGCACGCTCGAGGGTTTTTATGGATAAAGCTCTCGAAGTTTTTATTTGATGGTTCACATCATTTGGAACGGCACTGTCGTCGAGTATTAAAAGGCCACATTCGGTTGTTAAAGTAATGGCACACAGCGATCCAGCGGTGGGCCCGTGGCGCGGAGGAATTTTATTTTCATTTCCAGAAGCTTGTTGTCTCTAGTTAACAAACTTTATATTTTTTCCTGTCGTTTTACGCTTACAGCGGATTCTTCTTGTGAGTTTGATTTTTTTTCTCCACTCGCTTTCGTTGAAGGCTTCGGAAATTCCAATGGAAATGGAACACTGCCATTTGAATTGACATGGTATGTCTAGTTACAAGGACCCAATTCGATCTAACTAAAGCCCCAAATGGTGAAAAATTCTGACGCTGTCGTCGCATCACGTGACATATCCACCAAGTGGCAGCTCTGACGCCAGAGAGGACTCAAAAACTGATTAGTACAGTGTCTGATATCAAAAAGCAGAAGTGGCATTTACGCATTGTTTAGACCAAAGAAATGTGCCCAATGATGGTTGGCAATTTCATTGGAGTCTATAGCCCTCCTACAGTACTTTTTATATGTGAGCATGGAGATCTGTTGAAAGCAAGCTACAGAATAAAGCGATCCTCATCACTTCAAACGAAAATGACTTTTGGTAAACGTACGTTTGGAAACTTACAGTATAATCTTGTCTAGTTTCGTGCACTACACTATAGAATTGGCACTCCAATTTGGGGGACTGCTAATCCAGAAACTTCCTCTTCAAAAAATCACGTTTGCCTCAGAGCTTTCAATCGTAGCATTGCCCTTTATTAAATACACACGATTTTGCAAAAGTATTCATTCCAGGCTTGAAAAGACTATCGAAAACAGCAGTAATTCTTTAAGGCTTTAACTGTTATTAACAGATTTTGTTTTCGTTTCGTAAATTGTATTTTGAAATCACGACGGCGATGTAAACTTTTCTCGAGGACCAAAAAACCAAAAAAACTCTTAAAATCGATTTCACAGTCACAGCTCAAATACACAACTGCCGAAACCTGTTAAATATCGGTTAGATCCACGAGCTCTGTTCAGAAGTGAGGACATATTCGGCAAAGCACAAATCATGTCGTGTTCTACGGGTATGTCATCTGAGCTCAACAAGTTATCATTATATACGCATGTGTCGCCTCCGATTTTTAGGTGCCCAATACAACCCAAAGCGTCGAGCTTGTATGTTGATTAGGAAAATATCTATATTTAATGGTGTATTCTATCTTTCGAATCTCCTCCATTGAATAAAATTTCGTGGCACCAAGGACAAAGCTGTTAAGATCATTTGAGTTTGAGGTGAGAAGACAGAGGGAGGCAAAGAAAAAACAGACAAGGAGCGCGTGTACTCTCTATAGTGTCAGGTTGAAAGACTGACTTCCCCCTACGGGCAAAAAATGCGGTGGACTTGCGAATCGTACTTACCCACAATCACTTCAAACGGTTTAATCAAACTACAATAATGTCACCAACCGCTTGAAAATCGCTATGTCTTCCAAGACATAGATCGCATGGTGAAATTCAAAAGTGATTAAAATGATCACGACCTCTATCTTGAAACTCTTCGTCTGGTTTACTAATGTAAAACCAATGATGAATTTCCCGTTTTTTCACACGACACAGACGTACAAAGTGACCATATTTTGGTTTGTTACTTTCAAGTCGTTTTAACAAATAGCAGAAACTGACTTGGTCCACCATTTTGCTGTTATTTGAGTGGTGCTATAAAGATCAGCTCTTTAATTGTTCTAGGTCGTATTCATACCATTTTGTATACTAAGCCAATTGAACCACTTTAAATTGCACGTGACCTTTATTACCAGCCGATATGAAAAATCCATTACCAGTTGAAGCTTCAACTACCAAGATCTCACGCACCGACTTGCCAACAAAACAAAGTCTTTCCAGGGTCTGTTAGCCTTGAGTCTCTTGAATCTGCTGTGTTCTTAGGCTGTTTGCCGAGTTGAGCTCAATTGGCGCGTTTCCCCGAAGATGTCTGCTCGTTTTGTCTCGAGCGGTGTATTCTCAAGATCGCCAAATTTCTTTCTAAGGAACAGTCGTTTTCCTCTGAAATCCGGTTTTAACCCTGCAAAAATCATCTTGTACACAGCAACTCTTGTTGGTGGCAGTTTCGCGGGACTTTATTTGATCAATTCCAGATCAGCTATCCATGAGTATCTCTTTTGTCCTATCTTGAGATTGCTCACTCCAGACCCGGAACAAGGACATAAGATTGGCATTTTTCTTCTGAAATGGGGGCTAACTCCAAAACTGTTGTTCGACCATGACGATCCCGTTTTGCAAGTGAATGTTTTCAACAAGAATCTTTCGAATCCAGTCGGCTGCGCTGCGGGACTCGACAAAAACGGTGATGCCATCGATGGCATCTTACAAGGTGGATTTGCATATCATGAAATCGGGTCAATTACTCCACTTCCTCAACCAGGCAATCCTAAACCAAGATTTTTCCGTTTGCCCCAGGATGACGCTGTGATTAATCGTTATGGTTTCAATTCCGACGGCCACGACAGCGTTTTTTCCACTGTTGCTGAGCGCGTCAACAAGTACCTATTTTCTTATTTCTCTAAAGACAGCAAAATTAACAATCTGTCGTTGCACCAAGGCAAATTGCTTGGAATCAACTTGGGCAAAAACAAAACTGGCGATGAAGTAACGGATTATCTCAAGGGTGTTGAGAAATTCCATTCTCTTGCTGATGTCCTAGTCATCAACGTTTCATCGCCTAACACTCCAGGTCTGAGAGATTTGCAGAGTGAATCGAAACTCACTGACCTGTTAAGTCAGGTAGTGGATAAGAGAAACTCGCTTGTGAATTCAGGCAATTCGCTCGGTGCAAAAGTGCATAAACCACCTATTCTGGTGAAGATCGCTCCTGATTTGACAGAACCCGAACTCCAGTCTATTGCAGAAGCCTCGAAAAAGTCTAAGGTAGATGGTATCATCGTGTCGAATACAACAATTCAAAGACCAAGCTCTCTCATTACCAGAGATGAAGATCTGGAATCACAAGTTGGTGGCTTGTCTGGTAAGCCTTTGAAAGAGTTTTCCTTGAAAGCTTTGAGAACCGTTTACAAATATACCAAAAACTCTGACCTTATTTTGGTAGGGTGTGGAGGTATCTCCTCTGCTCAAGACGCTTTGGAGTTTGGTAAAGCCGGTGCGACGTTTGTACAGCTTTACACTTCCTATGCTTACAAGGGACCTGGTGTTGTCGCTAAGATTAAAGATGACCTCACAGAAGAATTGAAGAAGGAAGGTAAAACCTGGATGCAGATCATCGGGGAGGACAGTAAATAAGAGTAAAACACGTAATCCCTAAGATAAAAAAAACTTGCACATTGGTCTGCTTGTTTACAGTGATGACAAGACCGCTAAGAAAACCATTTGTACTGGAAAATGCCAATAAGCAGGATGGTGAAGGCCAGATCGGTTAGATACATTGAAAGCACGTCCCAATATTGCAATGTCTGTGAGATTTTTCCATGCAAGTTTTTGATAGGTATCAATCCTGGAGGAATCATGGACACTAGGCTCATAATCTTACTGTTGCTGTTCAAAGTGTTGATGTGATGAGACTTTTCAGCAGAAAGTAAAAGCTGGTAGTAGACGGAGATAGTCAAAATTTCAAAAGTCGTGAATATCGTGAAGAAGCTGAACTTTTGAGTAACAGCCTCCAAAGTACTGGATTGGAACTTGTCGCGAGCCGAGCGTGCTGTGTAGTAGACGTAAGGCAGGATGAAAAATAACCATTTGACGATAATGGTGTAAGCCTTGAGTTTGTTGATAGAGGCATTGTGTGCTGCCAGCACAGCGGCATCAATTGGTGGCTGAACATTTCCGAATGGGAAGTCTCCAGCGTCTTGTGGGCCTTGTTGTGAGTCAGATTGCATGGATTTCATCAATTGAGCGAAAATATCGGGTGTTTCAGGGGTTGCACCGGGGCTACCAGACTCCCCCGATTGCATCTTGGCAAGCTGCGCAAATAAGTCCAGTTCTGGATTTTTTGCAGATGTTTGGTTTTGGTTCGCTATTTTACCAGTTCTGGGTTCACTTTGGGCAACACGAGCAAGTAACTCGTCCATTTCCTTCGTTGAATCCTTGTTCCCGGCATCTTCCACATGAGCTGGAGTTGGTGTGGGTGTTGTACTTTTCGAATCCAATGGTGAATCTGTAGACAGAAAACTGTTGTCGGTTTGGCCCGTAATTTTCGCTAATCTTGACGATCCTCCTCCATTTCCAAACTTTTGCTGTCTTTTTTCCCGCAAAAGACGCCTTTTCTCAGCTTGTGCATCTGCCGACATTGTCTTGAGAGAGTGGGGAGAACAACTGGTCTTGTTGTTTCTGTTCGAAGTGTTGGCTAAAGCTTGAAATGGTGAACAAGTTCAGTTTAATTGATTTTTCTATACTCATCGGGTCCATAGTTTATACAGAAATACATAGATATAAATCTTCAGCTAATGACTTTTCAGTAACTCTATAGACCTCATCAATTGGTTGGGTTGCGAGCGATGGTGGTGGGCGTTTACCTCGAAATTTTAGGATCAAAACCCAGTTTCCATCTTTTTATTTGATGCACTGCAGATCTCAGGCGTATCTGGCAACAATTTCATCAAATTTGGCGTTATTGGTGTTGTAATCCTGAGACAGAGGGTGGTTTGGACTGATCTCTAGTAAGCTTTGTCTGATTTCATCGATGTGTTGACCTTGCATTGCAGCCAGGGTGATCTTGTTGGCCATTAGCTCAGTAGTGTAGAGTTTGGCAGATTCGGTTTGAGTTTGGTAAAACTCTGACTCCAATAGGTCCACAATGGCCTGGGCCTCAGGTATGTTGCTCTGCTGCAAATGCGAGCTCAACAGTGCCAGCTGCGTTTTCCAGGATGGTAACGTTTGCGAAAGCTCTTCGAAAAAGTAGAAATTCGACCCGGAAACCTCGCGTCCCAGCGCAAAGTTCACGTAGGACTCGGCCAAATTGATGATGATCTCGTCATCGTTGGAATAGGTGTCTTCAGTAGCTGCCAGATAGTTTTGCAAGATCTGAGCACCTTTGGAAGCCTTACGAGGGTCCAAGACCGCAATTTGTACAGCTAGCAACGCCAATTCGGTAGCACCAGGTCCCAATTCCCCAGTAAGGCCCTCGTTGCAAGTTTGAAGCGCTGATTCTAGCTCTCCCTGCGCGGCCAATGCCGATGCAAGGAAATTAAGACTGAACAGCGATTTGTGCGTTGAGACCGCATTTTCTAGAGCGGACAGATTACCGGATTCCAAGGCTGTCACATATGCTTCCAAAACCGGTTTTAGCGAGCTTTGGCTTTGAAAAGATTCAATTTGGCCTAAAGCTCGTAGACATTGGGCTTTGTAGAATTCGGCAACTTCAGAGTTGTCATCTGCTTGTTTTTCAACGTATGAAAGCGCTTCCTTGTAGTTACCAGTATAGTACTGTTGCTTCACATTGAACATATCCATGGTGCTTGAGAGTAAAGAGGATCGGTGATGGAGGAATCTCGAGCTGACTGGTGTGGACAACCTTTAAACCTTGTTCTTCGCCAAAGATACAGGTGCTGTAGTAAACGTAGAGTATTATATTAAAGAGCTGAAGATCACGTGATCTATGAGAAGCTGTTTTTTTAGGAACAATCTGATACAGCTGAGATATGTGAATTAGTCTGTGTTTTTGGAAACCTCTTATATATGAGCAAGCAAGGGCTCGCCCGGTGATTCCGTTTCATACTTCTAGGTACTCAAAGGCTTCGAAACCAGTCGAGTGAAGTCAGATAACAATATCACTTTACACGTCCGCGTCGTCGTCATCGTCACGAAATTTGGAAAGCTGATCCAACCTTATAGTCTATCTATCTTACACATTAGATATTTTTACACCATCTACTGTATACTTTCTGTATTACATTTAGCTCTATAAAGTCCCGAGGTTATTTCACTTTCAACGATTTTGTCATCTGATATTAGTCACGTGTATGGAATTCGAATTACAACAAAAGGCGTTGACGTTACTCACTATATGGTGCGACAATCTCTTTCACACGTTCAGATACAATGCCACTTTCCAATTCACGTTCCAAACATCTCAGTTCTCGCTTTCGCCGCTTTTTTGGGTTTTTTTTGGAGCCTACAATATATGTGCCTATTTTCTCATCATGAACATGTGTTGGATACCCTACTGTCAACAGCCAGAAAAGTAGTTCAGTTTTTGAATTGATCAGCTCCGAATCTATCGCTTCTATTCTCTCAGTGACGTGAATCCATTAAATCTTCGAGCCCGAGCCATCACTTTTTATTTTCGTGTCACCGATATAACATATATCACCCTATAAGACGATTTTATCGAAAACTCCGGAGCCATGAACAGTGTACTTTCAGCCAAAACTCTACCAATTTTGTACTTGAATTCAACAACGGCCTCAACTCTCCCATTCTTATAAGAAGAGAACGAAGCATTACCAACAAAACCTGCTTTTTTCAAGTCATTTTTGGTTTGAAATAAACCGATATCAAGCACTTAGAGATTCAAGTTTTCTGAGTTCAATTTGATCAATAAACTTCTCGATTCAATTCACTATTCTCACCGTTGATCGCTCTTTCCTTTCAAGTTGTTCTGTCAGCCCTTTTTAAGCCGAAATCCTGGTGATAAAATCCAAAAAGTTCGTCAATTGTCGATCGAGAAACATTCTGCTATCCAACATTCAAAAGTAGCACTTCCATCACACTGCATTTAAGCTTTTGAAATCCGCAATCATGACACAGGCCGGTTCCACAGCAGAAAACGGACCTGAAGACAGGAAACAGGCCGTGAAAGCACTTATAGATAAGCCTTGGTTCCAGGAAGCCTACAAATCATCACTGGACTTCCATTCCAAAGATGATGTTCTAGACACCAAAGATAGACTGGAACTTTCGCAGATTTATGTGTCGATCTCCAGGGCACAAGTTTGGGGTGGATGGGCTAGTTTTGCTGCTGTTTTTGGTGCTCCATTTGGCTACCAGTATTACAAGACGAAAGCCATTAGAGGTGTAAAAGTTCCTAGGAATTTTGTTTTCGGACTTGTAGCCATGGCCTTTTCGGCGCGGTTTTGTGGAAAGGCGATGTATAACTCGCAGCTTTCGAAAATGAGATCCAATGGTGGCATTTCAGAGTCTAGTGGTTCAAAATGGAACGAGCCTGGGGAGGAAATTAACGAAAATATAGAGGGTGCTTCATCGTCACCGCAAATCTCACGCAATCAACGCCAATACGATATGATGAATCTTCTGGGATATGCAATGGCTCCCAAATGGGCCAGATATTTTTACTATACCTACACTAATCCAGAAAGGAGGCTTCCAGACCCCAGAAAGCTGATGGAAAATGTGAGAAATGGAGAAATTCCCAACCTTTCGCCCTTTCTAAACCAGCGGGATCCTTTGTCACTTTACTCAGGGCCTCGTCATGATGAGAAAAAGGGTATTCCTCGTCTCGGGTCCGCCCCCAGTGATTCATCTAATGATACACTAAAAGGAACTAGTTCTGAAGATATCGATCCCTTTGGACACGAGGAGAAAAATACTAGGTCGAGCAATCTTTCATCATGGGACAGAGTGCGTGACGAAAACGGTGTTTCTAATGGATCGAGAGGTGACAGATGGTCTCAAATAAGGTCTGCACCGGGACAATACGAGCAAAAGCCGCAGCAAGACAGCAGGCCCTTTCAAGATAAAAACGTTAGTGAAGACTCTGAAGACTTCGATGCTCTTCTGGAGAAAGAAAGACGCGGCGAAGATTCATTATAAAAGGCGTGAGAGCCCACACTTTTTTTGCTGTTCTATACTATAAGCTAATGATTTATGATATTGTATATGACTACCATTCGCACTTTACTCGTCGCCCAAGACATTTTCTAGGCTCTTGCTCTGTTTCAAGTTCTTCAACTGCTTGATAACAACATCTAGCTCAATGGTTGGGTTCTTACCCTGGAGATCTTTGACATCTCTGTTTCTGATATTGACAGAGTTTTCGGTCATCTCTTGCTCACCAACAATAAAGATGAAATTGTATTTTAACATTTGACCATTTCTGACCTTCTTTTGCAAAGTGTTACCAGTCAAGTCCACGTCAGCATAAATGTCTTCAGCGGCCAATTTGTCGCGCACTTCTTGGGCGTACTCCTGGTATTTGACACCAACAGGCACAACAAGAACTTGACGAGGCGAGAGCCAGAAAGGCCATTTTCCTGCAAAATGCTCGGTCAAGATTGCAGTCATTCTTTCCACAGAACCTAGGACAGCACGGTGAATCATTACTGGTCTGTCATACCCATCGCCCTCTTGCGATTTGTATTCCAGCTCAAATCTGTTGGGCAGCTGGAAATCGAGCTGGACGGTAGCACACTGATGCCATCTGCGCAAAGCGTCAGAGATCATGATATCGATCTTAGGACCGTAAAATGCACCATCGCCTGGGTTCAATTCCCAATCTCCTCCCCATTTCTTCAAGGCGGCCTCTAGTTTAGACTCTGCGTTGTTCCAAGTTTCCAAATCACCCAGATACTTCTCAGGACGAGTAGACAGTTCCATCTTGAACTCAAAACCGAAGATTCCGTATGCGTATTTTAGGAAATCGAAAATGTTTTCAATTTCTTGCTCAATTTGGCTTTGGGCACAGAAGATGTGAGCATCATCCTGTTGGAATCTTCTGACACGAGTCAAACCAGAAAGGGCTCCGGAAAATTCATTTCTGTGAATGACACCGAAATCGGCAACTCTCCATGGCAACTCTCTGTACGATCTTTCCCTAGACTTGAACAGAATACAATGGCCAGGACAGTTCATAGGCTTCAAACCAAAGCTTTCCTTTTCAACCTCAAAAGTGAACATGTTTTCTTTGTAGTTATTCCAGTGACCGGAAGTTTCCCACAACTTGGAGTTATACATGTTTGGAGTGATAACCTCGTCGTATCCTCTCTTGCGGTATTCGACTCTCAACATTTCAACCAAGTTGTTGTAAATTCTTGTGCCGTGTGGGAGCCAGAAACAAGAACCTGGAGACATTTCATTGAAGTAGAAAAGCTCTTGTTCCCTACCAATTCGTCTGTGGTCACGCATGGAGGCCTCTGCCAAGAACTTGAGGTGAGCATCCATGAGCTTCTTGTCCGGGAAAGCAATACCGTAAACTCTTTGCAAGGAGTCGTTGGTAGCGTCACCTAGGAAGTAACAAGAAGAGTTTTTCAATAGCTTGAATGACTTGATACGACCAGTGTGTGGAATATGAGGACCGACACACAAATCGATCAGCTTACCACAACGGTACACGGTGGTGGATGTACCATCTGGGATCTTGGTCGAGATCAAATATTTCTTGTACTTCGAGTAATGGAACATTTTCAACAAGTCTTCCTTAGACACGACCAGTCTTTCGAACTTTTGTTTCTCCTTGATAACATTTTTGGCCACACCTTCTAAGGTGGGGAAATCAGCTTGAGACACTGTTCTCTCTGGGGCGTCCGCTGGGGCGTCTGGGCCGTTTTTGACGGCGAATTCGTAAAAGAACCCATCGTCGGTTGGAGGACCCAAAACGATGTGGGCTCCCAAGTTGCACTCACAAGCCTCACCCAAAACGTGGGCTGAAGAGTGCCAGAATACCTTTTTACCTTCTTCGGACTCGAAATCGAAAAATTCCAGTTTGATTTCGTCTCCTTCTTTACCTTCTAATGGTCTTTCCAGATCCCAAAGAGTGCCATTGACTTTCGAAATGACCTGCTTGTCGGGGAACGACTTGGCAATTTGCTTTGCAATGTGCATTGGACTAGTTTCCCATGCAATGGCTTCCTTTTCGGACCCATCTTTCAAGATCACTTTCAAAGCAGCACGAGGTTGTTCTGCAACTTTTTGAGCATATTCTTCCTGCAGTTTGTTGAACAACGCGTCTCTTTCCTCAATAAACTCCGGCTCAGGACTTAGATACAATGGTGACTGTTTTTGATTGGCATTGCCCTTCTTCTTTGGCTGTTCTTCCTTGTTGTTAACAGCCAGGTTTTTAACCTTTTCTCCCACTTTTTCGACAGCTTCCTTCACACTCATTTTGGCGAAGAGTTCAAGAAGTTACTGACAGCAAACAAAGAGGACAATTGAAAGCAGATAGCTCGAAAAACGCTTGTAGATCTATGGTTTGGATGGATTAGAAGTTACTGATCTTCTCGGTAACTTAGATATTGAAAATTTTCAAGAGTCGTTATATACGGACCGGAAACGTAATTAGAAGATTAATAGTCATTTTAGAGCTTCGATTAGCGCGAAAATAGTGAAGCTGGGGACTGAAATGATTGACTCGAAATTGCATTCGGAAACAGCATTTACTATTTCATTGATTTCTTGGATTTTTGGATTTACTCCTCGACGTCTTCAGAGACGTTTCGGCGATAGTACGCAATAGGTGTCACATCCGTAACAAATGATCATAATGATGGTGTCAGTTTTAATCGGCATGTAAAGGGTAAAGGCAGCCTTCCTATGTGATGATAGTGGAAATGGAAGGTCAATTGTTCGAAAGGATGGCTTAGGAGTCAAAACATGCTGTCTTAACTGTCTTTCCTGTTTTCACTGCTTTCAGTTGAATATTCTCCGCGTGATACAAGAGAACAGATCAGAAGATTTCGAAATACGGGTGTATGAGTGGAATTGATAGATATGTATATGATTTTGCCGTCATTTGCTTTCCATATCTACTATCTATCAAATCTGGCTCATCTTGGTGACTGAACAACCTTATAATTTATCGTTTTATAAGAGTCGCATTATCTCGGGCCCCAGAAACCGTCAGCCGACTCTACTTACATGGTAAGATAGAGAAAAATTTAGCTCGACAACTGAGTTTAGACGGATTATCCGGAATACTTCTCTTCGTGTATTTTGGTATCCTTTTCTCTTTCCTGGTTTCTTAGAATTCTGTAATGAAAAATTATATATATTGAAGACATCGCTCATCGAAGAGCCCACAACAAAGATTAACAAAAGTTGACGCAAAGGCATGCAATTTGGTCTGTAATCACTCTTAATAATGACTTCCCTGTTATCTGAACATGAACCGCAAGATTCACTTCCATTTGTGAAAGACGCGACGCCTTCTTTCGAATCAAATGAGCGCATTTTAGCTCCATCGATTGAAGAAGTGGATTCGAACCCAGAAGAGTTACGCACGCTGCGTGGTAAAGGTCGTTACTTTGGCGATACTGATCCATCCGAGTATATTTCCGAGGCGGAACCAAAATGCAATAACTGCTCACAACGTGGCCATTTCAAAAGAAACTGTCCGCACGTAATATGCTCGTACTGTGGGTTGATGGACGACCATTACTCACAACACTGTCCGAAAGCTATTAGATGCGCTAACTGTAATGGGGAGGGACACTACCGCAGTCAGTGTCCGCATAAGCGGAGGCGCGTTTACTGCACGCTTTGCAATAGCAAGAATCATGCCCGCGATCGTTGTCCCAGCATTTGGAGAAGTTACTACTTGCTAGACAGTGATAAGCGGCGAACTTTAGCAATACACACGATTTTCTGCTATAACTGCGGGGAAAAGGGCCATTTTGGAGACGACTGTTTTATTGATAGATCATCGCGAGTCCCCAACGACGATGGAAGCGCCTTCTCTGGTAATAATCTGCCGCAACAGGTCCAACAAGATTACTTCACGCACCTTGATAGGTGTCAAGAAGACTTTTCGTATGATTTCCCAACAGGAAAGAGAGATTTATACTCTTCCGGTGGCCTTGATGACATTGCTTCTAAAGATGACTCCTCTTCCAAGTCGCATTCCAAAAAATATAAAAAGAGAAGTCGAAGAAACGAAGATTTTAATCCTAATACAGGTTCGAGATTTAAACCTAGTTATGGAAACTCAAACTTTTACCCACCTCCATATCAAAAGTCAAAAGCAGCCCCCAAGCCGTCATCAGGAGGAACTGTATTACCACCCAAAAAGCAGCGCAAACATCCGCTTGACTTTCCTCGCTCATCGAAGTCCCAGCACCAAAGGTTTGACTATTGATATGAGCACTCAAACCATAATAGCGTTGGTCGCTGAGGCGCAATGAGCATTTCGACGGCCTTTTGAAAACCTACGTTTAATGAGCGTAAAAGCCACCCGGGCCATAAATTGAAATGAAAGTTCCCACTGTAATGACATCGTTTAGGCCCTTTCGATCTGCTCAATCGATTTATCTTTTCGGGTTGTCCGAGAAAGACTTCGGATCTAAGAAGCTGAATTCCCCACGCGTTTCCATTCTTCAACTTTGGCTCTTCCACCATTGGCCAAGGTGCTTGATGGGTTGTTGTTATATCTTCGCTTTTTGCTGCCATTTTTGATGAACTCCAGCACCGTCAGTTTTCCTAAGGCTTTTGTAGGTTCCGGGAGCCTTACTATGTCTAAGACCTGCCACTCACCAATCTCACTATGAAGGGCAAAATTAACACCAATAACCATGACAAGATTGTCGACGCAGGTCACGGCAATTTCGAGACTTAACGCCATGTCTCCTCGACATTTATGGCAACTTTGGCAAGTCTTGCTATCTCTCACGAGTACTAGTGCATCCAAAATAAGCCCCAATGTGAAGTTGACCTTCTTCAAGGACAAAGGGCAAGAATTGGGCATTTGAGAACTGTTGCACAGCATAACTCCATCCGCACTGATTGCAAGATGATACCTTTCATTTATCTTAAACAACCATTGCAATAACCAGCGGTCTCGGGGTACACGCCTGAGCTTTTTGACCAAACTTTCTGCATCATTATTTGGGTCAAAAATCAAGCAAGGTTGGCTAGTGGCTGCAGGTTGCAAAGCCTTCAGTTTTGAACGCCCGTCCATTGACAGGATCTTCAAACTGCGGTAAAAACTTGGCAGGTACATTCCTCTCCCATCTTTCTCGGCCTCTTTTGCTGTGCTGTGAAATGCATCACTACTTTGATCAGTGCTGTTGCTGTTTTCATCGAAGGACCCAAATTCGAAGATTGCTCGACCAATGGTGTTCTCTGTGCCGTAGTCATCGTCATGAGTTTTCACCGTTAGATTGCCCTCATTTTTGAGAGCCCATTGCACTCTTTGTGACAATTTGCGTTTCTTTCGCACGACAGGTGGTTTGACTTTCAGGACTTTCAGGCTGGTTCGAGCATTGCTTTCACCTGCCACACCTCTGCTTTTCAACTTGCTTGGTACCGCCTCACGCCAGCAAAAATAATGCTGGAGCTCAGGAACCCCCGACCTCGATCTCAGTTGGAGACTGCGCGCTCCTTGTCGACTTCGATCATCCGCGCACATCGACAATTGCTCTGCCTCTATGGCGTCCAAAGGATCTTTACCTAGCAGATCACCACGCCAAACTGTGCCGGAAAAGCGGTTGCTGAGACTCGATTCGTTCGTGGCGCATAACGTCCAGGTATTTTCTTGTCCTTCCTGGACCGCCTGTTTGATGAAGGATTTCAGCCGCTTGTAGTACAAAAGATAGGCGGGGGTTATGCTGATTTTATGCAACATCAAACGGCCGGACAAAGTACCTGTGAAGAAGCTCAACTTGTTGAACGGATTGATACGGAGATGGCCCACATTTTTGCCAAGACTCAGCGTGAAAGACGGCTGAAAACATGGCGCTTCAAGGTTTGAAAGGCCATAGAGATGCTCTTTCCGGTCTCGGAAGTGTGCATGGGCTGGAACCAGGTAGCTGAAAGGGTGATTAGAGCTCCTAGTGTAGCCGGTGTAAGCTGTCTCTGTCACAAACTTGAGGTCCTCCGCTGTAAGATTCTCGAACCTGAAACGACGGTATGCCAAGCTAAAATCAGTGTTTTTCAATCCCATTGCATCCTTTGCAAACACCGGAGAATGGGATTTGATGTAAGTGTCCGGTAAGTTCAGAATGAAGACGCTCAGCTGCCCGTCTTCGCACAGGCAGTATAGCATACCGTCCAGATAATCAAGCGAGACGATTGGAACTTTAGTATCGCAGTGGGCAACATTCACGTTACACGTCAAAAACCATCGGGGCTTCAAAACCTTTTTCTTTGAATTTGAAGCTTGAATGTCTGGAAATACTTGAATAAACCCATCATCGGAACACACGAACAGGTAGTCATTTTTCAGACGAGACGAACTGTGATTCTGGCGCCCACTATTTCGCAAGTAACACATCTCAGTTATATTAGAGAACGAACTGGGTCTTTTGTAGAGTTTCATCTCTTCCATGGTCAGTTTTCCTTGATGCCAGTTTAGAATTCTGAATGAAGATGATGATGCTGGTGTCTTCGACCCAGTTTCACTTGCGTTCTCAACAGATACCACAAATCTGAGCATCGAGATCTTTATATAATTGTATATACTAGGAGGTTATAACAAATGCCCTTAGGCTCACTTTTCAGGAGTTTTTGTTCAAATCCAAACCAGTGTATAGCGAAGTAAGATGATGATCTTACTTTCTTAAAAACTAGCTGTAAAAGCTGAAATGGACGCTTGATGTCACTGTCGAGACCCTCAAAGACGCTTATTTCCAAATATACTAGAGCTATGGGCACATGGAGCGTGTCTGATGTTATTGTTGACAGAAAATCCAAGTTTCAAGGTAGATGTTGTAGTTTAAAAGGTCAAGATGAAATACCCGGAATTCTTGAAGATTTGGTAAATACTAACAAGTCCGTCAGCAAAGCTTCCCATCCGTGTATGTACGCTTGGAGAACTGGTACAGAGACTGTAGTTGAGGTTCCAGGCGTCAAAAGAGGGAAAAAAGTGTCCAAGACAGAAAGTCGGGTCCAAAATTTAGAGCAGGGTTGTGAAGATTGCGGAGAGGCCGGAGCTGGTCAGAGATTACTTACTCTTCTGGATCACAGTGGTGTAACAAACGTTCTTATAGTGGTCTCCAGGTGGTACGGCGGAACTCCTCTAGGTAGCGCGCGATTTCGACATATAACCACCGCAGCTGTTGAAAGTTTGAAGAAAGCTGGTTTCGTATCGTAGAAACCATCTTTCATTGACGTTTATACCGTATATACAGTTCATATCGAACATGGAATATATTTGTTCACAGATATATGGCTCTGCAACCTTTTGAGTATGCCGTTTCCCTCTTAAACATATTTGTAAGGATTCAGAATAGCGTTTGGATCGTAGAGATTCTTGAGCTCTTTGATCATGGCTATCTCCTGGTCATTCTTGGAGTAGCCTATGTAGTTCTTCTTTTGAAAGCCAAGTCCGTGCTCAGCACTGATAGATCCGTGCTTAGAAGACACGAATTCGTAAACGAATGGCTCCAATACTTTCTCCACCTCCTTGGAATACTCTCTCACAGCAACATTCAAGTGCAAATTGCCGTCACCGACGTGGCCGTATCCGATGGCACTGATGACGGGTTTGGTAGGGTCAGAAGTGCTTGATAGACCCTTTTCGGCCAGCCTTTCGTTGGCAGCATCCACAAGGGAGTACAGCTCTTTGAGTGGTAGAGAAACATCGTACTTGTAGACTCCCCCGCCGGCTTGGCTCGATTCAGGAATCGATTCTCTCCATTCCCACAAGTTTCGTAGTTCAGTCTCATCTTGTGCTACCACACCGTCAAGGACAGTTCCTTCTTCCATAGCTTTCTCAAGGAAAGCCTCCAGCTTGGCGTCATCGTGTTCTTTGTTGGAACCCGAAGTTTCAATCAAAACGTAGAATGGGTACTCGTCGTCAAGAGGATGGCTCACATCCTTCAAGTGCTGTTTGGCTAGCGTTTGAGACTTGAGGTCCATGAACTCAAATGCTGACAGAATTTCAGAAAGCTCTTGCTTAGCTTTCACAAAAACTTCTTGGACTGCTTCGTAACTACCAACTCCGAGAAAGCCGACGTTGACAGCTTTTGGACGTGGAGGTGTTAAGATTGACACACCCGTGATAACACCAATGGTGCCCTCGGATCCGATAAACAGTTGCTTTAGGTCGTAACCGGTATTGTCCTTTCGTAGAGCGTCCATGGAATTTAGAATCTTACCATCGGGCAAAACGACTTCGAGGCCCAAAACGGTGCCGTGCAACGAGCCGTAGCGCAGCAGCCTCAAACCGCCGGCATTAGTCGCCACAATACCACCGACATGGCACGAGCCCTTTGCTCCCAGATCCATGGGGAAAATGTAGCCCTTTTCCGCCAAGAAAGAGTCGGCATTTTCCAGAATTACACCGGCGTCGCACTTCAAAATACCACTTACAGGATCAAAGTCACGAATTTTGTTGATTTGAGTGAGACTCAGGACTATTTCGTCAAAAACTGGCACCGATCCGCCAACAAGGCCCGTGTTACCACCTTGAGGGACAACCGCGAGTTTGTTATCGTTACAGTACTTCAATATTTGCGAAACCTGGCTGACAGACTTTGGTCTCAACACCAACTTCGATTGACCTTTGTATTTACGCATCCAGTCCTCATTGAATAAGGCCAGGTCTTCATCTGCAGTAGCCTGCAGGATTTCACTGTCTGACATGATAGACTTGAAAAAGGCCAAATCATCAGAAGAAAGTTTTTTGAACTCCGACAACCGTTTTAAGTTGGGATATGATTCAGCAGTAAGTCTTGGTTGTATTTTGGTGGAGTAATTGAGCACATTCGACTTTTGAATCTGGTTGATGCGCAGAGCAGCAGACACGCCGTTTTGGGCGCCTAGAAAAGCTTCCCGGGAGAGTTTCGCTCTGGAAAAAAGCTTGAGATGTCTCTTGGCCGTGTGTCTCAACATTGGAGCTTTAACGAAGATCTTAACTGGCCCAGAATAATGGATAACGGGAGCGATTTTAGACGGTATTTCATGATTGAATTGGTCCAAATTTTTCAGATGGTAATTAAACATAACTTGAAATAGTACGTCATGTGCAACGACGACAGTGTACCCAATGAGTTCAATATGGGTGGAAGTCGAATGGCATCGAACCTGGATATTTATCATTTGAGTTATGGTTAAATATGTTGTTGAATACTGGATCATTGCCGTGCCATTGTGACTGAACTTGTTTTGGCCGGGAAAAAATCTCTAACTTATGATGTCAAAAAAATAAAGTATAGACGTCAAGTAAGAATAATTTAGAAGTGCTGCTCTTCTTAATGAGATGAGTGGACGTTCTCCGGCTTGAAATCAATGCCTTTTTGTTGAAATATGGTTGAAAGCGTCGGAGGTCACGTGTTGGTTCTTCCAGCGACGGGTTGGTGAGAAGTGACAGTTTCTCGTAGAAAAGTGCTCTTCTGAATAGACTGAGCAACAGCTGCGAGCTGAGTGGGACTGGTTTTTCAAGCATTTGTCGAGACGGTGGCATTTGGTAAAGAAATAGACTTTTTTACAATGTCATATCGCTGTACTTTTGAATGAAGAATAACTCAACAACGACCTTATGGTCGTTGGCAAATCCTATAGACTTTACAATGAAGATGTCACAATATCGAAATTAATGTATTCAATATTAATAAAAACATTAATTGATTGCCACCAGATTGAGCAAAAGAAGAAGCAGTCAATCAAAAATATCACCAGCCACACGCAGTATATTCAAAACTGTGAAACGTTGTGTACTTGAACTCGACCATCCTCCTAAAATGAAACGACACATTCGTGAAGAGTGATACCCAAAAATGTTTCCAAAATGTTTGCTATTTGTCCATCTTGCCTGCAATGAATGATCAATGTAATACTCTCTCATCGCGCCTGTTTTGACTCACATTCGAAGTCTCCTCAATCCGTAACTGGACTCGTTCTTCCCCGCTTATACTTCTCTAACCGTTTTTACGAATGCGTCTTATTCAAGAATATATAATTAAAGAACATATATAAAATTTAAGGTCCCACAGCTAGGCAATTCACCAGCCCAAATTCCACCGCCTCAAACCAAAGGATGTCTACTTCAGCTGCTGTTGATGCAGCCTGCATCTTCTGCAAGATCATCAAAGGTATGTGCAGTGTACTGAGATCCTCTTAAAAAAACCGTTGCGTTGGAAAGTACTAACCCTCAACTCAAGGTGAAATTCCATCTTTCAAGTTGATCGAGACAAAGCACTCGTTCTCCTTCTTGGACATTCAACCCACAACCGAAGCCCACGTTTTGGTTATCCCCAAGTACCACGGCGCCAAATTGCACAACGTCCCAGATGAATATTTGGCTGACATCTTGCCCGTCACCAAGAAACTGGCCATCGCATTGGATCTAGCCGTGGAATCGCCCGAAGGTGTGGGCTACAACGTGCTGCAAAACAATGGTCGTATTGCCCACCAGGTTGTCGATCACGTACATTTCCATTTGATCCCCAAGAGAAACGAAGAAACAGGATTGATCGTCGGATGGCCGGCCATCGACACCAATTTCGAAAAGTTGGGCCAATTGCACAAGGAATTACTCAAGAAACTTGAAAATTGAGTTTGCGTGTTTGCCCAAAAACGCTCATGACTATATGACCAAGTATTCAGTTTTTTAGATAGTTTCAACAGGCCCTTGTTTACAACCTGATTCGTGTGGTTTTGATTCTACGAATATTAGACCCAAAATCGGTCAGTTTTGACCCAAATTTGAACCTTCAAATTTCAGGAAAATAACTAAAAATCAACTAGTCAATTCTCAGATCAAAACCGCTTGCATTATCGGCCGGTTCATTATTCTAAAACCTTCTTCAATGGTCTATTCAGTTATACAGCTTGATATAGTCAAGTTTGTTGTTAGACGTGTAATACACCTATTCAACTTCAAGCCAGCGATCCACGTACAAAGCGACTGCCTATATAAAGGGAAAGATTCGGTGGCAAAAGGTAACTTAACCACTAGCACAACCCTTTACTTGAGACTCCTCGACTAAAAACCAACCTGAAGTCGGTTTACAGTTAGTCTAGACAATACACTACTCAATCGCACAATGGTTGATGAAAAGAAGCCACTTTTGGACGCTTCGGGCGCCGAAAATCGCGACGATGACGCTACCGCAACGGCGATCCTAAGGCGCAAGAAGAAGGACAACATGTTGATGGTGGACGACGCTGTCAACGACGACAACTCTGTGATTGCGATCAATTCGAACACAATGGACTTGTTGCAGCTATTTCGTGGTGACACAGTCTTGGTGAAAGGCAAAAAACGTAAGGACACGGTTCTTATCGTTCTGATTGACGATGAGCTTGAAAACGGCATTTGCAGAGTGAACCGTGTGGTGAGAAGCAACTTGCGTATCCGTTTGGGTGACCTTGTAACGATCCACCCATGTCCCGACATCAAGTACGCGTCCAGAATCTCCGTTTTGCCCATTGCTGACACGGTTGAGGGCCTAACGGGTAGTCTATTCGACGTGTACCTCAAGCCATATTTCGTGGAAGCGTACCGTCCAGTGCGTAAGGGTGACCATTTCGTCGTCAGAGGTGGTATGAGACAAGTGGAATTCAAGGTTGTCGACGTGGAACCTGAAGAATATGCTGTCGTGGCTCAAGACACCGTGATTCACTCTGAAGGTGAGCCTATCAACCGTGAAGATGAGGAAAACAACATGAATGAGGTTGGCTACGATGACATTGGTGGCTGTCGTAAACAAATGGCTCAGATCCGTGAATTGGTCGAGCTGCCGCTTAGACACCCTCAATTATTCAAGGCTATTGGTATCAAACCTCCCAGAGGTATTCTCATGTACGGTCCTCCTGGTACCGGTAAGACTTTGATGGCTAGAGCTGTTGCCAACGAAACCGGTGCTTTCTTCTTTTTGATCAATGGTCCAGAAGTCATGTCCAAGATGGCAGGTGAGTCCGAATCGAACTTGAGGAAAGCCTTCGAGGAGGCCGAGAAAAACGCCCCTGCCATTATTTTCATCGACGAGATAGACTCGATCGCCCCTAAGCGTGACAAGACCAACGGTGAGGTTGAAAGAAGAGTTGTCTCTCAATTGTTGACTTTGATGGACGGTATGAAGGCCAGATCCAATGTTGTGGTCATTGCTGCCACCAACAGGCCTAACTCCATCGATCCAGCTTTGAGAAGATTCGGCAGATTCGACCGTGAAGTGGATATCGGTATTCCAGACGCTACTGGTAGATTGGAAGTTCTACGTATTCACACCAAGAACATGAAGTTGGCCGACGACGTGGATCTTGAAACCCTCGCTGCCGAGACGCACGGTTACGTTGGTGCCGATATTGCTTCGCTATGCTCAGAAGCCGCTATGCAACAAATTCGTGAGAAGATGGATATGATCGATCTAGATGAAGACGAGATCGCTGCCGAAGTACTAGACTCTTTGGGAGTCACGATGGAGAATTTCAAATTCTCGCTTGGCAACTCCAATCCATCTGCATTGCGTGAAACTGTTGTCGAAAGTGTCAACGTTACTTGGGAAGATATTGGTGGCTTGGACGAAATCAAGCAGGAGCTTAAGGAAACCGTCGAGTACCCTGTGCTGCACCCAGATCAATACGCCAAGTTTGGTTTGGCTCCTTCTAAAGGTGTCTTGTTCTTCGGTCCACCTGGTACCGGTAAGACTTTACTAGCCAAAGCTGTTGCAACGGAGGTGTCTGCCAACTTTATTTCTGTCAAGGGTCCTGAACTTTTGAGTATGTGGTATGGTGAGTCGGAGTCGAACATTCGGGACATTTTTGATAAAGCCAGAGCCGCTGCCCCAACAGTGGTTTTCTTGGATGAATTGGACTCCATTGCCAAAGCTAGAGGTGGTTCTGTGGGCGATGCTGGTGGTGCTTCCGACAGGGTTGTCAACCAACTGCTGACGGAAATGGATGGTATGAATGCAAAGAAGAATGTCTTTGTTATCGGTGCCACCAACAGACCAGATCAGATCGATCCTGCAATTTTGAGACCGGGCAGACTCGATCAGCTAATATACGTCCCTCTACCTGACGAAATGGCCAGACTATCGATTCTAAATGCTCAGCTCAGAAAGACTCCACTCGAACCAGGTCTGGAGTTGAGCACAATCGCAAAGGCTACACAAGGCTTCTCGGGTGCTGATTTGTCGTACATCGTTCAAAGAGCCGCCAAGTTTGCCATCAAGGATTCTATTGAAGCTCAAAGAAGCGCAGCTGCAGAACAGCAAAGCAAGGTTAAGGCCGAAGACGTCGAAATGGGTGACGAAACAACCGCACCAGCTGCTGAAGCAGAAATCGAAGACACAGTACCATACATCACTAGAGAACACTTTTCTGAGGCCATGAAAACCGCCAAACGCTCTGTGTCTGATGCCGAACTACGCCGTTACGAAGCCTACTCTCAACAAATGAAATCGTCGAGAGGCCAGTACACGAACTTCAACTTTGGAGATGCTCCAAGCACAACCCAACCTGCAGGAACTTCCGAAAACTCTGGCGCTGCTTTCGGCGAGGGTGCTGAAGATGATGACGACTTGTATAGTTGAAGACGAGGGCCAAGCAGATTGGATTAATCAATTGTTAACGAAATAAATAGCCAAGAGAGTACCAATTTAAGAATGAAGGAGGTTGGATTGAAAATATGATTGTTACATGTGTAAATTAACTCTAATGTATGTGTGATCCCGTAACTCCGTAAGCGAGCGAGAATGAATGGCCTCGCTTTGTCTCGATAAACGTTCGAACTCTGCCAGCGAGCTTCGAATCGAACAACGAGACTAATGCAAATTCGTCATTATCTCATAACGGATGCCCATCGCGATCTTGATCCAAATTGTCTTGAATCAGTACTATGTTCAGTTGGCGTAGGCAAGCCAGTCTTTATGATTATAGGCCTTGCCAGACGGCTCTTTTCATTTTGAGAAGCAGCTTGTCTCGAAGGGCTTTTTGAGTCATTCGGGCTGCCAATAGCTAGTTGACGTAGCTGTGTAGATCTAGAAGATGAGATCAAAGGTGTTTTTCTGGATTCTCTCGAATCCTTTGTAGAGATTGTCGACATCGTGGCACTCGATACCAATGATGGAAGCGACATGCTGCTGGAAGATCGTGTATCCATTTCTGCAGTGTAATGGCCCGATTTCGACTGCTGTAAAGTAGGCAGATTGAAATACAGCATCTCTTGACGTTTTGTGGAAATCTGGGTTTTGATCGGTGCCAAAAGCGGCGCAAGACAAGTTATGAGCTCTGCTGTTGTGAATCTCAGGTTCCAATCGAAATATTCCAGCAATTCACGCTCCAAAGTGTTGACTTCTCGAGTGCTCAAAAGTCCATTTGTATAAGAGGCCCAGTGACGATTCAATGGACTGGAGTCGTTTAGGTTCTTGGCTGCCACTATCAGACACCCCAGGAAAATGCGATGCTGTGTTGTCTCTATTCCATGAACATTGAAAGGCATTATAGCTCTGAGTTTGCTCAAATATACTGCTGTGGACATCAATGTTGGCACTTGCGCATTGGATTGAGTCACCAAACCCTGAATGAATCCTGCAAGGGAAATGACCGGTTTAGCTTGCTTGCTTGAATCCTGTACTTTGACGCTAACGACAGAATGTGTGGTAGACTCCAAAAATTCCACCATTTCTGGAGATACTCTTTTCCGGTTGAATTGCAGAAGCGCTTCGTAATCTGACATCCTGGGCGGTAGTAAAGCAGCTTCTTTTCTGTTGTTTTTGGATTTGAACAAAAAGTGGATGGAATTTGTTGTTCTGATTTACTGTCGTCTCTACCCAGAGGTGACAGTTATTTTCAAAAGAGCCAAAAAATCTCAAGCTACAAGTTCAAGAGTTGTGAAACTATATACTCTTCAAATGGCGTTTACATTTTATTCGAACCTATCCATTCCGAATACTGTACCAGTGATCCAGATCTACCAGCAAAGGTCCAATTTTCCTTCCAATTTTCGCGGAACCCAGCCAAAATTTGCAGAAAGATGTGTCCTACAATTCAAGCATTCTACGATCGACATTTTCGCGATTTCAGCATTGTTCAGCGCAGCTCTTCCTTGCCGAAGTCTGCGTCTTCCACCAAAAAACTGGATAATCTGAGCTTTTCCTGCATTTTTGCTTAATTTCGCGGTCGTGAAGAGCCAGCCATTCCTAAAAGGTAAAAAACCGAAGCGAAAACAAAGGACATGCTGGAAGGTGGGTGAATAGTTGGCAAAATGGCCAGCAACGAAGGCTGCGCGAATTGGAAATTGTCAGAGATCCAGAGCGGTCGCCAGTGCGACCAGACAGCGTCTTTTCATTTATTCAGCTTTATCCAGTATTTTAAATTTTGTCATTTTTGACTAGAGTTTTCGAGTAGAGAATCGACCAAATGGCGAGAAGAAAGTATGTGATTTTAGAAAAGATGGCCCGGAGGGTAAAAGTTAAAACCAGACATCTGGTCGAGACCGGAGAGTGTTTTGGGAATTGACAATGTGGATCTAAGTTAAATATAACATCATTCTTAGGTGGAATAAAAAATTTCAATTCACTAACGGGTACGTCGATGGGTAGATATACTAGGGAATCGGGCTCGAGCTCTATTCGATCATTCGACGGAAAAAGAGTTCAATCATCGTCAGCTTCAAAGTTGGCTCATCGGGGAAAACCTTCGGCACAGAATATCAAGCCATATTTTTCGCGTAGCAACAGATCACTTTAAACGGATGTGACGGCAGCCATAGCACGTTCATCTGGATAGTAGTAAAAAGCCAGAGCGATCAAGATGTACATGGCAATGGACATGATTCCCTCCAAATAGTTGGACAACCCGTCCAAGATCAAGTAGTTGGACAGGAACACGGCAATGAACAAGGTGGCGGTTTCAAAAGTGGAAAAGTTTAGCGTCATTGGAACGCCAATAACCCAGCCAACCAGCACCATGAAGGGCGTCACGAAGAGCGCAATTTGCAACGACGAGCCAATAGCCACGCTCAGGGCAAGGTCCATCTTATTCTTAGTAGCCACAATCACAGAAGTGACATGCTCGGCTGCGTTGCCCACAATGGGGATGACGATCAAACCGATAAAAGTTTTAGATAGACCGGATGTTTCCACAACATGGTCAATACTGCCAACTAGGAAATCCGCACAGACAGAAACAAGCACGGTGGTAATTAGCAAAAAGGTCACGGAAGACTTCACGGACAATGTTGCACGGTTTGGGTGTTGCTCCAAAACCTCTTCCGTTTCATCTTCTTGCTGTTCAAAAAGGTTGTGGTGGGTTCCTAGCTGGAAAATCAAGAAACACACGTAGACAATAAGCAACACAATAGAAGTCGATCTGGAAAGACTCAAAATCTTGCTGTTGATCAACAAATCTTGTTTCTTGTTGTCATCTGGTAACGACGCACGGAAAGCTGCAGGAATCAAGAGCGAAGCACACGAGATCGCCAAGAGCGAAGACATGGTTTGAGCTGCCGTCTGATTGAAGTTTTGCTCCACTCTGTTGTAACCGCCTGCCAAAAAGCAGAATCCAAGCACCAACAGTAAATTGGACAAAATGCTACCAAGCATGGAAGCCTGGACAATAGTAATTTGGTTATTGTAAAGAGCAATGACGGACACAATGAGCTCAACGGCATTGCCAAGTGTAGCATTCAAAAGACCTCCTAGCGTAGAACCGGCCTTGTCAGCAAGTTCCTCCGTGGCAAAAGCCAGGATTGCAGCCAAGGGAATAATCGCCACGAAATTAAGGATGAACGTCCATGTTACCGATAATTTTGCAAATCCGAACAACAAGCCCAGGGGTACGAAAACAATCAGAAAATTGACAGGAGACGATTTCAATATGATTAGAGTGTCGCGAGTGATTGACTGCACTAGAGAGAAACTCTTGGACCTTGTGTTTTGAGTCAACAAAGGCGAGCTAGAGTCCATGTTGAATGGTATTTATTTCTTGGCTTTTTGAGTGAAAAGAGAGTTCTTTGATACTTTAGAAAGAACTTCCAAGGTCGCACTAACTTGTGCTGAAGAGATGAACGGTCACCGATGGCTCTGAGATTCTTCTAAGAGCAGCAAAACACTTGTTTGAACAAATCTCATCCAAACTGGAGTAAGTGGTTTCTTGGCCGATGCGGTTCGTCGTTGTCATTCTAATATTAATTGAGGGTCCTGTGCTGAAAAAAGACGCACACGTGACCAGCCAAATCCATCGATATTCAAAACCGTCTATAAGGGCATCGGGCTCTAGCGGTATCTGAACCAGTTCAATCATCAACGCGATGCTTCAGAGCGTCCCAGGAATAGCTATGAAGTACTCGTGTGTTTTCTGTCATGAACGCCTTCTTCCCGTAAATGGGTTCGTTCGAGTTTGATATTTGACGTTTGCAGTAACTGAAAATTCAAATCAACACCGGGACAATGCAGAGTATGTCAACGCCATCTGGCGATTTTTAGCACAATATTGTTCAAAAGATGACTTTCCACTTCTTTCATGCCACATTACTCTTCAGCATCAAATTACCAAGTCTGCTTTACTGTTTAATGGTGGCGACACAGCCCAGTGAAAAAGCCAGGATTGACCATATGGTGAAGCCTAGAATATGGAAGCTGTGATGGCTAGAAAGAGAACGCCACGAAGACATTCCTTTGCGGAAAACGCGCAAAATGAAAGGCTCGTTATCTTCAGCAGAGGCCGCCAAGTCTTGCGTGTAGATGGAGTTCATCACAAAAAGCTGATCCGAGGAAATATACTGCAAGCTTTCCGGCCGCGAGGTATGGATGTGCAAGCTCGAAGAGCTGTTGGCCTTGTGCAGAGGGTTGAGTAATTCAGCGCCTGCGTCGTTCCAGATGAAAAGAAAAACACTCGTCATGAAACTCCACATTGAGAGAGGCCACACCACACTTAGCATAAAAAAACCAAATGTACGAGAGCCAAAAAACTTCACTGCTGGCGTGAAAAGCCGATCGTGGCCCGGCACGTAGATGAAGTAGATGGAGATAATAAAGGAATGCCCCACTATTAGTAGGATGCTATCAATCACCAGCAGGTTGAATAGTAAAAGTTTCTTGAAAAAGCTTCTTTTGGATGATATTTCCGGGAAGTATGTGACGGTACCGTTGAGCAGCGAAGGATGTCTGTCCCGCGATATGGCGTGAGTGCCAGGGCTATGTTCTGGATCTCTCAAAAGTGACATAGAACTATCGTTGAAGTCCACAAAAAAAGTGTCCGAGGAAGCGTCTCCTGCGGTGCTCGGAGCCAAATTCTGGCGTTCGTGTGAATATACGTTTTCGGATATAAGCGAGGACTGGCGTTTCACATCTATGCATTTTGACAGGGTGATGTTTTTGCGGGCAATTTCACCTTCTTCTTGCAGCATCTGAGGTTCCAGTTGACGCCTGGAGGAGCCAGGCATCGGTACTTCTTCATATCTTTGAGCATTTTGAACTAGACACAGCAGAATTTCGCATAACGACCATGATACTCCAAAAATTGCAGATTGTTTCGGTATGATGTGCCAAACCGTGTCATCGAGTGTCCCCTTAGTTCTTGCATCTTGTAGTTGTGGGTAAGAAAGTGAAAAGACAATCAGTAGGCTGAACCAGTCATTAAGCGGAAAGTCCAAAAACAGATTCACCAGAATTGCTCGCGTATTTAAGCCCAGTAAGAACTCTCGAAGGAAGGATAGCGCCAAGGGAGAAAAGAATCCGAGTAACGATGTTCTGAAGTAATCTTGGCCGTTGGGTTTGAACATGGTGTTTTCATCATATCCAGACACAAGCAGTTGTGTAAGACTATACGCCAGCGTAAAGAGCCCTAAAAAGTTCAAAAAAAGTACGATTTTGATCCAAAGTTTGCTGGAGCACACTATCGGCATGAAATAAGGAGCCACATAGCCGATCCGGGACATGCTATTGAGATCGGTTCCTGGATAGCCGGTTACGTTTGGGATATAATCGATTTGAAGCACTTTACTGAATGGTGGATTTGTACTTGAGAAGCGATTAGTTGAAGATCACGTGCTGGGGACATGAGCTCTGTTAATGGAAGACGACACGAAAATGAAATGTGGCGCTTTCTAAACTTCCATAATGTGTTAGTTATTGCCTCGTTGTATTAGTTCCTCACTCATAATTACATCTAGTCAATTTCTTTCTAGAGAACTCATGGGTTTTTTTTCGTGTTTGCACAGTAAAGATTACTGGACTAAATTGTCTAATTAATACAATAGGGTTATTTTCCGAAATTTGGAACTGGCCAGAAGCTTGCATGAATGTTTTGGTGACATAATGTTTGGATCTTGCGCTAGTGTCATATTTTCGGTGTGAAACGATGACACTTTTTGATGATCACTTTGTACTAACATGACACCTCCGGGCATGGTGTTAGTGCAAGGACTAAAGATCGTGGTTTGGGAAGGCTTTGAGTAGGCTTCATCTGACTAGAATGATTCTTTCAGCATAAACAGGAAATTCTCAGATCATGGCGCTAATTTTCATTTTCAACGGTGACAGTCGTGGTAATTTACATATTTTAACATCATGTTAGCTGCAACTTGACGTTCCGACAAGACTTTAGAGACCTCAGACAAATCAACCACATCACTACACTCTATGAAAAAATGTCTATGGAAATGTTGGAAATCAGATCATAATTGTTTTTCAGGAACTTCAATCGGTGAGGTCGGCAAATCAGTTCCATTGAAATAAAATGACGCCAAGCAGATTATAGTGACCGGCACGTCCACTAAGCGAATATCCAATTCACCCTACATCCTTCTCATGTGAAGCTTTTTACGCACCCATTGTGTGTCACCACAACTTTAAGTTAAAAACCGTCCAATTATTTAAATACATGTCAAGGCCACTTTCGTAGCCAGGCAGAAGGTAGCGAATACCACCCTACCTTGAGAAAACAAACACCCGTAAAAAGAAGCCCAGTTGCGTCACAAGAAAGTGGGTGCTCCCTGTCAAGTGACGCCCTATTATTTTCATGACCTTTCCAAATGAAATACCCTAACAAAATTACTAGCTGCTGGGTTATCGCTAGTTCTTCGCATGCGCGGGTGTGACTTGTGGTTTTCCACAAGCCTCAAACGCGATGGATTTGAGATGGAATGCGATTTCTGTTTTTTAAAAATCGAAGATTTTGCTGGCTTTGTTGTTTTCGCCGATTCCGTTAAACCGGATGGTGAGCCAGGTCTGGATGAAACTTCCGGTGTCTGGCGTACTTCATTTTGACACCTGTTGCGGAAAAACTCCACTTCTTTTTTAATTATGCTATTTTCCACAGCTAGTCTCGAGTCCCACGCAGATCGATTTTCCAACTGCGACAGTTGTGCTTGTAATGACCAATGTGAAATAGCAGTCAGTGCTTGGTTGAGTAAGGATACCAAATTTGCTATATCGGCAGACGGTTCATGATTCCGATTTCTCAGTTCTTTCATTGTGTCCAAAATGGTGCTTTCTAGTTGCCTGGTTTGCTTGAGCGATGGCGATGCTTCCAAAGATGACTCAACTGCCCAATTTGAAGCGTTCATCACATCTGGCGATTCCGGTAAATGCTGACTAGAACGCGAGCTTTGTAGTGCACCATTATGTGCGCTGATCTTCATTCTGACCATTTTTCGATTTCCACTCGTTATGTCAGAATTATGATGTTAGTAGAAGTTATGGGAATGAGCAGAAGAGGGCCGCAAACTGGAGCCTAGTCTCTACTCAGCGGCTATAAAGTAGCAATACAAGCTAGTGGGTCCGAAGATCGCGACGTTGAGCGGGATCGGATATCGGTAAATCGGGCTTTTCGAAAATGTCACCTTATTAATGTGTCAGCGGTGATTGCAGAGGGTATAGAAGAACGTTGCAGTTAACAGTAAAGATCAGGTCGTGTTTGAGATATAATTCATATGTATAGCAAGCACAGATCACTTGTGATCCTTAAGGAAGGTTAGAATTGGCTAGATAGTCGTGTTTAGTCCTAGTGAATCGATTTTAATGCTCAGAATTTTGTAATGATCTATCATTACAATATTGTAGAAGTAATAAGAATGAAGTAAATAGAATAAACTTCAACAATCTAGGTAGTTTTAAGGATTGGGCTCTGGACTTCTACATAATGTGTAGGTATCCAACCACTAATGTCGAACCAGGATCTCTGTTTGCGAACCGCTAAGTACATCGCTTGTTCAGTCGATCGATCGGTGACACCATAGTACGTAATGACCTAACCAGTTCATGACTTTTCAATCTCAGTCTAAGTCTACGCACCACCCGAAGTTTGAGATGTTTTGTAGCTTTGTAGTTGAACTCAATTGCTATACATCGGCAAATGCTCAATAATATGTGCTAGCGAAACTTCGTATTATACTTATACAGATTTAAGTAATTTCGTTTAGTCGAACAAACCGAAACCCATGTCGTCGTCGGATTCTTCAGCAGCTTCCTCTGGAGCATCTTCTTCAGCAGCAGCTTCACCACCGGCAGCAGCGGCGGAAGCACCACCAGCAGCAGCAGGACCGGAGCCAGCAGCGTGGAAACCAGATAGGATTTCCTTGATGTCCTTGCCCTCCAAGGCCTTGGCGAAAGTTTCAGCCCAGATCTGGTAAATATTGTTAGTATAGTGTTCATTTTGAGCTTTGATAAAAAAGAAGCTAGAGCAGAATCGAAAACACGAGGTAGGTGGTGATAGGCAGAGATTGAGGGCTTTGGATACCTCAGTTGAGACTATCCAAACAATGTTCCAAGGAGTCCAAATTCCACAGAACAAAGCCACTTTCACTCACTGTTCGAGCCCTACGTATTTCCATTCTGTCTCTTGCTCTTTTTATTCAGCATCAATGAGGACATACGTTGTCAACGGAGGCACCAGCAGCCTTGGTCAAAGTGGTCAAGCTGTCGGCGGTGATGTCCAAACCGGCATCAGCCAAGATCAAAGTAGCGAAAGAGATAACAGCGTCAGACATTGCAGCAATATTGATGATTGAAGTTCAGAAATCTTTATGAGAAGTTCATGTATGTAGTAGTGAGAGGACTAGATTTCTTTCCAGTGAAAAATTATCGACGTCGGAGAGTGTGAAAGAGTTCAACTCGTCGCTGGTGATATCAACATTAGGAAAAGCTCTCTCGTACATAGTTATATTAATTGGACTCCGGGTAAGTCTAAAAAGGGTATTTCTTCTCTCACGTGACAAAATCTTAGGTTTGTGAAAGGGTTTTAAATATATCATTGATGTGAAAGCTGATCAAGGTACTAATGAGAGCTCTCATATTTCTTTGATTGCTTAGCAAATTGCTCAAAGTGGCAAGCACGTAAGCCCATATTAAAAATTTGTCACTGCACACGAGCACAGAGGCTGACTTTTCCACAGATTTCACTGTGACCGCGACGTTTGCCAGTTCAGTTTCAGTTTACGATGCTGAAGAGAGGATGCATTTGCCACGCAGCTTGATTTTTAGTGTGTGGGATTAGACATGCCCTCTTCTACTTTTGATTTCGTCCCCTGGCCGGCTTACTTTGCTTTGTCACTTTGTCATTTATCTGGCACCGGTGATCTATTAACATCAGAAACACCCACAAATAATGCGACGAGCTTCACGACGGAAGCTATTAAAAGGCACTAGAAAAACAGTACACCATGGTACGAACCACCAAGGCTATTGTCACGCTTACTACTGTCGTTGCAAAACATTGATGAAATGCACAGGGTCACGTGATCTCGCTTTCCGGACCATTACACAGCCAGTTTCAGTATTCTCAAGCCATCACTGTCTGCTTTGTGCGCTGCTCTCAGTACCGCTCACTTCAAATTACATTGGTTTATCTCTTTCACTATCCCTCTCTTCTAAACCATCTCATGGGTTTTAAAGCCTGTCGCTAATCAATTAAATTACAACACTCTTCAGAATATCAATCACCTCTGCCAAAAGATCCACACTTTGACCGCTAAAAAGCACGCTAAAAGGCTCCAATGACCGAAGAAGCTCAGAGCGAAGTTCCCAGGGATGTAAGGCTGCTTCATCTGCTGCTGGCTTCTCAGGCGATACAGCAATACGAGGACCAGGTGCCGCTGCAACTGATGGACTTTGCACATCGTTACACTCGCGGTGTACTCAAGGATGCAATGGTTTACGGAGACTACGCTTCAAACGACACCAACACTGAGCTGTCTGTGGAAGACGTGAGACTTGCCATTGCAGCCAGAACTCACTATCAATTCAAGCCCACAGCTCCAAAAGAGCTGCTTTTGCAGCTGGCAGCAGAGCGCAATAAGAAACCGCTACCGCAAGTGGTTAACATGTGGGGTACACGATTGCCACCGGAAAAGTACTGTTTGACAAGTAAAGAATGGCGTTTGGATGAAGAGGTTGATGAAAATGGAAACAAAGTAGGCTCCTAAGGCCAAAAGATTAGAGAATCGATATTTTATGCGGCTTGGAGTGTATGATCGTCGTGAAATGGCAACAGGCTTGGCCTCTGAAGCTTGGATTCTCAACACCGTTTCCCAAATTACACACTTCCCACGCTCTGAGCGACAGATGTTGTATCTTCACATCAGCTATCGTCTAACTGAAGGCTTTTTCAAAAATGCGAATTGAAACGAGTTTTCGACCCTAAAAATCGGTCAGAATCTCCAGCAAACAACACCGGGATACACAATCCACTATTAAGGATGTCAAACCGAAAGTGGTGAAGATGATAGCGCTACATCGAGTTAAGATCGCTAAATCCGTATATCAGTATATACTACCTGATTATATAGGCATCTCCTAATTAAGGTGAAAAGTACTAGTTAGTTTCGAGACAGATACTCACAACAACGATTGATAGCGCTTGGCAAACCGATTTGTGAGCCAATTCAAGTCGAGCATGCTATCTCAGGCTTCGATTCCGGAGTATGTTTTTTCTCGTCGTCTTTCTCTCTCAAGATTTTGCCATTGAAATCATTGTTTTCGATGATACTAACTTTCGATACAAAGGGTTCAAGAAGACGCCATTGGAAATGCCATTGAGGAGCGTAAGGCCAAATTCTTTCAATTCCAAAACTTGGGTCCACCAGATCTGATTTCGCTGGTTAAATATGCGCCTTCTTCAAATTCCAACTCGCAGAGTACCAAAAATCGGTCTATGCAGCTAGAACCCAGCTCCTCGAACATAAATGCTCAAGATCTGCATTCCCATGACAAACTAAAAGGCGAATTGGGCACTTTTCTGTACAGCGTGGGTGTCGATACGTCAGACCCCACGTCTATCGCTGTCTATTTGAAAAATTTGGCCGATTTGATATCGGAGAAACCTCAGAACTGGTTTGGAAAGCAAAAGCATTATAAAGTAGCACGAGTCACTTATGCTACCTGGAATGCATTCAGAAAATGTGACGTGGAGGTCGTAGTGCACATCCCAGGCGCAGTCCAGTCCTACATTTTAGATACTCGTGGCGAAGTTTTGCAAGTTCCGCAAGCTGAGCGGGAAATTTTGTGGACAGAAACGTTTGTTTGCGGCGTTGTACGCGCAATCACTGTTATGACCGATAATGTGGAGGAAGGTGAAGTGAACAATGTCGTTGAAACGCGTATTTTGAATCCATTGACTTCCGGCGAACTCGGAGAAGTCTCAGATCGTTTTATCGATGCGTTCCCATTGGTATATTCCCAGGGCCAAAATCTAGGTGCTCCCTGCAACGTGGCTACTTCATCACGCACCAATAACTACTTGTGTGAAACTCTACTGCATGTCACCAGACTAACACAGAATTTTGATAGATGTCGAAAGATGCTTACTGGCTTGCTTGAAAAACATCCGGAATGTGTGGTTCTACTCGTGAGGCTATTATTTGATGCTGATCTTAAAATTGATGCAATCTCTTTACTGCACGAAGAGTTTTCGAAACAAAGATCCTCGCTCACCAACTACCGCTCAGAGCTTCTTTGCGTCCAGGCTCAATTTCTGTTGGAGCAGCAAAAAGACTTCAGTGCTGCCCAAATGCTGGCCCAGGCCGCCGTAGACTGCGCGCCAAGCGAGTTCAAACCTTGGCATCTTTTGGTAAGATCGTACATCGGTTTGAATGATATCGAGAATGCGCTACTGGCATTAAATGGATGCCCCGTAACGCCTCACAAAGAAAAGTACACTTTCAAGCGAGTCGTGAGTTTGGGGCAAGACTCGCCTAATTTGCATTTGCCCCTTCCGATAGATGTAATCTTAGAGGACGTGACGAGTCTCAGCTCCACAGATGTTGCCAATGAGCATAAGGCTTTGAGCTCATCACTGCTCAATCTCCCCGCTGCAACACTCAAGGCGAATGCTAAGACAAGATACAAATATCTCACAGAGATTGCGTTAAAGACAGGATGGGAAGCTCTTTTGAAATACAGATCAAAGCTCTTCGTAATGGAAGAAGAATACCAGGTGACCTCCACGCCTCCTCCAGATTCGGGATCGACCGGCTCCCCCGATCTGATTCGCGGCAAAAGATTGTGCGAAAGGTGGCTGGACAGTCTGTTTATGGTGCTTTACGAAGATCTCAAGGCGTATACTTTATGGCAAGCGGAACAGCTGCATTTTGAAGCTCAAAACACGAGATATCAGAAATCTACCGCAGAATGGGAATTGTTGGGTCTCTGTGCACTGCGTTTGGGCCACACTGATGAGGCTGCTCGGGCGTTCCGCTATGGCCTTTCTCAACGTTTTTCTGCCGAGTCTTCGAGACGCATGCTGCAACTTTACCTTCTTGACCGGGAAAGAGTGAAAGAAGACAGAAGCTCTTCTTCTTCGCAAACAATGACCACTATATTGGACATAGACAACAAACTGATTGATCTGTGCGTCAAATTGTGCTGTTGGAACCACCGCTGGTACTGCGAATTCTCTGTTTTGCAACTTGACGTCCTCTCGCACGTTGTACAAGACATCGGCGTAACCAAGCTATCCAACGAAATTCGAGCCCGCTTTCCAGAAACTGTTGTACAGCTTGTCGAAGACAACCTACTTGATTACATCGCCAATTACACTCATGGTAGTTACGATAAGTGACTCTTTTACTATTCCCTAACGACACTGTATAACAATCGCAGTACGAAGCAAGTCACCGAAGGAATTACCGTACATATAATCACAATACCAATCACATACTATTCACCTTCACACTTCTGCCCTTCTGCTGTCAAAACCAACTCTTTAAGATTATCTTTTCTGTCATGTACTCTGTCCTCTCTTCACCATCTACTTGGTCCTCTATCCCTTCCTCTATCCCTTCCTCTATCCCTTCCTCTATCCCTTCCTCTATTCATTCCTCTATCCCTCCCTCTAGTCCAGTTCATCTAAATTTCGATATTTTAAAAGCCTACTTTAATTATAGAAATTATAGAAATCCGAACTGCTCGGTTTATCAACTCTTTCTCAAACAAAACTCATCAAGACCCTTAGCCTTCATTAGCTATCTGAAGCGTTGTTTTACACTTTGTTTTACCCGTCAAATTACCTATGGGGATCGAAACTGCCCTTGGCTGGGCTTCTCAGGCTATTATCTGGTTTTTGGTAGTCTTTCCAGTAAGAGCTATAGATCTGGACACATCGTCTAAGGATTCGATATGTGCGGCTACTACGCTTATTCAAGAAGGTATTATGGACTACTATGCTGGCACGCAGGTTGGCGGCAGTGTGGGGATGTTCCAAGCACCATATTATTGGTGGGAAGCCGGTGAGGTCTTCGGAGGCATGCTAGAAAACTGGTACTTATGTGAGAACAACAAATACGAACAAACGCTCTATAACGCCATGCTTGCCCAGGCTGGTCCTGACTACGATTATATGCCACAAAATCAGTCGATGGTTGAGGGTAACGATGATCAAGGTGTTTGGGGGTTAACAGTGATGGGCGCGGTAGAAAGGAACTTTACCAATCCGCACGACAAAAATGCCCCTGGATGGCTGGCAATGGTGCAGGGCGTTTTCAACACCATGTACTCGCGTTGGGATGATCAACATTGCGGAGGAGGTGTCAGATGGCAGATTTTCACTTGGAACTCTGGTTACAACTACAAAAACACTGTTTCCAATGCATGTATGTTCCAATTGGCTGCAAGATTGGGCCGCTACACTGGTAACCAGACTTATATCGACGTTGCTGAGAAAATTTTCGACTGGCTGGTCGATGTTGGGTATGTGGTCTTAAAAGACAATGCAAACGTCTACGATGGTGCAAACATCGATGATAACTGCACAGATATCACCAAATTGGAATGGAGTTATAACCAAGGAATTGTTCTAGGAGGCTTAGCATACATGTACAATGCTACAAATGGGTCATCTACATGGGAAACCAGATTATCTCAGGTCTTGGGCGGATCAACAACATTTTTCTTCAGAAACAAAATCATGTATGAAATGACATGCCAAGATTCCGGCAGCTGTAACAATGACCAAAGGTCATTTAAGAGTATTTTCTCGCGAATGCTATCTCTAACAAGTGTCCTGGCCCCATCAACCGCCGAAACGATTAATCCGCTAATGGAGGCGTCAGCCGAAGCTGCTGCAAAATCCTGCACAGGAGGCTCAGATGGCCACACTTGCGGCCTGAATTGGGAGAAAGGTTCATGGGATAATGTTTATGGCCTTGGGGAGCAAGCAAGTGCTTTAGAAGTCATGCAGAGTTTATTGTACGCACAGCGTCCAGCACCTTTCACCGGCGAAAATGGCGGAAGTTCTGTGGGCGACGCCAATGCTGGTCTCAACAAATCGACCACAACAGTATTGCATAGTAATTTGAAGATTACTCATAAGGACAAAGTTGGTGCAGCGATTCTTACTGCAGTAATTATTGCCATATTGGTGGGTGGTTCTATTTGGATGATGTTTTAATTTGGAACACAGCTTCTTTTGTTGTCGGGCTCGTGCTTTTATCTCTGGACGGCTTTTGTTTGCGAGAGTCAAGCTGGCATTGAAGAATGAATGAGAAACTGCGCTCGAAATAAAAAATCATCTTAGAAGATCATATTTTGACCTTCGTCTGGGATTTCAAGATGGACCTCGAAGGATGCTCACTATGAACTCTTGACCCCTTTCGGTTTCCGAGCCAACTTGGAATGTAGAATGTTCAAAGCGGGCATAAGCAATTTGTTTTGGACTGAAGTGATTGAGAGAGGCCTAAGGGTCGAGTTAGAGGCAGAAACAGGTATAAGGTACTGATCAATTTTTATTTCGGCTGCAAGTAAGGGTTGATCAAGCTGATTGACACAGCCTGCTATATCATTCAATGCTGGATCGAATGGAGCTCAATTTGCTGTGACGATATTCTTGGTCAACATTAGAGACATTCTCGGTTGTACGATTCAGGCGTGTGGAGAGTGGCCTTAGCACAGAAGCTTTGGGTTTGAAAACCACTGCTCTACGACTTAGCACAACGTCTAGAAAATAATTCTTGACAAATCTCTATCATTATATTCATATCGATCAAACCTGTATTATCGACATTCGCCTTTCGAAGCACAGAATGTTTCCCAAAAGCTCGTCAATGACAAACGGAATTATGAATTAAGGTCATTGTGGGTTCACCGCGTAGCACCAGAAAGCGTTTTCAGAGAAAAAGTCGACAATAAAAGCGATTGCTTGATACTGTCATTCACTACTTACGGGCGAGCAACGAGCAAGCTATTTCGCATTGCAGGAACCAATGACTACACTATGTCAAAGCCCTAGGTTCCCATGAACGACAGAAATCTTCGGCATAGTGACCATTAAAGGCTTATACAAAGTGATCTATAAGGCAAAACATAAAATATAGCCCAATCACTAAATTCTAGGTATGTCAATCACCGATTTGCAAACAAAGCAAAATAACTCAATGCGTTAAAAGGTTTCGCTCTTCCGGTAAAACAAGCTTCAATATCGGTAGCGTATATATTCTCAGTAAATCGAAACGCTGGGATCTGCAAAAATAGCAGTGGGCCGCGAAAAAAAAAATCGAATATGCACAAGTTGAATCAATCCGACAGAAAATTACAGAATAGTAAAACAACCAAAACGTTGCGATTATTCAGAGTTGGTTGTTGAAGACCTTACGAGCTGTCAGTCGTTTTACATTCAGCTGGTCACTATATCCCATCAAGTCGCAAGAAAAGATCACGTGATTTTTGAACCTCGTTCTTTTTTTGACCTTTTTGAATCACACGAGGGACCCGTCATGTTATGGTCTTTATAAAGCAGCATTCTTTACCCAGCTGTCCTTCTTTAACTTCTTTTATCTCTGACTCATGGTCTGGTTTTGATTATTGAATTTCTGATCTTTACTTATTTCTTCAATGATTCAGATCACATGACTGGTGATAATTCATCATTATCATTATTAGCTAAAAATGCTTTAAATTTTTGAACTTTTAGCGAAGAGAAACCGGTCAAAGCTCATCGACAACCATTCGTTAGCCAACTTTGAGCCCTGCAACGCTGTAAATATTTGGAAAATGCTCCGCAGATGCTTCCATAGCTCTGTGGCGAAAAAAAACGGTGTGAAAACATGGTCGGATTTTTCAAAAAGACCAGCAGCACTTTCAATCGCCAGCTCGAAAGTAAAAGCATATATATTGGAGGGAAGCTTGGAACAGGGCCCTCCATCAATCAAAAGGAGAAGCAATCGGACGAAATACAGCTCACCAGATAATATAGACGAAACTTTCAAGACCTGCTATGAGTTTCTAGAGTCCAGAGCTGCTTCAAAATATGCTGCTCTAGAGCAGGAAACAGACGCCGTCAAGCGTTCGAAATTGGCCGTAGAAGCTGAACAGTACAATCCAGAAGTGCTTTACAATTTCCAGTACAATGACAAACTAGAAAATAACCCTAGCTCGATCGATTACAGCGTGCCCGTGTATAGACATCTGGGTCGCGAGCATTGGGAATCATACGGCCAAATGCTGCTAATGCAAAGATTGGAAACGCTTGCAGTGATTCCCGACACACTGCCAACTCTGGTACCAAAAGCGGAGGTAAGCCTGAGATTTCCATTTTCAACAGGTGTGAACAAATGGGTGGAACCAGGTGAGGTTTTGTCCTCCAATGCTACGAGCTTGCCTCCACAGATCAAAATCCAGGAATACGATGATCTAGACTTGACCAACCAGCTGTACACGGTGCTGGTGGTCAACCCTGACGAGCCGGACATGAAAAACAACTCTTTCAAAACCACTCTTCAGTACGGTTTGGTGAACCTCAAGTTGGGCTACAACAACAACGTTGTTGATGCACGCATGTTCACCAAAGACAACGTTCTTGCGGCCTACCTGCCACCTGTTCCTGAAAAAAATGCCGGGACGCAGAGATTTGCCGTATGGGTATTTAGACAGCAAGGATCTACTCAGGTACCTTTGGACAATAGTTTGAACAGGGACAACTTCGACATACGCCAATTTGTGCACAACCACAAACTACAAGCCGTTGGTGCACATCTGTGGAGGAGTGAATGGGACAACAATGTAAGCAACGTAAGGACCAAGTACGGTATGCCAGAGGGTCGGGTTTTCCACCGCGTGAGGAGAGCTTAGTTGGAGCAATCTTTGGTCGATGTGTTTACGTCTTGTTACGTCTTGTAAATAAAAATAAAATTCATAGGACCTTCTTGCGTATAGAGTCTGCATGTGTACATGAATGTTTATATGCTAAAGAACCCGTCTGTGTAGGAATATAAAGGTAGGTGGTACTGTAAGTTTAAAGGTCATTTTCTCTGCTGTGCTGTGCTGTGCTGTGCTGTGCTCTTTTTACTGCTTCAAGGACTCGACGGCACCAAGAATAACCTTTCCGTAGTCCAAGTTAGGGTCTTCGAGATCCAATTTCTCGCCCGAAGCTTTGGTATCGCTCACCTTTGGAGCGTGCAACTTGGCGTACTCAGCCTTGGCTTGTTCGATAAGTTGCAGCTTCTCAGCGTAGGCTTTCTCCTCCTGTTGCTTGGACGCCTGCGATTTCAATCCCATGTCGGTCTTCAAGCCAACCGCCACACCCAAAAGCACAGCAGAGTATCTCAATACGTTCAAGGATGACATCTTAATTTCTTATGGTTTTGTTTCTATAATTCGCGCTAAAATCGGTCAAAAACGACGCTTAAAAAGAACCAGCCTATACCAAAAACGCGAGAGTTTGATGAAACTTATAATTGAACGTTAAATCCAAGAATAAGATCGCTTTATTGTCCTCAAAAGCACCAGGTTTTGTTCTTGAAGATTGTTCAAACTTTTTGAATTTTAAAGATCTGAAAAATTTCAGTACTCGTAATTTGTATGAGTACAACATCGAAATTTCAATATATTTACTTGACATCTAGTTGGCTAACTTTTAAAGGTCAAAATATCAAGTATATAAAGGCTAAGGAAACAGTAACTCCACGAACGCCTTACAAGGTTCAATTGAGTCTCTGATCTTTGTTTTATCAAGAATTTGTGTATAAATCTGTGTTTGTTCGTGTTTAAACATGTTTTTAGGAGGTAGTAGAGCTGCATTTCGTGGTGTAAACCGCAGTAGAAGTATGTTGACAATTTTGACGATTTTGGTGGTTTTCATAGGTTTGATGCTCGCAGGTGTACTAACGAAGCCTGCAAAAGTACATGAATGGCATTCTCTGTTTGGATCTCGGGGCTTTTTTTCCGGTCCCGGAGGCGGTGCATCGTCATCCCAACATGGCAATGATGGTGGGTCATCGGGGTTCAGTTACAACTACGCAGTTGCATTTCAGGCGAAAGACCGTGTTGATGGAGTCTACGCTGGCCTCACACAATTGGATTCACCCACAGGGGAGGATAACTATTTTGTAGGTGTCAGAAATAGCCACGATCTCTTCGCAGGCGTTGCGGACGGTGTTGGCGGATGGGTCGAACATGGGTTTGATTCCAGTGCAATCAGTCGTGAACTGTGCAGCTCAATGCTTGACATCTCCAAAATGAATAAACCATTTTCTCCCAAGCAGTTGTTGGACTTGGCATACACTAAAATAAAGAATGACGGTAAAGTTCAGGTCGGAGGAACCACGGCAATTGTGGCACATCTCACACCCAGCGGAACGCTGAAAGTAGCCAATCTGGGTGACTCGTGGTGCGGCGTATTCAGAAACACCAAACTGGTATTTCAAACTAGGTTCCAAACCGTTGGGTTTAACGCCCCATACCAATTGGCCATTATTCCACAAGAAATAGTCAAACAAGCCGCCCAAAGAGGGGGTTCCTACATTCAAAACCAGCCCAGCGATGCCGACGAATACAACTTCAAATTGCAGAAAGACGACATAATAGTTTTGGCCACTGACGGTGTTACCGACAACATTGCCACAGGAGACATGGAGTTATTTCTCAGCAACAACGCTGGGAACGGGGATCTGCAACAACTTACACAGAAATTCGTTAATCAAGTGGTCAACCTAAGCAAAGATTCTACGTTTCCTAGCGTTTTCTCTCAGGAGATGTCCAAGTTGTATGGTCGCCCTTATCTCGGAGGAAAAGAAGATGATATTACTGTAGTTGTTATAAAGGCAACCTAAAAAAGAGAGATTCCAAAATGGTCAGTGCATAGACGGTGAGCATGATTTATAGTACTGCTTGCATCACGTTGACTAGAATATCTGTTAAGCAATACCTGCTTACTCGAATTTCTGGCTCAAGACAATGTTTTTGATCTTTTCTCGCTCTTCCTTCAGCTTCCTTTCCTCTTCCAGCACTCCTGAAACGAACGTGACATTTCTGGGAAGCTCCAAAGTTCGAGCTTGGGTTTTTTTTCCAGACTTGCTAAGGAACGTAAATGCCACTTTTTTGGATTTTGAATCCTGGCTTTCATTAAGTGTCGCAGGGGCAGGTATTTTTCCTGTCTCTGCACCCGTGCTATAGCCTGAGGATATCATGGGGATATTACTTGACGAGATTTTCTCATTCCGACGGCTTTCCAAAGATTCTTGGACTAACTGCTGAAATTGTCTATCGAGTTCTTCCTCGGCCTTTATCTCTTCTGCGGACCTCAGCTTCGATATATGAGCTTCTTGCATACGTTTCCGTTCCAGTTCATCATCAGAGGCATCGTCGTCTTCGTCTGCGCGATGGCCGTCATCTGAGTCGTCACTGCTACTGCCTGTCTCGTCACTTGATTCATTGGAAATGCTATCATTGTTCTCAGCGTTTTCGTACTCACTCTCGATTTCCTTATCGTCATCATCTTCATATATTTCATAATCATCGTCATCCTCGTCATCGTCTAAATCCTCGTCAACATGCCTTCCGTATGCTTCGCTATTTTGCAACGTTGCGAAATACTCCGATAGGTATTTACCACTGTCAGCCACGTTTTTGCACCTTTCAAACTGCGAATTACTTGTGAACCTATCAAAAACCCTGGAAACTTTGACTTCGACGTCCATAGGTAACGGTTGCTCCTTGTTGAGTGTGTAAAATTCGAAAAAGCGTAAAAAGACAAAAAGCTTTTCCAGCTTACTGGAGGACAACTCGTTTATACTGAGCAATGTTGTGGTTACCAAATTGATCCGGAAGTAACTATTTGGTAAGTCATACTCATTATTGAAAACCGGAAGATTTCCTTCTCGTGTGCTGCCAAATAAAAGGACCTTGAATAAAATGTCCAGGACTACCTCAATCTTGAGAAGGCTATTGTTGTACAGTGACGACACGTACCTCATTTGAGCAATCCTTACCATGCTTAATGAAAAGTCGTTTATCTCCAGTCCCCTCTCTATGCCTTCCACTACACCGTCTATGACTTGGACGACAAAATTCCGATGATGAGGGAACAAGCCTTTGAGTACGGTTGCAAGCACATCCAGCGACTGATAGCTTAATTTTTCAGGTTTAGAAAATAAAGACACCATCGTTTTGTAGATACTCTTGTCCTTCCAGTCAGCACGCCGTATTAACTTCACTAACCTCTCTGGTGGTAACGAATGGAGCTCCTTGCGCAGTAGGATACGATAATACTTTTGCTCCGCGGACAGCTCTCTGGACGCCGAGTTGAGTTTCTTCAAAGATGGTGGGTAAATCAAGACTAAAAGGTTGTCTAGAGCACATTTATTGCTTACTGTCAAATCGTGCTCTTTTCTCTTTTGCTGGATTAAGTCAATCATTTTCTCCATCTGTGTTTTGTATTGTGGACTGTTTATGAGAAACTTGCCGAAGTTCTCAAAGAGAACGGTCAAAATTTCGATATTGTTCGGTATCTGGATATTCATTGTCAAGGTTCTGATCTTGTGGAAGATTAAGTAAGAAGGAACGAGCCTGAACTTGACCATTTCACTGAAAAATATGATATTTTTAACGTTGATTTTAGTAGACCATAGCTGACTTCTGAAACCATTGTCCAAATATTGAATAAGTTCATCTCTAACGTCCGACAAGTTTTCGGAATTAGACGCAACAAAACGAGCATATATTTTGAGCTTACTCCAATCCAGAGTTTCGATGAAAAACTTCAATAGTCTCTTTCTCGTCGCCTTTTTATTAAGTGCGTCGGTCCAAAACCTCGAGGATAATTCATCAATTGCTTCCTTTGTATCTGCCATCTCTAGGCCAAGGAAAAAATCGTTAAGCTTTTGAGAATCAGCCGAGATTTTTTCGTCCGAGGACGTTATAACGCCTGACAGATCAGGGAGACACTCGTAAAACCGCCTTGTCTCTTCATTTTCCCACATCTTATCCGATGCCGACTTTTGCTGGTTAACTATCACAGGACTAGAGGTAATGGCAACGTCTTCAGTCGATTTCTCGAGTTTAGGTGCCTCCATGCTAAACACTTCCGAAAGAACTTCTACTGCGCTCTGAAATCTTTCAAAAATAGGGATGATCCTATCATGCTCTTCAATAAACTCGTCGGTGCTTTTTCCGGTTCTTATTTGCGCTTTTTGGTGTTCCTTCATTAACTTGCTGAGTGTCTTGCTGAGTTCAATGAGTTGAGAGATGGAAGCTTCGGTGAATGCTCTGAGGAGCGAAACTAGAAGCTTCTTGGTGTCGGGGTCCATAAGTGATGATTCTTGATCGGCGACATCTGAGAAAAATTGTGGGAACTTGGTCACGAAAGATGAAGCTACCAATGTGGGTAAGCCTGTTTTGAAACGGTAATTCAAAACTTTTTTCAGAATCGTGAAAATCAAAGGTTCTTTCTTAGCTAGTCTTTTAGCAATGAAAGCCGGTAAGTTGTCCTTGGATATAAACTCCACATTGTTGAATAGTCCGGCCAGGTAAAACTCGGTGAATATTCTCACGTTTGAGCGAATTTTCATCATTTTTGCAATCTCTTCCTTGTCATTCTCACCTTCTGTCTGACAGGCTGTGAAGTTCTGTAAGAAGAGTTCCATCAAAGCTGGTGTGAACTGATGGCTAAACCGCTGATGTAACGCACTGATGACTTCAACACAAGCATTGATATCATCCGTCTTGTTTGAGACTTTGCCTATCCCTTCGTTGGCCGTAACCACTAGTTCTGATAAATATTTGGTCAACGAAAGCTCCGCAATATCCTTTAGCAGACTTGCCTTAACATCTTTCGTGATGCCTTGCCTTAGCTTTCTTATGAAGCCGGTATTCTTCTTCATACTAGAATCCAGTTTCTTTTCTGTGAGTGGGAAGACATCTTCTCCACCCCAAGCTATGAGATTCAGCTGCTGCAGTTCTGTTCTCTTGTCATCCTAAGTACAGCGATGCCACATTAGTATTATAGTTCTTCCATATCTGGGCCAAAATCCAGAATAAAACCACCGCTTTTGAAAACTTACGTTCATTCCGGACAGAAGAAAACGAGGAAAGGGATAATTCAAGCTAAGTAGTTGACTCGTTCGTTGTTAAACTTTGAACTCTCGTCATAAGATGGTGATGATGTTGATCTTGATAGGTATGGAAATAACTAAATGATGCGTTTTCGTATACAATGCTCCATGCGAGAGGGCACCACAGCTATTCCTAGCTAAAACCTTCACCGCCCAACAAGTTGGTCAATCCATCTGCTTGTAGATTCAACTCCTCCAAGTTCTTACTCAAGACCAAAGCCTCATCGAATTTGCGGTGTTTTGTAGCTGTAGCAATCATATCCTCGACCAGGAACTTTTGCTCTTTGATAACCATGAGTTGAGTCCTGTAGTCTTTTATTTCTTTGATGCTTAAGTCTTTATTAGAATTATCTGAATTCCTTTCTTGCGATGAGCCCGGTGAAGGCGATTGGGATGTTAACTTTGCTGTCAATCTTCCTAAAGGGAGCATATTTTCCTGGATGAAAGAAGACGCCCTGGAAATGATAGCACTTTGAATTCTACCTTCTGATGCATTTCTTGGTTTTAGTCTCAGAAGCTGCTTTGTAAGCTGGTCATAGGTGGAGAAAGAATCCACCATCTTGCGTCTAGTCTTTGATAGTTTGGCAACTTCCGAGGGATCTGGCGTTGTTAAACTAGAATTAGTTTGCGATGCTTCTTCCAAATTGGCAACGATTGAGAGAACGACAGAGGAAATGGTGCTCATACGTTCGTAAAGTTGGAATAATATGGACAACGGCATCGCTAGCTCCTTTTCGAACTTCCGTTTCCGGAACAGGGACTGGACACACGAGGAGCAAACCCGGATGCTTGTTTCGATACTAGCAGCATCTGCGGGTTTAGCTATCGGGAGATCGGAAGCAGCGTTCACCAAGTTGGTCACTGGAATGTTGTTAGAGCATTTCGTTATTGCATTATCGCAAACGAGTTTCCCACAAAGCCTGCAGTGATGTTTGCGCAAGGTCAGACCAAACTGTCTCCTGCAGGATGTGCATGCAATGGCAAGATCATCTGGGGTCCACGGCACCACGTTTCTTTCAAGTTGGGATATTTCCATGGGGATCTTAAACGATGCCAGCATAGAGCCTTGGTATCTTGCGTTGATGCGTAGAATACCATTCATAAGCCTGACAAAGCGGTTTTCCAGCTGCAAGAATTGCAGCTGACGATCTTCGGTCCTGGAGCTTCGAAGTTTCTTGAATTCACTGGTCCGACTTCGAAAGCTTGCAAAGTCGTTATAGCCCGGTTTATCCTGTGCACATTGTTGACAACAACGGCACCACTTTCCATCTCTCGGATCGTACTCTGCGTTTACGTTTAATTTGATGACGTTTTGACAATGCTTTATACAGAATAACTCTCCGCATTTTCTGCAATTTATGTGACCTGTTGAACGATTCAGTTTAGCGCAGCATTTGTGGCACCGGCTATGATTCGTGTGTGGTTCTATCCAATGACTTCTGTTCAACGTGAATTTGGTTTTTGCTGCCAAAGGTTTACTTTTGTGTTTGGTGCCATCAAAACGGTGATCATTTTTCTGTAATAGCTCATCCTGGTCTGGTTCTTCAGCAAAGCCATGGGTGCGATCCAGATGGTTGTTCAGTTGCAAAAGATCGACCGTCTTTTCATTACACACGGGACATGCGAGTTCTTCGTTTTTTGTCAAGCCAGGGGTAGCATTAGAATCCTCTGAAGCTGTAGAATTGGGTGCTACATCCATGACAAGCCAGCAAAGGCCCTTTTCAGTTGGGTGGGAGTATTTGTTGCGTTGGAAGCTATGTATCCTTTTTGCTTGGCTTACACATTTTGACGCTATTGAGAGATAGATTAATTATTTTCCTGAGATCACGTGAATCCTGATACAAAACTATAAATTAACTTCAGTCACATGACTTTTTCATTTTGAAAAATGTCACGCTATATTCACGTGTTAAGCACGTGCAAAGATTAATGTCAGATTCAAATCATACCTAACGAAATCGCATTAGACGAGACTCCAAAAGTGTACTCACCGTTACATGAGTACATTCCTCCAGTTTGAATTATCACATTAGACGAATAACGGGTCTTTTCTATAAGAAGGTCGCCAAAACTCCGGTAAGAGATAAAGCCTACTACCTGATGATTATCCTTGGGAATCATGTCTGCTCACTTGTATGAGATCACTGATCCAGGTCAACCTTTCAGAGACGTAACTGACAAAGATGGAACCAAGAAGACGTAAGATCGAACAACTTGATGCATTCTACGCATGCATCAAGGAATGCTTCATGATAGGAAACACTGAAGTGCTGTATATTCCTCAAAAAAAAGCCCACGTGTCGCCTTACGGCGAGACTAGTTTGCCCGAGGAGTATAGCAACCACCCTCAGCTAGCTTTATTCTACTACTCCTACATGATCGACGAGCACACCTTTACCGCTATTCGATCCAATCTGCTGTTTGAATGGCCTCAACCCTACGTGATACTCAACACCATAGTAAGGCGGTTAGAATGTCACCGGTTCATTGTGAATAACAATTATCATTGGCTTCCTGATCAATTGAAGGATTTTATTGGCCACGGCCTGGAGTGTCCCAATAAGAACTCAATAGAGGGGTTAACACCCTTCCCAGAATCAAGAAGACGGCGAACGATCCACATCTGTTTGGGCCCAGCGGACAAAATTTTTGAATTCTTTGAGAAATTAACAAACATGGATGCTGCACGGTCAAAATTTCCACATCTTTCCAGGCTTAATGTGAGGTTTAGCTGCCTGAAAGGGTTCGGTAATAGTTTAGAAAGAGTTCAGCGACTTGCTAGGGCTATCCGGAAAGTATGGATTTACGAACTTGTTAGTTCAGGGGGAGCGACCGGGCAACGGAAGGGTGCTAGTTCCGTTAAACTGGAGAAAACTTCTGGTGCGGGGGAGCAATTTGATGGTCAAGAGCAGGCACAGGAACAGGAGCCAGCACAAGACAATTTCCAGCATGAGATCACAGACGCTGCCTCGTTCTGGGAGAAGCTGTCAGAGTTGGAATCTCACCGGCTCGTTGCCGGGGCGGATGATGCCCGGCAGCTTAAAAAAGCCGGTGCTTACCTTCAAAGTGACGCCGACCTTCAGAAAGAATTCAAGAGAAACAAAAACATGGTCAAAAACATATTTTACAGTTACGTCAAAAGCCTTATGTCAGCCGAGGGACAGGTGAAGTTTAATAGAGGTGTCAAGTGCCTACAAAATGGGATTGTCAATGTGAATCTCTCATACGGTCCTTGTAAATGGATAAAGGCGGTGACAGTATCTTTGGCTGTGCAAAGTAAACATAATGAGGCGCAAGATGTAACGTTCGTGCTCAAATGTTCAATGAGTTATAAAGATTACAAAAAGATAGCTACAGGGAATTGAATGATGTAGCGTGAATAGACGGAACTGATGTGTTCATTGTAGCCGTTACTGATATGTATAGTCTGGGAATAAAACATATAGTTATGGCCTTCAATGGGTGTATGGGTTTCTTATAGAGCTTAAAGAGCGAAATGTGTGGGTGGAAGCGTCATAGTGTCACGTGAGTTTTATGATTTGAGTACTCTCTTGGTGTGTGGGTGGAAGCACGAGCTTATCACGAGAACCAAACGTGACATGGAAAGCACGTGATACTTTCAAAGATTAGCCATATTGGATATATCAAATTCAAATTGTATAAGGTTCAGGACTCTACTTCACTCTTCATGTCATCCATTTTGACAGTCCACAAGCCTTTTCTCCGTCTCTTACGTTGCAAGCCTGATCAATCCATGTCATCGCTCAGGAAATGCCTGTAAGTGATGTCTCTTTGCTAGTGATTCTAACACTGTCTTTCGCACTTTCATTTCATGTTAGTCGCGAGATATTTTGGTTCAAAGCGCAGCTTTTATTTGAACCTGGAGATGGTGTAATGGGCGAGCAAATTGCAGGGTTAAATGTGCTGAAAGAGCACGAAAAAACGTTTTTAAACAAATTATATAACCCATTTTCCCTGTCGTCCCAACGAGTTACCAGATATATTCGAGTGTTGTTTGCGACGACTTGTGCGTTATGCGTTGTGTCTGTAGAACTCACACTTTGGGAGATTGTAAAGGCAGAAAACGAGAGCCCTTTGGAATCCACTGATCTCGCCTCAGCTGTGTGGTTATTCGCCTCAACGCTTTTAGCGCTAATTCTCATTTTGATACAGCCTTATTTGATTCTGTCGTCAGTTTTGAGCAAGTTTTATGGCGACAAGTTGAATCATAGTTCTTTAACGCTAGTTTGTTGCGGAATCATTTTAACTTGGGTTTTTACACTCAATGGCCTGAATGTGGGACCGTTTCGATCCTCAATTAGTCTGCTCACTAAAATCTCCATAATGGGCGTCAGCGTTATGGCAATGTTGTCAGGTGTAGCATGTATTTCTACCCCATATTACAGCGTTGTTTTTTTCTGGCGTAAACGCAAAGGAGGCAGCAGTGGTGTTAGTGCCGGTCGCCTTCCTTCTTCGCACTACACACCGGTTTTCTTTTTGGATGCAGCGGCACTGGAGGCCAAAAAGCATGAATGTGAAGCGCAGATACAGGACAGTTTGGCTGTTCTCCACAGACTTGAAAAAGAACCCGTTCCACCTCCTTTGGCGTTACGCCAGCAGCTTTTCGACAGGACCAGTTATTATCAATTGGAGCTAGCACGACTACAAAAATTAGCGAGCGAGCCCAGGACAAGACATCTTTTGAAGCGTGCATTTCACCTTGGCTTTCTAGCTTATTGCATTTACAAATTGATCTCGATATTTTTATGCAGAGTTCCGACTTTGTGGATCCACAGCATACGGCATCCTGAGGACTACGAGTATGAAAAGCTGATGAAGCATAATTCCGGCGAATCTATAGCCGGTGATCCTCTCGCTGTCTCTTTGGCTAAAATTTGTGACTTTCTTATATTCCGATTGAAGGAAAAAACACAGCAGGAATCTCTTGTCAAACAAATCTCTTTGGTTTTGTCATTATCGTTATTTGGCTGTTCCGTTACAACCGTTGTAACGACGATATCATACCTTACTACCCTTCTACCTCTTCGATTTCGTATTTTGGCATTGAAATCAATGAGGCAAAGTCCGAGGAACGAGCCCCTTCCAACGGTCAATCCGAAGAGCTTCCGAAAGGGCAAGTCAGAACCGTCGATTATAAAGAATCTTCTTATCTCTGAACTTACAGGAATATACGTTCTTGCCACGATACTTATGGTCCGCTCAAATTTAGCAATAGGTGCGGCTCAACGCTTAAATCGAATGCTCGGAGAGAAATCCACAGTGCCCTACATTGTTCTCGATGTGTGGTTCGACAAAATATTTGCCTTGAGCGCTATTATGTCCCTGATAGGAATAAAGCTGGCGGAAAGGACATCAGAGTATCCAAGAATGAACTCTGTATAATATGCATTAGATTCACTATATAACCAATTTAGGTAGGTTAAAAGCCGGTAGCGACGCCGCTCTTAAAGTGCCAGGATTTTCAATCAGTATGATTTCATCGCCGGATATAACGTCGGCCAGCAAAATCGATTTGTATTTTTCAGTAAAGAAAAATGGATGATTGTCTTTATTAATGCGCTTCGCTAGTTGTTCAGAAGTAGGTCTCTCCCTCATTAATGACTCAGTGGTATCGAATTCCTCATCATCTTCGTCATCCTCTTCCCCTCCGTTAACGTAGCTACTTCTGTCAGTAACAGAATTGCCGTCAATCTTATGCTTCTTTGGTCTTTTCCGTGTGCTGATTGGAAGGTCTTGTGACATATCGAAGCTGGCGAGACAGTTAACACCCCATACCCAAACTCTTTCTTGAGAATTTCCGGCACTGAAGATCCCAACAAACTTGTTCCTTGAAGACTCAAATTCTTTTGGCAGATAATCTTTGTTTTTCTTGCACCATTCTGACATCGCACCCACGCCAGATTCGTCAGTCTCTTTCAAAGAAAATTCTAATAGCTTATTTTCTGCTGTCGTCAGTAGAGCAGTACCCTTTTGGCTTATGTGAAGGGCAGTAATGAAACTGGAAACGCGAGCAACAGCGACTGCATGGTTCTCATTGATATTAATTACATCAACGGCTCCGCATGAGCGTGATACAACGGCAACAGAACCCCGACAGTCAATCTGATTGATTGATGCATTGTGTGGTATTTTATGAGACGCAGCGTCTTCAGATAGCGCAGGCAGTTCGATTTCCGTTGCTTCTTCGTCTGCCTCTTCGTCTTCCAGATCTAGCTTAAAGACCTCGTCTTTCGAAGAGACTATAAGTATTTTCGAGTTGTCAATGAATTTGATATGCTTGGAACCAGTTTTCAAAAGAAACTCGTTATCCAATTTGGTTACTTTTAGTTTACCATTGGAAGGATGCAAATGGAAGAGCTTTGTGGTACTGGGCCGACCAACGACTAGAACTTGGCCATCTTCTGAAAGGGCGCATGTTGTGATATTTTGCTCATCCGTCAACGTTAACTTGCAACAAAGTTTGTAGTTTTCTGCATCGCCTGCGTCCATGCCTATGGCCCATATTCTTATTGTTGATTGCTGCCAAACCACACACAAGCGCTGCTCAGCGTTGAAAAGAGCACTTTTATGGAATGGAACGAAGTAGGGGACTTTCGTGTATGTGCCGTCTGTGAAGTTAGAGATTGAACTTATGAAAAGGTTTTTCTCAAGTCCGCCCGAAACAAGAAAGTCAGCACCTTTGGATTGGTAAGAGGCCATTGTTCTTACGTCATTTGAATGCAGTAGTCTATTTGAAGCAATGACCCATTTGGAGTTGTTTTTCGATGCATTGGCAGCCGCAAAGTTATATTGGTAGATCTTGCGGTCTACACCGGCACTGAAAACCTTTGTATTACTTTCATCTGTAGCCAAACATAAGACATCTGCTTCATGGCTTTTGAACGATTGTGTTAATGTGGCATACTGGAGATCCCAGAATTTGACTGCACCTGTGGAGTCACCGGAGACAATTTGATCTTTCTTTGGGAGGTATATAACGCTCCATACCAAAGTAGACTCTTTTTTAGATTTGTCGACCTTCATGGTATGCAAAATTCGTCCCCTCATTTCTTCAGTACTCGAGGCGCTCCAGACTCGTATTCTTCCGTCAGCACAGCCTCCAATTACAGATTCGTTTCCTTTCCACGCGACAGACAGTACTCTGGAGTCTTGTCTTTGGAGAACGGCTTCGTGTTCCATAACGCCCGGTCCACCTGAAATGTCCACAATCACAACACAGCCATTATCGCACCCGACCGCCAATTTTGTTCCTGTCGAGTCTAGAGCCATGGACCATATAACGCCAGCATTGCAATCGTAGTTTTTCAATGCTAGACCAGTTGCTAAGTCCCATTCTGTCACTACTGTAGATGCACCTATCGAGAAAAGTCGCAGCGGTTCTCCGGGCAAATTGCTCCAAACTAGACCTTCCACAGTGCGGTCTTTACCACCTTGGATGATCAGCTCTTGGTACCAGCCATTGCGTGGGTTCCAAATTTCAATATCACCGTTCGACCTTCCCAATGCCAATCTCAAATCTGACGGTGTTCTTTTATCCGCTCTGGAAGCGTGAGAGAATGCAAGTGCGGAGATATTGGCACCGTTGAAATCCGCAAATCGAGCTCTATGTACCAGAACATCTCTTGAGCTTTTAGTCATCTTCCTCTGAGCCCAAAGCTGTGAATTACTCGGTATTTTATCGAGCGATGAGATACATGAGATGAGATGAGATGAGATGCTCTTAGGCCTTATATTGAAAATTTTTTAGAGATGGCATCGACAGTCTGGAAAAAAGTGATCTAAAATCTACACGTATTTAACGTCACATTTCAAAGGATAGAGTTTGAAGACAAAGATGGACTTGAGTCGCTGTGATAAATCTCAAATGCGTTGCCGCAATTGTGGGGCACTGATCGTGTCCCAAAAAAAGGAAAAAAAACCAAAAAAATACGTTGATTCATACTTGGATCGATCCAGATTTTTTGAGAAAAATGGGACACCAAGTGTATTAAAGCTTGCTATAGTGGGTATATCCTTCTAGCAAGCTTCGTGTTCTTGCTCAAGTGAATCGGGTGTCACACAATCTGTTTTGATCCTCGCTGCTCAAGATAAAAAATCCTAAAACCGAAATTTAAAATTCTCTATCCAGCCCAAGCCTGAAATTTAAGAGGTCAAATTAAAATCTCTAAAAGCAAATAAGCCCGGATTGTTACTTAGTTTGACGAATTTCAAGCTTTCTCTTTTTGACGAGATGATCTTGTCATTTTGTACTAATCTGTCAATTTAATTAGCCTATATTTACAAGATGAGTATCCAATGTTGATCTGAAGAGAACTAGCTCTCAAAAGGGTGGAATTGAAGCCTTTTCTACAGGTATAGATGTCTGGAAACATCTCCATAGACTCAGATAGTCCTGATTCAACAAATTCCAAAATTTTTAGGGCCGTCGCCGATGTTTTTCAGAGTGCACAATCCACTTATGCAGGTCATCGCAGACACATCGCGGTCTTGAAAAGAATTCAATCCAAAGCTGTTGAAACCGGGTATGAGGAAGTGTTCAACTACTGGTTTAATAAGATGGTTACGTTGATTTTGCCCCTGAAAAGAACGGAAATCGTGGGTGATAGAATTGTGAGATTGGTCGCAGGATTGGTGGCAAGTCTCGAGCATGAACTAGAGGCCATCAGGGATAAACAGGAAGAATTCGATGGGAAAGAAAAGGTCTTTTCGAGATTCGTGGACCAGTTTATCCGTCATATTCTGCGAGGAGTAGAATCGCGTGAAAAAAATGTAAGGTATAGGGTTGCACAGCTTTTGGCTGTAATCATGGACAACATAGGAGAGATCGATGAGGATCTGTACAAATTGATTATGTGGTCATTCGAGAAACGACTATTTGATAAGGAACCGCCCGTACGAATTCAGGCCATTTTCTGTCTTACCAAATTCCAAGACGAAGACAACGCTTCGGAAACCATGGACGAAGCGTCCACCAAACTAATTCATGCCATTCGGAATGATCCAAGTGCCGAAGTTCGAAGAGCAGCCATGTTGAATCTCGTCAGCCTCGACAAAACAAAAAACATCATAATGGAGCGAGCTCGCGACGTCAACCCTGTTAATCGACGTATCATTTATACAAGAGTGCTGAAGAATATGGGTGCATCTGTATTCCAGGAGCTAGATGAGGCTCTGATTGCGAAGCTGATCACTTGGGGACTTGAAGATCGCGAAGAGGCAGTACGAAATGCTTGTGTGCGTTTGGTAGCCTTTGACTGGTTGAATCTAATGGATGGGGATATTATAAAGCTTCTATCGGAGCTCAATGTGACCTCGAATAATGTTTGCGAAAAAGTTCTAGACGCCATTTTCACTTATAGAGAGGATACTGTTGCTAAGATAAAACTACCTGAAAACGTTTGGGATTCTTTGACGGCCGAAATCACCTTCCTCATAAGAGCATTCCATGCACATTGTATGCAACATAAGCTCGAAGACATAATTGACGACAACTTTCCCGAAGCTTCGAGATTATCGGAGATTTTGCAAAAGTACATGGACCTTAGATTCTCCAACAATGAACTTTCGAAATCAGATGTCACCTATCTCGAGTTTATCATTGAGCAGCTTCTATCAGTAGCTTTCAAGTTTGATTACAGTGACGAAATTGGTAGGCGTGCCATGCTGATGATAATTCGTAACGCTCTGGCAAATTACAGCTTGACCGCACCTATTGTGAAAATAGCCCTCCAAGTACTTAAGGTGTTGTCGATCAATGAGCGTGATTTTATAGCAATGACAGTCGAAATCATCACCGATATACGCGATGAGGATATTGAAAAGCAAGAAGCCGAAGAAGCCAACCGCGATTCACGAGTCAAACCGAACGAGGACGAGGATGATGAAGCTGCTGTAGAGTCATTTCACTCGGCAGTTGACGATCTAGTCAACAACAAAAACACACCAGTCCCAAGTGTCGCAACAGTGGGCCCAGAAAAAGAGGTTAGCCCACATACTCTCCTTGCGTGTCTCACCATGTCACAATATATGCTGGAGCTCATACATTCGTCAATCGATGAAAACGTTATGATATCATCCTTGATTGATACGCTGATTACACCGGCCGTCAGAAGTACTCAGTCAGAAGTTAGAGAACTTGGCGTTCGTAATCTAGGGCTTTGCTCTTTGTTGGATGTCAACATCGCCACTGAAAGTCTTTATCTTTTTGGGATGTGCGTATCCAAGGGTGATGCAGGCCTGAAAACCATAGCACTTAAGGTTATAGCAGACATTTTCTCGGTGCATGGAACAAAAGTGGTGGATGGCGAAGGCAAAGTCGACTCCATCTCCTTGCATAAGATCTTTTACAAAACCTTGAAAAATTGCGAACTACCGGAGTGTCAGGCAACGGTTGCAGAGGGCTTATGCAAACTGTTTCTGGGAGATGTATTCATTGATGATGATCTATTTGAGACCCTTATTCTATCATATTTCTCACCTGCAAACTCTCAAAACGAAGCTTTAGTGCAGGCGTTTGCGTTCTGTCTCCCCGTTTATTGTTATTCTCATATCAGACATCAAAAAAGAATGGTGCGCGTTGCAGGCGACGTGCTACTGAGACTTTCAGTGTTGTGGGATGAGCTGCAGACTAACGACGACAACTCAATGCCTCCTGACTCTATGCTCAAGCCAAATGTCATTCTTCAAGAACTGATAGAGTGGACGGACCCACGAAAAGTTGTAAACCAAACAGAGGAACATCTTCAAGATGAAGAAGATACGCAGCTGGATTTTCTCCTGAACATCCTCCGCATGTACTATAAGTTTGAGCGCAAAGAGGTAAAGAAAATGATTTTGACCAACATCAATAGGTTCACCTTCCAAGATCGGAGTATTCGAAAGTGGAAAGAGGTGCGCGAGATTCTTGAAGACATCTCAGATAACGACGACATCGATTCTACAAGTCGGACGTCTATCAGTAAATTCCTTTTTTCATTACAAGAGAACATTTTGAGTGAAGATGTTGATGTTGAAAGTACGAGAGATGGGGCGAGTGATGTTGAGGAGCAATTATCCACCTCTTCAAGTGAAGAAAGAATGTCAAAAGACGAAAAAACCGATCTGAGTCCAGCTTCATTGAACGATGCAAAATCTAATGTGTCTATGGCTGACGAGGAAAAACCCTCTGTTACCTCTGATGCCCCTTCTCAGGTGTTGTTGCCCTCTGCGTCTGATACAGTTTCTTCTGAAGAAAATAGCCGTCTGCGAAGCAAAAAGAGGAACAGAGCAGACCTTTCTGATTCTGAAAGTAGCTCTGATCGGGAAAAGAGTAATAGAATGGTTAGCTTCGTTTTGCCCGAACCTCAAAGTAGTCAATCTAGTGACTCATCATATGGCGGTCAGCTCGAGGACAGCAGTTTCGAGGACGACAAGGAAGAGTGAACTAGGTCAAGTTATGGGGAAGACAGAGAGTTACCGAGTGATTAAAATTGCAGAAACAATACTTATTTTCAGTATTACTGATGCCAATGCTAGAATTTGTATATGCCTTAAATTTACTACAAATAGCTTCCCAAAATCTGATCATCTCTTAGGTGCTCCTGGACAACGAAGTATATTTCAATAAGCAGACGAGGAAACCTTCTTGCAAAAAAAAGATAAAAGCCGTCTGGAATTGGGCCCATTACCTCTGCAAGCTCTGGGGGCAAATCCATGAAATGATGGTATTTGTTACGAAGAGCCCTCAGTAGATCCATCAATTTTTCGCCGCTGTACTTTCGATATTTTCCTAGGTTCTCCATGAAGATAGTATCAAACTTGACCGTCCAATCGCGATTGGGTATGACCTTTTCTGATACCGCTTCAAGTTTCAACAAAAGGTCACTTGGAGGTACTCGCCTCTCAATCTCAAACCGATCGCTTACTTTGAGCAGGAACTCTAGCTTCTTTGGAAGAGGCCAAAAAAGTGGGTGTTTGATTACTTCGTCTGCTGTCGGCCTCTCAGAAGGTTTGTGAGAAAGCATTCTCGTGAGTAGATCAGTCGCCTCAACGATTGCATATCTATCTCTCAAGGACTTTTCTATTCCGTCTAGGGAATATTCTGCCCTCAAAATGCTTGCATCCCGAGAATATTTGTCACCGAACGGATGGCCACCTTTTGAAAGCACATAGTGAAAAATGCAACCCATTGAAAAAATATCAATAGCTCTTGTCAGGCGTTTGTGGTAGAATGGATCGAAAGTAGAGGGCTCCAAAATTTCGAGGTCTGTTTCGTCATCCTTGATATCGCTATCGCTGCAGTTGTGATCAATTTCTAGAAGCTCGGGAGCTCTCCAACCACTTGTACCCGACGCATTCCCTTGACGTGTGTGAAAGGACGATTGATCTGGTCCTAGTCTTTTACAAAGGCCAAAATCGGAAATCAGTACCCTCATTGGGGCAAGATGACTGTTCAAACGTTGCATGTATTTCCTTGTGGGGGCCACTAAAATGTTCTGAGGTTTCAGGTCCCGGTGGACAATCTTTATGGCGTGCAGATGTGCGACTCCTTGAGCAATTTGAAGTAAAACATTTAGCGGATCAAGTACACTTTGAGCTTCTAATATTGCTGAGCTCGATCCTTTTCCCACAATGACATCCTCTAATGTTGCGGTGCATAGTTCCAAGGCAATGTAAAGAAAACGCCCCGAAGTCTCCGAGCAATAGTATCTCACGACATTCGGATGATGATCACTTTCTGTTAAAAGCTTAATTTCTTGCGTCCCCACCTCATAAAAGTCAATAAGCATGCGCTTAATGGCAACCGGTCTGTGCTGAAAAGTACCTTGAAATACGACGGTCCCTGCCGATCCATATCCAAGGACTTTTTTGGTCACCACCAAGTGTTGGAGATCCCCTTCCGCTTCAACATCAGGTCCCCGAGGTTCAACCTCTGTAACGGCAGGGCTAGATTCTTTTCTTTGTTTTTTCCCACCCCTAGATCCTCTCTTGCGTTTCTTGCGATCAGCCGACGCAGTATTATCTTGCATCGCTTCAACGTTCGATTCAGGTTCCTCGATCTTGACATGTTTTGCATTAACTTCTTCAACTGCCGGATCGAGTGGAGGTCTAGTATCATTCTCTATTTCGACTGGACCAGTACTTGTGTTGTCTCTTTTGAATAAGCCCGTGCGCTCCAACCATATGTGCAGGGGCGCCAAAACCCTGAATTTTGACAGCAGTCCAAGAATGAAGAACGAAACTACAAGCATAAGCCCACCTTCCACAATCCGGTAAACGAAGTCTGCAAATCTGAACACGTAAGACTTCCGATCTTTCAAAAGTAGCTCTCGTGTGATTCTTTCCTCTGCCTCTAAGCGCAGCACTTGAAGTTCTCTTTTCGAAACATATTTTTCGAGTGCCTTTGGTGAAGTCGCTTCTAAAGCAATGGCATCCGACGTCCTGAGAGATCTATTTGGACCATCCAAAAGAAGTCTGGAACTGCCTGGTAAAGAAGGCTGCATGGCGTTCGTCCTATTGTGGCGAACTTGTTCGAATTGTAGGTTTTGCAATTTATGAACGCCCAGTATGGTCTGTTCTACGGTTTCATTGCCAGCCATATGCAGAAGCAGATCGTTTTTCTGCCTCGAAATCTCAGAATTTGCAGCAGAGCCCACTAGGGAGGGATAGTGCACGTCTGACATAGCGAATAAACTGTTCCCGGATGTTAACCCAATTAACACACTGTTTTCACCGCGACCTTCGGACCGTGGATTCAAGGGGTGTGGCAAGAGAATCATTTCTTTTGTATCTCTATCAGTGAAAACATCAAAAATACTGTTGATGGTACTTTGGAACTGTGGGGAGATCCATTTGGCGTGTCTTAACTCAGAATCTACCGCTAGAAGAGAATTACCATCAAATGGCGCGATTGAGATGCCATCGGACGCTTGCGTGTAATCCGATGCCAAATGTGCGTCTGCAGTATTTTGCTTCCACACCGCATATGTTACGTTGTAGACAATGCCGCTTTTGTTGTAAATGCTGAGCTGGTAAGTTGTCTTACCCAGCACAAAGATGTCATCGCACGAAACCGCGTCTGGTTCGAAATCATTACAATCGACCTCTGTATCGTGATTAGGAAAATTTTCGGTTCCTGCTCCGTATGCCGACACAATTTGACCACTCTTGATGTCGATGTTGTATACAACAGACTGCCGAGCGCCTGCATATATTTTTTCGTCGTCAAATGTTGTTCCATCTTCGTCAATGACAATTTTGGTCTTTAAATCTAATGGAGATAAATCCACAAGGTGCTTGATTGAGATGGGCAGCTTTTGCAAGCCTTGGAAATTGTTGTAGTAGTAGATATTTCCCTCGTCGTATGGTTCAACGATCAGTGTCTCATTTTGTAGCTGCGTTGTTTCAGACACCGAGATAAGAGGTGGGCTGGCGTTATCTATGGACCACTGGACCTCGCCCGTGGACCGCCTAAGAGCATGTATATTCCCCTCCAGATCCGTTGCTAATATTATATCCAGCAAATCAAAGTTTTCCGTGCTTCGGTCGCTTGACGAGAGTGACAGTACTGTTTTCGGTACGTCATGGTCCAAAATGCTATCTGACTTGGGAAAAAAGCTTCGCGGAGTTTCCAAGCTTTCATATTTATCATCCACACCCCAATATGGTTGAGCTGTGGCCGCCGGGTTAGCTGCTTCGAAATTGGATGTGTCAGTCTTCCTGAAAATTGTAGGTTTTGCAGTGTATACCTCAGCATGCAATGTGTCTACAGTGAGTGTTCTTGTTTGGCCGTAAGTCGAGTCTTTCTTCCTAATCCACTGTGGCCAGCCACACCTTACCTCCGTGAAAAACAAGCACAATACTCCGAGATACACTATGAGCAACTTCGGACTTCTATGATGCATCATGCTCGAACAAATTGATGTTCAGTATCAATGCTGCGATAACTCACTCGCCACACCGCTCCGTTTCAACTTATGCAAAAACCAACAAGACAGCTCAAGATACCGTTCTAATTGTGGTTTGCATCAACCTGGGATGGAGCTAGGCGGTGGGGCTTCAACGTGTGTGATTTTCTTCGCTCTTTTTGAACCAAGATGTGATGCACTAGCTAGCGTTTTTTCACTACCCAACTCAACGAGCATTTTCGACACCTTTACCAAAAAAGCTACTTCGTGGTAAGTGATTTGTACCAAAGCTAGTTTAGAAGTTCCGCTCCACTACAAGTAGTGTCAGAATACAGCCCATGAAACAAACAAATTCCAGCAATTCCCACTTTGCCAGCACTTTTCTCGCGTTTCATAGCTTATCACTCATATCGTAGTTCATTTCTTCAAAAACTTCCTTGATCTTACAATTTTTTTCGTCCGCGATCATTTGGGCTAGGGCCAAACCAGTGTCTCGAAGCTCATTATACCTTTTCAAATGTGAAATATGTTCTTTGATGACTTTATCTGCTGAATAGTTGCTGGACCACGATCTTTAGTCAGTAGGGGTTCATAGTTCCCACTCAAAATGAGAAAGGGTACTTTATAATCGTCATACACATTGTTTAAGTCACTCAATTTATGGAACTGGTCCAGTAATGAGACATTCAAGCGCTCCAGTTCTTCGAGATCTGCTGCATGTTGAGTCGAACGCAATCCTGCGCCAAATGGAGTCATTATATAGCTGTAAAGATTCGAAACGGTCTGTGTTCTTGTCAATTCTTGCCTTCAAAAAGTGATGTGAAGAGGACAAGAAATTTAGCCGCCGTTGAAATAAATTTAATCCACAAAAATACACAATATCAGCTATTTCGTATAAAGGTATGTGGGGTCGATGAGGGCTAGATCTGTAAACCTGGACAGGAAAGAATGGCAACAGCTTAGCATTTAACATTATGCGTAACAATTGGTTTCATTCTCGGTCACTTTTGTATTCTTTTGTATTCACACATATTTTCTTCATAATACACTGTTGATTCCTTTTAGACGGTGGTAGTGTTCAAATAAGATCTCAATTCGTCAAGTTTGACCTCGGCCAGCCGTATGGTCTCCTCGAGATCCTGGCGTGCGTGAAGTGACATCCGTCGTCTGGCGTAGTCAGGGGAGTGGTTTTCTTGTAAGATAGTACTTCGATCTTTTATCCACTCCCATAGCTCGCTCTCGGATGCCGTAACGACATTCCAGGCCTTTGAACTTTTTCGTGACGCGCGAACGTCGCGATCGAACGTTCCATACAATGTATCGAGTGTTGGAGCATAGTTGTACGTTTCACCTCCTATCATGATGCGCCCTGGCCCAACAATAGCAGATGCACCGTGCCTACTGGAAGCAAACCTTGCTATGATAACAATTGTGCTGACAAGCGCAAAGAGAAATATCAACACTTGATAGGGCAAAGAGAGATTCATGAACCATTCCAAAGCAGTATCCAGAGATAGCCCTGTCGAAGACCGAGGGGCCTCCGTTGACTTGGAAGAACTGACAGCCGCTTTAGGCTTCTTTGGTTTGGACTTGGTGGTTCTCCTAATATGGCCCTTTTTAGTTGTCCCGGCTTCTGCAACAATGTCCTTCAACTCTTGACCCATGACAGCAATAGAACTTTTCTGCCCATCCAGTGAGCCTTTTTCAACAGCACTTTTGATCCAGCTTTTGGCAGTCCAAACAACGTTCGATACCACGAGTATGTTGGTTTGGTTGTTGGAACCCCAATACAGATGCAGCTTAGTATTGACTGAAAACGATGAACCCGATGGGACGTCAGGCGTTTTAGTGATTTGACGTACAATAATTTGGCTCTCTAGATCATTGCGCTCAACTTTTTCTTCAATATAGCACTTCGTCTTTTTCGGACCAACAGGTCCGCTCAAAGGTTTGGTATACTGGTATTCTCTTTTGCCATCCTTAAATTGAGGAAGCGTCGATATGTCATAGTTTCCTTGCTTTTCAAGGATTCTTTGAAGATAAGAAGTGTCGTCGCCAAACAAAAGTTGATGAACCGTACCTAAAGGGGCCGGTATTACTAAACTGTCTGTAATAACAACGTCACCGTCTTCCTTCGTGTAGTCAGAGCTAGTCTTGGCATGTTCACTAGGTCCGGCTGTTGGAAGATTCTGTGTGTAAGCATCTTCGCTACTAGGCGTCTCATTCGATTCTTTGGCACCTTTGCTCTCTTTCCCATGAATGATTTTATTGATCTCCTCGATCATCGTCTTTGTTGTTGTCGTGACACCATCAAACGTGTGTTTTTCGATCGCGGCCTTTAACCAACTTTTGCCCGTCCACTTAACATTAACCGCAACGATCAGCTTCGTGCAGTTCCGAGGCGCCCAGGAGTAATAGAGAGATGTAACTACCAAGAACGAATTCCCAGAAGGCACATCTGGAGTTTTCGATACCTGGACAACCTTGACGTAATCTTCCAGGTCGTAATGGTCAATAGTTTCCGTGATTTCGCAACCTGTCTTGCTCGGACCAATAGACCCGCCTAAGGGCTTCACGTAATTGTACGTCCGCTCATGAGTGGCCATTATGGGTGGAATCTTCGACAAGTCATAATTTTTCTGCGCCTCCAAAATCTTCTTCGTGTAAGACACATTATCCCCGTAAAGCAGATTAACAATTTTACCCAACGGAGCTTCAAAAACTGTTTCCGCTATCACCCTATCGTCGGCCGCGGTAAGGTGCTCGCCAGAGGTCGGTGAATGCTGTTCGGGACCCAGGGTGGAAATCTTCTGCTTTCTGCTAAGTCTGAACTCACCATTAGCAATCTCAGACAGATCTGGCCTGGAGTTATAGTCGTCGTCTTCTCCATGCCCATCATCTGTTAAACTTTCGTCACTGGTCTCTTCCCCACTGGAATAGCCTTCCGAGGACGTCTCAGAAGATAGTTGAGCCTCGCTTTCCGAGTGAGAATCTAGGGTACTGTTACTGGACCTGGGAGATGTGCTATTCATGCCGCCCATCTTTAGCCGTACATCAGAGTCTTCTATAGTCTGATTCCAAATCGAGGTGATAAAGTCAAAAGCGGCGTCGCGAGACATAATCGACGCAAAAGTATATCTCGAATGTAAAGTTTGAAAAACCATCCCATTGGGGAATATACCCGCCGTGGACTTCTTTTCGATTTGGACGATTTCTTTGAAGGGAATAATAACGTTTGTTACCCACCCTAGAATGCTGGAATTGAAACACACATGCTCCCAGGATATATACATGCGACCATGCAGTAGTATATCACGAGATAAAGCACAGCTGTAGTCTGCTAGCAATGATTCTGACGACGAGACTCCCGATTCTTTGAATAGAGAATGAAACTCGTTTTGTTTTCTTTCTGAGATATGGATTGATCCGCGTGGACTCCTCACTTCATGCTTTCTAGTCCCCTCAGTTAGTGCAGATGCACTGTCGTTTGATTGAACGCTAACTTGACCGCCCGGTCCGGCCTCGCCGTGGCTTAAGGATCTATTTCTTTGCAACGAGTTTCTCACACCTCTGGAAGATACAGCTCGAAGTGAAAGTTGGTGAAGAGATCGAGGTCTCATGGTGCTAGCCCTTTTGCGCTGCTTCTTTTCTTCTAGCGTTCTCTGCTGTGCGTTCGAGCCACTTGCTGCCCCATTTTTGTCGAGAGAGATGCTCGATTGAGCTCCAGGGTCACTTCTAACAGGTGATGGGGATTTAACCATAACATCACCGAGACTTGTCTCAATGTTGTAGGCGAGCTCCTTGTCCCGGTTGCCTGATGAATTTAGTGACCGCCCACGTTGCGGAAAAGATGATCGTTTTTCGTCCTCATTTTTCATAGGTTCTTCCTCTAGTGATGTATCGCTTATGTTGGTGCTAGCAAGGGCATCCAAAGTCAAATTGCCTCTGCCTAACGTAGCTATGGGCGGCTCACCCCGAAGCGAGCGGAAGTGTATTTTTTCTGTCACCGAACCTAGGTCTGTATCAGCCCCAGAGGCGCTGCCATCAGGTTCATTGACAACAATACTAGGCGCACCTGAATATTCAGACTCTAGTCTAGCCAGAGAAGAGCTCAGAGACGACTTGTCGTTTGGTCTTGGATTATAGTTCGGTGAAAGCAGATTATTGGATTCATTTTGGTTTTGGCCCATCGGACTACTGGCTAGCAAAAAATCCAGATGCTTCAAAAATGAAGAGTTTGGTGCCTGGTCTTGTTGCTCAGCCTTGTGTGGGGTGGGAACGGTTGGTAGAGTTTCCACGGCATGCTGTGATGTTTCTGAAGGCGAGGTTTTCTCGGCATTAGGTTTTGGTAAAAGGTGGTTCGCAGCATTATGGGCAGCTGAAAGAATAGACGAGAAAACACCATTAGGAGCCTTTTGTTCATTTTCATTATCTTCTTTATCTGAGCGGAGAAGCACGCTACTGCCCTTTGTGCTTAGTCTTGCAGAACCAAGATTCGGTTCAGCTGGCTTCGAAGGCTGTGGGGAGTCATTGACCGGCTGGTTTGATGCATTATTTTTTTCGCTGGTTTCGCTTGTGGCTCTGAGTGCTCTATTGCTATCGCTGTGGCTATTAAAAGAGTTCAGTTTCGATTTGACTATATCGGAAGTCTTGCGTTTGGCTCTGCTTGGAGGGCTAGAGCTTTTCCTCTTCTTCCCGCCGTTAAGTCCATCGGTCTCTGTATCCAAGTCTGCACCGGTTCGTGACGGTTCCGTTTGAAGGTTCGAAACCGATCGATCCCTTACGATACGGCGCACAACGGCATGGTTCCCAGCATTTTCAGAACTTTTTATGTTATTCTTACCATTTATTTCCCTTTCCTTATCGCTTTTGGCCTTCTTCTTCTTGTGGAGAAATCCCATCCCTGGACTTTCTGTGATCGGACGGTAAGTTCTGTTAGCAATTGATTCGTTTTGGGAGCTCATAAATATGCATCCACAGGGCAAGTATCGCGGCTCTGTAATATAGTCGATCTTGACTGTGAAAGGCTCGGATTTTGTTTATGTATTTTGTATTTTGGCGCAGATTCTGTTCTAGCGACACTAATGGTTGAGCAGCAAGACTTCACCTATACTGAACCTTATTTCGCACAATGAGGACGAAAAAGTTCACAAAAAGTCCTGGTGCGTCAGCTAGAGGAATGGGAGACCACTAGTGACGTTGCTTACAACAGTTTCTAGCTGCTTTTCAGTCGATGATCAGGCCCGTTGCCAAAAGTTTCAATTGACATTTGTTAATTAGACGGTTTGCATACAATATTCTCCCTTTGACATTTTTAACGGTGTATTGAGCCGCGTCAGTGGTGTAGAAGGTGACATGAAATAAACAAAAGTTTAGCAGTGAAGAATGATGATACTTTCAGTTGGAAGATGACGGGCAGGGTTGAGATAAGCGTTTTTTATTGTTTGAATGCTACCAAAGAAATTATTTTTATGTGTCATCGCCGCCATGCTTTTAGAGATTTCAATAAAATATCCAGGAACACAAAAATTGGTGTATTGTGCGTCAAAATGCCACGATGATTGAAAGTTTGGAGTGTACAAGTGAATTTTATTATTCGAGCAAGGCTTTGAGGTGTAAAATGATCGAAGGTGTCAGTATTTACGTCCTTTCAATTTTAGAAAGAAAAAACAGAGCCTATACCCTACGATAATTTCGCGATTGATTCAAGAGATTATTCTGGTGCTATTTTTTAAAAGTTCAGAAGCTCTTTCAAGTTTTGAAGATAGCCTTTGGTTCAATTCTTCGAATATCGAGTGCTTCTCTGACAATATTGCTAATTCGTATCACTTTAGACTAATGAGACGTATACATTGATTACTATGGGCAAGACAGAGACGGATCGATCAACTTTGGGTATTTCTAAAACGGCAGCGAGCAATTAAGCAAGGCGTTGAAAGATGCAAAGATTGTGGTGACAGATCCAGTTTTCGAGCATAGATTACATTATGGGATATTCTTTTCAAACGTGACCACTAAAGTTCTCAGAAACGTTGTGAGAGCGTTTTTTTTTTCAGTCACTTCCAATATCAGTTGCAAGCCTTGGCGTTCGTCATTGCTTCAACGGTCTTCTGCCCATTCGTTTTCGCGTCTAATTGCGGCCTCTTCTTCCGGGGTGAAATCGTTCACGATGTTGAAAGTTCGTCTGATTTCCTCAGGAGTCCTGCCACGTATCATTTCTGCAACCACTTTGCAGCCTGCGTCCAGCAGAGGCTTGATATTCAGATAGTTAGCGGCCTGCATGATCTCATAAAGCATCTCCTGGTCCACTTTCAAAAACTCACGATCCCAAGGATCGGCGGGGGCTGTTTTGCGCGCGTCATCGTCGTTTTCGTCTGGGAAATTCGAGTCTCTGTGGTGTTCGGCCCATTCAATGACTTTCTGCAAAACGGAAGATCTAACGTTAGGAACAGGCATCACAATCTCGTCATCCTCATCAGCACCATCCTCATCAGAGTCGGAATCACTTCCGCTCTGAAGTCCGTTGTCTTGCATGTCGTTCAAGTAATTTTTGAGCAGAAGAGATCTTTCTGCGATCTTGCGTTCCACGGTGAACCTCTCTCCTTCCACAGAGACAAGAACAACACTCTGTTTATTATCTTTTGCCATGTTTGCCCTTATATGCTATCGCTTATTGAAAACTAACGGTATCTGACCTGGTTTGAAGTCGTTTAGTCTCGATCTTCTTGTACCTAATGCTACTTACTTAAACCTTTAACGCATCCTTGTCAATTTCAAATATCGAAAATGACATCCCTTTCTACGAAATTACTTTTGGAAGATCTTTCATGATGACAGCGATCTCTTTTAAACTTGAAGAAGAGTGACAGACTGGAGAATAGAAGACCCAATGAGCTGGGAAGAGCTTTTTTGAGAAGCTCTCAATTTATTTGAAATAACTGGGTACTCTGGGTTTTGTCAAGTTCGCAAAAAAAAAAAAATCTGACGGCTGTCATACTGATAATAATATGAGTCCTGACATACCAATGAGACAGCTTTCGTAAGTAAACCTACTTGTGTATATATAGGTAAATCATCGAACCCTTTTTTGGTCTTCAAAAATTTCCTTTCTATTCAAGCTCTTTCAACAAGCCGTCAAGATTTATTTCTTGCCTGTAAAATCTGTAGCACTTAAGAATAAGAGATACTAAGAAATAGATACATTTATAGTGACGTAGCGAAAGACGTACAATAGCGATTGCTCCATCTTCACAGGCCTTGCCTCTATCGTTTCAATTATTTTGAGAGTTTTGATGCTAGAATCGAGGCAACGCCCTGAAATTTTAAAATCCAAAATTACTATAGACACTGGCACTGAGGTCATCAAGTTCTGGAATGGAGTCTAACCTTTGCAAAAAAACGTTGTTCATCGACACCACTCCACTTTTGAGCATTTCGTCACAGCACCCTTTGCAACTGACGGCGAACAAAGCCATTTGGTACTTCTCGTCATCACCAGCTGTGGAAGCAGTCACTGAGGTAGTGTCCTCGCTATTGGAAGGTTTGCGCTTACTTTTTTTAGCCACGTTCTCTTCAACGTGTAGCATCGCAAACTGGAATGCTTCGTTGACAAGGCTCTCCAAGACGACCAAAGATGCTGTGGATTGCACGCACTTGCTTGTTTCGTTCAAGAGCTGGCGCAATACAGTATTGTCGTCATATAACAATTTTAATGCATCTGAGTCCAGTGTTTGCTGAAGCACAAATTGCTCGAGGTTTGAGTCCGGGAGTAAAGTTTGCTTCAGTGGCTGTATTCCATTTTCTGTCTGGACGTCGAATTGTACTAAAAGCTCTGTATTGATGGAATGCAAAACACGCGTCAACCTGTCCCCGAAATCCTGAACAGACAGCACATCTCGCGGATTCAATTCTGCAAACTCACGTTCGACCAATTTCTCGGCCAGAGACTTGAATTGTAGCCACCCGCGGTTGAGAAGCCACCATGAAAATGACAGAAATGCCTGTTCGTTAATGTAGCTCGATTTCCGAGCATGTTGCGCTTCTTCGGAAAGATCTGGACCCGTTGAGTGCTCTTTGGGGGCAGATTGGGTATCTGTTGAAGCTGTTTGCCAGAAACTGTTCAGCCAGGAGGTGAGAAACCCTTTATTAGAGGATTCTTTCTCAACGGCGACTTTCACTGCGCTTTCGAGGTATTCCCGTCTTGCCAAGATGTTGAGTTGCAGTCTTGTTAGTAGCAGCAGCGAGGAGACGCTGTAAATGACGGTGCAAAGCTTGACCAACGACTTGAGCTTGAGTTCATTCCACAGTTCTGCTTTGGTTCTGGCGTCGGCTGGAGTACCACTGGAGCTAGCCAAGTGTGCTTCCGTGACGCTTGTGCTCATGCCTGATGATAATCCATCGCGTTCGGCGTCCGTGGAGCCTCGAGAAACTTTTCTTGAGAGTTTCTTGCCCTTCAGAGACCCCACGATTTCGTCCACGTCCAGGTCTTTAACCAGCACAAGCGATAGCACGGGGACAAGCTCGTACATGGTATAAAGCGCATCCTGCTGGGTTTGCACGAAACGACGCTTGATTTGCTCCTTCACAAATTGTTGTTCGCTTATTTTCAGCTGTTGTTTCCAGAGCCACTTTTTGATGAGATACAGCGAAACAGCTCCTGTACTAAAGATAAAGGCGACCGTAGCAGAAGAAACCAGCACCTTATTCCTGTGCCTCTGCCAAAGCGATCTGCTGGACATTTCTGTACGTTTTTAGAAGTGAAAGATATGCGGTTATGTGTGAAATATGTGTTGTATTCTGGTATTTCGCGATGTTGTAGATTGAACTTGAATCTTATAATAAGGTAATTACTATCTCACTTCCACAGCTTGTAGCGAGTAAAAACAGTAGATGTTGGCCCACAGACCGTAAGCCTTACAAGGTCTGCCTAATAGGTGAAATCCCAACAGTTTGTATAAGATGGTTTGGTCACCAGAGCTTTTTCCCACTAGAGACTGTCTTTTTGGCGATCTCTTTTTACTTTAGTCAAGTTGGATATTTAAAGGTACATTGTAAAGGACGGGTCTCCGATTAGAAGTCATTGACAAAAGACTGGAAAGTCGAAAGATAACATTCGACTGAAGATTGAGAATGTGCTATAAGAATGAGAGCCAAATTATTGGTTATAATCACCGTTAAATAATAAAGATGTGATTGTATTGAAAGTAATTTGTTCTACTAACCTATGCGGTTTTGGTATCGTTTCTGACCTTCCCGAATAAACATAGGGCAACAGATATGCTATGCTATGCTATGTTATGCTGGACGGTGCTAGAGCGTAACAAGAATACATATTTTTGACTACAGTTCCAAAAAGTCGCCTATGAAGGATTGACTCGTCAAGAAAAAAAGTAGGTATAAAGATCATCAGAATACATGTAGGGTAAAACACACCTCGCGGATCGATATCCAATGTTGAAAATGTTCGAAAATGCACGGCTTATCCTCACTTTTGCCTCGCTTGATGATTGCTTGACTGCTAGCTGTTCGACAGGGTCCTAATATATATGGTGATGAGGTTGAAAAATGAAAATTATCTTACCATTCTAGCTTCAAAAGCTCATCGAACAAACAGTCAAGTCGTCACAGCGGGCGTTGAGTAGCATCAATTATGGAGGACAGCAGCAAGATCAGACCATACATCTCGCATTTGAATGCACAACTGGCCAAACTGGGGCCAGAAATCACCAAATTCACGGAAAAATCGCTGGAAGAACAGCTTCTGCTGCTAAAAGATGAAAGGTCGAAACTCGATTTGTCGAACCGGTACGCCTATGTTCTCTCTTCCTTGCTCTTTGCGTACATGAAACTGCATAATGTCAAGGATCTGGGCCCTGTGAAACAAGAGTTGGCGCGAGTCAAACGGTACATGGACTTGGCTCGCCAGTTGGACGACAAAGAAGAAAAACAAGCGAAAAACGAGCAGGAGAGTAAAGAACGCGCTAAGCAGGTGATACACTCTGCTCTCGATGGCCGGACTGCAAGCCCTGCCATCAGCAAAGTTAATTTTCAAGGAAAACACACCAAATTCACGGAAGATGCCACAACAGGCTCAAAAGACGAAGCTGAGACTGAGACTGAAAATGGGATTAAAACTAAAACGGCCAAGAGCACGATACCGAGCAAATCAAGATCAGCAGGAAAGGTATCCAAAAAAAGCAAACGCTGAGCTTCATCAGTGCTGCCCGATGAAAAAGTGAATGATCAGAAAACGAGACACTAGATGGCTTTGATCAGCCCACCGCATTCAAATTTGCGCAATGTATACTACACGACACATGAACATGCCATTCATTGTTCTATCTGTCCGTTAATGGGGGAGTATAGAGGTGACATTTTGTAAAGTATAGGTTTGTAGGCATCAAACCGCACAATTTGCCCACCGTAAAGGAGCTCAAACCAGTTATTGAACCCAGGAATACTTTGAGCATTGAGCGGTGACAATCTCGATATCCTGATGGGCTTTCATCATGGACTATCGCTGGCTCCGTTCTCGATGACTACGATACTCATCTAATAAGCTTCGATCTCAAATACGCTCTTTAAGAACACCAGTTGCCACTCCGCTCAAAGGTTATAAGAACTCATCCAACGCTTTCAGTGGTCTAGAGGATCTCGACTCTGGTGGGTTTCAAGGAATTGATAAGATTCGGCTTTCTAAAACTAATTTTGACGCAAGAGCACACATTTTCGATGTCCCAAGAAACTGTAGATACCTTTATGGCGATCACCGGCGCCGAAAATAGTGAATTGGCTCAGCATTTCTTGGAAATGGCTGGTGGGAACCTTGAAACCGCTATCTCGCTCTTTTTTGAACATGGTGGCAATGCTCAATTGACAAATAGAGGTTCGGCCAATGCAAATCCGGAGCTTCCTGCACAGTCCCAATTCTCACCAGCACCAGTTCAAGAGAGCTATAGGGCACCAGATGAAGCCCGGCATGAGACTTTGGTCGACACGCATGTATTCCCGTCAGTTTACGGTGGTGTAGGAGGCCGGTTTGGTCCATTACGTCAAGCAAGAGGCATGTTCGATGAAACTCGTTCACGAGGAGTCTTCAACCAGCAATTGGAATCGGATGCTGAAGAAAACTCAGAGTTTTCCGAAGAAGAGGATTTCAGACCTTCGTATGAATACGTGGAAGAAACTGTGATGGAATTAGACGACGACGGGAGCATACATGAAGTCACAAAACTAGTTCGCAAACCTCGAGAAATGACCAAGGAACAGAAGTTGGCTATGCTTTTCAGGCCGCCCTTCGACGTGATGGCGAAAATCGACTTGGACGGTGCCAAACTTCGAGGACGTGAAACGCAAAAATGGATCATGATCAACATTCAAGCAGTTGAAATTTTCCAATGCCAAGCTCTGAATCGAGATGTTTGGTCCCACAAAGACGTGAAAAGACTTATCAAGCAAAACTTCATTTTCTTGCAATATCAATATGACTCTCCAAATGCTAGACCGTATGTCCAGTTTTATGGTCCACACACCAAAGACGATTTGCCTCATGTTGCCATTTTGGATCCCATCACGGGAGAACGGGTCAAACAATGGAACAGAAACATACCCGATCCTTTGGATTTTGTCAAGGACGTAGAGGAGTTTTTGTCACAGTTCTCGTTGCATCCTGGCTCCACGAACCCTACTGTCAGGGAGCCCACTCCAGATCTAGACCCGACTTTGCTGTCCGAGGAGCAGCAAATGGAATTGGCCATCCAAGAGTCTCTTGGCCGCGACCAGTCTGAACCAGTGAAAGTGGATCAAGAAGCACCCATCCCAATGGATACCGAAGTCGATAACACAGATTTGGAGGCTCACAATGAGAGTGAGGAGGACCCATACAAAGCGCTTTTCGATACCATAAGCCCTCGTGACCACCCTGAGCCCGCTAATGAACCTGGTGTGACGACTCGCGTTCAAATACGGACCGGTGACGGACGCAGGATCGTGAGACGGTTCCAAAGCAAGCGAGACACAGTTCGAGTAATTTTCGAAGTCGTCAAGAATAGTGTTGAGGGCTTCCAGAACGAATACTTTACCATTAGCGATCATGCCAGAGAGAATCTGCTGAACAAGCTGGATCAAACCATAGAGGAAGCAGGACTAAACAACAGCTCCTTACTTCTCGAACTAGTGCAAGATTGAAAACTGTTGATCAAGCCTTGGCTTCTTGCAACTGGAGAGCTTGTGAAAAAACTCTGAGGCTGTATCTGCACCAAGGTCAACAAATGCATGTGAAATTCATGTGACCATTGGCGGCAGCCTAAATTGCGTGTCTGCTTACGTCATCGCCAAGTATCAAAAAACACCACGTGATCTTTATTCATAAAGTTCAAGATATCATATCATTACTTGTCATCAACAAAGAAACGTTGAAGGACACACTCTGTCAACACAAAACTCTGCTCAAACGTCCTCTGGAAAGGCCAATGAGACTTACAAACTTTCTGTCAGTTGTGCTGGCGTGTTTAACGCTACAAATTGTGACCGCAGACCCCTCGCACACCAACAATTGGGCCGTTCTGGTGTGCACATCTCGATTTTGGTTCAACTATAGACATATGGCAAATGTGCTCAGCATGTACAGGACAGTCAAACGACTGGGTATACCGGATTCGCAGATCATTTTGATGATGAGCGACGACGTGGCGTGCAATTCAAGAAACTTGTTTCCAGGAAGCGTTTTCAACAATCAAGATCGAGTTCTCGACTTGTACGGGGAATCGGTGGAAGTGGACTACAAAGGCTACGAGGTAACAGTGGAAAACTTCATCCGGCTGTTGACCGATCGTTGGGGTGAAGAACAGCCGAAATCCAAACGTCTTCTGACGGACGAAAACTCCAACATTTTCATATATATGACAGGACATGGTGGGGCTGATTTTTTGAAATTCCAAGACGCAGAGGAAATCGCTTCGCAAGACATTGCAGACGCCTTTGCTCAGATGCACGAAAAAAAGCGTTACAACGAGATCTTTTTTATGATTGATACATGCCAAGCCAATAGCATGTATTCGAAATTCTACTCGCCAAACGTATTGGCAGTGGGGTCCAGTAGATTGGACGAAAGCTCGTACTCGCACCATTCTGACGTGGAAGTCGGAGTCGCCGTCATCGACAGATTCACTTATTACACGCTCGACTTTATGGAAAATATTGCCAAGAATTCTTCGTTAACTTTGCAAGATCTCTTTGATTTCTATACCTTTGAGAAAGTACACTCACATGTTGGTGTCAGGACCGATTTATACAGTAGAGATCCATCCGAAGTGCTGGTCACTGATTTTTTTGGAAGCGTGAAGCACATTGTCAAAGACACGCATAATCAAGAAAATGACTTTCTTGCGGTTAACGATAGCCCTGACGGACAAGACAAATATGCAGAGCATATTGTTAACCTAGCGATAGACAAATCGAAAAATAATCCGTTGGAAAGCTCAAAAAATTCACCAGTGAGCAAAGCAAATATAATGAAGTCAGAGAAAAGTGTTGTGACGTTCGACAAATCCAAAGCGAATAATATGTGGACAACCGCAGTGCCTTTCAGTCTTCTCTTTAGCGCTGTTGTATTAGCGATTGGCACTAAGAGCCAAAAAGCGGTCTAATTTGCTGCAATAAGTAAGGTGTATGTAGGAATTACGGAAGATAATGTCAATGTTGACAAACAATTATGTTCAACCGCGACGTGCAAGGCTGATATGCGTGTTTCCGTCTAATAGAGGGTTCGATTCTGCTTCTGGAGAAGCAACGAAGTGAAATGACGTAGAATGCAATTATGTGAGTATCTAGCTCAACGATAATGTATGTATGTGTTGAATACGACATTGAAGACAATGAAGTAAAAGAAAATGAATTAGAACCAATTTTCATTACTTGGTCAATGCAAGCATCTTGAGTGCGGGATTTCAATCTTGTTGTTGTAGCATCAGCCAGTTGTTCTTGTACTGTTCTAATGAACCAATTAACTCGTCCTGTATTGAACTAGACTTTCTCTCCGTTCTTACATTTTTGAAGGAATTGTAACTGGCTGGCTGGAAGTTGTTGTTGGACGCGAACGGTGAAGACGCAATCTCGTCATCTTCAAAAACCAGGGCATTAGAATCCGCGAAAATATCGTTGTTCTGAACCTCTGTGGTAGCTTGTCCGTGGTTTTGAGCCATGAATGACTTTCCACGCAATGTAGATTGCCCATCTTGTAAAGCTTGAGAGCTTCGGCGCTTGTGATGCATTTGTCCGTAGCTTACCGAGTTACTTCCAACAGATATCGTGGTTTCACCCCCCTGGGGTGAGAAGTGTTGATGGCCAACTGTCCCGGCGTTTGAACTCTTCCTGTGGTGAGGTGGAACATAAAGCCCGTGCTTGAGCTTATAGGATGGTGACGTGGATACCGGGGCATGTTGGCTGATATCCTTGAAGAAGGTGTTGGTCCCGCTTTCCTTCAAACCTGCCTCGCTCAAGGCAGGTGACTTCAGCAAGTCAGGAAAATCACCTGCCCCGCTGCTAGTGGAGGGCTCAGGAGATCTGATGGCACTCAAAGGCTTCTTCAAAGGATCAACGGTGATCAGCAACCCATCCATTTCGTTGGTAAAGCTGTCCATGTCATTCTCTTCAAGTGTGAAAAGAACGTCATCTAGATCATTTTCATTGTTTTCAATGGGGGGTGCGTGCTGCTCGTGATATGTGGTCTTTGTGAGTACAGTTGGACTGTCATGAACGCTACCCAACACACCGGTTATGTTTGGGATGTTGGGGGATCCATTATGAAAGGAACTGGGCCGCGAGTGAGGTGGGACGTATTTGCCCGAAGGGGAATTCTGCGAAAAAGTGGAACCTCTCCGATTGTTGAATGCCGAAAGATGGCCACCGTTGCTTTTTGGTGCAGATTTCTGATGGCCATTGGAACTGGGTCTTCGATTCTTATGTCCACGATTCTTAGTCCCATTTGTGTTAAAGATTCCCTCCATGTACCTGTTGTGCACACTGGGAGGAGTGAAAAAGTCGCGGGTGTTAAATTCTTCCTGCTCTTTTTCATGATATTGTTGGAAAAAGTTGTTGATGTGGGTGTTTGGAGTGGGGATTCCCAAAGGCTTACGGCCGTTTTTGACCACGTTCGATGCGTCAATCTTAATCGGATTCGCTTTCTTGTGGCCACTGTCCCTTTGGGGATGACTGCGCTTTCTAAAAGTAAACTTCGGAATAGGGTCTTTATCCTGAACTTTTTCTGTAATAACAGCGGGAGGCATGATCTCCTCGACAGAGATTCGAGGAATTTTGGCCTCCGCTACTGCATCCACTATGACCGGAGTAGCGGAAGCAGATGTTGGAGTCGCGCTATACTCACTAATCTTCGGGGGTGAATAGCCGTCGTCTGTCAAAGAATTGTAGTAGTCGTCATCTATGGTGTATTCCCCGAGCTGTGCAAGTTCCCTTTTCATGCTGGACAGATCTCTGTTTGAGGGATCTATTGTTAAGCTGTGTCTCAAGACTTGGAAAAAGTCGAATGACATGGTGGAAAAGATGTCAAAAAGGGCTTCTCTGTTCGCTGCAAAATAGCAAAATGATTTGTCGGTTTGATTGGCTACACTGAAGGGATTTTTGTGGAATACGATGTTGAGCATCACTATCCCAATCGCCCATATGTCAACTTTGCTGCAGACGTATGGCTCGGACCCTTCGTCACGATCCAAGTTATCTTCAAACAATTCAGGCGACATGTACCTTTCGCTACCAACGCTTCTGTCCGATGAGATCTTATCGGTGGTGGCCAGCCCCCAATCAGTCAATTTGATTTTCCAATCTGATCCCTGGATTAGAATGTTTTCAGGCTTGACATCTCTGTGATAAATTCCTTTTTGATGTACGAAGTCAATAGCTTCCATTATTTGAGACGCAATGTGTGTGATAATCTTGGTTTTTTTTGGTACTAAATCAGCTCTGATGGCTTCGTAAAGATCTCCTCCAGAGCAGTACTCCATTATGATGAAGGAATCGAAATAGTCAAACAATTCGGTGATATTCTCGTGTTTGCCCACTTTGGTGTGAATGTCCACCTCGTATAGGGCTTCGAAGCAGATGTTCTTTGAAAGACGAGAGCGCACTTTTTCTGAAATCAAAGATTTCTGATGCTTGTGTTGCTGGTTATGCGTATCATCATTTTCAGATCTTGCCGAATTCTTCTTGGAGCTGTTTTGGGAATCATGGCTGTCACTCTTGAAAATGTACTTCACTGCCACGAGTTTCTTGGTTTGAGTATCATTTGCAAGTGACACGTAGCCGTACGAGCCCTCGCTGATATCGTCGAGCTTCTTATATCGCCCACGTAGAAGTCCACCTTCCTTGTAGATATCGTAGTCCTCAGTCATTTTTGTGACTATGAACACACAGTGTTCGACAACAGGGAATAAAGCACAGCTTATAAGCGAAAGGTTTTGTTGAAGGGGTTAATGCTTCAAGCGTTTTGTGTTTCCAGATAAGATCTTATTTCTTTCTTGGAGGAATAGGGAGTTCAAATGGCCTCTTTCAAGTTCTGCTATGCGTTTCTTCCTATCACACAAACAACAATTATCCAGGCACTGGCAACTCAGAGATCTCGATTGACTGTTTCTACTGCCTTTCCAGTAGCTGATATCCAACGGTGTGATCTTTGCAGGCTATGTCACACACAGCAATTTGCCAACCTATTACACCTTCCTTGGACCCCTTTTTCTCGTTGAAAAAAGCACGTTCGCTAGAACAGCAATGGATCTGAACAATGCTCAGAAGTTACGCTCACGAAAGGCTCGTAATGGATGGATTCGTGGCTCTGAGTTTTGTTCATTCGTTATGGTGATCGAATAGACCGCAGTGTTCAAAATACTCATCTATTATCTTCACTTTCGTGAGATGTGACGTCGTTTTGTACGTGTATGACTCTCTGGGTCACGTGAGAGATAAGCATATCTGTAATGAACTGTTGGATTAACTCCTAAAGGTGTAGTTTATTCTTAGAGTTTCTGAGAGATTCTTTTGTGCGTGTCTGTGTGTCTGCGTTTTCGTTGTGTCCGTTCAACTAGATTATGGGTGCAGCCACAATTCGTGTGAGACGTTCGAACAGATATGCTGCCAGTTCTGCTGCATTCAGGATCACCACAACGGATTGAAGAGTATTTCGACGAGGATCCTCGAAAATGACGAATACGAGCTGGTGTGAAGTCCGTTACGATTTGCTTGTTGTGTTTGTGTGCTAAAAGCGAGAATTGGACGACTTTAGCAGATGATATTGCTTATTTCGATGAACGAGAGTTTGACGATGGAGTTTTGGGGAAAAACGATGATGACCAGACAAATGGCAGATAGATCCTCAGAAGCTTGCAGGTATGGGAAGGGCTGCGATGGTTGATTGACAACGACTACATCGTTATGATCAAGTAGTTGGTTGACTTATGGATATCGAATCACATCTCAGATCATTTAGCTTTAAATTGACATTTTGAAGAATTCGTGTAACATGATTAGATGCGATGAGATGCGATGAGATGCGTTTCGAAAGATGTAACGACACATTTTCTCACGATAGAGCATGCATTTGACTTCCGTTTGACTTCCGTTTGACTTCCTTTTGACTTCCATTTGACTTCTGCTTTCCTAACCTTTTGCTTATTTTCATTGTGGATGGGTGTCATTACAATTATTTACAGCCCTGTCACGTCAGGTTCCGGTTTAAACGACCAGCAGTTGAGTCTGAAAATGGACCGAGTTTTCAATTCAAAGAAGTGCTTCTGGCTAGTGCCGATACAGTTGTCCGTGTACTCTTTTGGTATTTGATCTTCAAGAGCCAAAATCTTTATTAACTCATGTGACTGAATATTTCATGTCTGACTCTCATCTCATCAGCACATACCGATACACCCTCGAAAGAGACTTTTTATGGTCTTTATCGCCAGGATACGAGCTCTGAATGCATTCAGACTTCGAACTCCATTTTGCATTCCAGCTGGTAGCAAAAGGTTTGTTTCTCTGCGTCCATATCAAGAAGAATGCATTGACAAATGTGTTAAATCGATAAACCAAGGCCAAAGACGCATTGGTGTGTCATTGGCCACCGGAGGCGGAAAAACGGTCATCTTCTCTAATCTTATTGATCGATTGCGTCGTCAGTCTGATCAGGATCGATACCGTACTTTGATTTTGGTTCATAGACGAGAATTGGCCCTTCAAGCATGTAAAGTGCTGAAGACCTTTTTTCCACACTACAACGTCCAAGTTGAGATGGGACGTCTGCATTGTGATATCGAATCGGCCGACGTTATCGTGGCATCTCTTCAGTCGCTGACTCGGAGACTTGACAACTATAATCCTAATGACATTGACCTTCTGATCATCGACGAAGCGCACCATGCGGCTGCTAACTCATACATCAAGGTTCTCAAGCATTTTGAAGCTGATAGCAGTGACACTCGAATTCCGGTTATCGGATTTAGTGCCACTTTTGAAAGAGCAGACAGTAAAGCTTTATCCAGCGTGATGGACGAGATCGTGTATCATCGCGGCATTATAGAAATGATCGATGACAAGTGGCTATGTGAGGGTCGTTTCACAACGGTTGATGTGAGACTAGACCTAAAGGAGGTTTCAAGTACGTCGGGGGATTTCAATATTGATGGATTGTCCCGGGTCGTGAACACTCGAGAGATCAACAATGTAGTGCTCCATACCTACCTGCAGAAAAGAAAAGAGCACCATCTGAAATCCACACTTCTTTTCGGTTGTGATATCAAGCACATCGAAGATATGCAAGAGCTTTTCCAGAAGCATAATATCAATGCTCAGTACGTCACAGGTAAGACGCGACAATCAGAAAGGGATACGATAGTCGAAGATTTCAAACTAGGTAAGATTGAAGTACTTATGAACTGTGGAATTTTCACAGAGGGTACAGATATACCTAACGTTGACAGCATTTTTTTATGTCGACCAACCAGGTCGAGATCGCTATTAGTGCAGATGATTGGACGGGGACTGCGCCTGCACCACTCCAAAAATTTCTGTCATATAGTTGACTTTGTTGATGCCTCCAATGTAGGTGTCGTGTCCTTCCCTACTCTCGCTGGAATAGACACGAATGAAGTTCATCTCGATGAAGTTACGATTCAAGAACTTAAGCAGATGAAGGAAGATTTCATTTTACGAGAAGAGGAGAGGAAACTTCAGCAGCAAAAAGACCAGGACAACGAACGCTTGATTCACCAGAAGTTCAAAGAACTGCTTGAACAGTGTAGTGCATTTGATCTCACGCTCACGACTTTCGATGATTTTCAATCCTTTCATAAGCAAACGGCTCTTGCGTCAAATGAGAATGCGCCAGTCTACGATTCGGAACTTGGGAAAGAAATGAAATTTATTAAGGACTCGCCATACCCCTGGGTTCGCTTCGCCCGTGATGGATGGGCAATGCCTCTTGATCAGACACATCACTTGCGGATCTATAAGGAGGTGGGGAAAAATGGCGGTCCCGCAACCTATAGTGTGAAGCTCTACACGGAGCTTCCGTATAGCGTTCGACAAGAACTTGGTATGCGCTTCAAGTCCCATAATGTGAAGAAATCTCACGATTTGGGAATAGCGACTGCTGTAGTGGACAAGATTACTGAGGATTTGAAAACGGGTCCCTCAACGTCTGTCAAGAATTTCCGAAAATACGCGCCTTGGAGACTGACGCCTGCAACTTCGAAGCAGCGAGCGCTCGTTGATGCTAAAATTAGCAAGATGTTATCGAAGGATGACTCCAAATCTTCCTCTTCTCTTTCAAGAACGCAAGTTGATAGGTATCTTGCTGGCTTGACCAAAGGAGAAGCATCCAATCTTCTGTTTGCATGTGGCATAGCCCCTATCTACCCACTGAAAGCTCTATGCAAAGCACTTCCGTATAAGTTTTCCTGAAAGATGAATGTCCAAAGAGACTTGACAAGTATACGGGATGGACTACAGTGGGGCAAAGTAGCAGAGCCGTTGTGATTGAAGCCGGTGTAAACTATAATATTGACAATTTCTCGAACAATAGAGACGTCTCGGAGTTTATTGGACCACCAAATACTATCTCAAATACCACTGCAAGAATGGTGAGACCAACATCGCAGCTGTGGCATCTTTTACCTTAAAAATAACCTTTACTAAATGTTGGCGACGTCAAAATAAACCGGTATGACTATTTCTTCGCCAGAAGTCCGTTTTGAAAGCCGACAAAGAGCATTTCAAATCACCAAAAATACGTGGCTTTTTCAAAGTACTCCAGCCCTCCATTGGTCACTCTAGGATGCTCTAAAGTCTTTTTAGTTGCCAGATGCCAGTTTACTTTTACAGCGACACCGTATAATTTCGTGACATATTGTATGTTTTGAAAAATTAGACCTATAACGAACAATGCGAAGACCATCGCAGGGATTCAGGAACGCTTGAGAAGCTGCTAGTCCCAAAGCTTTAGACTTTGAAATTCAAAATGTACGATATCTTTCAAATACCAGTCCCTGTAAAAACGTTATTTAACAAACTACCGCTTCAAACTTATGGCCCTGTTGACAAACAGGACGATGCCCTTGAACATGAGTTCAATGCTAGAAGCTATGCATTTGAGGGCACAGAGGCCGTACAGAAATCCATCAACAACACGTTCCAAGTAGGCGTGTATAAAATGGCTAAAGATCCTTCTTCCGGCTGTTTTCTAGCCTCGGACCCATGGTGTTTGTTTACACAACTATCACTGTGCAAAAAGAACCGGTTAAGGTTACCTGGTGGCAACAAAACTCAAGCAATTGTGGATTCAAAACCCGTCTACGCTCACTCAGTGCTCGAGCTGTCGCCATTGGCGTCCACAGACTGTTTCTTGCCCGTTTTGGTCGAGGGCTATGCCAAAAGACATGTTCGCTCCGCAGCAGGCATAAACGAGATCCTGATGTCTCGATTTAGCGGTGCAGAGGAGCGCATGTATGCCCTGCTGCTGGACTCTGTGGTTTACGACTGCTATATGTCCAAGGTGCTGTACAGACTGACTACAGGCCAGTTTTTCGAAGTCTACGGTGGGGAAACGACGTCATCCGCCGCGAATATGTTAATTTCGCAAAATCACCGCAGCGATTTGAGCAGAAGAAACGATTTCTCGCTACGCAATCGTGAATTGGCGTCGAAATGGCGTCTTCCGGGCGTTTCTGGTTCCGATGGTCCTGGACAGCTACTTAGCGTAATTGACGAAAACTGTTCGAGAACATTGCTGCAATTTCAAGACCTACTGAAAAAATCCACGACGTTGTTTTTCCTGACAAATCAAGATCCCTCGTACCTTGATCTCAAGCTAGCAAGCTACGTCTACTGTCTCTTGAATCTGCCACAGCACCAAAACTCCATTACTGATTTCCTACGTCAAGAGTGCTCTACACTGGTCGAACACACCCAAAGAGTCATCGATCATTTTTCCTAAAATGATCTCGAGCACACGCAATGGCGGGCTCGAGCGATCGCAGGGCTCATCATCTGGAGCTACCAGTCTTCAACTCTTTTCCTATGTTATTTTTTTGGGTCGGACTTTTTAGCCGATTCCAAGAGAGTCCTTGAGCAAAACAAAAAAATGCGTCAATGCGTTAAGAGAGGCCCAAATGTGGTATTCCTAATGCCCAAACAAGCTATTGAGCGCCCCCAAGGATTCGCTTTGTTTAGGTTCAGTTTCACTACTGACACCTTTCTAATCCCATCTCTGGGCTCGTGCGAAATGCGCAGGACCTCTAATTGCAGAATTCTAGTAGAACCTCAAACTTTCCAAACCCTTTGCAGCACTTCAATCGAAGAGGTTTGTTCGCTAACGACCCTTTGAAGACTCAACTGTTTCAGGTTGAAACCACCGGAAGATTCTGAAACAGCTGTGGAAGTTTTATAAAAGTCTGGAAGTGTGTTAAAGAAGTGGAATAGCTTTTGGTGAACAAAAACCAGCTTTAAACGGCCTTGGAATAGACAATACAGGTTAGAATTCGGGATCAGAGAGGAAAGATTGGAAACGGATCCTTTGACGGAGAAGAAAATAGGCCTTTAACAGTTTTACCTGTGATCGATTTGTGCTTTTTTGTTTGTCTTTCTCGTTAGATCTCGAAAAGCAGTGATTTATCTCAAGACGGACAAAAAGAATCCAGATTCAGGATACACAAACAAGGTCTAGTTTTATTGATCGATTGTTTAGATTCCGACATTGTTCTGGAAGTGAAAAAAGGTGACCGCTTCTCTTTTGAGCCCTTTTTCTTGCTTTTGGTGCTTTCTGTCTCTTCTTCATTCTAGAAATCGGTCGATGGGATGCCGGGAGGCATAAAAATTGAAAAAGAGGAAGTCATCACGACCGGCAGAGATGGCAAAAGGTGTGAATACGACTCGGATGAAGTGGAAGAATCACTCCGTCTGATTGAAGATGTCAAGTTTTTTCTCGCTACGGCCCCTGCAAACTGGCAAGAAAATCAAATTATCCGCAGATACTACCTGAACAATGACCAGGGTTTCGTCTCGTGCGTTTTCTGGAACAATCTGTACTACATCACAGGTACGGACATCGTCAAATGTTGTGTGTACCGCATGCAAAAATTCGGGAGGGAGGTTTTGGACCGCAAGAAGTTCGAAGAAGGCATTTTTTCAGATCTGCGACATCTTAAATGTGGAGTTGACGCTACTCTCGAAACTCCGAAATCTGAGTTTCTGTCGTTTTTGTTCAAAAATATGTGTCTCAAGACTCAAAAAAAGCAGAAGGTCTTCTTCTGGTTCAGCGTACCGCACGATAAATTGTTCGCAGATGCTTTGGAAAGAGACATGAAGAGGCAAAATTCAAGTCAAATCTCGACGACGCGTGCTATCAGCGAGCCCGCTCTTTCTTTCACTTATGACGATCGTCTGGGGCTCTCATTGTACGACCAACTGGTACAACATATGCAAGTGCAGCGCTCTAGAAATTCAAAAGCATCTACGGTAGATCCAATCTCGCCTTCTGCAAATACCACTTGCAGTTTCAACCCAACCGATACAAAAGTCACCGAGCCTTTGGAAGGTAGTCCTGGCGACGTTAAAGATGAGAATGTCGGCATGGACGTTGAGTTGGCTGCCGAAAACATGGAATCGAAATTTGTAACTCAGCACTCGGCCTTGAACCCTCCACAGGGCTCACCTGATGAGCTGGACTTGAATCCGATTTCGCAACCCATCCGTTTTACTAAAGAAAATGGTGAACAAGACGATTTTCCTCTGGACTATTTCCCAGTCGAGATTGAATATCCAGACGAATCGTTGAAATCCAGCGCAGCAAACTTTTATTATGAAAATGATCTCGATGCAGGCTACATTCCTTTGTCTGCAGTGCCTCCGGTGTCCGCCGGCTTTTATGAAAATTCACACTTCCCGGAAGAAGTCACATTTGCACCTCCGCCTGTAAATTCAGCAGCAAGACTCGTATTTCAAGTCCCACCTCCACCAATGTCTGCCTCGCGTTCTCAACTCATAACCAATGGCGAATATTATGCATCATATGTCAAGGAGCAGGAAGAGCGCAGTAATGAGAGGCTTTCGCCTGAATTTGAGCAAGATAAAGATAGTCAGGAAGCATCGGGATATCCTCGCGACTTAGATCGAAACTCGAGACAGGTTCCATCTGGACACAGGCAAGGCATAGACAGCAGGGCATACCATAATGGCTATAACATGGGATCTGTTTACCCAAACAGATATGCATATCCTCCCATGGAATTTCAACAGCAAGGTACGCTTGATCCTGTGATGAGTAGAAGCTACGCTATGGAGGACTATCTTTCGGACAACGCCGCGCTTTACGATTCATACCCAGCAGGTGCTTATTGTCCCCCCGCTAAACCATATACTCCAGCGTATCGGCTGACGCCGGTAGCACCCACAACTCCCTTTTTGGGTGGCACAACCTACGGTAACAAACAATTGCCCATTGGTCAAGCAAAGAACCATCCCATCAATCCATATTATCAGTCTTCTCCAAACTTCCAACGCTGGAACAACGTACATGGATACTTGAGAGGTTTTCCATCAATTCAAGCAACCTCAGCACCTCAAGTCCAACCACACACAATGCAACATCCGCATTCTGCGTCCAAGTCATATTTCAATAGACCTAACATGGTTCACAAGGGGTCCGCAAGAACGCCGATACAAAGGGCACGCGTCAAAAAGCCGACCCCGGTATCTCGCTCTGCTATGGCATATCACTCCAATCATGGCAAGAGTGACGCCGGTCAAGACCTGACTAATATACGCATTTCATCGCCAGGACCTAGTATCAAAGACGACTTTCCTTCTAACGATTATAAGGATACTCTTTCGAGAAAAGTTGAGGATCGAAAGACACTTTACAAATGACGTATGACTTGGGTTCAAAGTAACCCCTATGCATTCAGAATTTTAGCGGCTAGCATCTGTGTAAAAAACACGCGCTCTAGCTATTTGTAAGTGCTTGTATGTATCATTATATCTCTTCGTTTTATTCATCGGCGCCCGCATTTGGGTTCTCCTCTAGAAATTGTTCTAGCGACATTTGGGTCATTTGATTGAGCAAAGCCTCGTCTTGCACCATTTCCAATCTCGTCATAGCCAAATCATCATCACTGACAAAGCTGTTGATAGTTTCTATAACATCTTCAGTCTGCCTATCGTGAGCTTGTGGTGGTAAAACATCGAACTCGTAAACGTCTCTTTCTGACCACAATTCCTCGGGAACACACGCCATTAACGACGACTCTTGGGACAAAATTGCAAAACGCAGTAGATTCACCGGCATCGACTCTATAAAAAATGGTGAATGTGATTCTCTGGTGTTAGGCGGAACTAACGGTAGGGCTCCGGATTCGCTCTCTTGGGAAATGGTAATTAATTCATCCCGCAAGAAGCTGAGCTCTGTTTCGCCCCAAACCGCCTTCATTCTTAAAAGGTATGCTTTCAGCTCGATCGTCACGGCTGGGGTTGGCCATGCATCTTTTATTTCTCCCATGGAAGACTTGTCCCCCAAACATTCTTTTTCGAAAATGGTTTGCAAAGACAAGGCATGATGAGAATATGCTTTTCTTAGTTCGGCCCTAGCGGCATCTTCGAGTCCGAGTTTCAGGTAAGAGAGAACAAACCCGAGAGCCATTCCAAGGGTGTACCAATTGCTGTAAGTATTAATTAAAGGCGACTTTGCAAGTTTTGCCATGAAATCAAAGTCTTTGTTCATCAGCAAATAATGATCTATGAAGTACCTGCAACCGAGAGGATCTTCTAATGGGGATAGAGACCAGAGAGTTTTGCACCATTCCGCAGCAGTGCCAATTGCCCCTCTCTGTGAGAGAACTTGAATGTACCGGAAGATAGCAAAGTAGAACTGTCGGTTGAAAAAGTAAATGTATGGCAATTGACATGATGTCCCATTGAAAACGACATGGGATCTTAAAGCACGATCAAAAACGAAAAGTGCTCTCTCTACAAGCCCATTACTATTACTCTTATCACCTTCTCTTACCAAAATAAGGGCCACTTGCAGAAGAGCTGGGACATGATACGGGTGTTTGGAGGATAAAAGTGCTATGAGCGCTTCGTGATCAGGATGCAATACAACACTCATGTAAAACTCGGTCATGGCCTTCCGGGTGGCTTCCGAATTACTAGGCTCGAATTTATAGAAACACAAACCTGCCTTCAGTAACTTGTCAATCGAGCTGTCAATCTCCTCGGCCCAGTCCTGGGGCCGTTGCCAGTACTGCCATTTTTTGATCTCTGGCAGGGTAAGCTGTGTAAGTACAAGTTCACCACGGGTCGTGGGGATCCAATCGTCTCTTATTTTGGTGAATGCAAGTCTTCTAGTCGTGGAGCCGTTGGGAACCGATTTGCGGTCTCTGCCGCCCCAATTTCTCACCATGTGGCGTAGTTTCTCGATTTGTTTCATCGCCTGAGGAGAAACATGGGTAGAAGTCATAGAATCAACATCTGCTAGTGAATCGGATGAGATATCATCAAACAGCAATTTGTATTCGTAGTCTGGGTTCAATTTTTTCATGTCAATCAGCCCAAAGATACGTTTTAGCTCTGCGAATGAGGTGAACTTGAGGAATCCCAGATCGGTGGAGGAATGGACATTTTGATCGTCGGAATATTGGCTTTCGTCTTCGTTGGCTGTATCGAAGTCTTCGGAATCATCAGAATGCACGGTCTTTTGGCCGCCCGATTTCCTCTCTAGCTCTGAATCCTTTTGTCGAAACTGTTCCAAAATACGATCTAAATCCTCGTCACTGTCGCCTGGAGAGGTCACGTCAACATTTTCTGGTGTATTGGACCTGCTGTTTTCACTTTTCTTGTTTTTCTGCTTATTCTTCTTCTTATTCTTCTTCTTTTGCGACTTCGTCGCAATTTTGGGGGTTACCGGTTTATCAATCACAGCAGGCTCAAGCTCCTGGTGTTCTTCATCTGAGCTTGCGTGCACAGAGTCTGATGCTTCACCTTCGTCATCGTCGTCGCCCATCAAGGCGAAAATGTTGACCGCTTTTACTCTTTGCTGCTGATCATCATCGCGAGCTTCGTTTTCGGCTTCATTCGAGCCCAAATTTGCCAGACTTTGTTCCAAACTATTCTGCTGGAGTCTTCTTAACGCTCGGGAGCTCATGGTGAGGCTTTTGGTATCGATAGGAGACGAACGTTGGCGGTTTGGTAGTTGAGATCAACCTTTAGATGATGATGATGCCAATTACATTTCGATATTTGTCCATATCACTATGTACTACTCGGTCATCAATGACAGTGAGTTTTGTAAGAGAATATCGCGGTCAACAGCAGGGATTTTATCGATCCAGCGCACCAGTATTTTATATGAGCTATCGGGTGGCAGTTTGACAAGAGTTTTTCAAGGCTTCTTGTATCGCGATATTTCTGACGACAGTGAATTTCAATATTCTTGATCACTGTGATCTCATCTCGAGCACCGTGCCAAAAGTTTCGCGAGTCTAAGAAATAGTCACAGAATAATTGTGCTGTACTCAATGTGATCGACATACTCAAACTTCTTCACTATTTTGCTTGTGCAAAAGGTATGAAATAGCGTGAACAATATATCATTTTCTCTAACGAGGTGATTCTAGTGATGAACAAAATATTCAAGAGAGAAAGAAATCTCAAACCAATAGGAATAATTGGTCAATGATTGGCGGACACCTAGTACCAAATTTAATCAATCGAATAGGTATTCAAAATTTCAAAATATACCTGCAAAAAACATACGTGGCGTTGGTTTGGAAAGAAGCTGTATAAGGATTCGAACTCCGTAGATTATTAACCATTAATCCAGTAAAAATTCAGGTTGTGCAATTGACCAAAAAGCAGTCCTTCAGTATCATAAAATGGGACACTTTCTTTCAAAACTGTCACTTCGCGATCAATGTGACGTAGGCGTCACTAGAGAGCTAGCTCATCTATGAAATTAATGAAAAATTTCAGCTCATCGCAGACCTAGATCTTAAGGAATCAAGAATACAACAGCATTGAATAGCACTTTCTGGTAGCCCAAAACAGATTGCAAGACATAGTGCTTGAACTGCATGCATTGATTTCACTTACCAACTTTTAAATACAAAAAATGGCCAAGAAAAAGACCCTCAAACAGCAAGATTTCCAGAAGAAAAAGCTAAAGGTCGGTAAGCCGCGACAACAGCCCAGTAATGTGACGGATACATCCTTTTCTGCACGTATGATATCGCTGCCGAACCAGACCAAACTGAAAAGTGCGGGAGGTAACAATAATGCAGCAAGCGGCGAAAAACTGGAAAATGACGTTCTCAAGCGTTTGTCGCTGTGTAAGCATCACAGCGCAGTTACTAGAAAAGAAACTCTGGTATATTTCAAGAGTTTGGTTCCGAAAATCATTCGCAGTAAAAGTATCACACCCATGCTCAACAGTTGTCTTCCGATGATATGCGACGAGGACGCCCAGGTAAGAGCTGCATTGCTTGAGCTTTTCGAAGAACTGGGGCAATATGACCAAAACGTGCTCCGTCTACACAGCAGAGCGCTCGTCTTATTCATAAACAGCAGCATGACACATATCGTCCCAGCGGTTCAACGAGACTCGGGAAATTTTCTAAAATGTATCTTGCGGTATTGTGGAGATGAGCTGGTCCGGAACTCGTGGGCCAAATTGCTAAAGGGACTGTTTGGGGTCTTGGGATGGTCTGTAGAGACCTCTAAAAACGCCAAAAGTGTCAGCATAGGCGTCAAAAGCTCGAGCGTGGTCAGCATGAACAGTGCAAAGGCCAAAAAAGCGCAGCAATCCAACATCGAGACTCTACTCGAGTTCGTAAGGTGCGGTTGCATAGAGAAAACCTCCGAAAGTGATCGCGACGGTGCTGCCCCTCATTCTGCATACAGCAAGTACCTCATACCTGCTGCTCCACAGCCATTTCAACATTTGAAGCTCTTCGTGCGAGAGCTGAAGAGTGATCAAACAACCAGTGGCTCCAAATTAGAAGAAGTGATGAACGTTACTCTTCAGGATTTCGCCGCACGACGTGAGGTACTCCTTGCATACTTTTATGAGCCAATGCTGCATAATTTATCCGGCATTATTATTGGCGGGGGTGAATGTGGCAGAACTGCCAACGTGTTAAAAGACGTGCTTGAAGAAATCAGAGAGCTGCAAGAAGCTCAGAAGGGGATGTGAGAGAGTCGCTTTACCGAGCCAGACTGTCTTAGCGAGAAATGCATCAAATTATTTCTGCATCGAGATCTGATAGTCGGAAACAACGAGTGATGATGGGAGCATTCTTTCAGAGAGCATTCTTTCATTGAATGCAGATAGTGCTTTGTCGCTCAGACGTGGGAATCGCAAGCGTTTGCACATCCTCAGTTTCACGAAGCACCAAGAAAGCAGGCGTACGAGCACTCTCAAGATACTCTGCCGATCCATCCAATCACTCTGTACTAATCTGTCATTTTTTGGATATTTCGGCGACGATACAATTAATAGACAAGAATCCATTCGAGAAGTTCAAAACCAATTCAAATTTCATATCGGGAAACAAAGCTGTGATGCACGTTCCTTTAAAGCTCTTATTATATAGCAGCTTACGCACTAAAATGTGAGTTCAACTATATAGAACCACTCTTAGTACTCTGTTTCCGTCACGTGATCTTCAAAAAGCTCACAGACACGTGCTCATCGTGTCAAGAGACTTAGGATACATATTCTTGAAGCCCCTGATAAACAAACATATAAACACAACACACATTTCAAATCTTTAAACCAAGCTCAACTCAGTTTACCTAACAAAGTATTCTAGACACAGTGTGTTTGGAAAGCTTAGAATCTCTCACTACGGGCTTCCGAAAATAAGCTCACTCGGAATTGTCGAGGTCTCAGTTCGAGCAGCTAAAAAACCAGCTATAGACGCTTTCATCGCTGATCCCGAAAAAAAGGTTTTGACATTCGAGCACTCTTCCAGTAACAAGGCTGTCAGTGTCTTAAGTGGTGAATTAATCTGATCAGAAACCGCGAACTTGTCAGCACTTTTGGTGAACTTTTGTCCATCTACTTTCAGCTTTTTTGGCGTTTTGGCCCGTTAATCGTTTTTTACTTGCTCCAGGCTGGGCTTCGCTCCACTTTTGGCTCAAATTCAGTAAGCGATTATTCCATATTGGAGCCTGTGTCTTTTTCCCACAGTTTGGTCTTTGTTTTTGCTCTTTTTTGACTAGTTCTCTTCCGCTTTTCTATTTTATTTTACCAACATTTGCAGGCTCAAATGTCCTTCAGTTCTTCTCCCGGGTCCTTGAACTATAATAATAATAATCACAGCGATTATAAGAGACGAATTCCTACTCAACAAGCACAGTATCCGTCCGAGCAAATGTCTTCTTCTTCTTCTAAGCCTAATTCCCTATATATGGGCGATTTGGATCCCAGCTGGGACGAGGACACGATCCGCAAGATCTGGGCCTCTTTGGGAGAGCCCAACGTGCAGGTCAAATTGATAAGGAACGCAGGATCGTATGGTAATAATTCGGGCTACTGTTTTGTGGAATTCGTGTCTCACTCCAATGCCTCTAATGCGCTGCTGAAAGATGGTCTCCTGATTCCAAATACCAGAAACAAGGTGCTTAAGTTAAACTGGGCTACTTTCGCCACAACACCCGGCACGGAACATTCCATTTTCGTCGGAGATCTGGCCCCTAACGTGGCAGAAGCGCAGCTGTTTGAACTCTTTATTTCCAGGTATGCCTCGACTTTGAACGCGAAAATCGTCTTTGATCAGATTACAGGCGTATCAAAAGGTTACGGCTTTGTGAAATTTGGTCAGGAGTCTGAGCAGCAGAGAGCTCTCATGGAAATGCAAGGCACATTTCTTAATGGAAGAGCAATTCGGGTTAGCACCACATCCAAGAACAAAAACAAATATCAAACCCAGACTCAGCAGACATATCACTCACCACAGCCACAACAACAGCTGCAACAAAACTATTCGCAACATTTTCCAGCTGCAACTTCAGGGAACTTGCAATCCGGAACTGCCCAGTCTCAATTCATTTACCCCGTTCAGCAACAGCCGGCACTTACCCAGTACACAGACCCGCACAACACAACGGTATTTATTGGTGGGCTGTCAGCTCTAGTGACAGAGGAAGAGCTGCGCGCTTATTTTCAACCTTTTGGCTCAATTGTGTATGTCAAGATTCCTGTTGGTAAAGGATGCGGCTTCGTGCAATATGTGGACAGGCTTTCGGCCGAAACTGCAATCTCCAGAATGCAAGGATTTCCTATAGGCAATTCTCGGATCAGGCTGTCCTGGGGACGTAGTGCAAAACAAGCCGTGCTAATGCAACAGGCCTTTTCTTCCTCTCATGCCAATCAACAGCAGCAACAGCAGCAACAGCAATTGCAACAGCCACCGCAACCACAGCAGTTACCTTTGACATCATCTAATTACCCCTATGAGGGCCAACCGGCCATGCCTACTGCTTACGGTTATTCAAGTACATGGGATACTTTGAATGGCAGCTACATGCCATTTTCTTTGTCTTCACTCAATTCCACCACGGAGGCAAGCACTCAGTCCTCGACGTCGCTACTCGGTGGTTTGAGCACTTTGCGTTACCATGGAGAGTCCGCGGATTCGCCTATGGTTGGAAACGCTTTCAGTTACTCCCCAACGTACGCCAAGTCTCAAGCAGTGAATGTAGCCAATTCGCCCGACATCCGCCAGTCGAATGATCCCTCCGCTTACGAAGTTTCTTCAAAACCACAGTTTATGGACATTTACGTCAGAGGAAAGTCTGAGACCATGGATAGACTGGAAAAGGGAAGTAACGGCTTTATTTTTGCCTAAGCTGCGCGAAAAACCCTTCTCAGGCTATCGGTTGGCCATGAATTGATCTCATTTGCTATCTTCTATCTGGTTATCGTTGGTCCAAGCGTAATCTCCTAATAGACTAAACGAATTAGAAACCGTTCCGATCGCCAGCGAACAGTTGTCGTATTGTGCCGAAAGTTCGCAACTGGCCACACAGAAACATGATATTCATCGATTTGACTTTTAAACCATTGATTGGTATTGTATTCAAATGTTTGTTCTTTTCCAAGTAAATAATATAAAAAATCCGCTTTATGTTCGCGTTATGAGTTGGGAAGTATAGCTACTGCCAGGCTCGAGAAGACTAGTAAGAGGAACTGGTCGAGTAATTATAATATGGTTTAATTACCCATTAAAAAATCAAAAAACTCCGCGACGGGGAATTGAACCCCGGTCCCGGGCGCGACAAGCCCGAATTCTAGCCACTAAACTATCGCGGATTGAATCTGGAGTATCTAGAACTTGGTCTCTATATAAGTCAAGCTAAAGGTCAGCTGCTTCTAGTAAAAACCATATTTCGATGACGTCTGTCACTCAGTATTGTGGGTCTAAGCTTGAAGGGGTTCACCGCAAGCAGGAAGTAGTATCTCACGCTGAGCCTTTCACATTAAGCCGTTTAATTTCGAATGACCAGCGCAACGATTCAATCAAAAGTCCGTATGGTCGTCAAATTTGCTGACGCATCGACAAAGCCTTTTCGATTTGATAAGGAGAATCCGCTAATCTTGAATTTTCCAAACAACAAGAGCCTTCTTAGTCATCTGAACACTTTGTAGCTGAGTTTTTATACCACATGAGTTAACTCACACGCCTGAGGTGATGAAGCCCTTGACCAATCTTAATGTCAGGTCTATCGAGAAACAATTAAAAAGTGTCAAACAACAAAAAACCAAGAAAACAAGCAAGACAAAATAGGACATTCATCTTTATTTCAATCTCTTTGCCGTACCTCAGTTTGTGCGGAATCAATCCACACACTCTTCCAGTCACCACGGCTTTCCCGAAACTTTCAAAAATAAAGAATCTGTCATGATTTTACGAGTTTACAGCGTAGAATAAGTATTAAATAGCATCAAAAGGAGGCCCGCAAAATCAATATTTTTCCAAACCAGATAAATGAATTGATATCATAGATGTATGGGCCGGGAATGCGTTTGTTAGTTCTTTAAACTGTCTTGTAGACCAAGTCACGTTTCACGACATCCAAGTCATCTCGAATTAGATAAAATTTTCTGAACTTACAGAAGTCGCCACCTTTAATTTTCGATCCCTCACAGTACAAAGTAAACAAGTAAAATAACACCAAAGTGGCATACAACTTGCTGATACGGACGTGAAAACCTCAAAATCCAAATCTACAGGCTTTTAGAAACATTTTGATACAAGTTTCACGAGATTTGGGCAGTTCTAAATGCCAAAAAATCGCCAATTCTTTGTTTTGTTTTCAATACTAAAATTATTGACCTAAGTAAACCATTCACACAATCTGGGATGTTTGAACTTGAAGGACATGAAAGACATGAAGAGCAAGTTGCAGAGCTTAAGTTCAACTATGACTTGCTGATCAACGAGCTTTATCATCTGAAGGAATACACTTCGCTGGTCGAATTTGATCCATGCTTCAGAAACTCGTCAGACAGCTTTGAGCATTTTGTGAAATCCAGCGGCTTGGGACTTCCAAGTGCAGACAGCAGAGAAATAGAAGACGTCAAGGACTCACGAAGGATACGAAGAAGACAGACCAGGAGTGAGCCACTGGTGGCCACCGAAAACGGCTGGGGCCCGAATGTGGAGGGTTTGGTCGATGAAAGATACAAAGAACTGGAATGTAAACTGGAAAACAAACCATATAAACGTAAAAAGACGGCCAAGAAGGAAGCAGTTCCTGCTGCGAAAAAGCCAAAACTGGAACCCAAGGTGGAACAACGACTTGAACCGCCAACCACAATGCCCATCAAGCAGGAGGATAAAACCGTGGCTCTAACTTCCGTACCTAAATTGTGGCCAAATGACGGACCATCGACGACAATTGCGGACGACCCTGCTTGCAATAGCTCGTACTACACATCCTCGTCCTCCGAAGACGAGCGAGAAGCTAGAAAAAGGCAGAAAAAACGCCCTCGCGTTCGAATTGACGTCCATCCGCCCAAACAGACGGTCACCAATCCATTGCATGTTTTGAAACCCGAATACAAAAGCTTACGGGAATTTTTAAACTCCTATCGATCTCTCGACGAGGATATGTCGGTAGAAGACTACAACAAATACATTGATGATCAGAAAAATCTGTTCTCTAAAATCCGCAAAGGTTTGGAGAGTGGAGTTCTCCAGTATGATTACGAAACGGACTCACTACAAGCCATAACTCTAAAGGATGCGTCTGGCGTACAAGCTCATAGGCCAGAGGCCATAACTTATCTCTACAAAGAACAACAGCAGTATACGTTTTCAGATCATTTGATTAACCATGGTATCTTCTTGACCAGGCGTTTTCAAGAAATTAAGAAAGCTCGCGCTGCAAACATCAGAAAAATTACGCTAATGGTCGAACAGCATTTCAGGCATGTTGCTGGTGCCGAAGAACGTCAGCAAAGAGAGGAGGAAAAGCGGTTGAAGACACTTGCGCGGACGGCAGTGCAGGCGGTGAAGAAAAGATGGCTGGTCGCTGAAAAGGCCTACCGAGTTCTGAAGAAAGACGAAGAAGATCAGCTTCGAAAAATTCAGGGTAAAGAGCATCTCAGTAAAATGCTTGAGCAAAGTACACAGCTATTAGGAGCACAATTCAAACATTCAAGTCATGGCGAAAGTGATAAGGAACTCAACACCTCAGCAAGTCATAGCGACGTGGAACACAGTGATAGTGACAATGATAGTGACTCGTTCAGTTCGTCTTCTGAAGAAGATTCTTCCGTTGATGGTGAAGATGACGCAGGGCTCTCTGTTGAACAGCTCCAAAGCAAATACGCTGGTTTAAACGGTCTGCGAGATAACTCAGGCGCAGAAACGGGATCACAGACCGAGCTTTCGACGGTTGAGACTTCTCCAGATTTGGAAGCGGCACCACAGCTAACCGAGGTGGAAAAGCTCAAATTGAAAGAAGACGAAGAAAATCAAAGTAACAAATTGCTTGACGAAAGCACAAGCGACGATTCGGATTCAGACTCTGATTCGGCTTCGTCGGTTGAGAATAATGAGCATATTAAGGAGAATGACGAAGAAATGAAAGATAATGAACAGAAGACTGGCGGTCTATCTTCTCTATTTGAAAACATTGAAGAAGGCGAGTCTGAAGGTGAGTCTGATTATGACTCTCCTGTTACTAGCGAGAGCGGGTCTAGCGAAGATGAGGGGGTCGATGAAGCATCTCGTGAACAGCCGGACGTTGCGTCCGAGCTGGAAGACGGTGCCGGCAACGATGTCAAGGAAGGATTGGTGAAGGACGTTCTGGAAGACCAGGACGAGTCGGCAAAGGAGATTCAGGAAGACCCATTAACAGTGGTAGATGTTCCACTCCCATCTCTGCTTCGGGGAGAATTGCGAGTATATCAAAAGCAAGGACTCAATTGGCTGGCTTCTCTGTATAATAACAACACAAACGGGATTCTTGCAGATGAAATGGGTTTGGGGAAGACCATTCAAACCATTTCGCTGTTGGCATATTTGGCGTGTGAGAAGCAAAATTGGGGACCTCATTTGATTGTTGTACCAACATCTGTATTGTTGAACTGGGAGATGGAGCTGAAGAGATTTGCTCCGGGTTTCAAGGTTCTAACATATTATGGCTCTCCTCAACAGCGTAAGGAAAAGAGAAAAGGATGGAATAGACCGGATGCCTTCCATATCTGTATTACCTCATATCAACTGGTGGTTCACGATCAGCATTCTTTCAAAAGAAAGAAATGGCAGTATATGATATTGGATGAGGCCCATAACATCAAGAATTTCAGATCAACACGTTGGCAGGCGCTGCTTAACTTCAACACCGAAAGAAGGCTGCTACTAACTGGTACCCCTCTTCAAAATAACCTGGCCGAGCTATGGTCTTTGCTTTACTTCTTGATGCCGCAAACAGCGGTTGGGAAAAATGGGGGCATACAAGGTTTTGCTGACCTGGAGGCATTCCAGCAATGGTTTGGACGCCCTGTTGATAAAATAATTCAGACAGGTGACGGCTACCAACAGGATACCGAAACGAAAAAGACCGTGGACAAGCTGCACCAAGTTTTGCGTCCTTATCTCTTACGGAGATTGAAGGCTGATGTTGAAAAGCAGATGCCCGCGAAACACGAGCATGTCGTATACTGTCGTCTGTCTAAGAGGCAAAGATACCTGTACGATGACTTTATGTCTAGAGCTCAGACAAAGGAGACCCTTGCAAGCGGAAACTTTATGTCAATTATCAATTGCTTGATGCAATTGAGAAAAGTTTGCAATCATCCAGACCTTTTCGAAGTGAGACCCATTTTAACTTCACTTTGTATTGACAAAAGCATTACCAATGATTATACCGGTGTTAATGAATTTATGATAAAAAAGCTACAGGCAAACCACTCTGAAAGAATAGATTTTAACACACTGAACTTGAATTTCTCTTCAAACGAATTTTTATCGTCTCACCATGCCGATAAGATCAATAAAAGTCAGTGCATTACTCAATTCACAGAAGAAGTGACTAAACTAAGAAAAAAATGGGAGGAGCACTCCAAAATCGATGCCGAAGAATCAGCATTCAACTTTCAAGATATCAATCAGTTTTACCAAAGTTTTGCTGCAAAGAAAAATGGTGACATGACCAGCAGATTACACCACTTACAATACATTAATGAGCTCAGGTGTGCACGGATACCTGTTTACGGTAGCAATTTGATAAAATTGCTGAGCATTTCCAAGACAGATGATGAAGACACGACTGCAGAAATATTTATGCCTTTGCAGACGAGAATCACCACGAACAAAACTATTATCGACAAATTTGCTGTAATAACCCCCAACGCGGTGACGCTCGACACCAGAAACTTAACCTTGGGTCTGAATGAGGAAAGTCTAATTCCATCAAGTGATAAGCAGTCCTTGAGGTACAACCTAAGACATACTAGTAACCCGCTACATCATTTGCAAACCAAGCTTGCAATTGCATTTCCCGACAAATCCTTACTTCAATATGACTGTGGTAAACTTCAGAAATTAGCAACCCTACTACGTGACTTGAAAGATCGGGGTCATCGGGCACTCATCTTCACACAGATGACAAAAGTTTTAGATATCCTTGAACAATTTCTAAACTACCATGGCTATCTTTACATGCGGCTGGATGGTGCCACCAAAATTGAAGATCGACAGCTCTTGACCGAGCGATTCAACAATGATAACAGGGTCACCGCGTTTATTTTATCGAGTAGGTCCGGTGGTCTTGGTATCAATCTTACCGGAGCAGACACTGTTATCTTTTACGATTCCGACTGGAATCCCGCGATGGACAAGCAATGTCAGGATAGATGCCATCGGATAGGGCAAACGCGAGATGTTCACATTTACAGGTTTGTGAGTGAACACACTATTGAAAGTAACATTTTGAAAAAGGCCAACCAAAAAAGACATTTGGACAACGTTGTGATCCAGCGTGGTGACTTTACAACAGACTATTTCACAAAACTATCAGTGAAGGATCTAGTCGGTGCAGAGGCGAATGAAACTCCTGTCAGCGACAAACCATTGTTGATAGATGACGACGCTGCATCAAAGGATCCACGAAAGCTGGAAAAGCTTTTGGCGCAAGCGGAAGATGCAGATGATGTGAAGGCAGCGAATTCTGCGTTAAAGGAAGTTGAAATGGACAACGAAGACTTTCAAGAAAAAAATCCGGGCGTGGAAGAGAATAGCAATGGTCCATTAGAGGATGAATTTGAAGGGACAAGTCATGTGGAAGAATACATGATTAGATTCATTGCGAACGGTTGTTATTACGATTGAAGCAGGGCTTGAAGATGGCTGGATGAGCATTGCGTTGAAGATGGGAAGAGTAGACTTCAAAAATTACGATTTGGCGGCGTGCGATTTCGACGACTCAAATGATATTCATGAAGTGTTCGTAAAGATACTTCGATTTTTTGTTACGATTGGTTTTGAAATGACGACGGTATAATGGCATGTAAATTAGGCATAAATGTTGATGAACTTGACTGTCTTGGTGAAAGCAAGCGCTGTTTGAGTATGCGCTGTGTGGTGAAGGTGATGTCAGGATATAGAGGACACATGCGTAGCTAGCGATACATAAACCGTCCACAAGGTTAAAGTTTGGTGATCGAATAACGGAAAGATTGCAAGCCGGACAATATACAACTCGGTTTTGGAACGAAGTACGCTCGGCAATAGCATGGACGTGATTGGACGACTCTTTTGCAACTCTACACAATGAAGGGTGCCGTACAAAACAACAAGTAATCTGAAGCCTGAATCAGTCTCGTTGGACAGCTTCAATAGAAGCTACAATTTTTCATATCAGCGTTTGCAAGTGGTTCAACGGTTTCACTAGTGGAAAGTCGTTGAGTTGTAAAATCTGCTTGCCGATGTCACGTGGTGCACGAAGTATCCAGTTTCGGCACTCGGAGGATCAAAAAGTTTTGTCTTATTTTTTAAGACACCCGAACGAATGTGGCTATGCAGCTGTTGCGCGTCCATCGAGATGAATATTATATTGGAAACAGTGACTCAGAGTACGTAACCAATTTCTCGACCTATCAAGGTTACTTGACGTAGCGTTCACCTTAAAAATCCGTTCGTAGTAAACGACTTGAAAATAGACAAATCTTCGAGTCGAAGTACAAATAGAGGTTTGACCAGAGGGTTGGCTAGATGTCGAGACGCGTAAAAAAAGTGATCCGCGTAAGCATCATTATTATGAAATCAGACGCGTAAGGAAGTTAACGAGCAAACGTTGAACTCGAGAAGCTCTAGATTTGAAACTCGAGCTTGCCATCTCTCTCCAAATCTTGAGAAGTAACCATCTTGACGACGCAAAGAATGAAACAATAGAGCAGAAGGTGTTTCCGGTTCGGCTTTGCTGACACCGAGCTCTGTAGATAAATCCCAATTCGCAAGCTCGCTCTCAGTGGCGTAGTTGAAGAACCGAGGATAGCTTCCAGAAATTGACTTGACGCTTTTGAATGCAATTGAGTGCATTTGGGCGCACCGGTGTGCAACAACACCTCTTACTATTTGCAAAGACTCTGAGGGACGCTTTGCCAACATGCATTGTAGTATACCTTTCTCTTCGATGAAAGCGGCTTGTTTTTTGGATTGATGCCAACTTTAAAGGTTAGAGACGTTCAGATGTACTCGCAATCGGGTTTGAAGTACGGATGTTGACTGCTGCTCAAAAGGAGCGGGGTTTTTTTTTTGGCTGCACGAGCTCCTTGACTTTCATCTGCTGGCGAGCCTTTATTGAACCAGCTTCGCGGCGAAGCCTTCAATGCGCAGTCAACCATCACGAGTGGGGCAGGTACTAATAATGTCACTCTTGACAGATAGTTCAGGTATCATTATTTCTGAAGTAACTTAACTGCTTCTGTGCAGCGTCGGGGGATGGAGGGCTTACTTTCAACAAGTTTTCGGAGAGCGTTGGAGAGGTCTGCTTCCTGAGCTCTGATTCCGTCTTAACGTGCAAAAATTGGGCTGATTTCCGTTCTTCGTAGAAGATTGCTCGTCTTCTCCGACATCAAACACTACTTCTCTCCTGCCCTGGTTTTTTGTTGATTGCATATCAATTTGATCTTCTGTTGAAAATGCTTCATTTCTTAACGTATTGGCATGTATCTGTTCCATGAGTTGCTGACGGTCACTATTTCTTGTGTTCGCTGTTTCACGATGATCAACTACGACTAAAATCATATCTTGTCCGGTCCTAGTCTCCAGTGATTGCGTTACAAGGTCCGTAGATCAATTTCTCCACCGAGCTTCTTTTTGGTCATGGCAATAGTAATTCCCTGAGCTTTTGGTCGATGAGATTCCATCAATTGGCATTGTAAGCAACTCCTGACATACCAACTCACACAATGATATTGCCTCGGCCAGTAGTATTTTTCAGCAACCTTTGCATACGTGACATTTGTACCGAAATGTCCTCCAAACAACATATGATCAGGATTTTTCCCAAATGCTCTTTGTCTCCCTTTGGATACAACGGCCCTATCATCGTAGTACAACTTGTTGTCACAAAGGCTATAGTTCTTTTAAAATTCTTCCGAACATTTCAACTTCTTGCGATACTTCTCATATGCACTATAATCTGCATTTGTGACACATGCGGTGTCAATAAATTCCAGAAACACCAAGGCTGCAGCTCCAAGTGAATCCGGTTTCATCTATAGCTCCCCATATTTCCCAGATGGGCTTGATGACGTTGTGACCTATTTCAAAGCCGAGAAACCCAACCTGACTGTCTGCAAAATGTCATTTCTTTAGCGTGGCTATTAGTGAGACTTTTTTCAGTATACTCAACACTTCATCCACATAATGCCAATGTTCCTCTTAAGTGTCTGAGTAGAATAAGATGTCGTCAAAATAGAAACAAACGAATCGGATTTTTTTTAAACAGTTCTGCCATATACCTTGCGAATGTGCTTGGAGCATTGAATGACCCGAATGGCATGTCCCGGTAGTGATACATGCCTGTTGGTGTAACAAATGCTGTTTTGTATTGCTCAGATACCTTTACCTGATTCTGATCATATCCACTATGCGAGTCAATAGTTAGGAACCATTGAGCTTTACCTATCCTCTCAACAGGTTTCTGATGCGTGGCAATGGAAATGGGGGTCCTTGATGGTTGCTGGATTAAGAGACTCTCTTTTTGACTAGGTGAGCTGCAGGGAGATTTCGACGGGGTTATGAACATTTTTTCCCATCAGTTCGTGCACTAGCTCCCGGGCTGAGGCCTCATTCTATGGTGTCATCCTAAAAGGCTGGATCCGAAATAATGGCATACTTTTCTTGAGATCCATAATCGCGCTGATCATCTGGGAGTCTTGAAAATTATTCTTTTTTCTGCTCTCCAGATTTCGTGGCAGTTAAAGTTTACAATTTGACATCTCTGTGATAATACTGATTTTCAATTGTTTCCTTGTTTCTTAGGTTCTCGACTAGAGTTTCCGCAGAAATGCGCATGATGGCCTGTTGAGCCAGTAATAGTAGCTCTGAGTATTTGTCCCAAACTGAGTTGCCAATGGATTAGCTGGGCGGCTATATCTTTTGTAACATAACTGTGGATTTTGAGATTGCTCTTTGTCACGTTTGAGGTTCAAAGTGGTGGTTACCGTCGTCGTGCGAGCGTGTAAAGACACAGCAGCTTTGAATTGGAATAGTGGTGCCGAATGAGTTTTTAGTTTCAGGTTCTTCACAATCTTTGTATGAATGTTGTTGATTTTATAGACTTAGTGCTGACTGATGTTTCGAAAACGGAACCATGTGCTTAGGCGTGCACGTGACGAGATAAAACAAAGCACTGTACACCCAGACACCAAAAGAAGTCTCACACCCAGACACCCATCATAAAATTTGCACGTGACCGTCTGAAGGAAGGTAGCAAACACACACACACACCCAGCACCCAGACATCAATATCATTGCACAAACACCCAGACACCAATGACCCAGCACCCAGACATCATTACCATTACATTTACACCCAACCACCCACCCATCCACCACCCAGACACCAATAAAATCCCAGCCACACCCACACCCACACACCCCCTCCATCTTTGCTCAACACTCCCCTTCCCTTACGTATTTCCTCAATTCTTGCATTGCGATCCTATACCCACCACAAACGTAACGCAACATAACGTATTCTTTCACGAAACTATGGGAAACTAAACCCCCTCCGTCTCTTTCCACCACAAAACTTTACGCAGCGCGTTATCCGGTTACTACCGAAACCATGAGTCCAATCGGCTTGTGTAGTGTTGTGCCGTGAACTGAAGTGTTGACTCTCTTACGTAGTGACTACTACCCTGATTTTCGCTCTTACAAGTCCTGTGACGGCAACTGGTTTGCTCTTGCGGTGCATGTGCTGGCCTTTAACCAAAGAGCAACGTATTAGGCGGGAAAAATCACATATAAGTAAGGTCAAGTTGAGTAGTTCAACTGTTTTAGTTTTATGGTTCTTATTCTTCCTTTATCTCTTTTATATCAACAACACCAGAACATCAATTCTAACACAACAATATATTAGAATATCCCAATTCTATTCCCACTCTGTACTGGTAACTTATTAGAAACGCTTCAGCACTTCTAATTCCCACTTCCTTTCAAGAAAAACATATTTTAATACATCACACCTCATACCAACAATGGCTCCAATCAAATACTTCTACAAAGGCCAAGAAACCGATCTAGTCGTCTTCGCAGAATCCCAGCAAGCTGTCGAAAACTACTTGCAAGACCCAACCGTCGGTAAGCTTACCGAAGCGGTTGGCGTTTTCAAGGTGTTCACCAACAAACAGGGCGAAGGCGCTGAAGGTGAACTAGGTGAGGCTTCCAAGGCCCAGGTGGAAAACGAGTTTGGTTCCAAGACCAAGATTGAAGACGCTATTGCCAAGATCTTGCAGAACGGGTCCCCAAACGCCAAGACCACCAACCTAAAGGCCAACGACGAACAGTAAGCTGACAACAATAGGAATAAGAGCAACAACTATAAGAACAGTTGTCCTACTGCTGCACTTCACGACTTTCAACTAGCATTTTGTAACGTATACTTTGCATGGATTTATAGTTTAAACTAGGAATTCTAAAGAGAGAGGGAGAGAGAGGGAGAGAGAGGAAAAGGCAGAGGGAGAGATGAAGGAAGACGTTAAACTACTGAATGATGGTTTTAATATGCCAGAACAAGGCACCCAACACTCATCCTTCATCCTCATGAAACATGCACAACACTTGTTGTGGGTTTCTTTCGGCGACTTCGTCGCCGTGAAAAGACCCTCCGGATCGACCATCGTGTGGTCCTAAAAGTCGACGACGACCGTACAGGAACCGTGGAAGCTTGCGTGGCAATCAAATTGTCCGAGGCCGCTCTGACGAACGCCCGTTCCAGCTCTGAAGATGAAGACTCCTCCCGTTTGTCGTCTACAACACACAGCTTCTGCAACTGCGGACTCCACACATCCCACATACTTCGCTCTATCTGCACCCGTTTCCAGCGCGTAAAAACCGCTCTGAAGTTGCTGGGTTCACGCAGACTGCAGCCCGTTTCTGGTCTGAGGTCCAACCGGCTTGAAGACCCACGCGTGAACCACGTCGAAGCCGGCGAAAGCTCCAGCAACGAATCTCGGAACTCGACCTCCACGCTGGCCATTTCTCCCCGGTAACAGAACCCGGCACAATTGGCCGCACCGCTCTTGACGGTTTTGGCGGTCTTGGCCCGGTCAAAACGTCCAGATAGGGTCTCATTGTAGCTGATGTACGGAACCATCTGCTCTGGGAATGTGGTGGTATCGCTAAAATGCAATGTGCTCTCCAGTGTGGATTGTGTTACACTTTCCTGTCGCGACAAGCGTTGCAGTTCTTCCCCGTTAGTGTAAACCCTGTTCATGCACTCATCCAGTTCCTTGCGCCAGGCGTTGGACTCTGCAGGGTCTCTGAAAAAAATCAAAATCTCCCATAGTTTGAAGTCATAGTCGAACTGGATCTTCAGGCTGTTTTCACAGTTCGAAAACAGCCCCAAATCGTCGCTTTGCGACTCCATCTCGCTAACAACATCCACCAAACGACAATTGGACAATCGCAGTGCAAACTTGATCGGCCATTCGCAAATGGGCGTTCTCTGCATGCTGGGCACTTCTGCAAGCACCAAATACGTGTCGAAGAGAAAAACTCCAAACTGATCGCTTTCTATGCTCAAAGACCTCTTGGACCGGTACGATGGGTTGAAATAGCGACTGCGGTACGACCCGGATGTAGAAGCACTATCGTCTGTCACTGGCCACACCACTGCGAAGCAGCCCCTGGCACTACAGGAACCCATGGCTTCTATGGGGAGCCTTTCGTCTGGCGAATCAAACGATAGGCGGTTTTGAATCAGCGTCAACGTCAAATCTTTGGCCGTGTTTGAATTGGGCTCGTTGATTCTCTTCATTGTGGAATACATTTGTTTTAGATATTCCTGGATGCTCTCTGCGATGGCCGCGCATGTGGACTCGTCCAATCGTTTCAAATCTGTGATGGTCGGATGCTCGGTCAGATACACCAGCGACTCGAGAAACAGCCTGTACTTGGTGATCCGATTGATGGGCAATTGGATCATGGCACGGAACGAAAAATCTCGCTTGTAGCCCTGTTGTGACGTTTTGGCGTAGTATTTTGGAAGACACAATTCGATGCGGAACAGAACGGCAAATAAAAGTCGGTCCTGACTCTCCTGACCCATGCGTGTGAGAAGGTGACTGACCTGGTTGTAGTAGTGGACGTAATCGCGGTATTGGTCTGTCTCGATCGCTTCTGTTGCCAAGAGAAATGCGAATCTCTGGCAAAGCTCCATATGGTCCCACGACGTCATCGACAAGTCGGACCAGTTGGGCTCTGTGGACTCGTCGAACCTTTTGATGCTTTGGCCGACTTCTCGCTCAAGCTGCCGGCACAAATTCTCATGCAAGGGCAGGATCTTGACAACTACTTTGCTCAGCCGCTGCATCGGAATATAGTCGTTGATTGACAGCACGTCGAGAAAACAGGTTTGCAGTATGTGGAGCATTTGCACGTACTCGCGCTCGGACTCTATGATTTCTTCTATGAGCCGCTGGCGCTTGTAGTGTTCTGTTGCCACGCTGACGGGCAACCCGGGCGGTGTGTTGAGGGTTTTCTCTATGTACTCTTTGATGAACTGGACCGGGCTGGCGGCGTTGGAGCTGGAGGAATCATTTTCAGGCCCGCGGGGCACCAGCACGGGCGATTCGAGCATTTGGAGGCGTGAGTGGGTGGGTGGAAGCGTTTTGTATTTGTGTGTTGTGGGTGGTGGTAAGAGGTTTGTAGTCGGTAATTGGAGGAGGGAAGAGAAGGAGTAGAACGGCAAAGACATTGGTGACGGTGACGGTGACGGTGACGGTGACACTGACGCTGACGCAAGACGTTGGGAGTGTCAAGGACGTAAAGAGTGATATACAGCATGTACATGTACTTTTATACGGAATATTTATACCGAATGTGTCATGTTTCTTCCCAGATGGGTCGTCGACATCAACAACAAGAACAACAACAACAAAAGCAGCACTGTTCACGACTCCTGCGGGTCCGGGGAGTCGCGATTCCAAAACCTTTGTACGACAAATGACTCGTCAAACTTTGTAACTCCGGTAACTGTATACGATCATATCACGTGACTGGTACGTATCTGCCGTAGCGCGCTTTAGTCTGAGATTTACCAAAGGTATATGATACGAGTAAGAGATCTACATACCAGATGCGGACTACCTTGCACTTTCTAATATTTAAGCTTTTTTTTCAAGACTTCATAAAACTACATTCATCAATGTCAACGATGATTAAATTTTGGCCATGGTAATTTGCCGGACTCACAGCCGTAATCATATTAGAGTCACTTTATACGTCGTCGGACTCGATTCTGAAAATCACTACAGACAGTGGACTCTAGGTGGAGTCATGGACTCATGAACAGTCCTGCCTTCTCTACTATTCACGGATTACCTCAAAAAACAAAACAAGAAGTGTGTACATTCCAATTTCGCTACAACATCCGAAGCCAATAGCAATTTATCGTTGCTATTCAAACTGCCTTTTATTCTTACCGTTTCGCGTGTCGGAAAGGATCTCTTAGTGGACTCCCAAATTGTGATCAAAATCAGGTACTTTTCGGATACTTAGTTCTTAAATGTAAGAATCCCGATTTTGAACCTAATGTCTCTTACCCGAACATATGTTGAGATCTACTGTTCATAATCTACTGTTCATCTCTACATTCACACACTTTCACCACGTACGGAACGATATCTCACACCCGAAAATTCGTGGAGATTTTGCAAGGTTGCTCGTCCGAGCCCCTACGGGTTCCGCGGAACCAAAATCTACACACATTATTAATTTTTTCAATATTTGCCACTACCAAACCGACGCTGCTGCTACTGTTCTTTAATGTCTACGTATTAGCCATCCCGGCCGAAGAGTGGCTTACACGACATGATCTCCGCGGAACCCTCTCGTCTTGTCGTAACGGGCCACGAGACAGGTCCCCTACATTGATTTTCGAAGATTAGACATATATATAAGACGCACATATAAGACGCACATCATCGCAGGCTGTTATTGGTATACGCATCGAACAACGCTAAGCATCTGAAAAAGAAGAAGAAGAAGAACAAGAAAAACACGACGCTTTCCTTTCGACAACAACAAACACACACTCACGCCGAAACGTTTGTTTAAGCTCGCGTCGCTTCTTTTCAGTTTTTTTACTACCTTTTCGGACCTACTTTCGTACTTTTTCCCAGTTCCTCCCTGATAAAACACACCTACATTTCCGGTAGTTCTGTGGTTGTTTGGTTATAAAAGCCTTGTTGTTCGCGATACAGCACAGCACAGCATAGCATAGCACAGTACAGCGCAGTACATCTGTTTGGACTCGGATTTGGATTTTTTTGGACTCGCGAGTTTCGGTCACTATAGACGAACCACGTGAACCTCATTTCCTGGAGAAGAAAAATAAGAAACAACATCCCGTACACCACACCACCACAGGTCCAATTTAGGGTTTCCCCCGAATACGGAAAAACAATAACAAAAACACAAAAACAACACACACACAAATACCCCAATGTCGCTCGGCACGACCCATGTCCCGGACGTGCTAGCCGCCGAACTCGAGGCCGTCCGCAACCGCGACACCTCCTCGACCATTTCTAAGGACGAAGACGTAGAAAACTACGGCAGCAGCAGCGGCAGCCAGAAACAGCCGGAGTACCGCGGCTTCGAAGACCATGCCAAGGACTCCGTGCGCGACTTGGCCCGCACTCTCACGCACGAGGGCGGCAACGCGCAAAGTCCGGTAAACCCGGTCTTCTCCGACCCGCAAGCCTCCGACTACGACGCCCGGCTCGACCCGAACTCGGACCAATTCTCGTCCGCGTTCTGGGTCCGCAACTTGAGCGAATTGGTCCGGCAAGACCCGGACCACTACAAACCGTACTCGCTAGGCTGCTCGTGGCGCAACCTGCGAGCCTACGGTAACGCCACAGACGTGGCCTACCAGGCCACTGTGGCCAACTTGCCAGTGCAACTGGTTCAATCCGTGTATCGTATGGCCCGCAAGGCCCGTCCAGAAGACACTTTTGATATTCTTAAGCCCATGGACGGTCTGGTAAAGCCCCGCGAATTGCTGGTGGTTTTGGGTCGTCCCGGCTCAGGCTGTTCCACTTTGCTAAAGACGGTTTCGTCCAACACACACGGGTTCCACGTGGACCCAGAGTCGCAACTGTCGTACGACGGTCTCACACCCAAGGAAGTGGCCAAACACTATAGAGGTGAAGTCGTTTACAACGCCGAATCCGATGTGCATTTCCCACATTTGACCGTTTTCCAAACGCTTAAAACCGTGGCCCGTCTGGCTTGTCCTTCCAATAGAATCCACGGCGTGGATCGAGAAGCTTTCTCAACGCACATCACAGAGGTCGCCATGGCAACGTACGGTCTGTCGCACACACGTGACACCAAGGTCGGAAACGAACTGGTGCGTGGTGTATCCGGAGGAGAGCGTAAGCGTGTCTCTATCGCCGAGGTTTCGATCTGCGGGTCCAAGTTTCAGTGTTGGGACAACGCCACCCGTGGTTTGGACTCCGCCACGGCTCTGGAGTTCATCCGTGCCTTGCAGACCCAGGCTAAGCTCACGGCCAGCGCTGCGGTCATCGCCATCTACCAGTGTTCCCAGGACGCATACGACCTATTCGACAAAGTCTCGGTGTTGCACGAGGGCTACCAGATCTACTTTGGCCCTGCCAAAAACGCAAAGGACTATTTCGAACGCATGGGCTACGTGTGTGCCCCACGTCAAACCACCGCCGATTTCGTCACCGCCATCACCAACCCTGCAGAAAGACAGGTCAGAGACGGTGCCAAACCTCCTGCTACCGCTGTCGACATGGAACACTACTGGAAACAGTCGCCCGAATACGCACAGTTGCTGCGTGATATCGCAGAGTACGAGGCCACCGGCGGCGCCAGCGGCGATAGCGACGATAACGCCGTCGACCGGAAACAACAGCTCGCCGATAATCACGTGGCAAAGCAGTCACGCCGCGCACGTCCCCAATCACCATACACGGTGAGCTTTTGGCTTCAGATCAAGTATCTGTTGATCCGTAACATGCAGCGTATTCGCAGTAACATGGATGTGACCGGGTTCCAGGTAATTGGTAATGGTGCCATGGCCTTCATTCTGGGGTCCATGTTTTACAAGATTTTGAAACACGACACCACTGATGGTTTCTACTCGCGTGCCGGTGCGCTGTTTTTCGCCGTGCTGTTCAACGCCTTCTCGTGTATGCTGGAGATTCTCGCGCTTTATGAGGCGCGTCCGATCTCCGAAAAGCACAAACGGTACTCGCTGTATCACCCGGCCGCCGACGCCATGGCCTCGGTGATCTCCGAAATCCCATCTAAGCTTATCACGTCTGTGACCTTCAACCTGGCACTTTACTTCCTGTGCAACTTCAAGCGCGAAGCAGGTGCCTTTTTCTTCTATTACCTCATGACTATCGTGGCCACGTTTCTGATGTCGCACATTTTCCGTTGTCTCGGTGCTTCTACAAAGACGTATGCAGAATCGATGGTACCGGCATCGGTGCTGTTGCTGGCTCTAGCCATTTACACCGGGTTTGCCATTCCAAAGACCAAGATCCTCGGATGGTCCAAATGGATCTGGTACATCAACCCGCTGTCGTATGTCTTTGAGTCTTTGATGGTTAACGAATTCCATGGCCGTAAGTTTGAATGCTCCACGTACATCCCGGCGGGTCCTGCCTATCTGGATGTTAGCGGAACCCAGCGCGTCTGCTCTGCGGTGGGCGCCGTCCCAGGCCAGAGCTACGTGGACGGTGAAACCTACATTAACGTCGCTTACGGCTATTACCACAAACACAAATGGCGTGGGCTCGGTATCGGGCTCGCCTATGCGATCTTCTTTTTGGGAGTCTACTTGGCTGTGGTCGAATTCAACGAAAGTGCCAAGCAACGTGGTGAAATCCTAGTATTTCCGCAGTGGGCAATCAGGCGCATGAAGAAGCAGCGTAAGCTGCAGTCGCGTCTAGGAGCAGACCCTGCAGATGAGGAACACCGTGCAGCTGCAGGCACCAATGAGAAGAAGCTACTAGAAGACTCCGCAGAAGATGAGGACGTCAACAGCAGCAGTGCGGCCGTGTCTGAGGACGCAGGCATGCTCTCATCTTCAGAGGCAATCTTCCACTGGCGTAATGTATGTTTTGACGTGGCTATCAAGAAAGAAACTCGTCGTATTCTGGACCATGTAGACGGATGGGTCAAACCCGGCACTCTGACCGCGCTGATGGGCGCCTCAGGTGCTGGTAAGACCACATTACTGGATTGTTTGGCGTCGCGTGTTACCACGGGTGTTATTACCGGCGATATGTTCATCAACGGGTTTTTGCGGGATGCTTCGTTTGCACGGTCCATCGGCTACTGCCAACAACAAGATCTGCATTTGGAAACGGCCACTGTTCGTGAATCGCTACGGTTTTCCGCTTACTTGCGTCAACCAGCGCACGTCTCGCGTGCTGACAAGGACCGGTACGTGGAAGACGTGATTCGGATTTTGGAAATGGCAAAATACGCCGACGCTGTCGTGGGTGTTGCCGGAGAAGGTCTGAATGTGGAACAACGTAAGCGACTCACCATCGGTGTCGAGCTGGCCGCCAAGCCTAAGCTGCTGCTGTTCTTGGATGAGCCCACTTCCGGTCTGGACTCCCAGACCGCATGGTCTATCTGTCAATTGATGCGTAAGCTAGCCAACCACGGTCAAGCCATCTTGTGCACAATTCACCAACCCTCGGCCCTTTTGATGCAGGAGTTTGACCGTCTGTTGTTCTTACAGCGTGGTGGTAGAACCGCGTATTTCGGAGATCTCGGTTCCGGATGCCAGACCATGATTGACTACTTTGAACGTAACGGCGCGCACAAATGCCCTCCCGGAGCCAACCCGGCCGAGTGGATGCTGGAAGTGATCGGCGCCGCGCCTGGATCGCATGCCGCGCAAGACTACCATGAAGTATGGCGCAACTCAGACGAGTACCGCGCCGTGCAGGAAGAGCTGGAATGGATGGAACGCGAACTGCCCAACCGTCCTGTGGACACCAGTAACGAGCAGTCCGAATTCTCCACTTCGTTGGTTTACCAGTATACGCTGGTGACACACCGGTTGTTGCAACAATACTGGCGTACGCCATCGTATCTGTGGTCAAAGATCGGGCTAACCATTATTTCACAGATCTTCATTGGTTTCACGTTTTTCAAGGCCGATAGCTCCATGCAAGGGCTGCAAAACCAGATGTTGTCAATCTTTATGTTCACAGTGATCTTCAACCCAACGCTACAGCAGTACTTGCCAACTTTTATCTCACAAAGAGACTTGTACGAGGCGCGTGAGCGGCCATCGCGTACCTTCTCATGGCTCGCCTTTATTTTGTCTCAGATCAGCGTGGAAATTCCTTGGAACATTTTTGCTGGGACAATCGCTTTCGTGGTTTACTACTACCCAGTAGGATTCTACAACAACGCATCGTTCGCAAACCAGCTGCATGAACGTGGTGCTTTGTTCTGGCTTTACGCGACCGCGTTCTACGTGTTTACTGGTTCAATGGCACAACTGGTTGTTGCTGGCCAGGAAGTGGCTCAGGCCGCTGGCCAAATCGCCTCTTTGCTCTTCACACTGACACTATCGTTCTGTGGTGTGATGGTCCAGCCATACAACATGCCCGGGTTCTGGATCTTCATGTACCGTGTGTCGCCATTGACCTACTTTATCGACGGTGCGTTGTCCACCGGTATTGCCAACGCTGATGTGCACTGTTCGGATTACGAAATGGTGCGGTTCACCCCACCACAGGGCCAAACATGTGGCCAGTACATGAACACCTACATTACAACCGCTGGAACTGGGTACCTGGCAGACGCCGGAGCCACTGACGAATGTCGGTTCTGCTCGGTCTCGACGACCAACGATTATTTGAAGGCCGTGAGCTCGAAGTACTCGCACCGCTGGAGAAACTACGGGATTTTCCTAGCGTTCATCATGTTCAATTTTGCCGCAGCGACCTTTTTCTACTGGCTAGCGCGTGTGCCCAAGAAGAGAAACAGAGTGGCGGACGAACGTAAGTCAGAGGCACAGAAGCTAAAGGAGAAATAGGTTGTGGCACATCCAGCGTAGCAGCAACCGGTTGCGGAGACCAAATAACGTCATTCGCAAACTCTAAAAGCTGCCGCTTTATACAATCATCATAATCATGAAAGCCGAATGCCTTTCTGCTTCTAATTTTCAATTGTAGATACCATAGGATACCATATAAACGAATAAACAATTGGTCATAGTATAATAACTTATCGTGAACAGGATAATTGTCATTAGCCAGGATTTGAGTTGACATAACTGACTCGTTAGACGTTTATCGATTTCTTGTATAGTGTGCCAACACTCTCGAGGATGATATTACGTAAGCAGCGATGAGGTGGACAAAAGCGATCTGGACTTTAGCTGAGGAAACCTTACTCATTTCGCGTATAGCCCAGGGATTATAAGAATTAAATGCAAGTACCCGTTGTAATCAATAGTGAGGCGTTATGAGTAGAGTTTGGAAGCCAATTGAAGTATATTCATTTCTGTAGAATCCCGGTACCTTAGATTTACGTGACATCAAACATGTCACGTGACCCAACTACAGCGACAACAATACTCAGTGAACGCAGTCATCGTCGACCGTGAAGCCCCTGGTATGAGTTATTTGATTATGATGCGATTTGAATGATCCAGAAGGAGACTTCAGACACCCAAGGCATGGTGAAATTAACATTTTCATACCTATACATTCAAATTTTCTCTCAGAAATAGGCTAAGTTGGCATAGTTTTCCTGAACGTCCTGGAATTCTTCCTTTAGGTACGAAATTCTATTGGGGATTGCATTTTCTAAACTAGGGCTTTCGAATACCTCACATCTTCGCCTCAATTATCATGTTTTCCTCAATACACAAGATACGTCCTCGTGAGCGAAATACAGTTTCAAAGATACATATCTTGCTTCAAAACAGCAATATCTGCATCAAAAGGGTACTAGAAGTAAGTATAAAATGGTAGTTGCAACTGAGCAAGCTGCTATCATATTTTGACTTGTCAAATGAGAAAACACAACTTGTGACCCAAAATGTGTTGCAAACTTGGATGAATTTTATAAAAAGTACCACGACTTATCATACAGTGGTCACATAGCCAAGCAGCGATGGATTCACACCTGCCTTGTCTTAAAATTTTTGAACTGACACAGGTTATCTGGAAAGCACCCCATTGATCACGTGACCAGACCCGTCGGTCTTCATATCTCTATAACTACGTTTTTTTATCAAAGTTAACACTCAATCCATCATTGATATTCTCTCCAACCTCTTTAATCCTTCTTTTCACAGCTTTCAACTGGCTCTTTACCCAATTATCTCATTTAAATGTTATCTTTTTCCCGTCGTTGGTCCTATTTTTGAAAATTTTAATAAATGCGATGAGCTAGCTACTCATCTCATCTCAGCTCATCTTCAACTCCTTCTGCTTGAAAACATCTAGACTCCACTACTTGACGATAGCACGACCACAAACTGCGAATATAATGGCACCAGACGAGCTAAGAATACGGAACAAACTGAAGCGACAAGAGCTGTTTGCTGATCTTAAGGATCAAAAAAACAAAGAACGTCATGGCATGCGCAGAACTCGTGCAAAGGAGGAACGTGAAAACCCAGAGTTAAAGGCTAAAAGACTCGAAGAAAACGTAACAAACACCATCGATAGCCTTCGTGTATACGATGAAACCATCAATCAGCCTACAGAAGGCGAAGAAACCGATTTCGCTCGTTTTTTCAACAGCGGCACAGAACCACCAAAGATCTTGCTAACGACCAACGTTAACGCCAAGAAAAAAGCATACGAGTTTGCCAATGTGCTGATTGAAATTCTGCCCAACGTCACTTTTGTGAAAAGAAAGTTCGGCTATAAACTCAAGGAAATAGCAGAGTTCTGTAATAACCGGAACTACACGGATTTGGTGATCATCAATGAAGACAAGAAAAAGGTTACAGGGCTGACTTTCATCCACTTGCCCGATGGACCAACTTTCTACTTCAAAGTGAGCTCCTACGTCGAGGTACAGAAAATTGTGGGCCACGGAAGACCCACTAGCCACATACCAGAGTTGATTCTCAACAATTTCAACACTAGACTCGGTAAAACAGTCGGTAAGTTGTTTCAATCTATTTTCCCACAAAATCCAGATATCGAAGGTCGCCAGGTAATAACTCTACACAACCAAAGAGACTATATTTTCTTCCGGAGACACCGGTACGTATTCCGCAACGAAGAGAAGGTTGGACTGCAGGAACTGGGACCACAGTTCACGTTGAAACTTCAACGTCTGCAGCACGGTATCAAGGAGGAAACCGAGTGGGAGCACTCGGCCTCTATGGACAAGGAAAAGAAGAAGTTCTATCTGTGAATAGTAAACGTGGAATTTATTCTGGATGGAAGGCACTTGCATTGAGAATTCGTGTGAGTTCAAGAAGCAGCTGTTCTGACTTCGTATGCTTGGAGTATAAGATACTTTAATTTGAGAAGGCTGGTGCTGAAGAGCCGGTAAGAGGCATTAGCAAGTCTTTACCAAATTGACAAGACTCGTGAGCTTGTGATTCAAAGTTCAATCGCGAGCGGCTTGATCAGCTTTATCAACTTGAAGGTGCCGTGGGATTAGCAGCTCAAAGACGACACGCCAATTTCTCACAATCGCAGATTTCGGAACACATCTGATTTTTTTTACACTGACGTTGTCGTGACAAAAGTCAATTTTTCGAGAAAACCTGTGATTGTTAGATTCAAAATCCGTTGAGCTGTAATCCATATAGTGGAAATCATGAAAAAAAATGCCTGGATTATCCTTTTATAAGCTGGATCCTTCTGTCTTCAAGCTCTTCGATAATCAGCTGTAGTAACTGACCAGCTATTGAGCCATTGAGCGTTACCACGATGACCATCACTATATACGAAACTTTACACTAAAGACCCAATATTGATATCCTGGCGCCTGATTCAGCTTTAAACAAGCTACTTGTTGCCAATATTATATTCGATCACCACATCAATCATTCCAAGCTGCATGCAATTGCTTTGGGAAAGTTTGATTTTTCAATTCAAATTAATTTCAAAGGGCTCAGATAAAAGATCGGCTACAAAACTCGTTTGAAAACTGCACAAAACAAAAGGACAGAAATATCAACAAAACTAGAATACATCCACTAAATATCTTTTTAACAACCACACAGTGTTTTTCTGATCAGTTCCCGTGGTCAAACATCGCCAGTTTGATTTTAGGTGTTACATGCGTATATAGTGATAAAAATCACGGTTCTATTCGTCCCCCTTTATAAAAAAAGTATGATGGCCAACCCAGAGGAAAGGAAATAGACAATACAACGCTTAAAAACAAGCTAAATCTTCACCATTTTGCCCGTCGAAAGCCGTTTGTTGGCTTAATTGCAATTACAATCGTTGAATAAGAAGGCGATAGAGGGAAAAATTCGGGTTTTATCATTAAAATCGGTGTTGCAACTGTTGTAAAGACGTGATCTTTAATTTGTATCATTTGCACTAGCATAAGACTCTGAATTGCACTTTACAATGGATGATAATGGTGCTTCTCAGATCGTCGGAGCTTTGGAAGCCATATACTCGACGCAATCTGATAATGCCACGCGTTTGGAAGCTCAGAAGTTTTTAGACGACGTCAAGATGCGCGAGCAATCGCCATTTTGGGGATACGAAATAGCTCTGAACAACCCGGAAAACTCAATTTTGAAGCATTTCGGTCTTGGCTTGCTGGCGCACGCGATTCAACGCAATTGGAGCGAACACTCACCAGAAAGAAAAATTGCGCTTCGCAAATGGGTAGTGGAGCTCAATGGCCAAGTCCAAAACACAGATCCGCGTTATATCAAAGAAAAACTAGCCTTTTTGTGGGTGGAGGTGGCAAAGCGGGTGTGGGGAGAGGCCCTAAGAGAGGACGAGCCCACTGAGGAGCTTTTACAGGAATCGTGGGTCGATATGGACAACAATCTAAGGGAATTGTGGCACCTTAACGAGTCGGCGAGAGAGCTTACTCTAATTATATTCAGAACTCTGTTCGAAGACGTTTTTCTTCTCGAGGATTTAGCCGTACTCAAAAGAATATCGGTTATACAGCCGCTGTGTGTCATGATTATTAGCCCGATGGACATCTTCGCAGCAAGATACAGATTCACAGATAAGTGGACCCTGTTCAGAAGCACAGGCAATGGCTGGTTCGAGCTTTGGGTGACAGAACTGCGTTCCGCCTTAGTCTCAGGTAACGCTGTGTACGTCACGCGACTACTTGAAACTCTCAAGACATGCCTGAACTGGCCGCTCAGTGAGATTATGATCCGAAACGATGTCAGCGGACTTCTGCTGGACTGTTTGGCCAGTAACATGCCCAAGGCCCAATCCATGGCCTTGGATTCATTACATATCCTTTTGACTCGACCCTATAACGATGATGCTCACTACCAAGCGGTGATTAACAAGGTTTTCAGCAGTATGGACCTCTTGAACCAAGTCTACGATACTTTGCAGTTTGATCCCAACAACATTGACGAAGTGAAGTACCCCATTGTCAAAAAATTTGTCGACATGGTGAGCTGCCTTTACACTTGCGTTTTTAAAATCGATGAGGACGAGGTCGTCATAGAGAAGTATTTGAGACTGGTTCTGAAAACTACCTTCAATCCCAGTCTGATTGTCAGCGGACTGACGCTTGACTTATGGTGCTCATGTCTGCGAAACGACGACTTTTTTCCAGCATTAGAGAAAACTATCATACCCGAACTACTCCAGTTTTCGGCTGATGCTTTGATATACTACGAACAAATTGATGGTCATGTTTCCAAACAATTTGCTGATATTGATTTCCAATCCACTTCTGAGTTTCAATCGTTTTGCTCTACGTATAGAAAGAGGATAAGGGACATAATCCGCCTAATATCTTGCGTTCAGCTAGATTTTGCATACGACTGGTTGAATGCCAGACTAAATTCGTTTTTCAGTTCTTCATTTGGCCAGGAGGTTTTGAACTCTCAGTTCCTAGATCACAAAACAGAGCCATATTTGAGCGCTTTGTCGCAACTAATGGTCGTCGAATGCTTCATAAATGGCTGCATACGTTGGAAAATTTGGTTTCCTGATAGTCCTGCATACAACGAGAAGCTTAATGACATTCTCTTAAAAATCGAAACACTATCGGATCAATTGATTGCTCTCACTTTAAGGGAACCTTTGTTATTGAAAAAGCAGATACAGAACTTTGCTCTGTTCTTAACAATGCTTAAGGACAATGTCCTACTGAAACTTCTCGAAAAAATCATCACTAGCGCCACTTTGGAGTATCCTAATGTTGACCTGGATGAAAAAAGCGAACAGTCGGATGCGATTCGCGATTTGAGATATGCTTGCGGTATAGAGCTTAACAGAATGGCGATTCTGATGCCCGACTCTCTCAGTAAAATCTACGAAGAACTGCAAAGTGTTGTCGCACGTATTTTGCCTAAGCTTTCTTACCATGAGAAGATATCGTTCAAGTCTTTCTTGCTGACTATCATTCTGAAGTCGTCCCTCAGCGGTAAGGAGGAAAGGTTCTCCTCAATTGTTGACCCTGAGTTAAGCGCGTGGTCAGAAAAAGAGACCGTCGTCGGCTTAACCGATCTCCCTTGGTTCATGGAAAGACTAGGAATAGTCCAAATATCTGAATATTTTCAAAAGAGGGCTATCACAGGAGGTGAGGATCTGCTGTCCATCCCCATCGATGATGAAGGAAAAGCACTCAAAACACAATTGTCAAAACGCTGGCAAACGCTGTTTCCCGTGAGAGCTACCAGAATGTTTGTACATTATTCAATGCAAAGCATTAAAAGTGATACAGAGTTTGAAGTACTCCAACAGCTTTGGAAACCCAGAGTGGTTCCAATTCTGCCTTACATCATGAGGTTACTTTACCAATTGCAATCCTACCATGATCCGGAAAATTGGAAAGAGCTACCTACAGTGGTGCAATCATTTGTAAAATGCTCCACGGTAGAGCGTTTTTGGGAGGCAGGCGCGTCGAATAAATCGAAGGACGAGTTTATTGACGAACACATGAAGGCAATGCAAACGCTGCGAGACTTTGCTGATTCGGTTGGCCACATCGTGAGGTACACTAGAGAATACGTTCTACTTGTCATAAGTGCTATGTCCAACCTAGGTAGTATCTTCTACGGTATTGACGAACTGCCGCAAATTCTCATGGACTCGATTGCGATTTACAAGCCTTCAAGGGGAGAAATCAGCCCAGGAGTATCAACACATGGCTGGAAACATATCATCAACGTCGCAATACGGCCACTTCTGAAAAACTGCCCGCCACAAAGCTCCGTTAAGTTCATGACAGCATTTTTGCCCAAACTCTTTGACACATTGGACGTTCTCCTTTGTCAGAAATGGTCCATTTACATGAACGACATAGACGTTAATCCACCTCCAAGAGACGATGACGAAATGACAGAGGATATTCTAGAAGAAAACCTACTGAGACAGCTAACCACTGTTGTTGTTCGGCTATTGATCGATTGCGTCGGACAGGTGGGCACAAACTCCCAAGCTTCTAAAATGAAGTTGAACGCACATCAGATTGAAATGAGAAAGATCATTTTTGAAAACGACGAGGTGATGAGCTCTTTTCTAAGATTGTTGAACCACTTGATGTCTTTCAGAGATAGCAAGTGTTCTTTCAATTCCATCTTGGTAATGAAAAGCTGCCTAGTGGACACTTTGATTAAGAACGAGGCTGTTGATCAATTCTATAGCTCGCAGGTCATGCCCAATCTGCTATTGAATGTCCTGACTCAAAGTGCCTTTAAAGACTCTTTATATGAAGGTCTTTATATCTTCACTGTCATATTTTTGACGCTGTGCAAAGAGTACAAGTCTTCCCGGGATTATTTGCATCAGCTCTCCAATGGCTACGACATTGAGAGCCTCTACGAAAGCGTCAGAAGTGTGGAAAACTACAAAAACCAACGAGCCTTGATGGTTGAATTCATTGACTGGATAAAAGTTGTTAATGGTCGTGCTCAAGATGATGATGACGGAGACGACAAGAAAAGACAGGAAAAAAGAGAGGCCATTTTGGAACGCGCAAATGAAAGACTCATAAAGCAGAACAAAGATCAGAAAGACTTGTTGGACGATCCTAATACGGAGGATGGAGCGTTTGGTTCACTTTTTCAGTCATAATCAGAATTAATCACAAGTTTCATTCAGCCAACGCTACCGTTCGAGTGCTAATGTAAGGTCCACTAACAATGACTTGCTTGATTGGCCGACAATGTATTTAGATTCTTCACAATCCCAACAGTCTCGCACGATTTGGGAAACCAGGAATGCCATGCTGCACAGTATTTAAATAATACCCATCAAGTAGCTTAATTCTTTGGTAAATCAAATCATTCACTGGCGAGTCAACAATCAGCATCAACAATGAAAACATGAAAGGCTGCCTGGTAAGAAGCTCGACACTATCTGCGCGAAGCTATAGCTCCCGAGTCTCTCCTCAACAAGTGGCTCAGGTTGTCTTGGGAGCTCGCAAGCACGACGTACATCAAGAACAGCTCTCGAACGTCAAAAACCATATAAGTGAAAGAAAAAAGCCAGGAAGCCCAATTTTTGACAGGAGAGCTGGGGACAGGGCCAAATTACTGTACGAGCGGTATAATCCTGGTTATTCCAGTGTCGCAGCTTCACGTTTGGGTAACGCCAACTACTTCTTTAATGCAGCAGAGGTCACATACGAATGGAGTGCATCTTCATTCTGGGATATACCAGGGGAGAAGCTGAAAGCACGGGTAGAGCAGCAGGTTTTGAATCAAGAACCTGCAACAGATCATGGTGAGAATTCTCGACCCAAAAACGTCTCCACGGCGAGAAAATATCCGGGGAAAACAGACGGAATACCGTTTGAGCTACTGAATGGGCTTCCTGAGGTAGCCTTTTTGGGACGTTGCAATGCCGGGAAATCAACCCTTTTGAACAACATGACGACGGAATTCTCGAAGATAAAACTCGATGAATATGCCAAAACGTCGAAAAAGGCTGGCTTTACGAAAACTATCAACTGTTTTAACGTTGGAAGACGATTCCGTCTGATCGATACACCTGGATACGGTGTAAAAGGTACATTCGAGCAAGGAGAACTAATAATGCGATATTTGAGAGAAAGAAAGGAATTGAAGAGGGTTTACTTGCTGATTTCTGCAGAACAAGGCTTTACGGAAACCGATTCCCAAATAGTAGAGTTTTTGACCAAGTTCGGGATCCCATACGAAATCGTATTCACAAAGCTGGACAAAGTCAGTAATTTGTCCCGACTTCATCAAGTGATCGAAGACAGTGGTGTTTTGGAATTGCCTACAATGCCGCGAATGCTATTTCTCAACTCGATCACCAATTCACAATGTCCTAAAAGACTGGGAATAAGCAGTTTACGAGATTCTATACTGGAAAGTTGTGGTTTGGAGCAAGCCGTTAAACCTTTAAAATTCAAGAGTAAGAGACAATGAACATCACAATGGCACAAATGTTTGACGAAAATTTTTAGTTCATCCTTCTATTACATATAAGGTGTTGATATTATACAGAGAGTGACATTTTTCGATTCAAATTGAAATGGAAGCGATGCAGAACGGTTGATTTGAAATGTTTTTTTATTTTATAGGAGAGAGTGTCGAGGAAACGTTTTAGAATCTCCCGCCACGGCCTCCACCGCGGCTGAAACCACCACGGCCACCTCCACGGCCACCGCCGAAACCGCCACGACCGCCTCCACGGCCGCCGCCAAATCCACCACGACCACCGCCAAATCCACCGCGACTGCCACCACGACCACCGCCAAAACCGCCACGACCGCCTCCACGACCGCCTCCAAATCCACCACGGCTACCACCGCGTCCACCAGGAGCACCTGGAGTTCTCTTCTTCTTGGGTTTTGGTGGTCCAGCTACCTTTGGCTTAGGCAAAAATCTTTCAATGGGCAGCAGTTTGTCGGGAGCAATGTAAAATTTGTCCCCGTCTTTGAAACTAGATGCCTGGACACCTTCGGAGCATTTGATCGTGAAAAAAACCTCATTCAAAGGTCCCAAGATTTCATCGACTTTACCAACTTGGGTCTTATTCTCAAGGTAAATTGGTGCGTTGAAGTATGGGATTTTGGTGTTGATCGAACGACACACAACCTCGTCCTCACAAGGATGCATAAATTGGCCCATTTCCAACACCTGGTCTGGTGGACCTTGCGGTATCGATCTGCCAAATCCACCACGACCACCACCACGGCCACCTCTGTTACCACCTCTGAAACTCATGCTATACTTATCGTATTCTTACACCAAAAATTGCGTGAGATAGCCCTCGATTAGGACAAGATCTATGCAGCAAAAATGAGCTTGTGATGTTGACAACAAGTCTATCTTTTCGGGCGATCAAAAGTGCAGTTTTCAGTGCTCATCGAGCTTTTAGATGAATAGAGATGAGCTTTGAAAAATTTTTTAACTATGGGTAGGGCGTGAAATTTGAATGTCCGTGTGAAAGTACATTTTGTCAAAGAGTTGTTAAAAACGACACGAAAAGAAAAAGAGATATAAAGAAGAAGGCCTTGAAGTGAAGAGCATTTCTGAGCCAAAGATGTTGGTCTTGAAGTGGTCGGATTAATTGGACCAGGGTAGAAGGGAATTGGAGGTGACAGGACTATTCTGATTTTGTCATGTCTGACGAGCCTGGGAAAAAAAAGAGCTTGTTCATTTGTGATAAATCTGAGATTTGGAGCAATGAACGGAGAGCTTGTATTTCAAAGATATTAGTGAGATTCATTATAGCTGGTTCGTAATCGTACTCCGTTGCAAAAAATCGCCTGTTCAATTTTTGACGTCTCATCACTTTATACTTATCTGTCGTCTGTCGTCTGTCACGTGACAGTGTTTCTACTTACAAGCTTACTCTTCAAGAGGCAAACGGCTCTCCGTTGTTCTTCTCAAATGTGTATGAATGATCACATTTTCGTCAACGCAGGCTAATCTTATGGGTTCCACAACTTCAAATAATAACTCTGGTTTTTATATTCCAAAACTCTAAGTGATGTATCATCTATATAATATATGCTTGTTTCCAGAACTTTATACGCTTCTAAGAACTCACAACGAGATCCTTCGATCTTGCCACATACTCATATTTGCTTGGAGCATCAAGTTCCATTTCCAAGTTGTGTTCGTCTTTCTCTATTAGACTTGTACTCGTACTTGTACTCATACATTCAGGACTCAAAGTATTGACGATCTCATCTCATCTCATCTCATCACATCTCATCTCATCTTTAAACCTCGAATACCTATCATTCGTCTTTCCAATTCAAAGTCTCCATGGATGTCTCTAGCATTACCAAGGGATACAAGGATGAACAGGATGATCCTAAAGTATATGGCGACCTTTGGTTGCTCTTGAAAAGCGATCCTTCTTGTACTAGAGCTGTCCTGAATGATGATGTTGTGCTGGCGCATCTGGGCAATGTGATTGTTTCGCTGAGCTCCAAATGTGTTTTCAAGCGATTGGTGATTATCAGTGTATTGAATTTTACATCTGTGTCGGCTCTCAAGGGCGATGTCGCTTCCAAGGTGTTATCTGCAGCAATTGAAACTATCACAAGTGTAGAAGCTGAACCTTACGCTATAAACGTGTGTCTTCGTACCATCAATGCCATATTGTCTGTGTGCGAAGGCGAACAAAATATCGAGTTTTTGTTAAAAAACAGCGAATATCTCAATGAGATTGTGAAGACCAGGCAGAATGCCTCGAATCTAATGGACCTCGTGTATTTGGTATCAACTCATCCATGGGTGAGTAAAGTAGATGCCGAGAATTGGTTAAAAGAGTTGGACAATACTGGAATTTTGTGGTGGTTGCGAAAAAATCTAGCGCATGCCAAGAAACTGGATTTCTTGGAAGTTATTTTCGAGAAAAACATGCGGTCCATCAGAAGTTCTCGCGTGGAGTTTCTTCAATCTACTGCTCGTTCCTTGGATATTTGCAAAGCTTTGCAGTTTTGTTCTTTGTCTAACTTTGCTGCTTTGCTCCCTACTTGTTCCATAAGTGAACACACAGAGCTAGTTCGCTCACTGAATTTACAACTCAGAGTACACTCAAATATTTCGGACTCTAAACTTCTAGAATACTTGACAAGGCCAACGATTGATCCGACAAACTACTGGCCTCGTCTTTTCTCCCATGAATTGGACACCGTCCACGAAATGTGGATCAGCCCGTCGCGGACCATGTATATTCACGCGCTCAAGGTTTACATGCATGAGTTCGCACGATTTAGCCATGACGTTGAGGGTTTCTTGACATTGGTAAAATCGAGATTCACCGAACAGGATGGTCGCTTACATGGTCATAGCAAGTACGCCAGTCAAACCTTTCAGTTGATATCGATTGATGACACGCATGAAGTCAACCTGAAAATCAATACAAAGAAACTATCTGAAGGACAGGACTTTTTGAGCGAATGGAATAAATTCCACAGACGCCTCATAATACTTCTGAACACGGCTGGTGACAAGATATGTGGTCGCATTCAAAGAGTCTCGAAAGATCAAGACGTTATCGATGCGACATTGAAGGCACAAGAGAATACTAATCCGAAAAGTGTTCATCTTGTGTGTACACTCAATGAGGAGCTTGAGACGAGGTTAATGCAGCTGCAAAGTCTCTTAGAAAATGCATTAGTCAACGACGATATTTGGCAAGAAGCTACAATGGGCTCGTTGGTTGGAAAGGCAAGCACTCGTTCATCTGTTCTCGTATCAAACATATTCTCGACCAGTCACCAACTAGAAGATTATCTGGGTATAGAAGTTGAAGCGAACAACGAAGAGCAGAACAAGAAAAGGAGACGCAAAGCAGACCTCAACTGTGCCGTGAATATAGACTTTGAAAAGAAAAGCTATGCTAGGACAGAGTTCGAACCGAGCAAGCCAGAGCTTGGTTTAACCGAAGCACAGCTACAGTTAATAATGCGCGGCCTACGGGAACATTTGTCCGTCATCAACGGTGAGGTAGGAACAGGTAAGTCAACCGTTCTTGCGTCAATTCTAGACAGTCAGTTTCTGAACTCACGTTTTGACAAATCGAACGGAAAGACGATTATGGTCTGCGATACAGAAGAGATGTGCCGTAAAATGGGAAGTCTTCTGAAAATTGTGCCCCCAGAATCAGTTATCTGCTGGTCAGAAAATATCGAAGCTGAGTACGAAAAGAAGAAAAGCCAAATTGCAAGGCTGTTGTCCCGCGTTCAAGAGATAGCAGAGGCGCTTAAAATACACGGAAATTTCTCCTGCACTATTGATGCTGCATTCACCCTTTTCGACTATCATTTAAAGCCAATGTTGGAAGACTTTGCTGGTAACTATCCGGACAAATTGAAGGCATCAGATTTTCCTTTAATCAACGCCAGTAACGAAATCAAGAAGGATCCCTTTCCCCGGATCATTGCGAGCAGTCGTGAAGTATCAGACATTTTTGAAAGCTTGGACCAGTGGCGCTCTCTTAACCTTCCTGGCGATGCAAGGAAAGCACTTTGGGAAAACTGTGACCTTGTTTTAGTACCCAAAGCCCAATTGACTCATATCTTGGTGAAAGAACATTATAAAATGAACCATTTCCAGAATTTGGTGCTATGCAACGCCAACTTTTTCCAACCCTTGGAAATCTGGCAAGCCTTGAGTGGGCGGGTTCAATGGAGCAACATTGTCATTACTGGCGACTTTTTCAATGGACCAGTGCCTTTCACTCTTCAGCAGTACATTGACGAAGAATTGAATTTTCCTCGTTTAGTCACAAATTTTGACACCAACCACGATATTCTCAAGCTCCGTTCCCCGCAGGTGTCAAAAAGTCATGCAGTTCCTGGGCTTGGAGCTCCTTTGCAGATTATTGGAATATCCGGAGAAATAGCCCGGAATAATGTTTGCTGGGATGAAGCCGAATACTGCGTGCTTTTATATGCCTACCTTCGAACGATAGGCTATCCGGCTCAATCGATTAGCATTATCACCCTTTCTCCTTATCAAAAGAGTGCCGTCGAGATCGAGTTGCAGAACCTCTTGCAGAGCCCAGGTTTTAAGAAACTTTCCAAACCAAAATGCATCAACGTGATGTATCAAAATTACTCTCACCGAAATCAAGTGGTTATTATCACCACGAGTGGAATTCCATTTAACGTCCACGATCTATCACGGACGGCTAAAGACAGTCTTCTTATTCTCACCTCCAGGACCATCAAAGATCATCTTCAAATTGTCGATGGTGAAAAGTTCCCCATTACGAAGCCCAAAGATAAACGTCAAGTGATGGAAATCAAAAGTCTGGAAAATCTGAAATCCAAAATCAAAGCATTACAAAAGGCTCAGAGACCGGAGAAATGATAACTTTCAATTGACCTGGAATCTGGAGTCTGACGCTGTCACTACCACTCTTTATTATCACTTTTGTCAAAACAGGCGCCTCGTCTTAAGTTGTATTAATGATGAAATTGAAAAATTTTAGAGTCGAAGAGCTTGTAAATTCAACTTTAAACGCCTTTTAGTCAAATCCAGGGACAGCGATGAGACTGCCGATGGCTGGCATACAGGGCCGTTTAACGGTGCCATTTCTAGGACAATATAGAAACTTTTCCCACACGAATTGGTGCAATGGGCCCAAAGCTGTGAAATTTCTAAAAGCTCAAAGAAAAAGACAGCTAAATCAGGCCAAACAGCTGAAATTGAAGACTTCTTTGGATACGGTTGACCCGGTATTTGGGCGTAGTAATACTCCGTTTGTGGTGCGTACGTTGGCTGAGCTGAAAGAGCCTAAAGTTTTGTCCCAGGGATACAAAGCTCAAGAGGTAGAATCGCTTTTGGCATCTGTGGAAGCAGCCAGAAGAGAACAAATGGAGCTGGCTGGGTTCAACAATCAGTCCTTGACCTCCGAAACTGATGAGTCCGTTCTACAGAATATGGAACTGAAAAGAGAATCTATACTGAGAATTTTAAGCATGAGAAACGCTAATAATAACGATTCCATGAAATTGGTAGTTCGTCAGGCTAGGGAAGAATTTCAGAGATTCGAGGGTGATACCGGCTCTAGTGAGGTGCAGGCTGCCATTATGACGGTTCGTATTCACAACTTGGCCAAACACGTCCAGGAAAACAAAAACGATCATAAGAACACCAGAATATTGCGGATGTTGGTTCAACAAAGACAAAACATTCTAAGGTATTTGAAGAGAGACAAACCCGAGAGATACTTTTGGACCATACAAAAGCTCGGGTTGAGTGACAATGCTGTCGTTGGCGAATTCAATATGGACAGACGTTACATGCAAGACTACAAGTTTTTTGGTGACCGCATCCTAATTAAAGATTCCAAGAAGGTCGCAGATCAAAAGCGGAGAGATCTCCGCAAGCAGAAGAGATCTGCCAGAAGAGCATAGAACTAATGACAAAGAAATCGCATCCAAATCATATAAACTTTCCTTGTATATATTAAGTTTATTCCAATCATCACGTATTGACACTATTTTCATTAGAGGCCCTTACTTTAAAAATCTACCAATGCTCCCACCGACATGCTCCAGGTCAAGCAGAAATGTATCATGCCCAAACAAAGATTGAGATTCGTCAAGCTCGACATGTTCGATGTTCTTGTCGCTGCCTAGCAATTCGACAATTTCCCTTTGTTGCCAAAAGGGAAATAGCCCATCGGACTTAACTCCCACAACCAAAAGTTCTTTGCCGATGAGGGGTTCCATGCCCTTCCGAAGGTCTTCGCGCGCTTGCTCGACCGTAGTGGTCCTTCTTTTCTTTGTGGCTTCATAAGGTTCATCGCATAGCCTTGAAGGTCTGCCCTCGAGGTCACCTTCTTCAAAGACGCGTTGAGCTTCTGCTCTTCTGCGATTGCTTCTATCCTGGTGACTTTTAGAAAGGTCGAACAGGTCCATGGTTTTGGAAAGATACAGAAAAGAGTTGGCATCGTATTCGAGTGAAAACTTCTCGCCTTGATGATCCAGGTAGGTTTCGATCAAAAAGTCAGGACATAGCACTGGAGGAATGTCATCATTTAGACGCTCGGTTCCGAATCTTGATTCCCACTCTGGTCCTGATCTATAAGTCACGGTAGCGATTTCACGCGCGAGCTTCATACCCACATGTGGGAGAATTCTATTTGGCTCTTCGTTTGTAGGATAGTAAAATCCTCGCTTCCAGTGCTGGTCAGCCATGAGCACTTGTCTTTGTGCGTGCCTCATAGCAATGCTCGAAGGGTGTGATCTAGCACAGGCCGATACGGTCACTACTTTCTCCACAGCTTCGGGAAACTGTTGGGCATATGCCAAAGACTGCATACCACCCATAGAACACCCAACAGATGCATAGAGCTTGTCAATGCCAAATTGTTCTTTTACTAGTCTGTGCTGACCTCTGATAATATCTTGGACACTCAGCATAGGAAATCTAGTGGCATACGGTAAATTATCGGCTGGATCAGGGGAAGATGGGCCAGTGGATCCATAGCAGCCACCTAGGACATTTGTGCAGATAACAAAAAACCGGTTTGTATCCAGCATACTATTCCCAGGACCTATGAATTTTTCCCACCAACCTGGTTGTGAATTGTCCGGCGATGATTTGGCATGCGAAGATGCGCTGAGCCCTGTGTGAATGAGCACTGCATTCGATGCATCTTTGTTGAGACTGCCCCATGTCTCATATGCTATCTGAAACTTTGGTAAAACTCCGCCGTAGTCCAGAAACAGTGGTTTTTCTGACTTGTATAGCTTGAATCCTGATCGTACCTTCCCGTAATACGGTTCGTTGCTTGGTGAAGACGTTGCATCCACACTTGCGCAGCTTCCGTGTTTATTTCTGAGCTGCTCTGACAATTCTTCCATCTTGTCAAGACAGGGGAATTGCATTGCCGGATTTGAAGATTTCGAAGCTGCCCGAAATGGCACCAATTGGTGCACGCCATTACTGAGAATGCGTTTACCGAAAACCGACCCGCAAAAAAGTTTCATAACAGTGCGTTGATGTTGGCAAGTGGTGAAGGAGTCTAGTTGAGATCAAAAAGAGTTGAACCTAGGAGAAGAAGTGGTCTCTTACTCATCATCATCGTCTATTGTCTGTCACCTTTAGTCGAACTCATCACCTCTCTTTCGTACAACACTATTTTTCACCCAATTTTGAACATTCCACGTGATATATGGCTAAAGCCACAAATATTTACGTCAATAATGATCTCTTTTAATCACGTGGGTAAATATGGTGAAAAGCGTCAGTGGCCATTCGAAAGGCCTATTATCCATCATGACGCCAGCCAATCTTTCGAGACCTGGCCGCTCGCTCTGGGTTCCCTGATGATGGCCACCGATGTTTTTAGTTCAAATGGGCATTTGGTTTTCATCATTTTCAGTTTTTTTGTTACCTGCGAAGTAGTCTTGTCTCATCTGTTGGCGTGTCATCATCGTCAGAGTCGCTTGATACATAGTCGTCGTCCGACTCGGCATCTTCCGCTTCCTTGCGCATGGCAGCAGTTTCGAGAATCTTTTTCCAATTGGGGAATAGTACAAGATACCCTTCGGTGGTTCCGATCAGGAACATACCTGTCCCAATTCCAATCCATAGTCCGAATAATTTCATATCGAATGTCCAGCCGAGCAAAATGCCCAACGGGATCGCCAGTAGATAGTATACCACCAGGTTGATAACACCACCAATTGCCTGCATGCCTTGTCCGCGCAAACATGATCCTGCTATGGCGTTCAAGGAATCAAAGATCTCGACTATCCCGACCAATGGCAACAGCTCTGTGATCAATTGGACTACTTCTGCGTCTTTGGAGTAGATCTTTGCGACTAATTGCCGGCCACTCACCAATACGATGCAATTCAATAGACCGACGAGAAAAGAGCACGAGAGTCCCACTTCACATGCTATCTTGGCACAATCGGGCCTTCTAGCACCCACAAAGTTTGAAATTCGAGTGGAAGATGAAATCCCAACGGCAAATGGGATCATGTAGGTCAACGTCACGGTCGTAGAAACCGCTGATTGAGCAGCTAGATAACTCGTCCCAAAATAAGAGCTGAACAAGGTCAAGATCTCGTACGAGAGATCCTCAGCCTCAAGCATAATAATACCTGGGATTGCCAGTTCCGACAAGGCCTTCCAGTGTGTGAATGCCTTCTTGTTGAGGCCGCCCCAGCACTCGCTGCCGTCCACATAAATAATGTATAGCACCAGCAACACAAGCATGAGCCAGAAGTTGATAACCATCGCAATTGGAGCGCCGATGTACCCAATGCCGAATCTGGAATTCCACACAAGTGTGTAGCTAACAAAAATATTCAAAGGCGCACATATTAACAGAACGTAAATGCCAGCGTCAAAGATACCCTGTGCTTGTAAGAACCTTTTCAAATTTTCGAAAGCAATATAGGCTGGCGCACCCAGTATGGCGATTCTCAGAAACTTGGCAGTCAATGCGACCAGTTCCTTTTCTTTCACAACGAAGCCTAAAAAGTATTCTGAGAAATACCAAAAGATAGCAAATGGGATATAAACAACCATAGAGAATGCAATGCATCTCTGTAAATGGATTCCTACACCACGATAGTTTCCAGCACCATATGCTTGGGGGCATAAAGTATCCAGACTGGTTGAAATGCCCTCGAATACTGCCAAAGTAATATTAGTGGTCATTGATGCCAAGGAGACTGCTGCAAGCTCATTTTTACCCAAATGCCCCACAGTGAGTGAGCAAACCAGGGGAAACAGTTGTTCCAGCAGAAATGTTAAGATCAGTGGTATCGAATAGCTCGCCAACATTCTGGCCTCGCTTTTGTAAGTTACCACTTCCTGTTCGTAATCCTCCTTTCGATCAAGAGACTCGTATATGTTAGGGACCGAGCCTCGACTGCTCACTGATACGTATGACAGTCTGGGTTGTCGTCTATGCATATCTTGCAAGAGCTGCTGCCTCACTCTTCTCATGAAATCGCCATATTCAATCCCCTCTTCTTGTTCCTGGTCATTTGACGATTCGTTGTCACCTTCCGGTTCCAATTCCTCGTCGCTGGGATGCGCTGTAGAGTATCTTCTTTCATGTTCCTCCAAAATCCAGTCCACCTCAGAATGAACATCGGGACCTTCACTTACTCTTGACGGCAGAGAAACTGTCCTGCTAAGTTCTCCACCATCAGGCGATTCCGCTTCTCCAAGTTCTTCATCGATTGCCAAATCTGTGTCTTCCCGCGCTACGGTGCTCCCAAAATCGTCACCTAAGGATCGAAAACTTGGCTGATCTGATCCATACCTTCTTCGTGGCTTATATTTCCTCACCAGAGGATTTCGTTTGCTAGGTTGCAGGAAACCGAGAGATATTCTTCTGTGATTATTCCCGATGCCCATACCATTTGTACGCAATTTTGGGTGCATCTGAGCCAAACTGGTGTTTAACATGATGGCAGTTGTTGATGTGGATTGAAAGCCTTTTTTGAGAGACTATAAGTGCTGGTGAAGAGTGAAATGAAGCGCCATTCAACGGGCTTGAATCTCTTTCTTATTTGTAGTCAGTTGTCAATCTTCAACGGGTCTTAATTGATAATCTTGAGTTCACATGTCTAATTTACTGTAAGGACAGTCATCCAGAACGTACTGCGTTGGGACAGCAGAGCAGCTACATCTTTAAACATATGGCTGTTAGTCGTTAAGTCATTAATAAGGATTCTATATAGGTGTTGGTCGTCTTGAAGCTAGAGCTTGCGCTTTTTCAGCCTGCTGTTGGCAAGTTCTTGTCTGCAATCAGGACAATACCAAGAGCCCTTTGGGGGCTCCTTCAAATTCACACAGGTGTAGTGGAACCACTCGAACTTGCAATGCGGTCCATCACACGCCACCATTTCACCGTACGAAACACTTTGGCAAAAACAGTACAGTTGTTTATCGTCTTCCTCGGCCTGGTTGTAGCCTGAAAATAGGTCATCGTTATAGTCTTGAAGATCAAAATTGGGATCTGCAGAGCCTGTGGGTGGTGAACTGTCCTTGTTGCGACCCACTGGGGTTCCCTCACTTTTGCGTTTGCGTCTGAGTGGTCCTGGGGTGGTATTTTTGCGACGACGCCCTTCCCCGGTGCTTGACAAAACTGAGCTTTCTCGTGAGTTTTCACCACCACTTTCGCCTTCTTTCTCTTCGTTTTCTAGCGGAGCCAGCAAACCCTCTTCTTCAAGCGTCTTGATGACATCTTGGAGCTTTGTGAGATGCTTGGTGACTAAAAACAATGCAGTATTGGCTAGGACACATTTGTTTTTCTGCAAATTTTGGCTCTCTTGCAAATCGGTACTTATCTTTTCAGAAAGCTCATTTTCACGCGATTTCTCCGATCCCGAGCCATGCTGCCTGTATATCTTCTGTAGCTGAGCGTCTCGCTGGAAATACTGTTTTCGTAGATCACATATCTTGAAATCGGAATTACCTATCTCGTCCAGAATGTATTTGAATTCTGACTGAAGATTGGACACATCTAAAGTTGTTTGTTCAAGCGCAGAGCTTGGATCCATTTTGGAAGCGAAGGCCGATGGATTGGAGAGACGAGAATCTTCTGGATGCGTTTGATTCTCAGCTTTTTTCTGGTTTGACGATGATGATGACAGAATCGATTATAATTTTATTATTTCGAGTTAGATCACTCTATACTAAAGAGAGCCTTCGAACAACAAATTTGGTATAATGAAGAGAGGGTGTTCTTGTTTTTAAGCTAGCAGTGTGTGCTGAGATGGGGTCCTTAGATGTGATGCTGGATGACCTTTCCACTTGTCACTGGCGCTCTCTGTGATCCTTCATCAGCTTATACTTTTGTGGTCACGTGACTCTTTTGTCCAATCTGCTCTTTTTTCTTCTTCGACGAATTCTGGTCTCTAATGAGGAAAACTTTTTGCAGAGGGAGCATTATGACGCAAGTTCAAGGTGATTCTTATCCCTTTCCCTTGTGAGCCTTATGTGTAAATCGTTGATCGAATATGTAGTACACAATTCTTTCCCGGCAGTATCGCTCTGTACGACTCTCGAAATGAAATCGTGCGTTCGAATGTGTATTCGGAATAGTCTAAATGCGAGTCTGAAGATAGATTCAAAAGACGATATTTTACCAAAAAAATAGGAAACAGATACCAACTTTACCTCTGTTCAGCTCATCAAATTTGAATACAGCGTCATTTTTTTCACTATAGTATCGCTCTGTACGAGTCTCTCGGTCTTTGTCTCCATCTCACTTTTGTTTTTCCTGACATCTCATCCCATCTTTAGCAATTTCGATTTGATAATTAGCCCTTATCCCTGCCTCATAGAGCAAAATTCAGAGGCTTAAAACCTAAACTTAGCCAGTGTCCCTGGCAACCTTCGACTATATAAATAGGAAGCTGTATCGAACAGCGATCCCGAAAATGCAGGGTTTTAGTGATAAAACGTAGAAAACAAGCTCTTTCTCAACGTTTGTTTTACTTTCTCTCTCCTGTTTCTCTCCTGTTTCCCAGCTGAAATTACACCATGGGATTAGCATCTTATCCTTTGAAATATGTGGCCAAAAAGATCTTTGGCGAAGTAGAACTTGGAAGCGCATTTGAAGACCCTTTTTTCGAAGAAGTTGAGTTTGAAAAACGGTCTTTTTGGTCCGGAAGCACCAAAATCGTTAAAAAACGTCGCGACAAAAGTATACCGGAATCAATCCCTGAAACTGATGGTAAGATTCTACGTCGTGTAAGAAAGAGAGCGTACCGTTTGGATATGAAATTTCACGTCTTTGGTATCAGATTCGGTTGGCTAGGTGTCATTGGCATACTGCCCGTTGTCGGTGACCTTCTGATCCTATGGCTGTCATTGCAAGTATACCAGGAAGCAACAAAGATCAACGGCGGGCTTCCGTCTGGAGTTTCCGCCCAGATGATCACCAATATCGCTTTAGATTTTGGGCTTGGTCTGATACCCATCGTGGGCGATATCGTCTCTGTATGCTACAAAGCCAACTCGAGAAACGTGCTGGTTTTGGAAAAGCATTTAAAACGCAAGTACGGCCGTACCATACCGCCCGTGACGGTAGGGGGTCCCAACAACAGGCTAGCTAGCGCAACCTGAGTCGAGTCGAAATGGGCATAAAAATGAAGCCAAAAACAAGAAGAAGAAGAAGAAGAAAAAAATACTCCAATGAAGCAAAAATCAAAATATGTATATGTATGTACTGTACACTCTCACAAAATTTGGTATAACGATGAAAGAAACCCTAGAAAACGTCCGGCAGCTTTTCAACCACGTATGCATGTCCGCCAACGCTCATGAGCGGTATTCCTGGAACTTTACGAACCCGCTGTTTCAGCCCAGCATCGTTGGTGGCCACAATATAACATTTGTGCTGTAACACACGATTTACAATACAATCATCGGCGTAGGTGCCCTTGTGGCTGCAGCTCAGTCTTTGAATTCGCGGGTCGCGTGCCAGCTTCAATGCAATTCTGTACTTGGGACCCAGTTTCTCCAGTTCTGCCATAACGCAATCTGTGATCAAAGGTACACACTTAGCCAGCAGCGCATCCATCATACCTCTTACCAGATCTATTTTCTTTTGGATCGAGAAATTGATGAAATTTGTATCTATCAGCACCTGATAAGGTGGCTTAATGGCCTGGTTATACTGGAAAAATAAAGCACTTGACACCTGAGGAACATGTTTGGTCAGTTCGTTGTCATCTTTCCCGGCTGTCTTGACCCGGTTAGCTTGAAGACGGGCATCTTTTTTAGCGTTCAAAGTCCGTTTCACAAGACCAAACTTTCTGGTTTTTTTGGCTTTACCCATCTTTATGCGATTATCCTTCTAGGGAAGAGAAGTGTTCAACTAACCGGTCGCTGTTTGCCTCGCAAAATAGCCTTGTGTGCTGGTGTTGTAAGTCTCAAACTCATCTCATCGCTTCAACTTTCTTGAAATATTACAGCTCTTATTTGAAAAATTATGTGTCACTGAGTACGGGAATATATAAAAAGAAGACAATCGTGGATGAAGACTAACAGAAGTCTGAGCTAACGTACGTTTATTTGCTGTTTATGGATGTTTGCATTTGCTCGTTTTGAGTGGAACAGGAACCTGTGATCATCTCCACGCGTTACCAAAGTGACTGAAAATCTGTTCAAAAAAATAAAAAATAACGTCACAGACAGGATTCGAACCTGCGCAGGTAAAACCCAATGCCTAACTCGCTTTCGAAATGTCGAATAGCAGGGCATCGCCTTAACCACTCGGCCACTGGGACGTATTTGCTTAAAGAGACTGGAGCTTAGTAACATATAGGATTTTGAAATAGCGTGATACCGTGACAACTAACTCGAACTTCAGGACAAAGAAGCACGAAGTAAATGCTTTGCGTGTGGCTCAAGCGTCTTCGAAAGGTGCTCTTCTTTTCGAGGGTTTCAACTTCTGCAAAATTCAAGATTTTGTCTTATTTTGTATATATACAACTTACATCAAAAATCCTTCTCGGTGGATCCTGTCGGTCATGAACGCATTCACATTCTATCAACTGGAGTCAAACCCAACAAGGTCATACCGTTGTATAGCACTTGTCTAGCAGACGAGTACAGTGCCAAACGAGCGGCAGCAAGCTCTGGAGTTTGACCAGCAACCCACAAGACGTCGTAGCACGAAGAGACTTGATGAGTCAACTTGAACAAGTAAGTGACGACTGTAGCTGGCTCATTCGTCTTAGCGGCGTTTCTCAAAACATCTGGATATTGAGACAGCAAACGGATTAGAATCACAGCAACAGGTTCCTTCAACAGCGAGAAATCGGCGTTCAAGCAATTCTCCTTGGTGATCTCCGAAGCGTTTCTTTCCACAGATCTCAATCTGGAGTGAGCGTACTGTAGGTAAGGACCGGTGTCACCCTCGAAAGAAGTCATTCTTTCCCACTTAAACTCGTAGTTATTAATACGCTTGGCTTGCATGTCTTGAATCATGACAGCAGAAATACCAACCAAGTCGGCGACTTCGTTAGGGTTCTCAATTTGTGCGTATTTGGCCTCGTTGGTTTTCATGACTTCATGCATCTTGTCTTTAGTTTCTTCCAAAATGTTGTCCAAGAAAACCACAGTACCCTTTCTGGTGGACATACCTTGAACCATACCGAAATTTATGTGCACCAAATCCTTCGCCCATTCGAAACCCAGCTGTTTAAGAACTTCAAACAGTTGAGCGGTGTATAGATCCTGCTGAGAAGCAATCACGTAGATCATCTTGTCGAAGTGGTATTTCTCATAACGATCCATGGCCGTGCCGACATCTCTGGTCATGTACAGAGTAGTACCATCCGATTTCTGCACAATGGTTTTTCCTAGCTTCTTGTTGAATTTGGTCAAGTCAATCAAAGTGGCACCTCTGTCTTCGTGAGCCAAACCTTTCTCTGAGAACATTTTGAGGGCCAATTCCATAGATTCTCTTGAGGCCTGAGACTCACCGGAGTAAGAGTCGTAGTGAATGTTCAATCTGGCATATGTGTCGACGTACTTGTCGATAGAAAAATCACGGAAACGCTTCCATATCTTCAAAGCGTCTTCGTCGCCGTCTTCCATTTTCTTGAAGTACGCACGGGCTAGACCATGAGTGGATTTTTCCTCTGGCAAAGTATCGCCTTCCGCCTCGATGTCTTTGTTCACGCGCACGTAAACGTCATACAAGTGCTTGATGGGGTCGTTTTTGAGAGCCTCCTCGGAACCGTATCTCTCAAACCCAACAGCAAGCAAACCAAACTGCTTTCCCCAGTCGCCCAGGTAGTTCAATCTCACAACTTCCCAGCCCAACTTTTCGTAAAGGTTAGATAGGAAACCTCCAATAATGGTGGATCTCAAGTGGCCAGCGTGGAATGGTTTGGCAATGTTTGGAGAAGAGAACTCGATCACCGCTCTCTTATTCTGGACCAAAGGCATGGCACCGTACTGCTCCTTTCTGGTGAGAATGTTAGGAAGCACCACTTTGAACAAGAACTCGGGCTTGAAAAAGAACTGCACGAAAGCACCGTTGGCTTCCACTTTCGACAAATAGTCGCCCACAGGGAACTTTTCAGCCCATTCCACGGCCAAATCTTTAGGATTGGCGCCCTTGATACGCAATCTGGGCACTGGAATCAACAAATCACCTCTGTCAAGAGTGTTGGTCCATTCCAAAGCTGGGTATATCAAATCTGTGCTAACTCCGGAAATCTTTGAAAGCTCGCCACTGACGTAGTTTCTCATGAGATCAACAACATTTTGTTCGGGAAAAGAGCCTTCTAGAGGCTTGGGCTCCTCAATGGACATCTTTTGCAACTGAGAAGTGATAGAAAGAACAGACATTTCTCGGTTGTTACGCAACGAAATTTGATGGCGAAAAGGAGCAGCTACTCTGCAAAAACACTGGGTATGATAGCTAAAACTACGAAGTCGGTCCACTCGAGCCAATGCTCTTCTAAGCATACACTAACGAAGAGTAAAGTTGAGAGTTTGGCATGGCGATGACTTTAATTTATCGCTTTATTTTCCCAGGTAAAAATTTTATTATATAAAGACGATGATGAGCTTGATATCGACAAACAAAATCGTTCAAAGATTGTAGGGAATAGTTGAGAGAACAGTTGTGATACGTGTAAGGATTTTTGTAAGAAGGGAACTGATTTCTAATGGTTGGAATAGTAGTTATTCAAATCATAGCGTAAATAGTAGTTTTTTGATCTCAGAACGACATATTCGTATATAGTGATCGTGTTTGTTTTCGATCAAAGTTACTTCTTTCTTCAAAATGCTAGCCTTGAAGTCTGGTTTCTAATCAACGGACAATATCAAGACCAATTCTTCTCATCTCGTTTTGATTCCTTTCTCTGCTTTCCTACTTGAAATTAAAACTGTCTCTCTTAGCATTATCTTAGTTAATTTCTGAACCTGGCGCGCGTCACAATATAAAAAAAATAGATCTGACGCCAGGAAACACTGTCGCCATACAAAGAAGTGCAAACCATCAGACTTTTCGCACAAATACAAGCTTTGTAAAGCTAATTTCAAGGCAATTGTAACTCAGCATTCCAGTAGCTCGCCATGCAGTCTGAAACTGCACGTTTGGCTTTTGGACGCTTTTTCGAGAACAATAATTGGAAAAAAACCGGTGAAGCAACGACATTTAAAGAAAGTGACGACAGCACTGGAAAACAGATTCCATTAAATGCGGCAGAAAATAACTTTGAGACCGTTGGATTTCTCCGCAGGCGCGGAAGATTTACTCGTTCATTTAAAAAAGCCAAGCAGCTTTTAGACAAGGGCTTTGGATATCCGTCCCATCGTGCCAATGACAATACCAAAGAATGCCCACGAGAACAGAATAATACAAGACTAGTGTCGCTACTGGGTCGAAATCATCTGAATTCAACGCGTGGTTGGCTTTTGACTAAATCCAAACCTTCATTTGATGGCAAAGAAAATGACTTGTGTGAACCATGCGATTCGGAAAAGAAGGTTGACAGGGGTCCTCGAGACTTGGACCCGCATGATATGCCGAAAGTTTTGGCCGAAAAGAAGCTTGATATTTTTGACTATCTATCCCCGGAACAAGTGGAAAAAGGCGAGTTGTTTATGACTTTGGGAGAATCAGAGTGTGGTCCGTTTGATAAGGACCTCAAGCAACTATATCTCGATGCAATGCGGGATTCAATTCAGCAAAATGGAAAATGGATAAGCAGCCTTGAGTTCCGAATGGTGGAATTTCAAGAACGTTTCAACAATCATGAACTGATCGCTTTTCTAAAGCATTTACAGAATCTTTTAAAATACGAGACCGGATTTTTACAGGAGATTCATGATCGATACGATTTGCTATTTCAGGAGAATAGTACGTTACGGGCAATCCTCAACAGTAGTAAGAGGCCAAATATCTCCAAATTAAATGAACGTTGATAATAGTCAATTATGCTATTTTATATAGTGTATTGTGTATCCTTCAAATTATAGACTTAGTCATAACATCGTTAAAATTATGGTCACTTTAGTTGACTATAGTGAGTCAAAGCACCAATTACTTTTCTCCAATCACTGGCGAAAGTGCTTTGACCATTTCAATTTTTCAGAGGTGATGCTTTTATTTTACATCATTCTCTTGTACCATGGCTTGTCGTCATGCATCAATTCTTCATTGTTGTAGTCGGCACCTCTTCTGGATGGTGGCAACCAAGAAGCAGATTTCCATGGCAAGACACCTTCTTCCCATAGCTCTTGAACTTCTTCCAAAGTCAAACCCTTGGTTTCTGGGACAAAGAAGAAAACGTAGAAGAAGGCAAACACCAAGCAGCCCATGAAAACGTAACCGTAGTAGAAGTGGATAGCGGTGGTGATGAATGGAGTGAAGAAAGCAATCAAGAAACCCCATAGCCAGTTGGAAGCGGTGGCAATAGCCATACACTTAGACTTGACTCTCAATGGGTAGGACTCAGCAACAACAACGTAAGCCATTGGGGCCCAGGTGGTAGCAAAACAGAAGATGTAGAAACAGGTGAAAACAATCATACAGTTACCAGCGCCCTTGTTAGAGACCTCAGGGTGGTCAGCGCCATCAGGGTATAGTCTGGTGACACCAACAGAAGCGTAGACGACAAAGCAAGCAACCATGGAAGCGGCACCCCATAGCAAACACTTACGACGACCGAACTTTTCAACAGTGTAAATACCAACGAAGGTGGAGGCAAAGTTGACAATACCAATGACAATGGCGGTTTGGAAAGAATCAGTCAAACCAACAGCCTTGAAAATAGTTGTACCGTAGTAGAAAAAGTAGTTGTCACCAGTCAATTGTTGCAAAGATTGAATCATGATACCCATAATCAAACGCTGGAACACCTTAGTCTTAGTAGAGAAAAGCTCGCCCCACGAGGCGGAACCAGCCATTCTCTCGGCTTCCACACCTGCCAAAATAAGATCAATTTCAACTTGGACAGATGGGTCTTCCATGCTGACTTTGTTGGATCTGGCAACAGAACGCTTGGCCTCCTCAAGTTTGTTCTTTTCGACCAAGTAACGAGGAGATTCAGGAACAAAGCTCATACCAGCGATCATGAATAGAGCCCAGGCAAAACACAAACCTAGAGGAACTCTCCATTGGACAGAGTTGCTGTAAGTCTTAACACCGTAGTTGGTGCAGTAACCCAAGAAGATACCAAAGGTAATCATCAATTGGAAACAGGCAATCAAAGTACCTCTCAAGTGCTTTGGAGCAACTTCGGAAATCAACATGGGGGAAAGAACAGCAATACCACCAATACCAAGACCGGAGATAATTCTGCCAATGAAGTACTGGTACCATTTGTCAATGGACGCGATTTGGATGATGATACCGATAACGTAGACAACCACAACTGTCATTAGACCGATACGACGACCGTACATGTCACCAACTTTCGACAAAATGATACCACCAAAGGCACAACCAATGTTCAAAATAGCAACGATCAAACCAGTTCTAACGTTAGACAAGTAATGCTCTCCATTGTGTTTAGTCTGACCGAATCTGCGAATGAAATCCTTTTGTTGCACGAAACCAGAAATGGTACCGGTATCCCAGCCAAAAACGAAACCACCAAAGGCAACACACAAACATAGTAAAACCACAGTAACGTAGGCGGAGGCAGGTTTTTTTGGGATCTCAGTCTCTTTTTCGATTTCACCCTCTGGGAAACGGGTGTCCTTAAGGTCGTCGCGGGACGCTTTGTTGGAAGGCGTCGACAATTGGGAACCGTGACTCACAGTCGAGTGCAAGTCAACGGGGGTAGCCGTAGCTGCTGTACCATTTTGGTAAGCACCAGTGGCAGACATTTTTTTGAAAATTAATAAACTTCTTTGAGTTCGAGATTCGATGGACTGTTCAATATCCAAGCAAGGAATACAAGAAGCTCGAAATGCTGAATGGTTCTGGGGATATAAGAAAAAGATGAATGAAATCAAACACGATTCAATGGTCAATCAAGGCCTCAAACGCTCTTCTTATATACACTTTTTTCTCCTCAGACCTCTTTTTCAACCAGAGCTTTTTCAATAACATAACCGACCATACCTCTGCTCTTGGTGGTACGCCACGTTCTGAGTGAATTTGGCGGGATAGCCGCTCGTTCCGGGGTAATAGTACTGGGAAAAACTATTTTAGTGGGGGGATTCTTTTCTTTTCCCACGGTCTGTTCTGGGCGTATGCACCTCCGGATTAATTTTTTTCCGGTCAGCCGGAAAAACCTGGAGATAAAATTTTTCCGTAAGGGCCCGACGACTTTCTTTTTTCTGGTTCCGTGCCGTGGCGTGGTCTCACAAGCCTCCGCAGCCGTACCTGTGTTCCCCCCCATATAACCCGTTCTCACGCATCTGCGCTTTCACGGAGAAAAGTTGATCCTCTGCGGGGGTCTCTGAGAATGCGAGCCTCTCGAGTGAGGGTGAACACCGAGAAAATTTTTCCGGGGGGGAACACGCCATATTAGTTGTTGTTCCATACTGGGAGTCTTCACACCAATTTTTTTCCTCCTGCCAAGTAGCTGGGCATCCCGTTCTTTCCCGAACTCACTCACCAATGGGTAACGATTAGTGGCCCATCGGGCTGGCTCAACAAAGAGAGCGAGTCAGAAAGTACAGCCGAACCGATGACCCCATATGGTCATAT